AACCTATACGTTTCTACGAACCATCGTTAGCTAATACGGACTACCCGACGAAATCATCTCCGATAAAGACAAACTTTTTACGTCGAAATTCTGGAAATCACTTATAACCCGGTTTAAAACCAACCATAAACTCTTAATAACATACCACCCGTAAACGGACGGATAAACCGAGCGAATAAACCAAATATTAAAATAATACCTACGCTGTTACATTAATTACGAATAAAACAATTAGGTCGAATTGTTATTAATCGCCCAATTTACCTATAACAACTCCGAAATAGAGTTAATCGGAACAACACCGTTTTACGCGAATTACGGATTCAACCTAGATATAACGAAGGAACCACTCCTAAAAATACTGGCGGAAAAGGCTATCACGCACGCCGACAAACTACAAAATTTACAAAGAAACTTATAACAAAAACTACTTTTTTTTTAATAACGGATAAAAGAATAGAATAATAAAAAGAGAGTTAAAAAACCAACTTTTAAAGAGGGAGACCCTATTTACCTACTCTATAAAAATATTAAAATAAAACGACCAAACGACAAACTCGATTTTAAAAAGATTAAACCATTCAAAATCGATAAAGTTATTTCACTTATTAATTACCGATTATCACTACCTCGGAAAATGAGAATACACCTAACATTTCATATCTCATTATTAGAACCAGTACCACTTAATATAAAAATCGAAACACGGCTCGAGACCGAACTAAACCAAAAATACGAAATCGAAGAAATCCTGGACCTATAAAAAATCAATAATTAATAGAAATACTTTGTTAAATAGAAGGACTACCTACCGTCGGAGAACACTTAGGAACCTAAAAAGAATTTAAAGGGTTACCCTAAACTCCTCGCGGATTTCCACTGATAACGGGTATTAACGGCCTAATATCCACAAAATTATCACCCAAACCTAAAAAAACCCAATCCATATCGTTAAAAACGCTTATAAACCGAAGATCCCCTATTACAAAACGCTCCTAAATAGAAACCGAAAACATTACGCCATCCTCCTTATTTAATTCCCGTATCCCCCGTTAAAACGCTTTAGAACTCTTCTCCTTTACGACCTTCTTTATTCGACGTAAACGCGTAAGACGATTAACAATAACAGATAACTAAATCTATAACGCGAAGAGGGCCTTTTCGGTATCGGCCTCCTCCGCCTCCAATTTCCGCTATTACGATAACAAACGAGAAAGCGACGACGCCACGAACGTCCCATCGTAAATGCGCCTAACACGTACGCACTCTGAATAACGCGACGACTTCTCGCCTATATAATAAGTAAGGTTTTACCTAAAACACTTAATACACGGCATCTCGGTAATTACCCCAGAAACTTCGATACTCTTAACTAAAGATAGACGGTTAAGCGTTTTACGAGATCGCGATTTTTTAACACGACCTGATATAATGAGTATATATCACAAAAAAAAACATAAAAAGGAAGGAAAACCTACCAAACCAAAAAATGGGCAACAAAACGACCTATTTATATAACCCTCAATTTTAAGGGGTTAAAACAAAGAAGGAGGGACCTGATATTACGAACATAGCCTTACGAACCCCGACCCCGGGAAGGAATAACTAAAACCCACTAAACGGCTGGCGCGTAACCGCTAGGATAAAAAGACCACGGGACTAATGGGGTAGAGAAGGTTACGTGACATAAATTACGGTCTTGGCAGGTGAGCCAGGATAAAGGATCACGACGAGCCACGAGTGAGCCCAGGGGAAGGATCACCCTTGGATCAAAGTGATCCGGGACAAAGGATTACTATAACTATAATAATCTAACCAATATTAGTAAGGAAATAAATGGATATATAATGGAAGGGATTTCCTAGCTATATAGATAGTTATTACTTTAGTAATTAATTTAAATATCTATCTTATTTATAGGTAAGGCCTATTAAGCCTTAACGATTATATTTATAACTTCGCTTATAAACCTTTATTCTATCTTATTTAATATATAGACTATAAACTATAACCGCCCTCGAGATTAACGTCCCCTATTAATATAAACCCACGTACCTATATCTCTTTACGGTTTATCCTAAAAAGCATATTCGTCACATTACCCTATCTTATTTAATACGTAAGTTATAAACTATAACCGCCCCCGAGATTAACGTCCCTTATTAATATAAACCCACGTATTTATATCTCTTTACGGTTTATTTTAAAAAGTATATTCGTTACAAAAGAGTAAATAAAATATTTAATTTAATAATAAAACGCCTTTTTAATTAAAAAGAAAACGCGGGTTTAAATCCCGTAATATTCGTTTTTTTTTAAGAAAATTTAATTATTAATTTAAAAAACGGGGTAATATTTTAAAAATCTTTTTAAAAAAATAAGAAAAAATCGTATTTATTTTAATTAAATTAAAAAAAAGTAAAATAATATTTTTAAAATCTTTTTAAAAAAGTGAGAAAAAATCGTATTTATTTTAATTAAATTAAAAAAAAGTGGGGTAATATTTTAAAAATCCTTTTAAAAAAATGAGAATTTTTAAACTTTTAACCTTAATTTATAAGTAAGATTATTATAAACTTATATAAAATGGAGGGAATTATTAAAATTAATAAAATCACCGGGCGTAATATAAAGTACGGCTGGTAAATATCGGGTTAGGATTTTATAATGATATAGACCTTACGGCACAAAACCAGGGCCAGTTTTGGCAGCAGAACCGTTGTCGAATTCAAGACACTCCGCGGTACAGTGTTAACGGTCTTGGTCACATGCGTGTGGCTTGGAGAAGCTGGCGTGGCTACTAAGTTGAGAATCCTGCTGAGCAATTCCGGTCGCGCTTCTGCCGATCTTCTCGTCTCACCAAATCCCCCCACCCTCCCTAAGCAGTGCGGGGATCTGGGGTTCTGGGGTTGAATGCCTCCCAGGCCTCGGCTCACTCAACCGTGCTGGCGTAAGCTGACCTGCAGCATAGGCGTCTTGGCCAATACACCATTCGTAAAATGAAGTCTTATCGCACTTCAGCTCGAACCAAAAGCAGATTTTTTTAAATCTGGCCGTGCCAGTTCAATGAAAGACTGAGTTTACAAAGACCACTCCAAATCAATCGCAATGCCAGCATCAGCAAAACTTTCAACCCCGCTGACCTCGCTCTTGGGGGTCAGCCATCCAATCATGTTGGCGGGCATGGATCAGGTTGCTGGACCTGAATTGGCTGCCGCTGTTACCAATGCAGGAGGGTTCGGTACCTTGGGCGGTGCCCGCTACACGCCTGAGATGCTGCGGGACATGATTGCAGAGATGAAAGAGAGGCTCGTGGACAAGGATGCGCCGTTTGGAGTTGACTTATTGATCCCGCAAGTAGGCGGAAGTGCGCGAAAGACCAACGTCAGTTTTCAAGCTCTGCTGCGACTCTGCAGACGGCAAAGCAACGCCAAATACTAGGAGGTGCATCGCTAACTCCATAATAGTATGACTACACAAAAGGACACTTGGATGAGCTCTTGGACATCGTGATTGAGAGTAAAGCCAAGCTTTTCGTCTCTGCAGTTGGCGTTCCTCCAGCGTGGGCAATTGAGAAATTGCACAAGGCTGGAGTCCTGTACATGGTACGTGTTGATAGCTCATGCGGGAACCAGCTCAAGGACTGATTTTGTATCAGAACATGGTCGGCCACCCAAAGGTAAGATTCAAATCCGAAGATCTGCAACACCTAGTCGTAACATTCCCAGCACGTTCACAAAGCTTGCCAAGCAGGTGCAGATATTATTTGCGCCCAGGGTGGAGAAGCAGGTGGCCACACCGGAGACATCCCCACGAGGTAAAAAGCCGCCATTGATGTAGGATACAGGGACTGAGAACATTGACAGCATTCTGACGCCCGCATGTGCGGATATCGTAAAGCAATACAAGTCCCCATTAACCAAGAAGCCCGTCTTGCTTGTAACCGGGGGTGGTGTCAACGATGGCCGCAGCCTGGCGTCTGCATTGATGCTCGGTGCAAGCGGTGTCTGGGTTGGAACACGGTTCATTCCAGCTGTCGAGTCAAAGTACCCGGAGCATGCTAAGAAGCAGTGAGTCAATATACGGTTGCCGGTTGAAGTCACCGGTCGAACGTTCGTGGATCACAATGGAAAGACTAACGGAGGCCGTTAGAATCATTGATGCTGATTATGACTCATGGGTGCGCTCCTTGATTTGGAGTGGACGACCACTTCGATCACTCAAGACACCGTATACCAATGACTGGGAGGTCAATCGACAGGCAGAGATCAAGGATTTGACATCGAAGGGAATTTTGCCATTAGAACATGACCTAGACCGATTGCACAAGGAAGGAAAACTGACAGAAGAGATTGAAGAGCAAGCCGCGCTCCGGTAAGTGCGGTGAGAGAAACAAGCCTCTATTGAAACATCACTAAAAATCAATCCAGTCCTCTTGGGATTGTGGCAGGCTCCGTCAACAAGGTTGGCCAGACTGCAGCTGAAATCGTTCGTGAGATGGTGGAAGAGGCTTTGCAATTGCTGAAAGGGGCGTCAGGCTACGTGGCTTCACCATCCAAACTTTGAAAGCCTTGGTATTCAAACGAAACGATCATGATCATGAGTATGAGATAGACGTATGCGTCGCTCAAAATAATCAAGAGTCTTTGTATTGGATGATGCTAGTAGAAGTCTGAAGGCCCGCGTTACAGACGTGGTGTTTATTAGCACAGCTTTCAGCCTTAATGATACAATGAGCTGCTATTTGCGTTTAACCTATTGAATAATACTCTGCAACCGCTACAATTGCTAGGCCCTATCCTGTGCCGAGCTATAATACACATTTTCAGCTGGCCGCCCCGCGACAATACCCTGTGAAGTTGTACAGCTGCATTTCTTGTCCAGAGAAGTTGGAGAAGGCTGATGGTTTCCATGTTTCTCCAGATCCAAGACTAATTGGGACGCGGTCTTTCACTGATGCAAGCCCAAAGAAATGGGACTGTCGGAATCCCACAAACCAAATCTTCGAGTCGCACAACGCTGCGTCAATGTCCCAATTAATGCTGGAATAGCCACCTTGTGGTGCTTTCGTGGTCTCTAAGGTTGCTATCACTACAAGTGACACAACGTATAGTGCTAAAGCCAACGTATAGAGTCTGTACCATATTGACGAGATGCAAGGCATAATAGTAGTTGACTTGCCGCGAAGGAAATAGACGCTGTAGAGTGGGATGGTGACGGTTAGGAATGCCAGGTAAAGCAGAGCCATCAAAAACATCGTAGTGCTCATAGTTGTCCCCAATGGAATATGGTCTCTGGAAATTGGGAAGATGTATATGGCACACAGAGTCCAGAACACCACAAGTATCATTAGGTACACTGCGCGGAACACAACAGACGCCCAGTGTGATGTTGGCTTGAAGTGACTGCCCCTAGAAAGTTGGGCGGCATGCCGCTCAAAGGAGCTAGGTATGTAGTTCGCCTGCTTCGCTGGGATTGGTGGTAATGGTTTCATCTGTATGTCGTTTCTTAGTGTATAGGTGTAATCCTCCGTAAGCCACATGGCAGCGAAGAGCCGCAGTAGACCGAGAAGTGCCAGTGGCGCAAAGATATTGTCGACGCCACATAGCGCCAAAAAGCTCTCTGTGTCGTCGGAGTCCGCCAGATGCCCTATGATCACGTAAAATGCCGATAGACCCTGCGCGGTTGTGATGACTGTTTTCAGCATCACACTTGACAGAATCTCTACCCGAGATCTCGAAGGTGCGCGGTAACAATAAGGCTTAGTAGATACCATCATTTCCTCAGAACCATCCCATCCTCGAGAGGTCCAGAATATGGCGTTACTGGCAGCCATATGATGGTTCGTCCATGATATGGCTCGGATGCGGCGATCAGCAATCGCAAAATAGCGCCACAAGATGCTTGTGGGGTTGTAATGGCAAATGTAATCAATCCAATGCGGTCGGTCCTCGGTAAGAAAGGACACGTCGGCTGAACCTGAGATGACATGTGCAATGAGGGGAGCAAGGCATAGTGTTAAGAGAGAGACATATTCTGTGAAAGAAATACATTTGCTACTGAATGACAGAGGTAGTATAGAGTACCCAGAAGTCATGATCGCTGAGGAAAGCAGCTGTAGAAACCGTTATAAGGCCTTGGATGGTCAACTTGGCGATTGGCTTTGAGATATACTTTCGATAGTGTGCGAAATTAACCTAGGGTCGTAGGTGGGCTTCCAGATTTAACCGCGCCCCATCTGACGTGCAGATACCCTGCATGTCCTGTGGAAATATGAGAGCCAACGCGCCGCCCATCAACAACCGAATGTGAGACTTGGGGTCCACGATGGGGCCAATTTGTTATTGGGTGTGTTACACAGCATTGATTCATATATAGCCCTCTGCATATGTATCAGGCTGACGTAGGCCAGTTTCTCGATTGATTTTTTTTGATACGATTTCTGTAACAGGCGTACAGCAGTGGCAGTACCTCACTAGGGGGCCAGAGGACTTAGCATCGAATTTCAGTCAAGCGGTACATGGTTGGATACCCTTGACAAGAAACGGGACGATGACGGCATATAAAATTGTAAGTGCTCTGTAGGCGCTGAAGGCGCCACTTATGAGTGATCTCTCGACGGAGCGAATCTTCAGTGTCCGTCTTACCGGACACATTCAGTAAGCAGTTGACCAGTCTACCGCCATGGAACGTGGTCTAGAATGCTCAGACCCCTCTTCGGGACTTTGATTGGAAATTCGCGGGCTTTCCGCATACCCATAAAGAGACTCTTGGTATAGATGATGGCTAAATATTACGACGGCCGACAGCTCAACGTCATGCTGCTCCAGAGAGCTTTGAATTGCTTCGAGAAATTTTCCTTAAAATTCCCATGTTGACAGGATTCATGATGCCATTTCTACGCCAGATAATTGATTATGTCTAGCCAAACCATCTGGTAGCTCCATCAAGCCTGACGAGACAACAACAATATCAGGGAGTGACAGAGTTAGTTTATCACATCAATTTGGTAGGGACTCGGTTTAGTCTGCCGCCTGGTGAAGATGCGCGATTGAACAGACTGTAAAATGGCAACATGTAGCTGATCAAAGTCATATCAATGCGGGCGGAGTGCAGAGACCAAAACGCTTATCGTACTAGATGCCACGCTCTTGGCTTTGAGTCAGCCTCGACCGATAGAATTTAAAAAATGCCACGTCAATTGTAATGAGTATTACCTTGGTGGCACACAAGGAAAATAATCCCCTCTGATCGCCGGGGGTAGTCCATGAAACTCTCGCGGGATATATGCTATGTACTATGGTAGATGGAATTGCCCGAATCACAAGCTCGGCTAACGCATACAGGCGCCTCACCCCTATCGGGTCTAGTAGATCCGCTATGTCCAAGGCTTAGACTGACAAGCCACAAGGCTTAGACGAGTGACCGCATGTTAGCGGCTCCACTTCGCTGATGTCTCTATTCATAAGATGCGTTGATTTACGACTGCTCTTTCCCCCGGAAACAAGACCATTGGGCAATCAATCGTATTATTGCAAGCAATATGGACGCTGCACCGGAATATGAACAACCTCCAGAGTATGAAGAGGAAGTCAACGGTGCGGTCGGTCAGGTCATGAGCCCCGGAACTCTGGTTCTCTCAAACCACCACGTCATTCCCGCTTCCTGCTCGAATTCAGACCCAAAACCTCTCTACGAGCTCAGCCGTGGAGTGGCAGTCTTATCAAATGCAACCACCTCTGTTGAGTTCTCGCGTCTAGACCACTCCGTGAGCCAGAGTGTGAGCGGAGAGCCCACGTTGAGAGTCCGTAAACGGCAGCTCTACTCACTCGAGCATTTCCGAAATGGGTACCTTGGCAAGTATGTCAAATATGCCTCATTTGGCAATAGCGCAGCCTACTGGTGCAAAAGCATGTCGCGGAAAACGGCTGGTGACGTGGGACTGAAATCTCAGAGGAAGTCGGGGTTCACCGCCCAAAAAAGTCAAAAGGGATAGCGGCGAGTATGGCGAGCCATGTTTCGTGGAGGGTACAACGAGCAGCGAGAGTCCAATTTTGTTTGCTGTGAGATGGGTAAAGCGTGATGGGCTATATGAATGGGCAGACTATGCTGGAAAACAAGTCGCTGTTGAAAGCATCGCTGGTGGAACGCACACCCTGGATGTCAGGATTGAGCTGCCGAGGCAATCTTTTGATGTATTGGTGGCGCTCTGGTGCTTGAGAATATGGTTTGACTCGGTGCAAGAGCACAACGATGCGAAACCACCCATAGGTTGGACTGAGAGTAAGTTGTTACCTGAGGCACGAATGCGGTCGATTTACTAAGAAAGCACAACAGTCAAACGACGGATACGCCTTGCAAATGATCTTCCCACAGCACTATAGCAGGCGCACTGGTATGTCACTCAAGTTGACTTGATCAAACGTCCTGGGAGCCAAGCAGGCTTTTCATGGCGAGCACACTCACGTGGTAACTTGATAACGAAAGAACTCGACACATTGCATGTCGGGGAGTGGCCGTCAATGAGTGATTGTGAGATTCCATCCAGGAAACGCCGACGTAGGTGTCCTCGCAAATGAACATAATGGCAACTCTTCAGTCTCCACAGGCGACACAACAATCAGCTTGCTAGTTGACAGAGTCATGAATAACAAATACTGCTGCACTGGTGCTGGACGAGGCAGGATAGTCGTTTCAATACCTCGTGTCTCGCTGATACAAGCCGGTTCTTCTCGTAGTAACTGATTATTACTATATGCAGCATGGCTCCTAGGAATGACTGCAACAGTGGTCATGAATAAGATGATCACATCCTATATCCAGTAATCTATGCCCATTTGCCCAAGAAGCTCATCAAAGCCATGCCGGCCACCAAGGATACTCCACCGGCGATGGTAATCATTGCGCTGGCGCGCACCATCTCGCCTCCAAATATCCAATCTGCGGCCCACATCTCCACAAGGCCAACCCAGACCAAGATGCCAGCTGACAGCGCGTCGAGCGTTCCAAGAGCTATCAACGTCGATGGGTCATTCCCATTAAAGTACCGCAGCGCCCCAATACCAATGGCCATGCCTATCGGTGTAATGATAGCAAAGGCCACAGCCATGAAGAGCTTCTGAATCATGGGCAGTGGCTTTGAGGCTTTCTCATCCACCGAGTCCGGGCTGGAGGCATTTGACGTACCAGCGGGCTCCGAATCCTTGTCGTTGGAAGTCGACCGACTACTCGGAGTATCCGCCATGGCGGAATGTGCAACCTGATTAATGGAAGCAATGCGCGTACCTAATGCAATACCCTCAAACATCTGGTGGAACAAGATGATAATAAAGAGGGTTATAAAGAAACTGTCGCCGGTGACAACCAAGGTGACACCAATAACTTCGTACATATTAGCAATCATGGCCTTCAGTATTCGTCTAAGCGATATGATACACTTACGAATAGAATGGAAGATGATTCCCATTTCCAAGACCAATACTTGGACGACACTATCAGTGTTGTGCAAGTTAGCACCGTGCTGATGGCTCTTGGACCCGGAAGCAATCTTATGCGACACGAAGTCGACTATGAAGGATAAAAAGATCCCGGCCATAACAATCGCCGACGTGGTCGCTTCGTAGTCGATGCCCGATAAGCATTGGTTCGTAAACATCAGGTTCGCGTGAGTATAAAGCTGTGAACGTGAGCGGGGGAAACATCAATACAATCACAGAACCGTACATGAACAAATGCAGTCGATATGATGATACCGGTTCCGAATTGCTTCAGTATCACGAATACGACGTTGAACTTGGCTGGTAACACAGGCTTAAGGAAAATTGGCCCAGCGACACCTTGAGACACTATCAGTCTTTTCCCCGTCGGACAATGCGGACTTAGGGCGCGTACCGATGAAGCTGGTCACGAGGATGACAAAGAGTAGCCCGATCCTAAGAGGGATGTTGTAGTCGCGAGACTGGCGGGTACACGTGGCTGCAGATGATCCATGTTCTCCTTCTGCCCCGACGCAGTGCCTGAAAAGGTTAGAATCCGACCAGAGAGTAGAATCCTACAAAACGTACTCAACTCCAGCATGGAAGTGGCAGTCCATTCCTCCCGTGGACTCGGATGATTCCTGTGGGGAGTTCGTCCCAGCCTCTCCGTCGTGGTCGGACCCTCCGCCGTGCTCAGGCTCTCCGCTGTGCGCAGCTGCGTCGTCAATGAGAACCTGAACATCGTCTCCTGCTGCATCGACGCAATACCTATTCCTAAATTAGCAACAGCGAAGCCAAAGGTGTCAACTCCAGGTCTACTCACAAGCTTGATGCGTGGGCATGGCAGTCGGTATAAGATGCTGGAAGCTCCGACGTTGCCGTAGCTGCGACCACCACCTCATACTCTGTTGTCCCAGCCATGCACCATCTACGCCGAGGAATATATGATTTAGCGAACAGGTAATTAGGGATAAAAGTTGAAAGACAGTTGATCTAGGTATGGAGAGACGTACACTTCACCTCCATGTGCATGACAATCGCTGACAGCTGTAATATCCTCGGCCTGGCGTTGAACCAGTGCCGAAATATCAAGGCGTGGAGCGGGCGTTACTCTTGGGATCGATGGCACAGCTTGTCTGCGAGAGAGGAAGCTGCTGCTGCCCTGAGACAACAGACCCAGCAGGGCCCATGCTGCCTCTGCTCGAAATGTGGCTACTCTCATCCTGGATGCGTTTGATGAAGTGCGGCAGAGTTTTTCGCTTGGACACTTTCTCGGTCGGGTAGTTCTGTTGGACTCGGTCGGGATCTCAGACCCAAGACAACTTGGATTATATCTTCACATGGCCCTCCATCTTCGGGACAACTGGGAGTGAATTTGACCGAACACGGTGCATGGACTGCAGTAGCCGACAGGAAACTGTCCATCAAGGTGTTTTTTCATCTCTCCGCCCAAGGCTGGGCGCGGTGATTGAGCCGCAGACGTGAGCTTGGCATCGTGTGTGCCAAGTCAATATGATCCGCCTTGATGGTCTTGGTATCTTGGCGTCCTTGGCCTTAGTAATAGCAAACACTCAGCTGGACCCGAGCAGTGCATCTTTGTTTGGTCATACACAGTAGCTAGCTACTCCAACAGGAATCAATGATTCTGGTCTGGATATACGTCAATTCTATGCCCTCCGTCTGGTGGCCATGGGACAAAAGAAGACAAGGTTGGAAATAGACGAAATCAGCACACAATATTATTCATCTATGTGACCAGCGTGTTTTGTTTGTATTAATACATTCCTCCTTTCTACCTGACCATATTATACTAGCCAAGACCTCAAATAGCAATCGAAAGCAGTAATCCAGAGGCGAGAACGAAGCCGCTGATGGCAACCCCCGATGCACCAGCGGTCACAGGGGTGGTCGAAGCAGAACCGGAAGCTGAGGTGACAGCAGATGCTGAAGTAGCTAAAGTTCCAGTGGTGGTAGCCGCAGAAGCAGGGCCATCACAATGCCTAGCGCACATGTCAGGTGCCGAAGCACGCAGTTTTGCATTGCTGCATCTTACCAGTGGTTGCCATGAGGTTCGCATCCTATGGACTCGGTCGGGCTCGGTGCAAGGCTACCCGAGCCTGTCTCGTGATCATGGTCGTGATCATGGTCGTGGTCATGGTCCTCCGTGGAGGTGGCAGTCGCGGACACGGCAGCCGTACTAGCTGTGCCAGTCTGGGTAGTTGATATCGGGCCGTCACAATGCCAGTGATCTCCGTGTGCCTCACAACCGACAGACTCGGTGGGCGAAGGGGCCAGAGTCTGGGCCAAGGCACCAGAAAATAAGGCGAAAACGCAAAGAGAAGCCTTGATCTGCATGACTCTTGAATATGCAACGTGTGTAAGAGAGAGAGAGAGAGAGGTGTGGAGAGAGAGTTCAGTTGAGCTGTCTAGAAGTGACTCAAGAACCCTTGAGCTCCCTCAGCTTGAAGGAGGCTAGTTATATTTGAGAACTACGTACAGAGGTAGCTTTCGTGCATGTTCGGCATGCTCCGGTGTGACCGACTGTGGTTGGTTGTCGGCCTTTGAACCGACATTGGTCATTCCGAACAAGATCCCAGCGGCTCGGGCCAAGCTTGATGGGTGCATTGCATAGTGCCTTGGCGATACTCTCACCCGCCCATCAAGGTTCTCAGCAAACGTTGGAAGACCAGTCGGTGACGGTGGTTCGGTGAGCAGTTGAACCAGATGATATAGTCCCACAGTTTTATCCTAACTTCGGTTCCACGTACTCAAATTCCCAGCCTTCACGGTAAGGATATGTATTTACGTATCAAGGCATGTCAGTCTGGGGTTCTAGAAACCTGCCATAATGTTCATGTTTCCAACTACAGCAAGCAATATTTTGACTTCTTCCGAGTTGTTGATGTTGTTCTACCGACATAATTGAACGAGGCTGTGACATTATACATTTGTTATTCGGGTCATCTATACGAGAGCCTCACTTGTTTCCTGGTGGCTGGTTGAGAACCTTGATGAACAGGCTGACTGTATAGTGCCTTGGCTCTGCGGGAAATTTTTGTTATGGGTTGCTCAACCCCACAGTACGCGCCCGAAGCTTGTTGCTTGGCATTGTCATAACGGGCGACAGCCGCAGGATCGTCTGACCGAGGAGCTTGATCTGGGAAACCAAGGCCTCAAGTACGTCAATCACTCGCAGTTTTGTAGGGGAATATCGTGATGATTCCGAAAATTCTTTGCGTCGCCAAGAAGACCCTCCGATACCAACTCCGCACATTGGACACAAGGGTGAATAGGATGCAGATAATATGGACTTGATGGCAACCTGAGTAGCTTGTGGACGGCCACTTCTTATATATAAAGATGGACCACCTGGACAGGTGACGAGTCTCATCCAGTTGTCCGTTACTCAATCAATTGAACGTTCTATTTTTCAAGTACTAGTGGTTCACCATGAGAATTTCAATTGCAAGCTCAATCCTGACTCTGGCTCTGGTAGATGCTGCCACTGCCGGACTGCAGAAGAGGCAAGCCCCCGTTACTGTCACGGAGACTGTAACCTCCCTGGCATCATCGCCTACTGCATGGACATGGAATGCTGGAGCATCGACTACGTGGCCTATTCATGAGTCTTGCAATGCAACTGAGAGAGCCCTCCTGAAGCGTGGACTCGACGAAGCTGTGGTTCTTGCCGCCCATGCCAGAGATCACGTACTCCGCCACGGAAACAGCTCAGAGTTCTACCAAAAGTACTTTGGCAACGCATCTACGGGTGAAGTCATTGGATGGTAAGATCCATCACTAGCAGATATTCATTACATTTCTGATCATGTCCCTTCAGGTTCGAGAAGATTGTCCACGGTGACCGAGGCGTATACAAGTTCCGATGTGATAACCCAGACGGAAACTGCAACCTTCCTGGTACGCAACTAACACAACCTCCGCTTGCCTATCCGCCATTGCTGACATGGCGCTATAGAGTGGGGTGGACATTGGCGAGGAGAGAACGGAACTGAGGAGACCGTCATCTGCCCTCTCTCCTATGAGACTCGTAAGCCGCTCGAAGGCGTCTGTGGATACGGCTACACCGTAGCTGAAGGCTCCCTAAACTTCTATTTCGCCTCTGACCTGATTCACCGCCTTTTCCACATGCCCAGCGTGGGTGAGGAGGTCGTGGAGCATTATGCGGACGACTACGAGGAGTGTGTTCAGCTGGCCATCGACAATCCCGCCCAAGCTGTGAGGAACACTCATACCTTGCAATACTTTGCGCTTGATGTCTACGCTTTCGATATCGCTCTGCCAAACGATGGATGTACTGGAAAAGCTCCTGCACATGACCATTCCGAGGACTCGAGCACAACGACGATACCAAGCACTGCAACTGCAACCACAACAGCAGGTACCGTAAGTACTTCTTCTCCTCATTCCCATGCCTACCGTTAATAGTATCCTACAGGAGTGCCACACTCATTCGGATGGTACTGAGCACTGTTCGTAAGCGCTCAAATGTATCTCTGAAGGCGGCGCGATAAAGTGTCATTATAGATAAAATTATAATCGGTATATAATATTATTGATTCACTGGATTGTTAATCTGGTAAAACCCGTCACGTGTTATGGTCTGTGCGTTGTCGTCTGACCTCGTGTGGGGGGTTCTTGTTTCCTTGCTGATGCATGAGCAGCCGCCCGTAGTCATGCGTTTCTTTGTGTCTGTAACCGAGAGGAGGCAGGCGATAAAAAATTGCGGTAGCAGCTCTTAAACAGCCACAAGCGCTCATTACTTCGCAAATGTGTGATCATTTTACCCCCTACTTCTTATCAGCATACTTCTCTGGCTCGCCGGTGTGATCTCTTACTTCATGACGACTTTAATGAATACCAACTCTCTTCATCTCAACGCCCTTTCTGAATGTTAACAGCCATGATTTGCAACGTGTGCAAAGATGGACTTGAGGGCATGTGGGATCCCAGTCGCAGCAAGCGACTTGCGCTAAGAAACTTGATGGACAATGAGTACGATGTCGACAGCGACAACAAGCACAATGACGATTCCATGGGCTTACATCATGCCGGTAAGTATCAACACTTTGTTCGACCACGTTCATTTAAGGTCTATATGGTGACTGAATATCTCAACGAATCGATAGGTACAAGCGACTTGGCGCGTCACGGAATCAGCGAGTACGTGTACGGTCATCACGAAGACAGAGCTTCATTTCTAGACTCGATACGAGGCGGATGTGCCATGTGCAATCGGTTCTGGCCCCTCGACGGTGGTGAAAATTCCAAGTTACGGAATCTTGGCTACTTCTCGGTGTTTTACGTGATGCTTGACCAAAAGCGGACCGTTGACGAGCTGACGATGTTTGTTGAAGTGGGAGATACTTCAGGAGGATTTGAGTTTGTTCCACTTGACGGTAAGACACTCATTACTCATAACCCGTGCCTGACTACATATGTAGGTAACTAGAGGTATCAACACAGTTGTTACTGTTAGAAGGGTTGGCAGAGACTAACAGTGTAACGAATAACATTAGGCCCGAATAATGATAACATGAACTTCGATTTCGGACCGTCAAACCATGATTCCAAGGCATGGTCTATAATAGAGACCTGGATGAGTACGTGTTTAAATTCTCATCCTCGATGCAAGCTACCAGAGAGGCCAATTTCCTACCGCCCGACTCGTTTGCTCAAGCTAGACAATGCACACACATTCCGCCTTGTACTAGGGGCCGAGTGTCCTTCAACCCTTCAATATGTAGCTTTGAGCCATCGCTGGGGTACTACGGATATTAAACGTCTGTTACAACTACTACAGTCGACTGTCGAACACTTGAGCCGGGAACAACCAGTCGGAAACCTTCCAAAGACTTTCAGGGAAGCTGTCGATATTGCTCAACACTTTGGCGTCGATTACATTTGGATTGATCGACTCTGTATCTTCCAAGACTCCCCCGAGGATTGGCAGAGGGAAGCATCAACAATGCAGGACGTGTATCGGAACGCACTGTTCAGCATTTCTGCGCTTGGGGCCAAGGACGACGAAGACGGGTGTTTTTTTGAGCGAGATCCGAAAAAGGCGGCGCCCACGATTCTCCGCTTGAAACTAACAGAAGACGATGAGGAAAAGGCGTTCCGATTCGGTCTTGAAAAGGGCTGGTCGTGGCGCCTATCTTTTGAGAATGAGCCTCTGGTGCAAAGATCCTGGGTTGTACAAGAACGACTTCTCGCTCCTCGGACCCTGCATTTCGGGTCCAAGCAGCTCTTTTGGGAGTGCCGTGAAGCAAGCTGCTGTGAGATGCACCCACAAGGTGTCTATTGTTTCCAATACGAGGATGATATCGAAGATGACAGGACACAAAAGGCGGATCGGAACCCTGATCATCCCTTCCTTTGGAAGCAGTTGCTAGATGCACCAGATCGGATGCATGCCGGCGACCAATATGAACAGCTCTTCACCGATTGGAATTCGATTACCAATTACTACGCCAGTCGTCAACTGACTGTAGCTAACGACAAGTTGGTTGCTTTGTCCGGATTGGCCAATAATATGAAGGCGAGACTTCAGCAACTAAGACCAGGTCCGCATCGGTATCTCGCTGGCCTTTGGGAGGAGAAATTAATGAATACAATCGTGTGGAATGTCGTCGCCCCAGCCAGAAGAGCATTGCAGTATAGGGCACCATCGTGGTCTTGGGCGTGCCTCGATGGTCATCTTAACATCAGTGGAGGATGCAAAGATAAGGAAACGATTTCCTTCACATCCAAGGTCTCTGTGGACATGACGTACCTTGGCAAGGAGGACACTGGAGAGGTTGAGGGTGGCGTACTGACATTGGCAGGCCCATGCGCTTCGGTCATGATTGAAAACGAGTCTGGGAGGCACCGTATGTTTAAGAACGAGAGAAATGTTCGACGTATCCAAAGCGATAGAAGTAACCTTTACGAGAAAGATGAGGCCAAGGTCAGAATTATATTTGATACCTTGGAAGATCTTACTGAAAAGGCTCTTCTAATATGGGTATGTACTCATCATTTACATTACGAGAAGTGGTATGGCCATGGATTAATACTCGCCCACGTGGAGGAGGACAAGTATCGCAGGCTGGGAATGGCAAGTCGCTACTTTGACAACAAGGACGATGCACGAGTATTTAGTGCCGGATTCTCCCAAAAGCAGGTCAGCATCATTTGAGTTGAGCATACGATTCGGAAATTGCAATTATTAGTTTTACATACCTGCCTAGGAAGGTACCCTACGTAACATATCTAAGTATGCAATACTGATGATAATTTGTTTACAAGTAGTAAACGGGAGAGATATCGCGACGTTCATTTTGCCGCTGTCGTTTAGTTAATCCAAACTGTTTTCTGGTTGCCACGCGGCCGCCATTCTTGAAGTCTCCATTTCCATCAGAACCGCCGGCTCTGGCAGAAGTACAACTCCACTAGCCATGCTGCCCGTTAAGGACGCTTCCTCCTAGAAAACCATTGCTGGTTCATATCCGCTCGTTGCATTGATACCACGTACCAGAAGGCTGTTTTGTAGATGGCTTACTAAAGAGTAAATTGGATCGATAGCCCTAACGCCGGAGTTCTAGACCGAACATTACGAACTCGTTGAGGAGATTGAAGCTTAGAGCATACGGCCCCTTTCACTACAGGAGAACACAGGTTCGACCTTCGGAGTCAGAAACCCTCGTTTATCTCCCTGGGTAGTGAACCAATGCATTGTCGCAACTCAGTGCATTCGTGATGCCCTTCGTTTTAGTCTCCTCAAAAAACGGAAGACGTGCCATGTTGGCGGGAGGAGATGTATTCATTCAGGACAATGTCCGTCTCCTCCTACAATTGAGCGTGGACCTTCAGAATTCACCTTGTGAATCCCACACCATGTGGCCACATATCGTGGTCGTTTCTTGGGCTGTCACCATGCAACAGCGCTTTACCTTACAAACTGGGTTTAAATCATCGAAATACAAAATGCGACACATGCCTCAAACATTGAAAGTTCTAGAGACACTCTGGTCCAGCGAAGACCCAAGAACATTCGGGCCATACCCATCGATATTAACAATTGGTCCATACGTCACTGCTATTCTGGGTGGCTGCACAAAGTTGTCATACAATGACCCACCTAGGAAAAATGTTCTGCTTGCTCGATATCAGTGCTTTTGGCCACATTCTCCCACTCATCACAGATCTTGATCGTGTTCTCGCACTTAGCCTTTACCCTCGCCCATCCGTCACTTCCGAGGGGTATGCGCAGGGGTACCTGTTTTCCCGCTGCAACACCGGTACCCCTCACCAGATCTATCATGATCTCAACTGCTTTGTCTGCGTTGCCAGGTTCGTTGCCAACTATCCCAGCTTCAACCTTGCGCACGGCCGCATTGAACTCGGAATAACATTCCACGCGTGGGGGGACGTGGTTGATATTTCCAAAGGCTCGTGTACGGAAATATCCGGGCTCGATTATCAATACCTTGACACCTGGCGCAAATATTGCCAACTCTTGAGCCAGACATTCAACGGCACCTGAGAAACCACGCCGTTAACGCTCACATCCTCCAGGCTAATGACACACCGGAATCATGCAGAAAGACTTGCCCTCTAAAGCAAACTTGCTTGCACAGTAACCAGCCGCCCCAGGATCGGCATGCCAGCCTGCTTGTGAGCTCATGTAAAGGAGTGTACCTTTTCCTTTGGCGCGGATCCTGGGAAGCAAAGCCCGTGTGATATTGAGAGGGCCATGGAAATTGGTCCTGAAGATGTCTTCCATGTCTTGTTGGCTGGTGTATTTGTGTAAGTTTGTGTGCTCGTTACAGAACCCATGTTCTCGTAACATCTGACACGGAAGTGATGCTTACGTGAGTTCCTCAATCGCGCCGCTCAAGATGTAGCCAGCGTTATTGACTACCACATCAATACCACCAGGATGCAAGCCCCATGCTTCGGTCATTTTAGTGTCGATTACATCTGAAGGTGCAGAAACATCAAGGTCCATGATGCTTGCACCATGACCCTTGAGATGACCAAGGCGCGTTTCTGCATTGCGTCCGGTAGCAATAACATTATCTCCCGAAGCACGAAGTTGCTTGACGAACAATTCACCAAAGCCACTCGAGCAACCGGTGATCAGCCAGGTCCGAGTTGAAGGCGCCATGGATAGGATCTTGGAACAATTTAGATAGACACCGGTAACTATGGACTTCGAGGGTCGTGAGACTCGAGGGAATGCGGTGTACGATGCGTGGAGAAGTCATATGAATCCACGGCAGGCTCCAGGGTACGAGAGCGGGAGGGGATAGAAAATCGCTCCGAGCGTCTAAGCCATGACCAAGCGGTTGGCGCGAGAACTCGCGCGTCGTTGGCGGCACGCACCATGTCGGCCCGCACGCACCCGTTTTTCTAGTCTATGGATTCTGTAAGTGAATGTAGGGATGACTGAAGTATCCGGGCCAGTTTTGAGGTAACCCGCCGTGGCGTCCTAGCACTTCAGCATCTTAGCACTTCCTCTTGCTCTCGCAAACAGGCCGTGCGCTGATAAATTGACAAATGATTGCATACGATAGCTTACCACCTGTTTCCTGCATATGACCCATGAGGATCAGCCCGTTATATACTTGAAAAGATTACGACTCATTAGACAACTTCGTTCAGCTATGTCTACAGCTTACTGCATGCATAGGTCTGCGAATCCGGCAGCACATCTGTAGGAGCCATGGCTATGATTCTGAATGCACGAGCTCTCCGTGTGACGTGGCAGGATGATACCCTTCCCGGCAATTAACAGCAAGGCAGTCAGGCGACTGCCTCTTCAATATACTTTGGTCTTGTGTCTGCCAGGCTCACCGCATCATACGATTTCCAATTACGCCCTGGCGGCATGTCGGCTAACAGATCGACCGCCTATCTTTATGCAGTTGGCTCACTCATTTTTGCAAACAGACCAGAACTCCGAGTACATCCCAGCATCCTATTTAGTTGCCACCTGCTACAGGCCTGGTCTGGGCCAACTGCATTAGCGCTGTAAGCAAATATTGCAGCGGGGAATCCCTGACAGGCATGCCAACTTCCCATCCACGGCCGCCCCATGCCCCGCAAGGCCATTAAGGGTCAGCCACAAGAAATTGAGCGCTGTCAGCTGCATGTTAAGTGTAGTTGCACGAATGAGATACCGGATGTCACGTCCAACGCTTTGATAGCTGCACGCATGACTTTGGTAGACGAGGAAGATCTGTGGCACAAACACACTTCTTCCTCGAAAACATGATTTGATATTTTTGCCACGATGCAACAAGAGCAGAACTCGCTTCTAAATCACAAGATGGCTAGCAGCCCTAATAGTGGTCAATGCTTCCTAGGACAGTTGTCAGGCGTAGGATCACGAAGGCGCAAGACGAAATGCGCTCATATCTTGCCTAATTCTCACAGTATGCCGATTTTGTCCGTTTTACCTCTGTTTCCCCTTGCACTTGACCTCTAATCAGGTTAGTTAGATCTATATGTGAACCGTTATTGATACCACCGCTACTCTCACAATGGCCCACTCTAGATGTCGCTTGAGAACCCCTTGCAGTATAGTCCCGGTGCCATGCTCCTATTGAGTGATTCTGTGAAGCAGTAAGTGGAGCTAGAGCAGGGATGAGTGCAAGAAGTGGAAGTGGAAGCATCTCCAACATCTGACTGGCTTTCCCACATCAACGTCGGAATATTGATTGAGGGTGAGAATGCACGACAACTGAACCAACGACACCACAAAGCCTGAGACTATGAAACACAGTTCTTTGACCCTAAACTCCCATGCCGCAGGACTCATCCACCAAAAAGGCTAAGATGTTCTGCCAGGACCTGGGTTCCGAAAGCATCTCTAGTCGCCCGTTAGGCAACCTGGAACTTTTTTTCAAGACGCTTTCAGAGGCTGGCCGGCCTCTGAATCGAGATCACTGGACTATACATGCTGCACTGAAGCTCAGATTCGAGTCTTCTCTTGTCGACCCGATTCCATTCTTACGTAGATCATGGGAAATTCTACGATATCAATACCCTGCACTAGGGGCGACGATAACTCATGACAAGCGTGAGTCAACACACGGGCGCCCGCACTTGAAAGCAGAAACGTCGAACGCACACACCTGGATCAACGATACATTTATCGTGTCTCATGATTGCGATAGCGCTTCCAGTCTGTTCTCGACTCTCCTTTCCACAGCAACGGCCACGTGTTACTGGATCCCTAGATCATCAGAATTTGTCATTCGCTCATCCCATTGGCGCATCGATGGAGTAGGAATGGCTTTTCTCTGCCACGACTTTATGAAAGCCCTAGGTTGGGTCATCCGGCAAGGGCTTGAAACTCCCGTAGAAGATTGTGCCGCATTGTTCAACAAGCCGCCCAGCATTGCACCGAACCTCGAACTCCTGGCGCATGCCCAATCCCAGCTAGCACCGGTTGCCGTCGACACTGAAAGCCCGGTTCTAGCGGCTGGTGCTGACGCGCTGGTGGCCGAATTTCTTCGTGGTATACCAAGCATTGGTCTGCCGACCATAGCTGACTCCTCTGGAGCGATTCCCGGTGCCAGCAGTCGTGTTGGTACTCGTCTCAGCAGAGAGTTGACGACAAGGTTTACCGCAGCATGCCGAGGCAAATCCATCAAGGTATCTAGTGCTGTGCATGCAGCAATAGTCTGTGTTACGGCAGGCTTTCCGCAAGACCCACGTTGCAAATCATATGCGGCTTTCGCTCCTGTTGACCTTCGGCGGTCGCTCGAGACTACTGCGACGACCGAAACAAGTGACATTCCCAAGGTTGTCGGATTGTACTTTTCTGGCCTGCCCGTTCCCGTCGACGAAGTGGCCGGCAAAGACTTTGACACGATTTCTCGAGGTCTGGACTCCACGTACTCGCGCGATCTGCTCGAGTTCTGGGGTCCTGCCGATGGCCAAGGCCGTAAGGTTAGTCTCCTAGATCTGGCTGAACCCTACGTACGGCGTACAACCGCGCTTTTCAACGCCCCGATATCAAATGATCTGCCACCTGTTCAAACGCCGGATCTGAGTAGTCTTGGGAAACTCGAATCGTTTCTGCAGACCAACTACGAGAACATTGCGGGCGAAAACCTTGAGGTGGCTAACTTCTGGATTGGAACAGAGATGCTAAACAGATGTGTGCAGTTTCACACGTGGAGTTGGAAAGGCGAATTCAATCTGGGAGCCAGTTTCAATCAAAGTTTCTACGAGAAGCAATTTGTGGTTGACGTCTTGGAAAAGGTTGTGTACGAATTACTGAAGGGATGTGGCATTGAGTAAAAGCAGCGATGGCTGTGAAGCTGTTGACTCGAAAGTGTTAACTCGGTACTTTCTATAGCAAGCAGCGACGTAGTACATTGAGTCTCAAGTTTTCCCACACCCGGGATGAGGATATATCACTTCTTCTCATGCTCACATTTGAGGTATTTTGGCACTGTAATCGGTAGAAGCCCGACATGCAGTCTTTATCCTGTGACGCTTCGTGCTCGGCGAATCCTGCTCGCGCCTGGTCCCACCCGGTAGCTCGCGATCTAAGTTACCTCATGCAGCCCTGCGGTCCATGTAGTGGGACGATGTCTTGGCAGCAGGCTGATGTTAGTTTGCTCCGTCATGCTCCGTGCAACCTGACTGTGGTAGATATTGCAGCCTGGCGAGGGTGGAGAACGTCCAACGGACGAACCATCAGGACCGGTGGTGTCGCTTCAGCTACTCAGATAGATTTTCTGTCCAACTGCAATGGAAATAACTCGGCATTACTCGTGCTGCCTGCGGGAGCTGCAGGAGGCGCAGCCAACTTTGTGCAAGTCGAATCACTCGATACGACCAAGAACTGATGCACTACGCCCCAGACGGGCATTCTTAGCAATTCATTATAGCTTTAACCAGATCCTGAGAGGTATATTGCAATAAGCCCTAGGGAGGCAATGTCAAGCGCTCGTCGTGATGCACCAGTACTTCACTGTATCGCTGCCGTGCATGTTTCCACCGTAGGGCCAATCCACAGCAACGCTGTGCCACCCCCTCAATTCCCACAGCCGCGTCCAACAGCCAAGGATATGGAGGATCAAAAGTGCCAACCCAATGGTTACACTGCCTCTGGATAAACCACCAACCTTCACCTGTACCCCGTTTGGAATTGAAACGTGGGCATATTCAATACCGACCCATGTATACCACAGAACCAACCCCTGATTAAGAACCTCATGTTCCCGTCCAATCACCTTCACTACTGTCGTGCAATAAGCCTTGGGCCCTGTAACTGGCCGTCTTTTTCCGGCTCTTAACTACGGCGTTTGGTTCTTGGCAATATTGTTTTTTTTTTCTGCAACTTCATCCATGTCCCGCTAACTAGTTTCAGGCCCTCGCTATTGTTTGAGCAACGCGACCACCCAGAAAGAAAAGAAGAAGAAAAAGAGAGACATGGAAAGATCAATAGTTGCAATAGTTCATTAAAATCAGTGGGTGGCTATGAAATCACGTCGGCCAGTAGGCCACCCTACCATTGACTCATTATGGGATACGGCGCGGCACTCTTGGATGTCTGTCTCTTCATATTGACAATGGGCACAATATGAACACTCATAGTAGCAAAATGAGAGAGTCACGATGCCCGAGTTGGACTCTAGCATTCAACTTTCGAACTACGTCGTGTTCAGTCCACAACCGTTGGCGTTGTCCATGTTCAACAGTGCTGGGCTTTCGGGACTTTCTAGCTCGTTGGATCAGGTCGCTACAACTGACGTGCGATGAACTTACACGGGATTCTTGTACGGCTAGTGATTGAACACAAAGAAATCAAGCTGAGCCTATAGCATACGGGTCGGGCGGAAGGAGGGCAGGAAAGGAGTAGGTCTAGATATACAGTCTGTTTAGGGGTTTATGACCCCCAATTCCACCCTATACTCTGCTGATTCGTCGTCGTCCTCATCATCTGTAACCCACGTCTCCACCACATTGATGTGGTTAAAGGCCAGGTTGTGCTTTTGGCGGCGTACTCGGCCATGCCGCTTCGTGACCCGTTTTGGTAGCCTGGCAGTGTCTGGCGTTTCGACATTGACGATGTGGTCATACCGCGTGCCTCGAATATGGACCGAAAACCCACACCTCGAATACCTTCAGCTCCTGTTCGAAGCTCCGACTCAGATCAACATGCAGCCTGGCCTCTATGTGCTCTATTTAGAGCCAGCTCTTCAGGTGCTGCCCCATTATGTGGCGCGACGACGCAAAGTTAAGGTCCCGCATCGGGAGATCTACCGAGCAGAAGTTGTAAATTTACACCAAAATCGCCGAGCAGAAACTTCTGCTCGGCCGTTTTGGTGTGAAACCGCAACTTCTGCTCGGTGAACCAAATTCTTCAGCATGGGCCAGTGCCATTGCCTCTCTAGCAGACCCCTAGTTATGATCATAGTTCGTCACCACGTGGGTTCGACGCCGGTCATATGCAAGACCCAGGACGGCTCGTGGCTTCAAGATGACAACAACTGCCAGAAGCCATCCAGAAAGGTGGCGGTGCCATCTGTGCGTGCGGAAGCGGCGGCAACGGTTCCTCCGAGGCGAAATCACTGTCGAGTCGTATACAGGCAGCGTCGCATTCCGGAGCTTCTTATTGCAGGTCTGGAAGGAGGTGCTCTGCTTCCCGCGTGGCAAGACCCCTTCCATCCTAGATGATGGACTGATCGGTGCCCAGAAGAGTCTTGAGGACGGGCTTTAGAAAAATGTATGTTGATAGCCACGTCGTTAATCACGGCATTCTCGGTGGCGCTCGTGCGTTGGCGGAAGCCTTGGCCATCTTGACAGACGGCCAAGGTACCACTGGCCTTTCTCACCATGACCGATGGAATTGGCAATGCTCTTGCCCATGAGCTTGGTGGCAATGAATTCAGCACGATGCTTCACGGTCGGAACGCAAAGAAGTTGTCCCACGTAGCGCCAGACATCCAAGTGGCCCTCTCCGACGATCGTTGAGTTGAAGATGCAACCAGTGTTACGTGGCAGTGTGCCAGACTTTGAAGTTCTAAGTGACAGGCGATTGATATCAACATCGCTATGATTGTGAACCTTGTAGGAGACGGTGCTGTTGATCCATCTTTTCCTGCCAGTGAGTGAATGATTAGACGCTCGCATGACAGCCAACATCCGTCTCAAGCCGTGTTAACAGCACGTTCACATTACGTCTCGCGCGCGTGCTCCTGAAGAGTCTGCTGCAATACCTACCTATACTAGTGATCAACATGAACTCTATGGCGGATCAAGAATTTCCACTCAGCACCTCATACAGCCCGTCAGGATTTCCTCATGTCAGCCCCCCGTGGCCTGTGCCTCGAGGCGGATGTGGAGTCCCTGGCGATGGAGGTACTAGGGATGCAGGTTGGCAAATTCAGAGGCAGTAGATGTAGAGATCTGCCCCTTTTCCAATAGACGTGGCTCGCTACGTCTACTGGCCTCGCAAGGGCAGACCCCTATGCCAGAGGTATCTTGGACGACTATGCATATTCCGAATCAGTGTATGGGACATGTCCTATGTTACTTTCAAGTAGCCGAGCAGAAGTTGCCCTTGCGCACTCATTTTACCGAGCAGATGTTTCTGCTCGGGTTTTTTGCCTGCAACTTATAAGATCTGCTCGGTCATTTAAATTGGATATGGTTAACTTAATAAAAGCAGAAGGGCGATAAAACTGTCTGCATTCTAGTTAGAATTAAATGTAAATTCAATAATTCGCATCGGTGGTTTATGTTAATCTTGAGCAGCCGAGCAGAAGTTGGACTTGCACACTTATTTTACCGAGCAGAAATTTCTGCTCGGGTGTTTTACCTGTAAATTACAAGATTTGCTCGGTCATTTAAATTGTACATAATTAAATCCGTAAAGACAGAAGGACGATCAGACTGCTGGCATTCTCATCAAAATTAAATGTAAATTCAAGAATTAGCATCGTTGGTTCTCTGGCATAGCTGGTGTCTGTTAATAGATTACCTCCACATACTCGTACGTACTCTTGGATGCACAGTGTCAGTCCTACTTAGTCCACCCTCGTCACTGTCTCCAATTGCTTGACGTATGCACTTTCCGAGCCAGAATGGTTGGCCAGCGCCTTCGCGCTCGAAACTGAATAATATCAAGGACACGCGTCGAGGGGCCAATATAACAACAACTCGGTTCTGACTGGGTCACTAGTAATAATGTATTTCAATAGCTGCAAGACGGTGGGACTGTGCCCTCATCCTGCTTTACTTGTCTGTCCTGAAACAGTCTTCCGTCACTGATGCGATCCTTATGGGGTGCGATGTGTGATGTATTAAAGATGGAGAATGCAACTATCCGTGGCACCTACCAAGGTGGGTTACCACACAACTAGCTTATCTCCTTATCTATAAACCAGCTGATTTTCTATAGACAGCTGGCAGAGCTATCTATGTGTATACCCCCTTACCAAAACGTATCAGTCACCATGGCAAATATATTTTCGGACGCGTACAGGTTGATGCTCCACTTTACTTTTTCGAACCCTTGCCGAGGCCTGACTTCTACCTGAACATCTACGTCCGGCTCCATGACCGCAGGAGCAACGTTGGTGTTGGCAGTGCTTGGCAGCTCCCACTCGCTCTCAACAGGCTTCATGTCCAATCTTGCGATGAATACAGATAGCCTGCTCCTCAAGACTTGCACCACAAACCGAAGAGGCAAACTTGGCGTCGATCAGCGGGAATTCAAGGCTCCTGTGCTGCTTCTGCACCGTCTGGATAAGATCTGGTTTCGTGACCACATTCTTCTGGCCCGGAATGGACAGGGTAAAGATAGGTAAGTCTCTTTGTTGACTAGCTTAGAGGTTGAGTACAATTTCTCACGGGCAAGAGAGGACTGGTGTGGCACATAACTGAGCTCCACATAGTAATTGAACTTTCTCTGCCATAGTCCAACCACGTGGCCGATGAAGGGGATGGACTGAGAAGCCGGCGGTGGCTCACGAGGGTCATGGCCAAACATCCTGTGAGCAGCGAAGTATAATACGGCTAAGGCACCAACAGCACTGAAAAGGACAGCCAAATTGCTGATTAGGAAACACATGTTGGTCTTGGGAATGGGTGGATTAGGCTGGGTGAGTGTCGGTAATGAGAGCGGTGGACTCGGAGGACTCAGAAGCAAAATTCAGCGATTCGCAGTAGATCGCGCGTTCGTTCTCATCCACAGCGACATGCTGATGGACCATGTGGGTGGTGTCGAAGAGAACCACCCATCGCAGCATCAGGGCTTCATTGAGGCCGGATTGAAAAGGCGGCGTTGGAGTTGGATGTTGGTTCTCCAGTACATATGCACGCTCCTGGTCAGGGTCCTACTAAATGTTTCTCTGCCCCACACTTGAGGTACATCGCATCAGCTCAACCACTCAGTAACTGCCGGACCAACTGCCTGTAGTGAATACCAACAGAAATAGACTTCTCAAACAACTCTCATACGGCTCGCGAAACATTCCATGATGATACTACGCCGTCACTGCCACTGCTATGGACACTTGAACATTCCTATCACTTTCCTTGCACACAGGCATCAGGCTTCTTTAGACATGGTGGACTCCTGCCAGCTGTTTGCGGCACTGTCGCCACTTATCTAGACCGCGTCGCAAGACCTTTGGAGGCGACTCGGAGTGCCCTTAGCTTGGGATATATTCGCAAACTGGGTGCTTCATTTGCGACACCGGAAGCTGCTAACAGTAGCAGTGTATTGACCGGAGCTGCTTGAGAAGTTTCCGCAGCTATAAATGCTTCGAAAGTGGCCGAGTAGAAGTTGCGGTTTTGCACCAAATCTGCCGAGCAGAAACTTCTGCTCGGCACTTTGTATGTAAATGCACAACTTCTGCTCGGTAGAGTAAATTGGTAATTTCAACAGAGAGGCGGCCTGTTTTGAGCAATCCTTTAGGGCACTGGACTTGAAGCGATTCAAACAAATCAATATAGTCATTCATCGCAGCTCTGCATCGCCAACGGGGCTGACAAATAAAAGTTAGACCATGTAAGCTGGCGGGATCTCATTCTACCATATAGCGACTCAGCTTGGTGCTGTCCGACCACTCTACTAGTTCAGCTGGCGTGCTTATTAATGCACCACGATTCCTTCCGACTAGCCTCTAGTCCGGTGCCGACAGTCCGGCGGATCGGCGACCTTCTTTGGACTACATTAGTAGCGACCCAGATTGCGGTGACAAGATTTCGATTCACATAGACAGCAATTCGTTTCGCGATATCGTCATGGCTGCGCAGAATAGAAAGCCTGTCTTGATAGCAGGAGCCGGCCTGGCGTCCCTTCTTTTAGCGCGTTCTCTGCTGCGCTCCTCTATCCCGTTCCTGGTCTTTGAGCGTGACCAGTCTATTCTCTTTCGTGCGCAAGGCTACAGATTGCGCCTGTCGTCAGAAGGTCTTGATGCCATCGAGTCAGTGCTGGGCCCAGAGGGGTTCCCAAGGTTCTGGGACAAGTGCGGCAAAACGGGAGGCGCCAAGGGGTTCGCTGCCGTTGATGCGCTGACTGGCCAGGAGGTGGACGAGAGCACCAAGAAACCTAGCGAGGACGCACCGAAGGGACCCGGCCGCGAAATTCTTTCTTCAAGAGATGGCAAGACCGTCGGCATCTCCAGAGGCGACATGCGCGCCTTGTTCCTGGAAGGGTGCGAGCCCTATGTGAGATGGGGGCACCATGTCGCCGGCTACGAATTGACATCGGACGGCGTCAGGGCAATCTTCAAGGACGGAACCAAGTCCGTCGAGGGATATATGCTGGTTGGCGGTGAAGGCATCTACTCCAAGGTTGCCAAGCAGGTCTCCAACGGTAAAATCAAGACCTATGACACTGGGGCTCGAGGAATCCACGGCCAAGCCCCGACCGCCGCTTTCAAGGAGCTCGGAGAAGGTGTGTGGAGGTTAGTTGATAACTCCAAACCCCAGGGCAGAGTGTTTACCATCACGAATGTTCGCCCCGGAGACATGGACGACCCCGATGTGAGTTGTGATGTGACTGTCGTTGGGCCACATTCAATTTGCTGACTGATGAAGGTGCAATTTGGATGGACCATGGGAGGACAGCCTGGCGTCATCCAACCGCCCAATGATGACTTTGCTATTATCGGCAAGCCAGCAGCTGACATGGCAAAGGCATTGACCGCGCACTGGCATCCTCGCGTGAAGCCCTTGTTCGATCAGATGAACGAGTCCGAGGCGGCCTTCTGGAAGATCACCTGCTCGACTCCGTCAGGGGTGCCGGAGTGGCCCAACGATCCCCGGGTCACTGGTACGTGTGGGAAATGAGTCAGAGATGATATGGCTGACTTTCTCACGTAGTTATCGGGGACGCCGTTCATTCCATGACACCCGCGGGCGGTATCGGCGCGGTAAGTTATATGACAGAGTTGGCCATCAGCAACTAACATCGTGCACAGAACACTGCCTTTCGAGACTCTGCGCTGCTGGGAGGACTTCTGGCCGCAGAAGGTGGTTGGAAGGAGGGAGTGACAGCCGCTTATGAGAAGGAAATGAGGGTCTACGGGAGTGAAGCGGTCAAGATGAGCTACGGCATGGCTACGTCCCAGTTTGGCGTCACGATCAATGAGAACTCTTCTCCTACAGTAGGCTAGAAGGATGGGCGGCTTTAGAATTGCCATTTGCCATTACCGTCTCACCCTCACCGTCGCGTTGCAAAAAGATAAAATTATTTCAAGTCACCGAGCAGAAGTTGTAGGTTCAGAGCAAAATTGCCGAGCAGAGGTTTCTGCTCGGTACTTTAAGTGTAGAATTGCAACTTCTGCTCGGTAAGAAAAATTGATAATAAGATAGGTCACACTACATTTATTTTATAAAATTCAGTATTTAGTTTCGTACATCTATTATAAAAATAAATCACCTGTTAATATACCGAGCAGAAGTTGTAGTTCTACGGCAAAACTCCCGAGCAGAAGTTTCTGCTCGGGACTTTTAGTGTAGAATTGCAACTTCTGCTCGGCACCTTTAAATGGCTATAAATTTAAAGAATGTTTCCATCTCGAGGCGTACATTAGCGGACTTGTATAGCCATTTAAGCGGGGTATCATTAGAGTCAACGTTTTCTTTCCTGAGTGACTGGTAGTGGAAATAAGTCGGGCCGACATTATACACAGCTCGTAGTGCCAGGTGGGTTTAGCAACATATCGGGATGTGCATCCACAGCTGCTTCCGGATGTTGTGGCAGTCGATATCTACGTTGGGACCAGGCTGGTCAAGACATCAGCACGTCGTACTTGTGATGCCTATCGAAGCTTCGACTATCGCAGGGCTGGGGTACCAGATCGTCTGCAGGTGGGTATGATCCGTCTCCCAGCTGACCACAGCATTCACCTTGAAGGGGATGGGGCTTGAATAGCTGGCCGGGACAGTGTCGACGCTGAGTTAACACGCGCTAGGTATCTCCGGTGGGACAACACTGACTGGTTGAGTCTGGAGCCGGTGGCCTCTCGCTTAGCATTCCAACGCTAGACATGTGGAACTTCTTAGGGGTAGAATGATAAGTCATACGCGCTTTCATCTCCGTGTTATAACATTCCGGTTTGTCTATCCCCACTGAGTTATAAAACAACATGGCTTCCTACACGGGCCTATCACTTGGGACGCCGCGTCGGAATACATTCGGAGAACAAACGTCAAATATGTATGCGGGGGGCCGGTCTTCCACGATGCGACATCCAGTTGCATTGCTTCTTAGTCCTATTGTCAGTTCCCAGCACCGCTATTGCCAGCAGGGACTTACAAGCGCATAGAATCAACATCAAAGTGGCAACACTTCAATAGATGTGCTGTCAATCCTCAGACGGCATCTTCATAGGTTACAGCAAGGCCATGGCTCTGTTGCTTGTTTTGCAAGCACAAGCTGCTGCACAGTGGACATGGGGTATCCAAAAGATCAGCGATTTCGGCTCCCAAGCTGGCGTACAAGCAGTAGTCTTCAACCACACTGAGATCCAGTCAGAATGAACAGAGACGATGTTCAAGGTGGGCACCCAGTATCTTCGTTTGGTATAAACATGGAATGCACCCAGCGGAGCTTACAAGAACGGATGTTTACATAGCCAATTCATGTCAAGCAATTCCCACGGTCTTCCCAGTACTTCTGCACCGCCAAGTGCTGCAGTTCTAGACATATGAGCTGATATTACACTGAACTCAGGCAGATGGCTTGACTCACGGAACTATGAGTTCCTATGTGTCCTTGCGGCTCTCTGCTCACGCCACAACTTGACATTTGAGATGGGTGCTACCGCTTACTAAGTCTGCGATACACCCAAAGCGGCCAGTCCAAGACAGGCTTGGAGTTGTTCAGTCCAGGCAAGAAGTTCCGGCGCAAGATGTCCAAGATGATTAGTACTATCTGAACCCAACAAACGTGTCAGTGGCCGGCGACGAGGTTCTGCGACGAGATTCCTTACCATAGTCACGAAGGATGCGCTTATATAAAGACCTCTCGGGTGTGTCGGACCTTGTGATGACACATTATAGGCCGCCGTGAAAGTGTCGTGGTGCAGCTGCGAGGCGTTCTGGCTCACTTAGACACTGTGCGTGTATTGTAGTTACCGCTGCAAACTGGGAACATTTATTACCACGACCAGGCTCTCGAGTTACGTCGCCGCAAGCAGAGATCACTAGGTTCCTCGTGAGTAGCAGAGTGTATGGACATCCGGCATAGCGGCAGAATATTGCTCACAATTAAAGAACATACCAAAGAAGGAGTTATTTACAGGTTAATTCACCGAGCAGAAGTTGTATATATACACCAAAGCCCCCGAGCACAAACATCTGCCCGGCTATTCTTATATAGGATAATGACTTCTGCTCGGTACGTCTTAAATCGTAAATCTTTATACTATTATTAATACATGCTTTAATTTATAACAAAATAAACTTTATAAATTAAGAAAACATATTAATTATCTTACAAAATTAACTTCCGCGTAATTAACTTTACCGAGCAGAAGTTGTAATTCCGCATGAAAACTGCCGAGCAGATATTTCTGCTCGGTAGTTTTACAGTGATATTACAACTTCTGCTCGGTATATTTCATAGGCTGCAGTCTTACCGTTATAGCGAGCCAGGGCTATGGAGACCGTCTATGTATCACTAGATAAGTGAATGAAGCAATTGGAGTGAAGCCGCTGCTTTATAAAGCCTTTGCTCCAAAGATCCTATGCGTCTTACTATAGACCCTATAATAATGGCTGACATTTACGGAGATTCAGACCGCCAGGCTTCGTCTGCTGCTACTACTGCTCCTTGCAAAATGATAGAGTCTCTGTGGAATAGATCTCAACGCGCCGCATGGTCTGAGAGCCTCAAGATGGCGGTAGGCCTTCTGGTCAACCTGCATCCACTGGCCGACGAAAGGCAACAGCTCCTCTATCGCGCGTCTATGGCTTTTCACATTACTGAGTGCGTGACTGCCGGCAGCAGCTGCCAGTGTAGACCTGCGGGTCTCGGTTGGCGGAATCCTACTGGCCCTGGAGATGCGGTCTCAGAGCCCAAAGCTGAACCGTGTTAACGTGCCTGTCACGCCGCTGCATGTCGAGGAAAATACCCGTTAACAGCGATGAAGGCCGACTTGTATGTCTGAGCCGTTGACGTGGATGCTTCATGAGAGCTGTGGGCTTTTCTTAGGGAGGAGTCGTAGACTTGAGCGGATCTTTCTGATAGGTTGAAGACTATGGGCAAGGGCAGGTCAAGCCCGTAGACAGACCTAGCTTTGCAGGGCTTTCATACGCGTACGCTTCGCATCAACAAAGAAGCCGAACAACCTGTGTCTTTGCAGGGCAGCGGGCTTCCCAGGTTGCAACCGGCTCAGGTCTCTGCACAAGTTGACCGACTTTTTAGAGTCCTGCTGGTTTTCATTTGCACAATGTTGATCTTGCAAGATACGAGTGAGGGCCAATTTTAAATCGTTGGCGAACACCGCATAATGGCGATGCGCAGACCAAAACTTTCCAGTTACGGGAGGGCTCACTCACAGCATCGCTGGTTATGAGGGAATATCGGCTTCCACCGACTTGGAACATCTGGCAGGGCAGAATCATGCTTCGTTCGCTATGCGACACCTGGCGCATATATTCCTCGTCGCCGTCGTGTCTGTGTTGACTGTACTTCATCGCCCACGAAGTAGCCAGACTGCAGACTGATGAGGTAGCTGCGCTGCGCTGCGCTGGATGGCTTGGTGAGGCTGCCATGGATAGTTGTCCTCGATTGAAACAATGAAAGACGTGGAAGCATTCCTGGCCGCACTGACACGGGCGCGGTGGTTTAGCGCACCTATCCGTACTGTAAGCAATGGTGCTTAGTATTAGCTTCACGGCCCAGTACCAGGCCTGTCTGCTGTCAGCCCTTCCTCTAGTATAGAATGGGAATCATGGAATTCTGAATATGACTTTCTAGATCTAATTTGACGAAATTCTAGCAGCCGAGTAGAAGTTGCAGTTTTACATACAAATGGCCGAGCAGATGTTTCTGCTCGGTAAAATGGGTGAGGAATCACAAGTTCTGCTCGGTACACTAAAACGAGATTCCACTCTCGCCCAGCGCGTACAATTAAGATTCCAGGTTTTAGAATCGATCTTGAATAATGCTTAAGCAAGGTGATGCTGTCGCTGTATAGAGGGATCAACCCTGTCGGCTTAATCCCTTGTAATAACCGAGTAGAAACTTCTGCTCGGTAATTTAGTACGAAACAGCAACTTCTGCTCGGCTACATAATGTACTTCCAACTTTAACAATTAAATACCGATACAGCACTATCACTAACTATAAGTGGAGGATCATCGTATCGATAGGCCATCGGATGTCGGACTTGCTTGCGCCACACCGATTTCGCCGAAACGCTATGGAAGCTCGTTGTAGTTACACAGTAGATTAAAAAGAATTAGCACTTGTGAGGAAGACATATTGCCAACCAGATCGGGAAGACTGGAGCGGTATCCCACGATTAGATAATCGCAGACAGCCGGCAACAGCAATCTTACTTCAATTTGGACACGACTGACCAGGGGATCAATGACCTACGCTGGACGTAAGAGACATCTTTCAAAGCAAGTCGAGCGTTGGGCAGCTGAGATGCACGCTCAGGGATTGGGAGACAACCACTGACATATAGCCGCTACAACCCCGCACTTCACCATGACACCACACAAGCGGAGTCCACCGCTATCTTCCAACCCGTCTACCTCGTGCTCCTAAGTGGTATCTTACCGTTGTCGGGATCATAATGTATCACCAGATGTTCCCATGGCCTATATTGCTACAGATGTATTTTCTCTTCATTGTTTATGCAAGTCTTGCACGTTGGTGCGTCAGATACCGCCCACGTGGAAACTCAAATGCGCGGATCTAGGATATCGGTACCACGATAAGATTCAAAGATGCAAGCGTAGCGTAAGCGCCACAACGGCGCACCGGTTGAACGTGGAAGACATTTGCAAGTTGTAAGGCACCATAATGTCCAATACGAGTAATTCAGTAAAAGGATATGGCCTCTTATCAGCCGAGCAGATCTTGACGATGTACGTAGAAATTGCCGAGCAGAAACTTCTGCTCGGTAGTTTTTGTGACAGAGCTATGTTTCTGCTCGGTAGCTTAAAAGACTTTTGTAGCGTGCAAACGACTTCGAATATCCATAAGACTTTGTGATTGTGCTTTTGAAAGGCTAAGAACCACGTGCGATTGTAGGTGAACGCGAGTTCTTTAAGGCTGAGTATATATTATAAAATTTCCCAGCGTGTTTCTCTCTGCGAGTATCTTTACCTAATGCCACCCAAGCGATACTATATGGGGCCACTATGTACAGGTTCTCGGTACTGATTAACCGGGACTTGCCTGGTGGCTAGCCGAGTCAGCCAATAAGTGGATACATTAGCATGTCGGGATGCGCATCTACAAATTACCAGAGCAGACAGATGATTAATCCAAAAACAATCGCTTCCTCAGCATGGAATAGTTGCCTTGGGCTTTGACGCTAAATGACGATCGCAGTAATGGCCACACAATTCCTCTCTAGACCTTGGCGATTACATATCTCGGCCGAGTTTAAATATGGAAAAGTGCGACGATCAGTCTTACACGTGCCCCGTACGTATCCGCCCGAGGCACGCGAGGACCCTGAATACCAGTGTCCTGGCACGCCCAGCCCCTGCACGTACTAGGAATAACGTCACTTCAATTGACTCGAACTCCACGAGTGACTCCCCCCTGACGATGAAATTTGTGTTATATTGGCTGATGTTTACTCTTACAGGTAAGCTTTCTGGTGGCTATGATTCTGACACTGTTAAGCAGCGTCAGGGCCTAGTGAACATTACATGCATTCTGACGTAAATCTTGAGAATGTGGTCAGAGATGTCAGTTTGTGGTAGTTCACAATGATTTGATCATTGCACGGCTGCGCTACATGTGCAGGCGGCAAGGGGACGATCCGTCTCCGAGTCTACCATACTATGGTAGTAGTACGATAACAGCATTCAAGAACCCCCGATTGCGATTTTGCAATGGCTAACATTAGCTAACGCGCAGGGGATTACTTCGACTGGCCGGAACCTTGCCGACGCTGATCACCCCACGTTAAGGATCTACAACGGGCCCAGCACTAAGGAATTGAGTTTGGAGCCGAGTGCTCTCATACACGTAGTCACTTATGTACTTTGCAGTCGCTAAAATAGACTCACTTGGCCATTCGTTCGAGCGTACAGGCGAAATTACAACTTTGTTGATCGTCCGATAGCTTCGATAGGTCCGAGAACAATGTGCAGCACTAGGTAAAACGTCGTGACATCCAGCCATGCAGAATTTGTCCAGGGGCTAGGCGGTTGAAGTTTATAAGTGGCAGCACGGAAAGCCTCAAGCACTTCCATTTGTGTTCGTCTGTTCTTGTTTCGTTGTCCAAGAATCTGTTTCCATTCACAGGACTATTACCTGTACCGTCCCTCCAAGATGCCTTTAGGCGGCAAAGGCCCCACAGTTATTGCTGTCGTTGTTTCCGAGACGATTATATCTGGTCTCTGTCTTGGAAGCCGATGTTACATTCGCGCATCCAAAACTGGCATCGGCAGTGACGACGCCGTTCTCGTCAGCAGCTGGGTGAGTGTTCCAGGGAGCCGCACTGATGAGTAGCCTACTCACAATGTACTGCAGTGCTTCATGGTAGTTTTTGCAATTTTCTACACTATCAGTTCACAGTATGGATTTGGCCAGCTAGTGGCAGATTTGGAGGCGAGCGACATCAAGATGGCAACCCTCCTAGGGATGTGCGGTCAATCCTCAGTCGCCATCGCCATGGGCCTGAGCAAGGCCGGCGTGGCTCTGTTTCTTGCCCGCATTGCCAACGTGAAGTGGTGGGTGACCCGTTTGCCGCTCGAGCCTTGTGGTTCTGTCCAAGTAACTGATGTCTATGTTACTCAATCTAGGCAAAAGCGGGTTCTTTGGGGCTGGATAATTGCTGCAATGTTTCTCAGCGTGTTTCTCGCCGTGGCCGTCTTCGCCCAGTGCTATCCGACTCAAGCCCTGTGGGATGCCAATTTCAAGATCCAGGCATGCCCTATTAATCTAACTCATCTGGCATTCGTGCTCTGTTGTGTGTAGCCCTTTTCCGGCCACCAGGTGCTGTCGCTGACCCCACTTAGCATATACCGCTGCTATGGACTTCTTTCTGGCTCTCTGCCCGTACTACGTACTCAAGGACCTCAACATGAATCGAAAGGAAAAGTGGACCATCATAGTGTCGCTGTCCCTTGGTATCATGTCAGTCTCCCTCCCGATCTTTGCAGCTGTGACACTGACTTTCTCTTGGCAGAAAAGTGCAGGAGCATTCGGCATAGCCCGAACAGCCGGCCTCGGGGTGCTGGCATCCACTTCTGAGTACCTATGTATGTGTGTATCCTCCTGCTTATCCACTTCTTGCTGAGACTATATAAAGATGCAACTGCCGACTCGGTCATGTTCACGTCCACGGAACTTTTCTTAACCTTGTTCTGTGTATCCCTCCCCGTCTTCCGACCGCTTTTCAAACGGCTTGCGAGTACACATTCCTCCGGGCGAACATATTTCAGCGACCCGACGGCCCGTTCCCGGGCAGGCAACTTCAGTCAAGTCAAGGGAGCAAATCGGTTGCGATCTAAGAATGATGAAGTATATCCAATGGAGAATGTAGGAGGTCGAGTAACGAGGGCCGAAACTTCAGAGGACGAGGGTTTTAGGTCATCGTGGAGAGACAACGGGAGTGACAAGAGCATTCTGGCCGACGAAGCCGGGATCGTCCGCAAGCAGGAGTATACGGTCACATATGAGTAGGCAATGAGTGATCCAATAAGGGGGAACTTAATGCGTGGGCCTATGTGTCTACATGACGGAGAGGGTATAGATAAACGCATCACAGCTGGGTGTCAACTGTGGATGGAACTTGACTTGGTTGTCATTGTCAGTCGTTGTATTGAGTATACAGGCGTCTTATTGATTCGCGTACTTCTCATATCCCCGATTCTCTTAACCAACCGTGGTATTGGTCGGTTCCGGGTCCTTCCAAAAGATGTTTCCACCCCTCACATTGGCTAGAGGATTTCCCTCACCGCTAGTTGCGCACCCAGACTGAACATTGAACCCGGCCTTCTGGTAGAACCCATCTTTGCCCCAAGCGCTCACCACTGAAGCACATACGCGTTCTTCCTGCGCACGGTCCAGGCCCCATTGCACAAGCTTTCGACCGATACCACGCCCCTGATGATCGGGATGCACAGCCAAGAGTTCTAGATACCATGACTCTGCCCTGTCACCAGTCCAGGCCTTTTCGAAGTAAGGATAGGACCGCTCTATGGCATCCTCTTGAGCCGGGTCGCAAGCGCGGTTCGGCCACGACCACGCATGCAGAAACATGGCCAGACGCGACAGCGGCTTCAGCAGGTTGCCTATACCAACACTCCTGTCAGCTGTGTCTAAGTCGGCAGGCAAGTCAACTCACGCGGGTCCAGCCAGTGGCACTCCATTCTCCTCCCACCGGGCCCCAGACGTTCCCACTGGGCCACACCGACGATGGTGTCAGTTCCTTTCTCATCTTTGTCCACGGCCACCAACCACTTCCGCCGATAGTCCCAAAAGTTCACACGGGCCCGCCGTATCCAGTACAGGTCTGCATCGCCGGGATACTTCTCCCGATGAGGGTGAATGAGGATTGCGAATAAGTCATCATCCCAGAAGGCCAGAGTCGACATTCGCGCAATGGCGGGAATCTCGCTGTAATACGCGTCGCGAAGCAGGATGCCCTGCATTCTCTAGCGTAGCGGTTGCAGCGTCTACGGTGGGGTTCAATCTTTCAGTTGAGGCTTGGACGGCAAAATGATTGACCACGGGAGGCCAAGAATTGAGATCTCAACGATGCATAAGACGCGGCAATGGACAGTTCAAGTACGACAACAGGAGAAGCCATCAAATAATGATCAAGTGGTGATGTCAATGGCAGAAGAGATCGGTTGCGGCAAAAAGGGTCCCGCATTCAAGGGGGCCAGCCATACTAACAGTCCGATTGGACTCACGCGGGGAGATGCAAGCTGACAGCGGGTCGCTCAGCACGATGTAACCCAATAGCCTGACCAGGAGGCACAATCCGTCTAAAAAGCCGCACAGTACACAGTAAAGGGAATTTTACAGGTATTTTAAGAGCCGAGCAGAAGCTGCAATTCTGCATATTAAATGCCGAGCAGAAACTTCTGCTCGGTAAAAACGGTGTAAAGGGGCAACTTCTGCTCGGTTGACAAGGTCTGCCATATTTGTATATGTGTCCTTCTTTGTCAGTTCCTTAGTTCTTATGTACTTGCAATATTGGGTTTTCAGCCAATGGCGAGCCGCAGTTGATACTGATGTCGCTGCCAGAGGTGGTATACAAAAGCCTTCAAGGTTACGATCGCGCGCCACCTATGTTCCACAGCTGTCAGCACTGGTGAGTGCGTAGAGAGCGTTTAAGCATCCGAAACAGCCCTCGGGGTAATAGCACAATGTGACCTTTGAACGTTTCTCGAGAAAATGCCTGCTCTGTTCATTCCACTGCTGGGGATGTTTACGCTATCTAGACCCAAGAAGGCCGGCCTTGTAACTGATCTATACACGAGCGATAGAACGTTTGCAAGGTTGCCAAGACGCTCAAACTTTGGGTCTATGATACATCGAATCGAAACAATAATGATAGATGCACAACGTAGTATTGTCACTGGGATTGGCGGCTTCTGAGTTTGACCATTTACAACCGCGTGATGGGCAGTCATTATTCACAGATCTACGAACCATCACAAATATAGCATAGAAAGAGGGAAAGTGTGGTATATTATGAGGCGAAGCCTCCTACAAAAAGAAAAAAAAAAGGAACCCAAAACAAGAACGCCAAAGTCAAACCAAACCAAGCGTTGCGATGAAATCCTCGGCAAGCCTCAAGACCAGATCAATGGCTGGCATGCCCAGCCTTGATCTAGCCAATGGAGGCCGCCGAGAAAGCGGGAAACAAACCAGCCGACAATCAGGCATTCCAGCGAGAGCTGGACGCGCCATCGTCAGCGCCAGCAAAGTAGCCGTCCATCTCCTCGTCCAACTCCTTGTGGAGCTGGGCCTTCTTGATGGCCTGCTCCTTCTTGCTCATCTGGTGGTCCTGGAGTTCATCAAGAACCCACCAGCCGCGAGGCTCCTCGTCCTCACCGGGCACCTTGTCTGGGGTGGGCAGACGTTGGGTGCGCTGAGGGCCTCCAGACGGGAGACCACGAGACTGGCTACCGCCCATGCGGCGGTTTCCGGTCTGGTGGCCTCCCGCCGGACCTCGAGCCGCAGGAGGAGCCGTCTTGTGGTCTCCTTTGGCCACCCACTCCCGCTCCTCCTTCCTCTTGGCCCTTCTGGCCTTGTTCTTGGCCTGTTTCTTGGCCCGCTGCTCGGCCGCAGTATCTTTGGCGACCGTGGTGGCGGGGGGTTGGGCGTCTGGCATGGGCACGTCGCCAGAAGCCGTTTCGGCTGCGCCCGTTTCAATCTGGGCGGGCGCCGCCGGCGAAGGGAGCGCAAAGACATTGTCATCGCCAGTACAATCGGCGTACTTGGCGAGACCACGAGATTCCGTAATCCACTTCTTTCGGCCCACAGACTGGTACTGGACAGAGACGCGGCCCAGTTCTCCACCGTTCATGAGTTTGGTGCGCCTCTTGAAATCCTCATGAACGGCGTCCAGGTTCGCCTCATCTCCGACAAAGGCCTGGGTTTTGTGGATACCCACGCCGACGATGTTGGTGTTGAAAGGATCGCTCTTGTCGTAGATCCTTCCATGTCGAGTTCTGCCCATCTCGGACAAGGGCAGATACTCTAATTTGGCCCGCTTAGCCACTGCAGCGGTCTCGTCGGTGTCCTTTGACGCCGACTCGACCTCTAAGTGGCCTCGCTTGGCCACGGTCGAGGTTCGTTTGCCTCGACTCTCGGCGATGATCTCGCCCAGGGGCTTGTCCAAATTCGAGGACATGTTGTGTGTGTGTGTGTGTGTGTGTGTGTGTGTGTGTGTGTGTGTGTGTGTGTGTGTGTGTGAGAGAGAGAGAGAGAGAGAGAGAGAAAGAGAGAGAGAGATGATGATGATGATGATGATGGTGGTGGTGGTGATGCTGGATGGGATGCAAACGGGTACTTGGGGGATTTTGAAGGGTCTTGTTACTCACCCCTGACCGAACGCTGGGTGGCCCCACCTTAGCTGCCACTCCATGTATTGCCCTGATATGAGCAACCGCTCAAGCTACCTACTTTGGCCAGAATAGCGCTGCATTGAAACAGCTCAGAGAAACAAGTCTGAATGATTGGAGGATGTATTGACTATATGAACGTCGAGGGAATCAATGACTATGAATGGGATGGATATTGCGCACAAACTGGCATTGGTATCTGATTGGATCTCGAGGCTACTAAGGCTCGTTAGCTGTCGATCCCCCGTGTAACGGTTCGGCCCGTCCCGCTCTTCCTGCTTCGATGCTCTAATCCCGGCTGTCTCATACTGTACACGGCACACAGAGGGACTAGTGACGGATCGGTGCATTCCCTGCAGAAACATCGGTAGTTGCGTCCATCACTGGCGCCTACTTATCTGCACCTGTGCTGCTGAGCCCAGGCCAGGGGCGGATTGGTAGGCGCCCCGCCCCGCACAGCGGTCTGGGGTGCCTAGAGCCCTATCGAGACAACGCTTGGTGCACCTACTGCATGTCAACGTTTTAGGTGCCTCCAGGGGCCTCCAGTAGCTTACTGCTCACCTCCGCAGGTGGCAACTGATGGTCCTACGTTGAAGCTTATATCAACCACACTGCATACACAACAATCACTGACACGAGGAACAACGTAATTAAGAGTTCACAAAAGAAAAGTCAATTAACTACATACGATACGAGGGGGACCAATTGATGCAGCATTGGCATGCCCAATGCCGACCACGACCCTCGTATGAGAAAATGGGAAACGAAAAAAGGAGGAAAACTCCAATCTCCCGAGTTCAGGGCTACTTGGCGCCCTGTTCCTCCTCCATTTCGTCGGCCCAGCTCAAGGGCTCAGCGGTCTGGCCGGCGGCATTCGCGGCCATGGTGACGGTATGGATACCGAGGGCGTTGAAGCGGCGGCGCAGCGCGCCCATCTCCGCCTCATGCTCCACGGCCTCCTGGCGGTCCCGTTTCTGGATCTCAGGCTTCAACCAGCCATCGATCCAGGCAAGGATTGCCTTGGCGACCCAGGCGTACTCAGAGCCCAGGTTGTCAAGTCCGTCTTGCAGGACGGAGAGACGAGCAGAGCGGCTCAGAAGCTTAGCATAGTCGCCATGCTCGCCCTCCTTACCATCCGCCAGAACGAAATCCGACAGGTTGTTCTGCAGATCCCATGGTCTGGCCTGGTACATCGTGACCAGGCTCAAAATCCACAACTCGGCGCACTGCCTTGCGTGGGGGCTCGCCAGCTGCTGAAGCTCCCACGTCGGCAGCGGCTTCAGTCGCGGCTCGGTCGGCTGGACAAAGTGGACCAAGGCCGTCCGGAAATCGTCCAGGTTGTCAGACGGACTGTTCGTCTTGACCACATAGTCAAGCTCGAGCTTGGCGAGGCGCCAGACTGCCCGGTTCTGGGCATCGAGGAGCCTTCCATACTCCCCGACCGCCATGGGTGGCTCGGGCTCGTCGGGCTCATCCGCCTCGCCAGCCTTGGCGTTGGCCTCGGCCATGTCGCTGGCCTCGACCGCCCGCTGGGCCATTCGATCGGCGATGACCTTCTCGTTGGCCTTCAACCGGTCGGCCATCTTCTTGGCGGTGCCCTTGCGGCTATACTTGGCGCCGCAGTGCACACGATAGGTGGCGAACCTCTCCAGGTAGTCGCCGAGCGGGGTGGCTTTCTGGTCGAGCAGCTCGAAAACCCACTCGTGAAGATCCAGGTAGACCTCCTTGAAGCGGAAGACCACCCCGAGATCCTCCGGATCGACGTCCTCCTGAAAGGTCACCGCCAGCGTGACCGTACCGTCTGCTCGACCGTTGCAGACGACGGCGAACTCCCTGCCTCCAAGGAGAACGGACGCCTTCTGCAACACGGCCGCGAGCTCGGGCTTGGTGCGCGGCAGAAACTTGTCGAACGAGACCATACCCTCCGGCAGGGGGATCTCACCGGGCTCGCATCCCTCCGAGATGGGAATCTCGGCGTCGGACAGGTGCTTCACCCAGACGGCCCTACGGCTGTCCAGGGTCAGCTCTCTGTCCGGCACGAGGCCGAAACCCGTCTCGAGGGGCAAGTTCTCGAGTGCCTTGGCCTTGGCACGCTTCTCCTCCTCTTGCTTGGCCACACAAAACTCGAGAAGAGCCTTGCTGTAAGGTGGCTCAAAGGCGCCACCGGGGTGTTGATGGGCGAAAGGGGAGGTCGGACCTGTGGAATGCACCTTGCCTGCGGACTCGGTTAGTGAGATCGCACACCCAGAGGGATCTGACGACTTACTGATGCTTCTCCAGGCCAGATTCTCGACCTCCCAGTTGAAGGCCGCGGCCGAGTACGACCACGCCTTATTCTGCGCCCAGAGACTCTCGCAAACCCTATTCTGGGCCCGATCATAGAATTCGAGGATCTGGGCCTCGGAGAGTTTGCGGCACTGGGCCATCAGCGCTCTGATGGCGCCGTTTCGGCGCCATCGCTCGTTGGCGCTGAGCTGCGCGCTAACGGCGACAAGTTGGGTTGCTGGATGATGCCATGTTGATATTTATGGCGAAGTGAACAACGGAAGAAAAAAGGGGATTGATGGTGATGTTGGTGGTGGTGGTGGTGACTTCGTTGTTGCTCGAGGAAGAAAATTTACAAACGCGAAGCGCCCCTTCAAAATTCTTTTTTAACTTGGCCAGAAAATTGAGGGGCAGAACAAACCGCAAACTCCTACTGCAACTGATGTCTAGCATCCTGCTCCACGGCTCAAGGTACATAAATGCCAACCTCCATCTTCTACACGTACGGGTGAGTCAGTCGCCTCTACCAAGTACGTAGATTTGGATGCACGTAGACCTCTTCTTCGTAACAGACTCTGCAGGCTATACAACCGATCTCTTGGTTCCCAAGTGGAAATTCTGTATTGGACCATCTAGGGCCTTCCATGGAAGGATCCTTGCCCTCGCAGTGCAGTATGATATCTTGACACCCTACGATCCCGAACTGGCAGTAATGCCTGGTCATATGCAGTTGAGGGTATCAGTATGATACATATCATATGTAGACTTGCGACATCATGAATTGTGCCTCTCGACTTGGGATGGAGCCGCGTCTACTCTCGCCGGCTACCCAATACTCCCGCAGGTTTGAAATGACATTAGATCTTCCATTCTTTCCAGCGAGACTGTAACTCGCGTCACAGCTTTGGATCGCACATCTCGCCGCTTGCAAGATGTATCCTTAGTCAACGTGATTTGAACTGCAATCCTCAAGCTGGTATCAACGGACAATAGAACATAGAGGACGATAGTGACGTAGATTATTGAGCATTAAAACCTACTGTTTTCGATCCTGGAATCGAGTTTACATACATGACATGGCCACAATCGATTACTGTAATGGTTGGTCTAGGAAAAGAACTTTTACCCTTGAATATAGCGACCACCGGAGGGCATGCTCAGTTGAAAGGGCTGCTGGACTAAGTATCCGGATTCTGAGGTGCTTTTTAGTCACGTTTCACGCACTATCAAAGTCTGGTGGCAAAGATAGGCACCTCGGCAACCTTTCAAGGATAGAGCTCCGCCTCCGTTTGCCCTTGGGAAATCACCCCATCAATCTGCACCACATCTCCTCTCGTCAATACCAATTTGAAACCTACCATAAAACATCCATTCGACATCACCATCATGTCGTCGTCTTCAACCCACAACATCGACTTCACTCAACTGCCCGACCTCCGATCGATCTACCCGACGGGCGGTCAGAATGGTGCACTATCAAGCCAGCACATTGCCACGTACCAACCGAGAAGTGCTGCTGGTCTCCCCGTTGGCCTCCGTGATATGCATGGAGTAGACGTGGTGGTCACTCTCCTTCGGCACCTCTCGAGCATGCTCGCCCCCTGGACTCGTGCACCCTGGAGGCGCGATGGTGAGGAATTCACGAACGAGGACCGGTTCCCGATTCTACGCCTTGCCTGGTCCGATTTATCTCGCACACTAGAGTCGATGGCCGCCCAAGATGAAGCTCGCCGAGCGATCGTCACACATCTCGGGATCATGGACCGTCCCGTGACGTTTCTCGACATCATGGATTGCCCGCTCATGTATGAGGCCCTGATGCAGACGAAGGCATACCAGCTGTACAGCTCCTTGATTGTGTCCCAGCCCCTCGAGGAGTCCCTCAACGGGAAGTGGGACATCGATGGGACCGGTGCATCGAGGCTGGACCTTGCGAGGCGCTGCGTTGTCCACTGGGATTGCCAGGATGACTTGGACACGCACGTCAGCAAGAAGTTCGGATTCTTCGAGCACCGTGGCAATGGGCGGCGGTATCTCTACCAGTTCAATCAGCCCGGGATCCTCCAGGTTCGATTCCGTTCGCTTGTTGCAAGCCGAGCGGAGCGCCAGCAGTTGCACGGTTTCAGGAAGATCTGGAAGATTACCGTTGACGGCAGTACAATATGCCAGGTCGACGAAAATGGACATTATTGCACCGAGGCGAATCCTCGTTACGACTACGTCTTGGTTGCTGTTGTACGGCTTCGGGATGGAGCAATCCCGAACGACGTCATCAGGAGATACAGTGCCAATGGTGATCATGTCCACGAGCCCTCCGACTTCCTGCACGCCGGCACCCATCGATGGTCGGTGGCAGATGAGAACACCTCGTTTGTTCTCTTCTATGCCAGGTGCATCCAATCGCCTCCGCCTTTGCACTATCCAGCCGAGGTCACCAATTCTCGACTTGATGCCGAGATGTCATACGCCAAGCAGAGAAGATTCGGCGCTCCGTGAGCCGCCATCTGAGCGGCCGAGACGAATAATGAGCCCCTTGATCGCGAGGAAGACTCCGCGGTCCCAGGTATGTGGACCAACTTCTGTAGTAAATGTAATTCCAAAATCCTTGAAACATCATGTGTGTCGCTATGAATCCAAGCCCCTTGAATGTCCAGATGCCTTGAAAAGTCTTTGGTAGCTGGGAAACGTGACCCGGAACTAAGGACCGTGACCCAGAAGTTAGCTAAATGTAAAATGCGAAGTGTATAAAACTAAGGGACTGTTTCACTTTTGAACTACCTCTTCCAATAACACAGATGTCTCCTATTCGATAAACATACTGAATTCGAAGCTAAATTAAGCTACGTAGCTATCTACAACCCACCATCCTCGTCCATAATTGACGTCGGTGGACTCGTTGCTTCGGCCGGCGAGTGGCGAACCCGGCAATGCACAGCGCCTGGTTGGCCATCGGCGGCCTTGATTTGTAGACACCGCTCTGCATTGCCATGAATGCCGCATTCTTCTTCGTCGTGGCCAACCTCACTGCGGGGAGACCGTACTCCATACTCCAGTACGGATTCGAGGCAATACCATCGTCCGGATTTGGCTCCGATGCTAAAACCGGCGAGATTGCCTTCGGCTCTCTTGCCGTCCCTGTCCAAATACGTTCTGACATAGATCTCGACGGCCGCATTGTGGCGACCGATCGAGTTGTCGACCACAATTGGCCTGCAGTGCAACAGCCGTGTCGTCAGTTTGCCTACCTCATCAGCCCATGATGCGACGTCAGCGTTGGCCGACCTCGGTGGTGTAGGGTTGGCAATGAGTTCTGCTGCATGCTGCCTCCTGAGCGTCTCGAGCTCCAGCGCTAGTGTCCCCTCGTGCTCCCGTTTGAGAGCCTGAATCTCGGAAGACCGCTCAGCTCGGAGCTCATCATGGAGTGCCTCGGTCTCCCGAGCCAACTCGTCTCGATACTGTTGATCGAGGATTTGCATCTTCGACGCCAGCTCAGTCTCGAATTTTCGGCCGAGCTTTTCGATCTCTGACACCAGTTCGGCTTCGCACTCTAGAGTGGTGGCTTCGGTCTCAGATTTCAGCCGAGTCTCGTTTTGGAGATTGAGGCGTTCGATCTCGGTCTCATGCTCCGCCCTGAGCCTATCTACATGGTCGATATGCTTCTCCAGCACTACCTGGGTCGCTTTCTCGTTCTCTAGGACGTTGTCGCTAAGCCTGTCGGCCTGGTCTCGGAAGTACTTGAGATCATCGGTTTGGCGGGCCAGACTCTGCCTTGACTGCTCAAGGCTCAACTCAAGTGCTGCAACCTTGCACCGCGAGGCCTCGAGCTGGGTTTCTAGGTCTTGCACCTGAGCCGCCAATGATGCCTCGTGATGCTCGGCCTCGGCGACCATGAGAGACCACTCCTTGCTAACATGAAGTGTAGTTTTGAGCCGCCGCTCAAGGTCGGGAACACGGGCTGCCACTTTGGAGGCCTCGTGCTCGCGGTTCATGGCTTCGTCCAAATCAGCCTGTAAGTTGTCAGTGAGGTTAATTTGATCAACAAGCTGGCTCTGCACAGAAGCGAGCTGCGTTGTCCTCTCCTGCAGTCCGCCCTGCAGGCGATCGACTTTCGCAGCTCGCTTCTGTAGTGCATCAATTGAGCCGGCCTGGGCCTTCAGCTGGGTATGCAGGCTCTTGGCCTCAGCAGACATCTTGCCAATTTCGGTGCGTAGGTCCTCGCACGATGAGCATTTCTCATCGTACCGACCTTGCAACCGATTCAACTCACGACTGAGACGGTCGATCTCCTCGTTCTTGACCGCAAGCTGCCCCTCGTATTCGAGGTCTTGTCGACCGGCTATAAGACCGAGACAAGCCTCAGAGCCCAGCTCGAGAGATCGGAGCTTGGCCATCACCATGTCGATATTGGCCTTTTCTCCTTGGCCTCGAACCATGAGCAAGTCCCGCCATTGGTTCAGGAGCAGTGCCTGGCTTGCCTGCACAGATTGCTGGTCAGATAGCACTGCCCGGTGCCACCCCGAAAGTCGTACAGACTCTTCTGCCTGCTTGCCCTCAGCCAGGGAAAGGTCGATCTGTCGTTGAGCGAGCTCTTCGGTCGCCTCCGATTGGCTGTGACGAGCGGCCGCGAGAGCGGTCTCCTCAGATTGGAGCTTGCGATATAGCTCCTCGGCCTGTCGCACAGTTGCACCGAAGAACGAGAGCAAGCCTCTCGTGCTATGAGTGTCTGCGGACCCGCCGATTCGGCTCAGCAAGAGCTCCATGTGCTCTGCTAGCCTTTTCGCCTTGGTTTCGAATTCAACCATGGCCATGTCGTGTTGTTGTCGTGTGATGTGCTGTACATAACTCACGAACTGTACCAAGATTGTGCATTCGACGACAACACATCACTTCAAGAGGGAGTCTCCGGCTCCTGAGACGAGGCGAATGTAATTCATCATACGTCACACATCCTAGGCAGCCGAAGGTCCGGGTTGCTCCTGCCATAATGGGATGCTCCACGATGAACTACAGCGTCTCTACTAATGTACACATCCGCGGCGGCTGCAATAACTAGCTGCCGATATAGATACATAGATATGCGAAAAAGAGCTTGATTTTATATGTGCAGTATTTTACATAAATAGAATCAGAGCTCTGAAGAAACAGGTGTTCAACTACTATTGTAGACAAACCCAGCTCTTCAATCCCCCTGCGGAGAACACCACGCCTGCAGCTACCTTAAAAGGTGACTGCTAGGCATCAGTTCCAAAACGTCTGTCTATTTCAAGCATTTCAACCCAGGTTTGAAAAGGAGCAGCAGAATCCCTTGTAGAAAATGTATGCAACTGGATCTGATGTCTTTGGTCAGGCAGTTACTTCACAGAGACCGACCCCTGAGTGCCTGACGTAAGCAGGTGGTCAGAGCTCTGCAATGCCCAAACCTCGCACGACAGGCAGACCTCATACTTTCACAACCAGTCGCCCTCCCATCACCACCTCGGTGCCACCACACCCCCCCCGTTCCCCCCCCCCCCCCCCAAAAAAAAAACCAAAACACCCTAATTATACGTACAATGGCAAATGCAGAGCGTGCGCGGCAGCTTTTGGCTGCAGAGAAGGAAGTCGACGAGCTGTATAAGAGCAATACACACTGGGCTGGGAACAACCTCAGCCTAGCCCGGACAGAGAAGCGAGAGATCGCCGACAAGGTGGCGTCTCATGTTTCCAAGCATGCCAGGCTTCAGGATGACCTCGCCAAGGTCATCTCGAAGCAAGAAAGGCAGGATTCCGAGATGAAAGAATTCATCGACAGTCTCGTGGACCTCGACGGGAATGTCAACATCGAGGAACTTCGCAAGAAATTGCGTGAGGTCAAGCAGTCGCAATTTGACCACGCATTGGTCCTGGTCACCAAGAACAAGGGCAGTCTCGACTTTCTATCAAGGATCAGCCCCGGCCATCGTGCGGTTATTGCAGCGCTCCATGATGACGAGGTAAAGACCCGTCTGACTGAAGTCATCGCAAGCCGCGACAAGACCATCGAGAAGCTCCAGGAAGACCTGGAAACCATGGTTCAACTGGCCGGTTCGAAAGACCAGGAGCTTGTGGCCATGAAGACGAGCCTTGAACAGCAGATTCAAGACAAGGCCAAAGATGCATCGAGCTTGCTTGAAGCCGTCAGTCGACAGAAGGGGGAGATCAAGAAGTTGGAGGGAGATGTAATGATGATGTCTCATCAGATCTCCACGGCCAACGACGAGTACTCCAGCAAGGCGTCCGAGGTCTCCAAGCTCAATGAGGAGCTTTCAGACAAGGCGAAATCCATTTCCGACTTGACCAGGAAAGGGTCGGACAAGGACTTGCACATATCGCAGTTGGAAGAGTCACTTAGACGGAGTACGACGAGACTCTCGACTCTGGAGAACGATCTCAGAGACAAGGATCGGCGCATTGCGGAGCTGGGAAGCAAGTTCACAGTCCTTGAAGGCGATATTGCCGCCCGGGACCGTCTCGTCGTCGATACCGGTGAGAAAGCCAAAGCCCTCGAGCAGGCTTGCTCATCCAAAGACGACCGCATTTCGTCCATGGAATCTGATCTGAGGGGCAAGGATCGATCCATAATCGAGCGTGATGGGAAGATCGAGAGGTTCGAACAAGACGTCTCTGCCCTGAAGACGAAGCAGGACGAAATGAAGGCCCTCATCTCGGAGCTAGACAGCGAGGCTAGATGGCAAAAGGCCGAGATCATGACACTTGAAGTTAAACTGTCCACCAAATCTCAAGTTGTGTCAGAGAAGGACGAGGAGATCGCCAGATTGGACGAGCAACTCCAGGCACTGGCCGGAGAAGCCGCCAAGTTGGCTAATCAACTCAAGGCCGCCGACCAGAAACTTTCCGACGCCTGCAGCGACGTGGACAGCTTGGACCGAGAACTCAAGGCAGCTCGACAAGTCCAGACGGCGTTGGCCTCGGAGCAGCTCGGCCTGGCCCGGTTCTATGCGGCACAGTCTGGCCTGGGCAATGCCGGCAGGTTTGAACCGGACGCCTGGGTGCCATGGGTGAAGAAACTGGCCACTACTAACTGGATACAGGGGTTAGCCATACCGCGAGAGAATGAGCCGTGGATGATTCTCGAACCCTGGACCAGCGAAGAGGTGCTAGACCCCAGGCCGCCTGCCGGCTGTCTCGAAGTTGTCTCCCGGCTGTATGGCCAGCTCTTGGAAGGACAGAGTCTAGAAGGATCGTCTCGCCTCCTCAGATCGCTGCTTGAGCATCTTGTGGGGGAAGAGACGATCCCGATAGACGCGGTGATTCTCCTCATTCAGGGGTATACTAACGCTATGACTGGCACAGACCTCACGACTTGCAGCGATCGCCTGCACTGGTTCTTTCTTGGTGTCTGGCAGACGGCTCGTCTCGTAAATAAGAGGTGGCCATCCGCGGGCGTCGAGGTGGTTGTAAGTACCTTGGCTTCGAATCCATCACGCCTGCGGCCTGTGTACAAGCTGCTCTGTACCGATGCTGCCGACCTACAGGTAAGCCTGACGGAGCAGAACGCCACTCCGCGAGGAAGCCATCGATTCTTCAAGGAGGGCTTTGGCTTTCTGGTGATCGAGACACTGAGTGAGTGGTTCTTGGTAATTGACAACCGCCATCGCTCTCTGCGCCTCGTTCATCGGAGCTTGAGCGAATTTGAGGATACCGAGACCTATGTCCTGCGAGCACCCGATCGCTCCAAGGATTTACGTATTTCCTTGGGTGATTCCCTTGACGACGTGGATTTTGTGTTCCGTCTCTTCTGATGCTGTAGATTAGTTGTGGTTCTAGAGCATTCAATATCAAACTTTGCTGAAATCTTCCACCAGGTAACATCTTGTGGCATGCCAAGTAGAGCTCATTGATAAATATGGAATTTACATTGGCGAATCACTGGAAGGCCGGCTCACGCAACCAAGCTACAGACTATCCCGATAATTTATAGTAGGTAACCATGGACAACCTAGACAAGCTGAATATCATAATGTATGTGGATGTATTGCGCGTGATACTTACAACCCAGGCTACAGATGTTGAAGCATATCAGCAACAGTCGTAATTTGGCGCTCATCGCAAACATGAGGAACCCCTGCGGTGCCCGAGAGCTATACGGGGCGTACCTACCGAGGCAATCGGTCACGTGATATGATTTTTTCTCGACGTAACGCGCACTGCTATCATATTCCAACGTAAGTGTCACCAAAATCTCATGAGACGGATCGAGCAAAGGTGGAACAAAACCTCAATTCGGGATTAACAATCACATGCATCGCTGTAGGCTGGAATAGGAGCACAGCGAACGCGGGATCCAGGTTATAACAAGTCGCAATCTTGACACGGGAGTTTACAAAATCACATTAGCGTGCTATGCTACCGCAAACTACACACAAGATTGCTGGGCTGCAATATGCCAAAAGTTGCCTAGTCTTTCACAGGACCAGGCGGTTCTCCAGCTCAAGCAAGTTCTCGACGGTCGCGAAATCAAAATACGGGCTTTCATGCCTATGCTCCGAGATCATTGTTAGAGCAGGCAAGGCCCTGGCGCGAGGTAAGACCTCTAGATTATATTCAGGTACCTCAGTGCCAACAGGAAGGAGAAAATTGCCCTTTGGTCCGGCGATGCGAACTAATCCTTCCGATCCAGGAAGCGGGCAGTCCGGCAGCTTTGGGAGCCTCTCTGGAGAGGTCCCTGCTCCATCGCCACTCGGGCTGCCCGCTGCAAGGTCATCGCCGAGGCCATCGCCGAGCATGGAGGCCCCGGGGCTGTCGCCGAACACCACCGAGCCACCAGAGTCCCCACCGAAGGACAGGGCGCCAGGAGAGGAACCGAACCTGGTGTCCACCCCGCGTCCAGTGATCCTGTCCAAGCCGGTCAAGGGACCCAGGTGTCCGTCCCTGGCCTGCTGACGACGCTTCTTGTCGAAGCGGAGATTGTCGACATATATACGCTGCCAGAGGTCTTGAAAATCAGCGCTAGACTTGGGGTACCCAAACTTCTTGGTGTTGGTGACAGTTCTGAACCTGTCACCAACATTGGTGAAGCGTGGGATGCCGAAGGACTGGCAGCTGTTCATAGCAATCTCAACAGCGAGAAGATCCTCCGTTTCCACAAGATAAGGGTCAAAATCTATAAAGATTGGCCCAACTTCCTTGTGGAACGGGTCCTGATCGTTGCGAAACATCTGTTTCTCGATGTTCCTCATCACCTGAGAGTACCACGGAAGCTCAAGTCCAAGCGACTTGAGCTCCCGGCGTACCTCCTGGTGGATGGCAACAATCGACTTCTTCCCATCGGTGGTGGCTAGCCGTCGCTGGAGGTTGTCGAAGAACTGGCCCCCATCAGTGCCGTGGTTCATCGGGATGCGTCGGCGGTCATTCATGCGGCAGGCGACAGCCCAGAGTATGAAGACTGCCAGCAATCTGTAGTTGTGACCACAGGGGCCACCGAGGGCGACGCGGGCAAGTCTCCTACAGAACTTGGGGGTCCAGTGCGGGTTGGCGTACCGTTGGCCGCCGACGTCGACCTCCGGGTACGAGTTGGAGGCGAGGTAGCGCTTGGGCCCGATAATGTCAGTCGGGAGGCAACCCATAATGCGCATTATCTTGGCCCATGTCGGCGCCCAGATGACGTGGGAGGGCTTGTCGAGGCTGCCCAGGTACTGATAGAATGCATCGGCGGCCAGGGCGTCCTGAAGGGCCTCTTCGTCGAGCTCGGTCCACCACGTGTCGTATTCCACCTGCGGGATGAACTTGGCAAGGTCCACATCGCAGACAGCTGGACGATGCGTCTGCAGCCAACCAGTGTGCTTAGACACAAACTGGCTGACACGGGACAAGGCACGGTGGCCCAGTTTGAGATCCAGGGGAGTTGCATCATCGACGAGGCCTAAGATCCTGTCTCTCAGGCTCTCGCCGGGCCCGCGGCCGTCGTTGCTATCCCTGTCGTCGTTGCTGAGAATGTCGGACTCATCGCTGAATTCGACGACAGGCGCTGCTGCTGCTGACTCGGAGGCTTCGTCTTCAGACCTGAACGGGTCATCACTACCGGCATGCCCGGAGTCTGACCCGCCTCGGTCTTCAGATTCCACCTCGTCTTGCCTCGGCCGGTTTTGGCGCCTGCGCTTGGCGGGCCGGCGGCTGGTGGCGCCGCGGGCTTCGGGCGCGGGGGTGGCGTTGCCATCGGGTGCTGGGGTCTCAGTGCTACCCGAGGCAGGGGGTGTTGTCTGTCGTGCGCGAACACGACCTGATCGCAGTGCGAATATTTCTAGTAGAGGCACCATGGTGATATCTGACGAAATCGGATCTATGTAGGTCAGTATATGCGTATCCGTGACATGAGATCGGTGGGTTACATGAACCTACGTTTACCAAAATAGTTGACAGACGATGCTGAAGAGGAGAGCGGGAGAGCAAACGAACTTTGGGGAGATACCTAGGTACGTAGGTAGGTGGCTCGTACCTAGCTCGACCCCAGGGGACGCTGGGTGGCGGCACGGCCCGCTAGTGCGGGGATCTACCAGTACTAACAGCCCTACAAGCTACCTACGGAGCTAAACTTTAGGCTTTGGATGCAGGGGACCCTGCAGCTTTCAGTGGCATTTGGTGCGCATCAGAAACTTTACATAGGTGTCATGGCTGACCGTGAAAGATATGCAGATCAGCGCGAATCTACCCACCATGCCGGGCAACAGTGCATGACGGAGATGATGGTTTAATATAGTACCTTTCAATTCGTCGCCCATTGGAGACCTGAACGCGAAATGATTGCAACTTCGGCCAAGTCGAGGTCAATCGACTGCCGAATGCTGTACCATCCCTGGAAGTGAGACTGCGCCCGCAAACTTGAGAGCCAACATCATAATCCCGTTCAAGGCTACGACAAAACAGCTCCCTGTATTCTGCAAGCGTATTACAACAATGATATCAGTGATTTATAACTGTAGATTTGGCTATCAGTCCGTGACTTGTACGTACAACCATGCCAAAGCTCTGTTGCAATCTGCGCCTGCACGCACTGAAACTGTCTAGGGAGGCAAGAGCGATGGGATCTGTTCGTACTGCAAAGGTCTTAACTAGGCATCCAACCGTAGCAGAATTTGAGGAAATTCCTCATCCACAGACCAGATTTCTCTCTAGATTTTCGAACTTTCTTCCAACCATAATTGGACTTTCTGCAAAGCTCAAGTTGACCTGATATCAAGATCAAAATGGATTCCAACATCAAGCCAGTCCAGTCCGCCGAGATTCCCGTCATCTCGAGCCATGTGGCCAAGCTCGTCAAAGCAATCGATGACGGCAAGACATGCGACGAGATCTTCGACACCCTGGCCCGCATGGCTGACACAACTCGGGAGAACGATCAATACATCCCGTCCAAGAGTCTTCGGACAGCTTTCGAATCCGACGGCAGCAATGGGAACCCTCTTCGGATCCTGTTGCACACAATTCCCCGGAAGCTCCTCAGAAGTCTGGCGCTAGGATTGCTAGCGTATGACTTCTACGACAAGAGCTCCGAGAACCACGAGAACCACTATTCCACAGGTGGCCCCGGTACATATGCCATCGGGCTGACGTGCGAGGGCCGCGGTGGAGCCTTCCTTTCCAGAAGAGAGATTGTAGAACTGCGAACCTGCCTCAAGGAATACTACTGTGGGTTCAAAGTCTGGCAAAGGCACGGTGACGCCTATGGGACAAGCCAGCTTACCGGTGACGAGGCGAGGAGCTACCGGATTTCCATGCTCGTCGACGACTTCTTTCGGACGGAGCCGTGGGATGAAGCGAGCGGCGACATGCCACGGCCAGCTCTCTGCCAAGGCGCTCAACAGTCGGACAAGAACGCGAGGTCAACGGATAATCTCGCTTGGCTTCTCAGCATGCTAAAGAAGCGTGTGGTCTTGGGCTACGACGGCGATGTCCACCAGATATCGAGCCCGATACAGATCGGATGCTCGGTTGAGATGGACAAGCGCTGGTTCCAACACGACCCGCTCAAGTCTAACCTGGTGCAGTCATCGAAGCTTCTCAAGCTCATGGTGGGTGGCATGAAGTATATGGGCTTGAAGCCCCAGGTTTGTGTCATCCCCATCATGAAAACTTGGCTCGACGAGCAACTCCCGCTGTCCGGGATTCTGGGGACAGTCATTGCCAGCTCATACGTGACGCAAGCCGGGCTTAATGTCGTGGCTCCTGGGGCGAACACGTCCAAGGTCAAGGAGAATCGCCGTGGCGTCCTCCAAGAGAACAAAGAGGAGGTCTACTTGGACAAGCCATTCTTCAGCGAGAACCGCCAGATCACTCTCAATAGTCGCTCAGAGGACAGGACTCTGAAGCAGGCTATTGAGAGGTATGATAAGGGTAAGCTTTCGGTCGACAAGCTCAAAGCATTGGCGCAGAAGCGTGATGAGATCGAAGGTGACATCCACCTCAAGAGGCTCCAGCTTGAGCGGCGTCTGAAGCACCTCGACGATGCCGCAGCCCTCGTAGACGAGTCCAAGGAGACACTTGCTGTAGGCAGAAGGCTTCTTGGTCAAGATGAGTCGAGTGACTCAGAGCCATGACGCTACATTTGGTTGAGTGAATTAGCTGTAGATTAGTGCCGGACACGGCCTACCCGTACAAAATCCAGAACCAGTCTATATTCATTCTCTGGGTATCTTTTGTGACTCGACTGTAGGTGCTCCTTCGTTGAGTAGCAATATAATCAGGGTTGGATCGAGCAAACTGGCTCGGTGCGCGTATGGCAGACGATGATGGAGACACCATCTCTATTCCCAGGGTTTACTCTCATGGCTAGCTATTGATTCCATATAATGCTCTTGGCGGCTTTGGTAGGGCTCGAACAGTGTTCAAGGTGACCCTGGCGTACCAATCCTGTGTTTCCTGCATCCCCGGGTATGTTGGCTCTTGACCGCATTGAATGGTACATTTTGATCGTCGTTGTGGCGCATCAAGGTTATTGCGGCGTCCAAGAAGATGGCGCATTACGTTGACAGGCATAATTAGAACAGAATATGACGCTCTTGTGCCGCTGAGAGTGGCAATAGCTCCAGGCGGGACAGGCGTAGATCACGAGGAGGTAGTCATCTTCTTCCGTACGCCGCCAAGGAAACATTTCTCTGCGTGATCTGCCTCGCCTACATGCCACGGAGCCTTTCACACCAGAAACAGCTGCTTGTTTCTTCAAAGTTCTTCGATTGGCACAGGGTGGCCTGAACAGCAAATTCGACTTGTGTGTATCTCGGGTAGGGAACAGGACACCGGGAGGGTATGTCGACTCTCTCAAAAGCTCGTTGGGAATGTTGCTTTCGAGTGGTAAGAGAGGATGTGAGCGGAGTGGTCGATGGTCTTCAGAATCTCGGCGGCCCTGTGGAGGTTGTTACCGTAGCCCTGCGGTCGAGCATGTAGTCGTGCCATATTCTCAGGTGTCTCGTAGGATGAGGTTGACTCAGACATAGCATCTTGGAACGTCTGTCGACGATGGTGGGAGATTCGCCTGCGCTGACCGTCTTCTACGCGGCCTGAGTTGTATCATTCGTGGTGTTGACATCTCGTGGGGTAAAGCCTACCTGAGGGGTCTTGTTTGTGATCGGTGGGTTATTACCTTCACTCGATTCCATGGTGAGAGTAGGGAAGAGTGCTGGAAGCGTGGAGCGAGTCTTTCAACGATACAATGTAGCTGTTTTCGCTGCGGATAGTTGCTGTACGCAAGGGATTGGGTTTCCTAGAGGAATGGAAAGTTGCCGTCGATTCTGAGTATGGTGAATCTGTAGACTGTCTCTATGAAGCTCAAGATCGAGGGGCCAACATTTGATGTTGCCTTGCACTGTCCAGCCCAGTACCGCCGTCGTTCGCCCCAATCTCGACCTTGCCCATCATTTCAGTCACCAACACCACCACCATCACTACCAACAACATCGACATCAACCCCAACGTCATCATCATCACCACCACCACCATCAAGATGCAATCCCGTGCATCCACCAGTTCCTGGGAGGCCAAAAAGGCTGACATCGACGACTTTCTCACGAAGTCGTTCTCATCGAAGCAGTCCAGGGCAGCATACATCACGGCCCCCCACGCCTCGGGCAAGTCCACCACTTTGCTTCTCCATGTGTATGACATGGCGAAGAAAGCGAAGGTCTGGCCCGTGGTGTATGTTCTACCACGATACGAGGAGGCCAGAGATCTCTATACGTACCTGACCGTCAACCAGACCGACCTCCCCAACGCGGCCGACATCTGCGAGTACACGACTCTCGCCGCAACGGCCGAGGATATGGAAAATTCCGTCGGCGAGAAGGTCATCATCCTGTGCGCCTACGAGATGTTCGGCATCTGGAACACGCCGTACGGTCGCATGGTTGTCATGGCGGACGTTGAATTGCGCGCGACGGTAGACGGCGAGATCTTCTTTGGAAAGCTCGTCGAGATGGCCCGACCGCGTGCTCGAGATTCTGAAGCTGAAGGAGAGCAGCCAGACAAGCACCCCCTCTCCATAATTTGTCTTGGTGCGCGCACGTCTTTCCGAACAGTCAACCACTTCAACAGATGGCTAGGGGGCGTGTCAATCATCGAAGCTGCTCCGTCTGCTGCGTCCAACGTCAACGTCACCCGGCTGGGCAATGACTGGGCCGAGCAGATGAGCAAAGCGCTGGCCGACTGGGCAGCCTCGAGCGACAAAGCTGCCGGTACAGCCGTGGCCACCCTCGGACCTTCCATTGACGAGCTTGAGATTAATCATGAGGCCGTCGATCCGCAGGTGGTCCAACACAAGTCTCTCCTCTACGGCTCTGATAACCAGGGGCGTCCGTTCCCTTTTGCAAGAGCTGTCAGGCGGAGCGGACTGGTAATACTCGACCCGGATCATGCCGTATCCGCGTCGTGTGCCAACCTCGAGATGTTCCTGTCGGGCGGGGTAACCAAATCGACGCTGTTTGACTTGAAGACTAGTCAACTGGTCGTGAAAGACCGCTATCTCTCTCACTACGAACTGCTGCTGGAGGAGTCGTGGGTCCTCAAGTGTCGTAACCCCGAGAGGGTCAAGTTCCTCCGACGTGTTCAAACCAGCGGCCACGTCTCCAGACAGCAGCAGGGCAAACCAGCGGATCCCATCGGTCCAGCGTGGAACGAGGACTTGTTTGTTCTCGCCTTGCGCATGGCGGAGTTGTGGCCAGGAGTCGCGGTTCGCCGGATGCCCATCCGCGGGATATTCAACCCAAATATTCTCCCGGAGGTTTGGGTTCGCCTGACCAAGTGTGGTCTGTTGCTCCCCGGAAATGGGCAGCCAGGCGTCCGCATTTCGAATAGGGGGTCCACGGCACTCGAGTGCATCGATCTGCTGAACGAGTACAAGGATCTCCCGCGTAGTGCCGAGGTCAACATCCATATCGCTTGTTTTATGGCTGGGGCTTTGGAGACCGAGGACTCCAAGGTGCAGCGCGTCATTCTGCTCCTTAGTGCAATCATGCACCTGGGGTGCGAGGAGTTTTGTCGGGTAATGCGACAGGTGGTGCTGTCCGAGGTCACCGCCTACACTGCAGGGGTCGGGCGCACCAATGCGTCCAGAGGCATGCTCTGGATCGTACTTGGTGTGTTTCTCGACCTCTACAACCATCAGGTCTTTGCTGGCGGAGCAGCCAGCTATGTTAGGAAGGGGGACCTTCTGCTAATTGATCCCCAGAGCGGCATCATTATCCTCGACCTGTACAAGAACTGGTGCCGCCGTTTTGGTGTCCCCGCTCAAGAGCTGGACCTCATCAACGCCACTGATCTGGACAGTACCCAGATCAGGGCTGTCGAGTGGCAGCTGCTGCTGGCGTTTCAGCATCGCACCGTATTTATCGATGCTGACACTGGCAGATGTTGCGATGTCGTATCTCAACAGGCGGTCAAATTGGCCCATCATTATATGATTGATCTGCAAAGCCTGCGACAGAACGACACGGAGGGTTTGGGTTTTGCAATGATCTACGATTCGTTGCGATACCAGCGTCTCACCAGTGAGTATTTCGTGCGAGGAATTACGAACATTCCTCGAGAGCTGATCGTCCGACTTGCCCGTCACCACGGTGTTGAGTGGCCGACTTGTGTTTTGACGTCCTTCCCAAGGGCCTAGGCCATGATGTGAATGTGTTTCACTTAGTATACTGCTAAATACAATATAATCGTTCTTGTGACCTACTGTATGCTTTGCGACTTGAATATAGCGGTCAGTCCATCTTGTCGTGATTACCTCTCTGTATGCTGTTCATGGAGGCCATGATGAACAATTGCATTCGATTCGCCGCTCATTATTGTAGACCAGTGATGCAGAAAATAGTAAGCATTCGCAAGAAGTTGTTGTATTGTGGGGAGGCCTTTGGTCTGCTTCAGAATGTGATATGCAGCCGGAGTGCTGGCAAAGTTGGGGCTGAAAGTGGAGGGGTTCTTGCTTTGTCTCCTACCTGCATACTTGCGGGTGGTGATCCTAGCCAATTAACACGTCTCGTAAGTTGGATGCATACGACTCGACCGGGGGGTGTCCCACTTCGGACCAGATGCACATACAGGGCGGGGCTCATCTCAACCATAATTAAACGTCCGAGGATCTCGATCGACTGCTCAACTTCCCACGAGACAGGATAGAAAGAATCATGCAGATGGGCCATGGACTATAGAAAATCATACTCTTGCAATCAACTCACGCCTACTACTGCAAGACTCTACTCTAAGTGTTCTGAGCTTGTTGGCGCTGCTAGACTCTTGCTCCCCGAGCAATCCGGAACGCCTGCCGTTATCCTGGGCCTTCCGTTCACTTCCGTGGCTCTTCTAGCTCGCATTAAAGTACTGCATTCACAGTGGCGGCAAAAACTAAAGGATGGAAAGTTGATCCGATTACGACAGGCGCTTTACGCGCTTGACGCTGTATAACGGTGCTAAGGCCGATTTACTCATGGTAGCCGTCAACCAAAATAACTTTAGATGCCCAGCAGGCTTCTCAGGTCGATGGGCTTCCTACATTGTTTTAGGGAGCACCACAAAGTTTTGATTCATATATTCCATATTGGAATCTGACGTTCTCTCCGCTCCATACAATCTGTGAGAAGCTCACCCTTGGCTTTATGTTATACACATGTTTCAACATCCCTTGGCCAACGCGCGTCACCTGCCACATATGGACTGCACATTAGTTCTATCTGGAAAAAGCTTTTGGAGGCTGGCCGCGGTTATGACTATATATGGGAATGCTTGCGCACCGTGGCATAGCATCGATTGTTACTTGTGCTGGAAACAATATCTGCTATACGACGTTCTCAACTAGCCGGAGCCAATGTGTGCGCTGCACATTTTGGCCAGTCCTTACTATCTTCATGGTCCAATTATTGTCCTAGGCAGGCAAATTCAGTTGCAGTTGGAACGCAGTGGTAAATAGTAGATACTGGCACTAATGGGGCGCAGCACTGCAGAAGTTCCCTAGGCTAGGTCTGACTCAACACCTAATGGACTGTTGTCCGTGTTTCCTCAAGGTCTTGTGAGATAAACTATTTTCTACTTCCTCTTGATTGGCTTAATTACTTTGCGACCGGAGTAATAAACGGTTGTCTGTGATTTCCATGGTACAGCAGTAAATGAGCTCAAGTGAGCTCTTCTAGTCCCCGTATCCCACCTTTACCAACGGAATCAATCTAGATTGTAATTGGACAGCTTTAACCCAGCTAGCTTTCTTCTTCATCAAAAGAGGGGGATAGCCCAAGAATTTTCACCGCGACATCCGAGCATCATTATTACAACTGTGTGGCACCAAGACTGCATCTTGCTATATGCCTCGTGTGCCGCTAAACTTGAAGCTGAAGGGCTCAAAATACACGATACCACGTGCACCCACATAGAGTCAGTGTTTGTAGACATCTCTATTGGCCCTTGGCCATACAGCTGCTTACAAACCCTACAAAAACAACCTTGCCGATTGTCGATCAAACTTAGAAATACTAGCTCCGTTGTGGCCCTGGCTCATAATGTCCGGCAATGCCGCCTTCTCTTACCTATCTACGTTATGATCTCCTGAGTAACAATTATAATAGTGCAAATTGACAGCCGAATTCAATGAATACACATTCATGGCAACCCTTAAGGCACCGCCGATCAAACTCAGAAACACTAGCTCCATTGCGGCACTTGTTGATAATGACTTGCAGCGCCGTTTTCATATACCTCCTTTAGGTGATGATCTCCTTTCCTCCAACTGTGGTGGCGCGACTTTGAGCAGTCAACATCCAATATCGATCAAAACTTGTTCACGGGGAATTTAACCAAGAATTCGTTAAACTCAGATTTACTAGCTTCATTGCAACGGCACTTGTACACAGTGGCCGGCAAGTCTTCTTCCTATGTTTACCGAGTTTGGCGAGCCACGACCGTGGGGGGCCGGGGCGTAACCCGGAGAGACAAGGATAGAAGTCTTACGAGTGATCGTGCAACAACAGAGCACAATGCGCTGAGAGCGTGTATATATTCAACATCGTATTCGCTGTTCGTTCTGCTGTCCTCTGAGCTTGTAACCTCTTCCCGATCTAACTGTCACTACTTTGCCACATTCATTGTCTGAAAGTTGAACATTCCGAATAGAGATATCCAGTATGCACTACAAGATCTACGTGGCTGTTTTCGCTACGATAGCCGTGTCTAGCATCGCTGCTAGTCCAATTCCGCCAGTAAGTAGACCGGAGCTCAAGTGAAATTCGAAAAGCGCCTCTAACACACTTCAGCCCGATGACCAATTCGGCCTCTGTGTCGAGCCAATCGAGCCCGCACAACTGTCTCAGGCCCAGCGAGACACTCTTCAGGGAAAAGGAACCAACGGCGCCTCGGACTGGACCCATTCACCGTGCGGTCATGCTATCCCCAGGGCTGTCGAGACCAGGGACCTGCCCAAAGTCTTCGGCCAGCCGAACTACCTGAAGTTTTCTATCATTGCTAGACAAGGTACTGGAGCAGGAGGATCTGCTGGAGGTGGCACTGGAGGAGGGTCCGTTGGAGGCACTGGGGGTTCAGGTGGTGGAGGATCCGCTGGAGGTGGTACGGGAGGTGGTGCCGTTGGAGGAACCGGCGGAGCATCTGACGGTGGATCCGCCGGAGGAGGTACCGGAGGAGGGTCTGTCGGAGGCACCGGCGCAGGTAATGGCGGATCCGCTGGAGGCGGAACTGGAGGGGGTGCTGTCGGAGGCACAGGAGGAGGGGGGGGGAGGAGGTTCCGCCGGAGGTGGTACGGGAGGCGGGTCTGCTGGAGGAGCCGGAGGAGGTTCCGCTGGAGGAGGCACAGGAGGGGGTGCTGTTGGAGGAGCTGGGGGAGGATCTGCGGGAGGTGGTACTGGGGGAGGGTCCGCTGGGGGGTCCGGAGGAGGCTCCGCCGGAGGTGGCACTGGGGGAGGTGCTGTTGGAGGATCCAAACGGGGCTGGTCCGATTTTCCAGACAAGTCTATCGTCCGTAAACAAAGCGCTGGAGGAGGCTCAGCTGGAGGAGGCACCGGGGGAGGGTCAGTTGGAGGTACTGGAGGTGAAGGTGGAGGCGGTTCTGCTGGTGGAGGCACTGGCGGAGGATCTGCTGGTGGAAACGGAGGAGGTGATGGAGGCGGTTCTGCTGGAGGTGGCACTGGAGGTGGTTCTGCTGGAGGAACTGGCGGAGGTAATGGTGGAGGTTCAGCTGGTGGAGGCACCGGGGGAGGGGCTGCTGGAGGCTCCGGCGGTGGTAACGGTGGAGGCTCTGTTGGAGGGGGCTCTGGGGGAGGTGCTGCTGATGGCTCGGGAGGAGGCAATGGAGGAGGATCTGTTGGGGGAGGTACCGGAGGAGGTGGTGCTGGCGGCTCGGGCGGAGGTAATGGAGGAGGATCTGTTGGGGGCGGCGCCGGTGGCTCTGGTGGAGGTAGCGGTGGAGGTGCTGTCGGTGGGAATGCTGGCGGAGGAGGTTCTGCGGGAGGAAGCTCTGGGAGCTCTGCGCCTGCGAGTATCAGCAACCCCAGCGTGAGCCTCAACGTTCTTAATGATCTTGATCTAGCTGACCTGCTTGATCTAGGAGGCCTAGCTTGAGCAGCTTTTCTTGAGTTTCTAATACATAATACGGCGATGGCACGGCAATAAATTAAGGACATAGTACCAGTTTGTGGTTGGCACACTTGAGTCTGGTGAAGACTGAACCAGCAGAAAGATATAGCAGATAATAGGGGCCCCCTTCACATCTCAGCTGACTACTTGCGAAACTGCAGTGCGCAGTGATCAATGGTGCGGCGAGTAATAACCAAGTCAGGGCCGTACTTCTGGTCATAGCGATGTCAAGCGACCACCATTGCCACTTGATACTAGCGGCATGAGGCCCACTGCTTAAGCGGCCGCCACTTCTCCGGTAACAGTGAGGTTGATCGAGAGAACAGCACTCAGATTGATTCCAATTCAACCCATATCATGCACTATAAGCAGTACCGTGACGGGAATATTGACCAGCCCTACGGGTCAAACGTTGAGAGTCCCAGCAAACAGTGGTTCGGGCTGTGTAGCTGGTGTCCCTCTTGCTTATCCCATACCAATCACGATATGGAAGACGAGCTTGAGGCCGAAATACGAGGATAGGTGTTCTACCAGGTCGAATCACTCAAGACACGGCGCCAAGTCACTGTAAGGAAACCCAGCCGAACTTATCAATCTTTAGCTGAGGTTCGCGAAATGGTCGTCAACTTGCACAAGTCCCCGATCATCATATCACAATACACGATAAGCCCTTTCTCTCATGTGAACGAACTTTCTAATCTATTAGGTGACGGAATTTTCGTCATGGCGAAGTGGACGTGGGCATAAACGAAGTGAGATTCATTTACATGCGTGGTGATTCCTTCCCGTGAACTGTTCCAAGTCATAACACACCTGTACCTCGCTTCAGCTACCCTATAATCGGAGAGTTCGCACGCTCCATCCCAGAGGTTACGTGGGACGCATTTGACTACGCCAATTACGACGAGTCTCGCGCCAAACTGCCAAAAGATCAACGAACGCAGACTCGTGCGGCCATGATACAGCAGGACGACTCATTTGATGTCATGGAATGCGAACAGAAGATAAAGGAGGTGGAGGGCTTGGCCGAAGCGGATTCTGATGCAGAGTGTGAGAACATCAATGAGACCGAGACGTAACTCTCGTCTCTGGCCAGCTGTCACGGGGATGACATCAAGCTTCCAAGAAGTAGATTTTGACCAAAGCGAGTAGACCCTTTGTTCAAAATACTGAAGTGCAGAGCAGTTCTCCTTCTCTTGTTGATATTGTGAATTGAGCCAAGCAAGTGTATAATATCACGGCGTAGTCTGTGATATTCGTCATACTATATGGCTCTTCCAGTTTCCCCCGGTCGCACGTCTCGGTGGGGCCACAGGGATACGCCAAGTAAGAAGATGCCTTGCTGATCGGCGAAACTTTCCCTCTACGACCTGCATATTACTGTTTCTGGACTCCACAGTAACTCACTAGTCGTTACCCCACATAACATTGCACTTTCAAGCATTAGAATCCAACCACTCTGGGGTAAAAGCTGCATTAGTGCACGCAACGCTCTTCAAAGACAGGATCATAAACTTCCAGAGTTGGAAGAGAAGGAAACAAACGATGAGCTGCCTACGTCAAGCCCTGGAGGTTCGGATCGCCCTGATGAGTGGCGGCGCCGGCAATATAAGATGCGCTGCCCGCAGCTGGAGATGCTTTCGTGGCATCAGAGGTGCACTCAACCCAGCGAAAGACAAGTCTTGGAACGCAGTTCGTAGTTCGCCTCCCCAAATCGTCAATAGATCACCATGGCACCAGTCCGCAAGTTGAAAGTCGGCTGTGCCGGCCTTGGTCGCATGGGAGCTCGTCATGCACTCAACTTCCAGAACCGTACGCCCCGAGCCGATCTAGTTGCAGCGTTCACTCCAGACCCAAAGGAGGTCGAATGGGCGGCAACTGAGCTGCCAGGTGTCAAGGTCTATACAGACTATGACGAGATGCTGAAGCACCCCGGGTTGGAGGCCGTGGTTGTTGCTTCTGTCACGACGGCACATGCGGAACAAGCTATCAAGGCTATCAATGCAGACAAGCACGTCCTGTGCGAAAAGCCGTTGAGCACCAGCGCGGAAATTGTGAGTATAACTTTCCCGGTCAAATTTAATACCGGTCGGCGGATGCCATCTAACCACCAGATTGCATGGAACAGTCACAATCAGTCGTAGACGCAGCTCAGAAGAAGCCAAAGCTCAAGGTCATGTGCGGCTTCTCCCGCCGGTTCGATGCATCGTACAGAAACGCATTTGAACAGGCAGACGCCGGTGCCATCGGCCGCCCTTCGGTGTTCCGCTCTCAGACGTGCGACAAGCTCGACCCTTCTGGCTTCTTTGTCGCATATGCCGAGTTCAGCGGCGGTATCTTTGTCGATTGCAACATCCACGACATCGACTTGGCTCTGTGGTACTTTGGGCAAGACTCTGTCGTCAAGAGTGTGGTGGCCATGGGCATCACTGCAGTCCAGCCGGGCCTTCGAAAGCATAAGGATGTCGATAACGGCGTGGGCATCGTCGAGTTCTGGGGTGGAAAGATTGCATACTTCTACGGTAGCCGGATGATGGCGGCCGGCCAACATGACATGACCGAGATTATTGGGACGGAAGGCAAGCTGACGGTCAATGCCAACCCCATGGGTTCGTTGGTGGAGATGCACGAATCCAATGGTGTGCGACGTGAGATTCCACCTGATTATTACGGCCGCTTCGAGCATGCGTTTGTCACGGAAGCGAACGACTTTACCGCGGCATGCTTGGACAACACCAAGTTGCCTTTCAAACTGTCGGGGGCAGTACAAGCAGTCAAGATCGGATGTGCGCTGCAAGAAAGTTTGAACTCGGGACAGAAGATTTGTTTTGACGAAACAGGGCGGCGGATCGAGACGGCTAAGCTATAGTAGCTCCTACACGCGAGACGAATGGGCCGAGTTATAGGTTCGTGGAGTGCTGGGTAATTAAGTGAAGCTAACCAGGACAACTGGGCCATTACGTGCAGTCGCTTCAGTCGTGAGGAGAAAATAACGCTTAAAATCCTTGTTATCCCTGGGTATATACTTCCAGCCCATGGTGGCTTCCAATCGTTGCACGTACACATAACATGAAGAACCGCAATTTGAAAGCAGCAATAGTCTAGGACGAACTCGAGCGCCCCTATCAATCCCACCCTCATATCAAATCACATCCTCGTACCAATCATGGCCGGGATTGGGACTCATTACCAAAGGCGCTCCCAGCAACGTCTGGCGAAGCTCATCTGGGCAAGACGCTCCTTCTCAACCTCCTCGATGCCACCCTCTTCCCAGTGTCGGCACTCGTCGTCGACCTCCTTCTTACCGCTGATCAGGTCGGCCTGAGATGGCTTCACGAACGAGGTTCGCTTGACGACCTTCCAGACGATGAACATGAAGATGCCGAAGAAAAGCCCAAAGTAGGCGGTGACGAAGCTGCGACTGTCAAAGGGAACAAATGTGTTGTAGCCCACAAAGATCAGAGCGAGGACGCCCAAGACGAGAGCCAGGTAGGCGGTGTATGGGGCCCACGGGGCGCGGTACGGCAACGATGCCGGGTCGAGTCCCTGGGCATTGCGTGCGCGGTAGAAACCGATAAAGGCAACCAGCATCATGGTGTAGGTCATGATAAGGGCCGTGGTGGTCAGGTCGACGAACCAGTAGAAGACCTCGACGGCTGAGTTCGAAGACACCAGGAAGGTGATGCAGGAAATCAGGGAGACGGCGACGACGGACCAGATGGGAACACCCGACTTGGTGCACTTGGCGAAGATCTTGGGGGCTTGCCCATCTAATGTTGTGGGTCAGCATGGGATGTATCACACAATGACTTGGAGCGGCGGAGTTGCACATACCTTTGGCCAGGCCGTAGAGAGTGCGGGATGAAGAGTAGAGGTATGCGTTACCGCACGACCAGCCCGAGATCATGATCAAGGCGTTGATAATGTCGGGAAGCACATTGATGTGAAGGTTCTTGATACCAACAACCCAGGGGGACGCGGCCGCACCGGGTTCGCTGTTCTCGATGGCTCCCAAGAGCGAAGGGTCGCGGGACGAGCAGATGATACCGACGCACAAGACTCCAACAATGTAGAAACCAACCAGGCGGTAGAAGATGAGCTTGGCCACGCGGGGAATGGTTCGGCGAGGGTTCTGGATCTCGCCGGCGGCAAGGGCGATCATGTCGGGGCCGGCAATGGTGAAGGCGGCGTAGATGACGACCTTGAACCAGCCCAGGAACCTGCCGGTGTCGCCTGTAGCGTAGAATTCGTGCATGGCGTTCCCACTACCCCAGTTCCGGAAGCCGTAGGCGTCGTGCTGCGGGTTGCCTCCACTCATGGTGATGAGAGTGATGAGGCAGAGGCCGAACAACAGAATAACCTTGGTCGAGGCCATGATGAACTCGGATTCTCCATACCATCTTTCACAATTGTCAGCATGCGGTTCGCGGTCCCTCATTCGTGCCGCAAAGCTCCACTCACTTGACAGCCACAACGTTCAGCAAGAAGCACACGACCATGGCCATGGCGATCCAGGCGGCCGGGTTAATATCCGCGTTCCAGTATTGCATGACCGTAGCGACAGCCGAATATTCCGTACACACAAGCATCACGCCGGCGAAGAAATAGGTCCATCCCATGGCGAATCCCAGTGCAGGGTCGACGAACCGCGAGGCCAGCTCGAAGATCGATCCACGAACGGGCAGATAGGCGCACATCTCAGCCACAGTCAAGTTGAGGGGCCAGATGAACAGGAGCCCCCAAAAAGCGTACCCCAGAATCAGGGACAGCGGGCCGGCCTTGCTGAGAACACCACCGATTCCGACCTGTTGGTACACCAATAAGCTGGGGTTCATTTTTATGTGTCATTAGACCGAGGCGTGGGGATTTCCTTACCCAGAGTCCAGTACCAATAGATCCACTATAACACGGGGAGTTAGTAATTGGTCAATGCGACGAAAACATGGGGGTGGGTTTTCTGTCCTGCTCGGCCCTGGACCTCTGGAGGCGCGGGGCCCCAAGAATTCGAGGACCGCAAAGACCAGCAAACGTACCCAATAGCCATCAACTGGACGTGTCTCGGACTGAGACCACGCTTCGTCTCTCCATAATCGTTTCTCGTTCCGGTGATGACCTCTCCCGACGTGTTGTCGCTGCCGCTCATCACGGCGCTCAGGCCGCCGGACTTTTCGGTATCCATGACTGTGGCGGGTAGAGAAGGTGAATGTCGTGATAATGAGATGGAGTAGAGGAGATGGGGAGGTTTCCCCAACGAGATATATAGATCATTGTCGTGCGTGGCCCGACTGGATGGTTATCAGCTGATTGGGATGGCATGGGCCCAGAACAGAGATAAGCAGAGCTTGGCAAAGATGGGGATTGACTCCTGCGCGCTACAAACAAGAACCTCTGGTCGTGGCAATCGTGCTTGGCTGACGACCTTGCAAGATGGTGCGGCCAAATGATAGCGATTGATAGTTGCCAAGCCGGTGGCGCCGTTGATAACGGCAGTTTAGGGGCGTCCTGGGGGCCTGGCAGCCAGGGGCCTGGATTGGCTAACGAGTCAGTCTCTCAGTCAAACTGATTGCGACCTCGCGGCTCCGTTGACTGTGCCCAGGAGCCATCCAGCCTCACTAGAGCCCAGGAGGCATGGCTAAAGCTTGGCTTTCGCGAATTTACCGCATGGACATGCCCGTTCCTGTTCAAGGTCAAGATTTCGCGCATGTACTTTCCTCATCCTGATTAGGAACTGATCTGCCCTATTCGGGTGGTGCCTGAGGCTTGAGCTAAGGAAGTCTGGAAGTTTACCACATCGGTCGCGTGATAAAGCTTGTTACATAATTCTATCATTGACACTCAATGACATTAGAAACACGACGTTGCACTATTCGATAGCCTAGTACGTCCTGATATACTCGTGCGGAGACTATGACTATCCATCCAATCAAGCCCATCTCAAGTCCAGTCAACCTCAGGCAGTGCGAAACCACTTGCCCTCTGTTGCATCGTCTCGCCTTGCCCACCAGGACAACAATCCCCCCTGCATACAAGCGACGAGGGCATCATATGCCAAAAACACAGTCAATTCCCAAACGTCGTTGAAGGAACCCGGGGATACACCAACCACTGCATGACGAAGGTCTTCAATCTCTTGTAACCGTGAAGAAATCGATATTTGTCGCCCGTTTTCCTCCGTTTCCTTATGGCATAGTAACTAATTCTATACTCCATGATGGTCAAGTGGTAGATCACTTTGTGTGGTTGAAGCTTTCAGGTACTACGAAGCTGTTCAAACCGACCTGCATTAGCGAGAGCGACCACGACAATTACCCCGTCCCGTACTGCGGACCTCTCTCCCGAGGCATTCATCGAGTCTGAGCCAGCGTCTAGGACAAGTCTGTGTATACGATCAGTAATTAAATCATCCAGTATTGGTTATACAATATCCTATAACTGGCCACGAGCATCATTGGTCTTGGCTGCGACGTGGTTGGCAGATAGTTGCGTGCTTTGCACCGCAAGTGGCAGTGCCTACAGAATCCCCGCATGCGGTACCCACCTAATCTGAGCACCAGTTTGCATGAACTGCTCAGCAAAGACTCGTGGGTTGTGACGAATAGAAGGCCCCGCAAAGCTGCACCACTTGCACATACCAGCAATGGAGCCTATGTTTGCCAGACAACAGGCTTGGACGAATTTTGGGATGAACTTCCATCTCGGTTCTCTTTTTCATTGTCCCTTTGCTGTTCTGGGCCCTCTATGGTGTCAATTCGTCGGGAGGACACCCAGAAAAAAAAATGTGTCGGATGATGCGTATCACCTATGGCTGGGTCTATATGGTACATGATTGTGCATGGTACTGGGCGAGAGGGTCCCCCTAGCCTGACACTTCAGTGCCTGTATGCTCCTAACACCTGCCATCCGGACAGAAGCATCAACGTGGAGCAAGAATAGACGAGAACTTCACATCGGGACATCACGAATGTGCCCCGATGTAACAAGCCTGTGCTGTAGCATGTCAAGGATGTAATGCAAGTGCAGCACACCGTTGGTGCTGCACTTTATTCAACATATTTAGGTTTATTGCTGTGTGTGAGGCCGTGCCACTTTAGTGATCCTATTGAGAATGCATTTGCGCAACTGTACACATCGGTATTTGCTCGTCCCGCGCTGGTTAGACAGTGTGTCGGAGCCATCAAGACCAGAACACTACGGCGCTACATGGCTAGTAGAGCAAGTGCCAGGCGACCCATCTCCTCGGAACCGTGAAATGGATAAAAAGGGGGCATTCAAGGCTCGCATGCCTGCACTTGAGTGACTGGGTCATGGCGCTGTCTCGAGGAACACGCAGAACCTCAGAAACGCAAGAGTACAATTCAAGGCTCACGTGCAAGAACCTACATGGTGCCCTTCCGTTTGCATGGATGCACCCTTGGATCAACACGGCTTGGTATGTGGTGGTGGCGGCGTTGTGTATTGATGACTTGTTAGCAGTTGCCCGTAGTGCACTTCTGGGGCTCAGGTTATCAACGTGCCTTGGAGAGATGATATGAAACGGTTATAGCAGGAGATTAAGGAAACGCTACCGTTGAGTTAGTCGATGTAATTTTGACTTCAAGATCGAGATGCGATGGATTCGACTTGCACAGTGGGTGCTATGTGAAAACGCAACCAGAAACTGGCGGCATGACGGATGAAGGAGAGTGCCAAGATCTCCAGAGAGTGGGAAACGTGTCTAGTGCAGTGCAGTGGAAGAGCAACAGATCAATGTACATGGGTTCTTGGTTTAACGTGGTGGGATGTTCTATATATAGCACAGTATGCGCACCGTGTGGTGTCTTATTGATTACTGTGCTTATCGGAGCTCCCTTTGATTACCCACCATCACAACCAACTTGAGATGGCTTGGAGGATCGCACGACAGCATTCCAAGCGGGCTTCTTGCAGGACGCTTTGGACTCATTGTTATTTGCTTTCCCACCAGCCGCCACGTCAGGACTCCTGAGGAAGGCTGGTGCCCAAAGGCAACTGCGAAGCTCCAGCCCTCAGACTTTTCTGCGAAATCTACCACATTGTCAGACTGGGATCCAACTCTCAAGGAGGCAACCACTACGAGGACTGCCGCGACAGACGGCAATATCGTCAACATGGCTACAGAAGATGCGCGCTACCGGACCTCGTCGCAGTTCCGACTGTGGTCCTTCACACCAGCCCATCTCTCATCGCTGCGCGCGGAAAACAACCATCTTGCCAAGGCCGCGATCTCGGCGCGCCTGCAGTCCTCTGTACCGCCCGTCGACCATCTTCCCGAATTCCTCACGTCCGAAGAGGAGCTTTCCCTGCTCAACTTTTACACTGTCGAGCTTCTGCGAGCTGCCGCCTTCCTTGAGCTTCCGACCGACATCCGTGCGACGGCCGCCGTCTTCCTCCGCCGCTTCTACATTACCAATAGCATCATGACATACCCCCCAACCGAGCTGCTCAAGACTTGTCTGTTCTTTGGGTGCAAGTCCGAGGGTTACTTTATGCGACTCTCCAAGTTTGCCGAGAAATTCCCCAACACGAGCGGCGAGGTCGTTCTTGCAGCCGAATACGTCTTGTGCCAGGGCATACGGTTCGCTTTCGACGTACGGCATCCTTTCCGAGCACTCGAAGGCGCCATCATGGAGCTGCGCAGGCTGGGAGACTTTGACGCCAAGAGAGTGGACCGCGCCCACGGCAGGACTCGGGAGATACTCAAGTTCAGCCCGCTCGTCACGGACGCCTACTTCCACTACACCCCGAGCCAGATTATGTTAGCCGCTCTGTCCATGGCGGATGAGGGCTTGGTGCAGCGCATGCTGAGAGACGCATTCGCTGGACAGGGTGAAGCTGAGAAGGAAAATGTCTGGTCTGTCATCCAGTCTGCTCGCGAGCTGCTGGAGAGAGAACCGCCGGAGAGAATGACGGAATACTGGGGAAGCGTACGTATCTTCTGATGTAATATGAGCTCGGACGTCATGGGCTGACAGTACACAGCAAGAGACAAACAGGTCCATGAAACCTCTGATCAAGAAACTCAAGAAGTGCCGCGATCCTGACCGCGTCGACCTGGTGGCCCTGCAGAAAGCCCGCCGCCAACAAGCAGAGCAGAAGAAACCAAAACCCACACTCAAGGACGACACTGCCATCTTCGGGGGGGCCGTCGATGACCGCGAAGCGAAGAGAAGGAAGACAGCCGCCAACGGAGATGACCCATTCGGGCCTTCATTGGGTTGAGAGTAGCATATCTGACGCCACAAAGCCGACCACTGCCGACGATGAGATACGGTGAGTTTTCGCTTATGCTTACACTGGACTTGATCGTGATCAGAAGGGTTGCGAGCGAATGCAGCACCAGCGTCAACTGCTATATGCAGCTGGAGTGTGTTGGCGTGGTCCGTCCAGTGAGGTTATGCTAGAGGTGGCTATGCTCTAGCAGCGCAAACTAGGGTCCAACCTGCTCCGGTCATTGCTGAATGCCCACCCTCTTCAAAGACAAGGGTGGCTAGATCATCTGGATCTTCTAGGTTCATTAATAGTCTGAGATTGGCGACTGTATGGACACTACTAGAAGTTATTCAGCGTCAGAATTCTTAGACCCTTGGTTCCATTGCAAATGAGTGCAGGATCCAAGTTGCAACTTACTTGCATCCGGTCACTCACTTGGCATTGGGACTGTTCAAACGCGTAGCCTCGGGCGGGTCTGCCTTGATAGATACCAATTGTTTTGATAGAATTTAGTGATTGGAAATTCACTGATGATACAATGCAATACAACACATTGCAGCACACGCTGTTCACGATCGCTCGTGCGCGTTTGATACCTACATGTTCTGCCCATGCGAAAACGCTGTGCTCGTCTAGCAAACACGCCCCATCGGTCTATAGAATAAGATATGTTTGGTTGTTGATGCGTAACTATGCTTTATAACAGCCTGCATACTTGCGCAAACACACTTCACGAGACTGGGCACGCTATACTGCCCATGATCAGGTCAGCCACCTAGATATCATAGGCTATCCAACGAAACTCAAACTGAAGGATGATCGAAGCCTAATACTGTCGTCCAACCACGGTGATCCTGCTCATGTTCAAATACCCCATTTGACAGTCAGTCCTGGATACTTTTGTCTCGAAAACTTACAGCCAATGAGAGCGACCTGGCTCCTGTGAGTGGTATTTGTCGTGGCCGGAGATGTTTCGAAATCCAAAAGCCCGTCATTTCTGTGTGCAGTCACCTTGTCGGTAATCCAAGGCTCGGCATTTGATAGTCAGTCGGCAGATCCGCAGCCGAATTCTTGGTCAAAACTTGGTAGAATCAGGGAATTACTCATGCATAACTTCCGAATGACCAACAAATATGTCGATCTGCTTTAGTTGCATGCAACCAGTCAGCCATTGAAGGGTTGACAGACACACCAGGAGATGAAACGACCCAGCATCAGCCCCCGCATTCATTCAGGGGGGCTTTCCCCAGACTTCCCCGCAGCCAACCTGTCGTAGATCCGCTCTCTCCCCCTTGCCGCAAGAGACATGCTTCAGGGATGCAACCTTGACAGCTGGAGGGCCATTTCGTGGGCCACAGGGTGCTGATGGAACAACGTCATCCCATCACGGGTTCAAGAGACCCCTGATGTGCGCTCTGAGGGATGCAAGAGTACTGCGGTTTCCGCAACTTTCTAATAACTCCTTTACTTCGGTCGACCAAGGTTCAAGACGATTCCCATGGTTGATGCATCTCTTGCAACTTATAAGCTACCATGTGGGCTTCAGTATTCAGGTCGGCATCTTTAGCGGCACTCTGCTCTGGGTTTCTTGGGTGCCAAGCCCTCCAAGGCTGGCCGAAACAGGGAACTATAGTTCAAGGCAATGCTGTGCAATTCGATCAAGCAACATGGCAACGCAATCTTGCCAAGCCTAACTCAACAGGCAGTTTTCCCGTTTCTGGCTTTGACATCTCAAAGAACTATTCAAGCCAAACAATAGATGGCTGGAGGCTATCCGTCAATGTGAGCAGCGGCATACCGGACTCAGAGACATTGAACCCAGGCAATGGGAGCGGCCAGGTGTTCACGGGCACCAGTATATTTCTGCAAGCGCCTAGAGATGTTGTCAACAATATCGACTCGGATCAGAGCACAACACTGGACACCCCGTGGAAGATCTGCGTTACGGTTGTTTCAAACGGACCGCAAGTAGATCCCTCAACGGCCGACAATGGGACCTGCAGCGGGTTCAGTTCTCAGTGTATATCGGATCTGCAGCAGGCCTTCGCAGATAAATTTGCGGAGAATCAAGACTGCTATAGGCTTCCACCTGACCCTGCAAGCTGTGGCAGCGCTTTTAATTCTGGGAATCTGACCACTCAACGTAAGCGATTTCCCAGATTATGTGACCTCGTTTCTGAACAACCAGGCAGAGTTTCCAATCAGTTACGCGAACGGAACGGAGATTTTCGCCACCGCATCTGACGCCCACGATTCCAGCAACACTACAGCCTATGATGCTGCAGTGAGAACAGAGTGGCCAGTGCTCGTCGTTTGGGGATGGAACATCCGGGCCCACGTTTCTGGTGATCAGAAGCCGACTGTGCAGTTGACGTGCATCAGAGCCAACGAAGCGGTGTCAGGGACCAACACATCGTCATCGCAGTCACTTCCTCGTGCCTCTCCAGTTATCGCAGTATCTGTCGCAATAGCCGTGGGTCTGATGCTCTTCTAGGTATCAGACGAGTAGTACCTGGTTTTAATGGTCTGGGGCCGGTTGACCGGTACGGAGAAGTTGCTGGTTGAAAGCGCTTAAAACTTTGAGGCTGCATGTCACTGTCACAAGCCGGCATGGCAAACTAGTGAGCTGGCATCGGAGAGACGCGCAATGTATCCATGACAGCGAGGATTTTTATACTAGACGCACTCTTTCTATGCTGTAACACCGGTTATCCCATTATGGAGTCGTGGATATTATGTCCTACTACGCTGGTCCATCTAACATGAGTCCAATGGACATCCAACCTGAGTACCATATACGCTACCGCCGACGCCACCGAGCTGAAGGGCAGCGCCGACAACTCCGCCCAAGCCCTCACCCGCAATCAAGCCCGCAGCAACAGCATAGCAATAGGTCTCGTAGCTGATGCGTTTCTTCTTCATCCACACACAACTGGCTACGGCCCCCATGAGTGTCGCGGTACTATAGACGGTCTGTGGGATGACGAAGGCGATACCAATGGCCATCCAGTTGGGCAGGTACTCACGGTACTTTTGTCTACCGCCAACGAGGAGTATGTGCTTCAATATCACTTGGACGATAGTAATGGCCCCCAATACGCAGGCGAAGATGCCGGACGACAGGGGGAGGTCGAGGTCGCCGGTGACTGCCTGAGCGACTGCCCGCCACGCTGAGACTGAAGGCGCGGAGAAAGCACAGGTCCGGTGCTCATCCAGACGGATAATGCACGGGTAGGCCGACATAAACAGTACAAAGACACCAGGGGCAAGAAACATTGCCACGACAGCACCAATTGCTTGGGCGTAGAATTGCTTCTTCGGCGGTGTTCTCAATAGAAAGCCAGTTCGGAAGTCCGAGGTCAGCTCCTGAGACATCTCAGCAGCACCCGATGCGATACTACCAGCAATGAGGTTCACGCTCTGAGCTTGTGGGATCGTCAGCCCCTGGCCGGACGTGATGCCGCCAAACACGAGCTGGCTGGCGTTGGCACTAGCCGTGAGTGGAGCAATGTCCGTAACGCCTGCGCCGTGGATCCCCAGGAAGGCAAAGATGACAGCGAATATCGACGCCAGTATGGCAAGCCCGGCGTTGACGCTGAATTGAGTCTCGGAAATGATGCAAGCGACAACAGTCATGGCCAAGGCGCCCCCTCCCCAGATCCACGCGGGGACCTGGTCTTCATCCTTGGCGGGATCCTCGCGGAAGATATTCTCGTCGAAGACTGCTTGTCGCTTTGGCTGGCTTTGAAGATATGTCCGGCTTCGGCCGCCCTTCTTCTTCATGAAATCGATCGCCTTGGTATTTTTCCAAGCATACTTCAAACCGTGGTAGAATATCCGCCAATGAACGAGGAGCTCTGCCAGTGAGTAACAGACGAGCACGGCAACCCCCGGCCAGAGGAACCAGTACCGTGGCGAAGGAACGTATCCGGCCTGGTCGACATCAGTCATGGATGCGAAAGTGACGTATGCGTGCCACCTCTCGCTTTCAGGGGCCAGATCCTGCCCGGCGCAGATGCCGTAGTGCACCAGGATTGGGCCGAGGATGCCCCAGGCGAACAAGGTGCCGCAGAAAAGAGACACGGCAGTGTTCATGCCAACAAGCATGCCGCTGCCGATGAACGCCGGTGTCCATTCGATCAGCCAACCCCAGTTCTCTACTTGGATCGCCGCGTTGTTGTAGTTTCCCCAGATGAAGAACCACGTAAACACGTGCCAGTCGTACAAGATACCGACTGCGTAGTAAGACACGACGCGCTGCGTGAAAGCAGCCAGAAACGTGTAGCCAAGTGCCTTGATCCGTTTCATCGCATCGGCGGCGTTGCTATGAGCTGCATGCATTGACTGGATGGTGACAGCCGCAGCAGTTGCTAATTCCACGTTAAAGAGTGTCAGGTAGGGGGGGTTGTATGTCCTTACGCGTGGGAAACACCAGCCTCAACTCACGTGCCATGTTCACAATAAAGAACTTTCGCAGTGGTATGGCAAGGCACAGTCCGAAGAATGAGCAAACAAGTGTCAGGGTGAGGATTTTTGGGAAATCGTCAATGGGATTCTCCGACATGAGGTCGAGCTGATACATGGCAGGGAGCGCTGCGGTAAACAATCCTCCCAACCCTCCAGCTCCAGCTGCCGTCGCTTGTATAATCGAGTTCTCCTTGGGACCGAATGGTCCTCCCAAGACCGCGACATTCGGAAAGATCTTGGTGAGCAGTTTGACGATACCGAACCCGAAGATGGCGCCAAACATGGAAGCACCAAACAGGAAGCCTGTCTTGAGGCCTATTTTCTCCAGTCAGATTAAAGTCCTGTAAATCGTAAAACACCAGAGCGGCCGTATCAATTCCCCTTTGCTTTGGAAGAACAGCGTGGTAGTCTTACCAAGGTAGATGTTGGACGCGTTTACGAGCGAACCCAGAACGATCCCAACTACTAGTGCTCGTATCGTCAACGGGTTCTGCTCTTCCGGCGCATCCTCTACAGGGGGCAGAGGTTGGTAAAGATCCACGACTCCTCGGATGACATTGTCAAACTTCTCGTCTTCGATGGGTAGCTCCAAGTCGGGGACATTTGCCACCGGGGCGACGTCCGGAGGCACCTCCTCGGGGTACCGGTGCGACGACATAGTAGAGGTGAGACAAAAAGAGAAAGTAGTCCCACGACTAGTCGGCATCTATGGGGGGCTGCGTAGTTTTAACACGCCGATCCCGAACGCAACTGTGCATGTACCAAGGCACCCCAGTCTGCCCAGAGTGCTGAGCTGCTGAGGACTCAGCTCCTTGCCTTGTTCGTCTGGGGTCCCCGCGCCCCGTCTAACAGTTGATGTTTGGCTGCGATACTCTGTGGTTAAGGCTAAGTAAATCGCATCACTGCGGACGTAGGCATTACATCTGATAGTCTATTGTGTATTACCGACAAGAGTTAAATGTGTTTAAACTATATTCGGACCACTGACCATTTTCAACTATGAAAATTTCCCTTTACCATACTATGACGAGCCTGTTTGGTGTACCTCCTCCAGTGCACTTGGTTCACAGGAAAAAGATGCCGAGATGGCAGCGTGTGGTCTGACAGCCCCACAAAACCGGAACTCGGCACGGCGGCCTCGCGGAACACGGCGCCTGACCCCCCTCGAGGCAACGTAGAGCCTTGGAGTGAGGTGGCAGTTCATGCCGCAATTACTTCCACGGCGAAATAGAGGCAAATGTCGAATGCAGAGTCCTTGAGTCTGCGCGTGCACCTCAACCAGATCTACGACGTACGGCGATACGCTTTCGCGATGTTGTGAAGCTCAGCCTACCGGCCGTTCGGCACATCCGTCACGACGGTGCTTGGCGCTATAGTATTCCGAGTGGGCCCTGGTCTTAACTCCGGCGTGGGAAGTCTACGGCTCACGGCATCGAGCCTGAGCGAAATCAGATCTTTAGGCCGCATTACGGCAATCAGATGAGGATAACCTAGGCAAAGGGCTGTGCTGGTCAAACCAGATGATGAACAGCGCTCGATTCGTTCCTTTTCCACAAATCTTGGCAGCAGTGGCTGTGGAAGGCTTTCTATGGGAACCGTACGAATGGGAACTCTATAGGGTGCCCCTTTTTCTTCATCCCACTTTAGATGTTACTAGTGGTATCAGCTTCACACGTTACACAAGGGCCTTCAATGGTTTGGAAATGATATAAAGTAAGTTTGCACCACTTCTAGTCACCCTTGTTCTGGACTTCTGCTCATGGAATATCCCAGCATAATTTCGAGCAATCGCCCTTGTCCTGGTTTCAAGCAAGGGCAACGCCTTTCCAGAACTATACCGTCTGTACCTTGCGAGCCTGTTCAAATGCTGCCTGCAAGTCTTATCTTTGCCCCTGAATTGTGTTGGTTCGGACGAATCTATAAATTTGCGTCTACTAATACATCAGCGTTTAGAGCATTCAAGAGTCAAGTGAGAACCACCTCAACAGTACACTTCTGCGATGTTCATCTGAAGCTATGCCGGTCTTTCTCAATACTGCCGACGGGGATAATCTGACCGTGGTAAAGGTTGGTTTAACCTGGTAGCGAAGAAAGAGTCTCCCTTTGCCCACGATTACAACATCCAAAAAAGCCGCTTCTTCTCATGGTTGATCGACATTTTGTCTTCCTGCTCTCGCCAGAAGCTCTTCTTGAACATCTTCGCGGCCAATCTGTGGGATTTCTCTTCAGGTTGGTACTATGCAGTCCCAAGACCGGGTATGGGCGGCAAATGTTCAGGCTGGTGACGCCGCTAAGGTAGATGCCTGTTTTACGTTATATTTGAATCATCAAAGAGGGCGAACAGGAATGTGATCGATGGTTCGCATCCTTCTAGGGCGAATCAAAACTCTGCTACTGGCCACAACACCAGACCACGAGGACAATAATGGTGCAAGTACTCCTAACCTTCCGATTAGTTATGGCTTATTGGCTACACAGAGACACCGCAGGGTCCACGGGCGGCAAGACGACAGGTCTTCAAGCCGGGGCAGATGGGATGAGCGTAGCCAGCGGCTGACGCAAAACGATATCGAGCCACGGACGTTGTGGCTTCCGTCAATTTGAGGGTCGTGGGTATATTCGTCAATCATATAACAGCTACATACCCTTTTTCTGCGTCACTAATGATTTGGCCCGTATCGGTGCGGCGTAGCCCCTATTTCGTGTTTTCAAAAATGTGCGTGATTGGTGCGGGGTATCTGCGGATGAAACCGCCCTATTTAAGAAGCACCATGCTGAGAATGTCATACACACACTCCTTTACTTGCATGCCATCTTTTGATGCTGAGATTTTAGACTCAAACTTTCGTTGTCGGGTTCCATTTGAGTCGTTACCTCCTTTTTGAGGAAATCTAGCGGGGTTCACACTTGGAAGCCATGGCATCCTCTCACCCCCTTTCCGCTACCTCCCTGTTTTGCCTGAAAGGATGGGTAGCCGTCGGTGAGTGAGATTGGCATTGTCGCTTCTGAATAAACCTGAAAACTGACTTGTGGGTTTCTAGTGACGGGCGGCGGAACAGGCATCGGACTAAGTGAGTGAATCGCAGACGCCTGACCGAAGAGGGGCTGGTCTCATCATCTCCGCAGTGATCACGCAAGCACTTGCTTCTAATGGAGCCAAGGTGTATATAACCGGCCGCCGTACCGATGTGCTCGAGACCACCGCGCGTGTTCATGGTACTGCCGAGAGGCTTGGTTCCGGTGGTGGTGCTATAGTGCCGTTGGCAATGGATGTGACGTCCAAGGAAAGTATCACAAACGCGGTGGAAAGGATTTCCCAGCAGGAGAGCCACATCAACGTGTACGTACGATGTTATATCCCGATTGAGTATACCATGTTGAGTTGATGCTATGTAGTCTGGTCAACAATGCTGGAGTCTGGGCAGGACGACCAAGCGCAAAGCCTCAGGATGGTCCTGAGGCTTACGGCAAGGCAATGTTTGACGAAGGCATAGAGGACGGTTGGCAGAGGGGTAAGCAGTCAGTCATCTACTGGCTTCCATGTCTAACGAGACTCAGCATTCCTCACAAACAGCACCGCTCCGTACCTGGTCACAGCAGCATTTGTTCCATTGCTTGCCAAGGCCCAAAAAAGCACAACAGGCAAAGCCGGAAGCGTGATCAACATTTCTTCCAGTTCGGGAATGATCACCCTGTGAGTCAACCCCCACTCTACATGAGCTCTGAATACTAATGCCGGTCGTAGAAGCCAGAACAGCCAGTATTCGTATAATGTAGTAATATCATACCCGCTCCCGCTTTTCCGTCATACTAACCTCTATCAAGGTCAGCAAGGCCGCGTTGAATCACCTCACGAGACAAATGGCCTATGAACTCAGGAACGAAAACATAAACATACGTGTCAATGCCATTGCTCCTGGTAAGCAAGTTGACTCGTACTGGCTCTCTTCCGACTGCTAATGGGTCATTCGATAGGATACTTCCCAAGCGAGATGACCGCCGGGCCTTCGGACGATAACAATCAAAATACATACGAACAAGAAGGGTTTCGCCAGTTTATGCAGAGCATGGGTGCCAAAGTCACCCGCATGGGGTCAGCTGAGGAGCTTGCCAGTGTAAGCCTACAAGAGGCGCCTATCCCATGAGGACCCAACTAACACGATACCAGGTTGTACTGACACTTGCCACCAATGATTATATTACCGGAGCTATCATACCAGTTGACGGTGGATTTACTCTATAGAATTGTGCGTGATCATTTGTTTGTGTGGAAGGGGTTCGACTACCATGGAAGATTTCATCTGTTCTATCAATTTAGCTCACTCGTTCCAGAACCTAGAAAACCGCACTCATAGAAGGCATGTAACCGATATTTATAGCCATTTGTTACACGCTCTGTCCTTCAGCCATCGCAAGTCCGTATCTATAAGAAAAGTTTATAAATTAGCCTTCCATAAACGGCTGGCGGACTCTGATCATAGACGAATATGAGGCGTTGGCCGAGGAAAGCTCCTGTTCCAGCATTCGGAGCAAGAGTTATGTCCCGTTCCTTACTTTAGAAGTCTCAAGCCCAATCTCCTTTGCGAGGGGAGCATTGGATTCTACAGATGGCATCACCCTGTACACTCGAGGGTGGTCCCGCTGATCTTAGAGCTTGTTGAGATGAAATCCCGTACCCGCGCCCTTCTTCATGGCATCTATTGATCTAGTTGCTACTATCTATGGTAATAGAGAACTTTGAGAGTCGCTTCCGTAGGGCTACATAAATTGCCCTAAGAGCGCTCCCCAGCAACCCGCGCTCGTCGTTCTCCGTGGTGTTCAATTCACTTGCCATGTGTCTTTTCTGATGTGAGACCGGCGGCCTCTAGCGATGTGTCGAAGGCCTTTAGCGTTTTTGATCTCTCATTCTAGCCAGATATTTCAGCTTACATAAATTTACAGTCACCATTTTAGCAGCTTTATAGGTGTCAATTGCCGGTTGGTCATCAGGTGAATCTACTGGAGAGGATTAATACAACTTTTGTCTGGCTCGGCTGTCTCATCCACAAGCTTCAGCTGAATGGAAGAGCAAAGTGACAAACCTGCCCCTGTACGTAATCTAAAAGTAACAGTGTTGTCTTGAATGTTGCCGGAGTATGCTTACCGACTTGAACTTCGAAGAATGTGACAACATGAGAACAGTGGTACCTTGGCAACACGAGCTGTCTAGCCCGACGCTCAATCTCTCCCAATCAACTTACCTTAGACCTAATAAATCGCTCAATCTGTCAAGATATCTGTCTATTCGTTGGGAACGATATCAAAGTCTTGTTTTCAGTTTTGTGGCTGCACGGAATGGATCATATGACATAATGTTTGTCAGGTAAATCCCTCATGTCTCATCTTGCCCGTTGGCAGAGGTAATCTACAGGCGCTGGAGACTAGCCAAGTCTCCTACATTCCAAGACCTGCATCAGACATCAAACGTGCCAGCCACTGGAAAAGTTGCTATAAGAGCTCAAACGCGGCCTCCATTATCAATGCTCGGTGCCGCCACAGTTTGTATAGTTGGGAAGACTGGAGCAAGATGCTTTCTCTACTGTATACTCTCGCATTGGCGACACTTTCTTTCTGCGTGCCGTTGGAAGAGCACCATGTTGATGATCGTGCGCTGCAAGAACGTGCTGTCTGCATTGGCCTGTCACAGGTGACTGACACGGTAGGAACCTACGCACCGAGTCTTTTTGGAACGTTCCGATGCTGACTTGCAAGTTTGACGCCGCCAACGTGATTCCTCTCCTCCCAAACTTGAACGGCGTCTTGGGCCCTGTCCCCACTGGAATATACTTGACATATACGAACATGGCCTACGCGAACATTGGCACTCTGTCGAATGCTCAACCCCCTAGCCTGCCCAATGACATTTACGTCGCACCGAGCACTAACAATGGCATCCTGACCCCAACCTTCAATAATGCCAATGCTTTCAAACTGAACAAATTTCGCTACGCTTGCATCGCTCAGTCCCTGCTGACAGCGGTCGAGCTCCCTGTCAGCTGTACATTCCAATTTACTTGCAACGTCTACGGGTCTTCCCAAATCTACACACAAGTATTTTCGTTTACCCCAGACACGTTGTTGTCGACCACTTTCAATACGGGAACATTCGGCCCCGAATTCAGCTCATTGTCCCAATGCAGCATCAATGTCCTGACCGGGAGCCTTGGGGGCTTGCTCGACTTTCTTCTGACCCCCATCACGATTCTAGCTATCGATGACATCGAAGTTCGGGGCCAAGCATGCTTCCAACCCTTGGGGCAGAGGGCAGGAGGAGTAACGTATCGGATCGGCGATAAGGCTGGACTGGATAAGTAGCCACCAACCTGCCGACATTCGTTGCATGCCGAGTTTTCAGAAAGTGGTAGCCACGGTTTAGTTATGTAGTCTCACTGCAGAGATTGGAATAGAATCCTGTGTTCTGACCAGTGAACAACCATAGCCGTAACCTGAGACGATTCGGGTAACACTTGATCCAGACTAAACTTCGACTTGCTTGCCGCGCTTAGCAGTGCAGGTTGTCCTGAGTGCAACATACTTTTTATCACCAGGACTGGTTCACGCAATTGTTGCTTGAGACACCGTGCCATCTATTTTTGCGTCAATTTACAGCATATAAGATAGGACTTTCATATAACCAAGTTGGTAATTAAAGGGGTATATAGAGTGTTGTCAAGGCGTCTAATCCAACGAGATGACCCAGCAATCATATCTCTTTTCAAGGCTTGACCATGCAAGTCTGCGCGCTTCCACCGGGTGGTTCTTTAAACGAAACAGTTTCAAGTATACTGATGCTGGTAGCACTTAGACCACCTCGCCGGGGCTCTTCTCACCTCCCTTCAGAGAGTTCTGGTTGTCGCCAGAGAGACTCTCCACAGGTGCAATATCGCTGGTGTGGCGCTGGAGCTCAACGTAGTCATAGGCAAATTCGCCAATCTGTCCATCATCCAGACCAATATCCTCCTCCTCGGGAGAGACACGGAGGCTGAGGCCAGGGATGAAGTTCATGATGAACAAAATGATGCAGGTCATGACGAAGGAGTAGCTAAAGCCGGCAACGCTATCGGCGATCTGGTATCCAAGCTGAACCCAGTTGTGGTTGACCCATCCACCGGGGATCTCAGTGAATCCGTCAAGGTGAGCAATATAGTCACTATAAAGAGTTAGCATCGGCTTCTCCCTTTTGTTCTTGCAAAGCGCGGGGCACAACTTACGCAGCGAAGAAGGCAGTCAGGGTGTTTCCGATCATGCCACCAATACCGTGGACGGCAAAAATATCAAGCGCATCATCAATACCAGTCAGGAACTTGAGCTTGGTAGCAAAGTTGCAGCCGATACCACCGACAACTCCAAAAACAACAGCGGCCCAGGGGGCAACGTAACCGGAACCAGGGGTAATGGCAACGAGGCCGGCAATCGCTCCAGAGCAGAAACCGACAGCAGACCATTTCTTCTCCAGACGGTAGTCAAGAAGACACCAAGTGATGCCACCAACAGATGCGGCGATGTGGGTAACAATGCAGGCCATAACGGCACGCAGGTTGGCAGCGAGAGCAGAGCCGCCGTTGAAACCGAACCAGCCGACCCAGAGGAAAACTGTGCCGAGGATGACGTGAGTGACGTTGTGGGGTCGGTATGGGAGACCGGCAGCCTTGGAGTACCCCGTTCGCTTCCCGAGCATCAGGGAGTAGGCCAGGGCGGCAGCACCAGACGAAATGTGGACCGGGGTACCACCGGCAAAGTCAAGTCCGCCCATGATGAACGACCAGCCCGTCGAGTTCCAAGTCCAGTAGGCAATGGGGTCGTAGACGATTGTCGACCAGATCAGCATAAAGACGATGCAGGGCAGCATGCGAGCACGGTCAACTGCGGCACCAATGGCAAGAGCCGGGCTGTTTTGTATGTTAGCTGATACACCAAGCCACGGGCAACTGCAGCTGTCGGCCACTCACGTAATAGCAGCGAACATTCCCTGGAATAGACAAAAGAGAAGATCGGGGATCTTGGTGCTTCCGACGGAGGGGGCAGCAAGCGTATCCTTGAGGCCAAAGTTGGAGAGATCACCAATGAAGGGGTTGGTGCTTGTGTGGGAGAATGCCAGACTGTAGCCCCAGAAGAACCATTGGAACATGACTAACGCGACCGACATCATCGACAGCCATATCAAGGAGAGGGCAGACTTGCGGCGGGCAAGTCCAGAGTAGAAGAAGCCGACGCCGGGGATCATGAGCAGCACGAGGGCCGACGAAGTCAGAATCCACGCAAAGTCACCACTCTAGACGAGAATCGTTAGTGATGGCCGCCGAGCAGTCTTCTAACAGAACCTAACGACGTACCTCATAGTAGACGTTCAAGTCTTGGGTGAGCGAATCACCCCCCGTGGGAATGGTGTCATTCTCAGGGTACGGCGTCACGTACAGACTGGCCGACATGGTGTAAGATTCCGGGTAAGCTGCCGCTCACAGTGAGGAAGCAGAGCTTCGGGTGGAGGGATGAGAAGAAGCAATGTCTTGACCTTCTTTTGAGACACTTGCTCAAGGTGTCAAGCACTTCGAGGCTACCAAGGTTGCACGAAAAGAAAGGAGGGCGAGGGAGATCAACAACAATCAGCTGGGGGACGTGTGTAGGCTAAATATGACAGGGAAGCTAATAGCCTCGCCCATGCGAGGGGACCCCCGATCAGACGAGAGCAGTACCAAGATGGTAGGTATGTCGCAAGGTAGCTGTGGCCCCCAGTCCCAAGGTTCGAAGGGTGCGTGATTCGGACGGATACTCCCCCCCGGTACGGTAGGCTCAAATTTCCATGAGAGCTGACCATTAGTATTAGCTAGTGGGCCCCCCTTGATAAGACCACAGACAGCAACGGTCCCCGGACCGCCTTGCTGCAGCCTGCAAGCCCAGGGTTTGGGGAGCTGCAAGAGCCCATCGACATCGAAACCAGCTGGGGGCTAGTTGGCTTGGCAGGCGGTCCTACGAAGCAGCAACCTCCGGCTTGGGCAACGATATGCATTTCATCTTCATCAGCCAAGGAACGCAGCTAAGACATCCAGTACGGTCATCACAACACGAGACCTGATAATGATCTGTCCAAGCTGGTCCGTCCTGTCTTGGACGCAGTCATAGATGCATTTGGCGCAGTGCAAGAACTTGGCGGGCGCATTCGGGACGAGAGCAGCGTGGGGCGGACTGACTAGTGGAAGAGGCGCAACGACAACCACCAATTAACTGGGACAGGCCTCACCATGGACGATAAGATTGATTTCACCCAGCCAGAATAACGCGCCGAGAAGCGGACATGAGTGGATCAATCGCTCGGGGCAGCCTTTGGCGAAGGGCCAGAGAAGGATGTGTGGCACGTAAATATAGGGTATTCCTCCTCTGTACATTGCGACGAGGTGGAGAAGCGACTACGTTGGTACTCCGTACACATCCACTATTTGCTGACGCATCGCACTGCAAAGCATTTCACTGTAGGTAGGTTACTGAATGTTGGCTGTTTCCCGTTCCACTTCGGCGGACAGCCGATAGATTGGTGGGGCCCCTGGATTACCCAGAAGCGTGCAGCCCAGCAACTAGTTATCCCGGTCAACCATGTCCACTCGGCTTATTCTAAATCCTGGACGGCGACTACCACTGAACTTTAGGCTTCCAGACCACGACGTCTAGTGAGATTCTTGCTGTTTGGTAGAGCTCAAATTCAACTGAGAGGTGCTGGACGGCGGGCAAGTGGGTGAATGGTCGGCTCATCTCACACAAATTGCGTTGGTGTCACAAACCCGTAAACCATACGATGCGTGCGCTGGGGTGTCTTTAACGGTGGCATCCGTCAGCACTACCCTAGTGTGCCGGCATTCTAGCGCTATCGAACCCTCGAAAGTACAATCAGTAGGTACAGTACGTACCGACTACGGGCGAACAAGAACTCAGCCTTGTGGTAATATGGTACATTGCACTGACCACCCTCTCAAAGCCATCCTGTCGTAGTGTTCTGGCCGTCACTACATGACTTCACATTTTGCGCCCACAGGCGAGCTTTCAAGGGCCAGATCTGCCTGCCTTGGTAGTAGTGTCGGAACGACTGCGCAAACTGTGAAAATTTCAAATACCACCACACGCCCAACAACCCGTTTCCATCCCAAGAAGTCGCCATTTCCGTCCGTTTTATTGGTTGTTCTATAGTCTGAAGATGAAGCCCACATCTCGCTAAGTTGCCAAGACGTCGGATCCACCGCGCCCAGAGATAAGGAAATCAATGACCCAATCACGATGGGGCTTTAACTTACCACGAACCCGAGATCAAAGACCCCAGCGTAGACGAGTCGAACCATGGAAGCCAGTCAAAGCCAGCCAGACGGGATATGCTTACCTACCCTTGACAAGCCTGTGAGCCGAAGGGTCGCGTCGGCGCGCGCGGCTTTCGTCGTAGCGATGGGTGGACTGCCCGATCTACTAGGGTAATTGCACTGAGCACTCAGGACTTGTCCGTGGAGTCTGATCGCTTGATCGGCAGCCTGTCCAGCTTGGGGATGATTAATTTATCTGTAGTTAGAGCCCACGTGCGATGCAACAGTCGTGCGTACTGCTTGCATATGTTTCAAGTTGTGGTTCCGACCCCACAGTTCCTCGCAAGAACCACCAGGAAGAAGACGTGAATGGACCTGTGGACTGCGCGGCACAGACGAACGTCGCTATGATCACGTATTGACATGCTATGGCAACCACGGCAGATTTGAATGGGGAGCTGATCTGATGAGCTGGCTTGAGTTGCGCTGATTGAGATGGCTACCGATCGCGGCCCAAGCAGGCAGTAGTTTAGATAGTTTCTCATTAAAGCGGTTGGCAGACGTAGTGCCAATACGATGGCCCTTACAGCAATGCGATTCGCATGCAACCGTTGCACCCAAGACCAAACCACGGCAATCATGCTAATTATCGTCTTGTACGCAGATCTCGCTGTGCGGCTACACGGGATGCAGTATCAGCCTCGCGAATCTGATATCTACCACGATGATATCTTTGTACGTAATACCCGTACTCTAGAGGACCCTTCTCACAGCTCGCCTCGCCCAGCCCTCTGGGACGCCCCCAGATCGTCTGATCCTACCTAGTTCCCGCTACGAGGGGCTACTAACGAGCCGCGGTTAGTGCTAGCGTCGCGCTCGTGGATGACGAATTGATTTGGTCCTAAAGATTGCGCGAGGGCGCTGATTGGTTCTTCTCTGCTCAATCTTGAAATCATTACCACATAATAATTCAACGTCCCAGGGTATGATGGAGTTAAGAACATTGCTGGGCTGTCAATTGAGAGTTGCGCGGGCTTGGCAAAAGCTTGTCTGCGCTGCCGACGGTGCGTCAGCTTTCCTGGGTCGTGCTCGGCACCTTTGAAGTTGGACCCGAAATCGTGACGTAGGCCACGATTGGGCTCTGACAGTTCAATTTTCTTGGAGGCTTCTAAGAGTTGATATGCTCCAGAGTCAGATTCACGAGTGATGGAAAGGGTTCTACTGAAATTGTGAAGTTGTATACGCCATAGTCCCACGATGGACGACTGCACGCAGCATGGCTCGCCTCCAGCATATCATCTTCCCTCACTTCGGCCGCATTGATCTTATATGAATCAAGACTGGAGCACGGCCTCGATGATAGTCGATTACTCATTTCTACTGGGGGGAAAGACTTGCTGTGTGAGAAACAATGGTGCGAGTATGGACGCAACTTACGAGTCACGACTCAGCTGTCGTACACACGGTAGATTAGGTGCAATCGGAGATATACAATAAGTGGTAGGTAGTGTGAAGACTAAATCTCGCCTAGCCGTTAGACGACTGGGAGGGTAACTATATCTAGGATCCCCCTCAGTATATCCCCGGAACCTGGCTGTAGCACAGAGGCCCATCCAGCCATCAGCCTTCCTGGTTTCAACGAGATGTCTCTCGAGAATGACAACAAGGTAATGAACAAAGACAACGCCTACACACAGCACATGTCATAATTCTAGGAACTAGCTCGTCAGAGGTTCACTAGGCATTGTTCCCATGTCCTGCATTTCTCCTGCATCCCTTTGGGGGTGAACACCTACCTGTGTACCTATGTGACTAATCCTGTGTGACTGTGTGCAGATTTGCACCAGTAGGTTTTCCAACCAGGTATGGAGCTGAGAGTAGAAGGCCATCTTGCGTATCAAATTAAACTTCAGAGATATAGCGCGTAGTAACTTTGTAAGGACGAACTATTTCATTACTGCAGATATGAATTGTGCATGGCCGGCCATGAGCATAGCGTGTAATCACTACATGCATATGACTGTCTCCAGGGCTGACAGTACAGGAAAAAGCCCAATCTGTCAAAATTAACGTACACACCCAATGGCCATACTAAAAAGACCATAAAGCAAAATGAAAGCATGACTATCTGTCCCTCAACGCTCCCAATGCACCTCCAGAATGGCAAGAGCCGAGCCTTCAAGTTCAATCACACTTTCCAGTACAAATCTATCATCGGCCTGAGAGATCAGGTCCTTCCAATCACTAATGGTTCTATCTCGAGCATTGAAAAGCGTCGTCAAACTGGGGTCGGCCGCTCTGTCAATCAACGCCACCGAAAGTTGCTAGGGTAAAGAATGAAATATTTTGTCCTACCGAAGACTTTGTTCCTTCCATAAAGGAATACTGCCGGGCTCTGGCAGATATGCTTCCAACATCAGAAGCTTCTTAAGGCCTTCAACGATGGAATAGACGCTTTAAGGATAAAGATGTGTATGACAGATAAGCAAGTCTCCCAAGATAACAAATCTAGTCAATGATGCATTGCAAAGAGAGCATACAAAGCACAGATGCACGTTAGCAAATATTAGACGAACTCGTAACTTATCATGCATACCTACCAATACTTGTCAGACCAATTATGGAGGAATCGGAGAAAGTACACGTCCGCTTGGATGGTGTGCGGGACGAAAAGATCGCACACACCGAAGCGGATACACGCGTTGACTCCCTTTGGTATGTCGTCTTCTGCACCCTGAATATCCTTTTGAAAGTCCTGGAAAACGAATTTCACTTCAGGGAACCGTTCTGCTAATCTGACCGCGATGTTACCGCGGGATCCCCCCACATCAACAGCCGTGGTCCCTCTAAGGGAAGCGCACTCTAAGGGAAGCGCAGTCATATCTGCCAATAACGTATGAGACCTGGTATTCCGGGCAAGAGGTAAGTGTTTTCAAAGATCCTACAAAGCTCAGGGTCCTGACCGACCTGATTAGAAGAACTCGTACAGATAGGTTCGTATTGTGCACCCACGCAAAGGCCATGAGTCTCTGCCGAGGCATCAAACACTTATAGTGAGGGTAAACGACCAATATGCACATGCACATGCACAGTGGAGAACTGAACGGTGACAAAGAATGGCTTTGCCTAGCTGTTATCAAGCAACCGCCAGGTTTCAGGATGACTTGTATCGCGATGGTAAGAGGCAACAGGCACTACGCCCGTGCCAATTCGCAGTCCACCCTTGTCAATTGGTCCGATAGAAGAAATCCGAAGCCAGACGCTGCCATGATGCGGATGATACCGGCGCAACGGTGCGCTTAGGGGGCGTCTGGTTAGAGGTGGTTGTCCCCGAGACGCTGACGCCACCGCTGCCAACAAGAAGTGGGTTCGTCCCCAGTGTCGCGTCAGCGCGATCGTACTGTTTGAGTGGCATAATTCCCTCTCTCTCAGCACTTTGGAACGCTTTTGTTCCAAGATTGGTGGTGCAAGTTCTTCCCAGATTGCAGTCATATTCTCACCAAACCGGGGTTCCGGGTATCTTTTCATGGCCATGCATGCACGGCGTAGGGGTTGCGTGCTTGACCCCGCCCGGACTTGTGAGGCTCCTGCGGGTAGCCAACTCAGCTTAGAGATGCTCTGTCAAGATCTGCTTGAGGCACTTGGACTTGGATACATTTTGTGTTGTGCCTCGATATCATCCACCCCCGATGAGTGAAGTCAGGTAAGCCATGGGAGAGAAAGATGCCTAGGAGAAAAGAGGCCTATTTGAATTCTTTCGCGACACCCAAATTGTAGTAGGCTCTCACAAAAATGACCCCTGCATGTTGAAATTCGCTCAACCCTGCCAACTTGCCAACTGAGCCGCCGGGACACGCAATCCCGATCTCAGGATAAGCCGTACGCGGGCCGAACCAAGCGGATTCTAGCAAATAGTGGCCGATGTCTTTCTAGAAGTATGGTGTAGATTGGGCGGGAAAGGGCATTCTACTCTGTATGTACCTACCCAAGTAAGTAGTAAGAGGCTGATCATAAACCTACCTGCTCAATATGTCGCCTCCAAGAACTTGGAGGGCAAGAGACGTACTTACAGTATCTGACGCACAGTTGACCGTCCAGGCCAGAGGCTCCACTGCAACCTCCGACGGCAACATGGGCCGCTGAAATCCTAGCACCATCATGACCGTGGACTGCCCATTGGCGGGAATTTCTAGCTCGCCGCAAGAGCATCACTCTTAAAATTCTCTCTCCAGTCATACATTCAAGAACTATCCTACGCGTGATTCTCACTTGCGCTTGGTGCCCAGGCTAATGACCGTCATGAACTCCTTGACTCTCTGCGCTGATGACACCTTTGGCCCAGCCATCAAGACAGCCGATTGTCGCGGGGGGTTTGATTTCACAGGTGCCGACTGATCAACCTTCAGGCTACGAGTTACATGCTGAACACTGATTTCTAGTGACCTTTGAAAACATTATTTTGGCCGGCTTGCCCGCCGCCCTCTTCATCACCCTAACTATATTTCGGATACTGAATCTGCGTCACGCAAAACTTCGAATTCGACAAAATAGCCTGCACGCTTCTAAGCTGGTACGTTGGATTAGCGACACAACCCACCGAGTCGCAAGATATACTAGGCTAATAATAAAAGATTTTCATCGCTTTCTTCACTGCCTTGCAAATCACCAACTTGGTGTTGACAGCAGCGACCCCCGCACTTCGTACGCGCGCCTCGCTCGCATCGGCGGCGCTTTCTGTGTTGGCAGCCGTGACTCTTGGCATGTTGTCACATCTCTAACACGTCAGATCTATCAAGCCATCCTTAATCATCAACCTCTATCTCATCGTAACGGTTTTGCTGGACGCAGTTCGTGTCAGAACGCACTGGCTGGTAGCGGCCAACGAGAATAGCATACTTGCTACCGTCATGACAAGCTCCCTAGCTGTCAAGTTTGTCATCCTTATACTAGAAGCTACAGGGAAACGATCCTTCCTGCCGGGCTCCTATGGACAGTTTTCACTTGAAAACACAAGTGGGCTTTTCAGCAGAAGCTCTTTCTGGTGGCTCAACTCGCTTCTAACTTCAGGCCACAAGAGAGTGTTGGGCTCAGATGACTTACCAATCATTCATGAGAAGCTCAACTCGGCACATCTTTCGGACCGATTGAAGTCCGTTTGGGACACCTGTAGGTTTTCTGGGAGAGTCATGCCTGCAGCGACAAAGCTTACGTGAGCATAGGCGACCAGAGGAAAAAGTATGCGTTGGCACGAGCTTGCGTATGGAGTTTGCGATGGGAAGTCTTTGTGATTTATATCCCAAAAATCTGCTACGCTGCGCTCAGTATAGCACAAGTCTATCTCATCCAAAATGCTGTGACTTTTGTGCAGGGGAGCGTGTCTGCTAGCACGGGTTATGGCTTGATCGGCGGGTTTGCCCTTGTTTATATTGGCCTCGCAGTTAGTTACCAATTCCATCCACCTTTGTCGACGATTTTAAATACTCCTTTCAAGAGAAGGCATACACTAAGAGAATACAGGTCATGATGGGATGGGCGTCTCATCTCTCATACCGCCTTATGACAATGATGCGCGCTCAACTTACCACAGTCATCTACACTAAACTGCTGACCCTCCCTATAAGCAGCACTAACGAGTCGGCGGCGATAAGTTTAATGGGTACCGATGTGCAAAGAATTGCAGAGACTTTCTGGCAACTGATCATCGAAGCCTTACCAAGCGTGGCCCAGCTAGGAGTCGCTGTCTATCTGCTTTACGCCCAATTAGGCGCCGTTTGCGTGGCGCCTGTTCTCGTTACTATCATTTCAACAGGATTATCCGTATTTTCTGCTGGGATCATTAACTCTAGACAAGGTGCATGGTTGGAGGCGGTACAGGATCGTGTTAATTACACATCAGAGATCCTAGGGTCGATAAAGAGCGTCAAGATCCTCGGCCTGATCAGTCAACTCACCCAAAGGATTCACAATTTGCGCAACATCGAGATTGAAACCTCGAAAAAGTATAGGCGGGTACAAAGTCTAAATATTTCTCTAGGTCTGTCTGTGGAGAGTTCCTTCTAGACATATTAGCTGTGTCTGGCTACATGGGAACTAACCACCATATAGTAAACCTCCCTGAGACGTTTAACACCTTCGTCATATTTGCCGCCTATGCTCTTGCAGCACATCTGCAAAAAACCGGCGGACTATCAGTCTCACAGGCAATAACGTCCCTGGCAGCCCTGAATCTATTGTCAGTGCCACTTGCTACTCTATTGTACGCGATCCCACGAGGTTGGTCCGCTCTGGGTTGCTTCGAGAGGATCCAACAGTTCCTTCTACAGCCTTCACGCACCGATCAACGAACGTTTCCGCATGTTGTAGCCAATAGCATATCTTCTCAGTCAGATTGCGACTTTGAACTCCAGGGGACGACTTTGGCCAGACAAAATAGGATCACTGCAAGCGCGGGTACCTTTGGTTGGTCAGATGCAACTCCACGAGTGGTGAAGGTAGATACTCCTGTTGAACTCACGTACGGCCTCACCGTGCTAGTTGGCCCGGTGGGAAGCGGCAAATCGACATTGTTAAAGGGAATAATCGGGCGGTCGGGTTCATATCTCGTCCCCAGAGGTCGCATACGTGGATCAGTCCGCCTGGGCTATGAACGGCTCCATACGAGACAATATTGTTGCCGGTACTAATCTCGCGTTTGATGAAAAGTGGTACAGAGCGGTCTGTCACGCGTGTGTGCTGGATGTCGATTTCCGTGAGATACCTCATGGAGACATGACGTTGGTGGGAAGCAAGGGGGTGAAACTGAGCGGTGGTCAAAGGCAACGCCTTTCAATAGCTCGCGCCTTGTATTCACGAAAGAAACTGGCCGTATTCGACGATGTGTTAGCTGGTCTCGACCTGGTAACCGAAAGACTTGTGTTTCAACGCGTCTTTGGCCATGATGGTCTACTGCGCAAAATTGGCGCCACTGTTGTCCTCGCGACGCATTCGGTGAAACACTTGTCCCAGGCAGACTTCATTCTTGTCCTGGATGAGAATGGGACTCTGATTAAGCATGGCACTTTCTTCGAGCTGAACACTACTGAGCGCTACATTCATAATTTGCAGCTCAGGTTAGAGGAGGAACCCTCGGACCACTCTGATCGCCCTCTCAATGATGGTAGCCAAGGAGAGTTCGAGCAGGATGCTACACCAAGCGCTACGGCTCAAGCTAACGAAACCCGAAAAACTGGCGACTGGCTCATCTACAAGTACTATCTCCGTGCTTTGGGGCCACTGAGTTTGGTTCTTTTTCTTGGCTTCGTTTCCGTGACATCCGTCTCGAACGCAATGAGTCGTAAGTACCAATCGTTGGCAAAAAGGCGGCGCTAATCAATGCAGATGTCTGGCTGAACTGGTGGGCTGAATGGAACCAGAACGGAGGCGCACCAAATCTTGGATACTGGCTTGGCATACTCGGGCTCATCAATATCATGGCCGGGACATCCATGGTTGGAGCTGTCACGTAAGGACTCGATGTGCACGAAATCCTATCCATATGCTGAGCACCTGCAGATTTCTTTGGACTTTCATGATTCCACAATCTGGCAGAAACTTGCACCTGTCTCTATTGGAAGCAGTGAGGCGGTAGGTGTCGAAAAGTACCGTGGAAAGACTTATACCATTGCTAATTGCAACAAAGTGCACCTCTATCATTCTTCAGTAACACGGAGACCGGGGTCTTGGTGAATAGGTGACAGCTCTTCTTATGGTACCGACTAAATAGTTGAAGGACTTCCATACTAACGATGTTCCAGATTTAGTCAAGATCTTCGATACGCCGACATGACAATTCCAGGTTCTATTATCAATATGTCATTCCGTGGGTGCTCCCGAAATCCAAAAAGAATGATCCTGACTATCAAGAACAGAACTCGGTACCTGCCTAGTATCAGCAGCGCTCTCAGCGACCGCGGTGGGCTTTTTCGCCGCCATACTGCCAGTGGTCTTTGGATTACTCTATTTAATCCAGAACTTTTACTTACGCACCTCGCGACAACTTAGGCTCTTAGAGTATGTGCATATTTGCAGCCGAATAAACTTTTCCTGCTTACTCGACGATAGAATTGAGGCCAGCGCTCCTGTGTTCACACATTTTATTGACTCGCTGGCTGGGCTCGACATCATCCGCTCTTACGCCTGGACCGAAGTATACATTTCAAAGAACGTTCGCTTAGTTGATTCCAGTCTGAAACCCTATTATCTACTACTATGTATCCAACGCTGGCTGGTACTGGTTCTCGACCTTGTCGTCGCTGGCCTAGCTGTAGTGCTCGTCGGTATGGCAGTAAGCTTGCGGTCTAGTATAAGCCCTGGATTCCTAGGTTTGGCCCTGGTTAACATGATGGGTCTATCCCACTCACTGACGAAGCTGGTACAACATTGGACGAACCTTGAGACTTCTTTGGGTGCTATAGCGCGTATCAAGAATTTTTCTGAAACGACCCCGGAGGAAGCCTCTCCTGGAGAGACATCTAACACCCTGAGTTCTGAATGGCCACACACGGGTGCTTTGATAGTGGAAGGATTGTCTGCTTGTTATGGGTATGTGATGGTCAAGTCGTTATACATATTGCCTCTACTGACGGATATATACCCATAGCCTAGAATCGCCACCCGTGCTCAAAGACGTGACTTTCTCGATTAATGGTGGTGAAAAGCTCGGAATAGTGGGCAGGACGGGAAGGCTAGTACATTATCTATACCGCCCCGCCGGTTCTTCTTCTCACTTTGCGATTTCTCCCAAAATAGCGAAACACTGACAAGTAATATACAATCAGCGGCAAGAGCTCAACTGCACTTGCTATTCTTCGCCTTATGAGCATCATATCCGGCCGAATTCTTCTTGACAACGTGGACCTCACAACGATTCCAGGATCTGTGGTACGGGAGCGACTTGTCTGTCTCACTCAAGACCCCTTCATGTTTTCGGGGTCTTTGCGGCTCAATATCGATCCGGTTGGTACTGCATCTGATGAATCGTGTGTGTCTGCACTACAGAGGGTTGGTCTGTGGGAGATATTGAAGAATACCGTCGCAAACCCAAGCTTCTCAAATGCGTCATGCGTCCTAGATGCAAGAATGAGCATGGAAATGCTTTCGCATGGCCAACGGCAGCTTTTTTGCTTAGCCAGAGCTATGCTGCAACAGGGCAAGGTGCTGATTCTAGACGAGCCTACGAGTAGGTGAGTAACGGCGCGGGAGGATCACTCGAGACCCGAAAGTGGTTCTGGATGTGTACTAATGGCAAATGATGTAGCGTCGATGCTGAGACCGACGCTCGGATGCAAGACCTTATCCGTACGGAGTTTCAACATCATACTATTATCATGATTGCACACAGACTATCTAGTGTTCTTGATTTCGACAAAGTCGCCGTGCTCGATCACGGCAACTTGGTGGAGTTCGGAAAGCCGGCCCAGTTACTTATGGACGGATCAAGTCACTTTTCGAAACTGTACAACAGTTCAACGTCGTCCTAGTGAGTATGTAATTAGTCCTGCTCACGTAGTTACTCTACGTCAAGCCGGCGACAACTTTTGCTGCTTTTGCTCGGAGTGGAGCCATCGTCTGTTCTGCATGGCTTTTGGGCTATTGGACATTCTGTACTTCATGGAAGATCCGCAATTCAGCCAATTTAGTACGGAGAGATGTTCACCACCAAGTTTGAGCTCTCGCCAAACTCGAGGCAGGGCTCCGCCGTCGGATTAAGCATGGGCCATACGTAGGCTTAAAGGACAATCAAGCCGCGCACAACACTACTTAGAGCTTGGTTGAGAACAAATGACGATGACCAACTTGTCTTCCAGACGCCATATAATTTATATTATCTACAGTGCTAGAACCACGTAGATGTCAACACCATGAGCTCTGTACTGGAGGAATCCCCTGTGTAGCAGGTGTAACGGGTCATTCCTGCAGCGGGCGAAACATTACCCTTTGGCTTTGTTTCAATCGAAGCAGTGCACATCTCTTCTGTCACGAGCGCGAAAAGGAGGCCCAGTTTTTCCACCCCTGAACACCGACGAATAGTAGGACCTAGCCAATCACGGATGAGCGGAGGCTTGAAATGGCAACTCAAATTCCCCGCAAGGCGCCAGGTTGGGTCCCTCTTATGCGCTAATGATGTAATGGCAGCCCGCTTACACACGACATTACCGACTTAGGGTGTCCAAACCTACTCCCGAGGTTATTAATAACGCCTGGGGATGTTCCAAAGGATGGGTGTCGGAAACCAGCTCTCATGAAGTCTCGTAACATGGCTTGACAGGGAAAGAGTGCGCAACAAACCTTCCCAACATGTCGTCCAAGGAGTCGATGAGCCTTGTTATCCGGCCAGACTACTTTTCCGGTGGCCGGACATTGCAAAGAGAGACCACGCAGATACCCAGTCCTGAGGTGAACGAAGCACTCGTAAAGGTGCTCTATGCTGCGCAGAACCCAACCGATGGTGAGATATTCAAGTCAAGTATCACATCTTGTGGGTGCACAAGAGTCGCTAATGAGACCAATGGCGCAGTGCAATCCTTCGATAGCAAAGCTGTAGGCGAAGGAGGCGTCTTGGGATGTGATTTTGTTGGAACAGTCGAGCAAGTCGGGGCCAAGGTAACCAGACTGCAGACTGGGGATACCGTGGCAGGACTCATCTGGGGCGGTTCGGCAACCCACGCTAACTGAACAGCACTGAGAAGAATCAAAGGCTGATAATTCCCTAGGGGAAACCAAGGGGAAGGGGGCCTTCAGCCATTACACTGTAGCCGACGAAGAGATCTCATTCAAGGTTCCTGACAACATCTCTCTGGAGCAGGCAGCCACGGTACCATTGGCAGCGACGACAGCATGGCTTGCCCTGTTCTCAAGCGACTGTCTCAATATTCCCCGAAAGTCAAGCCCGATCACCTCGGTTCTCATTTGGGGCGGAAATTGTAGGTTTCTTTGACCACCTGCGGACATGCGTGGCTCACAATGACTGGCACTGACTCCTATCAGCGAGCGTGGGGCGCTACGCCATACAGATCGCCGCCATGTACAATTTTGACATCATTACCACCTGCAGCACCCGGCATTTTGATGCCGTCAAGGCACTGGGTGCGAAGCACGTCTTCGACTACAGGGACGAGAAGGTTGTTGAAAAGATAAAGCAGGCTGGGCCTCATCTTCGTTACGTTTTTGACACCATTGGGAACGAGACGTCGTCTGCAACCGGGTCACAGGCTATTGCCGAAGCCACGGGGCAGCCGGGCGCATTGTGTACGGTCCGGCCTGGCAAGGCTAACACCGAAGGCGTAAATAAGGGGACAAAAGTCACGGACGTCTTGGTCTGGACGGCTTTCCTAAAGGAACATCGGTACGGGGATTTCTACTGGCCCGTAAGTATAGTTCTCATCCTGACAAGACCTACCCGGTCACTGATCACTCGAATAGCCAAACAAGGATGATCATGAGCTGTGCAAGGAGTTTTTCGACAAGCTACCAAAATATCTGCAGGAAGACAAGCTCAAGCCCAACGTTCCCAAGCTGATGCTGGGGTTGGATGCCGTGCAGCAAGGCTTTCAGGAATACCGTGATGGCAAGATATCTGGGTACAAGGTTGTATATAAGCTATGAAGAGACACACCTGTCGTTAAAAGGCTACAGCCCTGTCGCAGAGGAATGATGGCCCCTTGCACTATTTCATGGACAGGTCTTTGGAGATTGTAGCGCCCGCTTCAGCGCTGTCTGGAACGCGGTGCCGTTTATCTGCCAGACAAAGTTTACCTCTCGCAGCGTCTGACGTGATGGGGCGAGAGCCTCCTGGTAGGCCCAGATGTTGCCATAGGTCGGGCTGTAGAACGACGTATCGACGTTCACGTAGACTAGAGCTGCCATTAGTAACGCCTCTTGAAGTGGAGACGTATCTGTCTTACATGAAGTCTGATTCATTATTGTCGAGGGATCGACCAGCGAAAGCATCGTGGCTTCGTCCCAGAAAGGCAAGTTGGTCTGGGTCACCTTCTGCTGGAGAATCGTATAGGGGTTCCGTACCTCAGCCACCTCGGCCAGTAATGCATCTGTGGGAAATAATTCAGGTGCATTCGCAGCATTGGAGACCAGAGCTATTCGGAATTAGTAAGTTGGGCGGTCGCTAATATGGCCAACCTCTGGGAGAACGCACTGATGTTTGGGAAGTCGGCACTCAACGCAATCTTGGTGGCCTCGGGATCTGCCTTGAAGTTGAACTAGTGTGGGCCTCTCGTTAGCCATAGCCCAAATTGAGGGTAATAGACACCAGCTGGCCAATTGCACAACGTACGTCGGTGTTGATATCGGCCTGCATGGTATCGCCACTGAACATCAGCCCGTTCGTGTCGACGAAGCCGCCCATGATCCACAACCCCTTGGTCAGGCTTGCAAAATCTGAGTCCATGCGGATAGCAAGGGCAATGTTGGTGAGGGCTCCTCCAGAGTAGATAACAACTTCACCAGGATACTTGTGGACCTGCTCGATCATCCAGGCCGCAGCATGGTAGCCGGCCAGGGTGGTGTTGGGGTAGCCTTCGGTGAAGGCGGCCTTGACAATGCGGGCGGGGTCTCCGTCGGTAGGGTCCGAACCCAGCGCCTCGGCCGTGTCGTTCTGTGGTCTGAAGACGCCTTCCCACGGCAGAGGGCCCATGATCGTCTCCCAGGTCTGCATCAGCTTTGGCGTCATGAGCAAGGGATAGTCAGCTCCCTTGTGCACGGGAATGCAGGACGACAGGTTGCCAATCTCCAGCAGCACCAGGGCGTGCAGGCTGCATTGCAAGGCCCAGGAGTTGGACGTGTCACCGATGAGCCCCAAGATATCCCACCCGTAGTCCAAGGCCATCAGGAACTGGGGTGCGGCACCCGCGTTCCAGTCGTTCTCGATGATCATCTTAGGACCCCGGGCATTGACGGCACCATGACGGTCCGAGGATGAGCTGCTGCAGGATGCCACGGCGCCACAGGCCGGGACGAGGAGGGCAGACGGTCTCATGATGCTTCGATGCGGCTCTGTCCGTTAAGTACAAAGTCCAAGACGACAGACATATAGTCAACAACAGCCCGGTGGGAGGACGGCCATGTTATACAGTATCACAGCTCACCCATCCTGTAGTCTACCAACCTCGCCTCGGCCGTGGTCGGCAAGGATTGGCCGATATCAGGACGCAAACACTGCATCGGTCTCGTCATCGCTACTGTGCGGTTGCTACTATGCAAGCAGCCTAATGCCGACGCTTGTGATCTAATGCCGCGCGGAAGTCCCACAGTAATGTCTTTGTGCTGGGGTGTTGTCGACTAGCGAGACCTGGTCGCCGTGATAGCTGAGCGGCGGCTGCCGACTTTGTCGGCGGTGTGGTGCATTTTTCACCCTGCTCGATGCGAAGATATGAGTAATACTTGGTGATAACGAAGGGGCCTTGGCAAGCTGGGCGGAGAGTGATCGACATTCAATGCAATCAGCAGCTAGTTAACGTTACCTCGTTTAACTTGCGTGCAGAGACACTGCCGTGCCTTGTAATGACGTGCTATGGCCCCCTGCCTGGATCGTCAGAAAGGAACACTCAAGGCAATAGAAAGTACGTGAAAATGTACAGGTCTATGCTCTTGACGGCTGCGTCTATAGACAATTTCAGGGGTCTACCTGAGGTTATGTAGTCTACCCGAGGTACACTCCGTACATACAGCATGATCCAGCACAAGGGGACCACTATAATTTTAGTGGTCGACACCCAAAGCCGGAGCCTGGTTCTGCCTCCTGTCACCGCCAAAATTTTGTGATTTCCAGACTCCAGCAGCACTAATCCATGACCCCGCCATCAGAATCGCAAATTTGGGCGCCAAACCCCACCATCGCATCGTATCACATCACATCGCATCATCCTACCCCGAAACTACTGCGCCATTGTACGATCGGCTTTGGTGTATCATGGATTCGACAGATGCCCAGGCGGTGCCTCCGCCCTCTCCGCCCTCTCAGGCTCAAGCGGAACCAACAGAGATGCCGGCCGAGGCACCCAGCACGGCCTCGCCTCCGCCCTCGAAACCGATACATACCCTGATTCTCGACACCGGTCCTCTTATCAAGAACGATCCTCCACTCAGCACTCTGCTCGCCCAGGCTGAGGAGCTATACACATTGCCTTCCGTTCTACCCGAGATCAAGGACGCCGCAACGAGAGCGAGGGTTGAGACTCAGCTTCTCCCGTTCCTCAAGCTGCGGAGCCCCAAGCCTGAGAGCGTCAAGTTCGCCACCGATTTTGCCCGCCGTACTGGCGATCTCGAGGTTCTCAGCCGACCTGATCTGCACTTGATTGCTCTGGCATACGAGCTGGAATGCGAACGCAACGGAGGAGACTGGCGGCTACGGAATGAACCGAATCAGAAGAGGCTGAACGGCAGGTCGCCGGCACAGCTCGCCAAGGATGCTGAGGCTGCAGAGTCTGCGCAGTTGGCGACGGTGGAGGACGGCGACCACCCACATCCCGAGGCTGTTGATACTTCCAAAACAGAGGTGCCGGCAGAGAACCCCGAGGTAGAGGCCAAGGAGACGCAAAGTCCCGTGGCCGAGTTCGTAGAGCAGGCGAACGAGGGAGTAGATCCTGTCATCGGCCAGGAGGCTGTCACACACCAACTGGACGCCCTGACGCTGGACCCGGAGAAGGATGTAGACCCAGATCAACCACCAGCCCAGGAATGTAGTACGGAAGAGAATGCCGGTGCGGAGGAGGACGACGATGAAGACGGCTGGATCACCCCTTCGAATCTCAAACAGCATCAGCAGAGAGACCAGAAATCAGCTCCAGAGCAGCCATTCCAGAGAGTCTTGCAGGTGGCCCTCCTCACCTCGGATTACGCCATGCAGAACGTCCTTCTGCGCATCAACCTGAACCTCGTCTCCCCGAGCCTCGCGCGGATCACCCGAGTCAAGACGTGGGTGCTACGTTGCCACGGGTGCTTCCAGATCACTCGTAACATGAGCAAGCAGTTCTGCCCCAAGTGTGGACAGCCGACCCTCACGCGAGTGAGTTGCTCGACGGACCAGAGCGGCAACTTCCAGGTCCATCTCAAGAAGAACTTTCAGTGGAACAACCGAGGAAACGTCTACAGCGTGCCCAAGCCGGTCCACGGAACGGCCAACGGCAAGTATAGAAACCAGGGCGGCGGCAAGAACGGATGGGGCAGAGAGCTGCTTTTGGCCGAGGACCAGAAGGAATATTCCCAGAAGGTCGACGCCGACAAGAGGACGAGGCAGAGGGATCTGATGGACGAGGATTATCTGCCGAGCATCCTGAGCGGAAGTAGACAGGGCGGCCAGGGAAGGATACGGGTCGGCGCAGGGCGAAATGTGAATGCGAGGAAGAGAAATTAAACACGTGCGTTTGCGATCAGCATAGACGAATGATACCACGGCATTGATAGTCTGTGTGTTTGTTGGGCTCTCATGTGAAATACTGTTGCATTTGTCCAAAGCATTGAGGAGGCTGGCTGTTTGGTTCCATCCATAACGATATGGCCTGCTTCCCGTCGTGCTGGGTGGGCCCTTGCCCAACATCTTACTAGCAAGATCGCGAGTGCCACTGAGCTGCTTGATTACAACGCCGCCGCTTTCTTTTCTTTGCTGTTCCATACCAAAAGCATCACGCACGCCATGAACGCCGTCCACATGCAAAACCCCCACCGGGATGCCTCGAGCTGCGAAGTGCCGGGTCAGAGCAGGCCACAGCCGCACGTCGGTCGGCCTCGCAGAGCGGGCTCCATTTGTGTCCCATCTTATCTGAGCAGATGCACTCATTGCAGAGTGGCGGGCTTCTTGTTCGAGTCTGCGTGAAAGGGCATCTTTGTCAGCGTCGTTGGGCGTCCAGCAAGTCTGCGGGCTCTCGTTGGCCAAGGCGGGGAGGGCTGAGAACTCACCATCGGCCAGGATCAACAGACCGAACCTCTTCTTCAGCGTCACGCGCTGTCGCGACCACTTGTCATCGGGCGAGAAGCGGGCGGGGTGTGCGGACTTGGTGACCTCGCCGCTCAGCACCTTCTTGAGGGTGTAGGTGCGCTTGCCGCTGGCATCCAGGACGTACATCAAGTGCATGGTGGCGGTGGCGTGGTGAGACCTCGTGTATCCGACGAAAATGTGAAACGAGTGTGGTCCGGGTTGCGCCGAGCTGATCTGGTGACGAGATGTGTGATGCGATGGTGCTGCTGTCGTGGTCGTGATCAATTGAGACGCTGCCGCCGAAAACTTTTTGGTGGAGCACCTGAGCTCTTTGGCTGGTGTGGGGCAGGGGAGCGAGCACGGGCCCGGGGGCCGGCCAAGATTTAATCCGCCGACTTGGGTAGTTAGCAGCGACGGGGATGTCGACCACATCCTTGGAGGTATTCTGTGCCTGATACTTTGCACTTTGTTCTGCAGCCTATAAGAAGTGTTTATATATAAGAACCATTCTGTTCACTGGTCAGAAGGCCATCAAGGACACAACTCTTGGCCGTCTAAGAATGTATCTGTGGATATTATATCCGCCTGTGCCCCCTGTGGAATCGTCATGAGACGTCAAGGTACATGTCGCGAAGTGTCTCCATAGATGAGCCTTGAACGACCCGAGACCGACGTGTGTAGTCCAATCATTGACCTCCCGCGAGGCGGAGAACGGACGGCGGTCTCATGTAGGGGTGCCTCCCCATCACGGCCAGGTCTGCAGGAAGAAACCAAGGTGCACGATTCGAAGCATTACTCAGCTGTCAAAATAGAAGTAACAATCTTGGAAGCGCTCGCTATTAGTGCATAAGGCTGAGGTTCATCGCGTCCCTCTCCCGCTCAAGGCATGATAGACTACGTTCTCATTTTACCAAATTTGGATTACACATGGGCACCAGATCGTTAGACTTGGGGGGCGCTTCTTCATATACAAGATCGAGGCTGACACATGGAATCCGAGACAGGCAGTTCGTGTGACAATCAAGAGATCCTGCAGCTACAGTTGGTCCATGATTAATCACTACCAGATCTCGGCTCCCGAGTTGACCAAGACAGCTTATAACGCGGAAGAGTGCTTGGAGACTTCGCTCCTCATCCTTGGCTGGTAGGTATCCAGTGCAGGATGGCCAAGTGATATCTCGCTCACAAATAGGGGAGAGACCGCATCGAGTCAAGGTAGCATACTGTAATTGCCTAGTAGGCAAGGAGCTTCATAATCACTTCAGTGTGCCCAAGTCCGCCGCAATTCCCCGCGCGATCGAATCCGAGATTGCCATATTCGTCACCATGGGGTTCACACCCGTCGCAGTGGGGAATACACTGGCATCCGCAACATAGAGACCCTCCACTCCCCAAACCTTACCCTTGGGGTCGACCACGCCATCCTCCTCGGACTTGCTCATCCTGCATGAGCCCATCTGGTGAGCTCCGCCCCACGGCTCAGTTCCTGGGTTGCCGGCGGCTCGTAGAGTCTGCAGCCACTGCTCAAACCTCTCGTCTTCGGCCTCCGTCTTCTCCCCAGAAGGGGATCGGATGAAGGAGTCCACACCGGAGAGAAAAGGTCGAATCTCCTCTGCTCCCTGGACGTAGCAGATCCTCGCCAGTGCAACGAGTCCTTCCATGCAATTTGCCCGGTCGAAAGCGCTTGGCGAGTACTGAATGCGTGGCTTGCCGGTGACGGGATCTGGATAGATATAGCCAGTATCGCGGTCACGCGGCATTGAGAAGAAAGCATTGAGATGGCGGTACCTCAACGCCGAAAGTTTCAAGTCAATGCCGCTTCGCCAAGGAAGGTTGGAATATATCAGATATGGCTGGGATCCGGCTTAGTAGTTGACAATATCGGTGCAGGTAGCTCGGAATACCACACTTACCACCATACACACACCCTCAAGCTTGGTCCCATTCCCTTGGCCGTCCAAGTCCTCGAAAGCAGTGCAAACACTGCTGATAGCACATCCTGTAGTTCGTCAGCGCACGACATGTCCAAGGCGTTTTTAATCAGACCACTTACCATCCCAGGGCTTAACATCCTCCTTCCAAAAGCCGCCAACAAGGTTGACCGGATGCAAGTACACGTTCCGGCCGATTTGCGGGTTCTGTCTGTGGTTAACAGCCACTCGCTGGCTTTGAGGAGGTAGGTACCAACCGCTAGACCACTGTTCTTCAAAACCACAGGGCTCCACAAGGTGCCGCAGGACACAACTACTCTCTTGGCCTTGATAACGACATCCCGACTGACGCGCTCGGTGACGCTTCCGGTCAGACCTCCTTCTTGGTCTCTGGAGATCCACTTGCCCACAACTCCTGAAGCCTTCTTCCCGGACGCGAACGTGTCAAAGGTCACACGTTCGACCTGGAAGCCTTCGATGAACTCGGCACCTGCCCTGGCAGCGGCAGGCAACCAGCTGACTGCCGGTCCTTGCTTGCCGGCAGAGCCGCACCCCAGATGACAGTGTCCGCAGTGATGATCCTTGTTTGCGGAGTTGTGGGGGGTGACCTTGGCCTTCCACCCCAGCTTCTCGGCGCCATCAAGCAAGACCTGGCCCCGATGGTTCTGTCGGACAGCAGAATCAGACACGCCCATGAACTCGCAAACCCTGTCCAGCGAGCCTTGAAAGTCGGAGGACGTGAAGAAGTCCAGGCCTCGCTTGGACGCCCACTCCCGTCGCACGTAGTCAGGGGTCTGCAGGGAAACTCCCCAGTTGACGCTACCGCCTCCACCCCATGTGCTCCCGGCCAGGACGGACATTGAGCCATCATCAACGCTCATGAGGCCACCGCTCTCGAACAAGTTGATCTCGGCGATATGAGACTTCATCGGCAGTTGCGCCGGGGAGAAATAGTAGCCTTTGTCAACAACCAGAACGCGATGGCCAGCCTCCGCTAGCACCTTTGCGCAGACGCCACCACCACATCCCGATCCAACGACAACCACGTCGGTTTCGATGGTCTCCGGGCCGGCTCCGGGGCCAAACTGCTTGAAGGTGTAATCGGCTGCCTTTCCCGCCCGATAGTTTTCTGGGATATCCGTCCAGCCACTCAACTGCAGGAACAACTGGCTGGATTGTACCCAGGTCTTCTGCCCAAGCATTGATACTGACTTTGCCAGACCACGGAAGGCCGTGAAATATGACGTTTGCCAGGACTTGATGACCTTCTCCCTCGCCTCGGCGGGTAGATCATAGAATGGCGTGAGATAGCCAGTGGTCGGAAGACTGCCGAGTCTCGTTCTTTGCCATATCATATTAGGGCAAATGGGTTACCAGTTCAACACGAGGGTTACTTACCCCAGCAGACTCAGCATGGTACCGAGTTGATCTCTCATGTCTTTCGGTAAAGAAGCCAATGTTCTGGTTATCTGATCTTTGAAAGCCTGGCTATCTGATGGCTTTTCCGACAGGAAAGCTTCAAAGTCCTTGCGGCTCGGCGGAGAGCTCAGTTTTCTCTGGGCCTCTTGGTAATATGCGTCCAGTTGACTCTGTGTGATCTGGTAGTTGTCTGTGTTGGACCCATCCCGAGGCGTGGAGACGATGGATGGGACGATCGTGTCCATTAGTGCATACCACACCTTCCATTGCGTCTCGTTGAAAAACTCCGGGGATGGTGGGTCGGGGAGAGGTATGTCTATATGAGACAGCGGCAATTCCATAGGGACAGCCATGATTGCTGCACCGTGCATAGAGATGCTGGGTATCGGCTTTTCTTGATGGCGCCGTTATACGAGCGCAGGGGAAGAAATCTATCACACGGCTGACGGTGTGAGACTGATGAACGACAGTGTGTTGTTGCGATTGCGCTTGGGCTTGTAGAGAAGGGGAGCGGCATCCGCGTTGACTGCTTATAATTAACGTTCGAACTATCACAGATTGCAACGCAGTGTTCAAGTGGCCGCCGGAGACGCTTTTCTACCAGCACATCATGATGTGAAAATGCAATGACGATCGCCACGATACTCGCTAGTAGACAGAACGCATTGACAGCACCCTAGCTGTGCCGAGGTGCAGTTGGATTCATCTCGGAAACTAGTTTCTTTACGGATAGCGGGCGTGAGCGGGCAGGTGGGCATTCCATTCAATCACCGTTGGCACATTAGTTAGTGAGGACGCGCGAATAGCCCTAGATCTTCGTGTGGCCTTCGCTGCTCCCTGGAAGTGCGACCGTTATGGCTCGCGATTTGCACCAAGAGGGTCGAAAAGGGGAAAGGCGCTGGCCTACCCCGCATGCACCCTGCAGCCACTGGAGCCACTATCAGCCTAGGTGGTCTAGTGGGCCTACGTACAGTCGCATAGCACACCACTGGCCTCGCCTAGTTAGTTCACGCCCACCTAACGCGGGGATGCAGGCGCTACAGTTTACAGGGGTTTGGTTTGTCATTTGATGGATGTGGGCTGCATCGACGTGACAACCGACCGCCCTGGGCTATCCTGCCTGCGACTTTTCTTTTGTTCATCTTATATTGGATACGAGAGGGGTTACCCTACCGTGTCTTGAGTGTCTTGTGTGTATTGACGCTAATGCTATCTGTGAGGGCATGACACCAGAGGACTAGGCCGTGAAATGCAGTCCGTCCGTAATATTGCCCCATCTTGCGTGAGCCCAGTCATTCGGGACATGCCTCCTCGGTCTCCATGGGCCCTGATCGCCGCTCTTTGGAAACCTCTCCTCGGCAGCTTTGACGTACGTCGATGTGAGCTGCCATGACGAGCGTGGTTTCATCTGATGATCCCTTGGTGCTCGAGGCACCGACACCTGAATCCCCTTGCGCTCCATGTACTTCAACAACCGACAGATGATGAAGGCGGTCTCGTCAGAGCCTAGGGTCCAAGAGGCGTTGGTGTAGCCGATCATGTAGAACAGATTCGGAATGTCCTGAACCATGGCTCCGTTCCACAAGATCTGCTTTGCCGTGTCGATCCGCTCGCCATCTACCTGAAGGGGGATGCCACCACCGAATAGCATGCGTAGTCCCGTGGCCGTAACGACCACGTCGGCATCGAGCTTCGTACCATCGGTGAGCTCGATGCCGTCCTCGGTGACCGTGCGAATGTGGCCCGTCACTACGTCGGCTTTGGGCGTATGTAGAGCCTTGAAGAAATCGCCATCTGGGGCCAGGCACAACCGCTGTTGCCAGGGGTAGTACGCTGGGCTAAAATGGGGATCCCACTTGAGTCGCGGCGGCAGCTGTACAAGAGTGGCCTTCTTGACCATTTCCTTCATACGCTTGGGGAACCACCTGCACAGTGTCGCGAACCAATGCGTCGTCCACATGAAGTAGAGCCGCTTGATGGTCCCCAAGATGGAACGAGGCCATATCTTGTGGCTCCACTTCGGGCCGGTCCATGGGCTCGACCACTGCTGGGGCTGCGACACGATGTATGACGGGCTCCTCTGTAGCATGGTGACATGGGCGGCGGTCTTGGCCAGAGCTGGTATCAACGTGATAGCGGTGGCGCCGCTGCCAATGACAACTATCTTCTTGTCGGTATGATCGTAGTCTGTCGGCCAGAACTGAGGGTGGATGATCTTGCCACGGAAGTTTGAGAGCCCTGGTATCTCGACCTTGAGCGGTTGATTGTAGTCATAGTACCCGGCGCCGAGCACCATGAATCTTGATGTGTAGCGCTTCGTGACACCTTCGTTTTCGACAGCCACGGTCCATCTGTTCGTCTTGGACGACCAATCTGCAGATACCACCTTGTGCTTGAAGTTTATGTACTTGTCTAGGCTGTGGGCAGCCACGGATTCCTTCATGTAGGATATGATCAAGTCGCCTTCTGCGATCGGACTCGGATGAGGCCATGGGTGCCAGGAGAAGCCAAAGGTGTGCAGGTCCGAATCGGACCTGATGCCTGGATATTTGAACAAGTCCCACGTGCCTCCAATGCTTGTTCTATTCTCGAAAATGGTGAACGTGACTTGCGGTAGCTTTGTCTGAAGCCGGTATGCACAGTTAATCCCCGAGATTCCTGCCCCCACGATGATGAGATCCAGTGACTCGACATCACCAGATTTCTTCTCAGTAGAATCCATGGCGGGTGATGGCCGCAAGGCAGTTCTCGGCGTGAAATCTGCGCGTTAGTATATCCAGGCGCGGTGGACTGCCCCTGTATGATCTCAAATATTTGGCGAGTCTAGGGTGAAGCAGCCACTAAGTTGGCAATGTGTGGCACCTCGAGTTGGGGGTCTAGCTTTGGGCGATGGCCTGGATATATGCATGCCTTGCCTCGGTAGGATTCGGTGGCTCTGGGCGATACGCGATGTACTCGAACGTGCATGACGTGGAACGCGAACTCGGGGAGATAACAGAGTCCGAATGGCTACGGTGGTCGTGTAGGCACTAGTGTTCTCCCACAATTAGTCACTACTTATCAAGTATCATGATGTAATAGTTGCAGGCCACGACGCACTGGACATCTCAGTCGGGAACTTCTATTTGACTCTTAATTCGCTGCGAAACGGTGGTTCGTCACTCCAATATCAAGATGGGGTTGTCCTGCAGTGCGACTAGCAAGATGCTGGCCAAGGGGGTAGGGGGGTGTGGAACGTTGATCCCCGCAGCATTGGGAATAGACAACCGAGGCATACACAGTGCGTGGGAGTGCATTGCGATGGACGACGCATAATCTGCTCAGCCAAACAAAGATCACGGGTGTCAAAATGGAACGGCGGAAACCGAAATAACGTAGTCCATTTGCTCATGCCTTCATGTGTTGCAGGTTACAAGAAATCAATGCATATCTAGCGCTAATCCCGTTCATAGCTTTCCCGGAATGCTAACAAACTCCCCTTCAGAGACCTTCTGAGTATTACGGATGAAAACACCCACTTTGGAGGCAACCTGTTGTGCACTCGCCTCCCAGCCGCTCCGTTCCCCAACCAGTAATGTGTCGTGAAGAGCCGCAGCCTCATACTCCGACTGGATTCGATTTCCTTCAACTCGGGACATCTCTTTGACCCACTGGGTGCCGTCGATCTCCAGAATCTCCACGGCGCCTTGATTCACGAAAATTGGGATCGAAGTGGCAAAAGGATTACCAAGGGGGGTAATATACGGATCTGAGGGTGGCACGATTGCTGCATAAGTGGCAGCACCCCACCGCGTGAAACTCGGGGGAAGCAAGTCGGTTGAGTAGTTTGGGTTGCTCAGAATGGTGATGTCGGGCTTGAGGCTGTTGAGCGGCGATACCCACGGTGACAACAGAACTGAACTTTGTGGGTTGGGGATGTCCAGTTCGTCTCCAAAGTCTGCGAGGTAACGTAGTAGTGCAATGGCCAGATTTCCGCCTGCGCTGTCGCCAGAGATGGTGATGTTGCGAGCTGGGATATCGAGTGTTCGCACGAGATAGAGATAACTTGTCAGCGCATCTTGTAAGGCTGCAGGGAACGGATTGCTCCTGCCATATCCTGAAAGGCGATACTGAGGAGCGAACACAGCATCGACGCCGCCTTGTTGCACAAGCGTGTTTGCCAGAAACCCCAGGGTGTCGGTCCGGCCATCACCGATAACGAATGCGCCGCCATGGAAATGTAGAACAACACAACCATCAGGCTTTATCGTCGGCTTGCTGACTGGCTTCGGGTACCAGGTGCCTCCGATGGTTGTCGGCATGACCGTCGACTCGAGTGGGCCTTTATAGAAGCTCTTTGGCGCGGGTTGGACCACCTGGAACTTCTCCTTTTCTTTTCCGGGCTTCAGGGACAATGACTCGGTGATCCCGATTCTGCTTTGCACATCGACCATATAGCGGATCATGCGGGCCATCACGGCTTGTTGTAGGGTCCATTCTCTGTGTGGTCTCAAGGATCGGAAGAGTCCAAACTTGACGAGCCATAGCGGGAAGCGTGCGAGAAGTGCGCTCATACAATACAGCTGGTAGACCAGGCGTATTGGCTGATATGAGACGAACGGCCACGAATGCGACATCTTCAAGACGAATTTTACAGTAAAGTAAGCTGCATCAGATTGGTATAATTAAAGATGGTAGAGCTCATGGTCCGCGTTCACGTTGGAGGAAATGGTAATGCATCACAGTGTGGCGCACTGTCTCAAAATGAAAGGTCAAGCGAGGTTCGTGCGGGGGCGTATTTCCGCACGTCCTACGCACTCCACGGCATTTTCTCCGTCCAGGCAGCCCAGGCTGGTTTAATGCCAAGGATATTAAGCAGAGGCTATGCGCCTCGACACACGGGGGTTGAGAGGTCCCGAACCCCCGAGCGAGTGCGTCTACCAGACAGTCGGGACAGGGCGGCGTTTGGTGGACAGCGAGGTCAATGGGTACGGCAAAGCATTGGTACGAACAAACACCATTGTATCTGTTGAAGGTGATGTTCTCAACCTGAAACAGATATCTTGGGTCATGAGACCATAGCAGATTTGGCTCGGTTACTTCTAAACTACTACTCCCAAGACGTGATTTTACTCGTCTTTGTCGAATTTCAACATCGGTCGTCTTCTGTACAAACGCAGAGGAACAACTAATGCATGGGTTCTTTAGGGTTTAGACATTTTAGTAATCATATCGCGGCTCTGTGGCGTCTATGTATAGATTCTGCATCTTGACAATCCCTTTCTCATCTCTTCCACCCATAACTTTGAAATTGACTATGCCGTGCAAAGCGAATGTTTCAGGGACACGTCCAGCAATCTGTGATTGGGTCGTATCCAACTCCCCATGAAGCTGGATATTCGCAGTATAGTTTGTCGTAGCATTTCAACTGGCCGAACTTGCTTACGCACTCTGGTGGGTTGGAGGGTGTAATGAAAGGGCTGCAGGAAGATGAGCCGGGTTCGGTGGTAGGACTAGGAGTGGTCAAGACCGTAGAAGCTGAGCTTGTTGCCAGACCAGTGCTAGTAGGTGTTGCCTCTTGTCGAGGTAGATTGGTTGGCTTGGCTGTGGCCTGCGACAGCAGAGACAGCAACCATATAGGTGTCTGTTGAACCGATACGTGCATGGCTGTATGTCTAGTGAGGAATTCAAGCTTGGAGCTTTACGACCTGTACCTAAGAGTCTTTATATCACTTATGCGTCTTCTTATCGCAATATCGGTGAAGACACTTATAGAATGTAGCATTCCGCCTGGGTCGAGAATGGCACGATTTACTCGGCTAAATAGACCAAAGGTAGTTCCAGCGAAGTTTCGATACGATCTACTGCCATTTCATTCTACGCGTTTCAGTGCCGATTGGCCAGGTAAATATAAAGAATTCATCCGGCCGGATCAGAGGCTGATTAGTCTCAGTATTGGCAGCACCTGAGAACCACACGCCCCGAAGGTCCAAGCCACACCTCTGTACCTCTGCTGCAGATTCCCGTTACGTGCTCTGCCCCAAATTCAGCTCAATACCTCTCAAAGCCTCTAGTAAATCATCAGGCTTGCTCAGAAATGGGCAGTGACCCGATTGAATGGTTGCTGTGCAAGTCGTGCTTTTAATAAGGGCTGCCATCTGCTGCTGTACAGGAAGAGGAAGCGAGTTGTCGTTCTCGCAAAATATGTAACCACACGGCACTCCATCTGCCCAAGGCTCGTATGCTGAAGGTGTCACGAATAGTGAAATAGACGTGTGTGTCATTTCCTTGGTCCATTCTTGTTGAGAGCCTTCATCCATGTCGTTGAAAGCAACCTGAGGAATCATAGCCGGGACGCCGCGAACACGGTCTCCCTTTGTTTTCTATTAGCATTGTCTCCATTTTGCTTGGTTAGGTCGAGCATACTTCCACCTTCATCCATGGCAATGGATTGCCTCCGAGCATATCCAGAAGTGCTTTCCCAGAAGGGATCATGAAGGCTGACAGGAATATGATACCCAGGACGTTAAACCCCACAACAGCATTGCTAGCTACTAGACCCCCCGATGAATGGCATAGAATCAAGATTCGCCGGCCTTCGTGTTTCAATCTCGCGAGAACTGCCTGCACAGTAGCAATGTCATCCGCCAACTGAGCCAGCGGGGCCTCGCGCCCGCCAACAGTGGGTAATGCGACCAGCTCTGAGGCGTAACCGGCTTCGTCGAGTTTGTGGCGGAAGCCGTTCCAGGCTGTGGCCTTCAGCCAGGCACTCGGGACTACAACGATTGTTGGCTTGGTCATGTCCTGCACGATTACTTCCAATAATGGTGCTGAATTTGAGGTTGTAGGAGTTTGGAGTGTTGCGAAGGTCAAGACCCAAGGTCTTACGTGCCATGAGATTCAAGATCCGCTGTGGATACTGTCACCCGTTCGACCCCTGCCATAATGGTTGCTCTCAACAGTTCGCTTGCGGGGAATTTACCGGAGTATTACAGGATGGACACGGTGCATACTTAGTTACATTCTCTAATAGTCCAGTCAAATGGCTATTCACTTATATCAGAGTCGTCGGCATCTCCACGACCAATATTTCGAAGTCTTCTCTCGATCCCATTTACCTCGTTGGCTTCCGAGTATATCGGCATACCCTCTACGCTGCCTTTTGCGCCAAGTCTTGCCGAATACTGGAAGTCGATAATCAGTACTGTACCATCTGGGCGACGCATTACGTTACCTAGATCAAGATCCCCGTGGTAAATTCCGATCTCATGGAGGCGGCGGACTACTGCCAGACACGCCTGGATTTCCTGCTCTGGCAATGGTTTATTCTCTTTGGCAATCTCAGAGAAGCTCTTGCCACCTTCAATAAATTCCATGGCGTATCCTATCACCCCACGACCTTCCTCCGTAACCAGACCATGGAACCTGGTGGTAATTCCGTGAGAAGAGGCCTCCTGGTGGAATTGAATCTCCCTCTTCATCTCGGATTCCTGTTTACCTAGTCTCTCCTTATCACTGTCGTTCCGGGGGAGAAAGTCGGGAAACTCTGCGATTTTCATGACTGCTTTTCGTACAACGGCTGGATGATTGACAATTGTCAACCGTTCTGAGCGCATATCCCATGGTTTGGTGATTGCGCTTACCTTGGAGAAATCACTGTAATCAAGCATGACCTCGTGCGACAACCCCTGGATACCGCTCAACTTCTCAGCAATCTTTTCTGCAAGAGGATACCACACACTTGAATCTCGGTGGCCCGAAGCCATAACAGTATAGCACTTACTCTCGCCAAGGTCGAGAGTCGGCAGCGATGGATTTGGCCCATTTGGGTATTCCCACCCATGAGGGAAAGCATCTTGAGAAACAAACAGGTATTTGATCGAACGACCTACCAACACGCGGGTCAGAGTCCCACGATCATCTTCTGCGCCGACAGCCAAGATCACTGGTCGGTGTAATATCTGGCTGGGGTTTTTGGGCGACGTTCTGGAGCTTGCAGGGGAGGCCATAATATCCTCTTAGTATATTTGTTGACGTACGGGTTCGGTCTGCTTGTGAGATCGGTAGTATGAAGTTCCATGGGCAGCAGTTCATTATATAATAGGGAACCGCAGAGTCCGCTACATTAAAGGACAGTCATGGTAGGACAATAATGTAGTTCGCTTTGTAGACAACGAACAGCCAATAAACGAACCATCTCCTTGGTTTTGCTACGGCAATTGATAGACAAAGGTTAAGTTAATTTGTACATACAGCTGCTCCTCCTAGGATATCCCTTTGCCGCCCACCTCCCCTCCCCTGTTTTCTTTTTTCAGGGCAAGGGGACGACAGTAGCTCACTAGCAAAACACCCGACCCCACATATCCGAATTAAATGCTTCCGACTGCCTCGGGCTGTCCATCGTTGAGTGCATCGTCATTGAGACTGCCGGTATCGTCTTTTCTCTGACTTGCTTGGCCAGAACACCTCATTGGGGGGAAACGGCTATAGCTCTAAAATCATAGGAAGCTATTCGAAGTTGTACTTCTTACGTGCCTTCTTCTCCACGACCGACGGCCAGAGATAGTAAACGTGAGGGCCCAGGGCGTTAGGAAACCATGGAAGCACGATGTTGCCTGTAATTTGGCTGTCGACTGCATCCATGCATTTCTTCGCGACATATTCGATCTTGAGCCCATGCTTGTTAGGATCCTTCTCGATCACCGGCCCGCCGTCAACAGCCGAGGCCCGAAAGTTGCCCTCTATAGTTGAGGGCAACATGAATGTGAAGGCGATTTTAGAGTGCTCGATAGCCAGAGCCTGAAACAAAAGCAGAGACGATGCTTTAGATGCTGCGTACAATGCTCGCGTCGGCGCAGCAACGACGCTTGCGAGTGAGTTGAGCAGTAGAATAGACGGCGAGGCAGACGTACGCGTCAGCATCGGGATCTGCGTAGTGATGAGCGTCATGGATCTCTCAGCGCGGGTTGGGCTACTCACGAAAGTCAAGGCGGAAATGAATGGGCCATCAAAGTTTCCTTTGATCGCACGGCCACCTATTGCCACAGCGGTCCGTATGCCGTCGCTCGTCGCATCCTCCTCGGCCGACTGGACGCCAGTGAGAGCCATGACAGGCTGAAGGGCTGAGACTCCCGCACAAATCTGGAGGGTGTCCAGCCCGCCCCACTCAGCCAGCAACCGTTCTCTGACGCGCACCATATCGTCGACATTGCTGAAGTCGGCTGCTTCCCAGATGCAGTTTTCTCCACATTCCTCGGCGAGCACAGCTAGGTCTGCTTCACGTCTCGCCACGATGCAGACTCTGGCAGCCTGATCTGCATATTTCCTGGCCAAGGCTCTCCCAACACCGCTAGAAGCACCAAGAACTAGTACCCGTTCCTCTGTGCGTTTGATCGACTGGGGTCTGTGATTTCGTGCCAAGAGCCTGTGGCTTATGACCAGTGCGGGAAGAACAACGGCAAGAGCCGTGAAAGCCAATCTTACAGAAGCAGGTATCGCCATTGGGCCTACACGAGGAGGTCGGCGTTCGTACCAGAGGACAAAGGAAGAGGGATTGAATTTGGTAATTATTGGGTGAACAAGAGGTTACCAGTAGCTTTTTCGTAGCGCGCCACAAGAGGCTTGGCAGGGACCATATGCGGCTGCACGGACAGGGATGTGGCACTAGCGCAATCGACTGCCGCTGCCCCCATTCGTGGTGCTTGATTGTATAGTAATATTATAGTAACGTACTTGAAACTTGGTGTAGATAATCAAACCCAAAACAATAACATCCAGTCCCATCTTAAGCTTTCGGACTCTAGTACAAAGGCAGCTTGTATGCGTCGAAATCATACATCCAAGTATCAATAGACGCTTGGTCATACACGCATTGCAAGACTCCATCTTCAGCCCAGAATGGTCTCAGGGGCCATTTACAGATGGTATCGATCTCTCCGGTATTATCTAGGGTGTCCGGCGCGGCGTCCTTCTCTACCCAGTCGATCATAGCCTGCAGCGTCGTCTGGGGCCAGCCGCCATTGGGCTGGAAATCGTTGGAACTGCAGTGGCCACCGCCAGGAACGAGGAATAGTCGATAGAACTCGTCCAGCGCCGCAGTGCTTTCGTTGTAGCTGAGATGCCCGTACAAAACAGATCTCACTGACTCGTAGTAGTGTACAGATGCGCCAGTGGGTATCGAATTGTCCTGTTCGCCATGCAAGTGGAGGACTTTGCTCCCAGCGCTCTGAAAGTCACCGAGGTCGGGATACGTTGTCTGTACAGAGTCGTAGTATCTGTTCATGCCGAGGATCATCAGTTCCTTCAGAGTGTCGTAAGTGTAGTTATCAAGGCTTGCGAGGTTGCTGGCATTTTGCAACTGCAGGTACTTTGCGACAAATTCGCCGCCATAGCTGATGATATTGAGACCCCAGGTATCCGTCTCATTGTCGTACGCAGTGGCGCCATCTGCGAATGTTGCGCCGGGCTGGTAGCTTACATACACTAGCCGGCCCTCGGAGTCATGAAGGCCAGCGAGAATGGTACTTGCTACCGCCACCCCCTCGGCAGTGACAGTCCCGTTCTGGGCAGGGGCGGGGGGTATACCATATGATGGAGATCCCTCGGACGGGCCACAAGAGTAAGGTTCTCCCAAGGTCGTATTCACGTCAAAGGTCAATTTGCAAAGGTCAGAGCGGGAGACGACCCCGTCTGTTCTCCCGTCCAAGACGTCGCAGGCGGCGATTGTCAGGTTGGCAATTTTCTCCAGCTCACAGTTTGGTGGATAGCATCCTAGAGTCTGCTCTATCACGCTGCTAGTGAGGTGGTTAACCTGCTGCTGGCTGAATCGGAAGGCAGGTGCGCCTGTTACAGCACCGTCGAACTGGCCAGCAAAGCGCTGTATCTGGCTCCATCCTTCTCGGCCCCCCTCAGAGCAGCCTTGATAGTAGCTGTACAGCTTGCTGGAGGACGAGACGTTGAAGATATTCCGGGTGAACTGCTTTCCAAGAGTTGCCAGCTCGTGGTGCGCCTGGTAGCCGAACATGTAGGTCGATTGCCAGTTGATTGTATCATTGGCGAGCAGGAAAGCATCATCCCAGGGGGTATCAAACGACCCAAAACCACCATCGGTAATGCCGGATACCGCTCCAACAATGATCCCCGTAGGAATGTATTGCGTCCCCGAGTTGATGGCCAGGCCCCCGCCTCCCGTCGACACGTAACGATTCTGAAAGTTTTCAGGTGCAGGTATCCAGTATGTCACGTGGACGACATCGTTGGTGATTCCGTTGTGAGAGTACGCAAATGTCACATTGCAGTACTCGATAGTACTGGTGGGATACCATTCCGAGACAAACGTGGCATTGTATGTCAAGGAAGCCTGCACCGAAGACCTGTCGATGGTGATGCCTGGGTAAAACCCTTCAGCTGGAAGTGCATCTTGTGCGCATGACGCCGTACATATGTCATTCAGAGCAAGAGCACGCACGATGCCCGGAGAGGCGATAGCCACAAAGGCCCAGACGGATACCATGTTGACCGTGTAATCAAGACGGACGCCAAATGTTCATGGTGGGCAGTATTCCGCGGTGAGCAAGCATGTTGTCATCTGCAACTCCAGCCCAAAACCCCCTCGGCTCGCACTTGCTGAGTACCGAGCACCAGAAGCCTGAACTCTCCACTCTCGGCGCGTTTGCGTGTGCCTTTATGGCCGGTGGTAATTCTAACACCGCTAGTCTTCTTCAGATTGGTGCTAGCGTCTTTGGAGTCTGGGGTAGAAAGCCGGGTCCTCCGTGGAGATGATTACCTCATTGTACATGGTGTGTCGGGGACAATGCCGACAACAAAGACCGCGCGGCTCCTGTTTATTGTGTCCCCAAGTGGAGACTGGCGTTGCGTTCAAAATACTGAGCCAGAATATGTGATGTGGTCAATAGCTCTCATGTCCTAAGAATATTTCGACCACACATGTCATGCGTTACGCCGTACAATCTGCTACCGACTATGCATTGTAGAGCCACGGGCAACTTGTACGTACTAGATTTAGGGCAGGATGGGCTTTGTACGTCACCGCATGCTGGGACTGCTTACATGAATGGATCTCAAGGTTATGTTTTGTGTTCATTAACAAATGTGAAGATATCTTTACACCTGAGCCAGCGCCCACAGACATGCCATGGCCTGTCGGCAAACTAGCAAGCCTACGTACTGCTCAAGCCCTTATTTGATACGTATCCAAATCTAGCCGCCGTCCCAAAGGCACCAACTCCTGTTGCCCCAGTGATGATATTGTTTCCATCTGCTACATTGACGGAGATCTTGGGGGTCTCAAGGTCATCGACGAAGACTTGCAGTCCAGGCCCGTTTGCAATAACTCTGACTTTATATTCCTCCCCACTAGTCGCAGCGACTGCGGAACTCTGGAGGACTTCCCAACCAGACGCACTCAAAGACTTCAGCGAAACATTACCTGCCGGGGATATTGCAGCAAAGTACCCAACAAACATGCTTGGGCTGGTGATGTTTGAAGCCCTGAACAACAAACCAGCTTCGCCTCCGACCCTTTGCCCATCCGCCCGGGGTAATGCGATCGTAGCATCAAAGGTCAGATTGCCAAACTGGGTATCAAGCATCGCAAGACCGCCAAATTCACCGCTTATCGTAAGACGCTGGTCGACAACCGACCAATCTCCGCCGTATGACTTCCACCCGATTGCGTTGCCGTCTGCAAAGTTGTCTTCCACGCCCAACTTCACCGGTGCGATCGTGCCGTCGTCGTTGAAGTACATGCGGTCGTATGCAAGTACTCTATGATTGGCGGCAGTCTCACTCAAGGGCCGCCGGTGATAGACGATGTACCATATATCGGTCCCCGGAACGTTGATAATGCCGTGGTGCCCACAGCCCTTCGCAACAGCCGGGTCTTCCTGCAGGATCTTGCCTTTCCGGTTGAACGGCCCCGTAGGACTGTTAGTCATGGCATACGCCACTGAATAGTCTGACCCCATCCAACCGCCCTCGGACCACATGAAGTAGTATGTCCCGTTACGCTTGATCATCAGCGACCCTTCAACATAATCGACCGGTGTGATTTCTTTGAACTGGGTCCCGTCGTCGAATGCTCCGATCGAGATCATGTCCTCGTTCAACTTTGCCACATTGGCGTGACTGTGACCGCCGTAGTACATGTACGCCTGGCCGTCGTCGTCAATGAAGACGCCCTGGTCAATCGGCTGGGCGGCGTTGTAGTAGTGGCCAATCAACGGCTTCCCGATGGCATCAATGTACGGCCCTTGCGGATTATCTGCCACCGCAACCCCTATACCCCCAATAGCGCCAGCTTGGTCCTCGTCCTCTTGAATGTCGTTTGCTGCAAAGTAGAGGAAGTATCTCCCGTTTCGCGCGACCGGTGCAGGAGCCCAGACCGCCTTGTTCGCCCACTTGACATTGTCGATCGTCAAGATGTTGGGATGCTTTGTCCAGTTGACGAGATCAGGGCTTGAGAAGGCGTCCATGAAAGTCTGCTTCTCATAGGCATCCGAGTATGTCGGGAACACCCAGTACTCGTCTTGGTAGATGGCGACGTCAGGATCGGCATACCATCCGTCCACGAAAGGGTTGCCCGCAGGAGCCGTGGTCCAGTCCGGTTTGGCGATCGCGTTGGCCAACGGGTTGCCAACTGCGCTCGCGTTCAGCAAGCTCATTACCACCTGGGCCATCGTTGACCAAGTACGTCTGCTGCTTCCCGATGCCCTTGATGAGCTTCTGGAGTTGATGAGAAGACTCATGCCGAATTTCCAACGGAGGTGGTGGGGTAGCGTGGCAGGGTCTCGGATCGAGTCTAGCGTGGTTCTAGAGCCGTTGCATTCAACTATAGCTGGGCGACAGCGTAGTTGGCGGCCGTCGAACAATCAATATATTACGAATGGTAGACGCGATAAAGGATAGCAGTAGCATAAGGTTTAGTTAGGCTTCGGGACCATGTCGTGCCTTATAGGTTGTTCGGGGCCTATATGCTTTACCCCTCGAACAAAGGAACCACATGGTATGTATGTATATCATGCACCCCATGCACCTGCCGTTGCAGCTGGTTGGCTTGAGTCACGTCACCCGCACTTGGTCACATGTAGACAGTCGGCAACCAGGTTTTCCTGCAGTATTGGTCATGGTGGTGTTGTTATGTTGCATTGCTCGTGCCGATGGCCACAGTCCGCACGCGAGAAGGCCATCGCTATGCCTTTGCTTTACACCTCGATTGAATGCACGGTGTATTTGGCCAAGGACTGTTTACTATGTCTAAGTAACTGTTCCAACTTTGCCGGCAATATACAGCAATACCGGGTTACTCCGTCAAGATTTGAATTGCTTTGCCAACATATCCGTGACTTGCACAGTTTGCCCCAACGAGTTGGTCAGCTATGGCCTCTTGGGGCTAGATTCCATCCTTCAACTTGAAAGTTCCCACTCTTCCTTGGGTTGTTGTCTCAAATGATGTAGAACAGCACCACGCCTTTGCTACGCTCATCTTATCAAACGGTAGGGGCTTACTCTTAGCATTAATATAGAGTCTTGCCGTAACTCTAGCCCTATCAAGATGCCTTTAATGCAAATCCGGTTGAGCAATATTGTCAAGTCTTCTATTTCCTGCAACTTAGAAAACATGCCAGTCAATCCATTTTGGCTCGTCCCCATCAGAGCAGCGTACTTGTGCGGGGCGTGCAAGCGAGCAATCGGCGGATAGTAGGAACTGGCAGTAGCTCTTTTTAGCATGCATATTTAGCAATTGCTGTACTGTAGTGTCGAGATGGTCCTGTGGTCTGTTATAGATGCACCGTCATTGTGGGTACATAAATACATCAAATCATTCGAGGCTGTGGATGTATCTGGTGGATATTGCCTCTTCACTAGGTGGGATCATGAGTCCAGGTTACTCTATTCCAACAACCACTACAGGAAAAGCAACGGACAACCGCATCGGAAGCAGTAGTGTATTCGGGCTCACATAGTCTCTGTTGAGGAGGGGCCCCTATATACCCGGTTAGGTTGCCGGCAGGGCCAATCGGCATTGTCGTGTCAAAAACTGGCAAAATGTCATTTGCCGGCACTTAGTCCACGAAGGCTATGATGTCTGTATTTATTTTGAGTCGGTTACCTCCTCCCTGGAGCAAAGTCTTGGGTCTTTGCTTCTCATCAGCTAAGCTCATCATGTTTTCCCGAATAATCGCGTCTATCAGCTTCGGCGCCAGCGTTCTTGGTGCCCCTACCTCACATGCAGCCGCTTGCGATATTGCATCATTGAAGGCCGCCACCGACAGCTATATCTCTGCTCAAACAGCTGGTGACTCTACAAAACTTGCCGCTCTCTCTTCGTCGCCAACTTACACAGAGAATTTCAAGACTGCAGATCTCACCAAGGGGATTTTGTCCCAGTCTCTGAAGATTGACCACAACCACAGTCTGCATGACACAACTGCATGTGCGACCTATACTGAGTTGATTATCACCGACTCCAAGCATCCATCCGTGACAGGCACGCAAATGTACTTCACTGATGGAAAGATCTCCAAAATTGAGACCATCGTCACAGACAAGGGCGACTGGCTTTTCGACGTTGCTGGAACTTTGAAGTGGGCGTCTCAGGAACACTGGGATGAGATCCCTGTGGAGAAGCGTGACAGTCGTCAGGCGATCCAAGCTGCCGCTGATGCGTATGCTGATATCTTCAACAACAAGAGCGTCGTCGTCCCCTGGGGCCAGCCGTGCGCGCGGCTGGAAGGAGGCATGTATACCGGTAAAGGCCAGCCAAGCGATAGATGTGATGTTGGGATCCCGAGTGGCGTCAACAACACGCACCGACGCTACGTCATCGATGAGTCAAAGGGGAGCGTGGATTTGTTCATGACCTTTGCGGATAATCTTCCAGATAGTCATGAGTTCCGTCTCGAAGGAGGCAAACTCCGCTATGTGCATACGTTGACGGTCATGGGTAGCTAGGTCTTATTATTATCAATTTTCATCGCCACTCTCACAAATCGGCTCGTCATATGAATCTGGTTGTTGGTCCCGTTGTTTGGAAAACAATTCCATCACATGTCCGATCTCTTATCTCATCACCATCTCGACGATTTGAGATTGTCCTGTCGCGATTTCCGTATCTTAGAAGATTGTCCATTTGATCATCTCGCTTGAGGTGACTTAGGAATGGCATTTGTTGTGATGATTGTCCATTGTAAAGTAATATTATCATGTGAATAGGGATTTTCGCTCGGGCCATCACGGGATTTTTGTCTACAACTTTCAGAGCTGACACTGGTTCGCCAGACATCAGTGAAGAAAATGGCTGGTTGACCGTTCTGGCCTTTGTAACGGATCTCAGCACTGTACTAGGTTCGGCTGTGAGGCACATCGTGCCGACCAGACTTGATTCAGAAAGTAGCGCTGCCATTACCCACACCGAAGGCCCATGCTCAATATTGAGGAATCTAACTAGACCATCCGCATTATGTAGGCTGTATATCGATATGTCATGCCAAAGCTGCTCAGAGTTTGACTTGCTCCTGGTTGACTAGACAGTATCTATACCGAGGCTTGCCGGCTTCGATGTCGAGGATCGCTTGGTTTGCATCCTTCATCGGTCGCTCCTCTACCCATGCCTTGATATCCTTCTCTGCGGCTAGCTGCAGCATCTCCCTGACCTCTGCAGCGGATCCGATACATGAGCCGGCAAAGTTCAACGACTTGGTAATGAGCGAGCCAGGTGGAACGGAGAACTGCCCATCATCGGGATTTCCCACCTAAACAGCACATCAGGAGTCAGCGGATCCGATTGGTCTCCTTAAATTCTCCGGTCCGGGCCGTCATAGCCCAGAGGCTCTTGATTGATGCACAGCTCGTCGACGCTTTTAGCTGAATGGAATCATAACTTACGTGCACCAAAGTTCCCCTCCTCTTCATGAGCGCCAAGTACCCGCGCATGGGTGCCTGTTAAGTCTGGGTAAGTACATTTTCAGCCCGGAGTCGCGTTAGGTATCATACCTGAGAAGAGGCGACAGTTGAAATCAGGAGATCCAACTGGCTGTGATATTTCTTGTACCAGCCTTTATCCTCGTCGGTGGCAAGATAGTCATCTGCCCCAAGCTGCAGCGCCTGGGCGCGCTTGTTCCCCTTTCTTGAAATCGCAACTACGAGGTCTGCTCCCATGGCTTTGGCCAACAAGACTCCGTAATGTCCCAGTCCTCCCAAACCAATGATGCCGACCTTCTTGCCCGGGCCGCATCCCCATTGCTTCAATGGTGAGTACATGGTAACTCCGGCACACATCATGGTCGCCGCCTGCTTCGACTCCAGCGCGGTCGGTATCTTGAACGCAAACCGCCCGGGACACCGATGATAAGTCGCATAACCACCATAACCCTTGTCACCGTTGTGGTGCGGGCCGGGATATGTCCAGCGGGCCTTGGGGCAGAACTGCTCCTCGCCAGAAGCGCAGCTTTCGCAGGCCGGCTTGTTGAGTCCTTCGCAGTTGTCCGTCAAGCAGCCTACGCCTACTCGATCGCCGACCTTGTGGTTCCCTACCGCCTTGGGTCCTACTCGGACCACTTCCCCAACTATCTCATGACCAACAATGATGGGATAGGGTGCCGGATACTGTGCTTCTGTCAGATGAAACTCCAGGTCATACGGCGGCGTTGATGAGTTCCTCCAATGATCAGAGCACACAACTTACCCAGCCGGATCGCAAGGTATGGATATCGCTGCCACACCTAAACCTTGCATGAGCATTGCTTACGAAAACGTACCGCGGAGGACCACGACTTACATTCCACAATGCGTAATCCTGATGTCTATATCGGTGTCCTCCCAGCGCTTCGGTTGAAACTCGGACCAGACCATCTTACCTTCCGCAGAAGAGGGATCGTGGCCTACCCACCCTTCAAACTTGTAGTTTTGAGGAGGCATGGCCGTGGTGGAACTTTGAACAAACAAGCCAACAATGGGTGTCATAAAGCACTGTTGGTACACGTGCAGGTAGCGAAGGTCAATAATTGTAGTGTCCTCGAAATGGCGGGGGAACTGTGAGAGGTTTTGCTGTTGCTCATGACCCAGACTCTCTGAGTGGCGTTCTCGTCGTGGACATTTGCTGTGGGGTTTTAGCTCGATGTCGGGGATGTGGTCGTGGGGAATCCCTGGCAGCCGAGGCATAACGAACTATGGACAGGCGAACGCGGCCTCCACCCCAAAAATGGACGACTCAACGGAATGGTCTTGCCCATTGCATTTCAAAGTATGTTGGTGGTTCACGATCTGATGGCAGCGTCCGATGGATTCGCTTTGCCTGTCTCAGGAATATCAGGCAGTGCTTCCCCGGTTCAGCCGCGATATATCACCAAGGAAGAGGGTTGTCGTTATCATGGAGGCATGTTTCATGATGCAAGCTGTGTAAGAGGAACGAAGTCATCTATACATTATTATCGGGAGTGGATTGAGATTGCGTAGCTGACCTCCAAGCCGTTTCTCGAGTGCCAGGGCACCATCTCCAAGGTGGAACTTAGAAGCGCTACGTCCAAAGCGCTTTTAAGTGTTGTGTACGATGCGCAACGAAGGCCACCCTGTGCCCGCACCATCGAGGCGGGACGCTCTTTCATCGTACGCTGTATGTACAGTTGACAGCGACTGTCCACCCCTTATCCCACGAGCAGAGTCCCTCTCAAGCCTATACGCGATGCTTGGGGCCTGGGCACTCTCCCAAAAACCCCAGTTCCGTTAAAGTTCCTCTTTGGGCACCGATTCACCTTCCTGAACCTTGGGTTTCCTTGTGACTGGCGCCGGCACAGACAGCGGCCTTTGCTCCCATCCGAGTTTCTCTCGCACTGCGTTCTCGACCACCCGTGGCAGCTGGTTCGCGTACCACCATTGCTCCATGCCCCAGCCGCCCGTGGTGAAGACGTAGACCCTCGCAGTGATGACAGTCCCTGCGAGGCCAAATGGCGCGCAACTCATGAACCCATCGGCTGCGGCGACCTGCGGGTCGATGCTTGGAGCTGCGATGCCGCAGAGGGTATTGATCAGCAGCCCGCCGCCCAAGCCGTACGTGACGGTCTTGAGCACATGAGCTTCTGCTGGCGTGAGCGTAGGGGACCTGGTGAAGCTGTTGAGCCGGGCTAGGAAGAGGGCCACGAAGAAGAGGAATATCTTGGTGAAAAGACGCATTGTTGGGAGCTGTTATGAATGGCGCGAGATGATTCGAGAGGGCCACTTCCGAGATGGAAGAGTCGGATGAGCGGAATGGCCCACGAGTCTATGATACGACGGAGTGGCTGAGATCTGATGGGACTCTGCGGGGTGCAGCAGCGCGCGCTTCCGAAAAGCCTGTATAATATCGTCACTATGCAAGATTGACACGTTCACTTGAAGCCATCGTGGGAGAAAAGGGTCAGTGGACGCGGGGCTGGGGTCCAGGGGTCCAAATGTGACAGGGGCGGGCCGGGAACGGTTTCAGTTGGAACGGAGGTCCAAGTGGTCGGGAAAGGGCATCGCCGTGACTGTCAACTCAAAAGACTCTCTGCATGCAGGTGCTGCTGAGTCGCGATGCTCACTACACGGCCATAAGCCATAGGGCTGAGCGTGATTGTTCCCATAACAATTGTGGCAGTGACTCCTTCACAGTTCGGCGAGGCAGAGGCAGAGGCAGAGGCTTACGTTGGCATCTGGACACAGCAATTCAAGCCTGTTCGGTTGGTACGTGGTGGGCTACAGGGCTTCAACAAGCGAATGCCACCATTCACCCGTCCCCTACAGTAACATACTATACCTCGAGTGCTAGGAGGTATCTATCTCACTTCCACATTGTCACCGAACTCCTCGGCCCCTTCAGTTGGAAGGATAACAGTCTGGTCGAAGGGGAACCTCGATGACAGCCGGTCAGATCAGATCAGACAAGCCGGGGGCCGGATCTTGAGGAGATTGGCACGGCGATGGGTTGGCTGCTGTTGGCCATAAGTTGCACACCAAGTTTCCTACCCAACGCTAGGTATCTGTTAAAATCCATCTGCCTGCGAACAGTGCCGCATCACCACAGGCCACACAAGTCGCCAATGGAGGGAGGCAGTGACACCAACACAACAAGCCGCCTGGCACGAAACCGCGCGCGTTGCCAACGGTCGCTGGCTGCAAGATGTAGCATCATTTCCGAAAGCCGCAATGCTCATTGCATGTCAATTACTGCTTTGGGCTGACGGTAGCGCGGGTCCTGACGTATGTACCACGCCTTATGGCCCCTCCGCCCAGATGGATAAGTCGGCTTCCAACGAGGCTCGCGCTGCGTGTGAGTGAGAGACAGGGTGTGTAGTATAAGTTGGTATGTGTCTACGGCGATGGTGGCGGTGACGTAAGTCCTTACTGGCATTGGATTGGAGTGCGACTCTGCGCGACTCGCCCACCTGCTCGTTCGTCGCCCGAGGTTCGATTCGACGCGCGCGCGAAGGACTGCAATCCCTGCGACCAAGTGCCGCATGGCATGGCGGCGCTATCCAGCGCGCAGTAAGCTCCGTCTCCAGGGCCCTGGCTCACCTGAGGCAGAGCTCGCGAAAAGACAGCAAGACGTTTGGAAATAACTATCGTCATGGCCGGCTGATCTATCCAACTACTCTGCGTCGTCTGCGCGCTCATACTCATGTATCATCGAGTTCTACTTTAAACTGTGGCCCGGCTACCCCCTTCATCTTCTCCCCCTTGCCCCCCTAACCTGTCGTCCAGCCAAGTTACATAGATACCCACAGCAATCCAGCACGACCCAGCGGCGATCCAGCGGCGGCCCTAGGCACAACTTACCAGGGACTCGGGATAGCCCGCGTCCAGAGCTACCTGGTAAAGTACTCGTCAAGTTCGCAGTCATCGGCGCCTCGCCCCTCGTCCAGTTCAGCGTGGCCTCCTGAAGATTGTAGAGCCAACACCTCTCCCACCGGAGCGCAGCACACATGGCTTCAACCGGCAGCGAGGTGCCCGCTGAGGCAAACGGGAACCATGACCACATTCTGCGCCCTCGGCCCAGGAAACCACAGCATTCGCAGCTGTCCGAACTCGTCAGGGAGCACAGCAACACGGCCGCCAATGGCCTACTCGCGCCTGGCGACGGCATCGCCTCTGGCATGACGAGGTAGGGAACGACACCCCACCCCCCCCCCCCCCCCCCCCCCTTCCAGCCAATGGCCAGGAACAAATGTGCCTCCCTTCGGAGAAGAAGAAGAAGAAGAGAGAGAGAGAGAAACAAAAAGAGAGAACACAAAAGAAGCTCTTGTGCTGACCGGCTCGCCGCAGTGGGAGATCAACGCCCATCGCCGAAGATGCCCCCGACTCGGCCAAGGCCCTGTCCAGCGCCCGCAAGCAGGTCCGCGCCGAGCAGCGTCGCCGTCTCTTTCCCACCGTCGACTTCACCTCGCGCGTGTCCCATTTCGACCCGACCTCCGACTACAGGGACTTCCATGGCTTCTTCAACCTCTTCTGGATCGGCCTGGCCATCATGGCCATCACCACCGGCCTGCGCAACATCAAGGACACGGGACACCCCCTGAGGGTGCAGATCTGGACCCTCTTCACCGTCAAGCTCTGGCATCTGGCCATAGCCGACTTCCTCATGGTCGCCAGCACCGCCGTGAGCCTGCCGCTGCACCGCATCGTCAGGAAGAGCCAGGACGGCATGACGTGGAAGAAGGGCGGCATGGCCGTGCAGAGCATATACCAGGTCTTCTGGCTGGCTTTCTGGATCGCCGTGCCTTTCCTGCTCAAGTGGCCCTGGACGGCCCAGGTCTTCCTGCTGCTGCACACCATGGTGCTCCTAATGAAGATGCACTCGTACGCCTTCTACAACGGCCACCTCTCCGAGACCGAGAAGCGTCTGCACGATCTCGACAACCCCGCCACGGCCTCCAAGGCGCCGGCATACCAATACCCCAGCGTGGAGAACCCCATGGGCACTCTGGCGCACGACGGCCAGCCGCACGACAGCGACTCCGACGGCGAGGGCGTCAACCAACTGCGCGAGGATCTGGCGCGGGAGCTGACCAGCCCCATCGGCAACATTACGTACCCGCGCAACCTCACATGGGCCAACTACTTCGACTACATCCTCTGCCCTACCCTGTGCTACGAGTTGGAGTACCCGAGGATGGCGGCCGTCAACTGGACGTCCCTGATTGCCAAGATCGTGGCCACCTTTGGCTGCATCTTCCTGCTGACCATCATCTCGGAGGAGTACATTCTTCCCGTGCTGCAGGAGTCGCATGTGCGCATCGAGTCGGCCTCATCGGTCGGGGACACCCTTCTGATCCTGGCCGAGACCATCTCCTGGCTCCTCTTCCCCTTCATGCTGACGTTCCTCCTCGTCTTCCTTGTCATCTTCGAGTACGTGCTGGGCGCGTTCGCCGAGATAACATGCTTTGGCGATCGTCACTTCTACGCCGACTGGTGGAACAGCACGGACTGGATGGAGTTCTCGCGTGAGTGGAACGTGCCTGTCTACTCCTTCCTGCGTCGACACGTCTATGCCACCTCGAAGCCGAGAATCGGCAGGGGCATGGCGACGCTCATCACCTTCTTGATCAGTGCAATCGGCCACGAAATCGTCATGGCCTGCATTACCAAGAAGCTGCGGGGCTACGGGTTCGTGTGCCAGATGCTGCAGTTGCCATTGGTGGCGCTCCAAAAGACAAAGTGGGTAAGAGGTCGGGAGACGGCAAACAACGTCGTGTTCTGGTGCAGCATGATCATGGGCTTGAGCTTGGTGAGTCCTGCGGCTGTCTTATTTGATATTTGCGCTCAGGAGCTAACTCTGACTGCAGATCTGCTCTCTCTATGTTTTGGTTTAATAGGGCAGAGACAGAGTTGTCTTGGTCGAGCAAACCTTTCCTGTTTCCTACTTGTTACGCGTTAGACCGAGCCGATCACAATGGAGGGCCTCGAAATTGCCTACGGGCTTTTGGCGTCATCGTACGGAGTCATGCATATATACCATTTATATACCCCAATAGAACGAGTCGAAATGTCGAAAAGTACCTGATGCCTCCCTATGAATCTGCCGAGTTCTGCTAGCCCCATACTTACCGCGCGTAGTCCTTGATATGATGGATCGAATACAACGTGACACGGGGCATCTGACGGCAGGAAGACAGACGATGACCAGCAGAGATACAGTTGAGCAAGCTCTTGATGATCATTGCCGAAGAAAGCACTATACTTACATGCCAAAGCTACATAAGCAACCGGTTCACGCTATGGACAAAGCGCATGAAAGTCCCGCAACACAGAGGTGTGTATTTTATCGCAAGGCCTTGGACATACTGTACGCTACTCAGAGCTACTCGGAATCAACCAGAGGTGCTGGTGTTCAGGCTTGTATCATCATATACACCGAGCTTAGCCACCAACAGCCCTTCTCATATTCATAGGCTTGATAGCTGGATCTGATTGGTTGAGACCACAGCCGGTGGGCTGAGGAGCAAGTCATGACTGAGATGTGAGACGTTGCCAAGGCAAGAGTATTCCAAGAGACATGTGAGAACGAATATCATGCTGTCCGCATCACAGAACGGAGACCACGAATTCTGTTTGCGTATCTATACAGCGTAAACCGAGAGGAATGCAAGGACAACAATCCGGTGTGGAGTATAAGGTTCAGGATGTCGCTAGATGGACGAGTGAAAGGTATAAAGGGGACTCATGTTGGCCAGGCAGCATGAGAAGAAGGCAAAGAAATAAGTTCCTATTCCCACCACCTCTTACAGCCAGATACACACAGCTTTGCATTGATTCTCTTCGTCATAAAGCTTTTTGGGGTTCATTTCTCGCCAATGCTTCATGATTGTCACACTTTTCTTCGCTGTGCTCATCAACTCGGTAGAATATGTGGGCCATTCTGCCCAGGCAAGTCCAGCAGACCTATTCTCGGAGCTCATTGCAAGATTGAGGGCTGGAGCCACAAGAATGGGTGTAAAGAGTGCGTGAAAAGGCCAAAGTATGGGGGCGGGTGCATCAGCCAGTGTTCGATCTTGCAGCACGTGGCACTCTACAAGACGGGCAGGTGGAATAGAAAAGGGGGGAGGGGATACGTACGTGATGGGCCCCAGCTGGGATGCGGTCAGACGATGTTGTATTGTTCGTAAGTATTCGGTCGGGGTTGGTTTCTTTGGCCCGTCTACCATTGGCGAGAACCAAGTTCACAATGATATCTGCAACACCTGATAAAAATAGAGCTTAATGAAACAATATGTTTAAGTCAAACGTTCATAGTGCGACTGAAATTCAGCTCGACCTCGGCAGGTCACCTTCTCCAGCTGTTTCCTCATGGCGTATCTCATCTAGTCATTCAGATACATTGACCGCGTCCCAACCAACCCATTTCCCGCCTGCCCTTAGTGTGGAATATACCCTTCTCTCGGCCACACCTCCTCTTGAAACGAGTGTAGACAACCACGGAAGGCCCAGGCCCAACGCCCCCTAAATGAACGGCGAATTGAAGCATTAATGACAACAAAAATGCCCCACCACCAATAAAATACCAATCGCTTACCAAGAATCCGACACCGGCCCCAAATCCAGATGGCATCTCCAGACATGGTTGTATGCAATATGTGTATGTGTATGTATAGTTGAAAGCAGTGCGTGCGTCGTAAGCAAAGGACAACAGGGGAAAAACAACAGCGGAAAAAAAAATACAGGCAGAAAGGGTGACGTTAGCTCTAGTAAATTCGTGGGAGCTAGAGGCTTTCGGCAGGTACGACAGCTGGTGCAAGTCGCAGAATAGCAGGTGAACCAAATGTAGATAATGGTCGCCGCCAACTAGACTGGGTGGCTCGCTCCTTCAAACCAAAGAAAGCTTTCGTGGGCGTTCTGCGTGCAGGTGGTTCGAAGCGGGAAACAGTTTCGGCAAGACCGTATAGCGTCGGTCTTCTAGTGACGAAACTCTTCACCGGCTGCATCTTTCCTCAGGCCTCTAGCTCCAGTCAAAGACATCATTCGTTACTGCGTTTCGGAAGTTTTCTAGGTGCAAATGGTGAGAAGCCACAGACTGTACTGAGGGGCCTCGACCAGTGAATGAGCTTCTGACGGCATTAAAACAGATAAGCGAGTACTTTCGGGTGACCCGACAGTATCATGGTTGAATGTGCCCCGGTGGCAAGTGGTGGCGAAACGCGGGCAACAGGTAACCGGCCGCCGTTACAGAACTGCGCACCAAGGTGCGGATGTGACAGCGCTAAACATCCAGGCGGGTGTTCCTCTAGCCATGGCTAAAGACTGGGTCGCGGTAAGCTGCGTGAGGAACCTCACCATAAGCAACGTCGTCAGGGGTGTAAGCCGGCGCAGTCTTGACAGTACTGAAGAACCGATTGGAACCGCCGTAGCTGTCATGACTGGGCATCGCAGGACGATACGCCATGGGCCTGCCGGTGTTTGCCTCAGGGGGCATGTAATAGTGCTTGTTGCTCTTGCGGCCCGTGGGCGACTCCTCGCGATACCCACTCGACCGGACGGTCTTGCCGTTTGCGACAGTGTACCGGAATGTGCTGGGCTGCCCTCCTCCGCGAGGTATTTCATCCGGCGAGCGGTGTCGTCTTGACCGGCGCGGGGGTGGCTCCTCCTCAGAGTCCTCCTCTACGAACGCACGTGCATGTCTGGAGCGACTGCGTTCCCGGGGATCGTCTACGTCGCCGGGCATCCAGGTCTGGGCGCGGGTCATAGTCGGCATAGGCCCAGGCCCAGGGCGCGGGTATTGCTCGGTGTGAGACCGAGAGACCCGCGGAGGCGATTCGGGAACGCTGGGAGGTGTGCCTTGTTGATACGACGTTGGCATTGTTGCCGATTTCTTGAAAGACGGCACTGGCCGGCTAGGCTCGGGGACATACTCGGGCTCCCTGGTAGAGCTCGATTTCTTATGGGAGGACGACGACGTCTTCTCCTTCACGGTGCGAGGCGTATCGTGAGACATGCGGCGGCGGGCGGACGAGCGCCGGATGGGCTCGTCGTCCTCCTCCTCGTAGAACTGCTTGGGGAATGGGCCCGGCGGGGGTGGAGCCACGTTCTGAGCTGCGGGAGGCGGTGTGGCAACGGCAGGCGGCGGCGGCGGCGATGCACTGCGTACATTGTAGTGGTAAGTCTGCGCGCGAGCAAGTCCAGGGGCAACCTTGCTCCGGCTCCGGTCCAGGTACTGCGCGGCAAACTCGAGGGTTTGGGAGTGCTTGACATCACGTGCGGAAGCGGCCGGCACTTCTCGTACCTCTCGCACGGTTTCCTTGACGCGGCTGCTTGACTTGGATTTCTTGTCGGACTTGGAGGGCGGCGGTGCAACGTTGAGGATGACGGGCTCATCTTCCTCGACGTAGGGAGTCTTGTGGCGTGAGCGCTTCTCCTCGCCGTCGCGTTTGCGGTCCTGATCACGGACCTTCTCGACTCTCCGCTTCTCCTCCTTCTTGCGCTCCTTTTCGCGGCGTTCTTCATCTTTTCTCTCTCGCTCTCGCCTCTCCATCTTCTCCTGCTCTTTCCTCCGGGCCGCCTTCTCCTGGGCACGGTCCCACTCTTCGTCCTCCTTCTCCTTCTTCCTCCTGCGCCTCTCATCGTCTTGCCTCGACGATGACTTCTCGTCGTAGACGACCGACGTTTTCCTTGACCGCCGCGAGTCACGGGGCGCCTCCTCATAGCTGCTGTAGTTGATGTTGTCCTCGAACGACCGGGGCGGGGTGCGTGTGCTGGTGTACGGGCTCTTGCTGCCGTGGGTGGCCGGGAATGTGGACGACTTGACGAAACCAGGCTTCGGCTCTGCCGTGCGCACCGTGAAGGAGCCGGAATCCTTGACGTGGACCGTGTAGTGCGGACTCCGGGCGTAATCCGAGTCGTACCGGGGCGGGGTGCGTCCTGGGGTGAACTCGCGATCGCGCTGTCGGCGGCGTTCTGCGTTCTCCTTCTCCATCTCATTTGCGCGCACCATGTCGTCGTACTTCTGCCGCTCGCTCTCATTCGACAACATCTCATATGCCTTCTGCACCTTCTGGAACTCCTCCTGCTTGGCGGCCTTCTGCGCTGGGTCCGCTACCTTGTCCGGGTGGCATTTGAGCACCAGTTTCCGGTGCGCCGACCGGATCTCTGGAACCTGTGCATTCTTGGAAACGCCGAGGATTTCGTAGGGGTTATCTGGTAGCGTGAACATGTCTGCTGGGTTCGGTCGCCCGTCTCCAAATGTTGCCTGCAAGTGTGGTTCCCGAAACTCTACTGTGAACAACCGTCCGATGAAGCAGCCCGGATCCCAGCCGTAGATGCTGTAGTGGTGATGCAGGATGGTGGCGAAAGCGATGAATCTCGTCGCACAGGGAGATCGGCGGCCGGGCAATTGACGGCTGGTTTGGCAGCGAAGCAGGGGGGCTTCCACCGTCCAAGGTCGCGGGAAGGAAGTGGCTGTGATGTGGTGATCGTGGGCTGAAATGCCAATCACAAGCCCAAACCGTCGAGTTAGATACAATTAAGAACCAACTCCCGGCAGCAACGAAAAGAACGGACGGATAGCAGACGGTCCCAGGGGTTTGGCTGAACTCTAATGTTGGTAGGTGTCGATAGTGTGTTGAATCTTGAATTGACCCCAAGGCGGGTTGGTTGAAGGGGGGAAAGAATGAGGAAGACGGATGACCTCACGGAGAATCGGGCACCCAGTCCAGTCAACCAGGTGGGATGGGCAACGGGAGGGAGACTGGAAGCGAGCGAGGAGGTGGTGCTTGTGCTTGTGCTTGTGCTTGTGAGTGTGAGCCCACTTTCAGGCCTGACGCCGCTGAGGCGCGCGTGGATCCCGAGATGGGGATGGGGGATGGGGGATGGGGGATGGGATGATGGCCCAGATGGGTGATGGGCAGATTCGGCGGGGGGGCCCCCCCTGTAGCTATGGCTGTGTGTGTCTCCTGGCAGGCCGCTGATGGGCTGGAGGCCCCTGTGGTGTGGTAATCGGGGAGTGATCGACTTTGGCAGCGGGCGGCCGAGCAATAGCGTCAACACTTGCCGCTGGATGGTTCTGTAGTGCCCGTAGCGGCAGCGTAGCTTGGTGCCTGGTCCCAGTGTCAAGCTGAACTGGGAAAGGGCCGACGCGGCGATGTGAGTGGGCTTTCTCTCTACCAAGGTACGTGACCTTGCTGTTAGAAAGACACACGTCGCGATGTACCAGGGTACTTCCGCACCCAGAAGCCCGTCGCTGCGTAGCCTCGGTCGCCTGTAGCCCACACTGACAAGTCACTAGCCACCACCTGTCGAGGTGCCTGTCTTTGCGAGAGTTGGCACGCCTTGGCGTCTTTCGAGAAGGCGTGATTGCTGCGTGAGTCGGATCCCGGGCGATCGTGTCGTCTAATCCTCATGCAGCTGTAACTACGCCTCCGAAGACTTCGAAGAGGTTACCGTGTCACGCGTATTCAAAATTCAAGCAGGCCAAGTGTACGCAGCGCAGGGGATAGACTAACGATCCGCAGGCAAGCAAGCCAAGGGACCTGCCGTCATGCAAATCAATCTTATGTAATACCTCTACCTGACGTTCAACGTTGCTGAGATCGGAGTGTGCGAAACCGCCAGCCAAACTCGGCACACAGTATAAAAGTCTTGGAGTCCGTTCAGGGCCGGAAACTAAGGAGCGACGGCAAGCATGCAACCACGTGCTTCCTGCGGCTTGTTATTGCTGCTGCGCGGCGACCGGAAAACTGCTCAGGTCGATTATATATACCTTAAGAGGGCGATGGAAGCTGACGGTGCAGCTTCTGATCTGGTGGTGCTTCACCTTCACTTCTTCTAGCAGACGAATTGATCTAGATCTAATGATATGAGTCTCGAGCCTGTGGGCTGGAGGCGAACTCCACGCTCGCCTGTCAGGCTTGTTCAGGCTGGTTATATCCTGGAGGGCTGTGAACCAAGCAAGAGGATCTAGACTGTGGGCCGACCAATACGCGGACGGTGGCTACTTCGAGCGCTGTGGTGGCAATAGTGCACAGAACGGAACACCTCTGGCGGAGGCGATTCCGATTGCCCAGGGTCCTCCAGCTTAACACGGCTTGCAGGACAGCGGTATGTAATGTAGGTGCAACAAATGTCTGTCGTTAGAATACAGGTCGTCGCACGCCAGACTTACAACCCGTTTCTGGTTGTTTGTTTTGCTGCGGTCTGTTTTGGGGACATGCCGAAACTTCGTTGAGACGGGAAACGGCTGTAAGTGGTATCCGCTGTGGATTGTCGCATAGATGGCCAAGGGCGGGCAATGGCGGTGAGTGCGCGGTCCATACAGTTATACCCTCGCGATAGCAGTACAGCACAGCAGAGAGCTAAGCATCAGAAATTTTATGGAATGACCTTTGAACAAAGATTCCGTGGGGAACTGCCCCAACGCTGGGCTAGCTAGGTCACAAGCTTCAGAGCCTTGCTATAACGTGATTCTATAGATGTCATCGTCTAAAGGTTGGGCTCGTTACTCAAAGGACGGGCTTCAGTCACCTGAACTCCTGGTTGTCCATCCGAAAGGCGGCCGAGCGAACAAGTTGCGGATGACCAGCAGTGTTGGCCTCCGGAACAAAGAGCTTCATGGTACATGTTTGGGATCCAACGCAGGCCACGACATGATACGACGGCTGCTCTGATTCCGACTGGGTAGACGGGGATGTAGCTCAGTGCGACTGCGGCACTCTTGGAACAGGTTCACTGGATGCCGCGGATTGGTTTGCGGCAACTGCAGCCAGATGCCCTGCAGTTTGCTAGCCAGGTGCAGCACCATAGTAACTATTAGGTCCACATGGTCCCAATCGACGTCTGCGAGGTGCTGTTCCATGCTCCATGAACCAAAACCACTTGGCAGTTGCTGCAGGGCCTCCGGGGTTTCGAGCAGATTGCATCTGGTCCGTCGACCGATCTCTTGCCCGCCGGGTAAGCTCTTGCAGCGTCCCAAGTGGTCAAGTTATTGGACAATGGGTTGGATTGGCAGCCTCAGTTGATGACTTGGCCCAGTTGATGCCCCGTGGCCCCCGGCACTTGCAGGAGTCCTGCACCAATGGAGCAGTGGAGGCGTTGCCAGTGTACATACTGGAGTATGTAGCTGGGAGCAGCAGGTAGATGATTCGCGTGCAAGCCGAAGGCCTTGCATCGTGTTATTTCACGAATGCTTCTCTATCTTGGTTAAGAGAGTGGCAGTAAGATGTGCAGTCGAGCCCACTGACGGTGAAGTTTCTTTGGCGCAACTTGGTTCACTTGTTCTCGACCAGATGATCGATAATTTAGTCGTTATACCCGCTTTGCAAACGAGCTGCGGGCAGGTGATGCTAGATCGAGCATGGATCGTGGTCAGTACAGTACACAAGTTACTGGTAGTATCGCAATCGCAGCTGGAGGGCTCCATAGCTGTCCGCAGCGAGGGAATTAGGGGTTATGCAAGCGGCCCTGATAGGGACAGCAGATGTGGGCATCCCAAGATTCAGCCAGTCAGGCTGATGGTCAACCTGCGCCGTTTCCTCAGGCTGCATACGCCGTGGGCCACCCCAGAAACCCCCCTCACCATCCTGTGGTGTCGTGGTCACGCTGAAGTATGCATCTGGTCGCTTATAGGGTCGACAGAGGGCCTGAAAGGGCCAATGCACGAGCTGTGTCGAAGCAGGTACGAATCCTGCGAACCTGCATAGGGCAGTCGAGAAAACTTGGTGTGCTACACAAACAAGTCGAAGGAGCTGTCATCACGATCTGGCTTACTGCACATGTCCTTCTTTTGAGCCTCTTCTCGGCCTCAGACATACCTGACGGCCGGTGGGATGGTGGATCAGTAGACAATGGTGGTGTGGTGGGATGAGCGTCGTGTGGTTGCCAGGCGGGACGGGTATGGCTTCGAGTTCGGGAGGGGGGAGCCAAGCCATCTGCTTTGTCATGTCTGGAGCCAATCAAGACGAACAGAAGCTGTGGATAGCGCATCTGAGCCGGACCACGTTCCAAGACGGCCGAGTGGGCATGGATGGATATTCGTCGAATCGTCAGTGCAGTACAGCTCCCAGGCCCGCCCAGGGACTGGCCGTCGCAGGCAACTCATAAGTAGGTCGCCGTGGCTCATCTCTCGAAGTATCCGACCAAGCCACGATCTGACTGGCTGACTGGCTCCGTCAACAGTACCGTCTGCAAGCTATGACTTTGCCAGGTTTGGCGGTGAGCCCGTTAGCAGCGTACATCAAGGATGAACCCGCGAGCGAACTGTATGCTTCCACTCTCCGACTTTGTTCAGCAACGCACGGCACTGGCAATCCGGGCGACGAACAGGCTGTCCGCGACTTCGGGAATGGCTATACACTGTGCTAGATAGCCGGTGATCATCATACCCAGATAATAAGCAATCCTGAAGGCTCAAGGCTTTGTCCCTGATTTGCCGTTTGTGGAATGATGTGCACCGCCGCCTTGGTGCTGCTCTGTGGACTCCGCAAATCGCAATCGATTAGTTAACGGGCTTGGCTCCACGACTCCCAGGGCTCCCAAGGCTCACTCTCATCCCTGGATGTCATTGGAAGGCGGGGGCGGGGTCGTGGGCGAGGTCACAGCTCTGTCCGACGTCTTTGCTTAACGGCAAGTTTAACCATCCTCGTAGATTCAGAGGAAGAGGGCAGCTAGAGCTTCGGCATCATGCACGAGAAAAGGGGCAGCATCGGGCCAACGCTTTCAGTTCAGGTTATCCAAGATTCCCGAGTCAGCCGCCCCTTACACGGAGTATACGGGGAGTCCTCACGATCTGAGCGTTGGATCTGACGGCTAGAACTGGGGCAGTCAGAGGGGCGTCGCATCCTTTCTTCGCAATCGTTGACCTACCCGCATGGATATAACCTTGGAAGTCGTCCAGCGGTCTATGATCCTCAGCACTCTAGCTCGGCGATTGCTCACCCTCCTGCTGTTTGTGCCTGAGGTGCCATGGAATGCCTTGCGATGAAAAAGGCGGGCGAGATGCGTACCGCTTCAAGCCCATATACATGAGTGAGAGAAAGAGAGAGAAGAGAGCTGCAAGGCGGTGAGCGTGGGTCAGCCATGCCATTGTCCTCAGGCTATGAGCCTTTTCTGGTGCATTCTCTTGCCTACAGCGCCGCGCCTGATCTTTGTCTCTCACCCGCGGACCCCATCCATTGATGCCATCTGACACTGTTTGTACAACACGCCTCTTCATCGGTGTTGCCCTTGCTTTCCGCGAGCCTCTTTGCAACCCTTAAGCTAGCCTTTCCTCAGGTCCTGCAGCATCCTAGCCACCTTCGTCTTAACATTCGTCTTAACCACGCATTTCCGCTGCCTGGTGCATTGGCGAGCTTTCTCGAGGACCCATCGCCACCAGCCTCTGCCAGTCACGCTGCTTCACACTGTCTGCAAGACCCACCCAATCACTCGCAGCAGCGTGCCCCGTAGGTGGGATGCAGTCAACCCCACCATCACAACTTCAGGAGCCAAGAAATGACCTCATTGGTGGGCATTCCTTGGTTGAGGGCCTCTCGAAGCGCCGTATCCTACCAAGCGATCCGACTCATCACAAAGATGGGATCGTGATCACGCTTTCGGACTGTCGTGTCTCACGAAGCTTCAACTGCCAGGCGATTCACTTGGCTGTCTGGTAAATATGCATCAAGCAAAGTACTCTCAATCATTGCTAGAGTTGCCCTACACCTTGGCTACCCCCGTGTCAACCCGAAGGCGAGATCAGACAATACCCCGCAGTTTGGAAAGCTGAATCACAGGGGGAATCGCATCGCGATTCGTCATTGGTTCTCAAGACATGCACTCTGAGCGGTTTATATGATTTTCAGCCTATATTATGCAAGACACTGTGCCGTCTCAGACGCTCAACTCCCAGCGTTTCGTGCAAAGAGGCTAACTTAGACATGCCGATTGCGGTGAACCCCGGACGATCTACCCGCTGACTAGCTTTCAGATCTGACGAGGCTTCGATCCATTGCCTCAACTCATGTAAACAGCCTGTCAGCATCTAAGCTGACGGGCTGATGGACTTGATGCCTGGTACAGTAAAACCGGTGGAGAACCGACACTCCAAAACTGAGGATTTCGAACGTGACCCCAGACCTTGCCATCGAGAATCGCTGCCCCTGGTGAATCCTTGGGACGCCAGTCATCTATACTACTCATCACCCAAGCGAGGAACGCACGGAAAACTTGTGATAAGTTGGTATCTCACGCGGAGAGCTGTCCAAGTAGCAGAACTTGGCCCGAGATGGGATAAAAGCGGTCATGACGTAACGCAACCAGCAAGAACCAGGTGTCATCATGATGTCTTGCAGCTGCCGAACGAGACAAAGCAGAGGCGTTGTCTTAGTCATTCAACAAATCGATGGAGCCGACTTCTAATGCATACTCACACATTGCAATCCCGCGATAGTCTGCAAGTCCTCAACCATGGCATGCACGAGGGGTATTCTGAAGGCGCCCGCTGGTGCATCCTGCCTTGGGTGATGGAGTCCAGGCTCAATTTTTCTGTCCCTGCATCTATTGTGCTATCTAATCTGTATCAAGAAAAGATTTTGAATGAGCGCAATGGCCAGCGCCAGTGAAAGGACTGCCCTTTGGCTATAGTGCAGGACACTTGGCGTGAGGAACGACTTACACCCGTGCCCCTGTTCTATTCACTATCGAGTGTATCCTCCCCTGTAGCCTGAACTGGTTCAATTCACACAGGCAGATCAAGCTCCACAGCGACTGCTTCAAACATATTTTGGGTCTGTTGGTGCCGCTTGCTACTTCGTCGTTCTAGGCTCGGTTGGGGGGCAAAAGAGCAATTGCACGGTGTTGACTCTGGCAATCGTTTTTTAGTGGCGTACGCCTATACGCTGACAAGTTGACAAAGGAATAATCCCAACTCTTCTTTGTCTTGATCGGTCTTATGCCGCCAGTTGTTTCCAAGATCTTCTGTCCATTCTCCTGGAAGTCCCACTCCCCAGAATCTCAAGCCACCAACTCAGTCCCTTGAGCCTCATAGATGTGATCGCACACTGCCAAGCGTGGGCGCTGCTGAGACGCTGCTTTGCGTGAAGCTCTGCAGCCGGCCTGACTCGTGCCGGCCGTTCCTGTCCTGCTTCTCTTGCCCACAGCCCTGTTATCCAGATGTCCATATGCCGGTACCGTGGCTGATGAGAATGTCCATGTTGGTGGGAATACCTGTGTGCAAGATCGGATGTGGCATGTAGTCGTCGCAGGATCTTCTTCCACGCTGGAACGCCCCATCAAGGTTATTGCCAAGTCCTGGTTGTGCTGGTGTCCAGGGCAAGCCGAAGATGTTGAAGCGGACAGACTGCATAAGCCTCTGGTCGCAAAGCTTTGTAATCTTGACAGTTCCCGACTGGTGATTTAGATAGTTGATATGTCCCGGTCATCCTCCATCAGATCAATCGCCGTCTGCGAGGTCGTGTCCGAGAACTGGCCGTCGGGTTCGCCAGGTAGGCCTTTCCTGGTCTCTTCGTAGTATTCGCGGTCAAGGAGTACGTGGTAGTTTCTAGCTACGACGATGACCGCCTGGGAACGTTTACGAGCCTTCAGTGCCCGCAGCCACCTGATCTCCCTGCTTGACACCTTATATGATCCTCGCCCAATTAAGTTGCCACAATGGATAAGAACATCACCGGGCGGGAGGAGCTGCGTATCTTCCAGTTCCCTCTCCAGCCCGAATGTGTCAGAGATGTTGACGAACGTCGTCTTTCTGGCCCCCATTGGCACGGCGCACCTGGTAGCCCCAGAGGGCGGCCAATATCCAAGTTCCATTTTCTATCGATGGCTAGTAACGGTAGTATAATGAATTGAGAATCGATGCTGTGATTTGGCAATTCGTACATCTGTTTCCAGAATTCTGGCAGTCAAGTTTCGGCGAAGCCCAAGGGCATGGAGAAGAACGGGCTCGGGGCGTGTCAGTGTTTCTGCTGGCAAGGCAAAATGCTTAATTACCTATGTAAACAAGTGGAAAGAGCATTGTCAACCCTTGTATTGCAGTGTCGCAGATATACGAGAAAAAAGATAGATTGGTTGTATGGTTGCCTCTGAAGTCAGTTGATGTATAGCACTTATTCACATACCTCTTTGAGTACCAGGAAGTTTTCATCTAAAGTAAAGTAAGTACTCCTTGCCCAATAATTTTCTCCCACCAAGCCACCGACCCGTTTTACAACACACCAAATAGGGCCAACTGAGGAAAGCATTGGCAAGGTCGCAAGATGATTTTGATCACGAATGCGCTGTGAACCACTTGAGCAATCTGTCGTTATCCGAAATATATATTGAGGCCCCGGATCTGTTAAGACTTGCAACGACTTCTAATCACTCCTGGCAAAATCCCCCACATGCAGTCATGGTTTCTATCAGCCCATTGACCTGGCATGCTTCGCAGATGGTAAGGCAGCTGGAGAGCCCGGATCAAACTCGAATTTTCAGGCTGGAAGGCAGTCAGAGATACACTGCGTACAGTCAAGTGCCCCAAGTTCCAAAACCACCATTCCGCCCCGGGTCAATGAATCCGCAGTCATCGACACCTCTCTCCGTTACCAAGTCAACCCCAGCCGACCGAATGTATTCAAGTTAAACCGCCCAATATCATCGATGCTACATTACTTGAGTAATGAGGCTATCAAGCCTGCCTTGACTCTGAAGCAGACATCCCAGCTGGGGCCAAAGTTTGATAGCGTGGCCCCCCCCTTTTGGCTTGCCCGAAATGGACTTGCAGAGCTGCAACCGTTGGGCTGGGTCTGAATTGCAGGGGTCATAAGCTGAGCAAGGCCGTCCTATTCGTCCAAGGAATCCAGGGTCCTGCATTCGGCATCCAGCGATTGGGTGCGAGACACGGATGCCGGTTAGCCCGCCCCACGCGAGGGACGTCGAAGACGGACGACGGGACGTTCCCAAGATTCAGCGTGGGCAGGGCCGATGGCCGCCGTGGTCCACGAAGTGGAATCCTTCGGTCGGCCGCATTGAAAGATGCTGTCAGATGTTTACATTGGCCGCGACCCAGATCTAGGGTTTTCTTTAATTTTTTGGCCCAGATTGTTGCTAGTTACCAGGACCGCATGGCCCCCGTGCCCCCGTCAAGTCCGTGCTCCTCCAAAATTGAGGCGCGGACCCGGTAATCAAAGCGGATGGGGGGACGCTGAAGGGGTTGTGACAGGCGGTAAACTACATGCAGCAGCATGGCACACGCCCCGGCCCATGGATGGCCAGCACTGGCCACAGCGCGCACCAGGGCAGTGGGTGAAAGGCGACCTCGACGGGTTTGGGGCCCTGGATCCGGACCTCAGTTGCCAGCCAGCCAGCTAGCCAGCCAACCCCCCGATTGCTAACTTATCGGCCAGGGTAACGCCAGGGGACGGGGGGACCATTCATCAATGGAAAGCAAATTGGACCCGTTTCCGTGGCACGGACGGGCCTCATCAGTCAGTATCATTTCTTTCGCATTGCAATTCGGTAGTCGTGGTTGGTGCTTCTACTGCTGATGCTGATGCTGATGCTGTTGCTGCTTCATCGTTTCGAATGGGCGCAGTGACGCCGGCATAGGCTCCTAGAGTACAGTACTATGGTACAGACCCCTCGACACGATTCAATCCTGCCCATCTGCTCGCCCTCTATGCAGTAACTTAGACCAACCTTCTGTTCCATCCGTTCTACTTTGTGAAATATCGTTTGGTCTCTTGACCGTCCCGGAAACCGTGCTGTCTCTCTCGGGTGCGAGCGTGAGCACCAGCGCTAGGATACCTGGCAGCGTGAAGCAAGAGTCGAGAGAGGGGCAGGACAAGGAACACTGGTGAATTCTCCTTCTTCATCCAACCTTTCGTCCTCTCCCGCGCCGCGCCGCGCCGCGCACTCACTCACTCACTCACTCACGCACTCATACACGGACGACGATAACCACCTACTGTGTACCTTGGGCGAGCATTGGACCTAAGCTTGGGGGGAAGAACTGACTACCGAGCCGCTAGACGGGGCCAATTCGCTCTAGAGAGTAGAGACTCACGAACCAACGATCCTAGTCACACCCAAAATATTGCCTGGCTGACACCTTTCTGCAACCTGCCCGTTACCGCGTCACCGCGCAAATTTCCTCTCATCACCAACCAAGCCCACCTCGCCCCGAGCGAGACTAATTCATTAGACGACGCCCCATTTAGTGATCCGGACGACTCCTCCCACTCGTCTCCCTCTGAGGCTTTGCCAGCTCCATCCAGGTCGACCGAACGTTAACTTAGTTGCTGGCCCCTGGTCAGCCCCCCCAAAACCAGAACATCGTCATTTTGGGATCACCACCTGCGTTCTTCACACCTCAGGCCGACCGCGCAACAAAACCTGTCGTTCACCGCGAGAGGTCGTCCGCCTTGCCCCCGGTGATCGAGGGTCGACATGGCTGCCATGTCTTCTTCTGCACCGGGCGCCACCGTCTTGGACCCGCCGCCCAGCGCCTATGGCAACGACGCCGCTTGGAAGTCATCGTACGCGTTGGAATATCAAGATGTTCGTCTGCTCTTCTCTGCCTCGGTCCTTTCTGCATTCTGCCCTTCAACCAGCACGTTTATCCCCCACGTTGTTGGCTCACGTGGCGCCCGAGACCCAGCCATTTCCGCCCATCCCCCCCCCCCCCTTTTATGCACCGCCTGAGCTTGTTCGGCTGATACGATGCTTTTGCTTCTCTCCCCGCAGGACCCAATGCAGGACCCAATGCACGACAGGAGCTTCATGAGCAACCATGACAAGACGAACGGCGTGGCTACACCCAACGGCAACGCCCATGTTGACCCATTCGCGAAGCGGGACCCAGCTGAGCCCTTCCCTGCGACCAAAGGTACGATATACCTCCCCCAATCGTCGGTTGGCTCTCCGGGATCACACATAATCCTCCCCCTTTAAGATTCACTGTATCCTGCAGGACCCAGGACCCCGGAGGGACTGTGGCGACATTATTCGCGCGAGATAGCAGTCAACTAACCCCTGGCAGAAGGACGATCCGGTGGACGAAGCGCCTCGCGGAGCACCTCGCGGCCGGGAAGCAGGCGGGCGAACTCCCACAACGATGCCGACAAGACACCGGTGGACAACGCCAAGTGGATTCACAGGGACAAGCTGGCGAGGATAGAGAGCGAGGAGTTGCAGGCGGCCGGCATCATCCTGCCCAAGCCCAGGTCGCAGAGCCGGCCACGGAGGGAGCGTAGCTCGGAGAAGATGCATAGCCGCCGCGCCACGGATGCGTCAGAGCGGGAGCCCCTCCCGCGGTCCCGCAAGAACTCGACCAACCGTTCCGCGTCGGCCGAGAGAAGCCCGGATGTCGAGACTCCCACCTGGGACCTGCGCATGCCCGAGGAGATAGCAGAAGATCCCGACGAGTACTGGATCTCGGCAGACACGCTGGGCGCCAACGGGTCACGGTTGCCCGTGGCCAAGCAGAGCCCGGCCCCCGTTCCCGCCGATTACCTAGATCGGGACGCGCCCGTCCCCCGCAAGATGAGCGGCACCCTCCAGCCCGACGACGACTTCTTGCTGTCCGTGTCGAAGCCGCGCGAGCGGAGTGGTAGCACACCGGCTCTCGACCACGCCCCGCCTCTGCAGCCCGGCCGACGGTCTGCCACCGATGGATCCCCAAAAAAGAGTACCACGAACGGCTCAAGGAAGCCTTCGACCAACTCGTCCAAGACGGCCACATCGACTGGTCGCCCCAAGACTCGCTCCGGGCCCGGCAAGGATTCGGGCACCACGACGAGGCCCACGACGAGATCTGGTGAACTGTCTTCTCCCAAGGCGCCCGAGGGGGACCCGCCGTGGATGATCAATGCCTACAAGCCGGACCCGCGCTTGCCCCCGGACCAGCAGCTGCTGCCCACCGTCGCAAGGCGTCTAGCCCAGGAGAAGTGGGAGAAGGAGGGCAAGTTCGGGTCTGTCTACGACAAAGAGTTCAGGCCCTTGACTGACGAAGGCTTCGGGAGCCCACCTGAGCTACAAAGGCCGCAGCTCGATGACAAGGAGAGCCACGACGAATGGCCGCTGCGTGCTGATGCCAAGAGCCCAACCCCGAGCCGCCCTGGAACCAGCTCCTACTCGACCATGCCGAAGATGCGGGACACACCTCTGGCAAGTCCAAGAATGCCCATGGCTCAACCGCAACCGCAACAGCAACCCACCCAGATCACCAGGGTTCCCACCGCTCCCGAACAGCCCCCCATGCCAGAGAAGACAGACCAGCCGGAACCGGCGAAGAAGAAGGGCGGCTGCGGATGCTGCGTCGTCATGTGAAGGGGCATCGACAAATCCGTCCTTGTAAAACATATACCCATCCATCGTCCACCAACACGGCTGTCTCGACCGGCCCCATCAACCGTGGTTTCTAGGAGAGGACATATTCCACACCACACATTGACGACATCACGAATTTCCTTGCCTTGAAGCGTCTGTATTTTTTTTCCAGATCTGATTTCTCGACAACCCGACTACCAACCTGCATCCAGTGTTTTTCCATTTTCCCGCGCTGCTTCGGGCCCACAACGACCGGCTCATCATCCACTACACCCATTCATCTAGTCGAAGGCAGCTCCAACCCTTCCTTTGACATGTTCATCTCGATTATCGCATCCCACAGTACTTTGAGAGGGCTCCTTCGCCCATGGCGTTTACTGGTTTTGGACATCACTTTGTTCCCGCGACAGCAATGGCATATTTTTTTGCATTATCATTGGCATCTACCGCACGTATCCCCAAATCATCGGCCTTCCTGTGAGAGACTGGCAAGGGACATGTCCCACGTGCACTCGTGTTTTCTGCTTGCTTCGCAAAGTTTATGGTTTTAATATCTCCCGTTGCCACACGGCACCGGTCTCAAATTTCAAGATTGGGTTTGTTCATACGGAGGATTCACGCGCGAGGAGAGAACCCTAGATCAGTTGAGGCAGGCATTGTGGATGTTCATCTGAGGCGTGTACAAAAGAGGAGAGGGCGGAGAGGGCGACTAGGGAGGACGCAGTAGCACTTGGCTCGGTGCCTGATTACATTATACCCCTTCCGGGCCGGCTAGCTTGAAGTTTATTAAGGAAAGAGACGGAGTAAACACAGTACAGTTAATTACAAAGTACGAAGCCACTGCTTACCTGCTGCTAATCCAAGGGCTGACGGTTTCTAACGGGCGACTTTCCCTGTTGCCGCCTGTGGCTGCCGAGTTCCGTTGATGAGATTTATGGGAGGAGACTTGCTTACTTACCTGACTCTGCATCGTGCTTACATGGCCGCGGCCCATGATCTCAGCTTCATGGATCAAGCGCAACAACATTCGCGATCCCGTTGCGCTTGTCTGGAGTGGTGTTCCGGAGGAAATTCACCTCCGCGTCGAGACCTAGGTAGGCAAGAAATCCGAATAGTACGCTTGAGCTGTCCTTTTTGCCTGCCTCTACTTCCTCACACTGCCGTGCTAGCACCTCAAGCTCGTCGTCTTGCATCTCTCTGGCTCCCCACTCACACAGTCGGACGCAGATGCGGGCCCAGTGGACTGCCCAGTCCCCGTCCATCGTTCCGCCTGCCTGCCGGAACTCGAGGGTCGGCTTTGTATCGGCCGCCATATAAGCCGACTCGTAGTTGCGGAATTCGTATGCCGCGTTATGCTTCTCGGACGACGCCATCAGGCGCCCGAGGGCCCAGATGGTCTCCGCCAGAAGCAGCGCGGCCCGGCCAGCGTCAAGCGTCAGGGGTAGTTTGCTGAGCGTGACTTCGATAGTGGCGTCATCGGCCTGCTCTGCTGTCATGCCGCGTGCCAGATATGAGTACCACCGGGTCCTCCTACACCATATGCTGTCCTGTCGATACTCAGGGTGCAGCGGGCTCAACAGGCAGTCGACATGCCACAGCAGCAACGCGATACGATGCAGCGGCTCGAACGACATCCGCGTCGTCCCCGTCCCGACGTGCACGTGAGTCGAGCAATTTTCATTCAGGTGCACATGGAAATGGTGCAGCAGGCCCACGACGCGCCGTATCTCGGCATGACTTGCAGGCTGGTCCAGAAACGCTGGCGATGTTAGCTCAAAGCCCAGCGCCGTGTATTTTTCATATTTGCGGCCTATGTTGTCCTCAGTCGAGAGGTTAACTGTCGCGTCCAACTTCAGCGTCCATCGGCGGTACTCTACCTGCGGGACTCGGACGACGTGGCCCGGGATGGCCGGGAGATGTCCACCTAAAGGCGCAGATGGCGGCGTGGCTGCATCGGACTCTGTGAAGTCGTTGATCTGGACTCCGTTGGAGCGCAGATAATCGATAACGCACTGCCGAGAGCTATCAATTACGTCCTCATCAGCTGGCATAGGTATAATCCCAGGGTGATTCCGCTGGAACGCCTCGAGGGTCGCCCCGGGTTTCAGATCCTTTCCGAACATAAGAAACTCGAATTCGATTCCAAAGCTCATCGGCGGTAAAGCCGCTGCCTGGGAACCCATGGCTTCTTAGTCTGTGAAGAAGAAAAAAAGGAAGAGTACTTACTGTTCTGGAAGAAACGGTTTGGTAGAAGCCGATCCCGTGACTCTCCGTAGGTTGGTCGAGGCATCTTATATATGCACCGCCGTGGAACGAAAGCATTGTCTTGCTTCCCTTTGAGACACGAACTGCTGCTTTGTTTTACGAGCAAAGCCATTGCTCGCAGAGTCCTGGGGGCAAGCCATCGAGATGTGATTGCTTTTGTATGGACACATTGCTCGAGACCTAAGCCGCACTTCTTCTTCTTCAGCATCAAAAGTGATCTCACGATAAGATTGAGGACCTGCTAGATCTAACATCAAGCTCATATCCATATGCAAGACAAAGGAGCTTCTTTGACGATGCCGTGATTATTGCAAGGAAATCATTAGCTTAATAATTCAGAGCGCATTTTCTAGGACCATCAACGCGATAGACGCTCAACGGTATCCCTTGGTAAATCTTTCCCGGCCGTGTAGGGTGCCTAACGCCGTGGATCTATAAAGACTGGGCAAGCGACAAGTCCCAGGTCTCGAGCCGTTCGGCATAGGAGGATTGACCTCGATAACCAACACAAACGCTATTCGATCGTGGTTCTCGGTAACTATCCAGCAACATTGATTCCTATGGCATTTCAGCCCTTATAGTTCAAAAGCTACATGTTACTATTTTCTTATATATAAAGGGGTTAATATAACTAACTGAACGTTAAATTAAAGTGATATCGGTAAATATTCGCTCCTTTATACTGAAGAATTGTCACCGAGACCTCTTAAATAAGATGGAGATGGCAAGGAATGTCATATACGGCGGGTTCGCCACATCAATAACGAATTCAGAGGCTGTATATCATTAAAAATGGGTTTAATAAGTTCATTGAAGCATATAGTCACTTCTGGTCCGATGTCTAGAAATGTGACAAAGAAACCGAGAGTGGTCTCAGTACTCCTAAAACAACATGAAATTCTACGGTAGGGAAAGTCAACCTGTGCGTTGTACAGATGCAGAGAATGAATGGTACAGGACTAACACATCGTAGCACAGCAACCAGCAGCTTCTGGTGCCCGGCCCATGGCCATGTCACAGCATAAAGGCCTAATTCTGATCCAATCACGGTATAGCAAACACTTAATAGCGCGATAATTCACAAACAATACAACGATACTAATAAATATTACATTGTAGCATTATTATCAGCGTCGAATAGCTATTACACCCAGTCGTTGACCTATGAGGTCTGCAGTATAGTTGTGGCTAATTTAATTGTGGGGGTGGCTGACATCGCCGCTGCTGCCTTCTGACCTCCAACCCCCTTCGGGATGTTGAGATTTGGGCCAACCTTAAGCCTTCAACGACCAAAGAAGGACCCAAGACGTCTGTCTCAAGCCGCATGGCCAGTGTATATGAAGGCCTGAAGCGGGTCGCGTCCCTGTAAATGGTCGCAGTCTGCTATGGAGTCCTGCCTGGAGGCCCTGCCGTTTGAACTTAGCAGCACTATCGGTCGGTTTCTCCCTACTTACGCTGACCTTGCAGCAACCTCGAGGACAAGCAAGAGCTTGCATGCCGTCTTCAACCCGCTCCTGTACAGACGGGCTTCGGACTCCAAGAAGAATTTCGCCCTTTTCTGGGCAGCCGATACAGGCCAAAGTCGGACCGTGGAGCTCCTGCTGGATGCTGGCACTGATCCGAACCTCACCTGGTGGACCAACAGAATAGGCCAACGGCCCTTGGACCGGGCCGTTCCTCCGGGCTTCGTCGTACGTTGGCATACTGGCGATGGCGCAAGAAAGCATTCCTGGCACTGGACCGCCTTACACCTTGCCTCGTTAAGAGGTCATGAGGCAATTGCCGTTTTGCTCCTCGATCGAGGGGCCGATATCGATAGGCTGGCACGAGGCCTCTTCTCCGACCTGTCGCCGTACAGGAGGGCCACGGTACCCGGCACCGGTCAGCTTGTGGGCCTAAAGACGCCCTTGTACATGACAATACGTGGTAATCACGAGTCGATGGCTAGACTTCTGATTGAAAGAGGCGCCTCGAAATACGTAGCTTGTCCTTATCCCCAGGATGATGACAGCTCCAAGCCTGGAGGGTATACTGCTCTCCACGCTGCTTGCAGGTACGGGCAGCTTCCCCTGGCCAAGTTCCTTGTGGACGAAGAGAGCCATCATGCGGATATCAATTCCGGTAGCTTGAGTGGTGGGACACCACTGACAAATGCATACGTGGGCGCACGATGGGAGTGCTTTGACTGGTTGCTAGAGAAGGGTGCAACAATGGCCAGCGTGCCCGATACCGCACCGCCAATGCTCGCGGACGCCATCCATTGCCACAGATTTGCCGACGCAAATCGGTTGATCGATAGAGGCCATGCAATAGAGGTTACTGACGACATGCGGTTCGCCCTCCATCATTGTGTAAACCGTTCCTGGATAACGCCCGCATCGCCAAACGTGTGTGAAGAGAGAATCCGGCAAGGGATAAAACTGATAGAACGACTCCAAAAAGCCGGACATGACGCTAACGCCTTCACACCAGGCCCTTTTGCATCTACGCCACTCAGTAAGTACTATAGCTTCTTGAATCAAACTAGAATTCTACAAAATATCGTAGCTCGACCCATGGTGCAGACGCAGAAGATTGGCTACATATCTCATTGACTTGACTTCAGCCCAACTGAAGTCAAGCAGCAGACTGGCCATCATCTACCTTTGCCAGGTCTCGCTGCCACGAGACAGAAACGCTAACTTGCCATCCTGTAGTGAAGGCTGCTAGGAGTGCTATACCAGAGGCAGTACGCTATCTCCTAGAAAACGGCGCAGACGTCAATGCCTTCCAGGTGAACTGCGACACGGCATTGATGTCGGCCTGCACCATGGTGCCTCCACCCTTTCGTGCGAGGCCTCCTACAGTCCGAGGCCCACCAAGGCCACCGTTCATCCCACTATCGCGCGTCGAGATTGTCACCATGCTACTCGAAGCTGGTGCTGATGTGAACCTGAAGGGCCATGCGGGACGGACTGCTCTCATTGTCATCAGCAGTGCACCGCCAAGTGGGCCCAAGCTAGACATCGTTCGTCTCCTTCTTGACCACGGAGCTGATCCGCACGAGTCACACCAGTGGTATCTGTCTGCGTTCGGATCCGCGTTCGTCGCCAACGATCTTGAATCGTGCCGGTTGATGTGTGCCAAGCACCCGCTTCACCAGCCCAGTTACCCGGCCCTCATCCGCCTCCTGCTTGGGTTACGGTACAGAGCGCCTCTAGAAAAGCTAGAATTCCTGCTCGAAATCGATGAGTATGATTCGCTTCTAAGATCTGATGAGGCCCTCTTGCAGACGTTCAAATTCCGAAACAACGCAGAAGCCTGTATTATCAAGCTGCTGGAAAGAGGGGCCAACTACGAAGCTGCCTGGGAGGACAACAAGATTGCCCTTACCCAAGCCATGAAGAAGAGCTACGTCGAGGTTGCCAAAGAGTTGCTAAAGCTAGGTGCAAACCCGAACGTTAGGAACAAGTACGGAACTACTCCGCTTGCCCAGGCAGTGGTGTGGCCAGATGAGAACCAGAGACTAGGTCTGGTAGAAGCGCTCTTGAAGGCTGGAGCTGACATACACATGCCGAACGGCTCTTGCTCCTGCAGTGAAAAATCAGACATAGCTGTCGAGGAAACGCCACTGGAGGCAGCTATATCAGCGCAGCGAGACCGTCGGGACCCCGAAGTACTGGAGATGCTACTCCGCTACCAGCCGCTAGACAGTTGTCCGGACGAATTGTTGCGTCGCGCTCTCTACGCTGCATGCGATTCAGCAAATTTCCCTGCATTTAAGGCCATCGTGGATTCTGGCGGGGATGAGATTGTCAAACAAAAGGTTGATCTGTTCGTGCTGGGCATTTCTTGGGATATCCTGCACGAACAAGTCGAGACTGTCGCGGACATGGATGAGGCAGTGAGTATTCTGGGCCACGTCTTGGAACTGGCGACGCCTTCGCCAGACATCGCCCATAAGTGCCTGAGGAAGCTTATTGCACACTCAACGCGAACCTTCAGGAAACAATTTCCAAGGGCGCCACCTGCCAAGGTCGGAATATCCTGGTGTCTGCGGCGGAGGATTCGGTTCCTAGATAACAGCACGTCCAGTGTGATCATCGCCATCAAGCCGTACCAGCCACATCCCTTTGCACCGGCGACTCAGACACTCGGAGAGCTTGGCGAACGGCTGCTGCTTGAGGCGAAAAGAAGTCGCGAGCCTGAGATGAATTACTACTGCACGTTCTTCTCGTGGTATGGAAAATGGTCGCAACCAGCTCCTGATGATTATTTTACAAGCTCAAGTAGTTCAAGTGATGAACTCGCAGACTAGACAAAGGAAGGTCTCTTGGGTTGGATTCGTGTATTCTGGGCAAGAAGCTTGCGCAACCGACGGCAGTCGAAGTCGCCCCGAACTCTCAATGGCCCTTTTCGAAAGGCACGCGGGTACGGACCCGAATTCAATGAGAGTAAGGTCTAGCCTTGTACTCTAGATCCTCTTCCGGCCGCCACTCCACAGGAACGCTCTGGAACCTGCTATCCAGATACCACGCCGGATCACCGTCGTACCCACCGCCTTCGGTGCTCTCCACATGGGTGACACTCCATCCGTTCCCAAGCCACCTCATCTGGTTACCTTCGCCACCGTACACGCTCTCCCAGTCATAATCCTCCCATCTCGGTGCTCTCAGGGCCTCAAGCGCGTGGAGTGTGCTCCCCGGCCACAATCCAGTGATGCGATTGCCCCTCCCCCCTTCGCTTTTGTACCAGGAGTTACACTGATCGGTATATACTGTTCCTTGGAAATACGACTGGCAGTACTGGGACCAGTCGGCCACCCTCTCTTTCTTGATGCACATGGAAGCATAGTCCTCCTTTTGCAGCTTGCGGATGCACATGACCACATAGTCGCCCTCTGATTCCAGGATCTTGGTCAGGGAGCCGCTCCCGATGGCAGAATTGGGCCCCAGCATCATGAAGAAGTTGGGGAACCCATCGACCGCCAGTGAAAGATATGCTTCGGGGTACGGCGTGAAACGCTCCTTGAGGGATATGCCACTGCGACCATTGACACCAAAGGGGGGTGGGGCCGAGGTGTTGAAACCGGTCGCACATACGAGGCAGTCGAGATCGACCTGACGACCATTCTTGAGGGCTATCCCCGTTTTGTTCACCTCGGATATGGTGTCTGTGATAAAGTCGACATTGGCCTCGACCAGACTTTCGAGATACCCCGGCCCAGGGGTAGCTCGACGGCAGCCGACGGCAAAGGTTGGGATGAGAAAATCTGCAATCTCCGGTTTCGCAGAGAGCCGTTCCTTCATAGCTGCACGGAAGGCATCGACTGCCGTCCGTTGCATATCCGAGCCTTGCATTGAGACGGCGTGGATCGTATTCCCATCTTCCTCGATCGCCCTACGGAAGGCCAGGAGTTTCGTTGGGTTCTCCGCGAACTCGCGCCGTTGCTCAGGTGAGACTTATAACGTTAGCATCGAAAGGGGTAATGAGAATTCATAAACACTTACAATCTAGTTTTTTAGGGTCTAAACCAAGTTTATGCATTACAACTGATCAAGTCAGCCCATTGCCTAGTCTGGATATAGGGGCCCGCAACATACTGTCGCCAAAGGGATTCGTGATCCATGTCTTGCTCCTCACAAAGCACGAGAGCTCTGTACCTGCTATTTTCTGGAGACTGGGCACAATCTGTATTGCGCTAGATCCATTGCCAATGACGCCGATTTTCTTGCCCCTGAAGTCGTAACTGGATTCCCGGTTAGCTCCAACCACGGCGGGATCGGGTCAGAACTAGGGCCACATACTCTTCTTTCCACAGTGCAGAGTGCATTACTTGGCCTTCAAAGTCCTTGAGCCCCGGGATGTCGGGCCATGCTGGATCGCTCAAATTCCCTCGGGCCGAGACCAAGACATCGGCGTCATCCTCAATGACCTCTCCGGTCTCTGTATTGCGGACCTTCAAGTTCCTATACCCGTCACGGGCCGAGTCAGTGGCGGCAACCACTGTCTGAGATATCGAGCTCTTACCATTTCTTGGCCTCCTCATTCCAGCTGCAACTCTCGACCTCATGCCGCAGCTTGACAAACCGCATGACTCCATACCTGTTCGCAATGCCGGTCAGGTACGCGCATATCTCGGCCTGTGGCGCATAGAAGGACGACCAGTTAGGATTCGGCGCAAAGGAGTACTGATAGCTATGGGCCGGTATATCGCACGCACAACCTTGCGCAACGTCGTCAGTCCATGTTGATTACGAGTCTCGGGGAGCGGCCAGCCCCAACTACGAAGATTTATAGACAGGGGCGCATTGCCACACTGCTAGATAACTTTACCTGGATACCGATTTACCCACCACGTACCCCCAACTCCTTCGTTCTTCTCGTAGATCGCGAGGTCAACATTGCGCAGGCGCTGCGGGATCCGGATACCTAGGTATATCCCCGAGTAACCCGCCCCAATGACTCGAACCTTGAGGCGGCGCTGGTTTTCTATCGGTTCATCCTTGAGTGTAAATGCGTAAGGCGACTCTGCGGAACCCATACTTTGAGACCAACTTGGAGGATAGCAATCGACTGAGCACGATATAGATAGAGATTGAGTTTCCAAGAAGTTTGATTTGGGTTTCTCGACTGCAACATGCGACACGTCGGATATCGTGACCTGGGCCCCCGTACCTACATCGGTTCCCCGCATCTGAACATCGGCGCTTCTCCAACTACGTGGGCGGCATTGTATGATCGTGTCCTACCGGAGGGGTAAGTGTCATGCCGCAACCGAGATCCCCCAAAATGGCCACGGCCGGCTAATCTTCCCGGCAAGCCCAGCTTGATATACCTAACTGTATGTATGGCCGGAGTCTGGGGTCGTGAGGCTCATCCGCCTGGCATGTTTGTGACACTTACTGTGCGCCACCATGGTTCTCACGCTGGCGGTAATCGTGATGTGGCGGATTGAACTCAGAAAAGAGCACCCAGGGGTGAAGTCAACTACCGACAGGAGTTCTTTAAGCAGCTGCAGCACATACGCTACGCATGAGGCTCAATGGGTAGGGCAAGCCGTTCTTGATATAGGAAATCCGTTCACGGCCAAGGCCGCGATAGGGACGACGTAGTTCAGAAACTCACTCAGATTCTGTTATACCTGATATCGAACGACGCACGCTTATAAGGGTTGGCCAAAAAGCATATAGCGTACTCTCTCCCCAATCTATCACCAGACAGCACATAACTACTTTCTATCCTGTAGTCTGACGTCTTTCTCGTCTGTCAGCCGTGAACTATGGGATGGGTGACCAGGGGTGCCATGGAGACACGGCCTAAAAATAGCCGATCATGTTGCGATTAGTTTCATCGGTTTGGCACTTTGCGCAGTGCGGGGGTCGCTCAAGTATCCTGGGAGGGATCTCTGACAGCCAATGAACATGCCGGAAGCTGGATCGTGGGCTCAAAGAACGACCTCAATGGAATTTCATCGAGGGCAGTGAGCAGAGACGAGCAAGGGAGTGTAGCGATCAATGAGTTTAGAAGACAATTAACTCGTATACGACCAAGGGACGGCAGCGGAACCTTCCCTCTCCTCCCTGCATCATCGATCGTGACATCAGCAACTACGGAAAAATCTTATCAATCGGGCGGCTATCGATAATTGAGTTTCGGCCTGCGATACGGCAGTCGGGGGAGGGTCCGTTTGTGACCTGCAGACTAAGCTGTATACCTACGGGGGTGTCTAGCCCGCTGAATCTTGCGAGCTGAGGGTCTCTACTATGGCACGCTCGCTTGGGCCCCCCCCACTGTCCTCGGGATGCCAAAAGATGAAATGAGGTGGGACATGGAAGCAAAATGAGATTTGCAGAAAATTCGAATCTGTATCCACTGCGACGAGACTGTCACGCAACTCCCAGGGCCCCCGACCCTTTGCTGGGTATACCGTATTTCAGACCGAGGCACGGCTCTGGAATCCATACCCATCAGCATCAGCTGACGAGCGTGTGCTGGTCCAGCCACGCGGACACAGCTTGGAATAAGGTTGTTCTGCTAAAAGCTGTAAGACGGCGCGGATGGCTTCGAGGGATTCTGGAATCCTGCCAATGGTGGCCCAGCAATTCGTCTGCCGCTGGCCTAGACAGCCGCTACTGAAGGGCCTAGCGTCCGGGTCGCATCCCGACGGCGCAGGGGGCCAAGGGCTAAAGGGGCCATTGGATGTGTATCGCGGCGGACTGGCAGTTTTGACCATTGCCTAGCTGAACTCGGGGGGGAGAGCAGGGAGGGAAAAGCGCGTCGACGGGGCTGAGGAATGGATTCTATTATGTACAGTCTAATTTACTGTACATGCCTACAGTATCTCGACTTATCAGGCAGCGTCCGCGAACAGGAGTAGACGGGGCTGGCCAGCTCCAGACTGTTTTGCAGCCCTTCGTGACCCTTGACCCAGCGATGATTCTGGATCGTGACCTCAGCTGCTGTGAGTCGGACGCCACTCCGGCGTGATGGTCGGATCAATGCGTGCTACGTGTGACGGGCCAGCAGACGGCGACGGGAGTTAGTAACTGCCATGCCGCACTGTCGCAGCGGCTCATTGATCATGAACGGTAACGATACTGTGCAATGGCCATGGCGCAGCACATTCAAGATCATCCAAGAGTCCCACCGCGAGACACCGCGTCGCCATCTCCAGATTACCCAAGTTTGTACCTACTGACATAGTTACATAGTTAACTTATATGTGTGCCGAAGTGGAAGGTGCTTGTATTTTGGCTGGAGCTGGTTGTGGAATGCTCCCATCCCTCCCTTTGCCTTGAGGGGCCTTTCCTCTGTCGATCGCGCCTAACTTCCAGTATGTGTGGCACTACGTCAGCAGCGCGACTTCAGTTGCTTCTCGTGTGGTACTCTTCCAATGGACCATTCCATATCTTCTCACTTGCTCGTCAACCTTGCGCTTGGCGCTGATATTCCAGAACTCTAATCCAGCAATTTTCTTCTTCTCTCTTTGCCCGGCTCCAAGGGACACGCCCGCCTGTGCCACGAGGAAGACGTGCATGACACCCATGTCATCGATAGGTCCACCTGCATTTGAGTTCAACGTTACAGGACATCACCGTGCATCCCCAGAAGGCTGATCCGCCCCCTCCAGTGGCACGGCGGCAGCCCACCATCGTAGCATCAACCACCTCATCCTTCCATTCATCGGGTTGAAGCTCTGTGTCGTCGAGCTTCCCCCCGCAGAACGAGAACTGAGTTAGTCAGACAGCCGGACAGATAAGCAACAGGTCAGCCTGGGGAGAAGAAAAGGGCAGGACGACAAGTGTGGTCCGGGGGCGCGACGGCGAATGACAAGCACACGTTTCGGCGTCCTGCAGTGAACCCTACTGTGCAAAGCTGACGATCGTCACTCGCCTGCAAGCAAGTGCCATCAACTACTACTAGACAGACAGACGACCAGAAGCCTGTCTCGTCTCACCAACTGACCAGGGCCACGGGGGAGGGCAAGCGATCGAGTCAAAGTCGCTCGCTTGTCAATCAGTCATCAGTGTCCAGCGCGGGCTTATCAGCACCACTCAAGCCATCCACGCCGCCCCCGACGGGGAACACCACCAGTCCACCAACTACTCCGTAAGGAGCATTTGGCTCTCAAGAGAGTCGAGACTAGCTGGACTAGCCCCTGCGTCTGCCGACCAGCTCCCAGTAAGCCTGCCCCAGCGTGGCCCTATCTCCAGTCTTGCCCAGACTAGGCGCTGGAGTTATCTATCTGCGCCGCTGCGCCCGTACCCCGGGGCACGACCACGGCCTTCTCTCGACTCGAGGTCTATTCGTCTGTCCCACTCACACTCACGTAGTTTGACTACGTCCGGTACTTTGATATCGCACCCCCCACCAACGCCCGAGTCTCCCTCTCTCCTGCCTGGCTGGCCCGCCCGCCTGTGCTGCGTGTGTGCTGTGCTGCGTGTGTGCTGTGCTGTGCTCTGTTGCGCTGCGCTGCGCTCCGCTCGCTCGCTCCCACAAACCCCCATTCCACCCAACAATGAAGGGCGAGCCACCCCAGACCCTGCCACCAGACGCTTTCGTGGATCACAGCAGCAGCAGCAGGCGTGCACCGGACGGTCTGCCTCTACTAAGCGCAGCGGATGCGTCTGCCCTTCACGCCGCTGTGGGAGAGATAAACCGCCGCCATGTCCACCAAAACCACGCCCTCGACCTGTCTTACGCCAACACCCGCCATGGCTACGGCCAGTCCGCTGATGAGACTATGACTCCGAACCCCCCGACCCGGCCAGCACAGCTCCAGTTCCGCACCCAGACCATCGCGCCGTCGCCGCCACTGCTCGAGTCCAGCTCCGAGGAACTGACCGACGACCAGGACGAGAGGCCCTACCAGCCCTCGCCGCTCAGTGAGCGCAGCGACAAATCCTCGCTCTCGCTGACTACCGACCTACGACGTCCTTCCCCCCCTGCACGCTCCGAGAGCGGTAATAGTAATCACGGGCTCGGTGGACTCGCCCCGACCAGCGGCCTGGGTCTCCAACGCAAGACCTCGACCTCCAGCCTCAAACCGATATCACGAACCCCGTCCTTCAAGAAGGCCATAGCTAATAGCATTGGCTCCGCCTGCAGTTCGGCCTACCCTAGTCCCATTATCACAGCTATGGGCGACATCACACCGCTGCCTTCACCATTATTAGCAAGCGACTCGCCCGGCCCCTGGAGGAGACTCGGCGCGAGGCCACCATCGCGGGAAGCACCTCTACCGACCATCATGCCGGACTCGGCACTGGTCACGGCGAACGGCGAGTCCATTGCGTCTGCCATGGCCTACCAGACGAAGAGGAAGCAGTATGTAGGGCTGAAACCTGGCCAGCCTGTCGAGCATGGCAACGGGGAGAAGACACACGGCCGCAACAGGAGCGTCAGCGAATACGTCCCAGACCCTATGGGTATACCCAAGAGGCAGACGACTGTCTCCGGGCCCCATGCACGCGCCGGCGTCGGTCTGAACAGCATCGACGAGCGCCAGATGCGCCGCGAACCAAACCTGGGAGCGGCCCGTGGCTTGGTGCCCTCTTCTCACCAGCCTCCAACACCACCACCGAGTGAGTCCTCGAAGAGCAACGACGGCTCAGCAAGCGAGCCGTCGTCTAGAAAAACAAAGGTCGAGTACTTCGAAGCTCGTGGTCGTCATGACAAGAAGCTCCGCAGGTGGCGTGCAATCAAGCAGCTTGGCGAAGGCACATTCAGTCGTGTCATGTTGGCAACGAGCCAGGTAAATGTTGATGAGAACGAAGCCCCGGACACACCTGGTGCACCTGAACCAGATCTCAAGACCCTAGTCGCGGTCAAGGTTTGTGAACATGGCCCGCGAGGTGGCGCCTCGGAACAACGGATTGAAATGAGCCTGAAGCGGGAGCTCGAGATCATGCAAACTATACACCACCCGTCGCTGGTGCATCTGAAAGCTTGGAACATTGAGCAGACCAGAGCACTTCTGGTCATCAGCTACTGTCCGGGCGGTGACCTGTTCGATCTGGCTTCGCGACATCGGGAGCTTCTCACGCCATCGCTGCTGCGAAGAATATTTGCCGAACTGGTGGGTGCAGTTAGATATCTTCACGAACGACGGATCGTGCACCGAGATATCAAGCTTGAGAGTAGGTCACCATTTCTTTCAAAGATCATCATGCATGCGGGCCCAACGTGGTGCCCGCGTCTGAACTAAAATGGCCGGTCTGCGCTCAGCCCCTTTTACTAATCAAACCACTAGACGTTCTCGTCAATGTCTCGCCACAACAGCTGGCAGATCCAAGCCAGGACTGGGCCACGTATCCGGACTCGATCATCACGTTGACGGACCTGGGCCTCTCGCGCCGCGTGGCTGATGATGAGAAGCTGGAGACGCGCTGCGGCTCGGATGACTACGCTGCACCAGAAGTTATACTTGGACAGCCGTACGATGGAAAGGCGATAGACGCCTGGTCAATGGGCGTCCTTCTTTATGCCTTGCTCGAGTCACGCCTCCCATTTGACCCGCCACCGGGGGCATCGGACGCCTTGCGTATGCGCAGTCGTACGAGCCATCGCATTGCGCGTGTCGACTGGAGGTGGATAGACTTTGCCGGAGACGACGGTGACCACGATGCCGACGAGGCCAAGTTTGAGGCCAAGGGCCTGCAGGGCGCCATGGAGGTGACAGAAGGACTTCTCAAGAGGGCAAGAAGCCGCTGGCCTCTTGAGAAAGTTGCAGAAATCGAATGGGTTCGCGATGCCATCAAAGTAGAGGGCGGACCCAAGTTCAAAGAGGAGGAGGAAGGCGAAGAGGTTTTATGACGTTGAAGAGAAAGAGTTATGATCACGACTGTAAGAAAGAGGATACCATTCGTTGGAGTAACCCATTTGTTTCGTTTCTTTTCAACCGCCCACCATGTTACTTCGGGCAACTCCGGGCAGTTTTTTTTTCCTTTGCCTTTTGGTGGCAATGGTTGTATTAGTCTCACTTACCCAATTGGCTTCTTCTCGTTCGCGAGTGTGCTACTATAGCTTTAGGCATAGAATTATCAGACCGCGCGCTTAGGGAATCTTTATCGAGATGAGAAGTGATGGGATGGACATGAGCGAAGGTGTTGGGAGGACGGGTAAAGCGCACATGGTAACATCAGTTATCGAGGTTACCAAATCTTTTGGGCAAGAGTATCCGAATGCCAGCAGTAGTGTCGCCAAGTATTGTGCAGCCAGCTGTCTACTTCTCCATGCGCCGGGCATTCTGATAACGCTCCTCTTGAGACGCCCTTTGCGACCCACCTATACAGCCGTTGACAGACTGAAAGCTGCAGCTGGACTGAAGACACGCAGAAGTCATAGACGTACTCGTCCGGGAGAATATGCTTGGCGCAGTTGCAAGCAACAGTAGGTCTCAAAGTGGGCGTCTGGCGCTTTGAGTGAATCGGGCAATCAGAAAGGGCCTAACTTCTCAGGTCCACCTAAGACGGGGGTTGGCGGCAAGAGCACATCTCTCATCGTAGTATGCGGAAAGAATATTCAGTGATTGAGCAGCCGTGTCACCTAAGCACCCCTACCTGTCTTGTTGGAGCATGAAAATTCATGAACAATCTAGCGAACCTACCCAAGGCCATCACATTCATGAATCGGTTACCTTTCATAAGAGGACCAGGCGATTTCGTGTTCTTACACGTACACATGGTCCAATACATCTGAGCCGACAGAAGCCTTCATTGTTTGTAGATTTAGCTCTACAATTCCAGTAATTGGGACTGTTTAAAGCAGTTGTGCGGTCCTGTACCATCCGTTTCTCATCAGTGTTGTGAGATGTCTTTGTGCCTTCCCAGCCCAGGCCACTTTTCTTCATAAAGAAGGCCTCCTAAAGCGCTTTACCTAGTCGTACAATGACCGTATTTGAAGGACTTCGCGAGTCAAAGGGATCGAATCATATCTCCAGTGACACGACTTTGGCTTTGCTATAAGAGTGAAGTGACCCCAAAGCAATTCCCGTGTTCCAGTGTGCTTGTGTGTGTGACTTCGTTGATTTCCTAGCACTAATGATTCGCACCGGACGAAGAGGTTCCCCCCTAAGCTCATATTGGATACCTGACATTATGGCAGGTCTAATTCGGCAAAGCAACGGTGACTGTCTACGTGTGGAGTCGGAATGTATGATCTGTGCTGCGACCTTGGATATATCTCATCAAGTCGAAGACTTCATCGCTGCCGATAAGGCGAGCGAAACACCTGCCGGAACCAGACTCCAGTTTTATGCAGACCATGGTTTCGAAGAGACTGTTGCACTGCCGTGTGGGCATGTACTAGGACGGGGCTGTGCCGAGAGATATATCGCGAATCGCTACCTTGAGAACGTACCCATCAACTGCCCTGCTTGCCGCAAGGAATTCACGTGTCTGGGTTGCGGCGTGGAGTTCAATCCTATAGTGGTGAGCACTGTCACATGGCCCCTGCGTGTGGTCCCTTCAAGTCCTCTCACAAGCTTCCTGGATAGTGTGCCGCTGACCAACAAAGACCCAAACACCTACCAGACAGAGTCCCCCGGGTTCTGTATTTTCTGCAGACGAAGGAGGATGAAACACCTGGTCAACGACTTTTTGGACGGGAAACACCAGAAACTGGACCAGTCAGATGGATTTCAGAGCGGTTTCAAAGAGTTTATAGCCTTGGTATGGGCCATCATTTATCCTCGAGTGGGGGTTTACGATAAGGACCAGGCTATATGGCAGGACCCTCAAGCCACACAACAAAGAGATACCAGAGAAGCAGTCGCTTGGTGTCTGGAGACTGGCCGGATCACCCCTCAGAAGGGATGCAGAATTCTAAATACCGATTCATTCTTGATCAATGACCAGTATCTGCTTCATCTGCAGCGCATGCGCGGAGATACGAGTCTCCCGGTCACTAGCAGGGGACTTCGTTTGAGGCGGAGAGAAAGAACGAAACTCACAAGAGACACAGCAAAGTTTCTGGACACTGTCTTATACCAGTGTTTGGAGCTCCTGGGCCCTCAGTGGCTAGAGCCGGTACCAAGGTTCTGGCGTCCCACGAAACCGAGTGATGTCTTACTCGATAGTACTGAGGCAACTCTATTCAGGATACGCCGATCCACGGGTTCCATCATTGCAGACTTCACCATCCAAGGTCTCACAGTCCATGGGCAGCCTGTCTACCGGACTGCTTCAGGGTCACGGCCCATTACTGTGGTCCTCCTGAAATTCGACGAGCAGGAGCGGAGGCGTGTGAGGCTGGGGAGAGGCTATATGCTACGTACAATTGGCGCTTTCTTGAACCATCATTCTCTGACAAATGCTTCCGGCGGCCCAGAGAATGTGTGCGTTCTGATGCCAATGAGGCGGTCACTTTATAGAGAGATGTGATCGATACTCTAGGCTATCGTGGTGGGACGACATTAGGGTACATATCCTCCTAGCTGGTCTGCCAATGCAACCTCCTTACGAGTGACCGAAGACCATGGTGGTAAGAAAGGCGCGAACCCACAGCTGCCTACTTCCCTACCTTGACTAGTGTCTTCCATGCGCTCTCAAACTCCTCCCTGATTCTCTCGGCGGCTTCGAGATCACCCTTCCGACGGTAATGTCCTTCCAGACTCGCAGTCACACTCACCATACGACTGTACGAATGGCCTCTGATCTTCTTGGTGAACTCATAAGACGCAACGTAATACCGTGTTGCCTCGTCCATGAGACCACGAGCCTCCAGGATTAACGGCTTCAGCGCATAGTAGGTCATGACAGTAACTTCGTCTTCAATGTCATCGAAATTCAAATCGGGGTTGCCGCAATGAACTAGGAATGTCGGGGGTCAGTACTACCTCATCAGACCCGTTGGCGCACGGTAGAGCTTCTGTCTGGGCCCTACGGTGTGTAATCTGCGCCAAGTGATGGCTCACAAACTATTTAGAGCCCCAAATTGTCCTAGGGGGTTAGGAAATTGGCTCTTGGGAATTACTCACGATGTCTTCCAATGGCAGGCATATCCCCGTCTGCCTCGTCGAACTTTCCGTGGTCGTACAACAGTTGACAGTGGAAAATACGACACCACCAATACCATTCCGCATCAACCGTGTTCACGCAGCGGTCTTTGAATTCTTTCTCAATCTTCTTTATGGTTGCTGACGCCGTCTCAAACGATATTGCGCCCACCCTCAGCAAAGCCCGAGCGACATGAACGATCGATACCCGGCGAACTTCTTCGCCGGGTCGGACATCACTTTGGCAACTGGCAAAGTATGCCTCGAAGATGACGACTACAGCCCGTCGAACTTCGTCGACGCTCATACACCTCACCATGGACCACAGTCGTGTCAGAGGGTGGACAGGCCCCAACTTGATGGCACAGAGCCGAGCGGAGTACTCGACAAACGTCCTGGCGAGGTCTTCACCGACCTGCGCCAGCAGCAGAATACATAACAGTGACACCCACACGAGCGTAGGCTCCAGGCGGTCGATCGCGACGGAGTATTGATCAAAGGCCTTGTTGAGGAGACTGAAGTAAAGGGGTGAGTTGCGTTTTTCGGCGATTTTCGTTAGTGCCATGCGACTGTTGTGCCATACATTCAACGATTTGTCTTCCATCCATGGATACTCGGGGCCGCTCAAGCCGAACGAGTCCCCATCCATACGGCCCGTTGCGAAGTCAATGACTGCCTGTAAGCATCCCTCGGGGAATCGCATAATGTCTGGCGCTGATACGAATATGGGCGGGCTCTGTTTTCTGACCGTTTGCGGCGGAATGATAGTGGCACCGAATGCTGTTGCTAGATTCTGCATGCATCTCTTGACCCTTTGAGAGCCAAGTTGCCGCCCTTGGATGACAGGGAGCTGAGTAGGCTTCCCGTCCATGGCGGCTTCTAGAATATGTGCCACACGGCGGCTCGAGAGGTTCTTGGTTAGCCCCCATTGCTTGAACCGTACCTTATACATCTTCACCCTAATAGATCACGAGCGGTCAGTGTTCAGTATAACACGCATCTCTGGCTATGTAACGGTTGGCCATACGTAGCCTTGAAACCATGCTCATTGGCCATGATCGCCCTGACTTCTTTCAACGGCTTTCCTTCGTCCCAGTACAGACGGGTAATGACAGGCCTGTGGGTATCCCAATCCGCACCTGTCGGCCGTGTGTTTCTGGGGTGCATGGCAAGCGTCATGTTGGCGGGTATAGTCTCAGCGACGGCCTCATTGTTTCCTATGTTTTGTCGTGGCAACATGGAAACGGTAAGAATCTACCTGCGCCTCGCAACACTAGCGACCATCAAACTCGCATGTCAGCCACTGAGCCGTAGCTACAGCTCCTGTCTCTCGAGAAAGTTTGGACGTTGTTTCGGCACCCTGGGGGAGAAAGGCGATGGGCTTGTCGTGGATCAGATCCTGGTATCAAGAAATGCACGTGCGGATTAAGCGAAAGCAGCAGGGGTTATCAGGGCAAGCGGACAGTATCTCCGATCCCGGTAGTTCGATGTCGATGATAACGTTACGTGCCGGGGGCCAGAGCGATGGAACGCCGGAACACTCAGTGGAGGATATTCCTAGAAAAGTCATCGCAGTATATGTGTACTCGATGCTGTACTGTAATAGTATGTCAGGGATGATCCCGCCGCCGAGTCACTCGACTTAGCGCTGCGACTAGTTACCTGGTTAAGGAGGTAGTCAGTCAATCGGGGTTGTGATCCGCACGGGCAGTCCAGGGCCACGGCCCAGGCTTGCCAGGGGCGTTCAGTACGAAAGGCCCCTTACTGGCAGCAAACTCTTTATGACTACTGGCATGAGGCCAGCACTACTCCCACTCTGTAGGCGCTCTTGACGATGACGATTAACGCAATAGCAAGGGAAACGACATCGCCCACGACACAGCTATGGTATTGCTTTTGATCATGGCCTATCATAATCTCTGGCTGACAAGCTTCGGGTGAGATAAATTCTAGTTTACGGATGGTAACTGCAAAATGGGATGCTTGTAATGTACACTCTAGTTATTCTATCAACTCATAAGATGGAGCCAAAGGCTGCATCTCGTCAGAGCATGATTTCTATGCCAATTCTAGATGAAGATATGAAAACCGTCTTAGCCATGATAAGACTCGTTGTTTGACACATCGTCTACGCCACGTCTTTGTTGCTCTGCGCGCTGGCGCTCAACACCGGCTGGTTTGTCGTAGGAAGTGACATCTTGGCCTGCTCTGTCTGGCGTATCTTGCCCCAGGTATACACTAGGCCACTAACAAAGCCCAAAAATATTGCCGATACACTGCCAAATGTTACAGGCGCGTGGAAGAAGATAAGACCGCTGATCGCCAGGGGAAGCTTATTCAAAGCCCCCGTCATGGAGTATGTCGTCGACGACGTTGTTCTGATGCACCAGGCCGTGCAGTACGAGATGCCGATAGCACCAACCCCTGAATAGATCATGCCAATCACCATGGCATTGCGCGACTCGGCTGGAAAGTTGCTGGCCACGTTATTTCGTGACCAATCCTCGGTCAAGATTGTGCCAGCGGCCAGCACAGGAATCGTCAGCAGATTGTTGTAAAACATGGCTGGTGGTGCGCGTTAGCAATTGGTTCTCCATCTTGCCTGTGAGTTCGACCTACTGTCCCAGTCCGTAAAGCCCATACTCTTGATCCTTCGACGTAACCCCAGAACGAACGATGCTTGCGCCATGACATTCAAGCCCATCCATGCATATCCCGCGTTCAAAGTCGATATCGATGCAGATGTTTCCGCGAGATCACCGCCGCCAATTGCAGCCTGTATATCAGCCCAAGCTGCAACAACAGAGCTCAGGACCATCAGGCCAAAGGAAAGCAGCATGAGAGGAGTCACGCTGCCGCCGAACCATAGGACCTCTCCGTACGCGATCACAATGATGGTGAGGTTCTTGAAGATGGTGAACACCGGTACAGAGAGAACCTGAAGCGCCTTGTTGCCGGTGTATATCTGGGCTACAAGAAGCACGGAGATTGGAAACCCTAAGAACAGTCAGTAAAGGGTCTTCATGAATGCACACTGGGCGAACTCGTACATCTCTTTGCCTTTCCCGTATCAAAAGGGGCCAATCCGTTGATCACACCAAGGTGCTTGCACAATATGATTGCTCCGCTACAGACAACAGACTAGCCGGAATTAGCATTGAACCCAGTAGAATTGTGCAATTGCGAAGTGTACCTGAATGCAGAGAAAGAAGAAATGAAGATTCCATGAGTTTCCTGATACCACGTACTTGTTGATGAGGGTCATGCTGATTGACGCAAGACAGTACGACGCAATGGCGGCCCCCGGGCTGTTGTCAAGCTTTGAGAGAGGCTTTGACGAAGGCACATGGCCGAACTGTGATGCCGCTTCGGTGCCGCTCTTGGACCGTGGTAAGTGATCTGGCAGCCTCACGATATGGTCATCATTCCTCTTGTCAGACATCTTGCTACGGAGTCGGAGGGTGCACCGGATAATAGAAGTTTTGGCAGCGAGAAAGTTTAGCAGGTCCGGGTCTGATCAATGGAGGAGGGCGTTGACCAACACTTTAACAAGCACACATTGGATCTTTCAACGGTCCAAAGAGAAGCAACACGACGCTTGCGACCTGGAAGGAATGGCCAGGAGTAAGCCAGATACGAGGCAATTTCGGAGGGTGCTCAAGCGCGGCACAGCCCCCCCTACTAAGCAGTGGGCCAAAGAGGCATAGCGTATTACTGCGCACAGGCCATTCGGATACCCGTCTGTGATTGCAAATTATGCATTCTGGGCTAGATCTGCTCCATGTGTAAGACTTTCCTGATTACACAGTAGACAGCCTCTAATTCCCAAGGTCTGTGGTGGCATGTGGTACGCACTTGTGCCGGTTGCATTCGGAAGACAATGTCCCACGTTCAGGAATATACGGCAGTCATGACCTATCAGCCCAGTGACTTCAGAGTGCTAAAGGGTTGGTAGGAGACTCGTATGGTTATGTTGGAGAAGCCTCAATAGAGTTTACCACGGGCTTGTTAGAAGGTGTGTAGTTACTCTTAGCATACTCCTCAAAGTGACACGAAGGTTGTGGGGCAGTCCTGCTATTCTGATGAAAGATGGATTGTGGGCAACAAGCCCCGGGGCGCATACAGTTACAGACCCTAATCGGACATCCTGAGCTCCTATATCATTCGGATTCATGTGCTGCTCTTAAGTGAACTTGGAACATATCTCTTGTATCAACCGCGCATATATTCGCTTAGAACCGCAGTCAATATCGTCACGCTGTTGATCGATACCACAAAGCGTAGGGAGCCAAACTTCTACTTCCACGTGGCAATGTCCAATGCTTGGGACACTCCTGGGATGTACATTTATACAGCAGTATCCGAAGGCAGCGAAGTGATTAAGAGGTAGCAGGAGCTTGGCGCTAGTTACCCTTATACGCGGGCACTTTAATATCGAAGGCCACGGGCACTGGCGTTAAGTCCGGCTACTCCCAGCCACATCCGGAAACAACGCGCAATAATACCCCGATGCCGATGAACGTGATTCATTCTGCTAATTTCTAGGCATGCAAAGTTGTGTCGCGGCTCTGAGGCGGTGGGAGAGCTAACTTGGCAAGTAAGCGGCCGCTAACTTTTAGCTTGGCGTACCATGAGGTTAGGTCAACGTACGCTAGACCCCGAGTGTTCCGGGTTCACCAGTCCGTCACGAACAGTCGATGACGGCGCGTAAGCTCTCTAGGCATGTTGGGCAATCAAGGACACCGATCGATAAGCACTTAACTATAGGTCTAGAAAAAACTGGGTCGCTGTGGCCTTGATTCAATCTTAGAGCCAAGTAGTGCTCTCATCAGCCACTAAGGTACGCCAGTCCCAAGGCAAGGGAAGGAGACAGAATATGGGGCTCCCTGAAATAGAATGGTGACCAAGTCTTTCAACAACAACTTCCGCCCCCGACCCCCCTCATGTTATATGAGTATAAATATCCGAAGTCTGTTACGTGCAAAGTCCATCTCTCCTTTAACTTCTTCATTCTTCTCAGAGAGTAGTTCCGCCCTACACCAGCTGCCATGACAGACCAACCGTACCTTCAACAGTCGAACTTGCACACGGAAGCGCCGTTCAGGGCGGCGTTGCTCACATATCCCGGTAACCTTCAAGAGGCTTTGCGTCAAGCAACGGCAGACCCGAAGAAGACGCTGTTTGGTATTGCCCAAGGGATTCCCAGCACTTTCGTGACCAAGGTGCGTTCTCACACCAACCTGGATTCCGCGCAGAGACTCACTTCCGGCACAGATTCTTGCTTCAACAAAGCCGGACTTCATCTGGATTGATGTGGAGCATGGCATGTTCGACCGCCTAACGCTTCATGAGTGAGTCATGTCCACTTGCCATTGGGTGAAGAGTGAAGTGTTCTGATTGCTCCCAGTGCGATTCATGCCGCTCAACACCATTCGGAGGGCAAGAGCATGGTGGTTGTCCGGGTGCCCAAGCATGATGAAGTCAGTTTATCGACAGCATTGGATGCTGGAGCAGCTGGAATCGTCATTCCTCACTGCGAAAGTGCCCAAGAAGTAAAAGACATGATCAAGGAGATCTATTATCGTAAGCGCTGACTGATCCTTGATGTTATCGTAGTACTCATGAAATTGCCAGCTCCCATAGGCGGCCGCTCATTTAGCCCATGGACATTTACGCCTGGAATCTCAGACACATCCCTGTACAAGGACGACCCGTTCAACATGCAGACCTCTAACCGTCACATCGTCGTGATTCCGCAGATTGAAAGCGTCAAGGGAGTCGAGAATGCAGAAGAGATTGCTGCAGTTGAGGGTGTTGGCGCCCTCATGTTCGGCCCAGGCGATTTCATGGCAGACGCGGGTGTTCCTATCAAGATGGGCGGCGAACCACATCCTACCTTTGCTGCCGCCATGGCCAGGTTCGTTGCGGCGGGTCAGAAGTACAATCGCCCTCTCTTTGGGTACGTACTCAACTCCATAACCTATTCTTGCACTTCTCTCTTACTGACGTATACAGTGGAGCAATGGCCCCTGAAATGATTCCAATGATGATTCAACAAGGATACAGAGCAATTGCAGTTACCTTTGACGTCTGGGGTTTTGCAAACATGGTGCATAGCAACTTGCAAAAAGCAAAAGAAATCGCGCAACAAGCCGCGTAGGTACATAACCTTGATCGCGACAACGAGTAATCATAAATTACATGGTTCTCTATCTAATTGAGATGTCCCATTCCTCACACCACTATGTCCTCAACGATATACCATGAAAGCTAGATTGTATAAGTGGCGAATGGTAGTTTCCACGGGCAGCGGTTTACTTAGCTGAGCGGTTCTCGTAAGACTATAAACACCAAATCTTATGGCATAGTTGGCATAAGCTCAACTTCCTGAGCGTTCTTGCGGTTATTCATAGTTGTAGTGATCAAGAGGCATCCGAAAGCGTAGTAAATGGCTGAATGTAAGGTTTTGGTGCAAATATAAGTGCAATTGATGCTCAAACACAAACCTGAAATGGTGCACATAAATTAAGAACTGCGCAAATCATACGTGCAAGCAAATGTAAACCATATCTGGCATGTACATGTAGGATTATGTTTCGGACATGTAGTGAAGGATCGGTAGACGTTTCTGCCAGGTCGTATTCGTATCCGTTGGGCCCGTGCTGTGTCAACGCCCCTCTAAATCGAACGGGCCGAGGATCAAACGTGACTTCGCAGCACCTTGAGAACCCCGAAGAAACTACAACAACAACAACAACAACTACGGCCGCGCTTGGTTGGACTGGCTACTATGGATTCAGTTCGTGCCGCCATATTCGGCGTGGCGCTTTCCTGTCTCCTCTATCTGTGGAACTTGAACCGTGTCCTTAAGAAGACGCCTCCCGAGATCCTCGCGCTTTCTCCACACCGGTGGACCGACGAGGAGATTGAGGAGACATATAACAAAGTCAAGAAGAATCCAATCTCCTGGTCGGAGCATCTTCCGCCCAAGTTGAACCGTCGATATATCGTAACGGGAGGCTCTGGAGGCGTTGGGGGCCAGGTCATTCTGCAATTGCTGGAGCGCGGTCAGCCTCCCGAGAGCATCCGCAATGTCGATTTCCGAGCCCCGGAGAGGAAGGACCTGCTGACCGGCCCGGCGGCAAGCGTCGAGTTCGTCCACGCGGATATATCCTCAGCCTCATCTACTGAGGCGGCATTCACCAAGCCGTGGCCGGCCTCGGTCGCCAAGCTGCCCTTGACAGTTTTCCACGTGGCCGCGCTCATCGTCCCTCACGAGAGATCCGTGGCAACATATCACCGCGTCGAGCGTGTCAACGTGGATGGTACTCGGAATGTGCTGGGCTCTGCGAAAGCCGCGGGAGCGGACGTCTTCATCGCAACGTCGTCGGCCTCGATCGGATTGGTCCCTACGCGATTCTGGGGGCCACCTTGGCGACCATGGCCCAAAAACTGGGTGCAGGTGCTCGCTGAATCGGACTTCCATAAGCCTGTCAAACCTCACTCTGATTTCTTTGCCAACTACGCCCACTCGAAGGCGGTCGCAGAGCGCTTGGTGTGCGGAGCCAACAGCCCTACGTTCCGTACCGGGACGATTCGTCCCGGCAATGGCATCTACGGCAGTAGTCACGCTGACCAGTTTGTGGGAATGGTGCTGCGTGCGGGAACATCTCCAACTTGGACACCTAATGTCTTGCAAAACTGTGTCCATGTCGGACACGTATCTCTGGCGCATCTGCTCTTCGAGGCAGCGTTGTTGGGCAGTGAGGAGATGCCTGGTTGTGCTGGCCGGCCCTTCAACATTACCGACCCGGGCCCGGCGGCTCTGTTCCAGGATTACTACAAATTGATGCAGAAACTTGCTGTCACGCCGACCAAGGTCATCCCCGTACCTCCCGTACCCCTGCTACTCTTCGCCTACGTCGTGGAGGCTCTCGACAGTCTCTCGCGCGCTCCTGGCTTCAAGTGGGTGAAGCCAAGTGGAGACCTCGCCATGCTACAGCCGTCTATTTTCAGCGCCACCACTCATGTACCGATTATTGACACTGCCGCGAAGAAATCCGTTGCAGAAGGAGGCCTAGGGTTCAAGGGGGTTTGCACTACAATCGAAGGGATGTGCCAACAGGTGTTGGATTGGAACGTGGACCATGGCTTCCAGGTTGAGCAAGCGGATGATACTGTCCTCACTTCCATTGCCAAGGGTGCCAGGAACATTGCAACGACTCCGGCATCTGTAAAAGCCTAGTCGGTTAAATAAAAGCAGTTCCAGGTGCTATTAAGCTATACCTAGACTTATAGAAGTTGCTTTTTCTGACGAGAAGCAGAACATTGTATGAGGAGCACCTTCAATAGTCTATAAGTCAGTCGGGCCGATCAGCTTGCCACATGGAAATTTTTCGAAACCCCCCAGTGACCAACCTAAGCAGTGACTAGATACTATGAGACGTCATGAAATACCGGTCCTTGGTTGGTCACAACTATCCGAAGTGAACTTCGAATGCCAACTCCCAGTGATGGAAAGAAATGCTCATTAGACAAACGGTTTGCTATCCGTACTTGCGCCTTAGCATGATGAACACTTTGTGCATCTGATCTGGTTTGTCTAACATGAATCCAACCCACTGGACGTCATTTCCTCAGCAAAGGTACATCCACACATCAGCCGTTGTGGCGCAATCAATCTGGGTTGGCCACTCGCACGCCGAGGATCCGGCCGGGCACTAGAGAATCCGCTATCAGCCATTGCACTCATCCCCTTGAGTTTATCCCCAACCACCAGACCCAACTGAAATCAAACTCGGCGAGTAATAGCCTTGGAAACCTCCAAGAGAAGGGATACTCACATCAAGAACCGGGCAAGAGGTCCCTGGCCATTCAGCAGAGCGGTGGAAGGCTTCGAATGGCGCGCCATCAACGCGCGAGAGATCGAGCCAAGACCGTCCTGCTGCAACGGCCATCTCGAGCTGGTACGGCGAGCTGAGGGTGGAGCTCAAAGAGCACTGTTGGTGAGGAAAAGACGGTATTGTTATTCATTGAACGCCATACCGAGGTCAATGTAGAACGCCTGCTTACCTTGAGTGTGGCCCCGATGTTGTCGTCGTTCGCGGCGAGAGGAGACGTCCACGAGGATCCGGCGCCCACGGAGGTGGCAGCCCCCGTGTCCGTCCCGTCACCTTTTGCTCCCTGGCAAAAGATCGCAAAAGAGCAAGAGTTCTGAACATTGAGATAACCTCCTAGAACTGAGTGTATAAAAAAAGGCAAGGTAACCGTGAGGAATATAGTTCGAGTCATGATAAGTGGAATGCGAAGCAACTTGCGGGCATATAGAGATGGGTTTCGTGATACAAGATAGTCAGGCTATTGTTTTAAAGATGAACCAGAGGATTCCTGGGCACGATTTGAACTAACTACGGAGGTTTCTTTATAGATATTGTCTCAGGTGAGCCCGTATAGTCCTGGCCACGACTCCTCTGGAGGATTTAACGGATATTGTGGTCGGAAGACGTCAGAACATCCTTCTGTATGGTCCCCGCATCATGCTTCTATTTCCATCCGTTCCAAAGGCCCGAGTCCGACGATCGAAGAGTATGATAGCCAAAACGTGCATTATAGGATGCACGGTGCTTTGCAAGTAATGGTAGACTTCTTGTACCATACCACGCAAGGAGTTCTAACCATCATGTCAAGATGCCGACGGTGGGCACAAATAGCATACACAGGCACAAGCAAGTGGTTGAATATCCACTGTAAACCTTGCATAGATGATGCCAAGATATCCTACGGCCAAATAACGTTTGTGTATTTGCGGTTGTCAACCATGCAGCGAGGTTGGACATAGGGGTGAAGACGGGCGTCGAAGCCTTACCGAATAGAGCACTGTCGTTCCCTAGGTCTAGGCAATAGACGACAGATTGAAATGCACTCCCTGAGTGACGCTTTCAAGTTAATACCATTACAAGTGAGCGTCTACCATACGAAGTGTAACTAACTGGGTATCAGAGGAGGGCAGCGAGAGCCACTCGAGAATAATTACTTAACGGACAGATCAGGCCCGTCCGGACAAGCAACAAGGTTTACTCCCAGATCCTCGGCCCGTGCTTGTGTTACACCAGACAAGTGGCTTGCCTGTGCGTCTCGAACCTTACACTACGGACGCTACTACCATTGGTGGCTGATGGTGAATACCATCCCATGCCCTCTACACTTTCGGATCTCTAGGCCTGTCTCACCTTCCCGAGACAAGTTGTTATGTAGGGCGCTTAGGTCGACTGACCTCAGATACTCGCACTCTCGCCGTATATTACGTAGGTGAACATACATGTGTAGGCCATGGCAAGGGCCTTTTGACTCTTGTTGATGGAATACTGGCCGGACCAAGCTGTCATACCCCTATCAACGAGTATACGGTGCAGAAGAGGGATTAGACGAACAGCATGATGTGGAAAGGTACCCATGGTCGATAATCCAGCAACTGGTCATTGCTGGCACATAGTTGAGGCAGGTATCATGCATTATCCCGTACTGTATCCACTTCTCGTGCCGTTTTAATATCTATCGGGAGGCCACGGTCCCAAAAAGGCCCCAAAGAAAGAGAGCCGGAGCTCATGCCCCAAGACGGCCCACCCAAGATGCCTGTTGAACTCCAAAACCCATGACAGCCGCTTACCGTAGCTTCGTAATTTCCCGTCCCGGACTACCAATTGGCCAGTATCATCTAGACCGTTCCGCTGATACTCAGCTCCCTGATCTCCTGCAGAACCTCTTCGACCCTGCTGTCCAGATGCCCTTGTGCGTATTGTTCTCTGGTGTCGGCGTCTAGGTACTGTTGTACTTGGGCCATCCGGCTGTAGGCCTCGGCGCAGAAGCGCAACTGGATCTTGACGAGGGCCTCGAAGCTGGGGTCCAGATAGGGCACTCTGAGGTCGATCAGCTGTGGGAGCTCGGACGAGAGCTGTTCGTTGAGTTGCTCGTAGGCGGCCCTGGCAATCTCCATCTCCTTCTCGGTACGGGGCAGCTTCGTCACGTCCTTGTCGGGCTTCTCGGCCAGCTTCTTGACCTTGGCGCGCAGGGCGTCATAATCCAGCAGCTTGTGGCCGCGCTTCTTGATGCCTGGGGATGCAGTCAGTACTCCGCGGACGAGTTTCTGGGGTCGAGGGGTGAGGGGAGAGGCGAGGGGTGTTGCCTACATTCGTTGACGTCGGGAAAGTAGGCGCAGAAGCGGTTGATGGGCTCGAGGACCGTGGTCCGGTAGGGGCCGTCCAAGGCCTTTATCGTCTCGGCGTCCAGGTCCTCGACAGCCTGCTTGTAGCTCCTGCTCACGCCGTCCTTGGCGCCGGCGTCTCCGTAGAAGGCGTCGATGGTCTCGGCTATGCGCATCTGCGAGGCGGTCATGGCGCGCAGCGAGTCCAGGTAGCCCTTGGCCTCCTTCTGCAGGCGCAGCGAGGCGGCCTCCATGGTGCGGAAGCGACGCTCCTCCACCTCGTAGTCGCGGTCGTTGGTCTTCTCGACATGGCCCGTCTTCATCATGACCTGCGTCGTGGCGCGGTTGACATTCTTCTTGAAGCCTGCCCACGACATGTTGGCGGTTGTGCTGGGTGCGCTCCTTGGTCGGACAATGTGGGATGCCGCGATCTGGTGGGAAGCTGAGGTTTGGGTCTGATCTTCCGTCAGTCGGTGGGGATCGGGTCCGGTATCGTGTGGTATCTGGTCGTGTCGTCGCTTGTCGCCTCGTAACACAGAGTGCACGGATATCAAGGAATCAATACCAGCTCGGGAGAGCAGAGCGGGCGGGAGAGCAGAATGGCGGCGATGGACTGGTTGCGAAGTTCGTGATGGAGGTGCCGTGGTGCCGTCCGCGGTGGTGCCTTGGTGGGCTGTGGTGGTGGGAGGTGGGTCTCGCCCAAGAGAGAGTGACGAAGTGTTTTGTGGCGCAGTTCTGGTGGGCTGCCCCCTCGTTCAGGCCGTCTACCCGAATGGGGAACGGGCTCCATAAGTTAGCACCTAGCGCCCCAAAGACGGCCCCAAAGACAGCCCCAAAGACGCCCCCCAAGGATCGACGTCAGCGATCTCAGTGCCACTTTTGGTTCCCCAAACTTTGGAGTGATGTGCACGGGGGGGGGGGGGGGAAGGGGCGCGGGCTCTCCTCTTAACTGCGTTTAGTTGATTGTGGCCGTGCACGATACATCATTCCCTCCCGGTACATACTGTAGTATGCCATTCTGATAGATTACATGCAGTCACCAAACCAGACTTCCAGTATAAGTGGGTGATCAGCGGCAATGCAGAGCGGCTTGATATGTATACCCATGTCGCTGGTTGTAAGATACTATAACGGCGTCTCGCGGGTTCGGGGAACATGACATCACAGAGCACCAAGCAGAAACACCCCCCGAGTCCTCTCATAACGTTCTTAGGTGCCGCGCGGAGATTCTCTTCTCTTATTCCAGTGTGCTCTCAAGAGACTTGCCCTCTCCTCGTCTCTCGCGCGTCATCACGCAGTCGAGTGCCACTCACTATATTTCCATGTGAACCGTGGCTTTATCTTCATCTCGCAACGCCCATCACACCTCAGGATGTGCAGCTTACCCGTGATCCAAGGCCGGCCGGCTATAGCATGCGCGGATGTCCCCAGTCCCCAACATCAACCTAACCGAGACAGTGTCCAGTGTCCAGTGTCTAGTGCAGAGCCCCACTGCGGTCTTGATACGGCTCTCGCCCCAGTGATCAACCCTGCGCAATCACTTCATTCACTCATAAAACATGTGTATAGACCAATGTTCCGGGCTCTTTTGCTGGTCGTGAAACTGTTGTAAGGATGCCGCAGCCGCCGCAAGTCCCCTTCGGGGCTCCCATGCGACACGCCCACTTCGCCTTCTCCCCGAGTTACCTGCCCCTCAATCACGGCTCCTACGGCACGCACCCGGTATCTGTCCGTGCCGCCCACCTGGCTCTCCGCGCCGAGGTCGAGGCTGCCCCGGACCCGTTCATCGCACTGCACTTTGCTAGCAGATTGGCCAAGTCGCGTGCCGCCGTCGCCGGCTTGCTGCGCTGCCCCTCGGATGAGCTGGTCTTTGTGCCCAACGCGACGACGGGCATCGACACTGTGCTCAAGAACCTGGACTGGAAGCCAGGCGACGTCGTGCTGTGCTATGAGCTGGTCTATGGCTCCGTCGCCAACGGCCTGAGCTGGCTGGAGGAGGCCCGCGGCGTCGAACCCCATGTGATCTTCCGCGAGTGGCCCATTGCGGACGACGACATAGTCAAGATGATGGTGGACACGACGCGCCAGATCAACGCACAGCCCGGCAAGAGAGTGCGGCTGGCCATCTGCGATACCATCATCAGTGGGCCCGGCGCACGGGTGCCATTTGAGCGTCTCGTGCCCGCTCTACAAGCCGAGGGCGCCATGGTGCTTGTGGATGGTGCCCACGGCATTGGCCATGTTGACATTGACCTTGGCGTGTTGAAACCTGACTTCTTTGTCACCAACTTACACAAATGGTTCTTTGTGCCGAGAGGGTGTGCGGCCTTCTATGTCCCAAAGAAGAACCAGGCCCTAATTAGAACATCGTTGCCTACCAGCCACGGGTTCAAACCGAAACGGCCCTTGTTCCTGTCCACGCCCGAGGAGAACGCCTTCGAGGAACTGTTTGACTTCACTGGTATGTATATGCTGACAGAGCTGGCAAAGAGTACATGCTGACATTCACTAGGAACCTCCGACACCACAAATTATCTCTGCGTCGAGGCAGCTCTGAGGTTCCGACACGATGTCTGCGGCGGCGAGGCTTCCATCCAGCAGTACTGCCGGTGGATCACAGAGCGAGGGGCCACTATTGCTGCTGAAATACTAGGTACTCATATCATGAATGTTCCAGGCTCCAGGATGCGCGAGTGCAATTTTGCCAACATTCGGATGCCCCTTGAACTGCGCACGGCGCACGAAGTCAACAACAGAGAAACCGCAGAGCAAGACGGCAAGGTAGACCCTCGGCATGCTAATGCGGTCTCTGATTGGATCAAACATGTTGGTTGCACAGAGAGTGGTATATATTTCCAAAACTTCCTATACCGCGGCAACTGGTGGTGGCGGATCAGTGGAATGATCTATGTCGAGGAAGCAGACTTTCGAAAGGGCGCGCATGTACTCAAGCAGCTTTGCGCGCGAGTAAGAGCAGGGGAGTATTTAAGAGGCACCCTCAGAATTGTTACTGACCAACCTGCGGACTCTGACTGTTCAAGTGGCTACCAGTCGTCTACGGATAGTTCTGCGCTTGATACTCCTGATGAAGATTAGAAAGACTCGATAGATAGCCTTGTGTTCACTTTAGATATAACAGAGCAGGACCACGTAAGGGTTTGGAAGTATGGAACCCGAGAGAGATGACACATCCTGACGCTTGATCCCAAGAACCATGTCCCTTGTCTTGGCCGCCGTTCATACGACGAGACTTCCGACGAGTACAATGACCTTGTTCTCAAGGACAAAGCGGCGTTCAACTTTAGCTCAGTTCTATATAATCACACTGCTAACCCAGGCCTAGCCCTCGGGACCCTCTGACATTAGGTGCCAAGATCTAACGATACCCGATCTCTCGGCTGATTACACACAGGCACACTGGGGACTGTGAGGGGTCTGATGAAGCGCACCAATATGCCCTTATGTGACAAGGAGATATGCGAGGCGATTCACAGTGACGAAACTGCGGTCACTTTCGTCGAAGACATTTCCCTTGGAGCATGCAGGATCAAAACGCGCAAGTGTCCCGAGGAGAAGCCCACTCAGACACCCGGCAGCCTAGATGAGGCACACCAAAGCGAGACATTGGAAGTGGAAAGATTTGCGAAGGCCGAAATCCATAGGTTAGTGTTTAACCCGACGAGAATACGCCCCAATAACATTGAAGCCGGAAGAGGAAATATCTCATTGCTGACGAGTGGCTTAGCGCGCACGGTCATGGAGCAGGGTATGCCTAGCCCTGGAATCCCTAGTTCTGGTGAGGAGAAGCGTTTCTGTCCAGCCCATGCTCATTCCGAGATTGGGGTCCTTGGCCGGCTCCCTAGTTGCTGGTGGCGCTGTGACCAAGCTCTTCTGATATACAACAGGGGTAATGACGAGGAGCCCATGTGGAATGCTCTGACCGAGGGATCCGAATGGTCGACATTTTAGTAGTGAGGTTGGCGAAATTATGTTAGAAAAGTAGGTATTACTGCTACTGACTAGGTGAGCAGCTGATAGCCACGTCTGGACTGGTGTAAATCGAGAACTGTCTCAACTTTATCTCACGCAATGCCAAACTTGTCCTTTCCATCAATCAATTGTCTTTGTCATTGACTGTCTGTAGTATTCGATTTCGCCGCTTGAGGCTTGCTAGCAACAAGCTCTCGCTTATATATATATATGCGCGCTTTGACATTTGGATGTCTGTTGTGACCAATAAGGAGAAGCCTCACCACCTGTTCGCATTAGTCCGGTCCGTTCTACCGACCAAGCCAGGGCCCCCGTCTTCTTCTTCTCCCGACACAGTCGGTTGGGTCCAGCCCCATCAGACGATCTCTGCTGATCTTTACGGGGCCTTGTGACGATCTCCAATGCAATGCTCCTGAGGATATTCCCGGCAGAGGCTAGGCTGGCTGTGGGGCCTTGTTATCCGGTGCTCAGAAACATGATGTTGTCTATTTCCGAAGAGCACCACATCTTATTCCCTGTAACAATGAGTAAACAAGATGACCATTGAGTAGACTTATTGGTATTCTCAATTCGGAGCGAATTACGAATCCCTCTCCACACGCGGGTCGGCCTGCCGTTTTCGTATCATCCGGCGAACGAATGCAAATCTTGACATCGGACCCCTCGTCCCGCATCGGCTCTCACTTCCAACGATTATGTCGTGTTCTCGCATCATGACCGACCAGCATTGCAAAGCATTGAAAACCCATAATCCAACACAAAGGTCCGAGGCCATGCGATCCGTGCACTTGCTGTCCAACAAGGAAACCAGCTCGCTGGAATACCACCCGACACTAGTAGGACTTAGATCCCGCACTCGCGACCAAACTGGCACTGGAGCTATATCTGAGCTTTATCGAAGCGAACGGAGGGGCCCTTTCGGGACTGTCTCTGACTGTCAACGCCTCCAGCGCCTCCAGTACTACGTCACATGTTGACTGGTCGACATGTGCAGCCCCTTGCCACCAAGGGCTGCCCGCAGATTAGCTCGATAATGGGCTTGTTGTGCATAGGTCCGAAACAGAAGCCTTCGGCTGCATGTCCCCAAGGGCGTAGGCGTCGGAATCCGGATGTGAGGTCATGCAGACAGCTAGCACCGAAAAGGGTCGTCTCGGAAGAGAGCGCCGGCACACCACTGAACCCCAAGAATGTGGTTTCGGGCGAATCATGGCGAAACAGCTATACAAGACACGGGACGATCCCGAGCAAGTGGCTGCATGCTGCATAGGGGGGCAGGGGCTCCCGCAGACAAGCGGACTGTGCTCAGTGACCTGCAATGTGTCAATGGGATGTGGAGAAGCCAGGGGTCCTAGTGGGTTGTATGCAAAGCACAGACGTCGGCTATACAGCAGGTTCAAGTCTTGAGACCGGATTGAGTATAGACGAGGTCCTGGGTCGGCCAGGCAAGGCCAGGCTGGCCAAGTTTTTGACGTCTGGCCTGTCTGGTATGTGTATGTGGCGCGTACGTGATGCAGAGAGGCAACGGCCTAGGGTAGCTCACCGTTCATCCCATAAACCGACCGACTTGCGAACGCACCGGTGTCTGTTCGCGTCAGGACCCATGTAGACAAGACCTGCCAAACGAAGAGTGTGGGGCAACGGGGGCCGATCTTCTCCATTGACTAAGCTTCAAGTATAAGAAACCAAACTTCCTAGATCCGAACTTTGTCGGGAGATCTATACTCATCTCGTTCCCTCCGAACGTCTCGGCGTTGAGCTGCCTCTTTGCCATACTGAACCCACTCTTTTAGGAGTTTGAATCCATATAGGCCATGGACTTTTCAGACCCTCAGGTCTTCGCGGCCCTGCCTCATGATAACCGAGGCAGCGTCGTCGTCGGGGCGGTTTGCTTCGTCCTGACTGTTGCCACCGTGTCGACCGGGATGCGGCTCTACACACGGAGCGTCATTGTCCGACAATTGGGTGCAGACGACTACCTCGCCGCCATAGCTCTCGTAAGTGTCTAGACTTTGGCACTAAAGTACAGTACACTAAATACCGTGATCTCGCATAGATATTCGCATGGGCCACAGGGATTTCGCAATGCATTAGTATGGGACTCTTACCTTCCTGTGCCAAGCAGCGACTGATTTCGACCAAGATACCCACTTTGGCCTTGGAGCCCATGTATGGGATGTTCTCTACGAGGCAGGACCCCAGGGTATCAGTAACTACCTCGAGGCAAGCCAGATCCTTTTGGCGTAGTATCGCTTTGGCACTAACAGTGTCACAGAACTTCTACGTGTCCATCACCCTATATAATACGGGGCTGTTCTTCACGAAAATGACCTTTCTGGCCCAGTACTACCGAGTGCTGTCGATTAGGAAGATGCGACTCACTCTCCAGATAGCAATGGCTGTCGTGGGAGCGTGGTCTTTGTCTCAGGTGTTCGTAGGTATATTCATTTGCCAACCTATTGCCAAGTTCTGGAACGACAGCCTCGACGGCCACTGTATCCCAAACCTGCCCCAGTGGTACGTTAACGCCGCGGGCAACATCGCGACTGACGTTGCCGTCTTCGTCCTGCCCTTACCAGTGCTGGGCCATCTGCATCTGCCGAAGCAACAGAAACTCATCCTGCTGGGTATCTTCAGTTTGGGATTCTTGTAAGTCACCCCTTCGTGCCCTAACGATAACTTATACTTGACTGACGAAAACAAACTTAGCACGGTTGCTATATCTATCATCCGGATAAAGTACCTCCAGCTCTTTGCAGACCTCACATACGAGAATACAGACTCGTCCTGTTGGTCTATTACTGAGCTTTGCTCTGGTATCACGTGTGCATGCCTCCCTACCTTGAGACCGTTGGTCTCTAGGTGGCTTCCAATGTTTGCTAGTACTATTCGTAGATCCACGAAGGATTCCAACGAGAAATCGCAACAACTACACAAGAACCTGGATGGTAGTGGCCAGGCTTCTGAGAGCAGCCGCTGCACGTATGAGCGTGGCAGCGGGATGGGGAGCCAGGACGAACTCCACCGTCCAAATGACGTGGAACTTGGCCGGACTGACAGTGGGGATCTATCGGAGAATATCATGGGTCTCAAGAGCTCGAAATCCTGCATGTAAACTATCTGGTGAAAGTTTTCCATGGGATGGTGGGCGCTGATTAAGTGAGTGGAATCTAGGCAAGGTGCAATTTGGGGTGTATACATGTAATATCCAATGCACACAGTCAACCCACAGCCTTATAGTCTAAAAAAAGTATTTCTATTGATGAATCTTGATACCTTAGTTTATCCACCCCCCGCATGCTGATATACTGGAATGCTCGCCTTGGATGCAAACCGACGCCTTCGCTGGCAGATGGTTATCTGACGCCGCAAGCAAAGTTCTCAGTGTGGCTCCATTCCCGCAAGCTGTAACAGTTTTGGTTTCAAAGTCGGGCTTATCAAGTGGTTCCATTTTTCTAGTATCCTGGCTACCATCAGGGCGCAAAGGAAAATTTGATCTTAGGCTTGATATCATCGTGCGGCCAATTTTTGGCGAGAAAGGCCGCCTGACTTGCCAATGCCGCAGGCGCGTATGATATATAGACTACCATGCGTATCGTGTTGCTCTTCTTGGTTGGTTCTGCGCCGTAGTGAATCAAACGGGAGTCCCATATGATCAGATCACCTAGCTCTGCAACAACTTTGTGCCCGTGGAATCTTTGTTTTTCGAACCAGGATATTTCCTCCGGGATATCAGTATAAAAGTCCTTTCTGCTCCAAATCGACTTATAGGTATGCTCTACGGAGAAGGGTTCGGGAGCCTTATGAGACCCAGGATCGACGGTGAGCCCACCGTCGTTGGGTCCAGCTTGGGATAGGTCTACAATGCGTTGGACACATTGCAGACCTTTACGGAGCGGCGACTGATCCACATGTGGCCATTTCGTCCGAGGCATATGACCAGGACGAAGGGGCCACGTGATGTTCAATGCTTTGATGGATACGAGCATTTCATCGGTACCCTATAGTATCGCGAACACCTCGATGACCCGTGGATATAACCGGATGTCCCACATGAAGCGCTCATGTACGACGCCATAGTGATTGAACGTGTTGATGCCGAATATAGAAGGGAGATTTTCATCTGTCCGAATAGTTGAATCTGTGAGGTCAAGTGCAGTATTGTCGAGTGAAGTCAACTAGCTAAATGCGGCCTGCTGGTACTTCAATGCCCAGTCCTTCGCAATGACGGAAGGTATGACGGCATAGCCATCACCGAGAAAACTCCGGTACCAATCAACCGTCGTTTTCTGCCGGAGGAGTTTGATGCCTTATGTCGAGTTCTGTTTGATAGATTCCCACGGCGGCCTCTTTCAAATACTTTAGCGCTCCGGGGCAGATAGGATGATGCGGTGCGCGACGCTCCAATCAGGCCGAAGGAAACGAGACCCTGACTTCTGCTTTTTGAGGAGCTCTAAAGTGGAATCCCATCACGTCTTACCAGCGAGGCGTCGCGCCAGTCTATGAGCGTAGGTATGACAGGCGAGGGTATACTCAACATTCACACTCCTCTGACCACTCTTCCAGGCCTTTTCTTGCCATATATGCCATAAAAGGCACGCGGGTTCCCATCATGTGCGTTTGCCAAGAAGGTGCTCAGTAGAGGTCTCCAGTAATAGGACACCGTGCGTGCCTCGCGATCCACCTCAAGCGCCATGCCCGGAAGCCCGCCCTCACCGACGTCCAACATGGGAGACATGGATCCAACCTTGGAACAGCCAGAACCGATCCATAGCTCCATCGCGCCTCCCGGCAAGCACTGCACCACCAGGCGGAGGTCGCCGGCGATCAAGTCTACATCCTCAAGACCCCAGTAATCACAGTGAGGATAGTGTAAAAATACGCGCTGGCCGTCTGGCGACATCTTGTCAAAGCTCATGGTCGCCGTGACTTTGACGCGCCTCTCGGAGGTCGCGCCGAGACGAGGACGACACTTCCGAGTACCAAGCAGCAGATGGAGCTGCCATGTTCTGAGGCAAGTGCTCTTGTACGCTTCTTCCGCGGCAGCTTTCAAGACGTGAGAGACACGACGGCAAGCCTGCCAAGATGTCGGCAGGTTCCTCTTGTCGGTCAGGTAACTGAGAATCTCAATCCAGATCTCGATTGGGAGAGGCGGGCAGCTGGAGGAGCCCATGACGAACGTCAGTTGAATACAAGTTCCCGAACAATCGAGGCAGCTGTCTTATTGGTCAACGAGACCGAGCTTTTGGGGTATACAGTTCCTGCATGCAGGAACAGGGACTTTCGAGAAAAGAAACTTTGCGCCAGAGGCTTTCACTCGCGCCGCTGAGTCGCGTACCTGCATCCTTATCAAGAAGACTAGATTTAGTGCCCAGAATGGAGACGGCTATCTAACTTAGTGCGCTATCCGGTGATTGTGATTTGGATTGGCTGATGAAGACGGCGGTTGATTTTCGGATTCCACCGCGGCCGGAACGCAGGTGGAAAAGCGAATCAACGACAAAAACAAAACAAAAAATAGAGTTGCTGGGAAGAAACAGAAAAAAAGAAGAGACAGATGCTGCCCATGTCAGGGTCGAACTGACGATCTCCCGATTAACAGTCGGACGCCGTAAACCAACTTGGCCAATGGGCATCCAAGGTCTCTGATTGGTTGAAAATCCGGTGCTTTACTGACAATTAAGAGGGCTGGGGACGAACGGTGCGGACTGAGCAAGTTATTGGTTCTGTGGTCGGTGACGAAGTGACGATGGGGAGCTCGTGAGACCCACCAAGAAGCTGTAGATGGGCTCTCTCTCATGCAGTATTTTGGGGTGCAACAAGTGGCCGCTTCCCTACACCAGCAGCTCCGGGATATTTCCATAATCTTGCCACCTCTTCTTTGTCTTTGTCGGGCCACAACGGGGTTTCACTGGCCGGCGTATTTTGCACGTCTGGCAAAGCCAATGGCATGTCGGATGCTAGTCACCTTGAAACAGCAGTGGCTATGGATCAGGCTCTGCCTTGCTCTAGTATGTGTCAGGGAAGATTCGATAACTGGTCGTACGTTTCCGATCCGGTTCGGATCTTGTTCATGTAAGAAATACCAGCTAATGATGCAACCTAAAGCACATTGTATGTAAAACCCATATCCAGATCCACATTCTCGTATCAAGCTTAGCCGTTTTTCAGGGTAAGGCTAAATGCGTTGTCTGTAATAGTGTCTGTGGCCTATCAGCTGACGAAGCTGGTACGCATTGCTTGGATTTCTGAATAAGATATTCATTGGAGCAATAGAATGATATCGAGAAAAGACCATCAAGAAGCCTGCTTTAATGAGAGGAGCAGCCTATGGGCATTTCTTTCTGGTCGACCTCGAGAGGCTACGATTCTATAGTGCCGTCTAGAGGCTATCACCGTCACATATGGAGTCGATTTGCTAGGAGACAGCGCAGCACAGCTCACATTAAACAAGATCAAGCTTGTTTATAAGCTAATCAGTTTATCACGGGCCCTGGGCGCAGTTAAATTAATCTTAATTTCAAATCACCAAACAGGAGTGCTCCATCATGTAATGTAGCGGAAGCCACCCACAACAGCATTCTGCTCCACGGGGTCCAACTCTGCCAACTGCGCTGCATTGCTTTCCGATACCCTGCTGCTGAGCTCCTCGAATTTCCGGTTCGATCTCTTCAGGAGGAAACGCAGACTCAGAATACAGCCCAGACCCAGGACCTGGAATGCCAAGAGGATTCCCCACGACACTTGGAAGGTGGGCTCGTACTCGTCAAGCCAGAAGTAGTTGCCGTAAAGCGAGGCGACATTGGCACAAAGGTTAGCGAGTCCAATAGCAGCAGCTCTCTTGGTGCGTGGCATCACAATCGTCGATGACAGCCAAGCGTAGGTGGTTGAGTACACCCCAAAGATACCAGCTGTGAGCGGGAATGTGAAGGCGTAGCGCACCCACTGGTACTTGTAGGGGACCGCGATAAGGACGATCGTAGCCATGATGGCGGTCGACATGGAGATGGAGGCATGGGGAGATCTCTTCTGCGACCTGTCCGCGTGCCAACTGAACCCGATGCTCCAGAAGAAAGCCAGCAGATATGGCGGCGAGGTCAGAAGCAGTACGAGGAGGTTGTCGGAGAATCCAAGCTCCTTGATCAGGGTCGGAAAGAAGTGGGAATAGGATATGCTGGCAGTGGTGGCCATCTGCATGCAAGCAAATATCCAGACCCGGTAGTCCTTGACGGCGGCGGACAGACCACGCATCAGGGACGTATCCTCCTCCTCTGTCGCGTCTTCAGCTCCCATATCCTTCAGCAGACGTGCTTGTGCGATCGTCTTCTCCTCCTCGGTGAGCCACTTGGTGGTAGCAGGATAGTTTGGCAAGAATACCATGGCAACGAGGGCGACGGCAATGGTCATGAGGCCCTCGATGATGAACAGCCATCGCCAACTTGCCAGCGAAGTCCTACCGTCCATGCCAGAGAGGATGGCCGCCGACAGCAGACCAGCGAAGGCATTGGAAAGTACGATACCGCTCACCAGAAGAGCCATTCGGATCCCAATCTCCCTCTTGGTGTACCAGCAAGATAGGAAGTAGATGGCACCAGGGAAGAAAGGGGCTTCAACGATTCCGAGAAAGAAGCGGACGGCGAACAGGCTGGCTGGGCTGTTCGTAGCAGCCGTGCATCCCGACACAATAGCCCAAAGAATCATACAGCAAGGCTGAGAAGAGAAACACATGTAAGCACACCTGTGTTTGAGGAAGCTGATAGAGTACCACTTACTAAGAACAGAGATGGTGGCAACTTGGACATGATCATGGGAGATGGAAGCTGCATGGCGATATAGCCAGCTGAAAAGATAGAGATGGCGGTATTCCACAAGGTGCCATTGGTTCCGGTGTCCTTCTGCATGCCATAAAGACGAGCCTGTGTGATGGAGTTGCGATCCAGGTAGTTGCAGATGTAGATGACAAGAACAAACGGAAGAATCCTCAGATCGATCTTGCGAACGAGCCTCTTCTCTGCCTCAGCCGCGTGCTCGGGATCGTACGTTCGATATCTCTCGATGACCGTCTGGGGTTTACCGGGCTCCTCGACCCACTGGTCGGAGGCGCGGCCAATGGCCTCAAGGGCATCGCCATGTTTTGCGCTGGCCATGGCTTAAAAAATCAGCCTTTCTTTGGTACAGGTATTGACGTTCGCCAAGGAGACTATGGATAGCCAAGAGGACTGGACATGTAAGTCAAGAAGATTGGCTTGCCAAGGGAACAGGACGAGACTGGGCGACAATGAACAAGCATTGCTTACTCTTTATAGTGTTTCTTGGCTACCAGGGCCCTCTGTTGGGGCTGGAATCATGGGGTATATTACGGGGTAGCGTGGATATGGCGCCGCATTCTCCGCATGGGTGTCCCTAACTCCCCCGCACCCCAGCACCCCAGCACCCCAGCACCCCACGATCAGTGGTATAGTCGGGCTGGGTTTGTAACGAGCATATTGAAGAATTGCTGCTCCGTGAGCCATTCGCGGATTGTGTCTAGCTCTGCTCGCCAGTCCGCAGCCGGCTCGTGGGGTGTCGGCTCCAGCCCGCCTTTGGACGCGTCCACATGAGGCCAGTCTGAACCCCACAGAATCCTTTCTGGTGCAGCTTGGGCGTAAGCTTGGACGATGTCTCGCATGAGGCGGAAATTCCCCGGCGCCCTTCGGTATAAGGCCGATATCTTGACATAGACGCGTCCGGTACGCAAAAGCGCCAGGAAAGACTGAAATTCGCGACTGCCGACATCACTGGGCCTCGCACAAGCCCCGTGCTCTGCAACCAGCTTAACGGTAGGGGAAATGCCGCCGGCGCCGCCTTGGCCGTCGGCCAGGAAGTCGTGGATGGCGCTCCAGACTGCGAGGTCCATCTGCATGGAAATAGACCAACCACAAGTGCTCACCGGATAAGACCTCGCCAGGGTCGAGAGATACGCCTTCAACCGATCTGCACGAGATGCAAAGCTGTTGTAGCTCCCTTGGAGGCGTATAGACCGCACTCCTAGTGCATGTAAGGCGTCTATCGACGCAGGCGAGAATCTAGCCACATCGCGCTCTGGTGTATCTTCAGTCATGATGGAGGCGCAAAAGGTCGTGCCTGGGTAGTCTTCCCTTGCCTCCCTCAATTGTGTCACGAGGCCATGGTGCCCATCCTCCGGGCTGGCTTGAACTAGGACGATGCTGGTGGATTGTGTGTTCTCCTGGAGGCTGTCTACTGGGGCTGGACTTGGTGTATAAGCCCGGTCCCTGCGAAACGGGAAGCGTGCAGGATCAAAGACGTGCACATGGCAGTCCCATGATTCGGCAGGCGTATTTGACATGGTTTCGGATTTGAGATGGGCGTCTGCGCTGGTGAGACTCTCGACGGTAATGGCACCCGTGGACGTCTTGATGGAGCCCGGCAGATTGGAGCATGGACGAGTGCACGTATACCTAGGTAGTTCCGGCTGTAGACTTGGCGCTGGCTCGAATCCCTTTGGAGAACTTATACCTGCAGATAGGTTACGGTTGGATGTACCAGCAGTTGCACAAGTCACGCCCCGAGATGAGATGCATCCATGGGGATCGTTCCACCACTGCGGGCCTATGTCAGTACTGTGTGTACCTAGCCTGCCCGAATTCCAAATGAGGAGAGAGGGATCCATTGTGGTCGGGCTTTGTCCGACACTGCGCAACACACGACACGGCGCTTCAGCACATGCTCCATACTCCTGACTCAGCGCGTTCAGGACCTCCTAGGCAGCCCTGGAGGCTAGCCAGACCGCCTTGGGGTTCCAAGTTAAGCCTTCTGGAGAATTTTTGGCATTTTGCATCTGGGACGGCGCGGAGGCTTAATGGGGCACCTTTAAAAGCTGGTTGGCTGGAAGGGCAGCTCGTAGTTGGGGAAGCGGGCGGGGAACTGGCCTTGGTGCCAAATGTTAGCTACCCCGCAGCCTGATAACTAACTGACTTACAGCCCTGGAGTCGGGACACTACCACCCCGCACGAAAGCCACCAGCGCGGCTCAGAGCTTGCCAGGATGAAGACTGCGAACGTCGACGTCGGGCGCGCTCTTGGCCAGTCCTTATTGGGGGCCCTGTAGGGTCGACAGGCATATCAAACGGCCACTGACCGGTGCTCATGTTCATGCTTCATGCTGCTACTTATGCTCATGCTCATACTCATGCTCACGTTCAGCAGGGCCTGCCGTGATGGCTTCCGTGTCGTCGGCTAGCAAGGAGTCCACCTCGGACACACAAGGCGACCTGCCACACTTGCCGGCGTGTCGGTCGTGCCACGACAGAAAGGTCAAGGTGCGTTATTGTATCTGCACACATCATGCTTGTCTTGGCAAGGCTGAAGCGCTTACTCGAGATAGTGCGACAACCAGAGACCGAAATGTGCGCCATGCGCCGCCCAGGGTGCGGCCTGTGTTATGATCAACCCAGATGGTGGGCCTGGATTTTCCCGGCAGTATGTCACTGTCTCTCCTCTCTGTCTCTCTCTATCTGGCGATATATCGTGCAATACCCTAGCCACCAACTTACCAGCGCTTCTCCCTTATTGCAGATACATCTATGAGTTGGAGCAAAGAGCTCGCGGCCTGCCAGTCGCATCCTGGCCCACCGAAGCCCCGGAGTCCACCTCTGCATCTGTCTCGCCATTGACTACCTCCACCACGCACGAGACACGGGGTAGGACGGCCGACAGTCTCTCAACCGTCCTGCCAGGGGGCGGTCTCAGGTAAGCAGGCCAATTTGGAAGATTCGGTGCTCCTCTCGTTCGACGGCCTCCTTACTCGCGAACCAGCTTTATGAGCCTCCTCTTCACCGACCCAGAATGGAGAAAGACCAATGCCAATCTTCTCCAGACACTGGCTGCGGCTGCCAGGCCGGCTGAGATTCATGTCGAATACAATCCACTTCCGCCCCCAGCTGAGGCGAGGCAGTTGTTTGATTCATAGTAAGTCTGGTCGCACCGTCTCCCGTGAAAGGTGAAAGGAGAAAGGCGTGCTGCTGCTTACATGATCTTGGGTAGCCTCGCGGGAGCCCATATCCAGCATCCGTTCCTGCTGCGGCAAGATGTGCAAACCTTGTATGCGCAGGTATTTCTGGGAGACAGCCAGCCGAAGCCGTTGTCAGATCAAGTTCTGTTCCGGACTTTCATGATTCTCGCCGTCGCATCTGTCGTTCCGCACCGTAAGGGGCTTCACGCGAGACACCCTTTCGGCTACTACCTGTCTGCTATGCGGCACTTTGACAAGAATTTCCTGGCCCGGGGAATTTCTGCGATTCAGGATCTGCTCTTAGTCTGTCGATTTGGAATATACCATCAAACAGGTACGCACCATGTTCGGTAGTCAAGACGATCGCCACCCTGAATATACTGATACGGCGCAGGGACATCTGTGTGGGAGATTTCGCAACTCTGTATGCGGCTGTGCATAGAGCAAGGGTTACATGCGAAATGCACATGCCGCACTAACCTTTGGAGGAGCAGCTGCACCGGAGGGTCTTCTGGACCAGCTACCTGATGGATAGGTATAGTTCTTACACCCTGAACCGCCCCTTTGCCATTGCGGACCGGGATATTCAAGTAAACCTACCGGCCCACGCCGAAGACGAGTATATCGCGGCCGCCTCCGAGCTTGCATTCAATCTAGATTCGTTCACAGCTACCCACGTCCCTGTGCTGCCAAACGAGATGTCTGTCGCTCTTTGCTGCATCAGCCTGCGCCAAATCTCGTCACGCATCCACAGCCAGACGTCACAACTCTCCAAGCTGTACGCTTCACCATCCTCCCAGCCCGATCTGCCACTCATCTCTGGCCGGGTTTACAAGATGGTCGACGACTTCACCCGGGAGTTGAAAGCGTGGCGCGCGGCGACGCCAAAGTTCGACTCGCCCCGCTGTCTTTACGAGAGCGAGGCATGGTACGATCTCCTGGTAGCAAGAGAGAGACTACTTCTCGTCCGGAAGGCCGTCGACCTAGTACCGAAACGCGACGGGCTCCCATCCCCGTGGGTTCTCAGGCTGTGTCTACACTCGGCGACCCGGTCGATATCACTCTATTCCTCTCTCTTCCGGGAATCCAGGATCACATATACCAGGAGCTACTTCCAGACCATGTTCACAGCCGGCCTCTCTATACTTTTTTGTCTGACCGTCTCTACGGAGATGAAGCGAGCCGATATCGAAGAGGCGTGCAACGCACTGCTCGACTGCGAAGAGACGCTCAAGCAGATGGCGCTGCAATTGCCCGATGCCAGTCCGTATGCGACTGTCTTCAAAACATTGCATCGCAACATATTGCAGAAACTAGATCAAGTCAGGTCCTGCCAGCCCTCAATCCCAGCCTCGCCAACCCATGGAGGGTTTGCTCAACCCCAATCCGTCCTCGGATCCACAAATGCAGTTTCAAGCGGTCTTGGCCACGAGACGATGCAGCCTACACATACCGCGCATGGCGACATGCCGGGGCGAGACATATATGATCTTCACTCACTGTATCAGCCACACGTTGACAGTGGTATGATGGCCGCAAACGAGGTGCTAAACGGCACTGACGCTTCAGGGTGGGCCTCACTGGCGTACGACACAATCTGGAACATGGGAAACTATTCGTTTGTCGACCCTGGTGATGCTCAGAATCTATGGAATGGTATGGATTTCAACTTTTAGCGCCCATCTTCGTCGTAGCCATGCCTGGAAGGCCTACCGACTAGCTCATTTTTGCGGGCGCAGACGTCATGCGGTTTTAAGAATGGCACATCGCAGAAATTGGTCGTTGTACGGCGAGAATAATTACCGTATCAAATCGGCGCCTGCGTATCGGAGATGAGCCATACCCTCTAGCGGCCAGCCAGAGGGCATGACCAAATTGCTTTGACCAGCGGAGCTTGACCTCATCTCTCGCGACATAGAGGCGCCGAGGTCCGTGAGCGCATCGCCGCCGCTATGCAGATGCATCGAAATGGATAGCAAGCAGCTCTGAAATGACCTGAAGACGGGGAAGCGCTCTCCAGCGACCGTCATCAAGGTGGAACACTTGTGAATGACGTCCAATGTCGACGAGGTGGAGGACGCAGAGCGGCGTGACAGGGAGATATATGTCATGGCCGCGCCGAACATATCGTAGGCATCGACGAAGGACCCGGAGCAGTGTAGCTCCTGAAAACGCTCGTAGCATCGATCCAGAAAGCACTTGCAAGTCTGCCTCACATCCTCCTCGACGTCATCTGCATTCCCTGAGATGCCCTCCAAATCTTGCCGGGATGGTGCGGCCTTGAAAAGCAGCACGAGCGTTCGGCACGCCAGCTGGTTCAGGATGTCCGAGACGATCCTCTCGCCCTCGGCCAAGTGCTTCAGACTGGCTGGCAGCTGGTTCCAAAAGTAGTAGTTTCCGTAGTTGTATGTGAAGGATGACTCGGGATTATTGTGCATGCTTGAAGCCAACCGGGCCTGTGCTAGAAGATGAGGTATCAAGGATGCATTCCCATCCTCGAGGGACTCATCGCGTGCCGGAACCTGCGCAATCATGTAAGCATAGGCACCCATAATAAAGAGCGGTTTCGCCGTTACTTCAGCAGTAATGTCCTCATCTTGTACCGTGAAAGGTCGGTCTAATGACAGGCATATCGAGCTATACAGGTTAGTAGGAAGCCCGCACCTGACTCACTCGGGCTACTCACCGATCAAGAAGGTAAGCGCTCCAGAATAGCTTCCTCCTTTCGTCTATCTCGGCATCTGTGAGTTGTAGGTGCTCCTCGGGCTCCTTGTGCAGTCCCAGAGAGATACAAGCCCGCATGGCGAGGCCGATTATGTGCCAAGAGGAGCCCCCACTCGGGCTCAGGGTCGAGAAGATGGCCAGGTACAGCATGCAATGCACAAAGTCCAGACTATTCCTATCGTAGATGGTGGGGAGGCATCGGAGAGCCGCATGACGCAGGCGAGCGATCAGTGCCGAGGAGCTCAGATTACTCGACGTCATCAGCGCCCCGGTGGCAATCGCCAGGCAAGCACTGAAGTACGACAGCGACCTCTCTACTGGCAGCGCCGCGACGTTGGCATCCGCGGCCACCTCGACGCTGTCCTCATAGTGCTTCTTCAGCTTGCGTGCGTCAAGGAACGGATAGAAGACACAGACGCGCTCCAAGAAGCGATCAAGATGAGCCAGAGCAACGTCGCGGGGCAATGTGGTCAACGGCGACGAGGACCCCTCTGGTTCAAAGTTGTATGCGGCGCTCAGAGCCGTCTTGGGCGGGGTTGACCCGTCCAATGCCAGGGCCGCCTGAAGAATACTATCCAGGGCGAGGTTCCGGGGCAGATTGGTGCGCTCGTCCCGGGGCTCGGCCATGGCGGACCGGGACAGAAAGCCTATCTCGCCCATCGTGTCCCGGATCGAGGGGTCTGCGACCTGCGGGTTTGTCCCCGCCGACCCGGCCTCCGATAGGGGCGTATACACGACAGAGGCATTGCGGATATGTTGCCGGGGGCTCACGGCGCTGTCGAGCCGCCTCCGCTTGGCAGGAGGAGCAGACGATGCTGCTGCCTCTATCTGTTGCACCTTGAGTTCCAACGACTCGACATAACTAAACATGACGCGATCATCATCAGAACTAGTCAAGCCCGGGGAGAAGCAGCCCCGTATGGGGTGGAGGAGGTAATGCCCGTACCTGGCGATGGACGTGTTGGTTACCCCCGTCTCGTCTACTGCCCGGGCGCGACACTCGGCCCCGGCAGCCGAGCACGTGGAGCACGAGGGGAGAAGCTTATCGCACTATTCCCCGGAGAAGTCTCAGTGAGCACATGCGCGCGGCTACCATCAGGTAAGGGATGTTGCCGCGACGTTACCTTGTTCTTCCGCTTCCAGCATCTCTCGCAGGCCTGCCTACGCCTTCGGACAGGTGCCGCTGGGGGATCAGCGACGACGGCATGGGGTGACTCCGACGCACGAGGTGCAGCGAGGGCCATTCTTCCAGAGGGAAGTTGGGCAGACGGAGAGTTTCACATGAGGCTCGGGAAGAGTCCGACTTAATAAACTGGATGGATGGATAAGACGGAGGGGCGATTTGCGGCCGGCACCCGTCTAGGGCCCTTTTGGGGGGACTGGGGGTGCTTAGGGGCCCCTGAAAGCTGGCTCCGGGGTGGGGAGTTTAGGTGGAGAACCCAGGACGCCCGGGTTGCTTGGGGCCCCACGGTCCGCCAAGCCAGCGCCAATCGAACTTGGCTCGCAACGGGGTGGCAATGGGTGCGATACATACAGACAGAAATACTTACATACATATATACTGCCCATATATATGACCAATAGCCGCTACACACCTCCCTGCCCTCCCTTCGCTTTGCACTTCACTTCACACCTCGTCCTCCAACCCTGTAATACCTGCTGCGTTCAGGTATCTCCCTATTTGCTCCAGGCTTGCAGCAATCTGTTATACTCGGAAGAACACGTCTAAAACATTCCCAACATCATCAGTGCATGCTGATAAACCCCACACAAAATGGCGCCTGGAATTCTGAGCGAGCCGGAGGACTCTATGCCCCGCGCAAAGCCCACGGTCTATGTGATGGACAAGTTCCACCCTTCTGTGCTTGAGTTCACCAAGGAGAACTTCAACGCCATCACGCTGGATATGCCAGAGCACGCAGAGTGGAAACAGAAGGCGCAGTACCTGTTGATAAGGTCGTCAAGGCTTACAGCCGAGGACATAGCCGCGTGCCCGAACCTGGTTGCCATCGGCAAGCAGGGCGTGGGCATTGACAAGATCGACGCCGACGCCTGCGCAGCGAGGGGCATCAAGATCTTCAACACGCCAGGCGTCAACGCCCGTGCCGTTGCCGAGCTGGTTCTCACCCTGGCCATGGCTGTGGGCAGAGATGTGGGCCGCATCGCCAAGCTTCAGGCCGAGGGGCAGGTGGTTCCCAAGGAAACCTGCAAGGGACTGATCCTCCACGGGAAGACCATCGGAATTATCGGCATGGGCAACATCGGCAAGACCGTGGGCCAGATGTTCAGAGGCGCCTTCAATGCTCCCGTAATAGCATACGACCCGTACATGCCCGCGGATGCATGGCAAGACCTTGAGCACACCCGCGTGAATAGCGTCGAGGAGGTGCTACGTGACTCGGACGTCGTCACGGTACATGTCCCCTTGACGCCATCGACAAGGAACCTGATCTCGTACGCGCAGCTCAAGACGATGAAGAAGACGGCAATCGTCATCAACACGGCTCGTGGCGGGATCATCAACGAGGCAGACCTCCAGACTGCTCTCGAGGAGGGGCTCATCTGGGGCGCAGGTTTGGACTGTCACGAGCAGGAACCACCCAGCCAGGAGAAGTACGGCCGTCTGTGGGAACTCGGCGTCGTCAGCACCCCACACATTGGTGCTGCAACTGAGCAGACGCAGATCGAGACTGGAACGGCGGCAGCGAAGTACTTGCTGGAATTTGCATCACGGAAATAGATACCATAATAGATACCTCACTTGTTGTCTCTGATGAAGTACATGTGAACAGCGACGAATTTGCAAGAAACTGCATGCCATTTGGCGCTTCTCAACAACTTGGTGGTGTTTATTTTAGAAAATGGAGGAATACTTCCATCCACTAAAGCAGAAAAGCTCAGTTTGATGATATTGTTCAACCCCGTCGGGCCTCTCTGGCACGGTATCAACTGATTTGGTCCCGAGTTCGAAAGACATTAGGTTACAAGTGAAGCTTAAGCAGAAATCTTGCCGGGTGAAGCGGTTATTGGAAATCGCGGCAGTGATTTGATTGGCTCGCCTTGAATATAGCTGAAAACGATGCCCCAATGAGGCATTCCCTAATCAGTGCAGGTATCACAAGCAAGGCCGTGGTTTTACTGTTTTGGTATTTATTATACAAGGCTAAGCGTACTCGAAAATCTTCAAGAGGTAAGCTATGGCCTCCCTATCTCACTCCGATGGTGAATTAACCGTTGGTACAGGCAACGCGCCTCTGCAATGCCACTCAACCTTCTGCACGTTTCCTTCCAGACTGTCAGTAATATACAACGTCTTGTTCTCGGGTCCACCGAAACAGCAGTTCGTGAGATTAATCCCGTTGGATCCGCTCACTATCCGAGCCTTTGGGACACCGTCCTTGTCTACTACGAAAACCGACCCCAGGCTCGGATGGCAGATGAAGAGATTTCCTTCTTCGTCCAGCGCCAGCCCATCAGGACCAACATTACCGAACGACTGGAAGAAGACGCCAGCCTTGGTAGTGGTTCCGTCCTCGTGGAGCGGCAGCCGCCAAACCTGGTTAGATCTCGTCATGGCAACATAAAGAAACCTCTCGTCGTTGGAAAGAACAAGGCCGTTAGGCGAGACACCGTTTTCAACAAGCGTGTCAAGTCTGCCGTCCGTCCGCAGTCTGTAAACCTTGCCAGTCTGGTCAGTCATGCCAGTCTGGCCCTGATCAGTAAAGTATATATCCCCTTTGGAGTCGACAATCAGGTCATTTGGGCCCTTGAACCGCTCCAGGTGCCTCCTAGTCATCTTCGGCGTGACCTTGCCCGTCGATGGGTCCAGGGCCAGAATCCCCTATAGCACGTGATGAGTTAGCCAGAATGAGCGAGACCCGAGGGATGGTACATGGGCCTTGGTCAGCCTCACTTGTTTATAGTCGGCTACCAGGAGTGTGCCGTCTGGAAGCGGCGCTAGGCCGTTCGGTTCGCCGTCCCATTCGGCGCATACTGTTACTTGCTTGTCCTGCGTGATTCGCAGCACTCGTCCGTAGGGTACATCAACGACGTACAAGTCTCCATTAGCGGCTGCCACGGGACCCTCGAGGAATATGTGCTGGAATGCGCGAGCGAACCCGCCTCGCCACTCGGATTCACGCCCTATGCACCGCTTAGCATCCGGTATTTGGACGTAGAGCTCGGCTTTGATGACCGGAGGAGGGGGGTAGAAGTTCATGGCCACGGGATGTCGGTGGCTAGTTAGACAGGGGTCCTCTAGTGAATCACTCTGCAATGCCAGACAGTATTGGCACTCCTGCTCATCTTGGCTTTGCCTATTATACTAAACCCCGTGTGTCCGACGGACTGGAGAATCTGGAGACTCCGATAAATGGGTAAGGTAGGGTGACCCATGCGGTCGGGTTCCGATCCGCTCGGTGTTTCCCCGATGACCCTTCCCCTCACAAGGCGTACCACAGTAAACGCTGGACACCTGTGCTAGATGCTGCTAGGTTTGACCACGAGTAGCTAGTGCTGGGACTATCGGGTCTCCCCAATATCCCAGCTTTGATGTTTGTGGAGAACGAGGTCCAAGGCTCTGGGGCTCCTGGGGTACGCCATACGTAGGTCTCTGGGGTACGCCAAGCCAGCGAAGGACGCATGCACCCAAGAAAACCAAGGCCTCCTAAAATTCTCCAAGACGTTGCCAATGTCATATATAGGCCTGCAGCCAAGCAATGTTTTCCCCGACTGTCGAATGAAACCCATCCAGTTCTCCCTCACACTCACACTCACTCACTCACAGGAACTAGATCATCTACTTGGCAGTCACTCGTCGTACTTGGCACAGACTCAACTATTATGGCCAAGCCTTCTATGATCGCGGCTACAGCCGCGGCCATCCGAAACGATCCAAGGGAGATTTTCAACTGGCACATCATCTTCTGTAGCTGCATATGGAGCTTTGCAGGCGTCGCCAAGGGTTTTGATGAAGGCAAGCACCCGCCTATATCGCCAATGGGACCTAACGCATAGTTTTGCTGACAACTTCGCTCACAGGCAACATTGCCTCTCTGGTGGTGATGGAAGTTTTCAAGAAGAGGTTCGGCGTATACAATCAATCTGAGTCGGAATATGCCGACACGAAGGGATGGATTGTCTCTATCGCAACCGCCGGTGCTGTGTTCGGATGCTTGGCATGCATGTTTCTCACTATTCGTATGGGACGTCGCCTAATAATGCAACTCTTCACCATGATTTATATCGCGGGCATCTTGGGGCAAACCTTCTCAGGTGGAAACTTGGGCGGCTTATACGCCAGTCGTCTCGTAGCTGGTCTGGGCATAGGTGTTACGACTATTCTGCCGCCCATCTACCTTTCAGAAGTATGAACCCTAGAGAGCTGCCCTCGCGAGAGTACAAGCTAATGCCGACTGGCTAGATTGCCCCTCGCTCGATCCGCGGTCTCCTTACCTTGCAATACGCATGTTGCCAGCAGCTCGGCGTCGTCTTCGGATTCTTTTTCAACTACGGCATCACGAAGAATTACGCCGGCACTCAGACGCAGTGGATGTTGCCTACCGCACTTCAGATAGTCCCCGCCGTAATCTGGGGCGTTGGAACCTTCTTCACCGCCGAGACGCCACGCTACCTCCTCTCGAAGGGTAAGGTATCTGAGGGCACGGCTGCCTTGGTCAAGCTCCGCAGGTTGCCTGAGGATCACCCTTACATCCAGGATGAGATCAATGGCATCCAAGCTCAGATTGCGCTCGAGACGGAGATTGTTGCGGGCGCTTCGGCTCTGAGCCTCGTGAAGGAGACGTTTGGTGACATCCGCAACAGACGCCGATTCTTCCTCATGTTTCTCTCCCACTTGTTCTCTCAGTGGTCCGGCGCGAACGCCATCACACAGTACAGCCCCAGCATCTTCGGCTACCTTGGCATCCAGGGCGAGGAGTCTCGGTTCCTTGCCACGGGTCTGTACTCCATTGTGAAATTCGTTTCAACCTTCGTTGTCTCCATCTTCGTCATCGACTTCATCGGAAGACGTCGCTCGCTAATGACAGGCATCTGCGGACAAATCACCACGCTGGCTATCGTTGGTGCCTTCTTGGGTGCCACGAATGGGCGAAGCGCTACAGATATTGCCTCGGATCCCTCCGCGCGTCGAGCCAGCGAGGTTGCGATCGCGGCCATTTACGTTCATGCTATCTCGTGGTCGGTCGGCTGGTTCTCTATACCTTACCTCGTCTCGGCTGAAGTGTTCCCCATTCGTATCCGCTCATTCAACGTGTCTATCCTTATGGCTTTCCACTGGGCTTTCTACTTTGGATGTTCGCGGGCCATGCCGTCTCTCCTGGCTGCCACCGATAGATATGGAGCATTTGCCTTCTTCGCGAGCATCTGTGTTATCTCACTCACCTACGTTTTCTTCGCTATGCCGGAGACGTCTGGTCGCTCGTTGGAGTCGATGGAGTCCTTGTTTGACAGACCTTGGTACACGGTTTGGAAGGTGGCCTACGCCAGGCCTGAGGATATGGTGCACTCCGCACGTCCTCCCAGCACGGATGATGACTTGGAGAAGTCTAAGGTGGTGCACGACAACTAAAACAATCGCAAAGCATGCAGTTTAAATAGCTAAATGATTACAAGAATTAATGTCCAAGCCATAAGTCCTGCTTTAGATGTGATCCACTTTATTTTCACATATTCTAAAGTGCAATAATCCAATCCATGTGTTACTGTATGTGAGTCATGGGGTAAGACACAGACTTACCCACCTATGTGCAGAATAGCTTTCCAGCATGGGCTTTAGAGAAGCTCGAAATCCATCCTTTTACACACCACTATTTAGACTCTTGGGCTTCGTGCACAATGTCGCACGAATCAGCAAGGCAAAATGTAAAATTAATTGTATTTAAAAAAAATCGCTGTACAGTCATATGTGACCTAAAAACTATCACTTCGGGCCCCTGGAATTGAACACATGATCCTATGCAAAGACCTTAGTCTTACGTGACTGCAGTCAGTTGATAGTTTTATACACAGAGTGGGCTAAGTAATTATGTCATTGTAAGACGATACGGAGGTCTAGCATTGTACGGACTGAAATTCATGCAGCTAGTGACCCTCATGTTATTTATGGTGAAATCTGATTTTGATGCATACTGAACGCAAGGGACCAATTCATTGAAGTCTATTTACATCATGGCTTTGAAATTTGAATCTATTATGTACAGTTAAAACCTGAATTTCTATGCACCAAACTCCGATTTGGAACTACTCATGCAATCCTTCCAAGCTCTTATGAGCTAGCTCTTGCCTTCTGTACGCGCTCGTTGATGCCATTGTACTTCTCACCAAGTGCCTTCAAGCCAGCGATGAGCATGGCTTGGTCGCCACCGCTCAATGACCACGAAGCGCCCATGGCGAACCACTTTTCCAACAAGTCAACCCGGCCACCAATGCCACCGATGCCAATGGGCTTGCCGGCCTTCTTGCCGGCCAGAACGATCTTGGTCACAGCATCTTGGTAGATGGGGTTGTCGTATTGGCCGTGAATTCCATAATCCGAGCACAAGTCGTTTGAACCAATCAAGATACCGTCCACGCCGTCAACAGCAAGGAACTCGTCTGCCAACTCGACAGCTGCCGGCGTCTCGATCATAGGAATAAGCATGGTTTCCCGGTTCAGAACCTCGTTTTGGACCTTGCTGGGCAACCCCTGGAAGTTCAAAATGGGCTGGTTGTTGGCGCAACCTCTTGCTCCTAGCGGAGCATACTTGGCAGCCTGAACTAGCGCCTTCACCTCCTCCACCGACTCGATATGAGGTATGATGACGGCGGCTGCTCCGGCATCTAGCACCCTGCTAATGTGCCAATGTGACTTGGACGGCACGCGGACCAGGGGCGACACTCCAACGTAGTTGCATGCGAGTATAAGTTGAGAAACGCGACCAAGGTCGAGCGATGAGTGCTCCATGTCGATGAACATGCCGTGAATGCCTCCCATCTTGGTCATCATGGCGATCTCGTTGCTCGTAACGAGCTTCACCGACATGACGGCACAGACCTCACCCGCCAAAATGCGGGTCCGGAATGGATTCGAGGCACTGACTGCCGGGCTGGCGCCGAGGGAACCCATGATGGATGATGTGTTAGGTAAGTTCTGGCAGGGGAGTTAATGTGCTGGTTGCTGAGGGTCAAGTGACTTGGCCGTCAAATATGATTTACAGAAAGATTCGGAAAGGCAGATGAATCTGGTCAACTCTAACAGATATCCTTGTATGAATAACGATACCGATCAAACTCATAAACACATGAGAAAAGCCTCGATTATATGTAAATGGGTACTAATACAGCTTGAGCCGGGGATTTTCGGGCTCGGTTCGTAGCGTGATTTGAAAGAAGTAAAGAAGGAGAAGATGGAGGCCATTTCGGGATCATAGGCAGTGCCTCTATCGGCATCACGCCGCTTGAGTATGAGTTGATGGTGACTTTTGCCTCGAGTCGCGGATGACATGCGGAGTAGCGATCCCCAAATCCCCACGACTACCCCACGACTTGTTGCATGGGGTTCGGATAGTTTCCGGTTGCAGTGCTCAGCGCTCAGATCCACCCGGGAAAAGTCCGCTTTCACAGGTTGCGGGGATAGAATGTCCCTCGGAGAAAAGTGGAGAGCTTCCAAACCTCGAAGAGGCACATGACGAAGCCGACGGGTCCGGACATAATCCTTATGATTCAAGGGAGACAAACTAATACGACCACTCTTACCAGAAGGTCTAGTGACTGTTCCGTACCTGCCTGTAGCAATCCCTCTTTCACTGTCTGATACTCAGGCGTCCCTGCGGAAGATAGCCGATATCACCAGTGTGTGGGAACTAACAATTTCCAGTGGTAACAAGCACTTTCTTACGCACTTTCTTTCAAGTTCCGTCTCTATTATCTTTCAACATCTCTGAGAGCCCCCAAAACACGTGTTATGTCTAACTGCCTTACAGCGCGGTTTCGGTCCAAGAAGTAATCAGAAAATCCGTCAGATCATACCCTTCGCATAGTGTTCTTAATATGACATCTACGTCACCATTTCTACCAGTACAGAGATACACTGCCGCAAATCACCATGGTGCGCGTTATCGATGACCTTAGTCTTGAAACTTGATTTTTCTCTTTGGAACCATCAGCTGGTCTAGCAATGAATCAGCACCATCCAATTCCCAAGTGTGACGGATTTGTTTCGGGCAGCTTCACCCTATTGATGTGTTTACCCCATCTCTGATACTCCGATCAACCTGTCCCACGGTCATGCCCTTGTGAGCAAACTACTTACTACCGCTTAAGAAAGAAACCAAGCTTACTGCTCTGTCTAGGAGTTGGTTGAACTATTCCCCGGAGTGGATATTGCACGGTTGAATGGTAGTAGGAATACAAAATCTGAGCAGAACAGCATGGCTGCAAACTGGAGGAGAAAAAAATTCCTTAATCAAGTGGCAAAATCGTGACTGACATCCAGCTTCTAGTCATCGGACGAGGAATAAGTCAGGGCTAGCAAATGGTATAATTGAGAAACCCTGTAGTAGCTATGGAGGTCTCGATCATATACAGGAGATGATATTGTCCTCATCATTCGTCATGGAGCTTTCGTTCTAACTCCTATATCATACACGACGGCTACTTATCATACTTCTACGGGGTCCAGGCGGCATCATTCGAGGCATGTGGAACGTGAAACCAAGAGTCGTAGCCCAGATCATTCGCGATTCTATTAGTTGGTCATTTAATGGTGTCACGATATAGGGGATATATAGAGGAGCGGAACAACGTTAATCCGGGGGATCACCCCCTATATAGCAGGCTTATCAGCCTATTTCTTTTGTAGCTCCTCAAGGATCAACTCAAGTCAATTCCCATGCTCTCGCGCGCGTTTTAGTGTGACAGATGGCAACTGTGAAATTGAAATGCAGTTAATCAAAATGCATTGGGCTCTTGTCTTGAACTGTGCATACTCTCGGAATCCCAGCTCTTACTCACTAGATCAATAGCAGCCCGCCGAACACAGGGGTATTTTGGATAGTTCTCCCCACTTTTCGCAGTGTGGATCAAGTCCAAATGAACCTCGGAAAAGTCCCAAGTATCCTCAAGTCGACAGATGAGCGAACACGGCATGTTGGTAATTACGCGGGGTCTCAGAACAACGGGAATACTTCGTGTTCCATGACGAATTTTGAGTCGATGAATAGTGGGAAAGCAAAGAAAGCAAGTGCGAAAGGCCGATTATCTGTGTTGAGCATGCCTAGATATCTCGAGGCTTCCTCTGAGCTATGCGTCTAAGTTGCTGTATTGGTTGGCTTCCCGCTGATCTATATGGCCCTCAATACTGGCTCTAAGTACAACCGTAGCAATATGTGGTGCCGTGTTCCTTTTGAATCGATGGCCACGACGAGAAGCCTTCATGTGATGTTGAGTGCAACCTTTGGCTCGCCAGATGAGCGAGACAGTGTATTGCTATTGCACACCCTTTCAGGCTCAGTCATCAGCACACCAGAACCAAACGCAGTATGCTAAACATCCTAATGTCCCCTCTAGGTATCATTGGTCTTGTGCCACAGCTTATTATTGAGCTGAGGCAAGTCTTACGCCTTTAAGGATCTATACGTACACATCCGTATTTCCAATATGAGGTTGTTGATATGCTGGGATCTTTGCTTGTATTCGTGTCGAATGGTTTGTCGTCCAACTGGCATATGCCACACCGCTTGTGCGCGGAGGCATGCATCGTTTTTTCTACTCGTATGCCTCAAAACAGGAGATCATATATGCGTGTTGGGTTTCGGCTGCTGCATGACCTTTGCGGCGACCCAAGTTCCAAGTTCTTCTTCATGAACGATAGAACTGAACATCTTCAATGTCCATGCCACAGGCGAGAGCCAAGCAGTAGGGTGGCTGGAGAGACTGTGCATCAGTTCGTTACGGGTGATGATGGCTCTGCGCGGTAATTGCTTCTCAGTAAGCCCCACGATAGTGGATTGTGATGAGAACTTTCCGTGCGTGCAAGCAGCATGGTTGGCCGTCTCACGTAATGCTCCATCCCCGACAAACCGCCAATCTGGGTGGAGGCTATGCATACATGGTATTTACAGTACACGCCCTAGGCCTTCTACGGCCTAGCGCCAGGGGTCGTGCAAATAAAGCTCATGATGACCCAATACTACTATTTACGACACCGTGGTTGCGAGGATCACGAGCTGACAGAGTGGAGCGCCATGTGTGTTGACATGATGCGCGCCTGCTATCGCAAGGCGCTGGGCGTCTTGTTGTCCCGAGACTCAAGCTCACTGGTGGCCGAACAAGCTTTTTCAAGCATTCAGACCAACGGCCAGTGAACCCACACAGTTTCCCAGCCGGCGCGGGAGGGCAGGGGTGGACTCGTCTCGATCCTTGGCCATCAGTGGAATGAACGGTGCCAAGCCGCACCATCGGATCCTTCAGGCGAGTTGCGATGTGGGCGTCGCGCGATCCCTGTGGCACAATCGTGTCTAATCCCCACGGGCTGGCCTGGCTGGCAAGCTGGTAGCTAAAGTGGGAGGTGGATCAGCCAGCAGGAGACATTTTGGGCCAGGCCTTTGGTGCCGGTGCGGCGCATCGTAGCAGCGTAGATTGCTTGAGCACATACGCTTGATACGGGTTCCCAACTTGATGGGATGCGCCGATGGTGGGCATCTGTTTGGCTCGCCTGTTGTCTTGGCATCCGGGTTCACTGGCTCCGCCACAACGACTTTCATTGCTGACGGACGCCCTCGCCTTGGTGCTCGTCACACCCTGTCGCTGCGCGCCGCAGGTGGTCTCTTTCAATTCTTCCCGCGCTGCCTCTCCGCGCGCTTGACTCTGACTTCACCATCTCCATGTGATCGAGCTGCTGCACCATGGTTAGACTGTCGTCTTTGCTCGTGGCCGGCCTCAGCGTCGTGCCGGGCCGTGTCCTGGGAGCGCTGGAAGTCGACTTCGAATCCCTAGGCATGTTCGCCTGTGCGCCATTTCATAGCCGCATCTCGCTAACGGAATACCCACAGACTCCATCAAGGCCGCGGCAAAGTTGAAGGTCGAAGATCTGCTGGCCGTCTACCGTGGTGATGAGCCTGGAATGATACCGGGAATTCTGCCAGGCCCGCCACCGGCAGACGATTACTACTGGTGGATTGGCGGAGCGCTGTGTATGTGTTGTTTTGCTCTCCCTTTGCCCCTGTCAAGTCATGCTTACAAGAACCAAGGGGGCACGTTGATGGACTACCGCTATTTGACAAAAGACACGGCTTATGATGCCACCATAATGCAGGCCATGACATGGCAGGTTGGCGAGCTGAAGGACTATATGCCGAGCAACTGGAGCGCCTCGATGGGCAATGACGACCAAGCCTTCTGGGCGCTGGCAGCCCTCACCGCCGCTGAAACAGGCTTTGCCGACCCGCCTGAGGAGATGAAGCTGGACTGGTTGGCCTTGGCTCAGGCCGTTTTCAACGAACAGACGAACAAGGACCGGCGCATCAACTACGGCAACTGCAATGGCCTCCTCCGTTGGCAAGCCATAAATCTCAACAATGGTTGGGACTACATCAACACCATTCCCAATACGTGCTACTTCAATATCGGTGCTCGCCTGGCCCGCTATTTTGACAACAGTACTCTTGCCGACAAGGTCGGGGAAACATGGGATCTTCTAGTCGGGGTGAAGTACATCGACGACGAAGGGAATGTGTACGATGGGGCCCATGAGGGTGACGATTGCACCGTCATCAATAGGGCCCAGTTCTCCTACAATCCGGCCCTTCTTATACAGGGACTGGCCCACCTTTATAACATGGTTCGTCGAGGCTTTCTTGTCCTGGCAATACCGTGTGCTAACGCTGTGTATAGTCCGACGGGGATCAGAAGTGGGGGAGCAAGCTCGACCATATCCTTCCCCGTACTCTCGAATTCTTCTTCCCCAATGGCACCGCATACGAGTGGTCCTGCGAGAGGGAAGGTAGCTGCACGACGGATATGCTGTCCTTTAAAGGCTTCCTGCATCGCTGGCTCGCTAATACCGCCTATCTGGCCCCCAAATACGCAGACAAGATCATGCCCCTGCTGAAGAGTTCTGCCAAGTCTGCCGTCTCACAATGCACAGCTGGCGCGAACGGACGGGCTTGTGGATTCAGGTGGACAAGCGGGGTGTACGATGGCAAAACTGGCGCCTGCCAGGATATGAGCGTGCTCGGTGCCTTACTCAGCTTGCTTCCTACCCCAGGCACCGGCGTCCTTACAAGTAACTCCGGGGGTACCAGCAAAGGTGACCCGAACGCTGGTTCCGATTTGTCCGAGCATATACCTGCGTTGCCATCGATAACGACCGGTGATCGAGCCGGTGCTGGTATTATCACGTTGATTGTTCTCGCGGCTGGGTTAGGAGTGTATTCGTGGATAGGCCTATAGGCGCCACCAACCGGACAGGAACTAGGATATGGGTCCCTCAAGCTTCATCATGGTTAACGAATGTAATTTTCGGAGTTTCATTTCAGCGTCACTGGCGTCAACGGTTGAGGTACGGTTTCACCGGTTAAGATATTAGTATACTTTGACATATTGTACTAATGGTGGATATCTCTTAATAACCCCGGAATCTTGTGATATGACCTATGCTCATGGCTACAAGAGCCGCTAGAATGACCATGGGTAGGAGTTTGGTAGAGGAGCCTTCATCCGCTGGCTATGTCACAATGCCTAACATTGCCTAACATCCCAACCTCCTCACCCTGATACGGTGGCTCAATCCACTCACTCACCCAGAGGCAAGATCGCATTTTGGTAAAGTACACGGTGCGTCATGGCCTTACGCGGCCCGCACCAACATTACTTGACTTCCTGATACCAAGCCGAATAGACGTGTGGATTGTCCAAAGATGTAAAAGTGGAGGCAACAGGCAGCAAAAGGAAAAGCTAGCCTGGTATTTTCATTGCGTGTCTTGATGTCGTGGTCCAGTGTTGTGATTGGCCATGAGGTTACTTCAAGTTGGTGAGTGGGCTCCGGGCATTTTACTCCGCAAGGTGCAAAGAACTGGGCCTTGAACCACCTACTCGACCCCGCAACCGCTGTACCGATCCGGGGTATCTACTTTGACTTGTGTACGAGTAATTAGTATCATGTCATTATCTAGCGGAAGCATGGGCTTCGCTTTACTCCGAATTCCCCGTTTCTGCGAATCGGAACAAGAGTTGCTGTATGGGGCCGAGGGGGTTCGAACAGTGCTGCCTAATGAACGCAGCGGATCCCGTTTTGGTATTTTAATAGCTAAGTACTTTGTAAACCATCTGCCAGGGGTGCTGTAAGCCAACCTCCAGCTCCACTCACGGCACTCACGGCGTGCGTCGTAACTACGTATGACAGGCGTGCCTCTCCAAACCCATTGCTTGCATTCATCCAGCGCAACTAAAGCAACGAACCTAAACGATACCTTTGACTCTAATTTGGATTTCGGGTGAGTACTTCCGAGTTGCTCGCGATAATGGGCGGCGGCGAGCATCACCCGGGTCTCCCGGTCCCCAACCCCGTTGTCAGCTACTGGCAAGTTCAACCCCACCGCATTGCGGAGCACCGAACGACGCCGTCGCTCCCCACCTCGGAGCTCCTGGACTTCGTCATCGTGGGGTCCGGCATATCGGGGGCGGCGATTGCATACAAGCTGCTGTCGCGGGATCCGTCCCTCTCCATCCTGATGCTGGAGGCCCGAACGGCGGCGTCCGGAGCCTCGGGTCGCAACGGCGGCCACTGCCGCGCCGGCTGGTGGCTCAACTACAAGCGCTACAAGGACACGCTCGGGGAGGACGAGGCGCTCAAGTTCCTGAGGCTCGAGGAGGATAATGTGAAGGATATTGCTGACTTTGTCCGCGACCACAATATCGACTGTGACTTTGTGGACCTGCAGAGCGCAGACACATATGTGACCGAGGAGGCGTGGGCCAACGTCAAGGAGGTCCTCCGAATGGAGGAGGAGGTTAGGGAAAGGAGGCCCGACGCGGCCCATCGCAATCCAAGAAAAGTGTACGAGGGAAAGGCAGCCCAGGACCGAGTTGGTATCCCAAATGCAGTGGGCGCTGTCACATGGCCAGCACATGTTCAGAATCCGTATCGGCTTGTGTGCCGGATGCTGGAGCTAGCTCTCGACAAAGGCCTCAACTTGCAGACGAATACTCCTGTTCACGAAGTTACCCAAGTTGTCCCCGATAACAGACAGTTACAAAAGTGGGTTGTCAAGACACCGCGCGGCACTGTGCACGCAAAGGGAGTCATCTTGGCTACGAATGCATACACCAACGCCATCTACACGGATCTTGCGACGACTGGGTTTCTTCGGCCTGGAAGGAGTCAAGTCACCGCAGTCCGCCCTGGGAGTAAAGTTGCAGGGAACCCAGCGCTGCGACTGGCGACTGGTCTCAATGATGTTGGCTTCGGCGATTACTTCCATGTGAGGGCCCCTGGTCTCGATGGCGAGGGGGATGTAATTTACGGAGGAGGGAGGTTCATTTCCCGGGAGGAGGACATCACGGATGACTCAAAGATCAATGATAAGATCGCCACCTACCTTCGGCAAGCGCCAAGACAGCATTTCGGACGTGAAAATTGGGGCGAGCAGGGCAAAGCGGTGATGGACTGGACTGGGATTACATGCTATACCCCTGACACATTCCCATTGGTCGGTGAGGCTCCTGGCAAAAAGGGCTTGTGGATGTCTGTAGGCATGAATGGTCACGGAATGGCCATGGCCTTCCGCAGTGCCGAGGCGCTCGTCCATATCATCACTACTGGGACGGAGCCAGAGTGGTTCCCAAGGTCGTTCAAACTTGCTAGAGCATGGTCCGGTAATACGGTCCATATATCTCGCCCGGAGACAGGCAACGACACGGGCCTGTGAGGGTTGCGCAGATCCAAAAGTTCGTGGCCACGGGAGTCTTGTACGACGCTCTTAGAATTCACCGGGGGGCGGTCAGTAGGGTTGAACCGGAAACAGAGAATCGTGCATCGCGAAGAATTACAATTTCATTCCATACTATCAATAGGCTTGTTGTTACCAACACTTTCGATACGGCTTCAAACTCTGTATCATGATGCCGCGATAGTGCCTTTTGACTCCGCTGAATACACCAAGTTCTTGTGTAAACCCGGGAACAGCACGTAGGGGTATCTCATTCCATGACCAAACGCCAGTCCGTCGTTATCCCAGTAATTGACCAGCTCCATCCCAGCCAGCACCGTGTTTTCGGCGGCATTACCATCTGTGCCAGGACCAGAAGAAGCCTCTGGCCCCCTGTTGTATCAAAAGCATTCCCATCTTGAAAAAGACTAGCATGACCTCGCTAAGAACCTAATCCTTGACTTCCGCAGCCCCCTCCTTGATGTCAATGTCGTCGAAACCGAGGCCGACGCCGCTGTTGCGCTCCTTCTGGAAGATGACCTGTTTGCCGTTCGGCATCTTGACCTGCATGTCTCCCTGCATGCTGACGGGCATCATGCGGTATATCCAGCGGCCGACGAGGAAAGTGGCGATGGCCCAAAGCCAGACGAGCACAGCGGCGCTAAAGCTCACGAACAGGATGGGTACGAGAACTAGGAGAGCGACGCCGATCCAGAACAGCGAAAAGACGACGGCGGATACGAAGGCAAAGATGCCCGTGGAGATCGAGAAGGAGATGAATAGGGCGAGCGGGAGGGCGGAGAACAGGAGTTGCGAGGCGATGAACGCCTGCATCAAGCTAAATGTCAGTCACTGAACCCCCGAGGGCGAGATCACACAATGAACGTACAAAGACGAGAGGCCGCTCCATGGCGAAATTGGTAACGGCATTGTAGTGCTTCTGACGAGTCTCTGGGCTGATGACGCGATCAACTTGTCGCTGGCCATATGTATACACGCCTCTGGCCGAGGACTGGATCCTGGATTCGCTGTCGGCGGACATTGTCTCTGCTGGAATACGGAGATATAGAGGGCTGTGTTATTGAGATGGACGGTGGGGGACGAGTTGCCTAATCGCAGGTAGGATGCCGCATGAAAACGTGGTCTCTGCAAGTGGAATCCACAGAATGCCTATCATGCCATCGATAACGATGAAACTGCAAGCTTGCGGCAACGGCGTTCATCACCGCGTATGACGAAGGCGCTCCTATGTTGCTGTTTGGGAAGAATGACGTTTGACGGTGGTCCTGAGGCTTGGGACGCTGCGTTTGCGCCACGCTGGAAGATGGGTGCGCCACAGTAAACAAGCGGCTTTTAGTACATAAGCTTGATTCCCATTATCTCAAGGTGAGGATTGGCTTTTGTCCCTCCCCAGGAATGTCTAGTTGAACTATTCTTGAACGAACCAACTTATGTTACCATTAGCACTGAATCACATCTCTACCTCTCTGGGCGGCACATCCAAGACAGCATTGGCTGTGAGACTAGGTTCACGTCAGCCGCGGAGCTCAGCAAATGCTCTTACTGAACGGAATCAGCGGTGTTTTATGGATTACCGGAACACCGCTGGGAACAGACATACCCCGAGCAGTTTGTACCCAAAGGACCAGCGGACCATTCGCCACACAGAGACACCGCCCGGCGAACCCTGCCCTTTGTTAGTCCCGACCATCGTACCCATTAGATTTGATGGCTCCTCCAGTTTCGGGTGTGCCGTGCAGTCGGCTTCGCGTGGAGATCTACGGAAGACGAGCCGAGTCGGAGTGAGAGTTATGGCGACGATAGACCCGCGAAACTCTCAGCTCTCGTCCATGTATTTACCAACATCCGATAGATAGTCTTTGGCGCGGTCTATAGCGTCTTCAGCGACGATACTTGCCTTGTCATGAGCCCCAGCCTCGTTCAGCACCTTCTCTAATGACCACATCTCTCGGATCACCTCGCGGCTACCCCTGCCATACACATTCTCCAGGGACTGGATGTCTGATCTCATGATTTTTTCGGCTTCGGCCCAATTGCCATTGTCCATGGCTCGCTTGACCTTGGCTGTCTTCAGATACGACTCCGCGTATCCGCCCATCTTCACGTCAAGGGGCGCGTCCTGTCCATTCGAGATATGCTCTATTGCCCGAAGAATCGCGCTTGCTGATGACTTGTAGAACCCGTCATTCCGCATCATTTCGGTAGATTTGAGGAGTTGGAGATGGGATCTAGATAGGCCCTCGACCTCAAGTTCTTCCGTTCTCATCGAGAGGGCTAACAAGGCTTCCGTCATCCGCTTGTAGTCGTCCCGAGGCGAAGTATCAATGCTGCGAACCGTAGTTTCCCAAGCCCAGTTCTCATACATCCAGTAGAAGCTGTGGCCCATGCGCCGATGGAGAAGTGCCACGAAGCAGCGCCAGCTTCGTCCCAGCAGGTCAGCCAGATCCCCATCGTTCTTTGACGTCTGCTCAAAGAAACGGGCCAGAGGGTGAAGCGCCGGCAGCTTATGGCTCGTCAGGCGAGCTAGTTGAAGCATCAACTGCTTGACCAGATCGTGCTGCCCAGAGTCAATCATGAAGAAAAAGAAATCAACCAGATTCCTCATCATTCCTGGGTCGCCCTCTTGGATCACTTCTTCTAATTGCCAGAATGCCTTCCGAACAGCCATGCCAGCCAGCGCGCCTTGGCCCCGGACCAAGAGGGCACGAGACAAGATGAAGTCTTGATACATGCGTGTGCTGGTATAGGTGACGGGTGCGCCAGCAGCGGGACCCTTTGACCGCTGAGTAATCCACAGCCATCTTGTTCCGTCAAAATTGCTGTTTGCCCAGGATGAAATATTGTACACAGCACATTCACCAGGGTAATTGGCCACCATCTCTTTGCAGAGAAGAGATGGAGCATGAAGGCGCGGATCGAGCTGCTCGGGCGCAGTCTGCGAGCTACGGCAGTCCTTTGGAAGGCCGACATCAACACCAGAGCGAGACCTCCTGTTCTTGAACAGCCCCCACGCGGTAAACCTCTTCTTGTACATTTGCACTCTGACAGCCGTCAGTTTTGAGTCCAGCAATAACACAATGGTCACCGGCTGGAGGCTTACGTTGCTCGGAAGTCATGAAGGCGTTCGAGTATAGTCATAACATCACTAAGCTTTCTCCGCTCGGTTACATACAGTTGCCTGATGACAGGATAGAGCGCTTCCCACTCCTGGATCGTGTGTAGGCGGGGCCTACCGCTGGCGCCCCGGACGGCAACCGTGCCGGTGCGCTTGCGTGCAAGGTCGGCGGGACGGAGTTCAATAGGACGGGTGTGGCCCTTGCTGGAGCCCGTTTCAGTCGCCATCAATCATGTTGCGACCCCGTACATGGACGCGTGTTGCTGTACCGTGCCGCAGGATGAACCATCAGGTCGGGGCTAGAAGAATGCGACATCGGTTGATGATGTCGCAGAAGGGCCATTTCGGCCAAGGATGCCACAGGAAAAAGTTCCGTGCCTTCGCCGATGAGCCATGCCATCAGGTGCGACCTTACCACACCTCCGATTCTTATTCGCCGAAAAGGTTCCCTGCATTAGCGTCTTGGTGGTGTGCGTGTGAGTTGGTGGAGGGCTGAGCATGATCGCGCGCCGATTTCAGGGGCCTGTTCGCCTTTCACTAGGTCGACGTGTTCAACCTGACCCTAGGCTCACTTGTGGTAGAAGTGCCGTACACCAGACCTCGCGTAGCTGCTGGCATATCGAAACATTAGTATTGCACGTGGGGCAAGGCTCACTTGAGGCTCAACAAGGTGGCTAGACGACTCGTCTTGACCAAGGCTGGGGGGTTTTCCAGCGGTTGTCCCGCGACCTGCCGGAATTTGCCAGCGGATTGCAAAAGGTCCCCGCAGCCAACAGCACGGAGAATGCCTAACAACCCTTGAATTGCCAAAGGTCCAGACATCTTCATATACGCGCTTGACCCGCGATTCTGCAAAAGTCCCCTTCCGACCATGTCATGTCGATGTTTTCCTAAGCGGTAGGACTGCTTTCAATGCGGCGCTTGGTAAAGTGCCTCGCAGCTGTCTGTTGCTGAGGTTCGGCCTTGCAAAAGTTCCCAGCTGCAATGGCCTCACTACGCGAAACCCGGACGAGAGTTGCTCTCCCGTCGAGGGATACGCAGGTAGGATAAAATGGCCCCAAGTGTTATGATATTTTGTCTGTAGTTCCGTATCATCAAGCTGTCTATTTCCTCAGAGCCTACCTAAGTCTTAACTGGATACTAAGATACACTGGCAAATCGTTCTTGACCTTGTGTGAGGCAGTACCAAAGCACACCACAATGGCACACTCGGGAGCGAGTCAGACCTCCAGTTCAACGCCCGTGGCAACCTGGGACCCGAGGGATTTGAGGGTTCCTGGATACAGGCCTCGGGACCTTACTACCGGCCCGCTCATGTCATACTCTGTGCCTTTTGAGGTCAGAGATCTCAGCAGCTTATCTTCACAGCGCAAGAAGAAGTCAAAATCGAGCACCAAGGTGGAGCTGGGCAGCCGACGATGAACACCGAAGGACCCTGTGAGCAACTTCTGCTATGCAGAAGGGTTCGTGATTGAAGTTGGACGGTTGATTCTTTGCGCCATTATGCTCCTGTTTCAAGGCGTCTTTCGGTCGGATAGAACAGACAGAGGCGCACTACCGAGCGTCCGCGCGCTCGAGATACTTCTTTATGGATTGGTTGGGGTTATGGACAGTGCTAGGATAAATATGTACAGAGAACGGGGTGCAAGGCATTCCTGCCAGCTCATGCGACAGGACTATAATTAAACCACAGGCCAGCCAGTTGACCAGCTGATCGTGTTCCATCCGAACTTCTTGTTACCATCTGCATAGCCGACGGTGGTGTCGACGTAGTGGTAGTAGAGCACTGCGCCATACTTCGGATCGGCAAATACACCCTGTCCGCCAGGACCGTACACGTTGCCGTGGCTCTCGAGGACAACTGTGCCACCGCCTGAGGTGCACGAGGCACCAGTCTTGTCTGGGTATCTGTTAGTGGGAACTCAAATGTGAGAGAATAAGTTTTCAAACATACCAACGAAACCACCAGTAGGGCTTGTGGATCGGCAGACCATGATCTTGTACTCCTTGCCCGCGGCAGGTTTGGACGAGTCATATCCACAGCACTGGCCCTCACTCCAGAACAGGTAGTAATAGCCACCTCGAGAGTACATGAAGGCGCCTTCACGGGCGTGAGTGCCACTGGATGTAAACGAGATCTGAGTGGGGTTGCCAGAGCTCTTGGTGCCGGCCGAGTTCAGGGGCGTCTGGTAGATGTCCGACCAGAACGAGCCGAAATTCATGTACTTCTTACCATCTGAAGTCACGAAAACGTTGGCGTCGATGGCATTGTAGGCCTTCCCGGAAGAAGAGCTGACGCCCGTGGAGCCATGGTCTGTCCAGCTGCCGGAATCCAAGGTTTTGGACGTGGCATAGCCGATTGCGCTGTCTTGAGAACCAAAGGACGAGACCGAATAGTACAAGTAGTACGTGCCGTCGATGAGCTGGACATCAGGTGCCCATAGATCGTCCTTCCCTTTGAGGTTGATGGAAGATCCAGCAGGGACGGCAGAGCCCTTCAGCGTCCAGGGACCTGATAGCGCGGGGGCTGAATAGACCCCGATCTTGTTGCCTGTGCTGAAGCGGAAGTAAGTGCCGTCGCTGCGGCGGATCACGGCCGGATCGTGAGTCCAACAGTCGCCGGAACAAGCCCCCGGGTTGGCATATGCGGCCACTGTACTGATGAGCGCCGCCGAAGCAGCGAGGATGCTAGAAGTAAACATGGCGCCGGCACCAGCAGGGAAAGTAAGTGAAGGTCTGTAAACGAATGGATTCCTGGCTTTGACGCCGATGATTGACTCGTAGCTACAGACCGGAGGATGACAACGATGGGGTTCAACCAACCTTTATGTGAGAAGATCAGTTCCCATCCAGGGCCGGAAAACCAAACGCCGCAGGCAGATTGGACTTGATAACCCCTGCTGAAGCGTTCGGCCCACTGCTTGGCCCCAACGTGGTGACATGGATGCCGGTGGGAAGAGCTCCAGCCAGTCCGTGCCTAATAACTCTCGTATTGCGCATCGTTTAACTAACATCCCCTCTGTAGGTGGAGGTCTCTTGTGGAGGTTACCAATCACTCGGGCGCCGCTGTGGCCGAAACGCCGTTAGCGAGCAATCCCTGCCCGGCGGGCACTAGGTTGTGTCCCATTGGTGGATTTGGGCCTGAGCAGCCCGGAATGGGCAAGGTGACACTCTATCTGCCGTTGATTGTGGGGTGCCGCGTTGGGACGGTTGATCCTGGGATCCACCAGCGGAATATTGTGGCATCACCAAGCCAAGGTAAGCCAGGTAACAATTTCGTTTCCAGAAGCCTCAGATCGGAGTCTCTGCCGAGCAGACGAATTGATCTGTGCTGGCCGGCAAGCATCCGAAATAAGGACTCCTGCGCTTTACGTCGACGTGCGGTGCAATCCCTGAGCACAGCGCGCTTCTGGTGGAATACAGTTCATCTGATCATCATGGTTTTTCTCACGGCTCCACGCTGAGGAGCCATACCGAAGATTACCTTTCTATAATATTACAATAACCATCAACCATCTCTCGATTTGTAGTCAAGATCAGTCCCTTGTCCACTACTTAGTCCTCCAACTCCTCCGACTCCTCCGACTCCTCCGACTCATCGACATAGTCCTCGTCAGACTCGTGACTCTCAGTCAGTGTCAGCGAGTCCTCATCGTCGTCGTCATACTCCTGCCCGCTCTCGTAATCATCTTTGGCTCCACGCTCCGAGCCCTCGGCGGTACTGGAGAAATTCTCCTCGTCTGCGCTATCGACGTCGTACGTGCCTTGGAGCACCAACTCCCACTCATCCTCCAATTCGGCGAGGAAGGCCTCCTTGCTGGGGAAGTGGCCGTTGATAGTATCCCAGATCCACGCCGCGGTATGCGAGACGGAGTCATAGATGCGTGGCTCAAGATCGTAGTCCTTCTGCAGTAGAAGAACCGGCTTCTTGCAACCACGCCAAAGCTCGATAAACTTCTTCCCAAGCTTCTGGTAAGCAACCATTTCAACCTCCTCACGCCACTCGTTCATGCAAAGAATGAGCTCGTCAACTTCATCGTCACCGGTCCTGGGCTTTCTGGGATGCGACTTCAGGTGCTTGTAGTCCATGTCGTACATGATGAGTTGGTACCCCTGGGTGCAGTTTGCTCGCTTGGGCATGGCGCGAAGGGCGAGACCGATGCCGTAGCGCAGGCAGTTGTCGTTCTAGTACTCTGCTCGTGTCTGTCCCGGCTCCTTGTCATCGTCATAGTTATTCACGTATTCGCGCGCATCGGGTATCCAATATGTCATCATGCCGACCACCAGCTCCCGGCCCTCCTCTTCTAGCATATTCATTGCATAGTCGAAGAACTCCCCAATTGTAGCGTGTCTCTTGGACAGGGAACCGGTGGCGAGATACCAGTCCTTTCGATCATCTTCATCCCTGAAAGCAATAGGGGCCATAAACAGGGAGAACTTCGAGACCGACGGCTCATATCGTGCCAACACAGCCCAGCATAGAAATAACTTGATGTCTTGAGGGAATGCAACGTTGTGGGGAATCCAAGGGATATCCTTGCCACTCTCGGGTGTGAATGGGAACGAGCCCTGGCGTGCCTGGAGCTGGTTCTCGATGTGATCATCAGAGATCCAAGCACATTCCTGGGCATTCAGGTACTGAGGTGGCCAAACCTTGGCTTGGTGGATTGTAGTATCCAAAAGAGGGTGACGGAGAGTGAGCTCGAATGATTTCGGCGGTTCCAAGGCGCTGACTTCGTCGTGTATGGTCATCCAAGCATCAACGGCCTCGATCAGAGGTGTCTTCTGATTGCGACTGCTCAGGCACAGTCGTCGATCATCATTGAATGCCTTGCGACCCTGTATGAATGTGATCGCTACGACTCGAACGTCTTCAGCCGAGAGGTCCTCGAGGATTTCCCAGTTGACGGAAACGGTGTCCCAAAAGATCTTTGTGTCTCTCAATGCTTTGAAGAGCATCTTTTTGCCTTTCATCGTCTGAAAAAGTCGGAAGAGAGAGTCCCTTGACAGTCTTTGACGCGTTTTCACGCCTGTCTCAATGTGATCGAATGGGCCGACAGTAGCAGTGTGAACGCGTTTGAGGGTATCGGCGTTGGAGAAGACCAAGCCGATTCCAAACTGGAAACCAGCCTGTCTGAAAGATTTGGCGGCCCGTAGCGGCATTGTAGCAGCTTGATGGGGACGGGACTTGACGAAACACAAGATCAGTCTGTTGACCATACGCGAACGTAGTGAGATTAGCGAAGCACCAGTCTAATACTCCCTCCAAAGACTTATGTGAAGCAATATCAGATGAATATGAACGATGAGTAGAGTATTGGGGAATAGAATCGCAATAGGGCCCAGTATTTGGGCTGATTATCGAGTTCAAAGTGAAATCAAATCCAAACGAAGATGTTTTCTTCAAAGTGAAAATGATTTTCCTCCCTGGGGAATGCAATGTGAAAACAAGAAGCGGGGCTGAAGATTAGGAATATCTGGTGAATCTTATCAGAAGACCCCTAAGATATCAATAATGAACAGCAGACCTAAATCTACCAGTGAGGAAAGGACCAAGAGAGTGGGAAAGACACTATGACGCCTACCCTACGAAATTCAGTTGCGGTGTCATAAGCGGTATGCAGGCTTACTTGAATTAAAAAAAAAAGTAGTGGGTTTTGGGGCTCCCCTACTTGAACTCCGGTTCCTGGAGATCAAGATTTCCGTACCCTAACATCTGGCCATACGGAGCGGCGGGCTTGCCATCAGGCCACTACACCAGTTGTTACGCCGGCTGTTGGTGAAAATCTGAACACTAATTCTCATTCATCACCCTCGCAGATATCAACCAAACCCCACAGCATCGCTAGCAGCTATTGCATTGGGGCATATGTCTTCATAACGCATTGCTATGTAACCACTCGATGCCTCCAGAGCATTATTAAACAATAAACCTCACGGTGTTGAATTCATTAATCTGCGAAGACCGTCAACTTCAATTTACGGTGCCACCCATTCAGTCGCTTATTCTCAAGGTTAGCTATCGTGACAACGCGATGGTCACTTTCCATTTCACCAGTCCACATCGGTCCATTTTTTTGTAACCTACTAATTAGCCATTCGATGCTAGCATATGTCAAAAGTATCTACGTATCAAGGCTGACGGTCTGCGGCGTTGGCGTACCATAGTACACGGCAAGACCTACGTAGACGTTGGAACCAAACATTTATGTAGTCCACTCCACCACGCTTTGCACCGCAAATCATGTCGGCTTATTGCCTCAAGTATCTCCTTTATATGTCACGCATCGTCATAATGTAGCTTTAGGGCTTTATGTTTTATTCACATTCTTGATACTGCAAACCCGTCCGCAGCGGTGGCGAGGGAATGTTTTGATCGATACTGTGCCGGGCCGGCCTGGACAGGTTGCTAAATCGACTTTCTTAGTATTTGGTAGTATCTAAATATGTACTGTTTATGTAGATGCGAGTCCATCCCGGACATGGGCCATGGTCTGCGTTACCTATAACTGCTATGATATGATTCCTCGGACGTGGCGACAATGGCGATACTATGGTATCCAATGTGTTCGAAGCTTTTGCGGGTTGCACTGAGGCTCAGCATTATTACACCTGTTGTTGGTAGAATAGTGCCTCGGGATTTTAAGTATCAGGCGTTACTAGCCCCAGCCCTTATGTGCGTCGTCTATCCTGATATAGGCTCTGCACGGTATGCTCTATGCTTCTTCGCAGAACCCGCGATCAAGCTGCAGGCTCTGGTTGCTTTGGCTCCTGAGCGCCAGGCACCGCGGGTACTAGCGGTTGTTGAGGTGCTACAGCTTGGAAAACCGGAACTTGCTGAAACCCTGGCCCCATTGGCTCTGGCTTAGGCTCTGCCAGCTTCTGCTGTTGTTCTTCGGGTGACATCTTGGCGAATGCAGCCACATTCTCGTCCCAGGTTCTGACACAGTCGGGGTTCCAATTGCACCCCTCCACCTCTCCATAGACTGGATGAGAGAACCTCGCGTGTCTACTCGGCCAATTAGATGCATGATAATGGTGTTTGACCAGCGCTCCACGGCTGTTGTGGTTGCCCGAATCCGAGTGACCTTGGCCGGCGGCAAAGGCCTCGACGTTCAGCACAAGGATTCGACTAACGATTTTTGACTCATCTATGTCGTGGAAGTCGGCCCAAGTAATCCTTCTGCCGCTTTGTGCCGTCATCTCTTGAAGAACTGCGATTGTAAACGCAGATGGGCCCGTTCCACTGATGACTTCGTCAAAGTTGAGAGTGATATCGCCAATTGGGACATTCTGCTCATTAGCCACGTCGTTCAGCCAGTTCATGATGTTCTCAACAAGCCTGAGCATGACAGGCTGTCGAGGCTTCGCCATGAATGTCCACTGACAGAATGATTCCGACTTCTTGCCTAGTACTGGGTGGCTCTTGAAGCTTGGCTGATCAATCTCTACCCCGATGACCAGATCCATCTCTTCTTCGCCGTATCTCTCCGGGATGAACCGGTGGACAGGCTTAAGAGCCTCCACATCGATATCAGCATAGACACCCCCTTCTGCATACATGACCAAATACCGCAGCAGATCTGCCTTGATGATAGTGACGTTGACCGTTCTATACATCTCAACGATGTCCGGTCTGTCGAATCCATTGGGGCCATATTTCTCCTCTATGTAGCCTAGGTCGTTGTTGTCCGTCAAGACTTCGTATCTGTAGTTGGGATTCCTGGCCACCCAAGTTTTGGCTGTGTCAAGGTCTCGTTGCTCGAATGCGAAAGGATCCGTCTTCCAGGTTTGCCAGATCTTCTTGGGAAATCCTGTCCCCTCGTGTCCCTTTTCAGGCTTGTGCTTAGCCGCGTTGCGCTTGAAGATGTTCGTTTTCGACCGCGATGGAAGGATATCTGCGTTGAGAAGGATGAGGGCGAGGCATAGACAAAGGGCGTAGATGGGCAATAGCCTCCGCATTTGCGTGGGTATCCGATTCCTCCATTTCGCTGTCGTCGACGCCAGCCGAGGCGATAAAGGTGTTAGAGGAGAGTTCATAATTAATCGAACCCACCAAAATTTGAAAGTGAGCTTTAAGCTGACGATGTTGGTGTAACTTGAAAAAGGATGAGAAAGGAACGAGGCAAGTAATGCGTCTGTGAGGATAACGAGCAGGGTTTGTTAAGAACCCGGCCGCTTTCCAGGTTGTGAAGTGAATGCGGCTGCGGCTAGGACGGCTCAAAGCATCCTCCGATGCACCATTTCAAATGCTCATTCGTATCAGGTACGCTAGTTGCGGCAAGACTTGCATGTTGTTCGGCCCATCGCCGCGAAGGGGGAAGTGAGCGGTTTTTTTCCCTCTCTCTTTTCTTTTTCTCTTGTGACCTTGGTCGAGTCGAGAACTGGAGTTCTTATTCCTCCTCATCACATTTGCAGCTCGCGTGCACGTCCTCTCCAACATCGACTCGGTCAATCTTGCCCCACGGTTACACTTCCCCGTAGTATACAGGGAGTCCCCACGGAACTAGGTTCGGGTAGCTAACTGTATGGAGCCAATAATACCCCAGATGCAGGGATCGTCAATGCCGATCCGCCAGGGACAACGGTCGCCAGCCAACTGTGCCGAAGGTGTGGTTGCATTGCACTGTTGCAAATTATTCACATGCTACCGAGCAGACACACCCATTTCTGCAGCCAGTCCGATTTTCAGCTTCTCAAGTCATTTGCCTGGACAGTATTTCTTTGTAGACAATGATGCGTCACGTAATGTCATGCGCAAACATCCCCACAAGTTCTTCCCAGTCAATGCAAATTTCCCCATACTTCGACCCTGTACTCCATACTTGGCGACGATCTGCATCGGCCAATCAGACTGAACCACCCCTCCGCATCTGCGCATAGACGTAATCTCGCCTCGGTATTAGAAAAGAAGACCAGCACCTTGCGTGCTTGTGAAAGTCAAGGTTATCTTTCTCAACTATCGTCACACTTGACGAAGCTGCGCTACTCCGGAATGAGCATCGCGCAGTCTAGAAACCAGGTTTTCGCCCCCCTCATCAACCGGCCTAGCTCGTATTCCCACGAAAGCTTTTGTTTCAAGTTGATGCATTGCATGCGCCCCCAGAACTGTGAATGGCGTCGTGGACAGACCTTACCGACAAGATCCAAGAGTCTGAAAAGGCTTCAGCAGATATTCCGACGCCCAATCCCCCATTGCAGAACGCATTTCGAAAAGAACATCTCCATTCCCTGAAGACCGCTTATTTTGCGGGTGTCATGTCTGAAAAACATGAGTGCCTTCTTGATGTAGGGCAATTAGAAGCCAATGCTTCCACCTCGCGCTGGATGCCGGCGGCGGGTATACGGATGGGGACAAGACGTGCAGTTCATACGGTTGCGATTATCATCCGACGATGCGCCGCGCCTTTCTGGCTCAAATCGGCCAACCCTCCAGAAAAGCCGAGGCGGACAGCTTATCTCGACGGACTTCGAGGCTTCGCAGCATTTCTGGTGTATTGGCATCACCATGAGCTGTGGGTTCACAAAGCAACCGGACAAAACGAGCTGTTGGAAAACAGTTTCGGATATAACGGCAACTTCCATCTCGTGGCATTCCCAGGGGTCCGGATCCTGTTCAATGGAGGACACTATGCTGTGGCCACATTCTTCGTCATCTCCGGCTACGTTCTCTCTGCGAAGCCGTTGAGCTTGATCCACGAGGGCGAACTCACGAAGCTGGGGGATAATGTCGCATCGGCGCTCTTCCGAAGATGGCTTCGCCTTTGGATCCCGCTCATGGCCGTGACACTTGTATACGTCAGTTCATGGCATTTGCTGGGCATGTGGGTCGAAGATGCCAGCCCCAAGTCAACATGGCTTGCGGAGGTCTGGTCGTGGTATACGGAGATGAAGAACTTCAACTTCGTGTTCAGTGGAGGTGAACCATGGCTCTCATATGATATGCACCTATGGTCGATCCCAGTCGAGATGAAAGGGTCTATTGTGGTCTACACTACACTTGTGGCGTTATCGAGGGTCTCTCGGAACGCCCGTCTTTGGTGCGAACTGGCACTCATCTTCTATTTCTCCTACATTGCGGATGGCTGGTATTGCGCCATGTTTGTGTCGGGCATGCTGCTGAGCGACCTGGACTTACTGGCTGCGAAACAGCAATTGCCTCGGTGGATATCCAGGCTCTCGTCAGCAAAGGCTTTCGTATTCTACCACTTGCTTGCTTTCAGCCTGTACCTTGGTGGTGTTCCGGAATCCGGTTCCCGCGACGTAGCACAACTCGGAAAACAGAGAGGATGGTACTACCTGTCACTGCTGAAACCGCAAGCCTTCTTCGACTACAAATGGTTCTACCTACTCTGGGCCGCTACATTCCTCGTGGCTTCGTCGCAGCATATCAAGTGGCTCAAAGGCTTCTTCGAGACCCGCTTCTGCCAGTATCTCGGTCGCATCTCGTATGCGTTGTACCTGGTTCACGGTCCGGTTCTGTGGACGTTGGGCGACCGTATTTATACTGCTGTTGGGTGGCATTCGGAGCAACAGCTGCAAAACCTCAGCCACTGGGCGGATAAGTTTGCGCTATCAAAGACAGGACCTTTGGGACTCGAGATCTCATTCATTCTGCCACACATTATACTGCTGCCAGCCACTATATGGTTGGCGGATATTGTCACGAGGTTGATTGATGAGCCGAGTGTCAGGTTCGCGCAGTGGTTGTATTCACGCATGCTGCCACACGCTGTGAAGGATTAGGCCAATAGAATAGTTTTCGGATTATATGGTGTGAACACCAAGCTTTCGTATCGGTGTGCTAGAGCAACAAGGCGACCTCTCAAATTATAGCGGTATATCCGCTATAGAGTTACACAGCTTTTCAATACAGCGCCTTGGGCTGATGCATTGCACTGCCTGTGGGCAAGATCGCCATTGCCGCTGGACCCCGGCGCGTTGCGAGCAAGGTGTGAATTACAACGCGGGAAACCCCTGAAGATTGTGCCACCGTTGTCCCTCATTTTAGCGGCTTCCCCTCACTGTGGATAGGCCAATGACGCTGGTGCTTAGGGTACCCCAAAGAAAGCCAAGTCGGGGGTTGGTGCGGCCTCCCTGCCCTCGGTACGGTCGATCAGTTTACGTGGGGAAGCCAGCTCGTGTGGGGGCCTTCAAGGTAGTGTAGATGGGCAGTGGATTCAATGGCAGTGCCTTAGAAAATATCGATGGGGCGGTCGCCCTCTAGGAATGCTCACAATTTGAATATTGCCATTTCACAAATGCACTAATGCAATGATGCGGCAAAACCATCGAATAATGGTACACCGGATAGTTTCATCCGGCAGAAGGAAGAGTTGCAGTATCCAAGGTGCCGGGTCCCAAGTTTCTTTCAAGATACGACGCAGTTGGAAGTAGCACTACCCGGTTGGTACTCTTTCTTCTGTGCCGAAGCAGCGCTTCTATTAGGATTCGTTTCATTGGCCACTGGGCGAGGCCAGTCTAAGTCGGTAATTTAGAAGCTCAACTGGAATATTTTCAGTTCCCAATGGATATTTCTCACCTTACACAACACCAACCTAACCTTCAAGGGGGGGGGGGGAAATGAGGGTGCAGGGGTGGAGTGGATGTTGAATTGGCTCCTTGCACGTAGCATCAGATGTGATAATTCGGTCTGCAGATGTAGACATCATAGAGTGAAGTGCAATAAAGAGGCATCAATGCGCATTGTGACGAGCTTGTGATCATTGATCCGAAGCCACTACATCAGACAAGACAATATCACTACTGAGTTCCCGTGCAGCCAGTCTCAGTGAGGTTTATACCAGTAGGCCTTGCCCAAATGGAATAAACACTTTTTATTATGCTGATGAAGTGAGAAACCAGCGGATCATCCATCTCCGAAACGTCTCTGCGGCACCATCTGCTTGATCTGCATTCAAACAGTATACTCACTCGTATCAACAGAGACTTTCCAGAAACCTATGACTCTCATTCTATCCTCAAAGTATCATGAGAATTTGTGCATAAGTAAGCTAGCATACCATGATACCCTCTAATGCCAAGAAGCAATGTATACAGTAGGACACGAGACATTTAGAGGGAGCGAGGCAAGAGAGCGAGAAAACAGGACATGAAATAAAATATTGAAGTACACAATATGACAGTTACAGAAACAGATGTTGGTGGAAGGGTTGATCGAAAACGTCAAGGGCGAGATAAGACCAGGTATCGAAGTAAATCAACGAGCAGAGTACAAGATAGACATCGGAACATGTCCAAGGGTAGCAAAAATTGGAATCTAAATGAGCGTTAGTCACCGTTTCCAGCCAGAGAAGGTGCAATCAAAAGCCTCGAACATGACAATACCTTGCAAATTTCGACGCAGGCGGACGTGGCGTTGACATGGGCGGAATTCAGCACCCGTGGAATGAGTCCGAGTAAAGGAACCATAATCGGCATGGAGGATGTCGTTTGTGTGAAATTTCTTTTATAATATTGTTTTGTCATCCAGATCAATAATCGTAGTCCTTCCATGCCAAAGGTCGTTGACACATCTAAGACTCAAGGGTTCATCCACACAAAGATATTAATAATATTCAGATTAACTAGTGCATATAAGCCTACACTTTTCCAGAAAGGTAGTCGCTTGTTGGTACTGAAGGCTTTGATACCTGCCTTTAATCAACACCATTCCCTACTCAGGTATTGTTTTGCCTAATGACCTTGCGCTGCACATGTCGCGTATTTCTCTTCAACCCACACCAGCGGGGCTGTAACAGCACTAATGCAATAGTCAAACAAAAAGCATTACTTGTATATATTGAACGGTAAATCAAATCATCAAAAGACTTAGCGTGAAGATCTCCGGATTGAGCAGACCAGCAAGATTCCCAATCTCGCGATGACTTGAGTCCACGTCTATGGGCCCATGTTTCGCCGCCTGATAGTAATAGCACTATGAAAGCCTGATACCGGTACCCCTGGCGGGGTTTAGCGCCATCAGGACCCAGCCCAATCCACTACCTAGGTAGCCATCCGCCTTGATCGTGCCACGTCCCACTTGATCTGGATTGGCGTTCGGCTCACCAACTAATTCTCTCTTGGCACCTGGGGTATCAGTGCGGACGTCAAACCACCGCACCCAGCTGGCAGCATCACACGACCTGTGACTCGTAACCATCTCTCAATCGTTGCGGACATGTCAGAGCCGCAGCGGGCTGTCACAGGTCCCACAACAGTGGAATCTGGGGTAGCTCGCCATGCTGCCGATCCCTGAAGCACTAGACTTGCGGTGCTCACACTGCCGCATATCCCCTTTCTGATGGATAAGAGTACATCTTGCCGCATGCAGCATGCAGTCACAGATTACCGTGTAACGCTGAAGGATATTGGCATACCCAAACCAGATCCTATTTCCACTTCACTTGACTGCGGGAAGCAGCCCCAAGAACAGTCATCTACCCCAATTACTCACGCACTTGTTAATTCTAAAGATCTGTTTCCTCTGCGATCCCAGAACCCATCATGTCGTCCTCTAAGGTCCGTGTTGCAGTTACTCAGGCTGAGCCCGTTTGGCTCGACCTGGACGGCTCAGTGAAGAAGGTGTGCAAATTGATGAAGGAAGCCGCCGACAACAAGGCCCAGCTCATCGCATTCCCCGAATGCTTCGTTCCAGGCTATCCTTGCTGGATCTGGTGAGCGACACTACTGGAGCCATGAAGCATAACCGCACTAACCAAACGCCGCTGTGAAAGGAGTCGGCTGGTCGATTTTGAGATGAATGTCAAATACATCAAGAACTCTCTTAAGCTGGAGTCTCCCGAGATGGAGACGATCAAGACCGCCGCCCGAGACAATGGCATTGCCGTGTCCTTGGGCTTCTCAGAGAACGACGATGATTCACTCTACATTGCCCAGGTCCTGATCGGGGCAGATGGTGAAGTCAAGGTCCACCGTCGCAAGATGAAGCCGACGCATATGGAGCGGACCATCTTCGGCGACGCGTCAGGGCAGTGCTTGAAGGCCGTGGCGGCGCTTCCATTCGCAAGAGTAGGCCAGCTTTCTTGCTGGGAGCACATTCAGCCCCTTCTCAAGTTCAACACCATCGCTCAGAAGGAGCAGATTCACGTCAGTGCCTGGCCAAGTCTGACACCCCACAGTGGTGGCCCGGATTTGTGGTCCATGTCAGCTGAGGGTAAGTCGCGCGAAGAATCTCGGCCTAAGCCGCGTACACTGACAGCTTCCAGGGTGCCACACGCTTTCGCAGACCTATGCGATCGAGTCCACGGCTTTCGTCCTGCACAGCACGGCAATGATCACCGACAAAGGTACCGAAATTCAGGGCACCCAAGGCGGCGCCTTGATGTCGAGTGCTGGAGGAGGTACTTCAGCCATCTTCGGCCCCGATGGAAGAAGGCTCACGGAGCCATTGGATGACAAGACAGAGGGTATCCTCTATGCTGATCTCGACCTTGATGAGATCACACGCATCAAGATGTTTGCCCACTGCACCGGCCACTATAGCAGACCCGACCTTTTGTGGCTCAGCACGGATCGAGATGTAAAGAGTACCGTCAGGGCCGCCAAGGAGTCTGTGGACGAGCTGTCATCAGAGCTGCAGGCTTTGTAGATCCGTGCTGCGTCTTTGTCCGATAGCGATAATTGACTGATTAATCAATCCCCCCATAATGCAAAATTGTCCAAGAATTCTCCCTCAGAAAGCCAGTTTGTATCATCTATTGACAAGAAGTTGGCAAACTTTTGCTGAGCTCCAGCCCCAAATTCCAGAGCTTCGGGCCCAACAAGTTCAGGGTTTGGATAAGATACGGCAGAGACATGGTCGGCCATGCAGAATGACGCTTCCTCCATCGCAGTTCCGGAGAGTGTGTCCTCAGACTGTAAATGTTAATATCCTGGGCTGAAGTGGGAGCGTTATTGGACAGACTATGACAAGACGTGTTGTGCCTTGCCGCGGATGGTGCCACTTTTGAGCTGAACCGGACAGGTAAGGCGCCAAGCACCCCCCATCGCTCAGCAAGGACACGGATCATGTTGATAGTCTTGTTCGCCCTGTTAGGCCAAGGACTCTTCAGTTGAGACAAGAGATCCATGCAGACCCTCAGCCACATCGTGCTTCGCGTCCGGAGAGATGTTGATTTGCTGGTTGCGTTCATCATATGAACGATGGCTGCACTCAGAAGATGGTGTATGACGACAGGGTTGGCGGCTCTCCACTGCTCTGGATGCGCATCCCTATACACCCGCACTAGACGGATCGTGTTGGATGCAGCACTGGTTAGTGATCGCAAGATAAGAAGCATGAACTCGGAGTCGCCGGAGTGGTCGGCATTTGGTGCGCAGAAGCACCTCAAAAACGGGGGCAAAGTGATCAGGAGCGCCATCTGATACGCCAAGTGAAAGAACAGTACATGTCTGCAGGTCTCACGACCCTTCAGGTCGAGTCTTCGATCTCGTGACTTGAAAAAGCCGTTCAGAGCCTCGTGTGTAGAGACCAACAGATGAATCTGCTGCTGCGCAGGCATCGAGTCGAACTTTGAGGCAAAACTGAACGTGAGAAAGGTCCATTCGATGCAGACAATTTACTTACATCTGATCCATCTGCTCGTCATGGAGAAACCAAAGCTTACATTGCCAGGTGAAAGATATTTGAGCAATATCGGCAGTCAAGGGGTCAATGGTTCCCTCGAAATTCGGTACGTTGACGCGCCTCCATGGCAGAACGCAGTTCCTTCCGAGAATCGAGATGGCCGTGCGATCAATGAGATAGAACATCCAGAAAGTACGAATGTCTGCAACCTGCGGCTGCCACGTTCTTGCAGAGCATTCGTCCAATGCCAGAACGTGTAGTCGCAAATGCACGCAAAGCCCGGCTGCCATGGAGATAAAGGTCCACCCGAAGTGGTCTCTGCCTAGGGCCAGGGATCGCCACGATAGCATGCAAAGTCCCTGTAGTACCTGGATCCCCGGATCGTTTCTGAAGCAGATGAACACCAAAGACTCGGCGAACTGGGCGAACGCATCACTGATTTCTGCGGCATCCGCCCTATCGGAAAACACAGCTCCCGTGGCTAGCATTGCGCTGTGAAGAAAAGTATAGCCAAAGTTCTGGTATGGATACCCCACAAGGAAGTCGCTTGACTTATAAGACGTGAATTGGTGCTCGCTGTTAATGTTCTCCAGGAAGAGGTCGGCTAGGCCGTGGATCAGCTCCTGATTACCGCAATAGTCAAGAATCTTCATCGGCGGCGTGATGAAGTCTGCTGGCCTCGGGGTTTCCGCCGGATCCACCCGATGAGGGCCAGACGGGGAATCCCCGATGATTGTGACGCCGTCGCCAATGTTGGTCCTCCACATCATGACACTGAGCTCTTCCATGGCCGTGAGCGAGCGGTCTTCGGGCTCCGTAGGTTCTATGCGTTGTGGTGGTATTGCCACAGGATGCTCTACCAGTGCAATCCCTTGGTAGGTTTCGGCGGGTGTTGACGCGGTGCCTTGGCCGGAGTACGGGCCGTCTTCGACTCTTGGAGCGGTAGGTTTCTGGGATGTGCTAGCTTCCAGGGCTGCGAGCAGTGTCTTGACTTGATTTTCAAGACTTTGCACGTATTCCTCGTCCCAGTATTTGCGCCTGCGCCAACAGCATCAGTGGGACACTCCTTGGGGGTACAAATGCTTGCAAACTGACCTCTTAGGCTTGTCTTCGGTCGCGTAGACACAGTGTTTGCCTTGGCGTTTGCACCGGGAGCACTGTGGCTTCTCTGCGTCACACTATACGTGTGTTGATTAGTCATGGTATATATATACGGCTTGGCTACGAGTGGATAGACTGGCTTACCTTCCTTTTCCCTTCACGACAGCTTTCGCAGGCGAAATTGACCTGCTTTCTAGGCTCCATAGTAGCGTTTCGGAGAAAGTCACCGTCGAACACCCGGCCGATGGAACGATGACAAGGCTCATAGACCTAGGAAGATGTCAGATCGAGAAGGCGGAGAGTGCACTTAGCAGCTGAGTGGGAGGTAAAGGAACTGACAGTGGGGTCGTGGCACTCGTCCACGTGGAGAATAGTCGCGAACTCTAAACCCATCTCCAGCACTAACACTAGCCCCAGATCGACTACGACTAGTCTGGGCTATGACCACACCAACTCCGTGGACTTGAAATTGTGCATGAAGCTATCGTTGCGGACGCCATTGATCCGCACAACAGACCATGACCGTCTCGTTCTGGCTTTACAAACTCCTATCCCCGGTCAGTGGTCTAGTGCCACTTTGCCGGATCTGGGCTCATTGGACTTCAAGGTATTCAGCCACTCATCGTACAGAGTATGTAATATCTTTGCGGTCCTTACAGGTCCGCAGTCACCGGCATCATGTAGACACCCGAATAGGGGGCATAGTCAAGTCACTATGGGCTCGTGATGCAGGTCGCGTGCTCGCGTATAACGCCCTGTGTAACCTTTGGTCAGAACTTACGTATGGCTTTCACGTGTGACGTGCTCCGCCGCGAAACTCGAAAGGAGTTGATAGCCACCTCTTATTTCCTTAAAAAAGAGATGTAGTCCACCGAACTTTGATACATGTTCTGAGACCCATTTATAAATTACTATCTGCTTAACACTAAGACGAAATGCTCGAAGCAGCCATTCCAGAACACCTCCGGACCGAGAGGGCTTTGCCAGCACGCACTCCTCCCGGGTTTGACCCTCCTTTTCCCGCTTACATCGCACGCTATCTAAAATGCGCCAAAGATCTTGTCATGGCCTTGATTGGCATACAGCATGAGTCTCGAGACGCAGACGTAAAGCCATCCCTAGCCACAGTTTCTTCTTTCACCTCATCCCAAAACGTGCCCGAGCAGTCCCGACCGAGATTCCAAGAGCTTGGTTCCGTCATCGACAACCGCGGTTTCTATAACATCGCATACTTCCTATACTGGCCCAGCAAGGGAGACTTTGATGCTTGGTCGGAGGCCAGCGGCTTCAGGGCCTGGTGGCAAGGTCTCGATGCCGAGGCGCAAGAGCACGGGTGGTTCTTCGAAGCGTTCTTCCCAACCATGGACCGGCTGGAGACGGTCTTCTCCAACGACCAAGTTGCTGAAGGCGCTGCGCACATGAGAGAAGGCATGAGCCGCCCCATTCAGGAGCACGTCTACTGGGGAAGCATGCGAGACCGGCTGCCCATCTCCCAGACGGACGAGATAGTCGGGGAGAAATGGGACCCCGCCGCCTCCAAGTCAGTTGACACCACGACAGATTCCCTGCACCGGCGCGTTCGTGTTCCCGGCAAGCCCAACCTGGCCATCATTCGTTCTGGCCAGGACTGGTCCGACACGCTGCCCGAGGAGCGCAAGTTGTACCTGGAGACGATGCACCCGACGCTGACTAAGGGCATGGACTTTCTCCGGGACCACGGGGAGGAGGTCGGCTGCTACAGCTGCCGCTTCATGGGGGTGCAGGACGGGCCCGACGCGCTCGAGTTCGGCCGGGAGCGGACCTTTGGCCTGGCCTTCTTCGACGAGCTGCGGTCTCTGGAGGGCTGGAGTAAGGGCCACCCGACGCATCTGAACATTTTTGGAGGCTTTCTGAAATATGCAAAGACGCTGGAAAATAACATCAGTCTGAGACTGTTCCACGAGGTGTTGGTGCTGGAGCCGGAGCAGCAGGTGTTTGAGTACATCAACTGCCATGGTGGGACAGGTATGCTGTCGTCGTTGGGGCACAAGCCGCGGGCTTGAGAGACAGAGAGAGAGAGAGAAAGAGAGAGAGAAAGAGAGAGAGAGGGAGAGAGCTCTGGCATGTAGTAGCAATGTCATGGCTTGGCTAATAGATTACGTTGCCAAGAGTTCATATTCTCAAGTGATGCAATCAAAAACGTCGCACTACCTGTAGCCAAGTTTGACTATAGTCAGCTTCGTTGACACTCAACGCTCCACGAATTTTATATAATTGCTGATTTACTTGAAAACCAGCTAGTATCAACGGGGCTACATTAGCCTCGTGCTCCTCAACATGCAATCATGCCGCTACGCATGGGAAGCACGAGCTTGGCACCCTCTCTTGCTGTTTCCAATAACAAGAGGAAATGGTAACAGAGGCAACCTGACAGCATAGCTAAACATCTCCGAGCGGCTGCATATTGTGGCTGATCGCTCATGGAGATATTTGCGCATGTGCATGAGACGAAGCAGTGTGCACTTGAAACTTGATTTTTAATTTTTGTTCCTCTTTTTTACTTTCTTGATACATAAATCCTTACTATCGAGGGCAGCGTAGATGGCTCAGTTCTCATTGAACGTGTGGTGACATACTCTTGTATCCATACATGGGCCTTAACACAAACACCGGAACACCGGAACCCCGTGATCGAGACGTACTCTGTGCCTATTTTAGTCGCCCTTCTATTTGCGGCGCTTGCCCCAAGCCTCGACGAACGCAGCCTTGTCGCGCAGCGTGAGACCGACCCTCTTATTTCTAGCCAGCCGGGCCAGGGTCTCGCCAATGTGATCCAGCAGCTGTCGACCCTCGGGCGTGATGGGGTCCTCCCCAGGATCCGCGTCCTCGTCTTCGGAGTCAAGAGCAGCGGGCTTGCCGGTGACAGCTTCCGACTTTGTGGTGACGGCCTCGGCAATTCGGACTCGGACGTAGTGGGTTGGGCGCGACAACAGCTCCCAGAAGAAGCCAAAGTATGCACCTGGAATCGGGGTCGTGATGTCCTGGGGCGTATAGCGTAAGCTGACGGGGAAGATCTTGGTGTCAGCGGGGGCGCTCAGCAGACTGGGCGACAAGGGGAGGAGACCGCGGCCGTTGGTGGTGCTGCACTCGGGGAATACGACGACGACGCGGTGGGGGTTGTTCTCGACGATGCCGCGCAGGCTGGTCAGGTTCTTGGGGCTCGGGGGCGCCAGCTGGACGGGGGCGAGGGCGCGCAGGATGGCGCCGAGGGTGGAGATGCGGGTGACCTTCTGGGTGCCGGGGTAGCTGACGGTGAAGATGGGGTCGAAGATGGTGGCCAGGTACAGGGCGTCGATGGGGCTCGTGAACTGGGCGGCGATGAGGGTGCCCTCGTAGGGGATGCGCTCGATGGACTTCTTGTGCAGGTGGCCGCGCTTGACGCCGTCGAGCTGCAGGTCGATCCACCAGATGCCGGGGATGACCAGCATGCCCCAGAGCAGCAGCTTGCGCACGAACTGGGGCAGCGGCAGGTGGGTGAGCAGCACGAAGTAGAAGCCGGCGTAGAGGAGGAAGAGCGGCAGGCGGAAGACGAAGAGGAAGAAGTGGCCGACGGACAGCAGGGCCGAGACGGGGGTGCGATGCGGGATGAAGGGCGAGATGCCGCTGCCGCGATCGCGGAACTGACTGAACCTCTCCATGGGTCTGGATGGATGCTTGCTTGCTGGCTGGCTGGCTTGCTGATGGACTGACGGCGGGTTGAGATGGACTGGGGCCGCGGACGACGGAGGTCAGGGCTCAAGTATAGCCTGGGCCAGGCATACGATCTGGCTGCAGACACTGACTTGACTGACTTGACTGACTTGGCTGACTGACTGACTGACTGGGTCGGGCCTCGTCTGGGGAGACAGAACCCCCGAGGTTTTCCGTGAAGGTCGCGTGGTGGGATACAGCCGTTGAGAAGTCCAAAGATGCCGGTAGGTCGGTGGGTGATAATGGCGTCAGGATCGTCGGCACATTTCTCTGCAGCCCGAATAGAGCTTGGGCAGCTGTGCCGTGTAGGGATGCTCCGTCTGCTCAAGTTAGGGTCCAACTAAGCTAGCAGACGACATGACATGACATGACATGTGACGGGGACGTTGTGTGAACCTGCAGGTTCAGATGGATACTGAGCCAAGTGTGGCTCGTGGGGTAGTGAAGAGCCCCTGTCAAAGTCAAGCTGGCTCAGGCTGAACAGTGGCGGTGCGACTCTGGCTGGTGCTCCAGTGCTCCAGTGGGTCGGGGTCCCTCTCCTCCCCGCTGTTTCGCGCGGGCGGTCTCTGGTTGCCCCGGGCAGCGGCGCCTTTCCCAGCGTGGAGCCCGGGTCAACATTTTGATTCGCGGCGCTGGACGGGATTAGCGCCGCCCAAAACGAAAACGGACCCGCGGGTGCACAGAGACTTGTACAGGTCCAAGCCTTGCCGAACGAATATCGTGACGACGAGCTACCGCCTTATCCGCCCACTGCCCATCCACTAAGCTATTGATATTCCGTCTGCTCTCAATCTCATCTCGTCCCAATCCCGGACTTGCTGCTGCCCGCCCACCTGTGCACACTTTGTGCTAACTTATTTGTTCATCGCCCCCCCCGTCGACGTCGACGCCGGCACCGACGCGCTAGAGGATCGCTGAGCCCGGATCGCCTGGTCTCTCTCTGTGTGTTTGTGCATGCCCGCGGCCCCCATGCGGATGAACACTGCAGCCCACTATTTACATTGCCCGCCGTCAACACGCCTTTTATCAACTCCTCTCCAGCTGGCGCCTCTCCGTCCGGAGCCCTGCTCCTAGCCTCGCTCGCATACCAGCTCGTCGTCCGCCGAAGGAACCCCGTCAACATGGACACGGAGAACGCGGTGCGTCGCCCTCGCCTTCACCCTCACCCTCACTCTCACCTGCGCCCTAGCCCCAGCCCTCGGCTCGGGATGCAATCTGGTCGCGCCCCGTCGCAGCTGCAGCGGCGCGGCCACGAGCACGAGCACGAGCACGAGCACGAGCACATGGACGAACGCGAATTGACTCGGGACCTACAGATGAACCGCCCCTCGGGTCTGCCGCGCCCAGGATCCCGCATCGCCCACTTCCAGTCCTCCACCACCTCCGCCCAGGGCCTGCACGAGATCTCCGAGTCGCAGACCAACACGAGAGCCCAGTACTCGGCCGCGCCCCCCTCGGCCATGAACGCCATGAAGCGCGCCCTCCCAGGACCCGGTGCGCCAGACCCTCACTACCCGCCTCGTGTCCCGGGCTCGCCATACTCACGCGCCATGAATGCAGCAGGCCAACCCGACCCCAAGCGCAAGACCCTCGCCGACAGGGCAGGCGAATTCCCCGCTGGCAGTACCCGGTCCGGCCTGGTCGCCCCTACTCCCGTGCGCGGCATGGTCAAGGGCACCTCTCTGAAAGACATGCAACTTGTAAGTCGCAACTCCCTCCGCGTTTCTGGCCGTACCTCCTTCCTGTCTGCTGCCCCTTGCCTGGACCTTCGTCACGCTGCCATCTTGTGCGGGCCCATACCCGTCCGGAGCCTGAGCCTCCTGGCCAAGCCGAATCTCAAAGCATTGCATCGATACTATGGCCCATCTGAACGATTCACCCCACAGCAAGCTCTGCAAGCTTCTCGTACAACTCTTCCGCCTCGTGCTAGTTCTCGCCTTCCACCGCACATACGACCAGGCCGAGCATCTCCTGGCCTCCATTGTGCTTGCCTGGGCTTCTCTCTATCCGAAGCCCCCGGGACCAGAACGCGCCCCAGATCCAAGGACCTCAGTGTCCCTGTCCCGCCGGGAGCAGACAACGATACCTCGTCCCGTGACAAAATGCTGCGATTCACTCGTAACTATCGGCGCCCGCCTTATCCCCAATCGGATCAAAGGCTTTCGTTTCTTCTTCACGTGGCTGAATAAAGAGACACCACAGGGAAATAGTGTTTCTCTGCGCATAGATGCAAGCTTCAGTGACAAAAACATGTCTCAGGACTATACCGTGGTCGGAGTTCACGACATGGAGCTCGAAGAGGTGGATTGGGACAGTCTCAAAGTCTCTCCGCCTCCTCGTCACTCTTCCTCTCCCTCTACCTCGATCCTATGACCTTCATTGCAACATGAGATGTTACTACAACTACTTCTTCGAGTGGAATTGGGTTTCAGAGCAAACTGACTGGGGCTATGATATACAGAGCCGATCCAATACCTCCGGGTCCCGGTACGCACCCTCCGCGAGCTCGACCATTTCGCGCAACACATCCAACAGCAGTTACGCCAGCAGTATAGGTCCCAACGGCCGACCACCATCACGATCTGCCCACGCCCGGTCGGCCAGCGTACGGTCAGCAGCCACTAAGAACGGCAGGCCCGTGACGTCTATGGGACTACGGGCCGAGGAGCAACCGCAGCAACAGCAGGGCAAAAATGGTACGATACCCACGTCCCAACAGCAGCGCGTGCGCAAGAAGCCGAGTTCAAGCAGCCTGCCCATCTCCCACAAGAAAGTGCGCAAATGCAACTCTGTCAGTGCTATAGGCACGGCGGCGGCAGCGTACAGCACCCCCCTTCCTACAGCTAGAGAAGCCTCTATCTGCGAAGCCTTCGACTCCTTGACCATCACTGGAGTTGGTATAAGATCAAGACGCAGCCGGCGGAATCCAGTGGCTTCCGGTCGAGAATCACCCACACCGAGTTTCAAATTACCACCGAATGTCACGCTGCGCAATCGTGGCCCGGCAAGTAGCAAGTCAGCTGCCTCAGAGGAGGATAAGTCCCAGGACGGCCCAGTGGTCCCCAGGACACCTTCCGCAAAAGAGATGACGCAACAGTTTGCAAGACTAGATTCATCTTACCGAGCTGCCAAGACCCCCCTGCTGTCCGCTTCGCCTACAAAGGCCGAGTTTTTAACTAAGGAATCTAACACACTTGCGTTTGTAGCCTGGGACGTCGACGAGCGGTTGGGCAATTTCGAGTCCGAATTCAAGGCCATGAAGGAGATGATCAACACCTCGATCCACGGCCAGAAGACCTTGGAGGAAGATGTTGCTGCCGTACGATTAAAAGGTGAGTCATTGCCGAGAACCGTGCTGCCCATGTTTTATGTCTACGATACTGATCGTGCCAAACAGCGAGCGAACTCGAACAACTGAAGAGCGACCTTGAGTCCAAAAAGTCGGAACTTCAAGTCGAATTAGATGATGCCGAGAGGCGTATCTTTACACTGACACGTGAGCTTGAAGATGAAAAGCGTGCAAGGCGTAATGACGCCGAAGATCTGATGCGCGACCACCGGAACGATATTGACAGCAGGCTCCGCGAGTTCACTCGAGAGAAGGACGACCTGGAGAGGCTAGCCCGCAAGCAACTCGAAACGGTGAAGGAGGAGCTGGCGAACGATTTCGCGAAGCAGCTCAATGACGCGCACAGGGCCTTTGAGGACCTGGAGAAGCTTCTGGAGGAGGAAAAGCAGAACGCGGCACTGCGAAGCGAGGCGAACGGCAAGGATCTGGAAGCGCAGCTGTCGGAGCTTGAGGACACCAGAAAGCAGCTCGATCGGGCCCGACGAACCCAAGATGAGCTCAACGGTCAACTGTTACTCAAGGAGGCCCGCATTTCAGATCTCGAGAAGCAGGTCCAAGCCGGCCACACGGCCCTGATCCACCTGAAGGGAGACGAACAGAAGCAACTCGACAACTTCCGACTTATGAGAGAAGAGAAGCAAGCGGCGCTGGATCAAGCAGCAGAGGCGTTGAAGCAAGCCGACGAGTACAAGGCCAAACTCAGGACCGAGGAGAGAAGGCGAAGAAAGCTTTTCGAGCAGCTGCAGACTCTCAAGGGCAACATTCGCGTCATGTGTCGCATTCGACCAGGACGTAATGACTCCGGCAATGCGCAGATCGAAACCGAGGTCGGCGACTATGATGACCATGTTGGCAAGATGACCGTCATGGTGCCCACCAAGAACTACCTGGAGCAGGAGCTGTTGGAGCCCAGATCCTACGATTTCGAGCGTGTGTTCGAGCAACAAGAAGGCAATAAGGTTGTCTTCGAGGAGATCAGCCAACTTGTGCAAAGTGCGCTGGACGGACAGAAGGTGTGCATCTTCTGCTACGGCCAGACGGGCTCCGGAAAGACGTACACCATGAGTTCCGAACAGGACTCCATCATCCCCACTGCCATGGACATGATCTACGAACAAGCCGAAGCGCTCAAGGACGCTGGGTGGTCCTACAAGATGTGGGGATCTTTCACCGAGGTCTACAACGAGAAGCTTTACGATCTCTTGGGTCGTGACGGCACACGGAACCATGTCGATCTTCGTCAGGACCCTGTGTCAAGAAAATACTATGTTGACTCTCAGGCGACCTTGCTTGAGTCGCCCGAGGCGGTTCAGCTTATGCTCGAGACGGCGGCTAGGAACCGCACTGTCGCCTCGACGAAGATGAACCGCGCCTCGTCGCGATCCCACTCGGTCTTCACGCTAAAGCTCGAAGGTGTGGATATGGATGGCAACCGGAGCGAGGGCGTGCTCAACCTGATCGATCTCGCTGGCTCTGAGCGCGTCAAGGAATCTCAAGTCGAGGGACAGAATTTCAAGGAAGCTACGAGCATCAATACTTCGCTCTCGACCCTGAGCAAGGTCATGACCGCCCTGGCTGACAACGCAAGCCACATCCCCTACCGCGACTCGGCTCTCACGAAGTTATTGGAGAGCTGCCTGGGTGGCAACTGCAAGAGTCTCATGTTTGTCATGGTCAGCCCGCTAAGCGCGGATATCAAGGAAACGATCAGCAGTTTGGACTTTGCCACTACAGTAAGTGCTCTGCCGGCTCTACGTTCAAGTATAAGGATGGTTTGCTAATGCGTGTTCTAGGTCTCGAAAGCCAAGCCCGGACAGCAAGGAGGTGCGCTCAAGGCTGTGAAGACGGGCCGGTCCGGCGCGGTGAAGAAGCGATAGCCGATCACGGCTCGACGCGACCCAATCACCCTGCCGTCGCGCCGGCTCGTTCAACAGCCTGCCCTGTTCCAAATATTACTTGAGTTTTGAGCGTGCGGGTTGAGACGAACTTTGTTTAGAAAATACCTATTTTGTTGGAGTTCTGCATGTGGATATGCCGGCATGTTTATAACCGGACCAGGAGTACAGGGCAGGGCACGTACAAAGTGGAAGAGTGTGAGCTCCGTTTTATGCAGCTTATCTATTCCCTTTCGACAATAAGTGCTTGGATTGTTGGTTGGATGGGGTTAAGGGGCTAAAGTTGACGGTACTGTCCCCTTCGGTCGAATGAGGCTGTGGACATTCTGTACATTTGTGTCTAGGACACACACTCTGGTAGAAGAAGACTCTCAGTTGATATCCAGATTTTCGCATCCATGTGCATTACGGTCAAGTCCTCGTTGGTGTTTGCTGCCCATCAGAGAACGGCCTGTACATGTGTCAATTTGTATGTGTCTAGGTTGAGTGAAGATCTGCAGGGCTCTGGGCGGCCCTTCGCCTTGAGATCGGACCACGCCAAAACATGGTATCATGCAAGTCATCGGATCTGTCGGATACCTGGCCTCACCGACGAAGCCGAGCCACTCACCGTGTGCTTCTTCGCCGTGTGGGTGTGCAGAGTTTGACGAGTTTGCCCGGGCGAGGCTGCCCCGTTCCGCAATCATGTCAGAATTGCGTCAGCGCCGCTCCCACGGCCGCCCCACACAGCCCCGTGATAGTCGGCGCCGATTGCCGGATCGGGGTCCATCATGGGATTGCGGGCGCGACGGACAAGACATGCTAATGCAGGCTGGCCCCATCCTTTTGTCCTTCTAGAAGAAGTTTCTGCTTTCACGCAATGGTAGGCACCCGGTGTGTAATCTTGGTGCAGCGGTGATATAAATATGTCTGCCCGTGGGTGGTGGTGGACTGACTTGGGGCATGGTGCGGGAAGATTATATCATGTGTGTCTCTCCAGTGCACACTATACCAAGTCGACGTCACTTCCTATTCATAGCTACAATCGCCGGTAAAGATTCTTTGATACCGAAATAACGCGCAAATTGACTTTCTGCGTTTACTCATATCGGAAAGCAATCTAGTCGCCATGCCGGCCTACGACCGCCGTCCCGGGCGCTACCACAGCCCGAGCCCACCTCCGCGACCCGCCTCCAAGACGGACAAATTCCTCGACGCCCTAGACCGAGGCCACTTACGGGAAGCCATCAGTGCCTTCAGTTCGGACGATGGCAGACGGGAGAGAAGTTATCATGCAGCGCACCGACGCGATCGTAAAGTGGAATACTACCCTACGACTGATGACAGTGGCGACGACGCTCACTACGAAGAAGAGCGGCCCCGCCGTCGCCATCACCATCATCACCACCACCACAGCGATAAGGAAAGAGGCACGCCGAGAGATAACTATTACTATGAAGATGAACGACCTCGGCGGCGCGGTCGCTCTGTATACTCGGACTCCCGTGACCACCATCACAGGACCTCATCGCACCATCGGCGCCACCGTGCGCGGTCCGCAAGCGGCGGTCCGAGCTGGAGACAGGCCACAGAGGCTGCCGTCAGTGCCGGCCTGATCGAAGGGTGGCGATCGCGGCACAACCCGGAGCGGACAGCACGGATGGCTACAGCAGCGGGCGGTGCGGCCGCCACGGCCATGTTGGTGGGTAAAGGGGACGGTGACCGCAAGAACAAGAGGCACGTCACGGAGAGCACAATCGGGGGGTTGATGATTGACCGCGTCGTTAACGGGTCGCGGAAGAGGTAGAATACATTTCTTTCCGGCTGACTTGTTTGGGCAAGGTTTGCGAGCGGGTGTACGCCCTTGAGAAAGGGAAGAAAACTATACTCTCGTTTGGCCTCTTCTCGGGGTATGGGCATCGCAGGGTTCGCACTTCCACATCACGCCAGAATCAGGAAACAACATAGCGGGGGAGGATGGCGTAACGCGGAGGACTGTAACGTAGCTCGTCAGGAAAATCAGATCTGTCGCACCGCAGAGCCGGTTGTTGCGGTAAAATAGGTTCGTGTGCGGATCTGCGGCAGCCATTCCTCCGAGGGTTCAGGGGGGGTTCCCAATTCTACCGGCAATTGCTAACTTTAACACCACGGCCATGCTTCCGTTTTGTTTAATCCGAGACATGTGCCCATATCTCGCCATAATTTACAAAGATAAGCAACGAGAAGAAAGAAAGAGACGCGGTTGATGGGAAAATGTGGGAACCGGAGCGACGGCGTCGATATCACCTGGCCGCGTCAGTACTCGGAGCCGGGCCAATGCAGAAAAAAGTGACATGCCGCAGAGGTATCTGGGACTTGGGAATAGAAAACGACCCTGCATATGACTCCATGTAAATGAAAGATCACGCAAGCCTCAGACACCACCCCGATTCCGTCAACCCGGGCCTCTGGCGGCCCTCTGCTGCAGCCTATATCTCTGCAATCTTCAGCATAGGGGCTAGCTTCCTTTGCCTTTGCCAAGACTTTTCAACATCTCTCCCCTCCTACACACGAGCCACGTTGGAAAGAAAAAGAGGCACAGACCGGGGAGGTCTCCATCCCGCTCCTCAGTACCGTCCGGGAAAGACTATTTCCTGTCATATTGTGGCGGCAAGATCGCGCGGCAAGTGGTCCGGAATGTGGCCGTCAGCAAACCTGATGCTGCTGGTCCTGGCCGCATTCCCAACGTGGTCAGCCGAGTCCAGCCACCTGGACGCTCGCCAGTCCTGGACGAGCAGCTATTGGAGCCAGGAGTTCAGCAAGTACGGCTGCAGGCCCGTCATCTTCATCTTTGCCCGGGCGACGATAGAGCCTGGGAATATGGTAGGCCATTCGTTGTTCATATGTTCTTATCTCGTAGACTATATTGGAAATGAGGAGGCTCATGGTTACGCAGGGGAACACGGTTGGGCCCCGGATATCCAACGCACTCAAGGCTGCGTTTGGAGTGACCTATGTGGCCACCGAAGGGGTTGACTATCTTAGTCTTCCGGACACCAACTTCTTCCCGGGAGGCGCGCCACCGTTTGGGGTTGGGCTGATGCAGGTACTTCTGAGTGCTGCTGCTAAGTGTCCCAACTCGAAGATCGTGGCCTCAGGCTACAGGTAAGAGTTCTCGGCAAGGTAGTGCCAAAGACGATGAACACCACTGACTCGCTACGTTTGACATAGCCAGGGGGCAGCCCTCACGCACCGTGCGATCCAGGGGCTGAGTGACCCGGTGAAAGATAAGATTGCCGGCGTTGTCACGTTCGGTGACACGCAAACGTGGCAAGACGGCGGCCAGATCCGGGGCTTCGATGCTAACAAGACCCTGATCATCTGTAACATCGGTGACCTGGTGTGCATCGGAACGTTGTATGTCATGCCTGTCCACCTGGACTACGTGAAGTGGGTGCCCACAGCCGTCGCATGGCTCATTCAGAAGCTGCTCTACGCTGATGAGATTAACCCCTGGTGGGACGGCACGTTCTCACTGCCGCCGCCGCCAGGCTCGCCGAGAACGGATCTTCAGCTTGCGAATACCGATGATTGTGTCGTTCCACCAACGAGACAATGATGCGTTGGGGGTCAAGCTTGAAAATTAACACGAGTCTGTCCATGAAACTGTAGAATGGGTGGCTAAGACAGGAGTGCATACTAGAAACCAGATCGCGGATGACCTGTCGTGTCTCCGGTAGGGTTATGTGTATATATTTACCCGATAGAGTAGAGATACGATATACGCAGCACTGAGTTGTACTACACTATTGAACCTGTTGTTAATGAGACCAAGCCCTACAGTACACTTTCGACAAACGTGAGAATGCGCCATGTGAACCACTTCATAGGGTCTGAAATATGTTCTACTTGAACTTAAAGATGGGAGATAGTGGAAAGTAGTGTCTCAGCCCTAGCGGGGATTGAAGTTCTTGAGTTTTTCGACTTTGGTATGTTTTATGGTAGTATAAATGTCCAGACATTGCTATAAAACAGCTTGCAAGTGTAAGTTGCACATTCAGGGTGCTACTCACCATTCTTGTATACTCTATGAGTTACTCTAATACTCTCGGCCCATTGCCTCCGAACTCAGTCCAGTCTTGCTCTCTTTCAAATCACACTGAAGGTATCTGAAGTCTCGCAACGGATGACCCTTATACGGACGTATGTTCTGCCCATCGACTTCTAGCTCCACCTCCCAAAGGTCTTCCTTGATGATTGTTTCGACTTTGAATGGCGCATCTTTATGCAGCCAAATCTTCGAAATCTGGTCATTTCCGGCGCCTACCAACAGCCCCCGGAACCCTTTGGCCGCCATCTCGTGCATCACCCACCATGATGCCAGTTTCCCCAGTCCCTTCCCTTCGTACTCTGAACGCGTTACGCACCCGGATCGGTGTGCATACTGACCAATTTCAGTGGGCTGCGGGAGATTGGGAATGGTTTGGGCCGTGTCTGTGAACTGCGCCATCATCGCACCCCAGGCGGGGAGTAGCCTGCCCATGGCCGCATATGCTTCCTTGGGTGGCGGCTGAAGCAGGTCGTATGACAGAGCCAGGGAAACGATTGGAAAGTCTAGCCCATCCAACATCCACTGCTCTCCCTTGACCTCAAGTGCCGGGTCTTCGGCATTAATCTCATCCCAGTAGAATGCACCGCCGCTGGCAACAGATTCAGGACGCTTGAAGACATACTCTTTATCGTAGACGGCGTAGGAGAGGCCATTGCGTAGAGAGTGGCCATAGTAAGGCTCCAGAGTCCGCCAGCCTGTCAGTATCGTCTTGACTTTCGGCTCAGGGATTAATGGTCGCCAGATTGGCGCACGCAGCAGCAGTGCTTGGGCGAGCAACGCGCGACACCATTCTTCGTGCTGCGGCTCTATCGGGCGGATCTCGTATCGACCAGGCAAGGCGATGCCATGAAGGTCTTTTACGGCGCCCATCCTAGCTATAGCGAGACACCACCCAGCATTCAGTGCCTTTCTCTGCAGCAGAAACTCAAAGCAGGCTGTGAAGGCTTTCACAAATCGACTGGCTCAATTCGGAGATGCGACTCAATTGCCAATACGCATTTTCGGCACCGGGGAGGCCATGTCAGCATGCAGTCAGCAGCTAGTGGCGTGTGAGCAGCCTTGCTTTGAGCGAGTTGATTGGCGTTTCGGCGAGACGAAGAGGGTGTTCACTGTACGCTCTAGGAGCACATATGTACACCGCAAGTCGGTAACAACGGCTACTTCCGGAGCTGGATAGACCTGGGTATGACGTCTGTCGGTTCAATGGTGCCTGTACATGTGTTTTTAGGTTCCACTGGGGTTGGGACAAAAGACCGCCACGAAACTCGTTATACTTTAACCCGCAGGGAGACACCTGTCCTTAGCTCGTAGACTTAAAAACGTCGTGTATACAAGTTGTGAAATAGTCTCCTCAGATGAGATAAGAACGTCGAAGGATTTCCTTATGCGGTGGTGAGTAAGCCCCTCGCACCACCCTATGGTGATCCCAATATCTCGGAGACTTACCCCTACATCTCTTCTCCCTACAAGCCACTTCCAAATGAGGCTGCCTTCCAGGGTTTCTTTTATTTGTATTGTGGGTTCTTCTGGCACACTAACGCGCCACCACTACGTCAAGTGCTACGTGAAGTCATGTCGATTTCCTGTTGCATCCAGCTGATTCGTAATCATAGGCTCAAAATCGGAACTTGTGGTCAGAGCTTGCATCAAACGCCGTATACAAGGATCTTTTATCAGAAGCAGTCATGCGGTCATTTCCCAGATGCAAAAATATTTGTACGGTGTCTCGGCCTCCTGATCGAGCCATATAGTGATGAAAGTCTACGATGAAGATATTTCGCAACATTCATCAAACCAGCTTAACATATCACAGAAATTTCGAACAGTACTCTGTTGTCTTTTGCACAAAAACTGGTAATAAGGCCGTGATAGCGTGGTCGTCATGGTGCCCCATTTGATCTGCAGCATTCTATGCGGACTTAGCACCTTCGTCATCCCCGTGCTTTGTAGAGACTTTCCATCTACTGCGACCAACCCTACCCAATACGATCCAAAAGATGTTATTAAGCGGGACGTTATTGTTGTTGGAGGCGGCTCCACAGGAACCTACAGCTCAATCCGACTTAGAGATCATGGTAAATCGATAATCGTGGTCGAGAAGAAAGCTACCCTGGGTGGTCACGCCGAAGCCTGGATTGACCCTTCAACTGGTACGGCAATCGATATCGGGGTCATTGTATTTGCATACTCGGAAACAGTCGATAATTACTTTGCCCGTTTCAATCTATCACTGGCCCCCTTGTCAGACACAGGCCCAAGTATATATGCCGACTTCAGTACTGGGCAGATGGTTGATTTTGTCCCACCGAGCCAGGAAGCAGTGGGCGCTGCGTTAGCAGTCTATAAGAGTCATCTGGATAAGTACCCGGCCCTACAAGACGGCTTCAACTTGTCCTACCCAGTCGATCCAGAGCTGCTTATCTCATTCGGAGATTTTGTTGCAAAGTGCGGGCTGCAGGACATGATCCCCCTGGTCTTCACCGTAAACCAGGGAGCGTCACCACTCCTGAACATCAGCATGCTTTACACGTTCAAGTACCTCAACGCCGAAGTGGTTGAACAACTTGAGCGAGGGTTTCGGACTACTGAGCATCACTCCACGACGGAATTATACCACAAAGCTGCAGAATTCCTCGGCCCTGATGTTCTGTTTAACAGCACTGTGTTGGAAGTAGACCGTTCATGCCCTGACGAGGTACGAGTTGCCGTTCAGACACCCACCGGCCCCAAGCTGGTAATTGCGAAGAAACTTTTGTCAACTATCCCCCCAATGCTCGAGAATCTGCAGGAGTATGATCTTTCAGAGGATGAAAAGGACCTCTTTGGCCAGTTTTTCGCCAATGGATACTACACCGGTATCCTCAAGAATACAAACCTGAACATATCTATTTCGGCCGCGGAACCAGATCAGCCTTACAATGTTCCGGAGATACCAGGTCTCTACTCTTTGATTGCACTTCCTATCAGTGGTGGAATAACATCGATAAAATACGGAAGACCGACAGTGCTCCCGAACGAACAGATCCAGGCAGATATTGTGGCGAGCATACAGCGCTATCAAAAAGAGAATGGAGTGCCGGTGACGGAACCCGAATGGCTGGTTTTTTCCAGTCACTCTCCCTTTAATCTCATGGTTTCTAATGATGCGATTGCCGCCGGATTCTATCAGAAGCTCTATTCGTTGCAGGGCGAGAGGAATACTTTCTACAATGGAGCGGCGTGGCAGACGCAAGATTCGAGCGTCCTCTGGAAGTTCACAGATGACTATATTATTCCCAACATACTAGCATCCTTAAAAAAGTAGCTTGGGATCGGGCTGGGTAGTTCGAAAGTGAGTTTCGAGGGAAAAGAAACACCCCTGTTCAAAGTCAAATCATCAACATGTGACATTTCAGTCTTCTTGGAGCTACTACTTGACGTGTTCTATTCATCTGCATTGGGAGGAATCACGTGGAAAGTATCATAGGTTATGTAATACCTTGTGTCATTGCGGTTAGACAGTGCTATTTTGAGATTGGCCATGAAATGATACGCTGAATCAACGGTTGATTCTAATACATTCCTACACCAGGATAAGCAATGAGCCCACTCTGTCACTTTTGATATGTCTATTTCTGTCATGGGTAATCGTTACGTTTCAACAGCACTGTATACGGCCATAATCGGCTGTAGCTGCAGCTACGGGTGCTTTAAGCGGAGCCTTGCGTGCTTGTTCTCAAGAAACTTAATCTCCGTATACTTCAAGTAATTTTCGTAAAACGAGCTGTATTGGGAACATAGTGAAAGCACAACTGATACGAAACGCAATGCTGGTATAGTACACTCTTTGCTAGCTCTGAATTGGAAGACGCAAAGGTGCTCACTGCGCGCGTATAAGGGGCGAATGAGCAACAACATGATCTGACCCTACCAATACCTCTGCTTTTGGATGTCCACGCTACAGACCCTCATCAGGACCAGAAGGGGTTATTTTCTAAATTTCTCACCTTGCAAGACCTTGGAGAGCTTTCAAGCATATAAACCAAGGTAGGACAAGTATCTACTAGCGGGTGCGTGATTGAGACCTGAGTGGCTGATAGCACTGGTAATAGTAGCATCGGAACCTGCGGATGTCCCTTATATGGCCACTCGCCTGAATGATCCCCTGTGTCATTTTTAGTACAGGGCCAAGCACGGCATACGATCGCTCGATGCGACCTGCACTCGAATGGGTTGCAACAATGCAGCTACCAACGCAGCAGGCATCTCAAGCTGCATATCTTAAAGCACCCGCGTGGGGTTTGATGTACCCCATATCATCCCATGGAACTGGTACCAGTTCATGTTAGATAACTCGTCCACCTGCACGTGGCCATTCTTGTAGGCTGAACGGCCATATGCGGGTATTCCTCAGTTTAGCGAACTGCTCAGCCAATTCATCCATTGGACTCTATAAATAGCATGAGAACAATTGCTACTTTCAGCAAATTTGAAAATTAATCAGATACAATATGCTGGCTCATCGTGAAGGTTCGGCAAAGCCGATGATGGAATGATGTGTCGAGCAATACGTACTTACTCAGGTAGCAGGTTCAGTATAATAGCGTGAGAATGGTTTCGAGAATTCGTGGCCGACCAGTGCCCTGATTTTCCCAAAGGCCTCATAGCACATTGCTTATCACTCCGTTGAAATTTGTTGCGTTCCAGTGCATGTATTACAGTGCTTGTTGATCACTCGAACGTCTGATTTCCCAAAAGGTTATTTCCAGTCATATAGACGGTAACGAACCGACGGATACTAGCAAACCTGGCGGGATCCTAGATAAGCCAGTTGGTAAAGCAATTGAACATGAAAGCGGAGTACGCATAATTGTATAATTGACATTGTGGGTTTACCGTTCACCCTGATCTCTGACTCCATGATGGGATAATAACCAGTCTCGGCGGAGCGCATGGTCGACCCTTATGAAGGAATCGCACGCAGAAGCAGGGCCCTCATGGTCTCGCGAAAGCCGCATTAATGAGCTCCACTTGGCATTTCTCCCAGCTAGATGCACTTTGTAACATCGTCAATGTCGCGAGTTATGACACTTGCAAAGGGCGTTTATTTACTGAGAGTTTGGTAGAGCGCACGACGCTTTCTTCGCCTCGATCTGGGAGACATGCATAACGGAACATTTTCTTTTGCTTTAGGCAAGATCAATCATCACACATATGATTCCTCACTACGATATTTACCATGCTGCGGCCTAATGTATATAGCTGAGTGTGCCACTTCTCACGAATGGAGTGCATGGAAGTTGCAGAAAACCAGTCGAGGGCGTCCATACATGGCATGTATATTCTCAACAGTTTGGAGAGATGACAAGTTGAAGCCAGACCACGTTACTGGCCGATGGAAATCCAACGATACATCTCGTTTTGATTTCATGTGGTTGTCGTATGTGCAAGGGTTGATTACATCACTAGTTTCCCCTGCCTTTTTTGGGTGACTTTTCCAGTAATGCAGTGGACAATGAATCGATTTACCAGAATACGTTTTGCTGCTGCAATGTAGCTCAGTTTGTGTAGCTCAAACTTCAACGGTTTATTCTTTTTCTGAGGGGTCACCGTATTAGAAGTTATCCGAACCGTCTACTGGGCACCAAGATGGGGCCGCATAACCGGATTCCATATTGAAAGATCGATATATTTACAGCATTTCTAAAGACTTAGATTCAATGAACATTGCTCCGCATATACAGAAAGAGTTAGACTGTGACTTTGGATATGACCAGCTTGCAACCCAGCTTTGGCGGACCGACCCTTCCTCGGTGCAGGACGATAACGCCAAGATCGCTTGTAGATGCCCATGGCACGTGAACTGACGAGATTGTAAGGTAACAATATACTGTCCTTGGCCAAATTATTGTGCAACATAGGTAGTCGGGAGGGTCCGACAACCGTGCTAGCCGTCACCGACAACCTTAAGTGAAGCAATGAAACATCGCTCTCCTTCCCAAACAGGAAGTTGAGGTTTTATGGGGATGCCTAGCTCAGCAACCCTAGTCTTTCGAAACCCCTGTAAATCGTTATCATAGCCATGTGGCAGCGTCGTTGTCGGCAATGCTACTGTACTAGATAACCCCGCGCCGTGCGCCTGTGCAGTGGAGAGTCGCAGGATTACGGCTGAGAGGGTAGTGGGAATGATCATCGCTAATGCAATGTCACGAGTGAGACACGCGCGGGGCATGCTGACACGATAGTATCGCGAGGAAGTACAGGAACCTTCATCACAAGTAACGCACTCAGCGAGTTACCCCAGGCGGATTTTGTTACATGCCGGGCAGTTGTCTCAATTGGTTTCTCAGTGTTACTTACCCTTATCATTGACAACAACTCCACCTGCTGCGCTCGGCTCGCGAGAGGGGCGCTCATACACGCGTGACAAGAAACCGGCATACCACCTCGAGTCAGAAAACGACTATGAGCAGTAACACCTACCATCCTGGCCATGTGCGACGGGAGAAAGGTGAAAGACTAGGTCCGGGCGATCCCGACGCTGGTGTCCTAGCAGAAAGCGACCGCGAGAGAGGCGGTTATACAGGCCCAGGCTTCGTAAACGACGTCTTCGGCGAGGAACAGGGTCATGACATCAAATACAAGACATTAACATGGCCAATGGTGGCGCTCCTCATGATCACCGAGATCGTGTCGAATGGCATGCTGAGTCTGCCTAGTAGTCTAGCAGCGGTCGGCATTGTCCCGGCAGTTGTCGTGATCTTCTTTCTCGGCGCATTTGCGACGTATACGGCATGGGCACTAATACAGTTCAAGCTCAGACACCCGGAAGTCCACAACATGGGCGATGCTGGTATGATCATGTTTGGGCCTATCGGGAGAGAGATACTCGCCGGCGGGACTATCATCTTCGCCGTTTGCGCTACAGGCAGTCAGATGCTTGCCGGCCAACTTGCGTTAACAGTCCTCTCGGACACTAAGCTATGTGCCCTGGCCTTTACAGGCATTTTTGCCGCCGCTACAGTCATGGTCAGTTTCCCAAGGACCCTTGGAAACCTTGGCTGGCTTTCGGTAGCTGGAGGAATATCCATCATTGTGGCTGGTATCGTTGCAATGGCTGGCGCTGGAGCGTCTCCTGTTGCGCCAGGTGATATCGCCATCACGATCTCGACAGACTTTACGTCGGCCTTCATCAGCATCACCAATCCCGTTTTCGCCTATGCCGGGCATTTTATGTTTTTCATCCTGTGCGTAATCGGTAATTTCTTGGCTCGTCCATTCCCCCCCGTATGCTGGCATAACCACCTTGAGTCTTATTCTCCTACGCACACCTGGAATACTATACGTAGTCCGACGCTGGAATATGCCGACTTTGGGATGTTGCCGCTCCATGGATTAGTGTCTCAGGAGCTCGACGCCCCAGAAGTGCTTGGCTGGAGAAATGCTAACTTGATATGTCCAAAGGATATCTGAGATGCAAAGACCCCGAGATGCCATGAAGGCCGCTTGGGCCCTGCAAATAGTAGCCACGACATTCTACATCGTTTTCGCAGTTGTTACGTACTGGTATGTAGGCTCAGGGGTCTCGAGCCCAAGTCTTCTCAGCCTGGAGCCCCTGTGGGCCAAGATCAGCTTTGGTCTCGCGATTCCAAACTTCCTCATCGCTGGGGCACTATACAGCCACACGGCAGCGAAACTCGTGTTCGTGCGGATCTTCAGGCACAGCCGGCATATTCACTCGCATACATTTACCGGCTGGGGCATGTGGACCTTTCTGATACTTCTTGCTAACGTTGCAGCCTTCGTGCTGGCTGTCGGCATCCCATCCTTCAACTATCTGGTTGGTATTACAGCATCGTTGTTCGCGGCCTGGTACACCTATGGTCTCGCGGGAATGTTCTGGCTCCACGATACTTACCACTTCAAAGGTGGAGCACGCGCCTGGGTCAAAAGACCGCTCATGCTGGTGGTAAATGTTCTTACCATTCTGGCCGGGGCCTTCATCTGCGTTGGAGGGCTGTATGCAACAATCAAGGCATTGCAGATGGCATCTGAGGCGGGTTTATTGCCTTCGCCTTTCCAGTGCTAAGCTTGAATGGATCTTGTCAGCATTATAATCCGTAGGGATAGTGAGTATTTGCTGCACACGTACAAGGACTTTCGATTTTTGATTTTCTATTTTACTTGAAAACCGCACGAGAAGGAATATGTGGAATGCTTCAAGTACGACATATCACTCTGCGAAGAGCCGCAAGTGCCCTAGTTCAAAAGCATGCACGTAAAGGTTTAGCAATATGACGCTGCGTGGTCGGAACAAAAACTCCGGTAATGTGGCGGCCAAAACTCCACACCAATCGCATAAATCTGTAGAAATCAGCAATTGCATTGACTTCTACCCCCACAACGGACCCAATGTTTCTGGAGACCAAACTGTTTCGATAATCAGTGAAACAAACAGAATACGGCGTATTCAGGCACAAGTGAAGTCATTAACCGCCTGCTCTGACGTTGATGGCGCATCGGACACGCTATGTCGTCATAGCCGGAGCTTCACAGTTCACAGCTCGAAGCTCCCAATAAGAAAGCTCGTCACCACATTTTCAATCTGCCTCTAGATTCGATTAATCCAATTCAAATATTATCATTTACACCCATCCTTCAACTCTAGAATTGAACAACCGTTCGAAGAAAAGAAATCACATACCAGTGACGCCTATTGAAATCATGTCTCCAAACAAAGCACCTAGCCACGGCCAGAAGGTGACTCTCGGCGAGAATGCTCCCGTGACCCGCGAAGGCCCAGGTGCTGTTCATGCAAGTTCATTGGCTGCCGAGTCTCAAGCATTTCAAGCTGGTAATGAGGCCGCCGCCTCGCAGTCCTCGCGTGAGAATGTTGCATCCGCTTCAAAACCCCACGAGGGCCGAAGCTATGCCCAGGCGGGCACCGGCACTGAAGCCAAGCATGTCCCCCAGGCACCTAGCTACGTCCACAGCCAATACGACCGGGCCCACTCAAGACCCCACGGCAAGAACATCACGGAGGACAACAGCATCGGCGACGATGAGGCGAAGAATGCAAGTTTCACCGAGTTCGGCACTGCAGCTGACCCCAGCCACTTGGCGGAGGAGAGGATCATTGCCGTTGACAGTACTCCTGCCAACCTCACAGGCACCCGGCAGAAGCATATTGATGGAAAAACTATTTACGACTCCCTTGGCTCTGATCAACAGGCGTGATTTACGCCCCTCGACGCCAATGCGAGGCGAAGGAATATATTGGATTTTCGGCCGTACAATTGCGCATTATGGGGTTCGAATAGGTAGTGGTGTATTCACTTGAAGCACAAATTGAACATTTGCTAGATTGTACTTCTTCGATAAGCACAATAATTCTAGGGTGTCTATTCACTCTTGATATTGCTCGGTCATCTATCCTATCTTACAGCTTCGAGGAGTACAGTTGCCCAGGACATTATCCGCAGTCGCGCAGACATGCGCAGAGGGCAGTTCATCGATCCAAAGCTTGAGCTTGACACTAATCTCGTAGTAAGTAGGAGTTTAGTGACGAAGAGAGCGGAATATAGACTTACCATACTCCAGTACACCCCCCTTTTCTGCAATAGTTGGGCATGTGTCCCGCTTTCGACTACACTACCGTCGCCTAGGACGTATATAATATCTGCATTCTGTATGGTGGACAGTCTGTGGGCGACGACTATCATAGTTCTCGACTTCTTTGTTCTCTCTAAGACGCCTTGTACCAGCTTCTCCGTCTCGGAGTCAAGGGCCGAAGTAGCTTCATCGAGAAGCAACAGACGCGGGTTTCTGATCAGGGCTCTTGCTATAGCCATTCGCTGTTTCTGGCCACCGGAGAGTAGGATGCCCTTAAACCCTACTTTGGTGTTATATCCGTCCGGCAGAGAGATGATGAAGTCGTGGATCTCGGCGTCTCGGCACGCTTGATGCAGATCTTCTTCTGATACTGCATCCTCATCGACGCCAAGAAGAATGTTCTCACGAATTGAGCCTTGAAACATGAAGGCTTCTTGTGCGACTAACGAGATCGTTTTTCGATAGTCACGGAGGTTGATGTCTTCTATGTTGAAGCCGTTGTAGAGAACACTACCTGATTTGACGTTATAGTATCTCTCGAGTAGAGATATGACGCTGGTTTTGCCACAACCTAAGCAATTGTTAGTCTTGATTGTACACGTCTAGTGGTGATAGCATACCGGAAGGCCCGACAATTGCAGCGAATTGGCCTTTTTCTATCGTCATATCCAACCCGCATAGTACTGGGACGTCACGCGTAGGATACTTGAACCAAACATCTTGGAGCTCAATCTTGGGTCCCATTATGTCGTTCTTGTCATCCAACTCAAGAATTTCATCATCGATCTTGATACCATGCTCAGCATCAAACTCCCTCTTCCGCAATTCTTCCAGACGGTTTGCGGCTACCGTGGCTTGCGCCATATTTGGCACAAAGCTGAGCCATTGGCCGACACCCATTGCGCCTTGGATGACGGCAATGTACACGACAAGATACTGGAAGGACCAGTATTCACCGCTAACTAGGAGCCCCCCTCCGTACCAAAGAATGAAAGCCATGCAGAGTAGAGGGATGGCATCGCTGGCGGCAAATATGATGGTAGCCAAGCGTGCTTTTTTGAATGCTTTCGATACATGGTCATCGAGAAGATTTTCGTACCTCCGGCATATGCTGTCTTCCAGTGTGAGGGCAGTGACTGTTCTAATGGCGCCCATAGACTCTGTTGCAAACTTGGCACTTTCGGCAAACACCTTGTTGTTCATTTTGTGGAACTTTTTCTCTATGCGAGAACGGAAGAAACCTGCACCGATGGCTAACGGCATAGCACAAGATAGTGCGACCGCTGTAAGCTTCCAGCCAAAATAGAATGCCACTGCCAGACATCCGGTGACACTCAATATGGCAATGATGACGAAAGCCATGTTGATACCCAGAAGTTGCTGGAGTGCTTGTGCATCCATCGCAAGTCGCGACGTCAAGGATCCCTGGTTGGAATCTTCCTTATCAAACCAAGAAATAGGCTGCGCGATAATGTTGTTGAAATATTCGCGCTGAAATGAAGTGGTAATAATCTAGCATTGTTAACTTATACAAGTCCCAGTTTCTTGGGTGGACTGGTAAACTCACAAAGGCGACTCGCGTGGAGGCAAATCCGAGCGCAAAGTAGCCAACACCAACACAGCCCGCCAGAATGACGAACATGAGGCTCCAAAAATTGGTCAACATCAGCAATAGCTGTCCTCCAACGTTGAATGAGGACAAAAGAGCGGCAAATAGATACGCCTGTACGGGCGAACTTGCTGTAACGTTGTGATTAGTCTCCCTAATAGCAGAAAGTTGGTGTGTATGCATACTTCCGGCTACGACCGCACCAGAGAACATGGTCAAGTACCATGGCCAATGCTGCTTCTGCTCCAGGAGCAGGGGACCAAAAGACTTGATCAGGCCCTTGGATTTTGGCTCGGATTCCTCGTCTCCATCGCTTGATGTACCCATAGACACCCTCTTCTTCTTCGTCTCCTCATCCTTCTCCATCAAATCCATTGTGCGTACCTCTGACTCGGTGATATCGGATGAATCTTCCGATGGCTCTTTCTCATCACCTAGGGAAAGCTGCTGGGCCTGAGTGAGTAAGTAATATGGACCGTCTTTTTTTGCCATCAGTTGTTCATGCTTTCCCCACTGCGAGACTTTGCCCTTGGCCATGACAATGATGTGGTCTGCCTTTTTGACAGTTGACAGCCTATGGGCAATCATGATTGTCGTACGGCCCTTCGACACCTTGTCTAAGGCTGCTTGTACCACCTTTTCAGCCCGAACATCAATCGCGCTTGTTGCCTCGTCTAAAATCAGAATTTTCGGCTTCTTGATAATGGCACGGGCGATCGCGAGCCGTTGCCTCTGACCACCGCTTAGTTTGCCACCTGACTCTCCCACGGCGGTATCGTAGCCCTAGACATAGGTCAGTTTCTGATTCACTCCTTGACATTGGTCACTTACATCCGGAAGCCTAGCAATGAACTCATCGGCGAAGGCTTCTTTGCAGGCTTGCGCCACAAGCTCCCGCTTCTTGTCCTCCTCTGCGTTTTCCCATTCCGTTCCTATCAGCCCATATGCAACGTTCGTGAAGATCGTGTCATTGAACAGAAATGGCTCTTGCTGGACAAGTCCTATCTGAGATCTCCACCACTTGAGATCAATCTCATGCAGAGGTACACCACCACATTTTACCGAACCGTTGCGGAAGTATTGGACCTGCACAAGGTCGGTCAGTTTTAGCGACTTTCAACGCGATTCAATGGTACCTATACTTACTAGCTTGTTTTTGTTCGCTGCACCATCGAGTTCATACCATCTTTCAATAAGATTTACCACTGTGCTCTTCCCGGAGCCTGAAGGGCCAACAATGGCAGTAACCTTACCGGCTGGTATGACCAGCTTCAGTTGATCCAGAATTTTCTGCTTTGGCCGGGATGGGTAGGTGAAATTGACGTTCCAAAGGACGAGTCTATCTGCGGCGTTTACTTCCGGCGCTTTTTTCCCTCCGGGCTTGGGTTTAGGAGCCTCGATTCCATTGAAAAGAATTCTAGCCGAGGCAGCTGCTCGAGAGGCAGCAGACAGAGGCTGAGCAATATTTCCGATCGTGTTCGTTGTCATCATCACGCACATCAAGACGCTGATGGATGTCAGTGCTGTTTACTTCAGGTTGGAGCTTGGTAGAGAACGTACATGATAAGAATGCTGTTGTTAGGTATTTCACCGTCAACAATCATTCTAGCTGCAAACCAGCAAGACAGCGCAAATGTGCCGATGACACTGAAGTAAACTGCTCAAGTTAGCAAAGTATCATGTTATTATGAGGAATTACACACCTATCGATTTTTGCACAGCAACAATTTTGGAAAGCCGCATGCCTCGCTGTCGAGACTGCGAAACCCAATCTTCATACTTCTTCACCATTCGCGCCTCGGCGCCAAACGCCGCTATCATTCGTATTGCCCCGAAAACCTCGCTCGCAACACCAGAAGCTTTGATGTTGATTTGTTCGACTGCCTTCATATTTCTGACGACAAATGGTGTTGTGATACAGTAACAGATGATAATCAAGACCAAGCCACTACTTGTGACGAGGGTAAGTTTCCAGCTGTGATAGAAGGCATTGCTCATTGCACCGATCATCAGGGCAATGCTTTGAATCAGAAGAGCAAACTTTTCCGAGACACCGTCTTGCACTGTGTTGGCTGTTGCAGTAATGATTGCTGCAAGTTGACCGGGAGGTTGAGTATCCAGCATCGATACCCGCTGTTTCATGAGAGCCTGCAGATAGGCCAGTCGAAGTGTAGAAGATACGCGAATACTCATGATGTTGAACCCAAGCTGTGATTGCATCAGTATGGAGCTTCCAAGGCGCGCAAATAACCTTACTGTTGCGATGTATTCCGAAACGAATCTCGCGGCGAAGAGATACAACATGTATAGCCTGTGGATTGCGTCAGCCAAGGGGTTCTCGGACTCGTGATCCGCGATGGTTGCTTACACGCTCTGATTAATGATCCCCGTCAAAACCAACTTAACGTCATGACCGGCGAAAGAAGCAGTGGTAATACTTCCAACTAGGTTTCCAAAAACGATGGTCATTGCCGGAAATGTCAGTCCCGTCACTATGGCAGCAAAGGCTGAAATAGCTATGAAAACTCGGTCTCGTTTGGTGGTATAAGAGAAGATCCTCTGCAACTGGTAAGACATATGTTTGCGTGCCGAAAGGCAGGTACTACTTACAACGAAATCCTTGATCGTGTCTCCATACTTGCCCTTCGCCAACCTCTTCCTCCTCCGATCATTGAGAGGCCCCGGCGGTGCCGCTTCCGCCTTCTTCTCTTCTTGGGAAGACTTCTTCTTATCATTAGGTTCCTTAGCGCCCGCACCACTGGATCCCTGAGGCCCTCCTGTACCTTCAAGGCTTCGTGGACCATCGAGGCCGCGCATGCCACCGCGACCCTGTCGGCCGCCCCGACCCCGCAAGCCGCCGCGTCCTCGTTGACCCCCGCGACCTCGTAGGCCACCACGACCGCTAGGGCCATTATGACTTTGTATACTACCAGGACTATCTGTGGGGCCAGGAGAAATGTGGTCTTCAGCAATGCCTAGTTTTGCTGGTGTCGCTGGTGTCGCCGGTGCCGCTGGTGTTACTGGTGTAGGTGGTTTTGTGGGACTAGTTGGCGACCCGCTATACGCCGTTACTGACTCGATGGGTGACAGGGCATCCTGGGCAACATCTCTGGCCCGTTTCCTCTGCTGTCGCCGCTCAAATGCGGTTGTAGGTTTCAGAGGCACCGGGCGGTGTGCTTTTGAAGCGCCAACATTTTCAGGGGCGAACTCTACAGACAGTCTTGAAGACACTGAAGTGGCTCGAGACTTAGGAGATCTTGGTGCCAGGTATTCATCGATAATGTCTGCTGTAGTATCTCTGTTGACATGCCTGAAGTCTCGCGACAAATGGGGGTCTATCCATGGCGCCGGCGACTTCAGATGTTCAGTCGCTGACGATGCTATTGACGGTGAGAGTGGCGGCGGCCTTGGCCTGTCCCTACTGTCTGCAATTGGCGCCGCAGCGTCGAGCAGGTGCTGTGAAGAGGAATTCACAGACAAGTCAGGCCGTGGCACTGCCAGTGCCGGATCACCAACAGGGTTTGCTACACTGAGCGTGTCGGTACTAGAATCGGATAGTGACAAGAATGACGTCTCGGACGGTGTTCTTGCATGTACCGGGTCTGATGCATCACTCGAATGCTGCCCGGCTCGGCGCGGGCGGTTGTCGGTGCCCGGGTTCTCCATGTTGCATTGTTGCATGGGAGGGATGTAGTTAGTGCATCCTGCGCCAAGAAATAAGCTCTAATCGGGGATTACAGGCCTGCGAAAAGGCTGGGAAGAGGAGAAAAACATTGTAGAAGTGAGTTCTAGGGGCTTCAGGTATACCTTATGGCGCTGGCCAACGGCGCGCGCCTGCGAAACCTTGTGAAAGCTTTGCGCTCAACTTGTCGCCTGGCTAAATGACACGGCCGGTACGGAGGCGCTCTCCGGCATGCCTCCGTGGATTCTGCAGGAACGTTGCGCTTCAATTTGATTAGATTGCGGCCCACGTCGACCCCTTATCGGACTGCCGAAAGCAGGGGTGTTTAACTGGGCTTCCCTATGCATCGAGGATGTGACCGCTATAATGCCCCTATTATTCTGGCTTTCCACTTCCGTAACTAGAACCGACAACCTCAAGTCTTGGCGCTCGTGATGGCCGTACATTGGACGAAACACCGCTGCACTATCACATATCCGAGGACTTGTCGGACCCAACCATTGACAGAACAGTCGGGAACGCTTGAGTTGATGGGTCCTACTTGCCCATGCATCCCGGACTCGCGGATCGTTTTCACGCCCGTCCAATCTATGCGAACAAGGTGCTTGGGCGCCATCATACGTAATTTGAGCTGCGAAAACGTTTAGAATTGAGTACCTAGGTACCTACACTTATTAGATTGCAGGGTTGCTTTTTGTGTTTTACAAAGCCAAGTTCTATATGCTGAAGAAAGCCGCCGAGCTGCATACCCAAAACGCTGTCTAAAAGCTACGCCCCAGTTGCTTCTGTGATCATGTTTCTTATGACATCACCCAATTCCTTGATCACGGCCTTCTCTCTTGGCAATGTGTGTCCCTTCCCGTGGTCAAACATGTAAGCGACGTCGGGATCGCACGTGTTATATAGTGCCAAGGAGCCTCCAACGTAGGGATCCAGTGACCCGACTGCACCCTGTTAGCGAAAGAAACCTAAAAGTGGAATCGAGAGACCAACTGATGTGACAAGTGTGAATGTCAATCATCACCTCAGACTCGTCGGACAGAACCATGGCAAAAGTGCTGGGGTCCAATGGTGGCCATCCAGCGAAGAAGATGGCGCATTTAATCATGGGCTCTCTTCCCTCGAGCTCGCGTCTCCGCTGCTCAGCTAATAACAATGTTCCAGCAACGGTTGCTCCTTCAGAGTAGCCAATGATTCCCTCAAATGGGCCCTCTTTTTCCATGATTCTGAAAAGATAGTCAATGGCAGCTATAGTACTCAGAATGCAGCTGGCCACGCCCTCTTTCATCAGCTCCCTCATGGTTTCCTCGGGCGTATCGCATTCTGGGAAGTCTCGAATACGTGACAGAGGGTCGGTCTCCTCGCTCGTCTTGTCATCGGGCTCGATGAATCGGTAGAATGGCGGTTTTCCAAAGAAATCCTCGAAACCCTTGGGCGGGACAGCTTCGCATGGCCCATTGATGAAATGGAACTCGGCCGACTTGTCGCCCGTGAGCTCATTGACAAGCGGCGCTTGAGAATGTGTCAGTTTAAACTCTCAGTCGGGATCGAATATGTGGATATACCGAGTTGTACTTGGAATTTCTTGGACTGTCGTCAGTATATAGATGCCAGGCTCCGATGACGTGATCACTCACCTCCGCACTCCCGTATGCACCTGGCAGGCATAGGAACTTCATCTTGAAATAGTAATCTTAGAAACCGATCTAGTTGGGGTGGTTGCAGATGCCGACACCCGAACTGAAAGATAAAGTTGACGAGCAAGAGACAAAAGCTGGGCAAAACAGAGGTTCAGCCCGGCGGAAGATCAATATTTTTTTTTTCTTCGAGCTTCACATTCACATGCATGCGCCGAAGCCACGGGACAGAGACGTTGTCTTCAACAGGCACAATCTATGCTGGTCGGGCCACTCACATGCATCGCTGAATAATTGAACTTGGAATGTGGAACGGGCGTCTTTTCAATCTCATGTGCCAATGCCATCCACCCATCCCCATGGGCCGCCAGAGGGAACCATGGTTGGCAGAAGGAAATATCCGTGTCTGAGGTATAGGCCAATAGGGGCCGAAAGCCCGAGGAAAGCAGAAGTCTCGGCACGTTTCGACTCTGTCAAACACAAAGTTCGTCGAGATTAGGGGCAACGTTTCCGGGGGTCTCGCCCAGATTGGTAACTGAGGCTCTGTCGCCGAGAACTACGCGAGTTCCGGGTATTATGACCGGCGCCTGCGATTAGAGGAATAGCACAGATAAACCACGGGTAAACTCAAGTGGAAGGTGACAGGTTGAGACGTTTAAGCATAACGACGATGCGGTCGGCCGATAGCAGCTTCATGTGACGAGTGCGCCGGCTGCTGTTATCGGCGACGGACTGACTGCCCAGGGGTCAGGGGGGCCAGGGGGCCAGGGGGCATGGGCTGGCTGGCTGACAGTAGCACGCTACAGGGGGGCGCTAAAACATACGATCATAGCCGCTAGATTGGCCCGGCCCCACCCCCACACTAGGCTCCTAAGTGCTGTAAGTGCTGGAAGTGCCGACGCCACAGGGGAGGGCCAGCCTCGGCCGCCAACGCTAAGTTTGACCTCAGTCTATGGAACCGGCTGAGATCGACGCATGGAAGCTTTCAATCTATTCACATGCACCCTGGCCGCCGTCGCCCCCCCTGTTCGCATGGCTGCAGTTCCATCCTGGCGTCACTTACCTATATGGAATTAATCCAAGCTCCATTTTCGCATTTTACCTATCGCGATCCGTTTGGCCCAGCAAACAACCGGCTGGCTTCTTCCACGGCTGGCTCTGATCGGCGAGCCGCTCAGCACTATGCCAGTCCGCCGCGGATCAAATCAAGCTTATCTGAGCAATCTATTGCTCGACTGGCCGAGGCCATTGGCTGCGCAAGCCTGTCATATCGAGCCGTCCATGGGCTTGATTGATGGACTGGATGGACTTGGGCTTGGGCTAGGATGGATACACGTAATCAGTCGCCGTTAAGCAGGCCACGGCGAGTGAGTACACCGTCTGTGCTCGTCTACGTACGTCTGTTTCCATGTTCCCTCTCGTACCATGCGAGGGGAGGTACGGCGCGGTGCCAATGGTAGCCCAGGAGTGCGCAGTGAACCCCTGTCCATGGAACGAAGCAGATCGCTCTCCACATCATACCAGGAACACGCACCAGTCGCCCGTGATAGCTACAGCGCAGCTCCATGCTCGCCAAGAAGGGCACAACGACGCACATGTATCCCGGTAATGCAACGCTCAACCTACGGCCATCTCGAACACTTCCATTGCTGCGGTTGCTGGCCGTTAGTCTTCACCTCTTGCCTCAACCGGGGTCCAGCTCCGGCACTTTGATGTCATGCCTTAAGCGGCTCCCCAAAGCAGCTGCCTCTGTGCCCACGCTACATGGTACCTGGGCTCCATGTCTCGAGACATTGGACTGAGTAACCAGGAATCACACTTGGCCAATCGTCGCCCTGATCGGTCGAGTCCGTCTCTTTCCATCAGACCGCCAAGACCTCTCTTCCCGATATACTCGAGCAAGTATCACAGGGGCGTTTTCGCCTAAAGGCACCAGCCACTAGACCCTTCCGTTCTCAGGTCGGAAAGATTACCCCCTTTCCCGAGGCCCAGTGCCCATCCCTAGACGCAGAAACTGATGTGCAATCTGTTCGCGCCTGCCATATACAGAGATGAAGGGGGACTGCCCGGCCAAGGCGGCTGGCTTCCGACCCACAGGGCAATGGCATATAAACCACTATACCTCACTTAGATGACGAGATCCGGTGGCTTTCCTCTCTGAACTACTGCAAACATTGACAAACCCTACGAGAGCCTGCAGCCATGGCGCCAACAGCCATCAGCGGCGAGGGTGCCACGAGCACAGTGAACGGTCTAGCTAATGGACTCGGCTCTCACATCAATGGTCTGTCCAATGGCACTGCAAATGGCAGTGTAAACGGCCTTGCCAATGGTCATACCAATGGTCATACCAACGGCCTCCCAGATGGACATACCAGTGAATATACCACCAGCGGACACGCAAGTTGCACCTCAACGCCCTTGTCGTCCCGCCCAACACCACCTCAGATGCCTATCGCGATTGTCGGCATGTCATGTCGCCTGCCCGGGAACGTTGCCACACCAGGGGAGTTTTGGGAGATGTTGGCACGAGCTCGGAGCGGTTATTCAGAGATACCCAAAGAGAGGTTCGACCTGGCCCCTTTCCACCACCCCAACCCTGGAAAGGCTGGTTGCGCCAACCCAGTTGGTGGTCACTTTCTGAACATTGACCTTCACGCCTTCGATGCCCCGTTCTTCAGTCTGACTGAGAAGGAGGCCATTTCCATGGACCCTCAACAGCGCTTGCTGTTGGAAGGCACATTCGAGGCTCTTGAGCACGCCGGTATCCCTAAGCAGTCTATTGTAGGAAAGGATGTCGGCGTCTTCATCGGTGGCTCATTTCCAGAGTATGAGTCGCATCTCTTCCGCGACTCGGATACTATTCCCATGCATCAGGCGACAGGTAAGTCTCTTGGTTTATGTGCCCAAGGCCTTGTTAGCTGATCGACACTCTAGGTTGCGCATATGGCATGCAGTCAAACAGACTTTCTCATTTCTTTGACCTCAAAGGTCCCAGTTTCACTTCCGATACAGCTTGTTCCTCTAGTTTAGTTGCATTACATTTAGCATGTCAGAGTCTAAGGACGGGAGAGTCCAGCATGGCTATTACCGGTGGCTGCCATCTCAATATGCTTCCAGAGTTTTACATTTCTTTTGCAAAATCAAGGTATGATCTGGCAACGCGAACATATCAGTGCCGCACTAACTAGTTAGACTTTTTTCGGACTCGGGTAGATCATATTCCTTCGACGATAGAGGCACTGGTTTTGGACGCGGCGAAGGTTGTGGCGTCATCGTCTTGAAACCCCTCGATCAAGCCATCAAAGATAAAGACTCTATTAAAGCCATCATTGCCGGAAGTGGCATCAATCAAGATGGAAGGACTCCCGGTATCACGATGCCCTGCGGCAACGCACAGAGTGAGTTATCCCTACACACAGATACAGCCTAGGATACAGCTTGCTAACAGGCCGACCTTGCAGCGGATCTGATGAACCAGGTCTACACTAATGCCGGTCTTAACCCCAGAGACACCGGTTTCATCGAGGCCCACGGAACCGGTACAAGAGTCGGAGATCCAATTGAAGCGACTGCCATTCACAATGTCTTTGGTGAAGGTCGCACATTGAGGGATCCCCTCTTCCTAGGGTCGCTGAAATCAAACGTCGGACACTTGGAAGGAGCTTCGGGTATCGTGGCAGTCATCAAAGCGGCCATGATGCTTGAGCGGGGTTTTGTTCTACCAAACTATGACTTCAAAGTGCCGAACCCCAAGATACCGTGGAAGGAATGGAACTTCAAAGTCCCCGTTACTCAACGACCGTGGCCGAGAAACAAGAAGTACATCAGTGTTAACAATTTTGGCTTTGGCGGCACGAATGCGCATGTTGTCCTGGAAAAGGTCCCATTCGCGACTAGAGCGACGAAGGATGACGCGGATCTCAAAGATGACAACCCTGGACGCAAACTGTTTGTCATGTCTGCAAATGACAAGAATACTCTTGAGACTGTCATGAAAAACATGGTCGTCTATCTGGAGCAGAGGCCTGAGATGTTCCAGAAGGACCTGATGGGAAATGTGGCTTACACTCTTGGTCAACGCAGATCATTGCTGCAGCACAGAGTGGCGATTTCCGCAAACCGATCCTTTGACCTTATTGAGGCTATTTCAGCTGGTAACTATACTACTGGCAAGGAGGTTGACCCTTTGAGAATTGGGTTTGTCTTCACCGGTCAGGGTGCTCAATGGTATGGTATGGGTCGCGAGCTGTATGCCCAATACCCCGTCTTCCAGAATGCCATCGACTGTGCCGACAGTGTTTTGTCATCGCTCGGTGCGTCTTGGTCGCTGGTGGAGGAGCTCAGTAAAGATGAGAAGACCTCTCAAGTGGGCGCTGCCCACATCAGCCAACCGTCATGCACAGCAGTCCAACTCGCTTTGGTTGACCTGCTGCGTTCGTGGGGCATCCGCCCGGCAGCCGTAACAGGCCACTCCAGTGGCGAGATTGGTGCTGCTTACGCTGCTGGAATTCTGCCTTTTGAGTCCTGCATGGCTATTGCCTACCACCGCGGAAGACTTATCCCAGTCTTGAAGGAGAGATACCCAGACCTCCGCGGCTCCATGCTGGCGGTTGGTGGAAGCAAGGAAGAATTCGAACCCCTGCTCTCTGAACTCAACGATGGCGAGGTCAAGATCGCTTGTTTCAACTCGCCTACCAGCTTGACAATCTCTGGTGACGAGTCGGGTATCGATGAGCTCAAGAAGATTGTAGACGAGAAGCAGCTGTTCAACCGGAAACTCTTCGTCGATACTGCGTACCATTCTCACCACATGAATCTGCTCGCCAAAGATTACCAGGAGTCCATCCAAATGATCGGGTCTCCTGCACCGACAGAGACAAGATTCCACTCCTCTCTTCTGGGCAGACAATGCGACGCTTCTGAGTTGGAATCAACTTACTGGGTCCAGAATTTAACATGTGCTGTCAGATTCAATGAGGCTCTTCAGAGCATGCTGGCTCCTATTGGCGAGCACAAAACGGGTGTCAACATGCTCATTGAGCTCGGTCCCCACTCCGCTCTCCAGGGGCCCATCAAGCAGATCATGCAGGCTGTTGGCCCTGATGCAACCAAGGTGCCATACGCCTCGGCCCTATCGCGGAAAAAGGATGCTGTCGAGACTGCTTTGGCCCTTGCAGGAAGCTTGTTCACAAAGGGACAGACTCTGAATTTCGACGCGATCAACTTCCCCAAGTCACAGAAGACAGAACCTATGCTTCTTACTGACTTGCCGCGTTATCCCTGGAACAAGACCGTTAAGTACTGGCACGACTCACGCTTGACGCAGAAGCACAAGAACAGGAATGCTCCTCGAAACGATATCCTTGGAACCGTCGCACATTATTCAAATGATTTAGAGCCGACCTGGAGGAACATTGTTCGGCTTGAGGATCTCCCATGGCTCGAACATCATAAGGTTCAGTCACTGACGGTCTTCCCGATGTCTGGTTTTATCACAATGGCAATCGAGGCAGCCTCTCAGAGAGCTATTGCCGCAGAGTTGACCTTTGACAAATACAAGCTCAGAGACGTATCAGTGGTTGCCCCGCTGGTCATCCCAGACGAAGATGTTGAGATGACGACGACCTTGCGTCCCGATCAGGAGAGCACCCAAGGAGCTTGGGATGAATTCAGAATCTGCTCCTGGAGCAAGTCGCAAGGCTGGAAAGAGCACTGCAAAGGCTTCATTGCTGTCGAAAATGACGAGTGCAATGGTGTTGATGACTCTCGCCGTGCATACGAGGCCAAGGCCATGTTGAAGTCGACTATCTTATCAGTCGAAGCTCGCGCTTCAGCGCCAGTCTCATCAGAGAAGCTCTATGAGACTTTAGGTGAGCTTGGGGTATCTTACGGTACCACTTTCCAGGGCATTACCAATTGCTCTGCAAATAACGATTGTTCCAAGGCAGAGATCACCGTGCCCGATATTGCCAAGGAAATGCCCAATCATCACATATCTCCAGCCGTTCTTCAGCCAGCGCTGCTAGAGTCTTTGATATCAACTTATTGGCCAATCGCCGATGGTGGCCACGGTGGAATCGATACTATCTACCTACCATCATCGGTCGATCGCATAACCATCTCCAAGAAAATCACAGAAGCGACAAAGGAGCCTGGTAAACTACTTAATGCTTATTCGCAGGGTCACTTTTCAATGGATGCTCCTATGACCACAAAGATCAGCATGTTTGCTGCCTCCATGGATGATCCATCTGAGCCTCTCATCACCATTGAGGACCTCATGATCGCACCTATCATTGACCGTGAGGCAGCAACCGAGGAGTCCCATAGAGAGCTGTGCTATAAGCTCGACTGGGAACCCGCCTTGGAATCTGAGCCTGCCGAGCCTTCACAATCAACCGACTCGGAGATCGTCATCGTACACGCCGAAACAGCGCTTCAAGCTAAGATCGCAACAGAGCTCGCTGGAGGTTTAGAGAAGCTTACTGGCAAGATGCCTCAAATAAGCAGCCTGGCTTCCGCGAATGCAGAGGACAAAGTCGCCATTTTCCTGCCAGAGATCGAGAAGCCCCTGCTTTCAACGCTGAAGGCGCAAGAGTTCGAAGCTCTGCAGAGGATCCTCACTAAAGTCGCAGGCGCTCTCTGGGTCGTTCGTGGGGCCTATGACAAGGCGACTTCGCCCGATCTCAACATGATCACTGGGCTAAGCAGGACTATCCGCTCGGAGACCCTGCTGCCTTTCTCGACTCTCGACCTTGACGGCAGAGTTCCGCTTGAGGCTGATGCGGTCGTCGAAGCTGTGCTCAAGGTCTTCCAGGCTGTGTTCAGCAAAGATAGCCCAGCAAACTGCGAAATGGAATTCATGCAAAGAGAAGGCAAGTTCCTGACCCCGCGCATCATCAACGATCCGGAGATGAATGCTGTCGTCCATCGCCAGACCAAGTCGGCCGCTCTGCAGCCCACGCCATTTGGCCAGAGTGATAGATCGCTGAAGCTGAAGATCGGCAATATTGGCGCACTGGAGACCTTGCACTTCGTCGACGACGAAAGCAAGGGGTCGCCTCTTCGCCCTGACGAGATAGAAATCCAGGTCAAGGCAGTTGGTCTTAACCACCGTGATCTCACGGCTGCACACGGCAAGCTTGCCACTGACGATTTTGGCGTCGAGGCCAGCGGTGTCGTTGTGAAAGTGGGCTGTGACGTTACGAACCTCACTGCAGGTGACCGTGTTGCCGCCATGACCCAAGGCGCCTTTGCAACCACCACCCGTACCAAGGCATCCTTCGCCTTCAAGTTGCCAGCTGGCATGACCTTCGAGGCTGGTGCATCGCTTCCTTTAGCCTATAGCACTGCCTACTACTCATTGATTGAGTTGGGTCGCCTGCAGGACGATGAATCGGTTCTCATTCATGCTGCTGCTCGTGCAGTTGGGCAGGCTGCTATATCGCTGGCTCAGATGATCGGGGCTGATGTATTTGTGACGGTTGGTAGCGCCGAGAAGAAGGAATTTCTGATGAAAGAGTACAACATCCCAGAAGATCACATCTTCTACAGCCGCAACAACAACTTTGGCAAGTCATTGCGCCAAGTCACTAACGGCAATGGCGTCGATGTCGTGCTGAATTGCCTTGCCGGTGACGCGGTACGCGAGTCCTGGGATTGCCTCAACAAGTTTGGTCGCTTGATCGATGTTGGCACGCGAATCTCGTCAACCAGCATGAAGCTCGAGATGGACCAATTCGAGCACAACTCCAGCTTTATGACTGTCGATATGATGGCACTAGCTGCTGAGAGGCCGAAGTTGATGCAGAGAGTCCTCACAGACGTCTCTAAGTTGATCAAGTACAACAAGGTCGCGCCACCCTCACCGATCACGACATTCCCCATCTCGGAGGTTGAGTCTGCGCTCAAGAGTCTCCAGACGGGTGCCAATGCACATGGTAAGCTGGTCGTCGTGCCAAATGCGACAGACATTGTCAAGGTATATCGCTACTGTGTCTCATATCATGGAAAACGTGACTGACCAATACCACACAGGCAACCCCTCCTAAGAGACCGAAGCAGCTACTTAAATCCGACGCTACCTACATTCTCATCGGTGGTACTGGTGGTTTAGGTCGGAGCATGTCAAAGTGGATGATCAGTCGCGGTGCACGCAACCTCGTTTTGGTCTCTCGATCCGGTTCGGCAACCGGCAAGGTTAAGGAACTGGTTGACCAAGCTGCCGAGCAAGGTGCAAACGTTGTCGTTCGGCGCTGCGATGTCGCCAATCCTGCTGACGTTGAAGACCTCGTCAACCAGGGGCTTGAAGGCATGCCCCCTGTCCGCGGTCTCATTCACGGAGCTATGGTTCTTCACGACGTCCTGTTCGAGAAGATGACATATGACCAGTATACTACTGTCATAGAGTCCAAGGTACAGGGAGGGTGGAACTTCCACAATGCGCTGGTGAACGCACCGCTTGACTTCTTCGTTGCCATCTCGTCCGTTGCCGGCGCTGTTGGAAACCGTGGGCAAGCCGCCTACGCCGCTGCTAACTGCTTCCTCAATGCCCTGGTGCAATACCGCCTGGCTCGTGGCTTGCCGGCCTCGTCGCTGGATCTCACAGCCATTTCGGACACGGGATACCTAGCTGAGGATGCTGAGAAGGCTGCTGAAGTTGCCAAGAACCTGGCTGGTGACACAATCTGCGAAGCCGAGGTGCTCGCCCTCCTCGGATGCGCCATCAGTGGCGAGCTCGGTGCCGTGTGCAACAATCATACCATCACAGGCATGCGTATCTCGGCTGACGTGCAGCCTTTCTGGACGCCGGATGCCAAGTGCAAGCACTTGCGCGAGGCGGCAGAAGCAGAGGCGGCAGCCAACGCTGCCGCGGGCGGCTCCAAGGCTGTCTCGTGGAACGCAGCGGCCAAGGCGGCCAAGACTCTCGAAGAGGCCGAGCAGGTGGTGTGCGAGGGCCTGGTTGAGAAGTGCGCTGCCGTCATGATGATGGAGAAAGAGGATCTAGACGTGACGCGCGCCCTGTCCCACTACCCGCTTGACTCACTCGTCGCTATCGAGATCCGCAACTTCATCACACGCGAGTTTGAGGCCACCCTGCAGGTCCTGGAGCTGCTTTCCAGCGGCTCCATCCAGACTCTCGCAAAGGGTGTCTGCGTCAAGAGCAAGGTGATCAACTTCTGATCATACGCACTCACACATGCACCACTCATTTCCAAGAAAGACGGACTTGCAGAATGAGTGGGACTACAGTTCCGATGACTATCCGAGTACTTTTCCTTGTCTTTGCTCTGGGCTGTACTTCTGTCGCCTGTTTTGTATCTGCATTTGCGCTGGAATTGTTTGCACATTTTCTCTATCGATTGGGAATTAACTTTCCTTGGGCCTGACGTCTTGCTTGTATGTCGGACTCTGTATATATACCTTCTAAGGGGCAATGGGGAGGCAAATCTTTGGGTACTGGTTCGGGAGAAGATCGGGAGAATGCCGGGCCCCCCTTTTCTGGTCGAGTTGCATCGATGCTTGCTGCTTGTTGATGTCGGTAGTCGATTCGTATATAGATCTCATATATACTGCTTTAGATTCAAGCCTCTCCTTCCTGAGCCCTTCGTGCGCGGCATTCTTGTGAATTACCTATGCAGTCTGACTCCCATTTTCAATACACGTGAACATTAGGAAAGCATTGATAAAACGTCATCTGTTGTCTAACTCTCCATAGGAGAAAGCCTCATGACGCTAGGGTATCATATCGTTACTAACTCGTATACAAACGCATCTTACACACTACCACGCCCTGTTCACCCCGTACCGTAGGGAAAAACTTCTGTCTTGGGCGTGACCCAAGTCCATTGCGAGTGCCTCAACCGTTGATGCATAGAACAATCCCGGACTCCTAGGAAAATGCATGCCGCCCACATTGCCTGCCCTATCAAGTAGGCTAATATCGTTGTGACATGTACCCACCCGGCTGCGCATATTGATGGCTGGCGTCACACGATCCAGTGTCCGGCATCGAGCTCCCCGATGCGGCCGAGTAAGCAGGGTAGCGCGAGGGATTATACGCGTTGTCCACCGTCATGTAGCCGGATGTTGGGGCGTACGGGGTGTACTCTGTATAAACCAAACTTACGGCAGGGTGAGAGCCGCACTGTGGGTATATTGGCTCCAGATCGGATGCAGCCACAGGATTCCAACCGTACTTTGTCATATCCAGGGGCTGTGCCTCTGCCATGGCGTGCATGCTGCTGTTACTCATCTCCGTATTAGAACTCGACCTCGACGGCGGAGCTGTAGACGATCCACTCAAAGCTCGTGAGCTGGCTCCCCCCTCGCCAACAAGCATCTTGCTCGTCTTGCTTTCCTTGAGCACGTGTTCCGTTCCCAGATCACGGTCTAGGCTGTAGTGTTTGACAAACAGTAGACTGAGGAGCAGCGCCACGGCAGCTACGCCGAGGTAGACCTGGAAGACGCCGGCGAAGCCGAAGCGGTAAGCGTCGATGATCTTGGCCTTAACAGGGCTGTCGTCGGGCAACTGGTGCAGTTCGGCAATGTAGCCTTCGGCTTGGGCCGCGATCTCAATCGGCAGGCCTTCCCAGCCCAGCTTCAGAGCCATGACGTTCTGGAACGTCGACCCGCCGACACCAACGCCGACTGCAGCGCCGAACTGCCGCAGGAATAGGTACATGCTAGCGGCGTGGCCCTCGTCGCCGGCGGGGCACATGGCCTGGACGGCGAACTGCTGCGCGTTGAGCACCATGCCCTGACCGAGACCGAAGAAGACGAAAGAGATAGCCCACACGGCCGTTGTGACGTCAATGAACCGCCAGACCACGCTGAGGATGGAGAACAACACGGCCACAGCCCACCCTACCCACACGAAAATGCGGTAGTTGTTGTACCGTGTCACCAGCCGGCCCGTGATGATGGATCCGGGCACAGTGATCAACACGGCTGGGAGCAAGTTGACTCCGGCCGTGAGAGGTGTCGTCTGCATCACGGACATGAAATAGAATGGGAAGTAGTAGAAACAACCCCACATCTGGCAAGTGTTAGTACACTTGTTGACGGTACGAATAATAATGCTGGGCCAGCTACTTACCAAGAATCCCTGAGCGCCACCACAAACGTACGTGATGGTGCTGCTCACGTTATTGAACAGCTCCCGCTTGAATATGGGCTCCCTGGCGAACCGAGCCTCCCACACCAGCGTCGCCGCCAGGCCCAGCAACCCGAGGACCAACGGGGCGATGGCAGCGGCGCTGTCCCACGGCTTCTGGGTGCCGCCCCAGCATATGGCGACGAGGAAGCTGGTGGCGCTGCCCATGAACAGGAAGCTGCCGAACCAGTCAACGCGCAACAGCTTGTCGCGGAAGGACTCGGCGCGCGGGGCCAGCGTCAGCAGCAGCGGCACGGCGACGAGCCCGTAGGCGCAGATGGGGAACATGAGGTAGAAGACCCAGCGCCAAGTCGTGTTCTGGACGATGGCGCCGCCGATGAGGGGCCCGACGCAAGTGCCCAGGGCCCAGGCGCCCAGCACGACGCCGAACCACTTGGGCCGGAATCGCAGCGGCACGATGTCGGTCAGGATGACGCCGCTGAGCACGTGCACGCCGCCGCCGCCGACGCCCTGGACGCAGCGGCCGAGAAGCATGACGGCGACGCTGTGCGACGTGGCGCAAAGCACGGTGCCGAGCGTGAAGGCGGCCAGGGCGAACTCGAGGCAGATGGGCCGGCCGAAGATCTCGGACAGCGCCGCGATGACCGGCATGGTCACGGCGTTGACGAGCAGGTACGACGTCCCGATCCAGAAGGCCGCCGTCGTGTCGGCTTGGAGCTCGTTGGCCATTGCCTGTTACGTTTCGGTCAGGTTTGAAATGGGAGAAGGAAGTAGGTTAGATGGTACGCAGTGACTTACACCAAGAGACGTCACGATGATGCTAGCATCCAGCGCCACGAGTAGACTGACGATAGCCAGTGTGATGATGATGAGAATCTCATGACCGGACGGCTTCCAGTCCTCGGGCTGGGCCTTTGCTCGCCCGTCTTCCGCCTGCGATAGCGAGGAGACATCGTACTGTGGTTCTTGCTCAAACTGGACTGCCATCGTGTGCTGCCTTCATCCAAGACTGGAGCCTGCGCAACACAGAAGATACTGCATTGCCTATTCCGCAGCCATCTTTCCGGGAGCTCCAATGGTATTATATGCATGGCTGGACCTCGATCCTATACTGCAGCTCCACACAACCCACACCCTGTTGTGGTTGTCACACTGGTATCGCAAGGCTGGCCAACAAGCACAACACCCGGGGCCATGGACCTAATCATTGCGCCTATCGTGTGGGGTTCGTCTATAATTGGAACCTTCGACTCGTACGTATGTGGTTCAGCGGTTGGTCCCGTCGGCAGCAACAGCACCGCCCGCTTTCGCTTACCTTGACGATATGGGCGGCCGGGTGCTCAGCCCAACCACAACTTTGGGGGCGGAGCATCCTAGGATGGGTGCCACCATAACGAGTTAACGGGGCGCCCAGGTGGATCAGCAAGGTATTAAAAAGTAGGTGTAGCAATTGTTCCAACGGCCTTGGCAGACCTTTGTAAGAGTCTGAAACTCAGAGCGATCTAAAGACTGGGAATTAGTTGAGCCAGTTCCGAGAGGTAGGCAAGTTCACTGGGGCAGTATATGGTGAGACACCTATCCTTACTTTTTAGCTAGGAACAAAACTCTATATAAAGATACGTGGGGCTCACTTCAGCCCACCCGAGTGGGGACGATGCGTATATTCGGAAGAACCCGTTGCAGTAAATCTTCAACAATGGCGCCGACCCTATGGGGGTCCATCTGCATGATCACGCATTCGGCCATGCTGGTCTACAATCACTGATAGGGCTATGGGGGCGGTGCAGCGAATATTGGGCGACGGATAAGGAATTTAAACCATCATTTGACCATGACGCATCGCCCCCAATGAAGCAAACTGCCGTGTTGGCCTGATCCCGTAACGCGAAGCGTCACAGCGATTGGGGTCGGCGTACGGGAGAAGCAAAGATTAATCACATGTCCATGTGCGAGCGAATGCGGCTGTTGGGAGGATCCAGTGAATACACACAAGCCGAAGTAAGATGCTGACAGCCATGTGCGCGCGAGCTCACGCCGCCAGGTTCCTCTATTGGATCTAGTCTAGTGCCCCACCGGACGAGCTTATAATAACCGTGGGCAGTGTAGTTTAGTTGATAAGCTTTTGTAAAGCTGGCAGTTCGCCAAGCTGAGGCTCGCAGCAAAGATGCCGCGACTATGGGTAGTGTCCGGTCCGTGGCCCTGACTAGACATGGTCTCGTCGATGCGCCATGAGAAGATTTCCCCCGAAACGACGGTTTTTTTTTTTTTCCACGCCTACAGGAGTGTTCTCATCTATGAACCCTTGCTTACTTGGGCAGCTTTATGTCAGATAGAGTGTTTTAGCTGACAGTTCCACCGCAAGTGGTTGGATCCTTCTTGGCAACGGCCCAACGCTTCTCAGTCGGCTCACATATTTTGCGTCCGTACTGCGAGCATGTTGAGTGATCGCCTCGTGCGTGATTCGTGGCGCTGGCCTTATAGCATCTGTAAAACGACGTCGGGTCCGGTGACCAACAGTGGGCTGATCGGCTACCTCGCGTGGCCCTAAGACGTCCGCGGCGCGTGGCGTTGACTCCCACACGTAGCCTGTTCAAGTAACTAACTTGGCTTATCCCCTCACGCGCCTGGTTGTTTTCTGCCGTCGAGCCACTTGCTCATGTAAGGACCATCAAGCCAGTAACCCAGCTTCTTGTAGTAGCTGCGCACGCCGACTCCGCTGATGACACTGATCTTGTCGCTGCCGTGCTCATCTCGAGCGATGCGTTCCGCTTCCTCCATGAGCAGGGTGCCGAAACCTTGGTGCTGGAACTTCTTGGGGTCGCGCGCGTGCACGGGAACTGCCGTGCCGTAGACGTGGAGCTCGCGAACCATGCTGGTCTGCTGTCCGGTAAGTTCCTCGCGATATGTGTACTTCTCGGTGCACTTGCGCAACCGCAACAGAGCTACCAGGATATCCTGCTTCGGGTCCTCGTAGGCAAGGAAGGTTTCCCACCCTCCGTTGGCGGTATAATCGCGGCGAATGAGCTCAATCTGGTTGGGCCGAATCTTGTGCTTGACCTCGTTGATGCCGACTTCTCGTGTGCGCACGTCACGGCAGGTAGTGCCGAAATCCTTCATCCGGGCCAGTGCCAACTCACGGAGGTTGCCGTTCTCGACGCCGGACGTTACAAGTGGCATGGGGATATCTCGCTGCACACGATAGATGCGCGTCCACGGCGGTACTAGCGCCAGGATCCTAGCAACCAGGTCGATCAGAGCGTTCGGGGTGTAATTTTGATATCTGCCCGTCCGCCAGAGCTCGTAGAGACCAGTGCCGCGGATGACCAGGGTCGGGTAGATCTTCAGGCCATCGGTGCGGAAGGCCGGGTTCTCGAAGTACTCCTTGAACTGGTCGATATCACGTTCCATGCCGACGTTGGGCAAGTCGGGCATCATGTGGGAGACAACCTTGAACCCGGCGTCCTTGGCCAGACAGAAAGTCTCGGCGACGGCGGCAACAGTGTGGCCTCGGTTGGAGTCCCTGGCCACGTCCTCGTACAGCGACTGCACACCGATCTCTAGGCGGGTGCAGCCGTACCGCAGCATGTCGGTCAGATGTGGGGCCAAGCAATAATCCGGTCGCGTCTCGATGGTGATGCCCACGCACTTGTTGTTGCTCATCTCGCCGGCCTCGACGGCCTCGTCGACGTTGGCCGTCTGGTAGCCGCTGAGGGCATTGTGCAGCTGGGCGATGAACTCCTCGCGGTAGGAGGGGGCGAGCGACATGAAGGTGCCGCCCATGATGATGTACTCGACCTTGTCGACCGAGTGGCCGAGGGACTTGAGCTGGTCGACGCGGCCGCGGGCCTGCTCGAAGGGGTCGTAGCGGGCGCGGATGGCGCGCATCGAGGTGGGCTCGTAGCCGGTGTAGGACTGGGTGCTGTACTCGAAGTCCGAGTCGGGCCCGCCGGGGCAGTAGACGCAGATGTTGCCGGTGTAGGCGATGTGCGGGCAGCGGTGGGGCTTGCACATGACGGCGACGACGGCGATGCCCGAGGAGGAGCGGATGGGCTTGGCGACCAGCTTGGGCAGGATGTACTTCTTGTAGTGCTCGGGGACGGCGGCGATGATGGCCGTCAGCGGGGGCAGGTTGGCGAGCTTGTGCTTGCGCGACAGCTTGGAGCGCAGGCTGTTGAGGTTGATGTCGCGCTTCGGCTTCTTGGGGTCCTTGGACGCCTCGTAGTCCTCGATCAGGGCGCTGGCGACCTCGGCGCAGCAGCGCAGGTAGCGCTCGTTCTCGGTGGCGAGGCCGGCATCTTTCTTGGTGCGGATGGTGGTAGTGGTGGTGGTGGTTGTCACCGTGGTGGTCGCCATTGTGTGGTGATGAGCATCCGAGCAGGCGTGTGTATGTGTGTGTGTGTGTGTGTGTGTGTGTGTGTGTGTGTTTCTCCCTCTCTGCCTTGGGTCTGTGCTCTGTCGGTGGGAGATGTGTGAGCCCCTTCTCGTGGTGTTGTATGGTCGTATGTGTGTGCGTGTGTGTGTCTTTATCTGCAGCCTCAGATGCTCTCTTGTCCAGAAAAGTTTGGTGGGGTTTCGCCTCGAGCTAGGCCGCCCGCCAATGGAGAGGCGGCTGATTCGTCAAATCTGGGCGGAAGAGGAAAAGCGAATAGCCCGGCTGCCCGGTTACAGGGGAGGAGCACACCGGCCCGGGAGTGGACAATGAGGGAGCACGTGTGGGAAAAGGAGACTTACCCCTCCATTAAAAGCCATGATATGTTACCAACATGGGTACATCCAGTTGGTACATCCAGTTGCAGTTTTATGTGCTACTCGCGACGTAGCTGGTTAAGCATATTCATAATACTACCTAGGTATGCACTCTTGTTGGTGTTTATATCAAGTGACCTCGGGAGTCTCTGGAGGTATAGCTCGTCAGGCATAGTCCAGACTATAGCCGTATAAAACAATTCATCCGCAGCGATTTGCACACTCTGCAGTCATCTCACCGCAGTTCCAGTGCCCTGCTTCATTCCTGTTCAATGCCAACGCCTTGATTGCCAAACAGCACAGCAATATGATTGAGGACGAGTTCAAGTATTTTTGTTTGAGTGGCGACATCCCTGTCGGTGAGTCGAGCACCTGGCACGTTACCGATTGGGACCAGAGACGGGTGGTTTCAGTAACTATGGACGGGGAGCAGGACGACGATAGTATTGCCATTAAGCATTACAGCCGCTATAGCAGCCAACTTTCTCGCGACATCTATAGGATACATGTATCGCATACCGGCGAGATCATCTCGACATATACTGATCCGGAGAACGATCCGACCTGCTGCGTGCACTATCCATTCCGTCACGAAGTCTTTCTCCCGGAAGGGATTCAGACAGTACGGCGGGACGAACTTGAGGAACTCGACAGGCTTGGCCCTGACGTGGACCTTGTCGCATACCCTCCATGCCTGGGCGGATCTGCCAAAAAGGTGAAACCAAAGTGCCGGCCATGGATTGTCTTGCCCTGTGATTAAGCTGACCCTCGGGCAGGTTGTATTTAAATACTACTTCTTGTGGCAGTATGCGCAATGGTCCTGGAAGGAGATGAACCTGTGGATGCGCCTGCCCCGCCACCCAAATATTGTTCCGTTTGACCGGGTTGTCGTTGACGAGCTCGAGGGTCGGGTGGTTGGATTCACCAACATCTACGTGCCTGGTGGCAGTCTACAGCAGAACCAGTCGCGCGTTTTCAGACTGGAGTGGCTACAGCAGCTCATAAGGGTTGTAGACGAGTTGAACCTCCGATACGGTATCGCGCACCAGGACATCGCCCCGCGAAACCTCGTGGTTGACGAGTCAACAGACTCTATCATGCTCTTCGACTTTAATTTTGCAGCCCGAATTCATCGTCCTTCACCTGGGGAGGGTGAGTCTTATTGCGAGGACCGGAACGATGTCAAGGGCGTTATATTCACCGCGTACGAGATTCAGTAGTCTCCGGAGTAAGCCTCACGAAGAGCAGAACCTCGATGACCTTGGACTAGAGTGGGTGAAGCACCCGGGGGTGAAGCTTAACCACCCGGTTGCATCATACCAGCTCATTTTGCAAGAATGGCGGGAGCGAAGGGCAGGAGCCCTCTATGCCGCCCATCCAGGCGACGTTCCAGAGGCCATTGACTGGCCTTCCATGCCCAAGCCACCGCAGAAGACTGAAACTTTCATGGACGCACATGGGCAGGCGTCCTACATGACTGTAGAAGATTGGGATGAGAGCCGGCAGGATGTGCGGGACAGGGGTGGTAAGGTCTTAAACTGGGAACGGCCGCCGCAGAGACTTTTAGACAGCGGGACCCGGGTGCTCTCCACCGGTGAAGTAATCAACTGCTAGAATCGAACTGCTATTGTTGAATTATATTTATTGAACCGACCGTCAAGGGGCGCGTTGGCATGGCTTGACGGCTTCTCCGCCTGAGCTGAAATGCGGTACAGCGCGTAACAGATAGTGCAGTACTTGCTCCCTCTAGGGGATGCACCCAGCAGTCTACTTTGCAGCCGCCCTCATCTGAGCATATGCTCGAAACTGAAGCAATAGGAGAGTCTCGCTTTACAATAAAATAGAAGACGCAAAGCGCCAGCGCCTTGCCCAACGAAGTCTTGAACGAAGTCTCGGGGAACAGAGGTGACAGCTTTCTCAAAGTGCTCGACTCATCCATGGAGACAGAAAAACAAAAGCATAGTCACCCAACATACTAAAGTCATGAAGTCTAACAGAGTTGAGGCTCGGGGCGGAGCGCATGGAAAGTACTTATCGTGAACAATCAACCTGGCGAGTCGAGAAGCTGGCAACCGTGGAAGCTGGTACGGCAGCAGTCGTCAGGGGCCAGGGACAACCTTAGGGACAAAGAACGTCGGAGCCCGTGCACCAGGTTCTGATTGGCAGAGCAAGGGGCCGGCTAGAGGAGGGGAGGAGGGAGGAGGGGAGGAGGCCGACCACTCAGGAATCGGGAGCCTCTACAGCAGCACCACCACATGGATGCAGGCTGGCAGTGTCTTACACATCCAAACCCACCCAGAACCCCTCCATTGCACTTTATTGCTGCCCTGGGGTCGCTTAGGCTTGGGCTGTCTCGACTGTCTGTCTGCACATGACCACGCGACCGAAGCTGCGAAACGGCAGACCAACGCCCGCCAGAACCTGCACGCGCCTCACCGTACCTCGCCCTTTGTCTTCGCCCTGCTGCGCTGCTCATCGGCGGCTCTGCTTGAAACACACTGCACTGCCGTTGGTCTAAATCTAGATCCAACCTCGGCGAACCACCATTCCAACGGCTCCCGCCCTCTCCCCTCCCGACCCCGACTGTCGACAACATGGCCAGCTCCCGGACTCGGCGCATCCAGAAGGAGCTCGCCGACATTGAGAAGGATGCCAAGCTCAGCAAGATCACGGCCTCTCCTGCCGACGCCACCGGCGACCTCACCCATCTCAAGGCCCAGATCTTCGGGCCTCCGGGCACCCCCTACGAGGGCGGCCAATTCGTCGTCGACGTCAAGATCCCGCCCGAGTACCCCTTCCGCCCGCCCATCATGAAGTTTGACACAAAGGTCTGGCACCCCAACATCAGCAGTCAAACTGTAAGTCTCTCGACCGCCGCCCAAAGTCCCCATCTGCTGGGGGCTGCATCATTGAGCACGCACTGACGGATTCACCCTGCAACAAAAGGGCGCCATCTGCCTGGACACCCTTAGCACGGCGTGGTCGCCAGTCCTCACCATCAAGTCGACGCTGCTGTCGCTGCAGTCCCTCTTCGAGAGCCCCGAGCCCAAGGACCCCCAGGACGCCGAGGTGGCCAAGATGATGATGACGGACCCCGAGGCCTTCAACATCAAGGCCCACGAGTGGGCTGTCCTCCACGCCGATGCCCCCAAGAACGCAACCTTCTCGGGCGTCAAGCCTCGTCAGGCCGCGACGTCGGCGGCTGCCCAGCCGCAGCAGATCGACGCCGCCAGGTAAGGACCTGTCCACTTCCCCGGCGAGCCCGCTGCTCGCCGAGTTCGGATGGTCTGTTTGCTGACATACGCGAGGAACAGGTACCAGGGCTACAACCGAAATCTTGTCGACCGCTTCGTCAACATGGGCTTCGACGTGGATAGGGTCGTCGACGCCTTCCTTTTCGTGGGCATTGACAAGAATGACGGCCGCGACTACATCCTCGAGGAGGCATACATGGGCGACATCACGGCGCGACTGCTTGGCGAGCCGTAGGTGTGCCCGAGCCTTTGGGATACGGCCGCTCGGGATTGGTGGTGATTCCGTCCGGAGCTGCCGCGGTCGAGGACGGACGAAGTTCATACATGGGCGGCAAGAAAGGGTTAACACAGCATCATAGCATTTGTGGAGTTCTAGAGTCATGTTGGGCCGGGTATAGCATTTGTGCCGCCTGAGTTACCGGGGGGTCATTCATACTGGCGTTTATTGGGGAGCTGTTTACATTTCAGGTTTCCCTGTGGGGGTATCACCTGCTTACATGACATGAGAGGATTTGTCGCTGCAATTCAAGCAATCAACACGCTCAGCATGCATCGTGACGGGCGCACCACGATTGACCTAGCGAGGTTGGTGCTTCAGATGTTGTGGGCTGGATTTGATTGCACCGCTTGATAGCAACAGTCTTGCCTCGTCAATTTCATCCGTCTGCTTCCACCCCGCCATGGCTCCGTTGCTCCCAAGTCATAGACAGCCTCGCAGGGGATGATGCGCCTATATGTCGAGGAGTTACCTAGGTAATCAACAAGCCGGACTACAGTAACTGTTTCGTAAAATGGTTTATACGAGCCATGTATACCATCATACATCGCCGAGGCCCCTAGCAGGCCTAGCAGGCCTAGCAAGCCCAGGCCCTGCCAACTGCCCTACGGCTCCATGGTACCTGGTGGGCCTGGGCTGCTGGGTGTCGACTTTACGTGTAGATCAGTGGAGGAAGTACTCCGGACGGCCCGTGCCACCCCCGTCTACGTCCAGTTTAGCCCTGTAAACTTTGGCTTGGCGTCAACGGTCTACAATGACATCACAATCCCGATTTGGGGATCCGTGATCCGTTTTCTATTCTATCCACTGACTAGATCCTGAAAATATCCCCCCAGTGCCTGTGCTTGTGCCAATGCTTGTGCCAATGCCCGAGTGACGTTTCGGCAACGTAGGACCAAGGCTTTCCACTTCTAGACTCTCGCTTCCTGACTCCTTTCTTTCCACTATCCTCCGAGACATTGCACTATCGCATCTTATCGATCGTCCAGACCACATACATACCTCATCCTTCGACAATCGTTCGCTGGAATTGCACGCCTTGCTGGTTCTTCGCCCACGAATCCACCGCGAATCCGCACTCTACCTTGGGATAGTAGAGCTAGCGCTGCACTTATATTTGGCGCGAATCAGCTCTTGTCCGCGGTCAGAATCTAGAGTGCTGTTGGGACTTGCCGGCGGCCCAGTCCGGTATCGACTCATTCATCACTGTCGCAGAGCCGATCGTTCTTCCATCAGGCTACCTGGAACATCAACCTTGTTGTATAACAGACACCGGGACTTTCTCTCTCTCACCCTCGCCGCTGTGGAAGCAGATGGATACAGGCACACACGCTTAGGATGTCACAAGAGAAAGGAGGCCCGCCGGTGTCAACCGGCGAGCAAGCGAATCTGGCGGTTGATACACAACAAACCCGAGACCGAGCTCGTACGGACGCCGAAGTGCCGGATGCGCTACCATCGCCGCCTGGCATAGCCGCGCTGCAAGATGACAGGAGGACGCAGAGCGCGCCCGACGCAATCAACGCTGCCACCGCGGTGCACAGCTCGCCTACCTCGCCGCTGGCATCGCAGCCGGCGCTCGGGCATCCCCGGACGAGCCTGAATATGCAGAGAGCAACAAATACCAAGCCTCGCAACGTACGCGCTAGCGAGGAGTTCGACCGCCGGTACGATGGACCGTTCGGCCGGCCGAGCCTGGTCATGGCCCGGAGACGCTCATCCCAACAGCCCGGCCTTCCCGAAGAGGATGCCACCGAGAACGCTGTACAGCTCACGACGGTCGAGCCCATGCCCGGCGGCGGCGAGCAGTTGCACGTCCAATTGTACGAGCCGGAGCCGCCCAAGCTGAACTATACCCTGCGCACACGCAAGATGGCCATCTTCATCTTCTGGTTCGTCGTCGTCTTCGACTCGACCGTCATGCCGATCGGGCTCTACTTCGGTCTGTGGTATGGTGTAGGACCAGGAAACCCGGCCAACGAGAAGCTGAGTGCCAACACCGTCTTCAGTATTGTCACGGCCGCGTTGGGTGGTGTGAGTATCCTGGAGTATTTCGTCCGGTTTTGGAGGCTGTGGAAGAAGGATAGTACTTGTCGGGTAAGTCAGGCCAATTCATCCTGCCGTGTCTCTCGCCAAGATCACGAAAGCTAACGACCGCCATCAGGTCATCGGCGCCCGAAGATGGTATCTCGATTGGTTCCATTGGATGTTCACCCTGGCGTGGCTTATTGTCATGGTAGAGCTAATTGTGTACGTCCTCATCATTACCGAATTCCCAACCCTTCTCCGTACTGACAAATCTCGCAGAGGCTCCGTTCCAGAAGACCCCTACATCCGCCTACTTGCCATGCCATTGGCAACAATGCTTTTCGTGTTCGGCACACTACTGCTCACCATTGACGGCTGTCGATACTTCCACGTCACCGCGCCCTGCCGGATCTCCTCCATCCCCAAGGGAGCGCAGCTGCGGCCCGGCATCTACTCCTTGATCGAAGACGTGTGCGCCGTGGACGGCTCCGGCGGGACCGACTTCCGCGTTGCCTTCGACCGGCGCTACGAGGCCAGCCACGTCTTCCGCTCCATGCTGCGCCGCCTGGGCATCTTCTGGGCGTTCGGCGCGCAGGGCTGCGCCATCCTGAACACGGCGCTCATCTTCGGTCTGAACAACGCCGACGCCGCCTACACCATCGGCTGGAGCGTCCCGTTTATCTGGGCCGGCATCTGGACCCTGGCTACCTTCTGGTACGCCAAGCGGGAGCTGAAGAAGGAGAAGAAGCTGTGGGCTGCCGAAGCGGCCAAGAACCGGGCTTAGAGCGGAAGACAAAGAAGATTTAAAGAACACATATGATACCCCAGAATGTAGGAAACTGGTCATAAGCGGTGTCGAACGCAATCTAGATCATACACCGATATGGTGCCTACAAAGACAGAAAGATAAATGAGACAGGTAAACGAAATTTCTCCGAGAACTGGCTTGTTCTTCTTGCCCTTGTGCATTCCGACAGTATAGACAAAGAGCCTCATGACGTGTGCGCGGGCAGTGGGTGACCAGATACGTCTAGATATGCCTGGCCGTTTGCCCCAGCTAGTCTTGTATATGCCGGTGGCGGATTCGTAAGCTCCTGACCACCATCTGCATACACGACTCCCATCAACGCACGGCCTGTCGCCGGCGGATCCAGGGCAGACGGTTCCCCACGTTCCCCGGCTACGCTTATGGACCAAGTCGGCAGGGCACCGACGATACAACTCCTGCCCACAAATTCTCCTAGTGTGCCCCTGTTCTAGTTTGTGACAACACTCCTCGCTCATCATTCCAATTTCACGGGTCAGCCGAGTGTGTAATACTTGGGTTGAATTCCGAGTTGTCCAACTTCGTCAAAGTGCCATGGGAAGCCCCAGGGGCAATCTATACATGAACAAGCAGGTGATTTTCAAAAACTCTTTCCCGTCGTACGTAGTTTGTCCAATCCCAGGAAGCTAGATCTCAGAACCACAGCCACCAAGTTGCAACAGGATAAGGTGACACGCGATAATAGTGGAATTGATTGGTTGAGTGGACTATGAAGGAAATTACAAGCATGCATCAAGTTGGAAGGAAGATTGGGGAGTCGTATACCCGTACAAGTTTTACATAGCACTACCATGAAAACGCATCTTCCTCGCCAGAGATAATGTCGAGTCTTTTAATCGCCATTTATGTACCATAAAGACATATGAACTTTATAAAACCAGTCACAGACACAACTGTCGTGGCAGCCATTTCTAAGGCCTACGGTGTGAACAATGCATAGCGCACATCAAAGCTGAGGCCACAATGCCAGCTATTAGTATTTGAAAATTATTAAACTCGACTTAGGCTAACTTGAGAATCTTCCAATAATATTCTCGTCGGGATTTAGATAAGCTAATTGAACATCTTCTCGTAATTTCCACGCACCTCGGGCGACATTGTGGTGTTGGATTCGTCGCAGATCGGGCAGCAGCACCGGAACCCCCAAGAGCGCTCTAACTGGGCCGCACGGTCTTCTACCCAGGGGTCTATGTAGGTCAAGGTGATCTCTTTGCCTTTCCTAATGTCACATCGGGCTCGTAGTTCAATGAACCCAGCCTCAACCGCATGGAGAGCATTGTGGGCACACGAGTGATTGAAGCGGCTGGCGACGGTAAAGAGTGCCACCTGTGTAATGGCAAGGCTAAATAGGTTGGGAAAGGACTTGTCAGGGATCCGGCTGCGGTAGCCGGCGTCATCTTCTATAAATGAGTTGGTTCTGGTGGCGAACCACAGCTGCAAGTACTGCTCGCGCGTGTCAGGAGATCGACCACTGCGGCTCATGATCAAGTCTAGTGCCTGATCGACCTGGCTAACCCACCGCACTGGTCGATAAGAGCTGAGTTCCAGAACCTGCTCCTTTTTTCCTGTGTCAGGCCATCATAGGCATCCATCAAGTCCTCAAGGCCGGGAATACACGGGTCATATGGCCCGGGTTGGTCTTCTCTGTCAACGAATTTGATCCTTGGAGAAATAAGAAGTGCCTTTTCGCGAAGAATTACAGTTCCAACTGGTATGTCGCGTGTGGCAAAGGCGCCAGATCCCGATTGTGGTGTGTTGAGTATTTCGAAAAGCCTGCACATATTGTCACACGGCGTACTTTGTGCACGGGAATGGTTTCAAATGTCGATTGTGAGATTGGATTATGATGGCGGTGAAGATGATGATGATGGCAACTGCATTCGAGTCATGAGTCAAGAATGGGTGCCGAAGCAAAGCTTTATATATTTGTGTCTACCACGAAGTTCAATTGCTTTGTTCTTGTAGTCTCTAGCATAAAGCCTCTGAAGAAACAACACGGAGAGGACCTACAATTGTTTGTGTTTCGGCATTCATTTGCATAATCAAAAAAGCTATTGTTATTGAAGGAGAAGCCGTTGTTGCTTGTCAATCTGACAGAGCCGCAACAAGTATACGTTGAGAAATTCTGAGCACAGTGCAGCAGAGCAATCAGTGTGTCTCTCGTCATACACTTCAAAGCAACATTTGACAGACGCTAAACATCACATTTGTAACTATTCAGGGTCATTCGCTACCAGTCACCTGGAATATGGTTACGCGTCTGATGTGGGGGTCAGCTCCTCGTCATGAGTCTGAGCCATCTCATCCCATGCTAAGGAATTGTGTTTCTGAATACACTCAATGTATAAAAATGTCAATCTTGTTCAGCAAGAACTCATAAATACTAATTATCACAGGGTATTTCACCACTCCCACGCAGTCACAACGTCTCTGAAACGGCGATTCCAAGTTCTCTTACTGCAGGAAATACAAGTGAAATCATCAATAGTACAGTGATTCATAGGCCTGGTGCAAGAGTGTTTCGCTAAAGGGGTCAACCTATAAAACCCATAATTCCTGGTTGCGGAATTCCTGCTTTCCAACATCAAACCTTCCAACTACAAACGCATTTTTCGACATTTATATACCTATCTAAATATATTCACGCCGACGAGTAAACATTGAGCAAAATGTCTAAGTCCCAGTACTCTCTTCAAGGCCAGTCCAAAAGTAAGCCATCTGAGTCTTCAAAGAAGAAGTTAAGTGGTGGTGGGAGCAGCAGCGGCAAGACGTCAGGCGGAGGATCCAGTGGAGGACAGAAAAAGAAGTCTAGCAAATCGGAGTCTAACATCACTTGTGAAGTTGAGACTGTTACATGGGAGCCCCGCAGGACTGAGTATAGCGATGGGGAGAGTTATGAGTACCCATACGGCAAAGGCACAGGCAAGTGATCGTTAAGCGATCTGGGCGGCTACATCTCTTCAATGACAAGGTAGCTATCCATATACATTCCGTTACTTTTAGCACACGCCATGTTATGGCTAAAGCTTGAAGCCACCATACCACTATTGGCGGCCTGCATTGGGTGAACCAATTGTTTACACCCTGACGAGTGCGATGCTAACAATTCTGAAAGAAAACATCATCAGTAGTGTATGAGATACAATTATGGCCAGAAAATAGCGTTTAGTTGACCAGAAAGCCCAGGGACAAGTGATTGAACTTAGAATGCGAGAAGACTCACAACGCGGATGGTGGCCGGATCTACTTCTGATTTCCTGCATACAGACCGGTATTTGCCGCATGCGACTGTGGTTCTCCGGATACGCCACAATGTCACTCTTGCCCAAAGAACTCAGAGTTTTCCTGGTTCTCGGAAGTGCCAACTTTGCGATGACCGTAACTCTCTTTCCATGCCCAGGGCTAAGAAGAGACACAGACTTTGGACCCGTAGGAACAACTTCGCCGTAGCATTGATACAGCGCAAGAATTTTGTATGAGGCTCGCCAGAACACTACAAAAGGGCCTAGGGTATGGAAGATACTGCACATAATGTGGACCCTGGGATCTTTCGAAGGGGCTACTGGAGCGCGTGATATAAGGCACAGAAGCAGCATAGTGGAACACTTCGGTGTTATTATGCATTCTCTTGAGTTTATGACTCTGACCCAGCTGGCACAGCAACCGTGTCAGAATACGCTGCCATTTTTGGCGGTGTCTTTTAGAGTTTACCAAATTTGTACTTTTATGTGAGAAAGCATCGTCCTCCCCACGGGACTGAGAAATTCTCCTCTTGACGCACGCCATCTGATATGCGTTCTCAAACTGCCAAAGGTATGACTGAACCTCCTTGTCGCTCCGCTCCCAGAAGTCTACAGCAACACCCGGAACCACCCTCCTTTGTAAAATTTGAAGCTGCTAAGAGATCCTTCCATAAAATAAGGAATTTGCCCCAAGGCCCGGCTATGCGATATCAGTATAGACCTACGAAGCTCGGTTGAAGTAACTTACCCCACTCGCCTGGTTTCTCCAGCGTTACTTCGAGAGATAATCTGGCGAACAATTGTGTAAAAGTTATGCTTGCGCTCTCAGTTCACCACAGGTAGATTAAGACTGCTGCAAATCTTGTGACTTTGCAAAAGCCTAAAGCAAGGGAGGAAGGAAAGAGGAGTTCCCTCCACAGTTACCGGCTTTACTATTTTACATGTGGGGTAGACCATCCCTTACCTCTTGGCTCTTGTACAGGTACCCAACTACAACAACCACTTGCATCAGCCAGTTCATAACATACGCTCTGGAGTTTTCAATGAATCCCCTTCCAAATACTTAACATTGCATAACAACTGAATTTATATATCATAAACAGTGGCCCGGTACCTTATTACGGCAAGACAATACGAACGAGCCCGTTGCTCCCCTGTCTTCCTTGGGCTCCTTCCGTTTCTCTGCATTCTGACGTACAGAACCGCTGCTTTCCTCCACCTTAGGACTGCGCTCTGCTTGATTAAGAAAGGATTCTCTTTTCATATCTCCATCAAGTCAATCACTACGTTGGCTGAGAATGGAACCTTCTTCAGTCCAAGGCGTGATTGTGGTTACCGGGGCGGCTGGAGGCCTCGGCAGCTGCATTGCCGCAGAGATCGCTTCATCGCCCCAACTTGCTGCTACTTACCGCGGTATCTATGCTGTCCGCAACCCTTCGCAGACCACGGCGCTATCCTACGCTCTTGATCAGGGACGACAGAGAACTACTCCTCACCCTCATGAGATTGTGTCACTGGACCTTGAGCAGTTTGACAGCGTTCGCGCCTTAGCCACCGATCTCAACCAACGGGTGGCTACAGGTAACATTCCCAGAATCCGCGCACTCGTGCTCAGCGCAGGCTACCTGGAGCTTGAGAACCAGAGATGGTTGGGAAATGGACTGGACGCGACCTGGACGGTCAACTACTTGAGTCAGTGGCTTTTGACTTTGCTACTGTTGCAAAGCATGGATCGAGAAAACGGCCGAATAGTGGTACTTGGGAGCCACACCCACGAGTGAGTTTTGCTTTCTGTACGTTGAAGTCGTATTAAAACATGACTATTTAGTCCGTATGACAAATTCAACAAAGGCTCGATGGGTGGGCAATTTGATGATGACAGGTGGAAGCAAATTCTTGGCGACAGTATTGAGCCGCTCTCCAAGGGAACTTGGAGTCCTTATGGCGATGGGGATCCATCAGACGCAGGCTTGCGTCGTTATGGAGCCTCAAAACTTTGCCTAGCTATGATGATGCATGTATATCAAATGGAACGCCATGTGATATATATTGGCTAACTTTCGGTTCTAGAGGTGAACTACAGCAGCGTCTGGACCGCGATCCTTTACTCAACAACGTCGCCATACTGGGCGTTGATCCAGGCTGGATGGCCACCGCAATCTCCCGGCGGCATCCAATGTACTCTGTAGTGAGCGTTGTTATGCCCTGGGTGGCTAGCTTCCTGTCCTGGATGCAGCCCAGCGGCATGTATCGCACCCCTGGTCGGTCAGCAAAAGATGTTGTGGCAGCCATGTTCGACATTGGCTGGATTAATGGGGCCAGTCATAAGGGTATGTACTTCAAAGGGGCGGTGCGGGCCGAGGTGAGCGGGGAGGCGCAAGACGTAGAGAAGCGAAGAATGGTGTGGAAGGGTAGTGTGAAGTATGCAGGCCTGCAGCATGATGACACCCTTTTACTGCACTGGAAATGATGCTTGTAATTAGACAACTAAACTATCTAGGACCATCCCAGTTGCACCGCCGTCGAGAGATATTGGAGGGAAATACAAACCTTCCAGACTCCATTATTCACCCAGCTTGGAATGTGCACTTCTACTCACCGTATTGTCTACTTTTCTGCGTTTCCCCAAAATTTCAGTTGTTAATGACCCCATTTAGTGAGGAAATTGTGAGGAAAATGATCCCATTCTTTTCTTTCAGCCGCAATTCTTAAAAGTCAGGACGAGCTCGCAGCCACAGGAGCTGACCTCTGCTCCGTGCCGGCGGACGCGGCTGCGCTTGAATGATTACTCGTTGACTATCACTAGCGATTGCAGTTGACACCGTTGTCGTACTGTCAGCAATTACTATCCGTTGTGATAAGAGTATGGGATGATGGACGAAAACTGCAACTTTCGGACTGTGAGTAGCTTGAAGTTTTTCAGTTATTCACAGCAAATGAATAAGTCTCTCACATTCACGAAGCATGTTGGCGTCCCATTATATAGGGACAATAGGAGAGATTTGCAAGCAGTACACTTGTGTTCAATCTGCAACGAAAGAAGGGAGGCGAAAGAGCCCGATTAGCCAGTCACAAGTAACGTTTTAAGCATATATTTGGCGACGTTTGCCTTTTCCTGATTTACGCCTCTAGACTGAAGTACTCGACATATCTAGGTCCCTCTGGCTTTAAATCCGACGCACGAATACCGCATGTCAGCATCAGATTCAACTGCCGTTGATTTGTTGCACAGCCTCCACACAGCCACGTCGCTGCTGAGGGGCCTAAATGTAGCCACGTCGAGTACAACCACCCAATACTGGCATAAACCTTTCCTCGGACCAATTTCACTGAGGCATACTTCATTCGACTTGTCTGTACAAGGTTTACGATGGTCGAGCACGTGTCGAACTACTATGACGTGGATCCTGCAACCGCTTTACCACCAAAGTGGGAACATCTCATTAGATGACTGGATTACTCTTTGGACCTTATGTCTGGCGCCTCTTCTGGCTCATATCCTTTCAGGAGCTCCACAACCTTCTTATGTATGTCTGACAAAACCGAAATGGCATGATCGTATATGTTTATACAACCCTACGACAATTATTTGGAGATATATGGCTATTGCAGAGCGACGCATCAGGGCTCGATCGTGGCAACCGTTGGACATGGCAGGCGCTAATGCGTTGTTCTGGACCTCTAGAGGCTGGAATGGATCAGAGGCCATAGTGCTTGACAGCTTGCCCTACTGTACACGCTTGCCCGAGCATCCCCGATTGCAGATCATCTCTACCGAAATGCTCAAGACTACAATCACCGCGTTGCAAGGTGTTCAGGTAGTGTATCGATATATTCCTGGGACCGGAGCTTCCCTTGGGAATCGATATTTTGCCCTGGACAGTGTTTTTATACCATTAGCCAGCTTTGGCTTGCTACGCTTGCTGCCTGCGGCGTGGTTGACTGCTGATTTTGCCTACACCACGCGATACGTCACGAATACGGAAACAAACTCAAAAAGTCCAACAGGCAACAAGGCCGGATTTTATCTCGATGAGGTGCAAGGCAATCGTGGGGAACTGAGCCATTTTAAAGAACGCTACCACCAACTGTCTTGTAAACGAAGCCGGGCTATCCGCGCGTTCCACTTGATCATCTTGTCTGGATGCTGGATTCTCACCATCATCTATGTCATAGTTCTTCCAGTCTCCAGCTCCCAAGAGCACATCATGACAGTCACGGATTTGCTAGTGTCAACGCTCTACTTTGCAATCAGCTCGACAACCTTCTCAACTTGCACCTATTACCTACTTCGGGGTCATACGACAACGATTATCCCCTGCATATCTCAACTTTGGTACAAATCTTACACAATGGGTTTGGCAATCGCAATGACCGCCCTTGTTATTGTTTCCTGCATAGAGACGAGGAAGACCGTTTGTGGGAGGTTCACTAGTGTAGGGCCACTGCATACGAGTGTAGATCCATGCTTGACGGATGCTCCAAGTATCATTGCTCTTGATGCAAATTCAGAAAGCCACCATGCTTTCGGGATCACCCTGAAAACTATGTCAGATGGCTCGAGAGCTTCTGGAGGAGGGGATTTCTGGTATCTAAATTTCTCCGGTACGTGCCTTGGGCAGGTAGAAAGTCCAGTGATTAGCCAAGCGAGAACATTGGGAGCTGTCGCTGTGTCTAATTGGACTGATATAACTAGGTCAACGATTTCTCCTAGTTCTATGCGAGTCTTTGTGTAACCTTTGTTCTCTTTCACTAGAAGAAAGGCAATAGAGCAGGTGGCTTTTATAGATATATGTTTCCGCCGTGAAGTTTTCTTCACCAATTGGTTTACCGGTATAACGTTATTGCCTACTGTGGATACTAGTGCAAATATGGTAAGAAATGTAGGGAAATTGACTGGTGTTGATAGAGTTTCCTTGGACAACTTTCATAAACTTTGAAACTCTCAAATAAGTAAACGTCCCGCTAGAAATATATGTAAGCTCGACGGAATGGCTGCTTGACGAACCCTCATTATAGCCGGACGTCGAGCTCAGATTGTTCCCGCAGCTGCTTGAGGAAGTAGATAACTGCGTGCTTGGCGAGATAAAATCGCTGTAAGTAGAACTGGGTTCAAAAAATTGGCTGCTTGAAGAAATGATATCGGCATAGCTGGATATCGAGGTCGATGACTCGGTACTCGAATGGTCGTTGTCATAACTTGACGTAGACGTCCTGGCGTCGGTGCTCTGACAGTCTATAGGGCTATAACTGTACGCAGGCTCGAAAGGTTGACTATACCAAGAAACTTCAAGCCATTTCGACGTGGTGGTCGTTACAACCGAGGTTTAAGAAATGGAGCTCGAGGTGGTTGTGATTCGTGAGCACTTTCGTCTTCGCAATGGCTCTGCTGTCACTTGGCGCTTCTGGACGGCGGTGAAAGCACATTCGGTGACGGTAGTAGAGCTATGAATGTAAGTCTTGGAACGGACAACTTGTCTCATTCCTTACGTGGAGTCATAAGAGGTGACAGCAGGAGCGCAAATAGTGTTGGTTCCCGTAGTCCTGGTAATGACCTCTGTCGTGGGAATAGAACTGATGGAAGTTCCGGTGCTCATGACCGTAAGATGGAAAAGGGAGGAAGAACAAAATGCTGTTCTCGAGGTGAGACCTGCGAGGGCCTGGATGACGTGCCGGTCTGCAGGGCATTCCTGCCTGCTGGGAGTGCATTCGACGTGGCTTACAGCCAATAAGGACATGAGCCCAACCGGAAGCTTGACAGATACCATAGTTGCAGATCCGGACCACAAATCTACGCACAGGATCTAGATTTGACAGAATAACCTTATGTAATGGTACTCCTGGGTGAGCGGCATCTTGGGCACTTTATAGACTGATTTGGTGCAGCCAGTAGCTCGGTTTTCGCTCTTTAGAGAATGCGCCTAGAGTTTGTCTAGTCACTTTCTTGCTTCTGTTATTTTAAAGATGGACCGGGGCGTTCTTCCTCACTCCCTCTCTGCAAATTCTTCGCTCAGCCGTTGGCAGATAGCTTCAGTTATCGAATGCGGTTCTTTCCCGATGCTGACTATAGCTTAAAAACTGTCGCCTCAGGGGCCGACTTGATCTAGAGGCTGTGGCGCAAAGGCCATCGCGGGCCTGAAGCCACATTCATTTGGCTTAGTGAGCTGCGACTGCACATAAAGTTGGAAACGCTATGGACCAACACTAGTATCTTGGGCTACCCCAGAGCTAGGAGCTTTCGGACTGGGTTGCAGCCGGGGTGTTGTGTCGGCCAATGAATTCCACTCGGTTCCTGAGTGGTGCAAGCAACAGAAACGGCGCTATAAACGCCATTTCATCAGGCTATTCCACATTGCTTTGCTCATGTTTATAGTTGAGCATTGAGATATGTGGCGCTCCCGAGCTGCTGAGCTGAGCTGCGGGCAGACTTCATCGTGTGTTTTTTGCATGTCTCACCAGTCTTGGTTGTTCAATGCTGCCGGTGGTATCATAAACGCATGCACGACAAAGTCACTCATACAAACATACAGGTGGACAGAAAAACGCAGGGACGGGGGACAAACTCGGTCAGACTGCGTTCAGGGGGATATTGTGATCTATATATAATCTATTTACGATTTGCCAGGAACTATTGAAAACGATACTCAAGAATTCGGAGCCTGGGTCTCAACGATTGACAAATTAGACTTCCTATAAGTTTCCTTGCTGAAAAGCTCCTTCAAGATCAGTGTGCTCGATGACGCCGATAGCCAGCCTCCCCGAGGGTATTCTTCACTTGTGAGGGAAACCCACGACTCGGGTGTGAGTCTGGATCCAGGCCTAGCCCAGTTTGAGTACGGCGACTTGATCTCCCGCGACCAAGTACTAGTCCTCCCCAATTCGGATGTGCTGCTTACGTTATTCCGACTGCGGTTTGCGGGGCTGCGTAGCTTTCCAATCCATAACATTTGTTCATGTTCGCGCAGGTAACGATCGGACGAGAAGTTTTTCAGTACATTCTCTCGGCCCAGCATACCAAGAGACCGGCGTTGCTCTTGCTTTGAGTACATGCGCCTAGATATTTTCCTCACCGACTCGGGCGAGGGCACCGGATACTCGAGGACTGGCACTTCGACGCCAGGACTATCTTCGGCGTGTTTGCTCCAAGGACCCAGTAGGGCAAGGATGCTGATCTGAGCACGGGCAAGAGATTCGGAGTCGTTAGGCGGCACCACCTCGCTGAAGCGGTCACCAGTGGCACGATCAGTGACCACACAATACGATGCGCCGACATCAGTACAGACAACGGGAACGCCAGTCAAAGCTGCCTCACCCATGGCCAAGGGCAAACCTTCAGAGATCGATGAGTTGAGAAATAGCCAGGCGTCTTGAAGAACGACAGAAGCAGCGCCGAGGCCTTTGAGAATGACGTGATTCTGAAGGTTCTTCGAGGCAATGAGCTCTTGACATTCAGTCGCAATAACGGCAGCACGTTCCTGATCGCCGTAAATGTGTAAATGGTAGTCATTGAATCCCCACTCATTGACGATCAAATTGGCGGCCATGATAGCATTCTTGATGTCCTTGACGTACTGGACATGCGACAGCATAACAACTGTTGGCTGGTTCGTTCTGACGACTTCAGTGGGCTCGAACTTTTCCATGTTGCAGATTCCGTTGATGACAGGGTCGATTTTGCGTGCAAAAGACCGGCGATGCTCAATAGCGCCTTCGCCAGTGCCGAGCTCCTTTTCCCAGCCGGGGTTGAAGTAATCGCAGCAGGGAAGTACAACGTCAGCATGGTGCTCCAGCAACACACAACTAAGATGTGTCAGGGAGATCAGGGTACTATTGACGAATGGTGCATCATGAGAAACAGCCGAGCTCATGAACGTGGTGAACTCTCGGTAGCTGATGCAATGATCCCAGATGTGCAGGGATATGTTCCGCTTCTTCTTGCAGACGATACCATAGGTGGCACCAGTGAAATGGTGGGATGCCTGGAACACGTCGGGTATGTGTTCCGGGACTGGAAGGGAGAAGATGAAAAGGTATCGTGACCACAGATTCAAAGCTTCGTCGAGTTGCTTGATCGTAGGCATCTCGAAATCCCACCATTCGGAAATGTTCAAAGCATCGTCAATGTCTTCACTCAGCCAGAGCTCGCGCCATCTCTCCTTGACAATAGGGTGATTCCAAACGTCACTCCAGTTGCGAGATGTCTCAAAGTACGTATTCAAATGCACCAGCGCATTGGTAGCCTCCTCGACGTGTTCGCGGGTTAGCTTGACAGTTCGGGCGCACTTTACCAAGCTGCCAAGTATAGGAATGAAGTTCTGCATTATATCTGCAGCACACGTATCAAAGGAGCGTTGAACAACTGCGGTATCGAGACTGCTCTCCAGAATCCCGTGGACAGGATTGAGAAAGTCCAGGCCCCAAAGCGGCAAGATGGTAAGCGACTGGACGTTTCGTTCAATTTGAAACCGCGGCACACCGTAATCATTGGCGGATTCAGCAAGAACATGCCACTTGATTGTGTTTAGGTCGTTGATCATGTCCCGACGGCAGGCGGATACACCACCAGGGTCATTTGGCCAAGTTGAGGTATCCATGCAGAGAACGTGGAGTTCATGCTCGTTGTCCATGATCTGCGAGGATAAGTGCCGTGTGTTAATTCGGGCATCCCCCGCCCGACCAAAGGTAGACAAGTCACTTAATTTGAATGCGATATGAACCCATGAGCTGATTTGAGGGTCGACATCCACTCTTGCCATGACAGTATCGGCCTGAGTGTCGATGTACCTCTTGGCTGCCCCGAGCAGACCAAAGTCTCGACGCCTCCAGTAAGGCCGCATCACTTGATCAGAACGCAGCAGCGCTTCATCAATCCACTGGGCACTGATAGCATCGATCTCGCGGCCATTCTTCCATGCCTTCCAGAGCTGGGTACGGGCAGCGGCGGTGGAGATTGGGTAGCGTTTTGCGTTCAGACCAAGAATTCGTGAAACAAGGCTGGATTTGATAGAAGAAAATGAGAGCAGTGGGTTCTCATTCAAGAAGCTGCAGTTCTCTGGCTTCTTCAGGACGTGAAACCAATCCTCACTGATCATAGGGGGTGCGGACACAGGGTTGCCGTTTAGAGTAACCGAGACCTCAGGGTGGAGCTTGTGTTCAAAATCCCAAGACGCATGGAAGGTATTATGACCCTGGATGAAAGTTGCCTCCGTCACCACGGAGAAAGGAACCCATTCGTCCAGTCTCTTATCGGGGTTTTGGTGTGGCATACTCCATAACACCTTGATAGTTGTGTCGGGAAATGTGTATTCGGCCCAAAGAAGTTCGTCCTCGTGCTTGGCATCCCGACGATAGCAGTATTTCCAGCTGACCAGACTGTCACCACGTATGGATGAGCCACTTGAGATGTAACCACGATGATCATATTTCACGATCTGGCCCTCGAGTTCTCCTCTGATGCAATGGCGCTGCAATGGCATCTTTGTTTGACGGTTATCATAATCGTAGTGAAAGATATTGGTAACTTTGCCATTCCTGTACACTCTCCTGCGTTGAAGCACCAGTCTGTCGTTGTAGGTGTTGACACACAAAAGCTGTGCCGAGTCATTGGGCTCACGATTATGCCGCCCGTTATACTGGGACACACGCAGTGAACCGTCGGACGTCGTGGTCCAGAACCAGGTTGACGGGCCATCAAAATCCTCTGTGATGATCTTGTCCTTCTCAAGGATTGTCGTCGTACCTCGTACCAGCTTTTCAACTCTGGAGACGTGTTCATGGCCATGAAATAGGACAACAGGAATAATGATCGTTTGTAGAACTTTGCAGTATGCCCATATGGTGTTTAAAAACAACACAAATGGCCAGCAGATATACCGATTGGTTTGGCAGACTAAGAAGTCCAATTCTCGCTGGTACTCAGGGTCTGCGACGAAAGAAAGGATGAAAAATTTGATCCCGAGTTTGATGCTGCGTAGAGAAATGGCAACCATTCTCTTGAGTGTAGAGAGGAAGGTTGGATCCTGATGAGTATTCGGCCTGGGGATGAGGCTGTTTGTTTCGCTGTTGCCGCCATACTCGGTCTCCTCCGTGCTGTAGAAGCCGTCGGTTTCTACGGATCTTGCGTAGCTTAGCACACCTTGTATCATAGATGCTCCAAGGTCGCACCGAGCAATGTGCGTGCGTGCATCATGAGAATTCTGCGAGCCAAATCTCGAGCAGATCCATTCCTCGACCTCGACGATAGGGGCATCAAATGATCCGCTGCACCGCCTCAGCATGAATGCTTGGACGGACTCGGGAAGCATCTCCCATTCTCGATCGCAATCGATTCCCAAGAGAACATAACGCAGCAGAGTATCGTCGCTCTTTTGGATGAATTTGACTCGTCCAGATGGGTCAGTCTCGAGTCGGTGTTTGATACCCTCTGGAATAGACACATCATCATGGCTGAAGTGATCCACTACCAAGAGTTGTGCTAATGTTGCATCCTCGTGAGACATGCCGAGCTGGTGTTCGGAGAAGGATTGGACAATGGCCTCGGTGATGATTCTCCAGTTCCGTTCCAGATTCATGACCCATTCTTGATGGACACTATCAGGGCCCAGGATGACTATTATGTGCAGTCGGTCTCTAGTCTTGCGACTGATAGTTTGGACCTTGGTCTCTCCGAAAGGCATACTACGGGAAGAGCTGAGCTCGACGATCAGATCGCCAGCAATCCAGCTCTTAGCAGCGAGGTCGACAATACCGCGAGCAGATTGAAATGCTTCTTTCAATGTCGGGGGGTAATGCAGTTGTCTCCGAAGAGAAAGTAGCTCAAGCACTCGCTTGCCTGGGTGCTTAGACGGGTCCAGAATGTATCGATCCTCGGGAGGGACAGCACGGATGGATTCAAACATTCGCCCCAACGTGAACTGCGAAATGTCATGATGGGGATGTAGAGTACTCGCAGAATAAGTAACTGCCAATGGAGACTGTTCTTCCGTTTCCACGGATCGCCACTCTGGCTTCCAGATTAGGAAGGGTGGCCGGCCGATGTTTGTGAGGAACATGGAGTAGATGCAGGCTATCCAGGTTGCGACTGCTAAGGAAACAATACCACTGTACGGCCAACTGGGTAGACAGATGTGCAGCGCAATACCAATCGGAAGTCCGACGATCGAGGCTGCTAGTAAGGGCTTAGCACCGTCGGGACCGCAATAAATCTTGTTGTACTGGTACCAGAGGAGACCCGAGTATGCGCCAACGTAGGCGAGGAACATAACCGAATTGTCTTGGGAGGACTGAAAAGTCCACATTAGTGCCGCGAAGAGCGAAGCACCCCAGAGGTGCAAAAAGAAAAGCTTGCAGAGTGATCTCCAATACAGATTGCGCCTCGCAAGGCCATCTTCTGCGTTCGCCTGCTTGAGGGAGTCGAGCGAAGTGATGGGAATGTCGACGGCTTCGTGCGCGGCTTCCCAGAGGGGCTGCGATATGATGTCGAGAGAGACGGCGCCAAAGAGGTAGTAACATAGACCAAAACCGAGCGCAAGTCGAAATCTGTCACCGGCATCCACTGAAAGACCAACAAGACTGCTTCCAGTCAAGAGTGCGGCCCACTTGTCCAAGAGAGCCACTACAAAGTATAGCAAGCCGGACCACACGTCTTTGCCGGTCGATCGCCAGTGCAGGAACGCACTATGAAGTTTCAGCCCCTTTTGCATGTTCATCATGTTTTCCATACCGGCCTTGAGCGTGAGATTCCAAGTGGTGCTGTACGGAAGAGGCATCCATGATCTCTTGTGGCGGCAATACCATCGCATCAGGAACAGCGTCGATTTGAAGCCTTTCGCCATTTTTCTGACCAGTGGATCTTTGGTGGATTTGGTGAAGAACCAGCGGCTGTCCTCTCGGACGACGGCATCAAAAAACGCCGCACGGGCAATGGGCATCATCTTGTTATCGCCAATGCCGTTCAGTTGTACTCCGGTGTCATTGGCGCTCTGTCGGTACCAGTTGATGATCTCGGAGTCGGTAACGGATGGGATGTTGAGATACCAGGAGCTCCATCGAGAAACCACATTTCGAGCTTTCCAAAGAAATACTACCAAAAAGGCGCTCAATACGGGCAGATAGACGCTAAGCTCCTTCTCGGTGATCATGCTAACAATCGGGGAAATGAACAAAATGGGTATGCATGTGATGATGGTAGTTCTTCCAGATAGAAACTCAGAACCCGGCATCTGGTAGATTGAGAGCGCATTTAGCACCAAGAAGTATGTGGATAGCATGATGAAGTAGAACACGAATATTAGAGCGGCCGTAGCAGTCCGTGTAATAATAATGGCAATGAAGCCAATGATAGCGACCAAAAAGCTTACGGCGATGCCTGCAGTGAACCGAGTGAGTACAAACAGGTTCATTGCCGGGAACGCATTGGCGTAAAAGTACTAAGAGTGTTGTCAGTCAATTGACCGCCGAAATCTTGAGAAGGGTGGCGAAGAACGTACGTAACTTCCTCCGGAACAAATCCACTGACCGAAGGCGCCGCTGAGTAGTAGTGCCAACATGAGCGACACGGTGGCCATGGTTTTCTGTTCTGAAGTCATGAATGTCGTTAAGTATAGACCACGTCCAACTGTTGTCAACAACATGACATCGATGAGCGCCGGTACGGCGAAAATGCTGAAGAATGTGACCCGGTACCTGAATGATATTTTGTCGCTACCATCCCCCGGATCGCAGTCGGCCTGCATTGCCGCGTAGGTCGTAGGGAGCTCTGTGGATATATGATCACGTCTCGGCGGTTGATGCTTCATGTAGTACCTCCGATAGCGGTCGGAAATGATCTTTCCAACGATCCTCGGTGTCGTATCGAAAAATGAATCACAGCGGGAGCCCAGGCCAAAGTTCTCAGCGAAGCAAGCAGCTTGGTCGGCGGCATGATTTGGGTAAGGGTTTCGATCCATGACCTCCAGGTAAAGCTCATCCATGGCGAGTTTTCGGAAAGCACAGAACACCGACAGTGCAAGGATGTCGGCACCAGCATCAATACTATCAGCCAGCATCAACGCCTGCATTGCGGAACTAAGGCGTTCGTAGATATGGCTGTCATTGTTCATGAGGACGGAAACCACGCGTTGGTCCACTTCCTCGAAAAGTTGGATGGCCTCTGAGAGCCCAGGGGTATGACATCCTCGATTAGATAGCCACGTTAAGCGAGAAGTGACCAGCTCTTCAACTGATATGTCTCCGCCCAAATATGCTACCGCATTAAAAGCACGCTGCTGTGTGAGCATTGTCTCGTCCATCAATTGATGTTCCAGGCAGCGAAATATGGATTTGAAGAGATCCGTTCTTTCTTTTGCAGCCTGTAGACGCATATGCAACTGGAGCAGTTCGCCCGGCGAGAGCTGCTGGATATCTTGAACAATGCGTTCGGGCAATTGCCAGCGCGGCGAAAGTTGCCCATTGAGTTCGGCCATGGTTTGCTCTGCCATGAAACATTCTAGACGGGAGCATTGTTGGCTAGAGAGAAACGTATGCAAAATCGTCGATGCTCGGTCCGTAGCGTAATTTGAGAGGTATAGTGTGATGCAGTCGGATGCAGGATCAATCTCATACAGACCCCAGTATTGAGTTTTCGTCTCGGTCTGGAATCCCGAACGGAGACCAGAATATATCTGTATGCGATGATTTCCGTTCTCATCAGTAGGTGTACTGAGGAGATCCACTAATTTGTCGACTGCTTGTGAGGCAACAAGACTCAAATCTTCAACCCCTTGGAGGGCCTGGATTCGTTGACGGGCAAGTCTAAGGTCGTCATGATCAATTTCTGCGAGAAGATCTAAGTCTTTCAGTCTCGACTGATTTTGGGCGAGTTCATGGAATTCGGAAAATGTAGCCACATGACCCAACTGGAAGCAACCTAGCCCAGTGACCTCCTCATCTTCTGAGATGGCCACACGCAGACCCTTGCCGATGTTGTAAAGGTCAGATGCACGAGGCCGGCGTCTCGCGAAGATGTTGTCCAGACGTACTGGCCTAGGTATACTTATAGTACTTAGTCGTAGCCTTGCAGGTAGGTCGGATATGAAAGGAGCCAGATGTTCATAGATCTCTTCATGCCCTTGCGAAGTGGTAGCGATATGGTCGTTCTTACGCCAGGCATCGTGAGCTCTCATGTTATCCTCGTCTTTCAGCCACATCAAAGCACCCAATGGCTTTGCTGTAAGAGTCCGGATATTTGCAATGTCGGCATCATACAACGCGTCGTTGTGGCCAATCCAGCAGAGTGCGCTATTGAACGTGCACCAATTGTAAGTACGTGTGACAACAGAGTACTGCAACTGATCGCTGTCATCCACTGACTCCCACATAACGAGTTTTGGGCCATGGGAAGCGCACTGAGCTGCCACAGCCCGCATCACCGCTCTCATTGGTTCCATTTGAAAATAGTTCTGCCGGTCACCGTCGGGTCGTATGGTGCCATTCCGGTAGACCAGGCCTCGGACAAAGCTCATGTTGATTTCCTGAGCTTCTGCTTTGGTCAGGTAGTGTGGATAGGACAGCTCAAGCCAAAGTTCTCGACCCAAATATCTGACGTATTTGGCTAGTTCGTTGATGATTGCTGGTTGGTAGTATGACCTGAAATTGGTAAGGAGAATGCCGGTGAAGGGCGTAGCTCCGCCTTGTGCGTTGCCCAAGAGTGTTTCAAATGTCTGCGTAAGATTCTCCAGGCTCTGAACCACATCATCGTGGCTGACTATGGAGTTTGAGCTTATAAACTTGCAGACATCTAGGCGTGCGAGTATCTCCTGGGAACTGGCACGGTTGGTTTGCAGAACGTTCAGGACGCCAGGTTGAAAGGGATCCACAGCAAAGACCTGCCACCTCGAGAGCAGGTCAAGCTGTGCTTGGGTCGGTGGATCGGAAAAGCTACCCAGAAAGACGCCAAATGTCTTCGTTCTCTCGCCGACAGGTTCCTCAGCAAGTGCGGCTGGTGGATTATGTTTGATTTTTCGTCGCATGTTTCGGAGATATCGAGCGACTGGTGGGGATATCGCTGTTTTTTGGCGATGCTATGTCAGATGTTAGCGTGAGCCCAAGGACAAGAATCGCATTTTGAGAGCCAGCCAAATGCTTTCCATTATAGTGCGGAAGGCTTACCTTGAGTTTCTTCAGCGTATACCGAGCCGCATGATAACATGAATACAAAAGGCCCAGGATAAATGAGCCAAGGAGGAAGCCAGCAACAGCTTTATCCCACCAAGAATCTGTCATGCCTTGCCACCCCACAGGTGACAGATCCAAATGGCTGAGCCCCATTCTAGCAAGTACACGGTAAGGAGAACAACAGAAGTTGAGAGAAGAGCTGAGGAAGGAAACGCAACAGACGAAGTCCAGCAAATTAGGCCGATGTCCACTCCCGTATGGCGCTTATGAAAACAAATCCCGCGTGAAGTTCTTGGCCAAACAAGATCCTTACAGGCCCAATGGAACATTGAGGCACCGCAATGGTCTTGAAATCGGCTGATGGGCTTCACAGAATCAGGGCATCTGCTTAATTCCAGGGGCAATGATGCATCTTGGCAACTGCTCGGGCGAAAACGATAATCTATTCTGAGGGGGATTCGAGTCCAACTGGGCCTGGTGTTCGTCTTATTGGGGCGCGGAAGCAAAACATTGAGTTACATCAGTTAAAGTCGACATAGCCATTAAGGAATCGGGCCGCTGTGCCACCTGTCATTTCTTTGTAGCGTTTTCAGGACTGGGTTTCTTGGCTTCGTGGATTTCATGTAATGCGGAACCTACTACATGGATCGTGCAGGCAGATGTGGTTGAATACCAGGATGCCTACATATCACCAACCTAAGAGCTGGATCTGGCTGCATCTCGACTGTATTCCTTTGAATGCGGTTAGTCCAAATCCGTTCTCAACCCAAGCCGCTCAGCGTTAAAAAGGAAATCGATCATGCACGAGTCATCTTGAAGAGGAAATGTGAACACTTATGAGGTTAGGCAAGGCTCAGTAATCACACCCAGATTCTCGGGCTGATTATATTTTGGAGATGTGAAATATTAAAATGACGAACGATTCATAAGAGTTAACCTTCCCGCTCATCAGTTGACAAGTAGTGTAATTGGTTTTGCTTTCCATCTGATGGCTCAAACACGTGTTGGTGAATCATCCGAACAGAGCGGCAAACGGATGTGGCTTGTGTATGCTTTTCACACATGATTCGGGAAGCATAACGTTGAAAGATTGGATGATGGCCTCCTGTTCCTATGACGGTCTATCGACCGAGCTCATGTCCGCCGTGGCGTCAGGGGTCGCATCTAGATTCGTGTGGTAGATCGCCCCACGGACAACACGTATGTCGACGTGTAGCGCGTATGCCCGTAAACGTGAATCTTGCATCGCGCTCTGCTCGTGACAACCTTATATCCTATACCACCCTTTATCGATCCGGCCAATTTGTTTTGTTAAGTCAACTACTAAATTCCACAGTAGCTACGGCGGGCTGCTAGTGACTGGTGTACAATGTTTTTCATGCTATGGGTCAGCGGATGGAAGAATGAGTCTTAAATCTATTTGGCACTGGGGCGTTGAACAGGACATGGAGTAGAAGGAGGCCTTGTACGGATCTCATCCGCTTCATGCGTTTAACCTTTGTGGATGCACCAGGAGAACCTTGGGCAAACCTTGAGAAACCAGTCACGAGGCCGAGAGACCAACATGTTTAAGGGGCAAATTCAGTTTCCTCTCAGGGGTCAGCGTGGGGAATTTTGCTCCGGAAGTAAGTCAGGTCATTCTCATGAGTCATGTGAAGTCCAACTTGGTCCGAAGAGCTTGTATCATAGCCAAAGAAACTATTGGCAGACATCGAATAATCTTTAGAAGCTCGTATGTGACGAGTACGCAATACCTGTCAACCTGGCCACTCCCACTTCAGATTGCCACTCTAGGTTGGGCATGATAGTTCGTACGTCTGACCTGTCCGTTGACCATGATGATATAAGACCAACGGGTGCTGCCTTCAATTTTACTAGCCAATCTACAATACAGTGTCATGCCATAGCACTATGAGCTTCCGCACTTCTCATACGTGCCAAATTTTGTAATGATGGAAATACTACCAAATATATCCAACTTACCGATCGAAAATTCCTGCGATGAATCTCGCAGATACCCAATCGGCTCATGTTGGCGCATGCGCGATAGCTGTGCATATAGGAACTGCATAAGTATGCAGTGCATCTTTTAAGAAATTATGAAAAGCACCTGGGTTGCTGTACGTACATCTCGGACATTCGCAGCCAATAGACCAATTCCACTGCGTCCTACACAAGTCCGCTGTGGAACACGACAATCAGATCCACATAATTGTGAAACGAGTCCCATTCGTTTGTTTATCCAAAGCGATAATGCTCATTTTACTTCAACACATCGAGACCGATTAACTGCCCCGACAAACTCGTTCCAACTTGGACCGAAGCTCTCGTAGAAGTCGTCCACTAGATCAGTAACGAAAACGTACTGACCCCGTCGGCACAACTCTTGCGCGACATCCTCAACTTCGCCAGCTGGAACTCCAGAAATCTGATATATAGAACGGCTCCGATCGATACGAAAATCTTCCAGTCTCTTCTGCAAGTTCTCGCTGCGAAGTCTGTGATAGGGCTCCTCGCAAATGCATACAAGATCCGGATTGCCAAAAGCAGTCAAGTCGCCTTCGGGAGGAGTTCCAGGGTTATGGACGACCTGCTCATTATGTACCATTCAGTATCGAAACACTCCCATAGAAATTGCAATGAATGACCTTCGGCCGCAAATGGCTAACACTTGTAAAGAGGTGCAGGCTAAAACAGAATGTTGAGACGCTGGAGATCCAGTGATATAAGAAATGGGTGCCACACACCATTCGGTCCCTATGTATGCCTGGGGCATGTTTGATGTAATGACTAACCGCATCCAGGTACACCGACCTCTCAGCGGATACGTGGTTCGGTGTCTCGTCAACGTAGATTCCTTCGACATAGAGGCCACTGTGATGCGTGGTCCAGTTGGCGTATTGCCGGATTTCTGCGAAGGTTTCGGCGATTGGTCTTCGGCAATAGTCTATTTTGACGTATCCCACGGTGCAGACGTTCGAGAACGCGTTCAGCCGCGGTATCTCACGGACATAGTCTTGTCCGGGTAGCGGATAGTCACCCGGCCCACTACGTGGATTTACCACGACGAGAAAGTTGGTATCGGGATGAGCTGAAATCCTGGATCGGGGTGCTCCAAGGTCAGCGGTGGTGAACTCGGGTACTCATCCAGAAATAAGGCGAGGAACGGCTGAGATAGATGAAGAATTTGGAGCTATGGAGGATTGCGTCGGGATGGATTAGGAGGACTCACGCATCATGAAGCGGTTTCCATGTCTTCTCTGCCAATGGGTAATAGTAGAGAGGCATGACTACCCAGGCTTTTCCATTGTTCTTGTCCGTCATGTTGTTTGGGGGCAGCCCGTTTGGTTCGAAGTGAAGAATTAGAGCTGGCTCGAGCTTGGAACCAGTTTATTTACAGTCAACGGCTTCGGGTTGGAGGAAAGATGAAGTTTGCAACGTAGTTTTTTATTATTTGATACAGCCCGCTCGTTTCCTGTGTGTTTGGTGCTCTTGTGCAAACACGATTGGCGCCGATCTGGTTGTGATAATTACGCACCGTTTTGCACCTCCCTCTCACCGAGAGACAAACGTTTTGTCATGCCGAGGGGCTGCAATCGATTGCTTTGCAACTGCTCGGATCCATGATAAGCATATGTGTCTCACCGGAAGTCCACTGTGAACTCAATCTAGACTGTCTATTTAGGCTTTCGCAGGCCCAGCCGTCAAATTGTGCCGAATGCGATAGGCCAGTCCATCCGAATTTCCCAAGGATGGGGTGGTTCTGAACTTAAAACCGTCACGGATGTCCGTGAACAATTGCTTGCAGTGGCTTGACAGCAGAGACCTTGTAGAGGCAATCATGTCTCGGATCCCAACTGTAAGATGGATTGCCTATTTTGGACGAATCGGCCGCCACTGTTGTCAATGGGCAAACGTCATCGCGGACTCCATTGTGACGCCTCACAGATTTTGAATACATTCTAGGTTGCTTGGCGTTCAGACGCGCTCCACTAGATCAGGTCACGCTGAGGATCCGCCTAGGCAAAGATTACAGTTGAGTAATTCGCATCAGGCGTTCGGCATGAACTGGCATCACGATATAATGTAAAGAAAGGAGACATTCATTATTAATTATTCCAGTTTCACAACTTCGGATAAACCCAGGGTGGGTTGGACTCAAGCGATTGTCCGACTGGAATCACGTTAGATCGATATTGACCGAGTCCGTTCGTACAAGTATTGGTGATATTGTCCAGTAGGAGTAGTCAGTTGATCCACCAGGCTGTGGGCAGGAGTTTCAGGATGATGAGTAGTAAATAACGAGTAACAAAAAGATATCGCTACGCCGATTTTCCGGACCTAGACCAGCCGACCGTGGAAAGCCCAAAGCTCAGAATGATATCGTATATACACAGGATTGCAATACATCCCCTCGGCAGAAACCCACACTCTTCTAAAATACCAAATAACACTCAAGCCCCTGGATAGACACAGGTTTTAGTCCCGGCCATCAGTGACACAGCCGCTGGAGGCATCCTTCACCAAGCGAGCATACTTGGTCAGAGTACCCTTGCTGTACCTGGGTGGCGGTGCAACCCACTCCTTTCTCCTCTCGGCAAACTCGGCATCGGTAACGTTGGTGTTCATGGTAAGCTTCTCGGCGTCGATGGTGATCTCATCTCCGTCTCGCACGAGTCCAATGGGACCGCCCTCCATGGCCTCGGGGACAATGTGTCCGATCAAGAAGCCGTGGCTACCGCCAGAGAAGCGACCGTCGGTGAGCAGGGCAACGTCGTTGCCGAGACCGGCGCCCATGATGGCGGACGAGGGCTTCAACATCTCGGGCATACCAGGACCGCCCTTGGGACCCTCGTATCGGATGATGACGACAGTCTTCTCGCCCTTCTTGATCTCGCCACGCTCGAGAGACTCGATGAAGTCATCTTCTCTGTCGTAGCAGCGAGCCTTGCCCTTGAAAACGAGACCCTCCTTGCCAGTGATCTTACCGACACTGCCACCCGGAGCGAGCTGGCCGCGCAGGATCTGGATGTGACCAGTAGGCTTGATAGGGTCGTTGAAGGGGCGGATGATCTTCTGGTCCTCGGGGAAGCTCTCGGGCCACTCCTCGACGTTCTGCTTCATGGTCTTGCCGGTGACAGTCATGCCGCTGCCGTCAATGATACCCTCCTTGAGCAGGAACTTGAGGAGAGCGGGTGTGCCACCAATGGTCTGCATATCGGCCATGACGTACTTGCCACTGGGCTTCAGGTCGGCCAGGAAGGGAGTGCGGTCACTGACCTTCTGGAAGTCGTCGACAGTCAACTTGATGCCCACGCTGTCGGCGATGGCGATAAGGTGCAGGACGGCGTTGGTGCTGCCTCCCAGGATGTTGACGACGACCATGGCGTTCTCGAAGGCTTGACGGGTCAAGATATCGCGAGGCCGGATATCCTCCTTCATGATGTGCTTGATGGCCTCACCCACGCCCTCACACTCGGCCCTCTTGAGAGGGTGGGCGGCGGGGATACTGCTGCTGTTGGGCAGCGACATACCGAGGGTCTCGATAGCAGTGGCCATGGTGTTGGCCGTGTACATGCCACCACAAGCTCCCTGTCCAGGGCAGGCATTGCGGATAATGTCGTAACGCTGCTCCTCGGTGATCTCTCCGGTGATGTACTGTCCGTAAGCCTGGAAGGCGTTGACGAGGTCGATCTGGGCTCCGTCCTTGCTGCAGCCGGGGGCGATAGTACCACCGTAGACCATGATGCTGGGGCGGTTGACGCGGCCCATGGCAATCAACACACCGGGCATGTTCTTGTCGCAGCCCGGGAGGGAGATGTTGGCGTCGTACCATTGGCCGTTCATGACGGTCTCGATGCTGTCGGCAATAATCTCACGACTCTGGAGGGAGTATCTCATGCCGGTGGTTCCCATGGAGATGCCGTCCGAGACTCCGATGGTGTTGAACCGGTAGGGGATCAGGCCGGCCTTCCTCACGGACTCCTTGACGATGACGGACAGGTCCATCAGGTGCATGTTGCAGGGGTTACCCTCGAACCACACAGATGAGATACCGACCTGGGCCTTCTTCATGTCGGCATCGTCGAGGCCGGTGGCGTACAGCATGGCCTGCGAGGCACCCTGGGACTTGGGCTGTGTGATGGAGCGCGAGACCTTGTTGAGGTCGCTGTCGTCGGCACGGAGGGATCGCGTCGAGCTCAGGAAGCGACTGCAGCGTGATGATCAGCTCACATCCCGAGGGATTCCATGGCATATTCAATTGACGTACGCATACTGGCTCGAGGGAGCCCGACAGCTTCGAGCCAGAGCTGCAGGGGCTCTCGCCCGGAGCAGGGTCTGGAAGGCCATTTTTGAGGTCACGATAGCTCGATCGGAACGTCAAGGGAGGCTGAAAAAGGAGACGGCTGTCAATTGGCGTCCCAGAAGACCCAGGACGAGATGGCGGTCTTTGTAGAGGTTTGTGGGTGAGTCAATGGGCCCCGAGTCGTGAGTCCCGATTTTTGCGTGCAGCACAGCTCCTGGGTCAGCTCAGAAGCCTCAGTCGGGAGTTTAGCTGGGTGATTCAAAAATTTGGGGCGAAGTCGGCCCAGAGTCTGGTGGAGCTGCAGCCAAAGTTCCAGCGAGCGGCCCACTGCACCCCGCGGAAGCTTGGGCCTTCTGACAATACCCGGGCGGTCATTGGCTGCGATCTCGATGGGGTCCTCCCCTGACATCGGCCCGCCCACTGGCAGCCCAGGCCATGGGCAACTACATAGTACTGTGTACCGTCACTTGTTGATAGGGTCTCTAGGGGCTCGAGTTGTTGAGTGCTCATATAGCAAGACCAACTGGCTAGGCCTCTCGATTACTATTATATCAATATTACTATTCTCAAAGACATGATCCATCATGCTGTCAATGACCTATGTCCATGACTTCGTTCAACAAATGCATCTTGCTCTGCCACATCTCTCGCGTCCACAAGCCTGGATGAGCGCGCCTATTCATTCCCTACAGAAAAGCGCCACCCCTGTCAGATGAATACCCTCTTCACAGTGACGGCATCGCAGCTCGGGTTCTGCGGCGCCTGGTTTCCCAGCACCCATTGAAGCGCTGTATAGCTGTACCCCTGCCAGTATGTCTGGCAGACCACCCACCGGTTGTTCCAAAAGGTCACTCCGCGCCGGTACGGCGTTGGGGGCTCAATGGCGTCGTTGACGTACGCGGGCACGGCCAGCAGGTCCTCGGTCGTGAACGCCACGGGCTGCGCATCATCGTAGCTGGGCCAGATGAACGGAAAAGCCAGGTTCGACGCCGGGTTGTACCTGAACGACATGGGCTCGTTGAAGTTGCCGTCCCCCAGCGGCAGATTCCACGTCAAGAGGCCCGTCTGCAGCGTATCGGGGTCGGCTGCGTCGCTTGTTGTATTGAAGTAGAAGGTGTAGAACGACTCTTGGGCGGCACCATCGTAGAGACATAGCGATTCGACTGCCGCGCCACTATGGCATCCCCCAAGTTTGCGTCCATTGAGAGTCTCATTGATAGAGCTGGAAATCACGAGATTGAAGGGTGCAGATTGAAATGGATAGTTGCTCTGTGCGGTAGCAAGGCCAAGCGCCGAAAGGAGGGCAAGAGTCTTGGTGAACATGGTGAACGAGCGTGGAATTGGCTGTTGCTGGATTGCTCTGTCGGGTGCTTGATGGGGGTAGGTATTGATACCGAAGAAAGATCTGTCGAGAGGCCTCAGCTTTATACTGCCCTCCTATAAACAGCAACCTCAGATGTGGATTGCAACACGGCAGTATAGTAGACTTCGTATTCCAAGCGCACGGTATCCCGGGCTGAAAACTCCGCCTACTCTCATTGGCTGAGCACACCATTCTGCGCAAAGCATGTCAGATCAATAGACCATTGATGTCTCAATCTGGCCAAGTCACGGATCATAGTGCAGAAATACGAGTTCTTGTCCACTGCTGACGCCAAAGTCGAATGTCTCTTTCCCGCTCGTAAGAGGCGAGGCCAATAGGTCATGGCAGCTCGACGGGGGAAGGCGGAAGAAATATGTTATTTCAAGAGGCATAGGTACGGCGGCATCCAAGCTTGAATTTCGCTACGTCATCAATCGCAACAGGTGATGGACTGCAAGACAGATTCATTGTATCGCAATTGCTATAGCTTATACAACTATGCAACAACCATTGACAAGTCCGTTCAGCTTTCAGAATCGTACGCGCGAATCACAGGCTTGAATAGACATGCTAGCAGGTTTGTGCAGATACAAGGCTGTTCCCGCTGCAACCTTTCCCTTTCATTGGCTGATTACTCTCAGCTCCCAGGTTAGCCCCGCGGTCCGATCAGCCCGGGACCCGGGACCAAGATGGAATGGTTTGCACACATGAATGTGAGAGAAATGCAACCTCAGAGGCCATCGTCCATCGTTCAGCAGGTGCGAATGTCTTCGGCAATACCTCAATGAACTACCCCCAGCTTCTCTCGAATATTATCGAAGTTTGTGGGCCGGCAGCCGGAATGCCTTGACCTGAGTCAGCAAACGTATCATCCACGCTCACTGACGGCGACCTCAAATTGCCTGCTCCCTGACGGGGCTGTCAATTGACCTTCACATCCCGCTGCAGGCGGCTTGATCGGTATGGCGACAGAATCATACCTCATCACAGGTGGCTGTGGGCTGCAGGGGAGCTCCATTGTCGAGACGCTGAGGGCCAAGTTTCCAGAGGCCAAGGTGGCAGTGGTGACCCGCAATCCGACAGTCAATATCTTCGAAGGCGTGACGTATCACCGCGGAGACATCAGAGACGCGCCATTTATCGCCTCGTGTCTCGCCGAGTGCAAACCAACGGTGGTGTTTCACTGCGCGGCCACCGTGGTCGGTGCGCGGAAACACGTGAGCGATGAAACTGTCCGATCCATCAACGTAGACGGCACCCGGGTCCTACTGGAGCAGTGTGCCAAAGCCGGGACCAAGGCCTTCGTGTTCACTAGCTCGGTCAGCGTCATCCAAAAACCTGGCGTCATCGTCAGCGATGCCGATGAGACCTGGCCGCTGATCGGTGACTCCGACACCAAGGCTCTGATCTACCCGCGGACCAAAGCCGAGAGCGAGCGGCTCGTGACGGCCGCTGATGACCCGGATGGGATGAGGACGGCGTCTCTCAGGCCATCCGCCATCCATGGCGAGCGAGACAACGATGTCACGCCCATCATTATGCGGACGAGCGCCATGAAAGGGCTCCAGATCGGGGAGAACAAGACCCGCTTCGCCACGACATACGTCGGCAACAGCACGCAAGCGCACCTGCTCGCGGCGGAGAAGCTGCTGTCCCCGGACCCGGATGTCCGAAATGCGGTTGGCGGGCAGGCCTTCTTCGTCACCAACGGGGCCGAGCACTCCTACTATGACTTTTCGCGGACCATATGGAAGTACGCAGGCGTCGGAGATGGCCCGGGTAGTCCAGAGTACGAGAACGTCAGGGTGGTGCCGACGAACGTGGCAATGTGGGTAGCCTGGGCGTGTGAGTGGTGGGGGTGGGCATGGGGTACACCCCCGGTTATCAGCACCGTCGCCGTCGGTATATGTACCATGGAGAGATGGTACAAGATCGGGAAGGCGGAGAGGCTCCTCGGGTACCACCCTAGCGTTGGGTGGGAGGAGGGCTGCCGCAGAGCCGCAAAGGTAAGTTGGGTGCCCATCCATCGCCGCTGACTTGTTGGACTTGCTGCTAACCCCGAAAGTGGTACTTAGAACATGGCAACAAAACTGAGGAGGACGCGAAGACCAAGTAACGAGATCTTTGCGGAAGGAGAGGCGGGAAATGAAATGGGATATAACTACATACCCGCTCTTAGTATGTGCTTATAGTCTACGATTCTATCTGGATAGTCAAACCGTCCCAATACCAGCTCTAGGATTATCAAAACTAGCTCAAGCATTTTATGATACTATTGGTGGCTCAACAACCACGTCTCCGAAGCTGATTTCATTTCGATAACTTTGCGTCGGGTTGCCCGAAGCGCAGCCTTGGGAAGCTGTTACACATTAGCCAGCGACGACGCCAGCCGGATAATTCCACATTGAGTCCTTGGTTAATACGCAGAAATAACGCTGTCACGCTGCGTCCAGAAGAATTGATAGTCTTGTGAGCAGCCGGCCAGAGGAGACTGGCCATCTTTCACGAGAGTCGCCGCAGTTAGTGCACGGGAAGCGCGCAGACACATTCTGACATGAGTGAGCCATCCACACCATTTCACTATTGTTCAATCTCATCAAGGGAAGGATGGCGAGCCGCAAAGCTTCCAACGATCAAGTCTTGTCGCAGCGCAGCTCTTGTGTTACTTCGCTATCACTTGCACTTGATCCACCAGATTTCGGCAGACCAAAACACCCACTCGCATTAAATAACAAGACGTTCCTGAAAACAATTGATATTATATCGTAAAATTTCTATTCTAATTGTTTACCACATTTTGCGAAGATACGTACCCCAGCCTGATCCGTTTATACAACCCTTTTCCTGGCACCAAACGCTGAATCGGGTCTCCTGGTCATTGTAGAATCCAAACGACTCAGGGTCTAGTAGGCTGGCCCATTCGTAAGACATCTTTGATCCCACTTCAGAGGGACTTAACGTCAAATCGATGTCAATTTTCACGTTCTGCTTTAGGATAACGTACTCTCCATGGACTTCCCATCGGTAAACCGAAGGACAAAACTCACACCGGATCTCGTGCCCACAAAAGTCATTCCTCAGGTCGCAGTCGGCCCATTTCTCAGCCGTAGATTCACGACTCCTCCAGCAGATACGATTGAACGCTTGTTTGAGTTTTTCGTCGTTGAAATACACGTGTGAGCATAGCAAGCCGCGATAATCCTCGTGTTCTGCCGTTACGTCCTCGAGCGACCTGGCTAGGGGTATCCTTCTGAAGAGTGGCAGTGACCACACCATTTTCAACTCTATCTTCGAAATATGGTGCTTTCTCCGTATCATTAGTTTCGGTTGTTGTACTAGTAACGGATATGGAGCAGATGTAGGTAGGTTGTCGAAGCATTTGAAGCACCGAGTCGCGAAGGTCGGGAGTCTCCTGTTGTCATTCCACTTCTTCAGAAAGCTCCATGAGAACGATATGTGTGGGCAAAGGTTCACCAGACCTTCTCTACCAATGCACAAGTCGGATGGCTCTGAATTTCTGCCAAAGCGGTCGACAAATTTTGCGCTGAGAGCCTTCCGCTGTCTAGCGGGGAAATGTGATAAGCTGTGGTGACTCTCACAGCCATGACATCTCCATACTTTCCATATAGTTTATCTTGCACTTTGTCACGCTGCGATTCGGTCGATGCTGGCAAGTGTATCTGGGTATTGATGACTGTCGTCTTTACGCCTGCTAAGATGAGCAGGTGAAGGAGCCGCTTTGGCTTCGGCTTTGATGATGCCTACTGAGATACGCCGGCGAAAACCACATACACCATAGCTTTGCACGACTATCTTGAGAGCTGGGGTTCTAGAAGTCTTCCACCACAAGGACCGGCGCAGATGCTAGAGCAGCACCACGCGAATTCCCATCAGCTAGTATAGTACTACAGCCCTACAACAGGACCCACGAGTGCGACGGTCTATAACCTGGCTCTAATATTAGGATGCGGGCGGTAGTGCGGGCGATCCCTTGGGTGGTAGTCTGTTAGAAAGCGTACAGCTAAGACACCAAGCCGGCGTCCGGCAACACAAGCGCCAGACCACACGACTCACGAACTCAGCCAGCCCGAGCCGTACCTGGGCCTCGCAACGAAGATGAAGCGCTCAACAATTTCCCCCCTTGCCCTAAATGCAAGCAACCGCGCGCGCTTGTCTAGGCAGATCTGCGATTATCGACCTACCTTAATATACATGCTCCTAGTCAAAAATACCGTGACGCAGCAATCTGCCCCATCACACTCTCCGCAACGCTAGGGAACCTCAAGAGCGCTCTCTGTCCCGCGTGTGCATCTAGACTCAGACCACGTGCTGTGGCCTGCTTGCATGGCAGGGCAGGCTCCGGACGGTGTTCTCCTTCAAGATCCTCGCTAATGGAACGGGCTCTATCTATCTAGCGACGCCGTCTATCACAGTATCTGTGGGTGTAACATTTCGAGCTGTTTGCTAGCTGCTGGCCAGATTGACGATTCTCAAATCTTTGGCTAGCGTCTGGGTTATGAAGAGGCCTCATTGAGGATACAGGGAAGCTCTGTTGGATGGAAATGTGACTATATGGTAACTTGAAACGTTACCGGGGTCCTCACAAAGTCGTCACCTGTGCATAGATGGCAGGATAAGGGATGCTTGAAAGTATTCTTAAGTTCTAGATTGTTCAACTACATAACATCCTAACAGGGGTAAGGTTTCTCCTATCCCTGGGACTGGCTACTAAATGCCAGGATCAATCATCTCTGTGTTGCTCTCATCCAACAGCCAATTCGTCATGTGTCCATTCTCTTTCTTTCAAAAGTCTCCAACATCCGTGAATGTTATTATTCATACCCAGTAAAAGCCATGACCGTAACACCGGATATCCAGGACTCCTGATCCACTTTGCGCAGAAAACACCGTGTGACAAATGAAATACAAGTGAAAAGCAGAAAGTCCTCCCCGAAGCCCCTTCCGGATAAGGATAACCCCGCCATCGGCTGTGTCAAACCAAGCCAGCGTACTTTTTTCCATGTAAGCGATGCTAGATATGCTTCGCCTCGCTATGCGCGATGATAAGATGAGAACAACATTCTATAATATGTGCCGAAGAAACAAAATATAACAGGAGTGGTCCGGCGGATAAGTGGACCGCTGAATAATGAGAAACAGATAAGGCGAAATCGTGTTCGTTAAACTTGAGCGTCATCACTGTTCCCAGTGCGACTACCTCATTGTGCTGAAGTCCATCTCTGATCCCATTGAATTCATGCCTAGCGTGCTCATGCCAACGTTGTCTGAGTTTGCACGCTGGAGTGCATGAAAGTCTCCGACAGTCCGAGGAATCTGCGGAGTTTGCTGTTGCTGAGGCTGTTGTAGAATGAAGCTGTTTGAACGCTGTGGCGGTTGACGGTGTAAGATGTTGTTCATCAAATTTTGAGCCATACCGTGGTTGACGTGGTTATACCCTTGGGTGTGACCGGCCGCGGGTTGTTGTTGATTCAGTCCTGTCAGCCCCTGCTGTTGACCTATTGCCTGATTTACTTGGCTGTGCATTGAGTTTTGTATTTGGTTGTGCATAGTGTGGCTTTGTTGCAAGCCTTGCTGATAGCCGGTATGCTGCTGTTGTTGGTGCTGCATCGATTGCTGATTCAGATGACCAGCCTGGCCAAGACTTGAAGCCTGGCTTTGCCCCATCGAACCCATAATGTCAGGTATCGAGTTATATTCGGCCATGTGGGGGTATTCGACGCCAGCAGGCGACATGACAGCAGGGGAGCTGGCCATGGCGAAGGGCGAGTTCATATCGGTGGCCGTTGGCGCCCCATTGGAGCTACCAGAGTCGTTGGCGATCTCATCGACTCGAGGCACCGGGGCGGGCGTGTAGGGCTCGGGCTTGAAGTGCTGTTCTGTCTTGAAATCCGTCATAACCGGCGGCTGTGCCATGCCTGCGTTGCCGAAGCCATCGAAGATGTCGATATTGCAAATGTTGTCTGGGACACGCTGGAGGAGTGGGTTGGCCAGACGCGGCAGAGCATCGTGCACCTTGCTAAGAAGCAGAGGCAAGAAGTGGTGCTCGCCACTTCGAAGGACTGAAACTACTTGCAGGAGCGACTGCAGTTGCTGCTGAGGTGTGATGCTGAACGGGTCACCCGACGAGGGCTGCATCGACAGAACGTCGGCCAGGTTGCTGGAAATGTCCAACAGCTTCGCTACAAGTGGCACTCCCAAGAACTCTGTGCTCTGAGTCGAGAAATGCGATGTAAGGGAAGCCAGGTCACGCGACATGTCGATAGGGTACTGATACATGTCATCGCTGCCGGGCGACATTCCGTTCTGCATGCTGAGGTTCCAAGTAACCGTCTTCAACCACGATTGGTTTGCGCGAAGGTCGGAGTCTGCGCCGTACGGTAAGTGGGTCTCGGAGAGTTGCTTCTGAAGAGCGCCGAGGTAAGCCGGGGTGCATTCGCTGCGGGTTTTGTTCCAGAGAAGCATGAAGGTGTCGTCGAATGGCCTGAAAAGGTTGGCAAGGAGGATGTGGCCATTGAGCTGGTGAGCCAAAGGATCGGTAGGATCGTCACCCAGAGTGGGAGGGTTGATCGAAGCCGGCAACGATACGGGACGACCATATTTCAAGGCATATGCCCTAATACTATCATTAGACGACGAACGGAAAGAAAGCATCTCTAGGGTGACTTACCGCTCTGTTACAAAGAGCTGCCAGTAGAGGCGACGTCTTCTGGAACTCTCAATTGTGTCAAACTGTAAGTACTTGTCCTCCTGGGTCATGCCAATCATGTGCGCCAGGGTTGTGGCCTCGCGCAGGTGATACCATGCCTTGTCGTGCATCTCCAGAGCATAGTAGCAGCCGAACAAGAAGTAGCTGGTGCACAGGCCGTTCAAGGTCGGCGATTCTGTGTATTCATAGCCCTTGCGAACTCGAATTGCCTCCTCCATCAGTAGGTGGCACGATGTGATGCCGGCGCCAGGATGTTCAAAGAGGGGATCGCCGCCGGGCATGACGAAGCCAGGCTGCAGAAGCATGAAGGCCGACATGGCGCTGACGAGGCAGTAGGTGTCGAGGCTCTGATCCATATACAATGCTTGCTGCTCAAGTCGCTGACGGTTCAGGATGGGCATCATCGGGTACATGTTTGCGAAGAAGAAATCGATCGTCTCCTTGACCAGTTCCGGGGCGAGAAGGCCGGCGTTTGGCGCCAGCGTGGGAGCGCATGGCGGACTGTTGATGCCATTGAGACGGCTCTGGACCTTTGCAGACAGGCTGGTAGCCCGTTGTGTCTCGCGAAGTTCGCTGATGACCTTGGCTCTCGATCCCTTGGGGCCCTTCTTCTGCGGGATCGCATTGTATGTGCAGGTTAGCTGTGCCGACGAACAGTTGCGGCACGGGTTGATGCCATCGCACTTGACTTTGCGGCGGTGGCAGGCGTCGCAGGCCCTCTTTACGGCCGTCGACATGGTGTCGGTGGGGATCGAGGGGATCGACGGCTCCAGTCAGACTTTGACGGTCGACGATGAGGTTGACGAAGGATTGGCGGATGGCGAGGGTGATACCGTCCCACGGGGGGTTGGCTGGGAGGAAATACTATGCACAATAGGCGTTGTGCGGGATGAGAGCACCGACACACGTGTGTGCTCCACGGACCAATTTGCGGAGAGACTGGAGGTGAGAAGTGATGGGTGTTGGAAAGCGTCGTTAATCGGCCCGTCGTTGGTATCCAGGCGGAGGAATACCATTCATCGGGAAACGCGGGGATGTTGTGGTCCAGGGGCTGTGGTTGGGCAACAACAACAGATGACGAGCAGTTGTCACCCTCTCCGATATACCGAGCGACAGTGAGAGGTGCACTCGAGCGTCCAGATTGCAATGAAAGGAGAGACTATCGTGAGGAAACAGTTGGCTCGAGGGTGACGAAATTCGAGAGGGACAAACTGGACAGGATGAGAAAGAGGTGGAGGGTGGAAACCATGGGGGAGGACGAGGGAAATGAGCTGGGAAAAGCGTGAACGGACCACGCGGGACAGATGGTACAGAATGTACAGACGGTACAGTACCGTCGCTGCAGTACAGTCGCTGCAGATGGGGGAACGGGTACAGGGCACGAGCGGACGAGGACACCCAGTCCTCAGGTACAGTACTTGGGGCACACACACGCAGACACCACGGCGCCAGTACACTGCTACAGGTCGACAGCGCCGCCACAGGACTGCGCTACTGAGTACGTACAGAGCGTGCCGTACTCTGGGCTGCTGGCAGTGGTGGGCGCTGGGCAGTGGGCAGCCGGGGGGGGGGAGGGCCTCTCTCACTCCGGAACTCCCTCCAGACTCTTTCTCGCCTCTGCTCTGGGCAAAGCTGGGGGCAGAAAAAAACGGCGGCCCCCGACTAATCGACGATGGCGCGCGCGAATTGGACGAAGCCATGAATAATCCATGCGTGCCAGACCGGGGGGCAGGGGGGACAGCGCCCACTAGTCCGCTCCTGTTAGCATCGCGTTCCGCATTTACAGTGGGAGAAACAGGGACGGCCTGGGGACAGACTGCCAAAACGGGCAATCCACATCGGAACGCAGGCAGCCCTGTGGCGCGGACGCTGAGATTACGGGGTACTTCCGCATTTCCCAGGCGACGAGCGGCAGATGGCCAAACGCGGCGTATGCACGCCTGGAGCGCTGGTCAATGGTCTGGCGGGTTCAGCCATGAACTATCGTCTGCGTCGTCGACTCGCCCAGTGTGCGCATGGCGCCGCGCTCACTGTCCTGCTAACAGGCCGTCGAAGGAGTACGAACACGACGGGCTTGTCCTACTACTATTTGTGGTACGGGCTTCATGCATTCCCCTAGGGCGGAGCGGCGTTGTGGTCATTGGTTTTGCTGCTCCCCAGTTTCGCTAGCCCAAGCGGATTCTGAACCTGGACTCCCAGCCCAGGGCAATTCAATGAACCAGCGGGCTGCGAGTTGGAATTGCATTGCAATGCAAAGTGCTCGCCGTACACCAAAGGATGAGCCACCCGTGGCAGTGGCTGTTGGTTAGTGCAGTTCCTCGTTGCTGCTGTCTGGGGAAGACCTGTCGGGTTGGCAGCCCACGAAGCCGTACTTCCGGGGGCTAGCACTAGTGAGGGCAGGCCATGCCTGGCCAGCTTGATACTCAGGCACGCGTGGAGCGGTTCCTGTCTGGCAGTGCTGTAAACCCAAAGGAGAGACACACTGCAAGCCTCACCACACAGCCAAGCAAGTGTCGAATGTGTTGGGTAATGCGATGGGTCCCGGTCCGAGTCAACGGTGAAGCAAACGCTTGACGTCTTCAAGTTGTGCGACGACGCCCTTGGAGCTGGCTGTACGTAAATAGTTCGAATAGGCGAAGTCATGGCTGCCGACTCGTCGTCTACTGGACGACACGGCCTGGTCACTCGTATTGCTGATGGCTTTTCCATATGGCCGTCGTATCTCACTTCAGCGTGCCCCGATGACTGGCGATTTGCATGAAACGCCGAAAGCCAGATAGCATCTCGGTGAATGCTGCGGCTGCGGCGAACCGCGACCACTCAAGAAGGCGCACGAAACGTCCCGTTGTGCTGGAACGCGGTGTCTTCCAGGCTGTCTTGGATGTTTCTTCACTGGAAGGATTGGATCCGCGCCTTTTGCACCCGGGTAGACGGTGTCCTGTAGTGAGGTGAAACATTGCCCTTGCCTCCATCTATTGCGCATCAATACTATCCAGCCAGTCTGTAACCGCGCAGCAAACATCAAGTCGAACTCAACTTATTGCACTCTTAAGACATCGGTAGTTGAATCGACTCTGCCAGGCCCCTCCTCGACTCCTACGCGTTGGCACACCCTATCGTAGCTCTTACGACCGATACCGACGACAAAAGGTGGAGCCGGAATGCCTTGTGGTAGGTACAGCCGTCCGGTATGTATTTACGTACCTTGGTTTCTTTTCTCGCGTGTTCGTTTGGGTGGTACATCCCTAATAATGGATCATCATGGATGCGCAAGCACATGCAGATGATCCAAAGTCGATGCCGGCCTCTTGGCCCTGATCGTCGAAACCTACAAGGGAAAGGAATTTTTCTTGGTGGCTTCTATTGCAGGGACGCCAAACCTGGTCGGGCCTAGAAGGGGACGCTTGCCGGAGCTCATTGGCCGGGTCATGGCAGCGCGATATTCTTGACCTTGGTCTTAGCATGCAGGCCGCTGCAGTTTCTCGGTACGGACTACTTCTAGAGGTGACAAGTCGACAAATTGAGTTTCTGCTGTCGAACCTGCACGTGCAGCACACAGGGTCGTTTTTTCGCCTTTATCCCTTGCTGCAGCCGCTGTTGGGTTGGAGGGGCAGAGCGTAGAAGAGCGAGAGGGGTGCCATCGAAACATTCTATGCCGTGCGACATGAAGTGGGAAGCACGCCTCGAGGTCGCAATCGTTGGGAGAGGCCAGTTGTGGTCGGCTGGTCCTGGTCCTGTTTCTGATGCTGTTGTTAAAAGCGAGTCATGAGCTGTCGAAAGTTCGTCACCTTCTAGCCTCAATGGCCTGACGACCAAAACGCGTGAAAGCTGGCCCCGTTTCAATAGACTTGTTGAGCCAAGGCCTGGTTGGATCTTCGCTGCTCAATCCAATCTGCCAGTCTGCTGCTGTCTGCCAGCACCCAGCGTGCCAGTCGGCACGAATTAGCGAAGATAGGCGGCAAGGGAGCAACGGCGGGCTGCTGATCAGCATCATCCCGTCATCCGGCTCCTGCTAGCATCGGCCTTGCCGTTGACGCCTCTCTTCCCTTCAGCTGCCTGATGCGCCCGCTGTCTTAGGTCAGCCTCACAGACCGAACTGTGATTGATTGACTAATGCTGTCTTTCCATGCTCAGCCACAGCTCCAACGTGCGCAATGACACTCCTCGACGGTCATCGTCGCGCTTTCGAGGCTGAAATGCTAGTAACGTCTCAGCGGCACCTGTGTGCTCAAATCTCGTTGCAACTCTTGGGCATGCAAGATGCGTCGCACAAAGACGCTGGATGTATGACCCAGCACCTGCGCGTCCTACCTAGTTCACCTGTACTCGCCAGGAACGATGCGAGCGCCAGCCGGGCGGCCGTACCTGAAAAGAGAGCGAGCGGTTTGCCTGCACGCTTCGGACGGTCGAATGCAGCGCTGCATTTGCGCAGCTGCGGTGCACGTCTCGACTGCGAGAACGGCCGAGTTGCGACAGCCTTGTCGTCTCGGCAGCGCAAGATATGCATTGTATTTCGATCCCAAGCTCGCTTCATCCCCAGGAACAGAGATGCCCATGCGCACCGAACGGGAAAGGCTTCAGAATGCGAAGTTCCGCGTGCCTGTGCGATGCGGAGCGAACCCCAGGCCTGGTTCGCTTGCTCATCGTCCCCCCGCAAGCTAAGCTGTTCACGATCACTCCATCCGCATGTCGGTCCGATAGCACTCCTTCAAATGCGACGTCAACTAAAGCGTCTCGAGTATAGTATATTTCGCTGTGAAGTATTAGAGTTTCATTGCACATGCATCCATATGGCTCTAATTAAGCCTGTCAACGACCTGTCAAGCTCGCCTTCCGCGCTGATTAGCAAGACTTTGATACTCAACTCCGCCCATTCTCCGACTCGCTTAGCAGGTAGAACCCCAGAAGAGCCTCAAGCCCGGACTATCAAGCCCAGTGCGCCTGCCTCGGTCGAATGTCATCGTCCAAGAGTCTCGGCGCAGTAAAGATGTCAGCCTCTTATTCTTCATCGTTTTGATGTCTGCTCCGTTGCTGCAAAGCGCTACTGCTTGACTTCGGCGTCGACTGACATCTGGGTCTGCGGTAGGTTAGTTGTGCCCTGAGCAGTTGGGACAAGATGCATTTCGGGTTGGCAGATAATTCAAGGGAATCTGGGCAGTTTCTTGCATATCATGGACTTTCAACGAAGTCGGCAAGATTCACCAAACATATACGGTCCCAGCTGGGCAAGTACTGCTTTCTGTTCTAGTGCTGTCGTAATCTACCGAATCCCCATCTCATTTCGTTGGCGCTGGTGGGTATTTGATGATAATCGCCAGTGCCGGGCGGAGTATTCGCACTAGTTTCCAATACAACTGGTGCCGGATTGTCATATTAGGCTCTCGTTTAACAGCCGTGTTGATGAGAGCGAACTTAGAATCATAGGCCGCAGCTCTGGCATACAGAATCTTGTGGTAGAGCCGAATATGGGGAGTGATTCCCACTGGCTGGGCGTCCAATGCTGCTTCATCGTACCGAGATGCGGCTTCTTCGAGTATGAGAAAGGTCTCCCGTTGAGCAAGGTCAAATATACCGACAGCGTCTTCTTTACGATGCCCAACACCTACCAACGCCTCCCATCGTTCGTAATCATTCATGTCTGGTGTTATTTCAACAACCGCAGTTGGGACATAGATGCATTGCACCTTGTTCAGTTGCCCTCCGGGTAGCAACCCTGCTCTGAACACGCTGTGTCCAAGCACTTTCTCTATGACCGCAATCTTTTCCTGATTTATATCCACACAAGAATACCGAGGTGTAATCTCCAGGTACCAGGCCAGACACTGTGAGTTGAAACCCAGGAGGACGATGTCCTTGCTCGGGTTGTATCGTGACTGGCGAGACTGTACTGAGCTGCGCGAAGTCCTCAGGCGTACGTCAATGGCCTCCGTTGGGTATCTTCGTTTGGCAGCATTGTATCCCTCTTTGCAGCTGTAGGCTACAGCGGGAAATTTGTTGACAAATGGGAGGTTTCCGGAATCCAAACTGTTTGTTAACTGCACTCGTGACGGCGGAAAGCACAAGTCCCAGATTCTGTTGCGGATCGTTTCTGGTAGCCACCGAAACAAGACAAATGAATCATTGCTGTCCATGGACGGCTTCAAGGCACTAGACCAAGCTTTTGTCACTGACACTGTTGTTTTTCGGGGCCATCGCGTACGCAAGGGAGGAGGAGCCGGTGGGCGCCGGTAGGACTGAGCATTCGCGGGTGCATACGCCATCACGGTGGTGTTACTGAGACGGCTATGTGAATAGAAGTACTCGTGGCAATGATGCTACTTGGAGGTTCACTTGGAATGTAGTTGGAAGACAACTCAGGTAGGTTTGAGAACTGCTTGTGCTGCTGCCTCGTGTATATGGATCGATACCTGGCTGGCTGTGTGCCTTCCATGGTCCTAACACCTACCGATAGCAGCAGGAGCAAACTACAATACAGGGTCATGCTAACCAAACTATTATACAGAATGGCCCTTCCGCCTCTTGGGCACATACCGCACCTTCTGGGCGCAGTTGCTCTTGTCGCCCTTGAAGCTGTCCTTGGCCGGGACGAACTCGCCGCTCTGCAGACTGCCCTGCACAAAGTAGACATACCACGCCTCGTGGAGTCTGTCGTGCCTGCGTCCCGTGCAGTGCAGGACCACCTTGCCGCCGCTGAAGTCCTCCAGGGTGTTGCGGATCAGGTCCAGGTCGTAGGTCTTGTCGTGGTCCGGCTCGATACCCGCCTGCTGCAGGGCGACGTACGTGTCCAGCATGCGGAACAGCCCGAAGGCGCGCACGAAGTAATCGACGACCTCGAGTCCGGCCGAGTACGAGTCGCCGTAGCAGCTGGGCGCCAGCGTGTTGATGCAGGTCGCATGCTTGTTGTACTCGTGGGCCCATAGGTGGGCATTGCCGCCGCTGTGTCAACGATGTCAGCGCCCACGAGCTCTGAGCAAACCCGCCGCCGTTGTATGTATTCTGTGAAATAAGCAACACTTACTATTTGGCAACCCAGTACCTGTTCATGAATCCTAGGAGCTCGTCTTGCCCATAGTGCTTCAGAACTTCGGTGATATTGTTGAAGCGCGGTGCCATGCCACAGTATTGGTCGTAGCTGCCATCGCAGAGATCGGGCCTGCGAAACATCAACCAAGTTAGCACCTCATCGCCTTGGATTGCCGTCCCGAAAGCCTCGGATGCCAAATGCAGCTTACCACAGGCCATGGAGGGTCCAATCTTCCTCCGACCCACCGACATGCACCACCTCGTCCCAGAACTGCGTCAACAGCAGCCGTCCGCCAGGATACACGAAGCAGCACGAGTCCCCGGCTGTCTTGTTGTTACAGCTGATGGGCCCATCGAGCGGGCATGACGGCGCGCCAGTCAGCGGGACATAGGGCGTGATGCCCGGCTGCTGGTGTTGTTGAGCGACGTCGGAGCTGGGGCTGCTTGGCCCGCTGCCGAGGATGGAGAGCGGGCTCGGGACGTCGGATAAGTGGAGAGGGACCTGTGAGAACAGGTTAGTGGCGTAGGTCAGGAGCCCGCGAATCGATACGGGCGGAGCCATGGTCGTGGATTGCCAGGCTCAGGATATTTCGGAGGGTTATAGGTTTGTGATAACTCGGAGAAAGGGGGAGCTTGCATTTGATGCAGCTCGAAGGCCTATCGCGAGCTTAGGAATGACGTCGCGTAGGGCTGAGCTGCTTGGGGTTGCGGGCCTGATAACGATAGCGGCCGTGCAGCACATGGGCAGTTCCTGGGGCTGTCATTGGAAGACCCACGGCTTGGCACAGGCCGGTGTAAGTGAACTGCTCGGCTGAAGGTCATGTAATAACGGAATAGCTATAGGAATGACGGCGCGATATAGCGTATGATGGCAATCATAGGATTCTCGTGTTTGTTTCAACCCGCCAAGAGTCAACTTGCCGCACGGCGGTAGGTCTATGCAGGGAGCCAAGATGGCTGAGACCCTGCCCTGATATGCGCTCCCAAAATACTGTCTCGGTCTGCCCGATGGTGTATGTATTAATCATGGGTTGGGCATGGATTCTGGTGCTCGCAGATTCATCATGAGTTTAACACTTAAGAGAAAGGAGATCCTCCATGTCAATGCTCCATCGCGAGCACATAAGTCATGCTGAAGTCTATTTTTAGCGCAGAACAATCTATACAACCAGCGTGGGTATCATGCGCTTCAATCCCAAGCAGTCTTCCAGAACGCCGTACAACCATGCAGTCAACCTGTACCAGCACCAAGCCTGTGATCCGAGACCCGCTCACTAAACAGCCTCCCAGTCCATCGCGTCAGCGATAAAGGACCAGTCCTCCTCCTCCCTCTCCCAGTTCATGGCCGCATCAGAGCCGGGCTCGCCGTGGGCGGTGCCAGCGCCGCCGTCGAGACTGCGCACATACGTCTCCGCCAAGGTGTATCCCGCGTCAAAGCCGGCGAACAAGGTCTCAAGAATCTTCTCGAGGTTGTAGGCCTCCAGAGGCGCCGGCGTGAAGCCACGCGCCTGCTCGGCGTTTTCAAAGTCGGCATTCTTCCATCGGTTCCGCAGCTGCTTAGCCCGCGCCAGTTGCTGCTTGACCTCCCCCTGGCCGAGCGCCTCGTGGAGCGGGTTGTCGGGCCGGTCCAGGGCTGCCAGCACGTTCGCGTGGAAGCGGTGTGTGCTCCTCTGAAGACCACCCGTGCCATCACCACGGTCACGCCTATCTAGCCCGTGTCCGTCCTCGCCGCCGCTCTTAGACTGGTGCTTGCTCGACGGGTTGTGGAGCGAGTCGCCCAGTCCAGTGACCGCGATGCCGAAGACGCCCATCAGGTGAACCAGGGCCCGCTCGATGTGCATGTAATACTCGTAGAAGTCGATCTTGAAATGGATCTCGTTCGCTGCCACGTCCTGCGGGGCTCGGCCGAGTCGATCTGTCGCAATGCGGTAGCCCTCGGCCAGGAACGGCAATTTCCATTTCAGGCGCGCGACCAGCTTGAGGTATCGGTCAAGCTCCCTCTGCGATGACTTCGCGAGAGACGGTAGAGTGCTTGAAGCTGTTGTTCTGGATGATATGGATGCCGGAAGTAGTGCATTCTGCTCTGGAGGAGGTGTCGCTGGCTGTACGTTGGTGACATGTTGGGGCCAGGTGCGAAGTGACGGCTCGCGGGCTGAGGAAGCCCAGCGCGAGTCTCGGAGCCCCATGTTGGTCGTGCAGAGCTAACCCTATACAACGCGCAAAGTGCCGGAATGCTGCATGTTAGGCAGCCGACCTCGTATATTTATGTTTCGGCGGCAAGCAGACGCTTGCCTCTAAACAATGGCAGTATCGTTGTAGGGAGGACTATTGTCCAAAGCTTGGTCAAAGGAAGTCGTCGCGGTACCGGACGCGGTGCCGGAAGATCCTCGGACAACTCCGCTCCTATGGTAAAGAACGATGCTCGACTTGCTGCTGCCCCGACCTGATCCGCTACCCGCTGCTAATTGAAGTGGGATATAAAAAGTAGTCTCTTGTTCGTAAATGTTCTATGATGGTCCTGACGACGTGTGCATCTGTGGTTTTGTGTGTCCCGAAGCTGAAGCAGCATGTCGGGACCGCTATCCGTGATGCCTAGGCCTTTTGATCGAATACCTAATTGACAGAGATGTCAGTCAACCTGACAAAGCAATCCCCATTGACGGAACTGTTTCCATGTGGGAGGCGAATGCATCCAGCGGTTTAAATTACGCGACTTTTATTCATATGTAAGTCACCAGTATTAAGATCAGCCAACCGTGACTCCGTTGGCCAGCCTTCAGACAGTCAGTCTACCTACATCATCAGGTGAATAAGCATCCTTCTTTATACGCTTCAAAGGGTTCGGAGAATCAAGATGGTGCTCACAGGAGGGTACTTGGAAAGATACGGCTGCCAGTTAGGAAGACCTATAACCTGAGTGTAACCCACAGCCACAGTGTACTTGTAGCTTTTGCAATAGGGCCTAGAAGGCAAGCGATAACTTCAGCACGTCAAATAGTCCAGAAATGCTCGAACCAATATACCCCTGTATATAGGCAGTTTGGGCAAACAAAAACCTAGTATCAGGATCTCAGATAACGACAAACGCTTTCGCTCCACCTAACAGCGCCTTTATAAGTCCACATTCCGGGACAATTGCCTTTGCCCATCCCCTCGATTGCCTCCGCAAACTTCGGTCCTAAGCCCTCATCCTTGATCTCCTGCACTGGGTATAAGTAGGTTTTGAAAGAGAAGAGCACGGCTTTACTCTTCGGTAGTCGTGTCAATCGCTGCAGTTCGCTGCGCATGAAGGTCTGCGAAAATTTAGCACATTGTCATTCGCACGTGATTGATGTCTACTCACTTCTTCGATATTGACGTCCTTTGGCATGGAAGCTGCCTCCTCTTCGCTGTTAATATGATTTCCACTTATATTACATAGCTCCTTGTGCGTTTGCACGGTCCACTGCGTCATGTTTCCGGTCAGTCTTTTGGCCGTTGGGAAGATTGGGCCATATGGTCTCAACTCACGTTGACACGCTTGACACTCTTGCCGGTGACTAATCGACTGAGGTATCGCTGCATGCTATTTTGAATGATACCGTACGATGGAACCGGCTTATGGATATCATTGAGGTTCTTGCCAAGCTTGTCTGACGGATCAAATCCCGATGGGAAGCAGCAAACAAAGGCGACGCAAACGTGGCCATCGGGAGTCTCCTGGAGCAGAAAAACATCTTCCTCAATGGTTTCGCCAATAACTCTCAGTGCTTCAGCGCTGTCCATGGGAGGCGAGACCGCAAATGATTTCTTGGTGACCAAGTTGGTGAGTGTCGCCCGGTCTTTCGACAGCCGGAATACCGTGGGGAAACGGACGGGCAGGTAGTTCTCGAACAAGTATGCGTATAGTTCGCCGACTGCGCCCACACCATCCGGTGTGAATCCGTGGACCCCCGAGCCTTTCTCTTCCAGGATAGCCCGGCGAAGCTGGACACGAGTAAGGTAATCTTGGTCGATGGTAACAAGCTCGCTAGGCGTGTCATTCTGAATGGCTATTCATCAGGGTGTAAGGCGAGTGTACTTCAATTGCTATCAGCGTCCAACTCACCCATGGTTATATGATAGATCGACTTGAAAGGGCGCAACTGTTGTCTTGGAGTTTTGTGCCACTCCAAATCAACAAGAGGCTCAATGATTGCCTTTTCATGACTCGCAAATCCATGTGCTCTTTTACGCTGAGCAAGTCTGCTATAGATCCACTTGAGTATATTTGATGAGCACGATACGTTTGATCTAGATTAGAAAGGGTTGTTGACGTACTTTCACTACTATCGCGCCGAGCAGAGTCGCGATGACAATTGCTGCAACCGGGCGGCTGTGCAGTGTGTAGGAAAAAGCCATAGCGGTACTTGGCATATTGAAAGAGAGATGAGCACATGAAGCGGTAAGAAGGCAGGAGTTAACAACATGAACTTGAGTCTCTGTGTATACAATGTGCTGGGAAAAGTCGGCTTTTACATAACAGTGTGAGTAATCGTCCTAAACCGGCTCACTTCTCGAAGGATTATCGATACCATACTGATTTCTAGCCCATAAGTTCGGGCCGAACTTTCTACCAATGAGCCATCGACGTTAGTCAATCGGACGCAACCCCCACTTAGTCTATCTACATCAACTCAACTCGTCTACACTTGCCACGGAGCGTTAGCTCGCATCGCCGTATGTGGAAATTATACCCTCCGGTAATATGCAAGAATGAATGCGAGTCCAACAATAACCGTTCCTTAGAGCTCCCTGAAAGAATTTGTGGCTACTACAGCGGAAGGAATAATCGTACATTTAGTGATAGCCTAGGGTCGCTACGTCACGTTGATTGGAGGTCAACATAGTCTAGGAGGACCGGAGCAAGTGTGAAACGTGGATCATGATGATACCATGGACGACATCAGATGTAGCCTCCAACACAGAGGAAAGAGCCATTCGCCTTATACTCTAGCTAATGCGATGATCTTTATGAGATTTCTCACACCAGAAGAAGCCTCTAATCACGTCAATGGGATGACATTCTGACGCTCTTCGAGACGTGACAAGACTTGGAGTATCATACATCAAAGCACCCACATTCTCAAAGGGAAGCTATGTTATGCTGATCACATTGTAGATAAGTCTTGTTTAATCTGGTATGAGCCATTACGAATCTTCGTGATGCACGCGTCGAAAATTATACGAAGCACCCGACGTGCTACAAGTCAGCATAGAGTTCGACTGTTACAGGATTGAGCTAAACTGAGTCGTATGACAAGAATACCACAAACCGATAAGCCAAATGCTTTGTCGACTATATTCACTAATTTCATAACTTACCATGTCATTGTCGAGAAAAAGGAATCCAAGTCATGCCACTCAGCGCTGGAACTCGATACGTGTGGGGTGACGGTGCTTTTCCATGTTACCCCTCCAGGCTTCCCCTCTGCACAGGTCTCTATTTCTTTGGACTATGCCTACTAGGTAAATAGCTTCAGGCTAGCCTGTGGAGTCGAGCTCGTGCCGAAATCGCCTTGATGTCAGCGTTGACCTCTTATCTTTCCAAACTTGGCCTTGTCCAAATTCGCGGCGAACGCTTGAAAACGGCGATTATTGACTCTATTCAGGCGCTCCTCGTTGTAGTGGATAATAAGTCGGACGGAAGATATGACGGATGCCCCGCTATCACCTCGCAAGCGCCGCAAAGCCAGCAGACTATATTCGGTGCGAAATGATCCCTGCAGAGTGTCGTACTTGCTGAAAGACTAATTCAAGCCTTAAAATATGTAGGGCTGTAGTATCTGCCGTACCAGGAAAATCAAAGTTAGTTGTGTTGTGACCCAGTCCACAAGAAATAGATGCTGAACGTGCCAGTGCGACCTTCGCCAACCTACGTGCTACAATTGCGAGAGATCAAGGCGGTACATCTGTGATGGTTATGGCACAGCTGAAACCAGCGCTGCATCCCTTTCGTCTCCCTCAATTCAGTTGGGCCCATCAATGGGCATTCGTACGCCAAGAAGCGATTTGATGACACAAGGTGGCCCGGTGCCGAGCAATATATCGGGTAGCGCTCTGAATGTCGCTTGGGAAGATAACCCCAGCGTATGTCTCTGGAATAGCAATGGATCGACTGATACGGATCAATCCTTCTTATACGGCACGGAACCCATTATTTCCTCACTGGGCATGCCTCGTGAGGATGAGGTCCAAGGCACGCTCGACTCGATTCTGGCACCACAGGTGCCTCACGCTTGCCCACCAATTCACGACATGTCGTGGTACATACCTCAGCCAAGTGCTGGACTGGTGGCCGAGCCACTCAAAAGTACCATAGGTTTACTCACCCACTGGGAAGAACATTCGGCACATCTTATGATGCCGGTTCTTGCGCCGTCCCATAATCCGTGGTTAAGACTCTACATCCCAACGGCATTACAGCAGCCACCTTCTCGAGCCAAGGAAAGCCTACTGAATGCTGTAGTTTCGGCTGCGGCATATCACAAGGCTGAATGCTCGCCTCACGAAAGGGCACACTATCTACAGCGGGCTGCGCATTGTAAACGGGCAGCCGCGGAGAGTTTGAGATCCGCTATAGATAGCATCGCCTTTTTTGACTCGCCTCCGATCAACACGACAGATAGGAAAGCTCTACTGGCAGCAGCCATTTCTATGTCATCAATAGAGGTAAGTGTTCTTTATTGACACCGTGGATGCTTGGCTGATCATTTATTCAAAAGGTCTTTAGCGGAGAAAACGAAGGAAATGGGTACCAGAACCTGCTGTTGGGCAGGAAGATAATAAGGCTGACTGGCGGTACTGACTGCTGGCTTACAGATACCGAGGGCGAGACCCTTTTGCAGATTTTCAGGTGCAACCAGGTTATCGCAACTTCTTCTGGCTGGGCCGCTTCACAGGGCAATGAAGACGAAGATGGCGACATGCAGGACGTAGCACAACTGCCAAACCCTCCGATTTCGTTCCCGTCCCAATATACGTTGGATACCACCTTTGGAATATCCATGAGGACGATGAGGTGCTTAAGCCAGATCGCTGAGTTCTCAAGGGTAATCGACCGCGATTCGGGCCGCGGGACGTGGCTTCGAGACAACGCAGAAGCAATCAATTATCTGGAAGCCGATATATTCGACGTCTTCAATGATCCGGATGCGTTCAGGACTCAGACACCTGGGGATGGTGCGGGGGTTTCCGACTTTGTAAATGACGAGATCAAAGAGAACCACCTGTGGGCTTTTCACTACAGCACAGGGATCTTCTTCCGCAGAGTCCTGTGCAATGGCGGTTCGGTGCCGAGCTCATCCCGGAAACCCACCGATTCTACTGGCGAGAACACCTCACTTCACCTATCAGGGCAGTATCTCGTAGACAAGGCCCTGGAACATCTGGAGAACATTGACGCATTATCGAGCGATGCCCAAAATGCAGATACACTGTGGGTGGGCTTCATTGCTGCTGTTGAAGCGGTCGACATGGGATTACGCCACAGGGCGATCGCCTGGTTCGGACGTGCCAAGAGGCATCGAATCAGCAATATAGCTAAAGCAAAGACCTTTGTACAGGAGGTTTGGCGGAGGGTGGACCGATGCTCATGGAACAGCTCCCGAGGCCTTGACTCTGAACTGGGCCCAATAGACTGGCGGGATGTGATGCGTGAGAAAGGCATGTACATTATGCTAACTTAGAAATGCTCTTCCATCCCCTAGGGTGATGAACCACAACCTATCTATGATCGGCAGAAAGCGTTAGGTCTGATGGTCTATCTATATTGCTACTGGCAACGGGGCTTTCCCCCATCATCTTTTACTTTCGGCCGCTGGTATCTAATCTCAAGGCCGTTCACCCTATCGTCACACCTGTACATTGCCACCTCGATATCATGTGCCGGGGGTGCCATTCCCGTCAAATTATCTCTAACAGCGTCCGGGACCTCGTATTTCTCCATTTTCGGTTGGATCTCGAATTCCGTAAGCATCCGGATCGTCAACATCATGGCCATGTGTGCTGCAAGGAACCTCCCGGGACACCGCGTTTCGAAGACGCCATAGATACGCAGTCCCTGCTTTCGACTTTCGTCGATGCGGCCATCTTTCAGAAACCTCTCTGGAGCAAACTCATTGGCATCCTCACCCCAGGTGCCAGCATCGTGGTGATAAGGCGCCAAGGGCACAAGCACATACGAGCTCCTTCTGAGGATGTACCTGCACGAGTTGCGTGTTTTAGAGATTCTGGTGTCCTCGTGGACATACCGACCAAGTGTGAAATCACCGTGGTAGCGAAGGACTTCGTACCAGGTCGCCTGGAGGAGGGGACACTTATCTTTCACTTCACAGACGTAGACCACACCATTCGACGTTCTGATATAGTTTTGGATCTCAGCCTTGATCTGTGATAGCCGGTTCGTATCGGACAGAATGTGATGGATCAACCATGCTGCGGCTGCAGTTATGTTTGGACCGAGCCCGGCTATTAGCGACAACTGGTAGTCCGTCCATCCGTCAAGCGGCGCCCCGGCCTTTATGCATAGGTTCTGAACACCATTGAGGAGACTAGAGCCGGTGAGGTCCGTGGTATCTTGCCCTGAGGAACGCCTCGCGTAGGCTTCGGCGCCGCAGCCGTCCAGTCGATCTCGTACAAACTGTCGAGACTCCCGCAGTTTCCGTGGAACTAGGAACCCAATGGGGTTGTTTAACGCCCATAGGTTGAGTAAGAGAGTACTTGGAAGAAGTGAGTGACTAGTGCTCTGCAAGATGGCTGTCATGTTTAGTTGACTTACCGGAGATGACCTAGGAATGCGGGTTCCTTGAACGGCCCCTCTTCTCCCCAGATAGACTTGCCAAGGGCACCGAAGAGGCATCGGAAGATCCAGTCCTCGATTTGAACTTGGCCACCATCAGGTATTCTGGATCTAGATCACATTCAGTATCGATGTTCAGTGCGCGGAAGGATGATGATCAGAGAGTCCCACAAATCTCTGCGGATGTATCCGTCAATCTTCTTGACATAACACGCAAGCTTTTCGCCTCCAATGAATTCTTCATGGAAGAGGCGGGTCCCTTCAGGATGAAACTGCCGGCTCAACTCGTCCTCCTCCTTGAGCAATCTCTGGACGAACTTGCCAAGCCCCAAGCTGGTCTTGAATACGATAAGGGCCAGTGGATGTAAACCGAGATTCTTGATTCTACCGAGACCTCGGTCCAATTCAGGGGTGACAACTGTTACTTCCTTTCCTGCCAGTGAGATTCGGAACAAGGGCGCTATCGTTGAACCACTAATAGAAGTTTTATTGTTGAGCTCGTAGCCACGTAGTCTGACATCAACTGGGGAGAACTCACCAAAGACTGACAAAATACCCGTGACGGGTCTTTATAAAACCAAAAATATGTCCAAAGATTGGGATCTGTGGTCTCAGAAAACGAGGCATAACCACATCAGTGTCTTCATTCCTTCCTTTCATACCCTCAGGTGTCTGTCCAGTCTCCCTTCGTACCTCCTGGATACGTTGGTACTTCAGATAGGTGAGAATTGCAATGGCAATGACCAAGACACATGACACAAGAGTCAGGGAATTAACTGCTCGGTCGCTATTGGTACCTAGGCCGATCCATGGCATCGTGGTATTAGTCATTGCTAAGCCGTCCACAGACATTGAACCGTTGCCCGTGCTGGTACAGACACCCGACACGCAACTCTACGGCCCGGACAGTAAAGAGCGGAGGGCGGTCTCTGCCGGTAAAAATGAAGTATTAATGCACGATATGTGAGAAAAGACGAGAGGTCTCGAAGGTGATCGCGAGATCGACCCTGCTATCAAAGTTTGTTGTTCTGGTGGTTTCCCCCTAGATGGTGGCGCGCCAAGGTAGTTGAGCATGTTATAATGCATCTCTATGGCCCAAAGTGCAGCAGCGAGTGGTCAAAAGACAATGACCGATAAATACCGCAAATTTCTCTTCGCGGGTGGTCCCAAGTTTTCTCTATGAGGCCATCAAGATGTGAGATTGTTCTATCTAGGATATGATCCGCCCTATATCTGATATATTTCTAGGCAAGCAATACCTCAGAGCTGAGTTCATAGCAATCAGAATGATAAGACCAGAATAACTAAATGGACACTGAACCTAGTCGCCCATTTTATGAAATATTTCTATGTGAACCGACTTTCGGGACCGAGCTCAGCGGATTTCCAGCCCCCCTGCTTGCATTTTTTGGGAGCAAAATCTGCAGATGAAATACTGTATACTTTACCTGGCTGGGAGACTGTCTATGGTGATGTGGGATTGTATCAGAAATCAATTATCCATCGATTCGGAACCGTAGACCTCCCAGGGCTGATGTTGCAAGGCCTTGATATTCACTCGCAGCAGACGAGTGGTCAACAATTACCACCTGTCACCACATTCTGCACCACGAAGCTGGCTTAGGGGTCATATGGCGACTTTGCACGCCGTCCCGTCATCGGAACACCTCCTTGCTCTGTTACGAGGATTGGGTCCTCCAACCTGACACCAAAGCCGACCTTCCTCCCTACGTCTGCAGCCTGCTCCGTGGTTACGTAGATCCCCTGATTTCAGAGATGTTAGACAATAGCACGAACACGGAGAGGAAGATCATGCACATACCGGCTCGTTCGTAACCACCTCACCAACTTTTAGCTTTTCGCTGTTTGCGCCGTTTAGGTAGGGGTGCTCATGCATCTCCAAACCCAAACCGTGGCCAAGGCGGTGCGTGTAGTATGGCCCGTAGCCGGCCTTCTTCACCACTTCCCTCGAGCCCGCGTCGACAACGGAACAAGTCTCATTGGGCCACATCCGGTGGAAGCCTGCCGACTGTGCTGCGTGGACAGTCTGCCAGATGCCCAACAGCTCATCACTCACGACTGCATCTGATGGCAAGATGGTTCGAGTCACGTCGCTGCCGTAGTCGTGCAGCTTTGAGCCGATATCGATGAGCACGAACTCGCCGTCACTCAAAGTCTTGCCATGCTTCCCTCCGTGGGGATAGGCTGCCTGGTCCCCGAAGAGCACAATGGCCCAGAATCCGCTGCCAACCCCAGCACGGCCGAAAAGAGCGTGTGCCGATGAGACAACAGTCTCCTGTGTCATGCCCAGCTTGATGCACTTCTGCAGCGAGCGAATGAGTTCAAGCGTGAAGGCATTGATACCTTTCAGAATAGCAATCTCGGCTTCCGTCTTGACGGCTCTCAAAGATTGAATAGTTTCCGACATGGGAACGACCTCGACGCCAGCCTTCTGCAGACCGGCCGCAATCATGAACCTTGTATGCTCGTCGAGCATGACCTTGCCGAAGCCGGTCTCCTTGGCAAGTACCTCGTACGGCGATTCCTCCTCGGCCCATACAATGACTTTCTTGTCCTCATACACCATGTCGAGCCCTGCGATGCGGCCGGCTTCGAACTTGGGTACCAGATAGGAGAACTGCCCATCCTTATCAAGGATCATAAGGAAAGGCCGCTCCGATAGCTCAAAGGTGTACGAGATATTGGCGTAGTAAGCCGTGGAAGCCGACGGCTCTGCGATGAAGGCGTCAACCCCCGCTGCTCTGAGCGCATCAGCCAGTCTTGCCTGTCGAGCGATGTACTCATCCCGCCCAATGGGCGGTACGGAGAGCAGCGAGGCATGTGGCTCCAAGATGTCCCAGGCGCAGCTCTCGAGAGACGCAGCAGTCAATTCATCACGGCCGGTCCCAGCGTTGAAAATGGGCTTATGTGTGATGGCCTGGACGACCACGAGGACCAAAGCAACGATGCGCACCACGCAGAAAAGCCACCAGAAGATCCTTGATATTGTGGCACGTACGCTACCGGGTGCTCGGCGCGATGGTGATGCTGCCGGAGGTGGGTTCCCGCCTGGCAGGAGTGCTTCCTTTTCCATTTCTCGGTCCATGATCATGTTCCCACTGTCAAGCCCGAACCTTGGCTGGATGGGCAACTCTGGTGTGAAGTAATGTTAGGGCAACATATGTTGTAGGCCCGTCTCGCAATAGCACAGTGGGGAGCAGTGAGTATCTGAAGTCAGCTTGAGCGCAGTGACGGACGCCTTATCACTTCGGGGCGATTAGGTGGTTAGTGGAGCTCCTGGCGGCTATGCTGGGGCTCAGATCAGCTCCTACACACAAATGACTACTAAGTCAGCATATCACGTCGCGCAGTGCATGCTCGCGAAGATTATATGTTAAGGAGCGTTTGGATAATCATTATAGTTAAAAGAACTTCAATTACGTAATATAAATACTGGGGGAACATGGACGTCGCAGCCGTGAGAGCAATATCAGATCCATCTCGGTGATGTGGATGAGGAGGAGGAGGAGGAGGATGTTTAGCAAGACAGATAAGGAAGGTGAGAGACAACCGATGCATATCTAGTGCCCCCACTACATACCTAGGTACTACAGGAGCTTGGAGCTTGGAGCTTGGGCATCCTCCACAGCGGCTTTAGCGGGTTGTAGGCGGCCTTTCCAACGTTCTCGTCAGCGACGGCCGGCGTTCTGAGGGGGAGTTCAGTGAACCAACGGCCGGTGCTAGCCCCATCCCTGGGGCCGCCCTTCCGAGGTCCCCTCCTTCCCCCCAGCCTCGCGGCACCTCGACCAGTCACGGCCCAAATCAACACTCGACTTTGGAGGCAATGACGACACTGTCCGACCCCGAAGTCAAGCACTGAGGCCAGGACCTCATCTCAAACTCTCGTGTTCCCCATCGACTTTCGTCTCATGGCTCCCTAGATTCGTCTGGCATTGCTACGTCGTCTCCCTCACCTAAGACGCCAGCATGGGTGCGCCAAACCCCATAGCCTTCAGACCCGCCCAGGTCACCTTCTGGACCACCGTCGTCTACCTGGCTCTCCTTATACCTCTGGTCATTATCCACGAGACCGTCCCTCCCGCCCCAGCCGCGGACAGCCTTGAGGTCGGGCTCAACCTCAACGAAGCCTGGTCCGATCTAGCCACTCTCGCCCGGGCCTACCACCCTTACAACAGCCGCGAAAATGATGTAGTCCACGCCTGGCTTCTCGAGCGCATTCGCGAGATCAAGGCCGAGAACAAAGCTGAAGACTCGGCCTTCGTCATCTTCGACGACCTGGCCGGCAATGTCACCTCCGTCGGCGACTTGCGCGCCCCCAAGCCCTTACAGGGCCCCGACTTCCAGCCCACCACCGTCGGCACCTACTTCGAAGGCAACAATATCATGGTCTACATCCGCGGCAAAGATGACCCCACCTGGAACTGGTGGGAAGATGTCGCCCATGTGGAAAAGATGATCGGCAAGGGCGGCGTCTTGGTCAATGCTCACTTCGACTCTGTCTCGACAGGCTACGGTGCGACTGACGATGGCATGGCCGTCGTGTCTGTCCTCCAGCTCATCAAGTACTTTTCTGTGAAGGGTCACCAACCACAGAAAGGAATTGTAGCTCTGCTGAACAACAACGAGGAGGACTGGCTTTGGGGCGCGCGCGTGTTTGGAAACCATCCCCTCATGCCCTTCTGTCACGTCTTCCTGAACCTCGAGGGAGCGGCTGCGGGAGGCAGGGCGAACCTCTTCAGGACGACGGATGCCGAGGTGACCAAGGCTTACCAAGGAGGCCCCAACCCCTTTGGATCCGTGGTTTTCTCTGATGCCTGGCAACTGGGCGTTATTCGCAGCGGCACTGATTACTCCATCTTCAATGATGTATACGGCATGCGTGGCCTCGATCTCGCCTTCTACCGTCCACGCGCACGCTACCACACGAACCAGGATGACACTCGTCACACGTCTATAGACAGCCTTTGGCACATGCTTTCGAGCTCGGTGCATACGATGAAGAGCCTCTCGGGGGATACGGGAGAGACTTTCATCGGGGACCGTTCCGACGGGAATCGAAAGAAGATTGCCAACGGCGCTCCATCTGACGGCGTCTGGTTTGATCTGTTCGGCAAATCCTTTGCCATTTTTGAGCTCCATGGCCTCTTTGCTTGGTCTCTAAGCCTTTTGATTGTGACCCCTCTTGCCCTACTGATGTTGACCTTCATCCTATCCCGGAATGACAAGTACTACTATTTCTCATCGAAAAAGTCAGCCTACGAGGATGCTGTCCTTGAGCCGGTACTACTTGGCGGCTGGAAAGGAATCATCCGTTTTCCCTTCGCCCTGGCCGTTGCTGGAGCCTTAGTTGTGGCGTCGGCGTATCTTGTCAGGAAGATCAACCCCTTCGTCATCTACAGCTACGAGTATACCGTGTGGGCCATGATGCTGTCTCTGTTCTACTTCGTATTCTGGGCCATCATGGCGGGGGCAAATTTCGCCCGGCCGAGCGCCCTTCATCGAGGCTACGCCATACTCTGGCTGTTCATTATCACCTGGGCTCTGCTCGTGGTAGTCACAGTCTTCGAGGATCGTTTCCACGTTGCGGCTGGTTATCCAGTCGTCTTTCTTCAATCTGCAGTCTTCCTGGCTACCCTTTTAAACCTGCTTGAACTCTGTGCCCTGCAGAAAAAGACCGACTTTGCGCAGAAAGTCCACGATGATCACGACATACGCGATTTCGTGAATGCTGATGTCGATGATCACGTTTCCAATGTTCCGCACGAGGAAGAGACGGATGAGGCCGGTGTGGGAGAAAATGGTGCTGACCATGATGGGCAGGGCGAGGAAACGGATGAGACAAGCCCCCTAGTCGGTGGAAACAGGAACAAGAAGCGTCCTTTCACTTTTGGCACAGTTTACAGAAGATCTATCTCCGCCATCATGGATAAAGCAACACCGGGGGAAGACTCCAAGAGGAAGCCATTCGGCCACGAACAATTGTGGTCAGGTAGACTTCCGAGCTGGCTGTGGATCTTCCAATTCCTTCTGCTGGGACCATTCTTCCTCATGCTTTTCGGTCAACTCGGACTTGAGCTAGTGGCTGCCGTCAAAGAAACTGGCGCGGATGGCAGTAGCACCTTGGTTCCCTATATGTTGGTGGCAGTTGTTAGCGTGCTGCTCCTGCTTCCCATGACTCCATTCATGCACCGAATCACGCACCACATTCCTCTCTTCCTTCTCGTCGTCTTCATTGCCACCTTGGCTTTCAACCTCGTCGCCTTCCCGTTCAACGCGTCAAGCAGATACAAGATTTACTTCTCGCAAGACGTCAATCTGGACACAGGGGAATCGCTTGTCCATTTCATGGGAGTGGAAGAGTATGTGCGACAGGCATTGGCTGTTGTGCCTTCAGCTATGGGCAGGGAGGTCACCTGCGAAGCTAAGGCGACTGACAGGCCCGACATGGGGTTCTGCACATACAACGGCTCTAGCGTATTGCCGAATATTGGCGGAGGAAACAAGAAGCTCGCAAGTTGGATCAACTTCAATGCCACGCGCACATCCAGCTCCAACGGGCTGCGCTTTGAGCTCGATGGTCTCGACACTAAGACTTGTGGTGTACGGTTTCCCCAACCAATTACCAGCTTTTCGGTTCTGGGAGGCAATGGACCAGACGATCGTTTTGGGGCGATCCCCGAAAGAGGCGTGGACAGCCTGATGCTCTATCGTCGTGACCGGAGTAAGCCATGGATAGTTGATGTAGAATGGTCCAAGGATGCCGAGGCCAGCGGCAAGGTGGAGCTCGAGGTCTACTGCAAATGGGACGATGCGAATATCCAGGGCACCATTCCCGCGCTTGACCAAGCGCTGCAGTATACCCCTGACTGGGTCGCAATCACGAAATTGAGCACTGGACTGGTCAACGGTAATAAGTTCTACACGGTATAAGACTACAACCTCACGGAGTCTGGGGCAATAATATACTATCAATTAAATATGCTCAAGTGCCTCACTCGGCCCGATGAGGCCGCGGTCCCTGAATATAGAGATGATCACACTGTAGCTACTGGTGCACATTTGATGTCTAGTCCACGAGGGCAGGGCCATCGTACTCGCGAGCTACCAAGCCTGGAGTAAGACCAAGCTCGTCATCGGTAAGCTCACGGCCTACTGCGTTCAGCTGGTCAATCGAGATATATCTCTGGTCCCAACCACCCGCCGGAGACGCATTGCTGGGCACCGTGGTCCCGTTGGGCGACGTCGTGACAAAGTTATCCGTGGGGCTGCGGTACGCCTTCCCGAGCCCTCTCTCAGCGCCCGGCGGGTAGAAGGGCTTCTCGTTCTCCTCGTCCTGGTACATCATACACCTGTCGAAGTGCACCTCGGGGATGGCGGCGTAGAAATCGTCGTACCTGGGGTCCAGCGCCGCGGTCAGGCTGGCCACCGGCGTCCCCTCGGCTCCCGGCGGCTGCAGCACCGACCACGGGTCGCGGCAGCTGTCGCCCTCGCAGCTCTTGGTCACCATGAGCAGGGCGTTGAGGCGGTCGAGCACGCGCTGGACCTCGGGCGTGCGCCGCTCCCTGCCGCCCCACGCCAGGTTGTGCACCTCCCACGGGTCCGCCGTCGTGTTGTACAGCTCCATCTCGTTGGTGCACCACTTGGCGAACATCCACGCGCTGCTCTCGGACACGACCCGCAGCGTCTTGTACGTGTTGTTGTTCAGCAGACCCGCCACGGAGAACGGCGCCTCGACCACCTTGTCGCCCCAGAACTCGATGTTGATGATCTCGCGCGCGTCGCCCACCGGCAAGGGCGGCCGCCCGGCATCCGGGTCCTGCTGCCATTCCGAGAGCAGGGACCGCCCGTCGAGGAACTTTGGCCATTGCTCCTGCGGCACGCCCATGATCTCCAGGAAGGTGGGCGCAAAGTCCAGATGGGCGCTGGCTACGCTGGAGGTCGCGCCCGCGGGGATCCCTGGGCCCCGCACAAAGAGCGGCAGGTTGGAGTCCATGATGTAGGGCAGCGCTTTGCCGGCGGGCAGCCTGTGGGCACCGATGTGGTAGCCGTTGTCGGTCGTGTAAATGACTGAGATGTATTATCAGCATTTCATTCTGCCATGTAATGCTGGGAAATTTTTGGGGAGACTAGGTTCTCACTGTAAGTGTTATCCAGCTGGCCCTTCTCCTCGAGCATCTTAACCACATCCTCAATGATCTCGTCGACCCCTAGGAGAGACCGAAGACGCTGGCGGTGCTGAAAGTCGGCATACTCAATCTGCGTGCTGTTCATTGGCGGCAGGTTCTTCAGGAAGACGCTCTTCTGCTGCTGGATATCGTCGGGTGGGTTCCAGTTGGCAAAGCGCGGCACGGTTACGTTGCTGTACGATTCATTATATCGAGATTGTGGCACTGGCGGGTTGGACCCCGATACATGCGGTGCGTATGGGGTAATGGTCAGATAGAAAGGAGCTGTCTGGTTTTCACTCGTCAGATAGTCGAGACGATCAAGGCTGCAACAGGTAAGCAAACAATCAACAGGGAAACAAATCTTTCCCAGCTCGGGCTGCTTACGCCTTCACTCGCACCGTGTCCGTTTGGTGGTAGCCTTTGTAGACGACGGGTCTCTGTCCATTCAGCGCCCAGACTGGGTTATTGTAATCGCCGATATATGGTTCAACCTAGCGCGATGTCGTTAACATGCGACTGAAAAGAAGCTGTGCACTCCAACCTACCAGAGTATCCACGTGGTCCCATCCTTTCGGAGCCACATTGTAGTTCACCGTATTGTACCCATTGAGGAATTTACCAACATCTATATTTCTACTGTCAGTTATGGCCTGGTATCAACGTGTTGTGAAACTGGGTTTACATTCAGCTCTATATCCCGCCTTCGTGATCCAATGCGGCAAGTAGTCGTGATCCTCGCCGGACCTGAGCCATTTATCGTAGTTTCCTCTGGAAAACGGTTAGCTCTTTTGCTCCAAATCCTAGTATTTCAGAGAAACAACGTACCCCGGGGCCCGAACGTGCGTGATGTTGGTATTGTGTGCATTCTGCCCTCTGAGGAGTGATGCACGACTGGGGCAGCAATTCGAGACTGTCGCGAAGTGGTTCGTGAACGTTGTGCCCTTGGCCACGAGCTCCCGCTGCAGAACCGGCATGTAGTCACACGAATTCAAGAGCCGGTCCTGGTCATCGCTCATGATGAGGATGATGTTGGGTTTCTTAATTCCACATTGGCCATGACGAGCTAGGGCCACCCCGACGAGTGCTAGAACGGTCCACAACATTTTCAATGAAAGAGCAACCATGAGACGGCCGTCTTGCACGACTACTTAGTTGAATTTGCTCTGAATGAGAGCCCGGCCTGAGAATTGTCAGTCAAGTTTCTTAATGAATGAAATCACGGCTACGCGGCGGATTGAAGCATTGGGTTAGCCTACTGGAACAATTTTGTCGCCCGACCGTCGGGTGACCATGAGCAGCCTATACAAATGGAATGAAAAACATTGAAAGCCAACGAGCACATGCTATGACTAGGGGACGAGTGAAATTGACCAGAATGTTGTTGTTTATGGAGCGGATGGCGTCATTTCCTGGTTTTCTCATTGCTTCGCGGGGGGCAGGGTAGTATCGTCCACTTTTACGCTAATCGCTTTTGAAAATTGGAAGCGTATATTTCGGGTTGCCAAATATCCCTTCACGCTGACAAAATTCACATGAACAGAGAAATAGAGAGTATGCATACGCGATAAGATTACAGCCGTTCAATACAGTCTGCCGAACTCTCATGTCACTCTAATGTTGAGGCACCGACTGAAGGGGCTCGACATGGCGCCGAAAGTGGGACCAGAAAACCGTCAGGATTGGGCCAGCCTACTAGACCCTGATTCGGTAGGTCCCTCTGACGATGAGGAAGTTCACAAAGAAATTTGACCGGAGGGAAAAGGTTGTACAATTGGACTAGCCTTGCGGATCTCCACGAAATGTGGTAGGCCATCAACAACATAGAACATCTACGATACGACGTGAGACAAGTTGATAGTCGTTGTTCTGGCCAGGCACAACCAGAAAAATCAAGTTCATTGATCTTACACGAATTTATTATATCCTGTCTACGATAACAACATCTTGTAGGACCATTCGTCTTGAGGAACGTCTTGGTACTTGATGCTCGTGGGGTGTTTCTTCCTGGCAGGCAAGACACGCCGTACATACAGATCCCCAACGTTGATGGACGCGTAGTGTGGTGTCTCACCCGGTTTCTTGCAGCACTCCAAGACATCTAGTTCCACGTCCGAGTCCATGGTCAGGAAGAAAGGAAGCGAGTAACGCTCCCGGCCTGTTCTGTTCCGCACGCGGTGTACCGTTGCGGGAAACTGGCCATTCGTCTGACGCTCCAGGTACTGCCCGACGTTGCAGACCAGTGTCCCGGGCTGTGGAGGCGCGTCCACCCACAGCCCGTCGGGGTTGAGCACTTCGAGCGCTGGCACGTTGTCTTCTTGCAAGACCAACGTCAGCCAGCTGAAGTCGGCGTGAGCTCCGAGCCCGACGCTAGCTGCGTCCTGGGACACAGGCGTAGGCGGGTAGTAAAGCGGACGCATCCCCGTTATGGGAAATTGAAAGTCCTTGTCAAAAGCAGTCTCCTCCAGGCCAAAGGAAAGTGCGAATATTCGAACGAGTTTCATCGCCAGAGGAAATACATGACTGCCAAAATGTGAGTAAACCACCCCGATACTGCTTCCCAACAGTTTGACTCTGAACTTGCGATGCTAAACTTACTGATAATATTTGTATAGCCCTTCGCGCCACCACGGTGCTTTCTCCGGCCAAATGTTCTGTGGTTGGGTGATGTGCGCAGGTGGTTGCTTCCCAGTCCTTCCGACATAGTCCTGCTCCTTTTCTATGGCGCAGTCCCCCATAGTGAATGCTTCCTTGATATCTATTGGCACATAAGTAACTCGGCGTGTTGATATACGATGTTTAGTGCCAGACACCTACCTCCTGCCGTCCTAGGATCTAGTCTAGTCTCCAACATTGGCTCATAACCCCGAATTGCCGGGTTCTTCTGAACATGGGCATCCATCTTCGTGTCCAAGTCTAGCGCAAAGAACCTCGTCAGAAGTTCGAAGGTTTCGGTGATGACTTCTTGAGGAATGCCATGGTTCTTGATGTAAAAGAACCCGCATGTGTGGCAAGCGTCGCGAATCTCTTCCGCGATCTTCTTGCGCAGAGCAATAGGGCCGTCTAAATCAGTCAAATCGACAGTTGGAATGGTCGTAAAGCCTGTCGGCTTATCGGATACCTTTCGATAGGTAGCCTCGGAGCCTGAATGGTAATACACGTGTTTTGAGCCCTAGAACGTGACGGTCAGATATTTCATGCATAAGAGAACTGAAAACTGCAATGATCGAGGACTCACGTCTTTGACAGATTCCAGCCCACCACTGGGGATCGGTTTCGCAACCTCCGCCATGCCGCTGCTGTTTTGTTGGTGGCCGAGATAATTGTGCCTCTGGACGCCGATTACCAATGTTGGATCGTTAATCTATGTCAGCCCCGCAATGGTGAGATTCAGTAATGGCATGAATAACACCTTGAGTAACTATCGGCATCTAACACGCAAGTAGGAACAGCCTTGTCGCAAGTAAATTTGCTGCCACTCGCGCAAAACGCCTTGAATGCAGAGTAAGAAGCACGTTAAGGCGGATCACTCCGTTGAGGGCCAGTCGCACTAGCAGCGCAACGCCGAGATCGTCTCGCTAATCCCCTCTCGCTATCGGGATTATCCCCACTTGCCGCACAGCCGTCGGCTCTGGGGACTGAACCATCTGTGTTAGTCTTTTGGTCTGTAGAACTCGCTGTATCTGGTCCAATCGCATGCTTTCTCAAGATAAGACGCTCTTCACTTTGTCAAATGTGATAATCCACGGGCTGCAGATCAACCGTGTCCCAGGCGCATCTTTGACCGCTGTAGTTCCTCGTATAACCAAAGTCCGGGACTTTCTATACACCGAAAACCTTGGGCAGGATACATATTCAGTACAAGATGTCCCTACCAATATCTTACTATGTCAAGAACCTCTTCGCGTCGTCTTATGGCAAGGACCGTCCCAAGTTCTTCATCTGGTATCCTGAGGGGACGACGTCTGCGGAAAAGAAGCTGCTCTTCAAGATCGACTTCTTCATCCTGAGTTATGGCTGTCTCGCGTACTTCACCAAGTGGCTGGACCAGGCAAACCTGAGTAATGCCTATGTGTCTGGTATGAAGGACGACCTAGCCATGTACGGCACGCAGTACAATCTGGCTGTTACTTGCTTCTCTGTCGGGCAGATCCTTGGCGCGATTCCTGCCAACATTCTCTTGACTTGGATTCCACCGCGTATTCTCCTCCCGGGGCTGGAGCTCCTATGGGCCATTCTGACAATTGGAACGTATGCCATCCATGACGTAAACCAGGTACGCGCTACAGTGACACATGTTATAGAGATAGGAGAAACAACTATTTTGATCCAGCACTAAACATACACTAAAGCTCTATCCCCTTCGGTTCTTCATTGGATTTCTGGAAGGATCCTGTTTTGTTGGCGTCCAATACGTTCTCGGCAGCTGGTACAAGAAGACAGAGCTAGGTAAGCTTGACTGGTAAATCACATGAAATGAGACAGATCAAGTATATTAATAGACTCAAAATAGGAAAACGGACTGCCATCTTTGCCTGCGCTGCGTATGTCGGCACAATGATATCCGGATACTTGCAGTCAGCAGCATTGGCTACATTGGAAGGGAGGAATGGGATTGCAGGTTGGAGGTGGTCAGTCACAACTCCTTGCGATTGCTACGAAATTGGCTGTGGCGCAAACCATTCGATTTTATTTTCAAGTCAATCCCGGTTCGTGCTGTTTGGTCGCTGACACTGGAGTTTACAAACAGGGTTTTCATTATCGATGGAATCATTACTGTGATCGTAGCCATCTACGGGTTCATTGTCTTTCCAGACACCCCATATGATACCAAGGCGTTCTACCTGAGCCCCGAAGAGAAGGCTAGATGCCTTGAACGCATCATCGAAGACGGAAGGCAAGAAACGATCAACCACTTCAGCTGGGACATGTTCAAGCGGGCTGCGAAGACGTGGCAGCTCTATGTTCTCACCGTTCTGTTCATGTGGGTACAATCTGCTTCCCCAGATGCTTTTTCAAATTCAAAGGGAAAGGCATGTACTGACATCGCCTTGTTCTCAGGTTTTGGAATACTACGGTCGGCAAGGTCGCCAACACAGTGATGCAGTTATACCTTAAGAACGATACACAGCACAGCTGGTCTATCTACCAGGTGAACAATGTACCGACTGCCATCAACGGTTGGAACATTGTCCTGATTCTGTTGTTCAATGTATTTGTCGATGCGACAGGCTATCGCATGGCCGTTGTTGCCTTCAATCTCGCCCTCCTCATATTCGGCACAATATGTCTGGTTGTCTGGGATATCCCACTGGGCTTGAAGATCGTCTCGTATCTTTTTGCCGGCACCGATGGCCCGCTGAGCCCAATTTACTATTCCTGGGCCAACATCCTGACGTCGGGAGATCGCCAAGTGCGCGGATTGACTTTGGCTGTCATGAACTCAGCTGGCACAGCGTTGAGCACTGTCATCCAGCAATTCCTCTACCCGGTCACAGATGCACCACAGTTCAGCAAGGGATTCAAGGCTAGTCTGGGGTTTATCTGCGGTATGTGTCTGTGGGTGGTGGTCGTGCGTGCACTAGAAATGCGGGAGCTCGCGCGGGGCTCCTCACAGGCTGTCATCGAGGCACGGAACGATGAGGAAAACCCCTCGGAGTCCGATTCGGGAGCTATCTCGGTTATGCCCGATCGGAAGGCCTGAGCCGGCAGCTCCGCCTTGTTCTTCGGCCGCTAGCGATTGATAACCTTAAAGTAAACCCATTATTCACGCACCCGATTTGGGACACAAGACATCATGTTAGGTCAGCCTTTGATCATTGCATCTTCCATCAGCCTTGTGCAGGCTGGTGTTGAATTTCATCGAGGTGCAAAAGAATTCAGCCAACTTATACTCGTCCCATTTCCCCACATTTGATCTTGTTGTCAAAGCCTCTATTACATTGAGCTCATATAGCCGCATGGGGTAATAGATATAGCCGTACATCCGATATAAGCCATGGCAACGACCGAAACCACCACCAAGACCGTCGCAGTGGACGAATGCCCTACCACAGAACTGCGCATCACCTCCGGGGATGGGCCTGTGACCAGAACCGTTCTGCGGACCCCTCCGCGTGATGCCGACCTCTCGGAGGTCCCTATCATTGATATCTCTCCCATCTATAGCTCGTCCGTGGCCGCGCGCCAGCGAGTCGCCCAGCAGCTGCGTGACGCCTGCACCAACACCGGCTTCTTCTACATCACCAACCACGGTGTCCCGGCGGACGCGCTCGAAGCCGCGCACGCGGCCAGCCTGGAATTCTTCCGCCAACCTCGGGCCGTCAAGGAGCGGGCCCATGCAAGCCAGTCGCGAATCTACAATGGCTACAAGCCACCTCAGACTCAGCGCATCAACCCGTTCGAGTCTGTCGACGTGCGCGAGAGCTTTTCCTGGAAATATGACCCGAAATATGATGAATCTGTCACTGACATGGACGCAATTCCTGCCAAGGTTTCCCAGTGCCCGACCAGCGAGGAGTTCTTGTGGGATGCGACTGCGAACTTGCCACATTTCAAGGATGCTATTCTCAAGTACTGGCGATCTTGCCTGAAACTGGCACGGGCGTTGGTAAGGTCCTTTGCGCTTTCGCTGCACCTTCCGGAGGACTATTTTGACGACAAGTTTTCGCACCCCGATGCGACCTTCAGGTAAGTTTTGGGCCGACTTATCGATGTATCATCCTACCGCCGTTGCCACTTGCCACTAAGTCTTGCCGCCATGACAGCGTCAACTATTACCCACCTTTGGAACAGCCAGCCGCAGCCCTTGATGAGTCTGTCCAAGTCTCCATAGGGTCGCATACCGACTTCCAGCTCTTTACTATGCTCTGGCAAGATAGTACCGGCGGTTTGCAGGTCCTCAATAAGCAGGGACAGTGGCTCAAAGCCAAACCTATCGAGGGCACATTTGTGGTGAACATTGCGGATTATATGCAACGAATCACGAACGATCTGTAAGTCGCAGTCATAAATATCTCTGGCGCGTATGCTGAGCGACGTCGAAAAAGGTATGTCAGCACGATACACCGCGTACAGAATTGGAGTGGCAAGGAACGCATTAGCATGCCCTTCTTCTTTGGCTTCAACCTGAATGAGAGCTGTGATGTGCTGGATAGCTGCGTAGCGCCGGGTGAGAAGAAAAAGTACCAAGAGATCAGCTGCCATGACTGGGTCAAAAAGCGCGTCGAGGAAATGAATCGAATCAAGGGGAGGACTTAGACACACGAGAAATTTGACGGATGATATCCTATAAGCCAATGCCGCACTGAGTGAATACTTTCTCCAACACATACGTCTAGTGCTTTGTACCTATACTGATTCACCAGAATGCATGTATCTGGCGGCCAAACCATGGCAGCACCCTCCCACGAAACCGTGCCGGTTGTGGCTTTTCGCTTCTTCATCAAACAATGCACATCGGAAATGAGACTTATAGCTGGAGGATTCTTCCCCTGACGCGACAATCTGCAAGACCCGATTGGGTAATCTGCAACAGCTGTAGAACCAACAGCCGCACACCCCGCGTTATTCATTACTCCTGGTGTTTCAATGGGGCGAAGGCATAGAGGCGGCGCAGTATCTTGTCCATGATTGGGGTGCAATCTGTGCCTGCCCCTTCATTACAACGTGAACATTCTTTTCTTCTGTCCTTCCCTCCAGAACACAATTCCAATCGCGCCTTGTGAAGGCGGACTTCATCCGTATTTTTGCGCGCGAAACATTAACTTCATACCATGCGCCAAGGCTCCGGAACTGCGTTCTTGCTGGCCTACGTATTATGGTTGGCATCGGTTACTAAGGCCACGATCGCTTGGGGTGGGATCGGTGGCAACATCTCAATCGATGCCGATACTGTTAGTATGAATGCTAGAGGTAAGTGGTATGCTTTCAGCCTCAGGCAGATAAGCACGAAACTAATGATCGGTTACTAGCGTCATGGTGCAACGATCATCTCCAAACCTGCCATGCGGTCTGCTCTGATGCGGAGACTAGCTTTTGTTACCCTGTAAGTCACGCCAGCTGGACAGTCGTATGCTGCCTTCTGTCTTGTAGCCTCCATTCATGGCGCTCATGAGGGCTAATGAACATCGGCACGTGTTAAAGAAAACGCTTGAGGCAAATTGCACTTGTCCAGATGGCTTTCGCCCCGCAATGGGATACTATACCGATAGCGTACCGAACAATATCTGTGTGGAAGCTCTTAACCAGTGTTTAGGGGCTGGGAATCCGTCGGACACGCAGAAGCAAGAATGCTATGACAAAATAGGATCGCAGTGTGCGATACCAATTGACTCCCCAACTCGTGGTCTTCTGAGTTCCACGGGCACGAGTGGTATGCCCTTGTCGACGGTCCCAATCACGGCCTCGACTTTGCAATTCGAAGCCTCTACAGCAGCCAGTACTGTCCCATCGTCTATATCGTCTGGCGCAGCCCGTATCGATAGCAACACCGGCGCACAGTCCAGGACAGAAGCGATGGGTCCTGGTCTCAATACGACAGCGCCAAGCCCTGGCGGTGAGCCTGGATCTGGTTCTGAAAAGTCCAACGACGGGAGTGGTGGCGGTGGACTGAGCACTGGGGCGAGGGCCGGAATTGGTGTTGGTGCAGCGATAGGTGGGATCGGGGTCCTCGGAGGCGTGGCCTTGTTCTTTTACCGGGCCGGGCGGCGAGTTTCATCAAGCACAGAGCATAGCAATGATAACGGGTTTGGGTGGTTTGCCAAGCCGGAGCTGGCGGACACACAATTCAACGGCTACGAGGTCGAGGGGTCTGCAGCGCAGGGACGACCGAACCCTGCTGAGATACACGAGCTCGAGGCTCGGCAAAGGACGGGGAAGCTGGAGCATCAGGCCGTGCCCGTTGAAATCGGCGTGAGTGAGCGGGATGAACTTCAGCTAAGGAGGCAACTAGCAGAAACGACGCTGATATATAGGTAGACTTTAGAGACATGCTATGTCTGTTAACATCTCTCAAGTAGCAATTCCTGGCAGTGGTGTGTATCTCTACTGCAGTGGTGCAACGTGTAAAAATGCATGGCCCACTAGACTTGTAGTAGATATCCTTTCAGGTATGTTGATGGTGGCCAGTGATCGAATCCACGGCTCTCATGGTGAAAACTCTGCCCATACGTATAGCCGCCGTTTGATGTTGGACCACTGATGACGATACAGCGCACGTGGAAGTGTATTCAATTTTCCTTGACCTTTTCTTGTTTCATTTGCTACAGCCGATCAACTAATATACAAATTCAGGCCCGAGGCCTACGTTCGTGAAGCCATGTCCAGTCTGCCTCAGTTGCACTACAGTACTAGTATTAGTGAGGCCGCGATGGGCATAGCTACTAATCTCAAGGAAACGACTGTCAGTGGTCAGAGACAAAACTCGGAAGAAATCTAAGCGTCAGAAACTGATCCTGTGGACGAAATGTCGTCGGTATACGGTCGAGTTAGTGCTGCAAATCCGTGCGCCTTCGCCTTAGGCACCAGGAGGAGGAGGCGGTGGTGGTTGATCACCAGGTGGCGGCGGAGGAGCTTCACCCGACGGGGGAGGCGGGGGAGCAGCTCCACCGGCGTACTGCTGAATCAAGGCGCTCAGGTTGTTGGGCAATCCAGGAGGTGCGCCAAGACCCGCGTTACCTGGCAGACCTGGGGGAGGACCCATACCAGGAGCAGCCGCACCAGGAGCGCCGTAACCGGCGTATCCGGGGTACTGGTAAGCTGCGGGCTGGGCGGCAGGAGCCTGATGCCATGGTGCAGCACCACCAGAAGCTGCAGCACCGTTGTAGCCCTGGCTTTGGCCGCCGTAATAGTCGTTAGTATCCTGGCGGTCATTACCACGGTCGCGGGAGCGCCAGGGAGCCGGGCCGCCGTCGTTGCCGGAGGAGCTGTTGTTCTCACGCGAACGCCATGGGGCAGGGCCACCAGTCGGTCCCTTCTGCCAGGGTCGGGCGTCACCGCCGCCGTTGTTATAGGCACCAGGACCGGCCTCGATGCGGGCAGGGGGACCGCCAGAGCCTCCACCGAGCTCTTGCATGAGTTGCTATGATACTGTCAGCATGATGCAACTTGGGTTGGGAACGGGAAGAACATACCTCGTATTCACGGTCAACAGCATCACCGCCACCAATGCGGCCGGCAGGCTGTCGGTTAGGAGGACCGTCGTTTCGCCAGCTGGCACCCTTCTGTCGGTCGGGACAATCACGAGCCATGTGACCAGCGTTGCCACAGACGCGACAGATGATGTTGGCAGTGAAGTTCTGCTTCTCAGGGCAGTCGTACTTGCGATGGCCGATCTGACCACAGTTCTGGCAAGCCTGGTTCTCGTCGTCACGGAGTGTTCCGTTGAGGGCGGCAAGCTCACGGAGCTGGTTACGCTTCAACTCGTTCTGGCCTTCGGGGATGGAGGCAGCCTAAGGTGGATGTCATGTGAGCATATGATCCACAGTCGGGGAGAGGAAAGGGGAAGGGGAGGACAAGCAGGACTTACGGTCTCAATGATATTGTGAACCAGCTTCTTGGCCTTGTTGACCTTCTCCTCGGTGTCTGCCATGATCAGACAGTGGAGGTCCTCCTCCTGGTTGCTGGCGTGGGCGGCATCGGATCGGCCCTTGCCCTCCTTGACGGAGCCCTTGCCGCGGATGGCAATCTTGGCGCCGGATTCTGTTTCCATCTTCTTGAGTGTGTTACCACGAGGGCCAATGAGCAGGCCGACTTGAGGAAGGAGCTAAGTGTTAGTCTGATTATCTACAAGGTGAAAAGAGAGCATAGCAAGTGTGTAAGTGTGCGAGTTAGGCGAATGCCAGGCCGGTACCAGCGCACAGCCCGGGTGCCATAGCTGCGGCATGGGGCCTGGCACGGTGCGTTACAAGCAAGGAAAAGGGAGTTGGTTAGAAAGGTTAGAGGGTTAGTAATCTCACTGAAGTTAATCTCTGGATAGTCATTGACCGGCACGTAGACCTTCTCCTGGGTCTTGGTGGGACGTCGGTAGTCCTGGGGCGGGTGGTAGTTGGGGATGGTCTTCATGGCCTTCTCGATCAGCTTGTGGCGCTCATCCTCGAGGCGCTTGCGGTAGCGGTATTCCCTGGTGTTGACACGGCGGCCGTAGTTGTCGTACTGGGGCGGGGGCGATGGGGATCTGCGAGCGTTGGGAAGAGAGCATGTCAGTCCGACGGTCTTCTATGAGGGCCAGGGGCGGAGGGAGGGGGACAGAGAGAGGAGGTGGACGTACCTGTCACCATCGGCGGGGACGACATCGTCGATGCGCAGCTTCTGGCTGATCTCCTCGATACGCAGGTGGAGAGTGTAGGCCTCGAGCTGCTCGCTGGTCATGTTGGCGACGATGGCGGTGGGCAGGCCCATGAGGCCGGCGGCCTTGTTCTCCGAGGCATCGCCCCAGCGGTTGCGCTTCTTGCGGCGTCGCGGGCCGTCGGCGTCGGTGCGCGGCTCGGGGCTGCGGCCACGCTTCAGGTCGCTGTTGCCGTTGCCGTTGCCGTTGCTGTAGCCATCGTGGGACGGTTCGCGGCGGGGAGGCTCTTCTTCGTCGTCGGCGCCGAAGCGACGCTTCCCAAGCGGGATGTTGTTCGACCCCGTGATGCCTTGGTTTCTCCAGGACATGATGGCGCAGGTGCTGCCTCGGATGCGATGGGGTGCGTCGATGGGGTGCGCAAATGAAGGCGATGAGAATGGCCAACGAGTCGGACTCTCTCTCTCTCTCTCTCTGAGGTGCGACGAAGGAGGATGGATGCGACACAACCAGCTAGCTGATGAGTGCTGAGAAAGATTCGAGTTTCGAGGTCCCTTCGCCCTCGTCGCCTTCTCTCCCTAAACTAAATCCAGATCAGACCCACTCGCGACTTGCTTCCGGGCTAGCTTCGGCAGATTAGCGTCTCGGTCATGTGACTGTGTCAACCTACTTCCAATCTTCCAGGCTTCCCTGTCCCAATTGGCCCCAGGTCAACTTCAACCAGGGCCAGTGGAGACTTCCCATGTCTTACTCAGGTGTGAGGGCACATCGTCAAGTCCGGCCGGCTCCAGTCTCGATGTGCAGTGCACTCGCGTTGCATTCAATCATGTCTTTGTAGTCACTATACATAATCCTCCCAACTTCTGCTCTACTATGTATTCTCCTGGCTATGGCCTAACTAGCTGCCTCGTCTCTGCAGGATGGGAGATGCCAACAAACAAACATACCTCCAATCATGGCAATGCATGTAGGTACCAGGTCAGGGCGAAGTCGCACAAGAATCGGCGCGGCCTTGTAGAGTACCAGATAGCATTTACCATCAGACATCAGTGCCCTTCTTTGAGACACTGACAACAGGAAAAGCACCAAGTTGCCCTCTGGGTCGTGGTGGACCCGCTGAAATGATCCCTGTAACATCTGCATTACATGTTCTAGCCCAACCCATATACTGAGCCTGCTTTGGTGAATGCCACTGAACGATTGCAACTTTTACTTCCCAGCGCCACCTGCAACGAGGAGCTCCAGCTACTTCTTCTACAGGATCCACGTATCACTATAACTAAGTATCTGTAGGTAGAAGCCCCTCCCTTAGGCCTTTGCTACAATGTCCACTACCACCCATCCCCCCCAAACAGCGATGAGAGGGCAGAGTGTCCAGGGTTTCCAGAAATGCTCCCGAAACACACATCGAGCGTATAGCTGGCAGGCATTTACACGTAGCGAAGATGGCTGGATGCAATGGCAAGTTGGGGAATAAATTTCTATTGATCTGTTTGCTCTAGCTCCTTTGTCAAGGTGCGTCGTACTTGAGACGACCGTGGGCTGCCCACGCTATGTTGGGCATCGTCATTTTATGCGAGGTAAACCATGCATTCGAAAACATACACTAAAGCCACTCCAAAACACCACGCTGGTTTCCATCCATGCCGACATCAAATCCTGTCCCCTCCACCTCCACCGGGCACGACGACCTCACATCGAAGTCCAGTCATTCTCGTTCGGCTCTTCATCCAGCCCCAAGTCCATCGGCCCCTCCTCGTTGGCCAGCACCTCGAAGTCGCCAGCCGCAAAGCCAAAGTTGTCCAAGCCTCGCTGCTCCAGCCCTTCGTGGTAACTGGAAGTCGCGGCCTCGGCCCCGGCCCAGAGGTCGCGCGGGTTGGGCCCGATCATGAGATCCGTCGGCCTCACGGTCCCGTTGTTCGTCCGGCGCGCCACCCCGTGCAGCGTGTTGGCGCCATCCAGGCCGTGCGCCCCGTGGACGACCCGTACCTCTCCAAGCGCTGGGCGCACGGGGAAAGGCTCAGAAGGGGTTGCACGAGGATACTGGTGATGGTGGTGGTCGGGTCGTACACCAGCTCGACTCTGAAGTGCATTCAGGCCGTGATGATTGCGCTCGGCCACTTGCTCGTTCAAGGCTATGGACCTGAGGCGCCGGCCCAGTCCGTTTACCTGCGCGGCTGGTGCAGGTGTTTCTGTCTCGCGGGTGGCTTGCGGTCTGGATTGAGACCGGCTCGCTTCCCCCTGATCAGAAGGTCGGCCAGGCTGTTCGCCAACACTCGGGCCACTCGTTGACGCTGTCGCCATCTGCCCCGGATTCATGGCTCGAGGAGCGGGCGTGAAAGGCGGCGTTGGCCCTACTATGGAGCCATTTGGTTGCTCGACACTTCGCATGGCCGCCTCATGTGCAGATGATATCCGTTCATTTAACTCTTCCATATCCAACTCCGCTTGGGAGAGTGGTGCGGGAGATGATCTTGGGGCCGGTTGTTCGTCCTGCCCGTCTTGGGATTGTGCATCTGGAGAGGGTGCAACTTGGTTGTCGGCTTGATCCGGTATTTCAGTGGCAGAGCCTTGACCGTTCTGTGGCATGAGATTGTCCGGTACAGGTTGTTGAGTGTTTGCAAGACCCTGGACCATAGGATCATTCGAAAGAGACTGAGCCGGGATATTCGGAACTTGGCCAAGCATCGGATCGAGTTCCATGCCGTTGAAAGGGTTCATTGGGGCCACAGCCGGTGCAGCTTGACCTGCGGTGTTTCCGGGAGCCGGTACAAATGGGACTTGTGTGCCATTGGTATATCCAAGCAGAGGTTGCACTGGAAATGGTGTGGCTATACCATTCCCGTTCAGCATATTCGAGGTATTGATCGAGGCATTCTGTTGAAGACCCAACTGCAGCCACGGCGAGAGTAGAGGTGGAGCGGCTTGTGCTTGTTGCTGAAAGAGTCCTTGATGTTGAGCTCCTACATTCAAGAATCCGGGGCTCTGACCTCCCAGGGGCGTATGTGCAAACTGCGGAAGCACAGAGCTAGCCTGTATTGGAAACCCTTGAGCCGATGCCGGCCCTTGAGGAATTGGACCGAATACGAATTGCTGGCTGGGCAGGTTACCCATGGCTTGCTGGCCGAAGCCCATCTGCCACACTTTCTGAGTGGGCTCACTGCTTGCTACAGTCTCTGCAGCAGGAGCTCCGAGGGGAGGCGACGTGCGTATGTGGTCAAGGCCAGACGCGCCGTCGAGCTGGGGAGTGGGATGGCGTGGCCTCCCTGAATATGGATCACTGGCCGGAACGGGGAATGTGTAGCCGTGCTGGTTCATTTCTGCCACGGCATCGTCGGCAGCCATACGATGTCCAAACGCGCGGCGGCTCTGGTGTTGCCGCGGACGAGGCGGGCCGGCCCTGTGTCGCGACGCAATGGGCGTCCTCGTTATGTTAGGGGTCCGGACGGGGGCACGCACAGGAAACTGGCGTGGCTGCTGGAAGTTCTGTCGGTTCTGAGCTTCCTTGGCCTCTCGTCCCCGCCGGCATTCTTCTTGTTTGCGACACTTCCTCTCGTATCGCATCTGCTGCTTTGATTTTTCAGGAGGAGTCTGACGTTCATCGCCAGTACCTGACGACTCCGGGGCTGCAGCTTCGATTCCAGCAACATCATTCAGCGGTGACGGTGCCTGTTCCACCCTTGGTCGGTTCAGAAATGGTGGGCGTTGCACGCTGAAGTCTTGCAAGCCGTCAAAATGAGGCGCCTCGAGATTGTTTGGAGTTGCGACTGGTGGCACGTTTCCGGAAGCGGTGGTTTGCTGCAGATTATTGGCTTGGTCGTTGTTGAGTCCTGAGTCTAGTCCGGACATTGAATACTCAGGCGAAGATGTTAGATTGGCTGGATACTCAGCCGCGATACTCTCTTCCGTGTGGGCTTCGGCCATGGGCACACCAAGGACTTCTGCATTTTGTTCACTGTCTGGGATGTTGAAAAAATCGAACTCGTTGGGTAAAGCGCTATCATTCCCGTCTAGGTTGACCCAATCATTGAAATTCTGGGGGTTGAAAGGATCCATGTTGAAGTAAAGAGATGGGCTGATTATAAGACGATGGATGTAGACAGCTGGGTCGATTGTCCAGGGCGTATAGTTTATTGTGACTTGAACAATGTCAGGTCTACGTTGGTAGTGGCCGACAATGCTGGGTAGCTTATATCAGTAGGTTGATTGTTTGCTTCGGACCAAAGTCGAGTCACAAAGTCTGACTGCTTTGGATGAATGTAGCCTTAGGTTGTTGATTGTTGTGTTGAGTGCTGGGATGCTGTGGTTGATCCGGTTTACGGTACGTGTTTTTGGGGACCATCCATGGTTTGAAAAGCCCTACGACGAAGACTGGGGAGGAAAGCCTGTATTTATGCCTTGCAGTTGTGCGAAAGCACCATTCTCCGACTGCCTCACGATGGTAAACTTTGATGGAAAACCTATATTGAGCCGTGCTGCGTATCGAGACAGAATCGGGCTTTCTCCGAAGAGGATTGCTCGCATTTCCAACTTTATACTTTGTACCTCCGTCTACGGAAACCCCCGATCTTCTTATTGCAGCTGGTGAGCTGATCCGACCGCCTGCGACTGGCCCTCCAGATTTGCTCTCTAGAAGGACAACAAGACATGAGTGAAGCCAACGTTGAAGTAGGTGATCATCATAGCTGTGTATATTTGGGATCTGATGTCTATCGTAGGCGCTGAGCTGGTGATCCCGATCAAGGGGCAGATACTCTGAGAGTTCCGTCATACTGATAAACTTTATTGGGTAAACACAGGTACATGCTCCAGTTTTGATGAGCTCCAGGCTGGATCTTGCAACCAGCCTGCTGCCAGTTCTGGCATGTCGAAACAAGGCTCTCAACTCGAGAGACGATCTTCAGCGTTAAGCCATCTGTCTTGTTGTCATGGCCGAGAATATGTCGCCGGCCTTGCAGCTGTATATTGCGATGAGGGCGGCTGACCATTTGAGTTTGCTTGAGCCATGTGATGCTTTAACTTGATGCCTTTCCACATCCCACAGATAGGTCATCAGACAGCAAAATTGGAGAGACGGAAGGGAATATGGCACAATTCTACAAATTCTGAAAGGCTCAGCATCATCGAGGGGCGTGTAATCGATCCAAATGATAGAATGCTCAATATCAAGTGGAACTAGAGATTCCTACCGATTCCTAACTATACTAATGATTGGATTGTGCACCAAGACTTTCCTCTGGGGTTACTGCACTCCCATACTTCTCTTCGTATTTACCTCTTGGCGTCCGCGGTGGGACCCTTGGTTGATCGATCTCGGTCAGGCGGTGGATTACTGGCGCCGGGCGCCGTGGAAACACGCCGTCCTCGAAGAGGCGGGCAGCACTGGACTTGCAAACATCCAGAGGCTCAACACCGGACTGTAACAGCCTATCCACAATCTTCTGAGCGCCAGGATCTGTGGTAGCCTGGGCATACATGATGGGTGTCCAAGAGCTGTCGAACCCTTCGTCCACGTCCAGTCGGCCGCCCCAAGGTGAGCTGAGGCCAAACGGCCCCAGAGGCATGTCACAGGGCATGCCGATACTCAGCAGGATATCGAAGGCCTCAAGGTTGCCGTACGTGCATGCCAGGAGCATGAGGCGCCGGAAGTCTTTGGTTGTTTGGAAGTTGATGACGGTCGAGATCTTCAGCAGCCCGGATTCTTGCAGGAGGAAACGGAAGACCTTGTTGGCACGTACCTTGACAGCCAACTCAGCTTCAGCAACCCAACTATAAGAGGCATGACGGCCTCTGTGTGCTCCGGCATCCAGCAGTATGCGAAATACCTCGGCGCTGTCGCCGAGCGCGGCTGCACGGGTACGGTTGATATTCGCGTCCGCGGGACCCTTGCACTGGACGGCTACGCCTTGGTCTAGCATCCATCTCACCATTGCGACGTCCCCGCGCCAGCAAGCCAAATCGATCGGCCTAACATGATTCCAGAATTGACCTATCGAGTTTGATCTGACCAACGTCGACCACGCAGTCAAGAACTCCTGATGCCCGTACTCAACAAGCAGGTCCATGAAAGCGATCTCGCCATACATTGCCGACCAATACCAGGCTTCCCCTAGGCTGTCCAGCGGCACGGTCTGATGCCGCGATCTTGTGAATTCCAGCAGGCGTCTCGCCATTTCCAGATGTCCCCATCTGGCGCAGCTGCAGATCGCGGATTCGATTAGATCCGAATCTCCATCGTACCACTCCAGGAGGTATTCCATCATGTCAAAGTCATTGTTCGAGGCGGCCATATGTATAACCTGATGTTGTGAGGCCGACGGTTGACACAGAGGGTCTTCGACGAATCGACGAACAAGGTGGAGTTGCCGGGATCTGACTGCAGCGTATAGCGCTGTACCGAAGACCCCAGCCTGGTACCAACGGTCTGGCATCTGACTCAGCAGCGGTTCATAGATCTCTGGCTTCTTCAACAAGATAGCTGCAGGCAAGACGTGAGCATGCAGCGGTTTTTGACTGATGGGCCTCTTCAGGCATTGCACCAGATAGAAGCCATGCCTAGTCGGCCTGAAGTCGTCGAACGATTCACACAAGGAGCGTAGAGCATCAGATCGGGCCGAGGGCTGAAGCTGCAGTTCGTCAAGAACCCTTTTGAGCAGCGCCGACAAGTTTGCAGTCCAGTCAGGGTCATGCTTGATGTAAGGCTCACGCTGCAAGAATCTCACAAGGAAAGGGATGATCGGGTTTTGCCTGGCTCTGTTTCGTGAGCTGATGCGGTTCAGATTCAAGCAGCGGAGTGGTGAGTTGAGATCGAACACATCTACGGTCTCCAAGCAGCCCAGTATCTCGTTGTCAAAGATCTCTATAGAGTTTAATGTCAGATGCTATTAGACTTCCAGTAGTGTGAGTTCACCCACTGCATACCCGCCTCAGATGTAGTGAGCGCAGAGGACTAAGTTCCGTGACAACGGCTACTAGCACTGCGCGAAACAGCTCGGTTGGTAGATCCAGCAGCTGCATGATGGTGACAGGAGTGAATACCGAGGGGCTTCGCGCTACGATGGGCCGCAAGTCGAGAGCATGTCATGCGACTGCGGTGGTAGTGCTACATCGTTCCAGATTCCTTGATTCTTGTTACGTCCGCAGTCTCCGCAGTCAGCCGCTGGCTGGAGTGGACGGGTGCCTGGCCTAGCGTGCCCAGCCCTCTATGAGCTTATACAGCGGGGCAAAATTTTCCCGGGACTGCCGGTGTAGCCAACCGGCTTTAGCCCGCAACTCAGGGGATATGTTACTCGTCGACACTTAAGACTTGAGCATGCAGAAGAGAAATTTACAGGTGCTTAGGCCAACTTGGCACTTTGAGGTTACCTACTTTCTTGCCAGCCTCAAAGTCTTAATGTTTTTCTTAGAGGAAATGAGAGTAGGCCTTGAAAGTCAGTCTCAGCACCTGTGTGCTATAGGGCGCATTCGGATCATCTAGATCTCTGTATGGATGAGCTATCCTATGCTAATCTAACATATATGCGTTAGCAAGGGACCAGAGACGGTTGCAATCTACTCTATTCGTCTATACAGTTGTTTGACTGACTGATACTGACCACTTTTGTATGCGCAGCAGATAGGTGCCTCTGAGCAGTGGGCTAGTCATCTCTGGGAACTGTTGAACAGTTTTCGGGGCGATGCACTACAGGATACTTAACTATCCACGCACTACCACCTTGCTTAGTGCCAGTGCCCTAAAGAAGAGGGAGTATGCTGAGTGCGCCAGCCTGTACATGGTCTGTAATGTGGTCTGCGTCCAGAGACGGCGAAGTTGTCGATGGAGGAAGTGAAGCACTCGTTGGTTTAGAGATCTTGACTTATAGATCAACGAATCCCCAGGGTTGTGTCGCTACCCTGGGTGATGATCTGTTGCTTTTGAATCCGAAAGGTAGTTCACGCTCAGGTTGACTTGAGCCCAGATCAGCTCTAATACTGCCTTGAGTTCGAGCCCGTGGTCAATCTAGTGGACACGGAGAAACAAATTGACCATTTGCTTCGACCCGCACACTAATCGCAAGCAGATCTTGAGACCCGACATGGATCTGAAGCTCGGTGCGCTTTCACTCCCACGTGGTGCTTCAAGTGTGAGATCGTGATGGTTTTGCCAACAAAATTAGGCGAAGAGTCATATGATCGTACCTTGTACTCAGTCAGACGGGGTTCGGATCGGAAGGCCGCGGTCGGATCGGATCCACAGCGGCAGCTCACGGCTCAGCGAAGGCAGAAAATGTCTGAGTGGGCTGGTTATTACTTAATTGAATACCTACCTAGGTACGCCAGCAGAGTCCCATGGCTGCCCAGTGCCTTGGTCGTGTCGTCGTGGACGTGGTGGCTGGGTGGGTTTTGCCAGGCCACGTTCCAGCACGTAAACAGGCGACTGGCAGGAAAATTTAGCGAGAAAATTCCACACCCGCGGGCGCTACGAGGTTGCCTCTAAGGGCATGCGCTGCCGACACTCTGCACGGTTTACCTTAATACGCTGCCTCCCATTCTGAATTCTGGAGCGACAAAAATAGCTGTGCCCCTGGAACTTGCCTTGTTTGCTGTTGCCTCTGCAAGGAATTTTCTTCGAAACACTCAATTGACTTGCAGTTAGGTAATCGTGAGACGCCTCCTGGTCACCTCGTGCTTCTGGGCCAACATGTAACTACGTATCCGAGCGGTGAAAACGGTGGTACGACAAAACTCGAGAGAGTCACACGCATGATCGAGGTGGCTGCTTCTGTTCTAGTGCAGCTCGCAGGCTGGTTGCGTCGGGGATCTCGAAATTATCGTGACAAATGGCGGAAGCGTCTGGTACGTTGATGATGTTATTTCCATCCGACAGCAAGGTGGAAAACTAGGATTGCGTGTGATGACAGCCGCTCCCGCTCGGATCGCAGGTGGCCTGGGTGGTTACAGGGAGCTGAAAATTCTGCTAAGGGGCGTTCATTGGCGCTGGGCCGAACCTGAATCACAATCCATGATGGATCCGATGCTAGGCCGAGCGCGTCCTGGGCCAGGCGTCGTTACAGCGCTATGCCGCTAAGGGATCGAGGGCCATCTCGTCTTCCCGCTTTCGGACCCACAAGGCGTCGGCTTGCATCGCCTCAGCTGCAGGGCGCGTCCAGCGATGACTAACAGGTGAGAATTGTTCAACCCACGATGACGGGAAAATTTTCAGAGCAAGGACGCAGAAACAGGTAATAGAATGGAGTGAGCTAGGTATAAGTAGAGGCGGGTCCTCGTGGAGGAAATGGGGTGGAGTCAAGATAAACAAGCAATTCAATCATCACATTCACATCTCCGTCAACAGACCAGCTCTATAAGACACTTCCAGTGCTTCAAGCTACCTAGCAACCCAATCAGATCACTCAGCTGTTCAGTCCTACAAGACCCACACTCTTATACTCTTGTCACACACCCAAACACACACACAACCAACCAAAGAAACAATGTCTCCCTCCAGCACCTCCTTCACCAAGACCGCTCAGGACGCCTGGGCTGCTGTCAAGCGCCACGCCAAGGAGCACCACGAGTCCACCAACGCCGCATACGCCGCCTACTACGGCGCCGTCATGACCCCTACCACTGTTGCTCCCGCGCCCAGCCGCCGCCCCTCGTCCACGGCATCCACTGAGCCCCGCCGCTCGTCCGTCGACAAGGCCTGGAGCAAGGTGAAGAAGCACGCCCGTGAGCACCACCAGGGCGTCACTGCCGCTTACACCACCTACTACGGCATCGGCACCTCCCGAACCCAGACTCCTGCCTCTTCTACTGAGAACTCCCCCCGTGTCTCGGTGGACCGCGAATAATCGGCCAGAGAAAGAATCACTCTTCATATTTTTTTCAGCGAGGATTCCGCTACTTCCTGGCGAAGTATGAACCTAAAGGAGTCTTTGCATAGACTATGATTTTGATCTTATACTGGCATTAGAATTCGGGAAGCGAATACCCTGGGAATTGGAAAACTAAAAGTTATTTGATTTTTACACATACACATATACATAATGCAGAACCATCTAGACTAATTTAAAAGAAAGGACAGTGCAGCCAGCATTGGACCATAAAACAAGCTACTTTGAGTGCGAGTTCACTTTTCCAACGTAAATCTAAATTGTGACATAAGTGCGATCTTTCTTTGCTCGGATTTCCGCTTCTGACAGAGTGGTGCGGCTGGCAAGTACTGGCAGATGAGCGTGCAGAATTAGCAGACGATGGGACGCAATGTGTTTCGCGATTGATTATCCGCATCCTGAGCTATAATCATTACTTTCGGAACGCTGAATATAGGTACGACCTTGCGGGTGTAAGGCTGAGTCTATATGAAGTCCCTATCTCATGCAGCCCCTATTGCGCGAACATTGCAAACAATCCGCTATGTTGATTCCGTAGACAAATGGCCCGATGGCAATGGCGAGACGTCGAATAGAGGCACGGAGCCACAGCTCGAACTAGGATCGACGAGGGCCACAAAGCTTATTCAGTGGGTCGTTCAAACAACTCACTCGCGACATGATTCGCTCAAGCAGACCAAGAACTTACTAATACCGGAAATGTTGCCTGAAAAGACGTGCGAATCCACTGGAGTGAACAATCTAAACTCGGAATGAAAAGTAAGTTGTTCTTTCCCTGTGAAATGAATGTCTTTATCTCGACATACATAAAGCTCCTTTTGTGTGTCTCTTAACATTAACAAGGAATGGCAATCAATTGACTAGCAAGATGCTTCAGCTCATTCAACAACGAGTGTTTATTTATACAAGTCAAGAGCATATGACTAAATGAATGTCCCGATGTCTGACTCATTCCTAGCTACCGGATTTGTCTGCTGCTAAAGTACTTTTGAAGTGTATTTTCAGTCAGTTTCCTGAAGACTCAAATCATCCCTGCTAGCCAAGCTCGGTGTTGAGTTTGAAAACACCTGTTCAACCCGAACTCTCCACCATGGAATGAAGATCAATCATCCTTGTCAACAGGGCACTCAGTGTAGAACTCGGCATTGTACCCATTTTCTTTGACAGTGTCATTCTTGTAACTGTGTTGACCAAACTTTGCCGTGGCCCAACCTTGCTTGTCGGACGGGTAGTGTCCATCATCTCCATGCTGAATTTTGATATCAACAGGATTGCCATTATTTTCAATCAAGAAGGGAATTGTCGCATTCGCCAAGCTGTCTCTTGTACCTGTTGTCCATACAATTGTGGTATTGTCGGTTGCTGTAACCTTTCCCTGCATGCTCTGAGAAACAGGATGTCTAGGATCTAGCATGAGGGACCCATTGGGTGATGTCAAGTCGATTTGACCCCAATCTGAGCCAACCGTGAACGTGCCATGCGTCGAACGTGACGGCATTTTTAGAAGTGTGTGGGTTTAAGAGCTAGAAGGTGATGTTATACAATTGATTCATTGTTCTCTAGGATCGGTGGTTGGCCTCTGCCTTTATATAGACATGATGTCGGGGGTAGTGGAATTCGTCTTCCTCTTGTGAAGATGCACATCTTTCTAGGAAAGTTTTCGAGACCATATCTATACATCAACCCCGCCAGAACCCTCGAAGTTAGTGAGTAGCTCCTTCGGTATGATTGGTTCAAATAAAGGTTTTATATAAGTAGGTTACGCTTTGTTGACTGACACGACGTTCGAATATCTTGGCTCATAACTTTTCACGGCATTTCCCCTCCGTTGAATGAGAAGCGCACGTTTCACAGTCAAACTTTTCCCCAGCCTAAAGTCTGTCTTCAGGAAAAGAGAATTCGCGGTGATTTCTCGTTTAGAAATATGTTGATCAAGCCTTGAATTGTAGCAATTCAATGACAGAGCTGTTTTTCGCCTCTTCCACCACAATTACGCTTTGTTTCCCTGAGCCAGCCGGGCATGGTATGTGTACCGCTCAGACGACAACCCAATTTGACAATCCTAACGAAGGCGGATCATAACTCTATGGACCTTTTCGTCCTGCTCTGTGGTGCTACAGTCCAGGTAAATGAGCGTGAACGAAAGATTACCTACTGTTCTGACGATCTCTTGCTCAAGAAATAACAGGGTCTCAACTCTGTTTAGGGATCTGCCGGTCAAACTCACTACGAAACCATATTCAAGTCTGGATGTATTGGGCGAAATGTCGGTTGTGTGCAGTACCATAGTTGACTTTCTTTCTGAAGCCTCTAGGCTACAACATCTTTCTGCCTAACCCTGTTGAATGCTGTAGACCGAGTCATTGCTATTCGCTAGAAAAATTATCTGGCTTCATCGGCTGAAAGAACCACGTCACTGCACAAACCACACCATTGGAATTCACATTTGGTATGATTTGAATCAAACCTGGCCTTCGGCCTGTTTGTCATTTATGAAGTCTATTGCCATGGGTGATGTGTGGGGCACAGGGATTGGATAATCATATCAAGGTTCTGCCATCCGGGAGGAACCCACATCGGGCTGACACATGCTTAATCGATATGGACCTGGAATCTTGGCATTCACTGGAGATACGAAGCATTCAGGTTAAGGTTGCACACCGGTTTATGTCATTTACATCGCCACTGAGCCTCTGTTTGGACTGCCGGGCCATACCAAGGCGGAAGGCAAACTCCTGATCACTGCTCGCTCGGGGCTTGTTCTGCGTTACCGTTGGACTGCGTATTTCCGAGGTCCCAATTACAAAGGGCAATGTGTACTGGAGTCGTCTAGGCGGTCAAAGTTCTTCAGACCCGAAAGTATCGTCTTTGCTTCTGCTTTGTTGGACGAGGCATGGCTATCGTTGCAAGCATCAGAATACGATCTGTGTCGTGTGCGGAGCTTTCGCGCAGCAGCCACAAGGATAATTCAATGCTATGGCATGCTCTAAGATGTTGGCACTCTTGACTTCTATTCCATGATGCACAGAAGCTCACATACCTATCGGGCACTCTGACAACTAGGAGACGTCTTGAATCTAAACGTCTCCGGCCGTTACGATGGAAAGAATAGTATGCACTGGCGTCAGGGTCTCCTTCCACTTTCAAGACCTTCATAATCCATGGGGTAATTGGATCAGTGGTCCTGTCCCTTGGACATTGCTTGCCCTCTCACATACGGCGGCGGAACTTCCCCAACCCCACCCACCATGAGCTCTTCGTTCGTTTCAATCCTCTCATAGTCCGGCAATGCGTTGTCCGGGCTAGCTTCATTCCATGTGCCCAATAAGTCCTCAGGAGGCATCTCCAGGTCTTGGCCTAGTTGTGCGAACCTAGCCGAGTACTCTCTCAGCGTATCCTCGCCTTCCCCGAGCCACTCGATCAGCTGATCGCGGCGTTGCTGCACCTCTTCCCGGGTTGACGTCGAGGCCGTGACTGAGTTGGGGCCACCAGTATAGGGCGGGACATCCGAGGCAGAGTACGCCGGCAGCTCCGGGTCTGTGGTTGATGCTCCCGTACCCGACGCAGTCGCTGGAGGGGCAGACGGGTCAGCTGCTGTATCTGCGCGCGCCGTGTGCCCATAGCGCTGAAGCCACAGATTGTGCTCCCGCAGTGCCGCACGCAGCTGATCAAGCTCCGCAGCCAGCGCCGGGATCAGCCGCCGCAGGTCATTGTATGCCGACTGTAACTCCGATGTGGACGAAGATGCTGAAGGTTCAGCACGGGCCGATCCGCCCGATCCACCTGAAGCCATCGTCCCAAAAGGCAAAGAAAGCGCAAAGACAGCGGCCGCGGGAGGTGGACACGAGTCCCTGGGGTCTGCAGATTTCAGGATTTCAAAAGAGAGGGTAGGTTTGTATAACCCGTAGGCTTTGCTTTGGATGACGTCCCACTTGGGCTTATTGAATGTCCAGGTAGCCCAAGTCACATGAGGTGCCCCGGCTTGTGGGGCGCTGGCAGAATGTCAGGAAGGCGGTGTAATTGCCGCTGCGAAACGACGCAGCAAGTTCGAAAGACAGCAATGCTGCTCGTGAGTTAAATGGCCATGACCAAACTACATCATTATGCTTCCAGATGTATACGGAGCCCGTACTTGTGGGAGATCGGTTCCCAACCGGATCAATAGGCGGCAGTATCGCTCCACACGGTTGGAGCCCGGCCCCCGATGTTTCACATGTAATGTGGATGGTTTGAACAGGGGCTGGCAGGTTGACATAGGGCTCGCACCACTGTGCTTTGTCATCAGCTTCGCTCTCAGGGGAGTTCGGTTCCATAAAGTACACAACACATGGTGTTGATTCGAAAGGCGGTATGATAAGTGGTCTGAATTGAGTTTCCGAGAAGGCCATTTATGTGCCTCTAGCTAGCTAAAGTGTCAACGCGCCGATTCTTAAGAGCAGCCTCAAACACACATCAGTACTTTAGACCCGATGGCCTCTCTTTTCTATAAGTACAGCTCTCAGTTCTGCACCACAATAATTTAATCTGGCAGCCCGAATAATATCATCGGTGATTTGGACTTGGTCTCCTCCTTTTTCGAGCAGCAAAGCCATCGTATCTGCACCACCATTCCAACGTTTGGCGGCTGCATGAACAACCTCGTTGGTGATCTGGACCTGGTCTACTCCTTTTTGAGAAGCACAGCCATTGTCATATAGCCATAAACATTGTTGGCGGCAGCCTTAAGCATCTTGTTTGTGATTTGCACCTGGTCTCCTACTCTTTCGAGAAGGACGGCTAAGAGCTCGCCGCCTCGATAATTCTCGATGGCAACCTCAAGTAATTCCTCAGAAATTTGGACCTGGTCTCCTCCCTTTTTGAGGAGTAGAGCCATTACCTCTGGGCCATGATGATGATTCCAGGCAGCAGCCAGAACCACCTCCTCGGTGATCCGGACCTGTTCTCCCTGCTTTTCAAAAAGGAGAGCTAATATGCCCTCATCAAATCTCCGGGCTATTACTTGAATTACCTCCTCGTTCAGAATTTGGTATCCTTTTTTTTCGAGTAGTGAAGTCATCGTCTGTCGGGCCTGAAACTCGCTGCTAACGGCCTGAACTAGGATGCTCGTAATTTGGACTTGCCCTCCTCGTTCTTCCAGTAGCAAAGGGAATACGCAGTCAAACCTATTCCAAGCAGCCCTTTCAAATATCTGCTGGGTAATCGGGACCTGCTCTCCTCGGTTTTCCAGAAGGAAAGCCATCATCTCTCTGGCGCCCGACCTATTCTTAGCGGCACACAGGACTACCTGCTCGGTAATTCGAATCTGTTCTCCTCAGAGTTCCAGAAGCAAAGCCATCACTTTTAAGCCCCAAATACCATTTTCAGCAACAGCTTGAACTACTTACTCAGTGATTGGGAGCCGCTCTCCTCGTTTTTGCAAAAACAAAGTGATGATGTCACCACCGTAACGAAAGGTTTTAGCAGCTTTCTGAACGACCTTCTCGGTAATCTGGACCTGTTCTCCTCGCTTTTCGAAGATCAGATTCATAAAATCTCTCCTGTCCTCGAGATCTCCCGCAGCAACTATCAGCGCATCTTCGGATACCGATATTTCTTCTATGTCCAACAAACTGGACCAAAGTTATATATCTCCATACTCAACAGCGCTGGTGAGACAGTTTCTGCCCTCATTTTCTTTCAGCGAGATACCATGCTGTTTCTCTGCCTCGACTATCTCAAACAGATTGTACGTACTTGCTACGACCAGCTTGGATGGGCCGTGAGCCTGATAGTTGCGTATTTTCCGTTGCGTACAAATATCGACATCCGAGGAGGTCTTGAACTGATGCCACAAAACGAATGCTGAATCTGTAGCAGTGTCTGACAAGAAATCCTGCATACGCTCGTACAGGGAGCCCTGTTTCCTGTGTTCACCGGCAGCTTGGTAGTGTTCTGCCCAGTAGGTATTTGCATATCGCTGGATATCTTCTAAGCGAGCCACGGCAAAGGTTGTTGTGTCAGAGTTATCTGAAATAACAGGCTTCGTCCAACTCATTAGTGCCCAGCGACAGCAATCAGCCACTATACTGTTGGTTGCCATCTGATTGAAATTGTAATCGTTCTCGAGAAACTCTCGGACTGACAAGTGCGCAAATCGAAAACTGTCCTGTGTTGAATCGAAGGTAATCAAATTGTGACAAAGTTGCAATATTTGGCCCTTGGTGACGGCCGATGGCGGATGGTCTGGAATGATTGATACTGCTGCGAGGAACTCATTCAAACTGAGTCGCCTCCGGCCACAAAGCAACCATACCAGCGTGTTTCGGGCATATTGTCGATCAGCATCAGCGGTGTACGCTCGAATTTTGTCAAGAAGCTCCTGGTACAGGGCTTCTAATGTGGGCGGTAACCGTCCGAGACGTTCCCGGACAGCTGCATCACTCACTTGATCGCAGAGAAGCTGCAATTGCAAGCTAGCCCAGCGGAACCTATGTATTATCATTCAATAACTTGAGTTTCTCAAAACACTTTGCACTAGAACTTACATGCCCTGGGCACCATCGGTGACGTCCTCCACAATTTTTGCAGATAACTCAATCCTACTCGTGCTGGATCGAAGGAGTTGTCCTCTTGCGATAAGTTGATCCGTTTCCGACTTGACGAAGTAAGTGATGTCCTTTGAGTTCAATCTAGATGAAAGCTCTAGGCCGGGATAGACCTGCAGCTTGCAGACGATGTCCTGGTCGTCTCGGCTGGACACAAATATCTTCACGAGGGTAGTAGATTCGAGAAGGATATATTCCAGGCAGTCGAGTAATTGCCGCCTTGTGTCGGTACGGCACTCATCAAGTGCATCAATGATAATGGTAGCTGTGGGGAACTTCTCCAGTAGCTGCAAAAGCAGGTCACGGCTATCTTTCAACCCCAGGCTCCCAGCTGCGAAACCCTCGTCCTCATGAGACTGGTACGTGCTGATTGTTGGTTGGAGAAGCGGCTTGCCCGGGTCAAGCGAGGATAACTGTCGTACAATACTCGCCATGATACATGCCGGGTCCGAGCGCTCTGGCTCAGCAGGGTTGCGTGAGCAGTAGAAGTACGCTGGCTGGGGAGCTTGTTGTCTCTTAAAGGCTTCAATCCCATCTTCGACAACCAAGGAGCTGTGGCTGTCAGTTAATGTGTTCTTGGTTGATATAGCGCAACGTACGTTAGCTTGCTTTTTCCTGAGCCTAGAATGCCGTGTAGCCATAGGATCGACGATGCACTTTCCTCCTTCCATCTCTTGAACGTGGGATGTGATAAAGCCACTGCCCAGTGCCTTCGAGAAAGGTTTCCCGTTGGGCTTTGTGGTACTTCAAATAAGGTTCTCCTGAAAGCCACTTGAGTATGTCTGCTCTTTTGGATCCTAGAATCATATTAGAGAATTTCATAGGAACATGTGTATGGCAACTCTACTGTCTAATTCGTCTGTGATTTTGTTCAACTTGTCATCCCAGCGACTGAATGGCCCATCAAACTCGTCAAGGGCCACGCGGAGATTGTCCAACTTCGTCAGTTGTGCTGAGTCCTGTGAGTATGTGTTTGGACTTCCTTGAAGAGCCACTCACCTTGTACGCTGGCTATTTGGAAGCATGTCTGTACATCCGCTTGTGCGTCCGTAATCTTGTCAAAGGAGATTTCAAGGTCCGACGTAGAGAGAGTCAAGCTCCTCAGAATCCGCTCTGCTCGTGTCAGTATGTCTCTGGAGGGTATGTACCCCTACTCACTTCTGGTTGACTGCTCCCAGTATGCCTTGGTACGTGCTAGGTACATAATGGTAGCGCTATGGAGCTTTATAAGTGCTCTTTCGAGCTCAGAGGCCGCAGCTCGTGGGGTGTGAGCAAGAAGTTCCTCCATCAACGCACTGCGGCATAGCTGCCGTACGATTACCGGTATCTTCTCAACAAGGAAGTCGTAGGTCTTGAAATCATCGATACAAATCTGCCGAGATCAACTGGAGAACTGAGCGATTATAGGAAAGGCGGGAATACCTGAAGAATAAAACGCACACCGGCCCAGGGAAGGGCAGCGTGGGCGGGATCATACTGCACCACGGCATCGCCAACGGCGACAAAGTGCTTGATCCATCTGGCTACCTTCGCAAGCACGTCCCGGACGATCACCCTCTCCCCGCTCTTTCTCTTGAAACTCCAGGCTTTCGCCTCACAATGCTTCTGAGCGACGTCGGTTAAACTCAAGACCTGCTCGACAATATCCAGTTGGTCGTGACCGTCAAAATCAAGGTAACTCTTGTCATCTGGGTCTAGATTGGCGAGTGCTTGGTGCCATAAGTCGCGACTAAAGATTTCAAAGTGGGGATTGGCCACTAATGAACTGTGTGCTATAGGAAGTCTAGTTCCCAGCGGGTTTTACCTTTCAACTCGAAGAACCATGGCAGACTGCATAAGAATCATGGTAATACGATAATCAAGTGCCTACAGACAGACTAGTACCTAGGTTGAAGTTGTACAGAAAGCGCGGTCTTGTGTTACCGGCGGAAGCAGAGGCGCATTCAGCGAAAATCAGGCTGCAAGGCGTTTCAGGGTGCCATTGGACAGTCAGGAGACCCAGAGGCTGGCATACACGTGACACTGATTGCATACTCCACTCAACGTGGTTCCTATCTTCTTTAATTTTACGGCAATTCAACCCACCGAGAAGGCGTTCTGACTTGTTGAAAGGGTCGAGCATACGGCTGGAATCTATAGTCGTACCGCCAGATGCCGCGGCCATCTTAGAAGCCTCTAGCAAACGTATAGAGGCCACTCAACGAGATGGGTCCCCTCTTTGATACCGAGATGAGCTGCGTAGTCGAAACCTCAGAACAAGATTCGACTCAGGCACCAGCTCTTGGCGTTGTGTGCTCTCAGCAAATTAGTTTTCATGAGAAGCTGCAAGGCATATAGCGCCCGAGAGAATGAAGGGATATTGCAACGGACTATGGCCACTAAATGAACTACATATCCCCTACAGGAACATGAATGAATATACGGGTGCCACTCGTTGGGCCGAAATGGAAATACTTCCGCCTGGGGCCGGATAGACGGGGTACAGCTAGGTGCGCTGGCAACAGCAAAGTCTCTTGCCGCAGCATGAGCTTGATCGGACCCACGGGGATCGTAGCAATATTTACCCTGCGATCTTATGCAACTATCTTCGGAGGCTTGGGCTTCTGAGGAAAAGAATTTGATCAAGGCAACCATGGCTGCTGTCATAGGCAAATCAGTATCCTGCTTCTGATTACTCGTAGTCTGGCGCGTGAGCAAGTCATATGTGGGGGGCATGAGGTCTCAAAGTGGGTGGACAATTGAAAGCTCCATGTCACGACGAGACCACGGGAATATACCGAGCAAAGTAAAAAGTGAGATGAACTTCTCATTGATGCTTTACAGACAAAAGAAAAGTGTCGCCTCTAGTCTTCACCAGAATCCGTGTCTGCCCTTGCACCATTTGCCGCCTCGGACTTTTTTGCTTCTAAAGGTTGTAAGTAGTAGACATATACACACATCTGCCCACCCGGGAGGATGGGCAGCCTCGCGCCCCTGTGCTCCGGCGGCCGTCAAGGAAAAAAAGAAAAGGGCCCCCTCTTCGTCCAGCTCCAATTAGTCGGGTCCATTGACGCTTTCCAGAACCGAGTCTGCCGAGGGTATCTTATCATATTTCCTGGTGCACGCTTATTTGGCCTGCTCCGGGTACAGGTCCTCCTTCAGCAGGACGCCGAGCTCCTCGCGCAGGGGCTTGAGCTCGTCGAGGTACTGCTGGTACTGGCCCTTGTTCTCGACCTTGGCCTTGATGCCCTCGAAGATGCGCACGGCGGTGGGGTAGTCGTTGACTCTGCGGGCGGCCTTGAGGGCGGCGATGATGACTGAGGGGGAGGGGACGAGATCGTAGGCGAAGGCGTTGTTCAAGTTGCGCTGCAGTGGAGGGGTAGTGGTCAGCATCCTGTCGCCTAGAGCTTATTGGAGGTCTGGTGGTATGTCGTGTTGCTGTGTCATGTTGTGTCGTGCTGCAGTCTTGGGAAATATGACGCACGAGCCGGAGCTGGGTGCTGGAACCATCGTACGATGGGCCGAAAAATGGAGGCGCGGATGACGGGACGAGAAGTCGCTTACCTGCAGCTCGAAAACATCTTGCACGCCCTCGAATTCCTTCTCGTATCTGTAGAAAGCATCCGGTCAGCCATTGATGTCGTCGTCGATGGGTGTGCCGCTCAATTGGGGCGATGTCCAAGCTTCCGACGCGCGAGCCCTCTCCCCGAGAGGGTCCGAGGTGGAATTGGAGCTCGAAGGCAGCAAGCCAGCAAGCGGGCGCTGTCCGCCATCGCGCACCCATTGGCGTCCCAGAAAGGGCATGCTCACCTGGCAGTGAACTCCTCAAAGGTCTCCTCGGCGTGCGGGTCGCTGCGGCGGGCGACGGTGGTGCTGAAGTTGAGGCTCGAGCCGGCAATCAGGGCCGGGACGACGAGGCCAGCGCGGCTGGGGGCGACGGGGCGGTAGGCGCGGAAGAAGGCGGTCGAGGGCCCGCGGGCGACGGTGCGGAGGATCGAGGTCGAGGCCATGGCGAGGGCAGCGTGCGGGTGCCGGTGGATGATGGTACGTATGTGTGGTGATGTCGACGGGGGACGGGGCTTTCGAGACGGGCAACGGGCAGCAACGGACGGAGTCGTGAGAATTGGTTTGGAATTATCGTGGCTCAAAAGGCTCGCCCAAGGAGAAAAGGAAGTCGCTCAATGCGCGGCCGCTGATTGGCCGGCGGGGGGCGGTAGTGGAGCTAGGGGGAGCTTTTCGCTTTTTCTGCTGGTGCTCAAGCCACAGCTGGCACTGGCGGTCCCGGCTGCACAGGCGGCACAGCTTGTCATCATCAGGCCACTGATCACCCCCAAGCAGCCCCAGCTCTCCCGCTGTTTGTGGCACTGGACTGCACCAACCAGCTTGGGAGGCTTCCGGGTTGGGGCTGGTGGCTCTCCAGACTCGACTCTTGGACAACCAGAGCTGCCAGACTGCCAGGCTGCAGAGGTGCTGCTGTAGGTGGTCAATGCAGGACATCTCGGCATCTTCCTGCACTGTGTACCGTCTACTATGTAACTCGTACAGAGAGTATGGATGCCCTCCGTGGATGTGGCGGTGCGAGCAGCGAACCGTCAAGCAACAAGTTGACCCAATGGAACGACGCTTCCAACCGTTCGGCTCACCAACGTCATGTTGTCGTATCGTGGTCCTTCCCCCAAGCACGCCCTGGCGACGGGAAACCAATTGACTTTCAAGCCTCACACCATCTTGAATCAACGAATGCTCGAGAATTCGAACATGCCATCTCATAGACTCATCATAGGACCAGTCTACTACACACTATTAATTCGTAGATCTGTTGAAAGACATCCACAGGAGTAGGTGTAATTACAACCCGATGGCAGCTCCTATCCAGCCTGTTATCATATGCTCTTGGCCTGCAGATCCACATTACTGCTAAGTTATGTTACGTCTTTTTTTCATCCGAGGTTATGGCAGCTGGCTGTTTAGGGGGGACTTGGGAGCCACTGGCAAGACTGGGGACTGGTACTGGGGACTGGTGACCGGGATTGGGGCTCTGGATGCCAATTGGAAAGCCCATTGTTTGGCTGACCTGTCCTGTCGTCCTGGTCCTGCTGTCACATGGATGGGCCCTGGTCTCAACCATCGACTCTCCAGACAGAAAGTCAGATGGATCTGATCCGATTCCCTGTCGGCAAGGTCGGCCAACCACGGTCTGCCGGTCTGCCCGCCGCAACGGTTCGCATCGCGTCAACCAGAACGGACAGCAGACAGACGCAACCCAGCTGTTTCGGCTCGGTCTTTTCTCGTCCATCCTGCTCAGCGGTACATAGTATTCTTCCAAAGTAACTGTCACGTGGCGCCGAGATTGAAGATTATCACCACGGCCTGTGATTGGCTCGGCACGGCCCCTGAGGACATTTTGTTATGCAGCAGCGCAAATTACCGTGGCCAAGTTAACTAGCTGGGACCCAGAAAAAAGACGCTGGGAGTGCAGAACACGCACCTGCTAAAAACGCCGTCGGCCGGTTCGCTCGCGGGGTGTCTGGGCCCCGAACGGCGCCCATTTGGCCATGCCCACATGCGCCCAAGCCCGCTAATCGACAGCGACCGACAGGGGCCGACAGGGCCCGACAGGCGCAGACAGGCGCACGGCTGGGCTGACGACAGGGGGCTCGAGGGGCCTGTCAGCCGGATGGCACGCCATGACAGGCCGGGAAACTTCTGAAGGGGGAAAAAAAATAACAGACTACCCAGACTACGACAATTTCCCCTTTTCGTCGGCCTGCCCTTGGGACGACACGACCTTTAGTCCTCCTCTTCCCCCCCCCCCCCCCCCAGGTAGACAGACTTGTTAGACTTCTCTTCTGCATTCCCCCGTTCCTTCAGCACGCACGCCACGCACGTCGGGTTGATGGTCTGATTGCGAAGCACCGTCTCTCCTCTTCTTTCCGTTTTTCTTGCTCTCTTCTTGTCACTCCTTCGACGGGCCCTTTTTCATTCCCACTCTGCTCGAGACAGACGACCGACGCGACCTCGCCGCCGTCCTTGTCGTCCTCGCCCACCGTCTCGCGCGCGACCTCAGTTCCAGTTCGAGGCGCCCTTTGTTCTCTCTACTCCCCTGGACCTCTCCCTCGGCATCTGCACATCGACCCCAGTCGGCGCCATGGCGACCTCACCCCCCGCGGCTCTCTACGAGTCGTTCCCCATCCCGACCATCGACCGGCCCTTCGGCATCCACCTCTGGCCCATCTTCAATAAGGCCTTCGAGTATGTCGCCGGCTACCCTGCCGACGACTTCAAGTTCGTCGCCGGCGAGACCCCCATGTCGACCCTGAAGGAGACCTCCATCTTCGTTGTCATATACTACATTGTAATCTTTGGTGGACGCGAGCTGATGCGGAACCGCGAGCCCTTCAAGCTCAAGTCCCTCTTCCTCATCCACAACTTCTACCTGACCGCCATCAGCGCCAGTCTGTTGGCCCTGTTCATTGAACAGCTCCTGCCCACCATCGTGCGCAGGGGGCTCTTCTTTGCCATCTGCGACCACGATGGCGGCTGGACCCAGCCCCTGGTTGTCCTGTATTACGTACGTCTCCCCGCGCGCCCTGTTTGCGCCTCCGCTCCGCGAGCTTGATGTGCTGACACGCCCGCAGTTGAACTACCTCACCAAGTACCTCGAGCTTCTGGACACCGTTTTCTTGTTCCTCAAGAAGAAGCCCCTGAGTAAGCTTTGCGCCGATCCCCCGACAAGTTCCGTCAGAAGACTCGTTGCTAACAGATGCTGCCAGCCTTCCTCCACTGCTACCACCATGGCGCTACTGCCGTTCTCTGCTTCTCCCAGCTCCTCGGCCACACCTCCGTCTCCTGGGTCGTCATCTCCCTCAACCTGGCCGTCCACGTCATCATGTACTGGTACTACTTCCAGAGCGCGCGTGGTGTCCGCATCTGGTGGAAGGAGTGGGTCACCAAGGGCCAGATCATCCAGTTCATCATCGACCTCGGTATGTTGCTATCACACTGCGTGGTTATTTCCCTCGCGTGCTCACCGTCTTCACAGGCTTTGTCTACTTCGCATCCTACACCTACTTCACTTCGACCTACTTCACCTGGATGCCCAACCACGGCAAGTGCGCCGGAGAGGAGTTCGCCGCCTTCTCTGGAATGGGCGTTCTCAGCTCGTACCTCGTCCTCTTCATCTCCTTCTACTTCGCCACCTACAAGAAGGAGGGCAAGGCGCCTAGTGCGCGCAAGGCCGTCCGTCGCATGTCGCAGGCCCCCGTCCCCGAGCCCCACACGGTCGCCGCCGCCGTCTCCGGAAGCCAGACCAAGGCCAAGTCCAACGGCGTCACCACCCGATCCCGCAAGGCTTAAGCGACTGTTGTGCGTCGGCACTTCGGTGACTTCTGTTCTAGTTTCGGGCCTACTCCCGTGGAGTGGGGGGCGAAGGCAAGCTGGACTTTTGAGACAAGAGGAGCGCCTCCTCGTGGGGCACCATTTCTCCAACACATTGTATTAGTGGCTTTTTGGCATCTTGACGACCTGGCGTTTGAGCGGTTATCATGAATCAACGTCAACTGGACTCGTGGCGGTTGATCGCGTGTGTAGATAAGTGTACGAAGCGGTGGTGGGCGCCGAGTAAAGGGGAGCGGAGGGTTAGATCATGGTCATCTGAGCGGAGGGCTGTTTGCTGCATCCGTAACGAGACGGCTTCATCTAGATGGTTTTGTGGGTGTCGTTTTACATATAGCCGTGTAGGCGGATCGAAGCCAGGCAATTGGGCTATCCGCAATGGCCTATAGAAAGATACGGTACTAATAATACAAATAATGAATCTACAAAGCTTGTGGCAAGTCGAGCCGTTGCTGCGTCAAGTTTTTGTACATTGTGGTTTTTATTAGCAGTGTGTTCGATTTGGAATCAGGAGTGGCAGACACATACTACATGCTGTACCGCTGGTGTTAACCTGGGTCGTTCAACCCATCAACCCATCATCTAAGTCAAAAATTCCAGGTGTATCTCATCAATTGCAGTTTTATGGGTCCCCAGTGAGCACGGGGAGTAAAGTTGTTGAGCAATCAGTGCTAATAGTCTCTCATTGGTTACTCAATTTATAGTATAATTTATTACCAAGGTCGAAACAATGACTATAAGTCTATGGACATTGGAAGAGTCTTCTCAGATCGCCGTATCTTCGCAGCTGTCAACGGCGAATACGTAAAGGGCCTCAGAAGCCGCCTTGACTCAGCGCAGATCTTCCTTGATGAACTTAGCACCCATCTCGGCGACCGCATAGACAACTGCCTGGGGATTTGCCGTTGGCTCCAGAGGCACTACGCTCGCATCGCACACGCGAAGGTTGGAGCAACCATAGACCCGCAATCTGTTATCCACCACGCCACCCATAGCACGTGGCATCATGGAGCATGTACCAGTGTAGTGGTAAGCGCCGTCCGCGGTACGGCGGACGTAGTCTTTCGCTGCCTCTAGGTCCGTGAAACGCTTCGAGTACGGCTTCAAGTAGCGCGTGAGGGGCTCCGCGCGGCTGATCATGTCCTCCGTAAAGCGAACCTGGCGCGCAAGCACCTCGAGGTCGAGGGGGTGCGACAGGTAACGACAGTCAACGGTCAGTCCTTCACTCGTGCCGGTGCGTTCCCGGTCGGCGCTGGTGATATGCACCGAGCCGCGGGAGAGCGGGTGCGATAACTCAATTGCAACCGAGACGTGCTTGCCCGGAGCGCGATAGGTCGGGCTTGGAGCGTCGAAAGGCGCATATGCTGAGCCAAAGACGTAGTTGCCCACTGCTTCCGAAGGACTGGTGAGAACAGAGCGCACGAACCTCTCGTGTGCGGCGGCAAAGGCCGGCGTGGTCGCTGGAGAGCCAGAACCGGCGCCTAGGGCACTGAAGAGCCCGTCGAGCTCTTTGCGTCCCTCTTCAGAATGGAACTCGGGCAATGGAAGCTGGGCCATTGTTACCATGTTGCTGGTTGCCATAGGACCCGTCCCCTTGGTGGCATAGTCCTGCATGGCAGCACCAACAGCATCGGCTTCCTGGCGGAAAAAGGCATCGATCGTGTCCACATCGTCGCGTGCTTCAAACGTCAGTCCGGTGAAGAGGTGATTCTGCAGGTTTTCGCCAACGTGCGGATTGTCGACTACGACGTTGATCCCCAAGCGCTGAAGTAAAGAACCATCGCCTACACCAGAGAGCTCGAGGAGTCGGGGTGAGTTGATGGCTCCGGCAGAAATGATCACCTCTTTGCGAACTCCAATGGTTTGGGTAGATCCGTCCTTGGAGATAAATTGAACACCCTTTGCGACAGCATCGGCATCTGTCGAAGGTCTTTCAAGAAGCACCTTGGTCACAGTTGTCTCAGTTCGAACCGCCAGGTTTGGTCTCGATCTCACTGGATCTAGATACGCATTGGCGGCATAGCTCCTCTGCTTGGTGCTAGCATTGATACTCTCCGGTGCGATGATTGCTCCTCCGAGACGGCCGGAGAGGGGATCAGTCCTTGGAAACCCCACGGACTCAAGGCCGCTGATCCAGGCCTTTTCCCAAAGAGTCTCTCCCGTGGCAAGTGTAAGTTGGAGGGGACCTTGGCCTTCAGCCACACCCTGGGACTTGTGTAGAGTAAATGATTTCTTGAGGGCCTCCTCGTACGTAGCGTAGTCCCAGCCCTCATTGCCAAGATTCCTCCATCCTTCCACATTCGCCTTGGACGTGGACGTGAAGAGGAAGCTGTTGATGGCGCTAGAACCCCCGAGGGCTTTTCCTTGCGGGATTGTGATCTGTCTCTTGAGGTCTTTCTCTGGGACCGTTTGGAATGTCCAGTCAGCCGGAGAATTGGACAGCAACGGCCAAGCTCCTGGAGTTAGAGTATTCGGGTCTGCGCTACGGTCCTGGCCGCTCTCGAGGACAATAACCTGTAAGTTTGGGTCCTCAGAGAGGCGATTGGCCAGAACAAGGCCCGAGGTCCCGCCACCGATGATGACAACGTCGTAAGTCTCTGATGACATTTTAGTGATTGATAGAACACAATGGCGCCAAATCAAGGAAAGAAGAGGACAAGAATTGCTAATTCTCCCAGGGGGGTCTGCTGTCCAATAAATCAACTCAAAAGAAGTTGCAGAATGCTTGGTAGGTGGAGGGAAGAGATGACTCTGTTCACAAGTCTGTTCGGCTACTCAATTTTGACGGATGCTTCATATGTAGAAGGAATCTTGGTGTTATTACTTTTTAAATTTATGTATATCCCTATCACTGTAGACCAACCTTGGAACTCATGCACTAGGGTAGCACTGCACGCAGTCCAACTAATCTCGCGATGATCTGACCTAGTGACCGAGTACAGGACGCAAGGCATGAAAAACCAGGAGCGGAAATATGGACATACTGGACATGGATTCTTCCAACTCGACAGCCCCACAAATCGATTGCATCCCTTGATGCATGCGCCGCTTTGCAACATAGAATAAAGGGACGCGGGGGCCAATGAAACTGTCAAGGGAGGACAGGCTCACAGACACATGAGAGTTCATAAACGACATTTTCTGGTAGAGAAACACCCCCCGGAGAGTGCCACTGTCTGATAACCTTGGCCGTCCTGCACGATTTGACCAACTGCATTTGTGTGAAGTTTACATGCGAGGAATCAGTCGACGCTGCAACTGTTCGGTCGGTGACCATCGGCTTCGGAAAGGCCTGCAGTGAACATAATTGGCTGAAAATTGAAGGCTGCCACTGACTTCTCCGCATGGCAAACGGAAATGTTAGCAGTCGCTGTGGTCAGATATACCTAGTTTCGAACGACACCCGGCCTGCCGAACTGTTAGTTCCTCGCTGCATGAAATTAGATGCTCCAGCAAGGCAAGGGACTTGGAAGCGAATTGATGAAACTTTTCAAAATAGGGCAATATCTACGGGAAATGGCAGAGGGAGGGGCGGCGAAGCCGATTAAACCTTGTTATATACTTAATGAACAACTCCGGTGTGCTGCTGGCTTGTCTGCCCCATTTTCGGAGACTAGTCGATCTTGGTTGTACCGACTACGAACGACAACGTACACTGCGTACTACCTTGTTAACAAATATTCTACCTAACCCTGAACAGTAATCTAGTTTTGGACCATACGATAATTTAAAGCAAAAAGGTATTATTCATCAATCCCTTCATAGTTCGCAATATTACAATTTTGGATGCTTCTCACCAGAAATCGACATCATAGACATGACGTCCGAAACGGTGGACATGAAGATCGAGTCAAACATCGCATTACAAGCCGACACTGAAGTCGAAGCTAACCCTGATGTCGACCAACCCCAGCTCCCGACTGACAAAATAAGTCGTGAACCTCAAGATCAGTACGCCTACAACCGAGATTACCGATTCTGGTCCATTATCCTAGCTCTTTGTACGATGCAGATCCTGTGTTCTCTGGAGAATACAGTCGTGGTCACCTCCCTTCCCACCATTGTCAAGCAACTAGGACTGGGGAGCAGCTATATTTGGGTCACCAATATATTTTTCCTGGCCACGTAAGCTCAGAATCCTCGCACGAAGACAAAAACTGTCGCCTATTCTCTCTCTATCATGATATAACCTCTGCTGAATAGAACCCAGTTCCATTGTGCAGCCGCTCACTGGCCAGCTTGCAGGCCTCTTCGGACGCAGGCATGTTGCACTCTCTGTTGTCGCCATCTACACACTCGGCAGCGGTGTAGCTGGAGGAGCAAATGGGCCAGCTATGTTGATCGCTGGTCGCGCCGTGCAAGGTGCCGGGAGCGGAGGTATGACGGCCATCATGGGAATTGTCATCTCCGACCTCGTCCCTCTCCGGCTCAGAAGCAGTTACCAGGCCATCCTCGCCATGACGTACGCGATCGGCATGGCCATTGGGCCCGTCGTGGGCGGCGCTATTGTCCAGAACACGACCTGGAGATGGGTTAGTGGCACTTGCAAATGATGTCTTGCACTGCAATTGTAGTCCACTGACCATGGTTTCGATAGGTGTTCTACATCAACCTGCCCTTTGGCGGGGTCTCTCTGGTCCTCTTATGGCTATTCCTACGCGTCAAATGGGACAAGGAGACCAAAATAAGAGAAAAGCTCAAGCGAATTGATCTCACAGGCAACAGCCTCCTGGTGGCATCCACGGTTTCGGTACTCATGGCGTTGACTTGGGCAGGCTCTGAGTACCCATGGTCATCTTATCGTGTTCTTGTCCCGCTAATCGTCGGTCTTGCCGGCCTGGTTGGTTTCTTCTGCCTTGAAGGCTCTACATGGGTGCTGGAGCCTGTGATGTTTGTCTCCCGCGACCTTTTTTTTTTTTTTCAACGCATCAGTCTCGGGCCATGTCGATCTGTCGGTCTCCATTTCAAAAGTTGATTGTGACTTCACCGAAGGCCGTGATCATAGTAGCCCTATTTCATGGACTTCTGTAACATTTCCTTCAGAAAGTGTTTATGGAAAATCATCCGCTGACTGAGACCATTGGCAGGCCGCTTCGTCTTTTCTCAAACCGTACCTCCGCGGTAGTATACGCGAACACCTTCATCATCTCGATACTGAACTACTGGATCTTCTTCTTCCTGCCTCTCTATTTCCAAGCCGTCCAGCTGTCAACACCCACCCGCTCTGGCGTACAAATCCTGCCCATCACCCTCATTGCCGTCCCTGGGGCCGCAGTTGGAGCGGTTGCCTTGTCAAAGTGGGGCAGATATAAGTTGCTTCACATCATCGGCTTTGCTTTCCTCGCTGCAGGTATAGGCTCCTTCTCCGTGCTTACCGCAAACTCGAGCACAGCAGAATGGGTCTGCCTTCAGATCCTCCCATCTGTTGGTGCCGGTATGGTCCTGGACACGCTGCTACCGGCGTTCCAAGCAGGTGTGGATGAAGCAGATTCCGCGGCCGCTGCAGCAAGTTGGTCGTTTGTCCGCAGTTTTGGCAACATCTGGGGCGTCGCGATTCCTGCAGCCATTCTCAATATATACAGCAGTCAGTACGCTGCCGATATGATAACGGACCCCGCGGCGAGATTGGCGCTCCAAAATGGAGACGCGTACTCCAGCGCAACGCGGGATTTCGTGGAGTCCTTTCCTGAGCCTGCCCGCGGTCAGATCATTGAAGTTTTTACAAGAGCGCTGAGTAAAGTCTTCTTGATCGGCATCGCATTTCCAGCACTGTCCTTCATCCTGTCTTTCATTGAGCGGGAAGTGGAGCTAAGAACAACGTTGGAGACCGAGTTCGGTTTAGAGGGAAAAGGGAAGATACAAAGTTAGAAAGGGCACCCTTAAGGGCATACTTCACGTCAATGAAGAGAGTAAATCAACTTTCTGCCTTATAACAAGTTTCGATTTACATCACTACTGATCAGGTTCCTGGCATTTCCGCGATATGCCAACGGAAACTTTTACTGGCTTACTTCACGCATCTGTGGTGAATGATATATCGAGTATTCGCCCCCAGTGGTAGTAGCAAGCAGCCCAAGTTGAAAGTTGAAGTAGAGCCGCAAACTTCGCTTTCATGGCTGCTGCAGCCTTACAGTGTGTTTCTATTCCGTTCACTCAGCATTCGCATTATTAGTTGGTCTGTCCGCTAATTGACCACCATCGCCCCCGTTGTTTTTTTGGGTTTACTTGCTCACTTGAGTGTCGACGTCGTCGAAATATCGCGATGCGTGTGCCACGTATCTGACATTATGATGTATGGTTCTACTAAGGACGCAGTTTGTTATTGCTGGGCCGACATGCCGACAGATCCCACGTATCTTTGTTGAATTCACACACTCCTTTGCCATTGGTGACACCGTAGCACGATCATTGGCCCTGGGAGAGAACGGCGCCTTTGCAACGTGTTGCCAAAAAAACAAAGCGACTTTGCGTCAGGGAGCTACACAACATCAATCGCTATATATCGTCCGATGATCTATCGTTGAGAGAGGTCCAAACCTCTGGTTCCACAGGTGCGGTCTCTGCACAAGGCAGAAGCAACTTCACACTGCTACCCATCTCATTCTTGCTCTGGGTGCCCTATTGGCAGCCTGTGTGGCGCAGGACCCCCCAAATTATTCCCCACCAGCCACAGCGCTCCCGCGCCTCGGACCCCTGCGGCGCCGTGGCCAGCCAGCAGCAGCAAGGCTCCCAAGGTCCTGGGCGAACGTCGATCGTGGAAGTGGCCCGGGACGATCGCTTAGGTGAGAGAAACACTATCGCGGGCGGGCTCCTCTACGATTGCACAGCAGGGCGAAACTGACTATGGGCCCGGTCCTCTTTGCAGCGCGCATCGTTTTGGGCTAGAGCGGCGTCGATGAACCCCAGCGCTCCCCGATCCCCGACCAGCAGCAAGAACCCTCGGAAACGGCCGGCCAGTAGTACATCTCGAGCGCCCTCGACGACGGCCAAGAAGCGCAAGTCGCGGGCAGCGCCGCCCCAGGAGACCGCGGACGAGGACCAGTACTGGACGATCAAGGGCATACTGCGGCAGAAAACCGAGAAGCGCAAGCTCTACTACCTGATTGAGTGGGAGGGCATCGACGAAAGCACGGGCAGGGCATATAAGCCGACCTGGGTGGGTTGCGCAATACGGATAGACTACATATAGTGGCGCACGGCTGACACCATTGGTAGGAACCGGCCGAGAACATCACGTCCAATGCCATAGCGGAGTGGGAAGAGAAACAGCAGCAAGCGCAAGGTGGTGCATTGGCATCCTGTGACGAGACGGCCTACCCGTTGCAAGCCCAAGCCATCATACAGGAGCCAGGGACGCGGCCTTGGACGAGCGAGACTCGCACACCATTAGCTGGTGTTTTCGCACCTGGCAGCTTGGCCGAGGTACGCGAGGCCAAGAGAAGGCGACTAGAACAACGACGGGACCGCCGTGACCGTACATTGGTGCTTGATTCGCAGGACGCCGAAGATACGGAGGAGCCATCACTGGGCGTTCCAGCACGCACGACTGCAGAAGCTCCCCCCGAAAATCTAGTTGGTAGCCGAAGCAAGATTACTGTCGAGCTGTCGCGGCGGCCGGGATTCAATCCCAACGACTACCAGCAGGTGCAGCTGTCGCAGGCCAGCCAGAGCCAGACTGCCACACAATCAAGTCAGAAGCTCTCCTCTCAAGTGTCCAGTCCTGAAGTCGGACCGGCACTGGGACATCTGCATAGCAACCGTACCATACCGGATTCTCAGGAGGTGTCGGGGTATTCAATATCCGATACGACCAACAGCGGCCCCGGAGCGGACCTGTACGCATTGACGAAGAGTCAAGATAGTGTACCGAAACTTGCGGCTCGCTCACGAAGTGAGGAAGCCACTGTGCCGGATTCTCTATCGCATATACCGTCCCGTCAACTAGAGCCGGCAGCCAGTCAATCTGGGACTATACTATTCGAATCAGCATCAGCGCCGCCTGCTGGGCCCCCTTTCGGAGATATTTCCAACCCAGCTGGCGACGAGTCGCAAGCAACCCATAGCGCTGCGTCACTATCGCGAGGACCACAGTTTACGCAGGATCCTGGCTTTCTTAGTCAGGTACCCTTCCACTTTGACGAAAGCGCCCTGCCAACTCCGTCCGGCCAGGAAGTCGATTCCCAAAGGGAGCAGCCACCCGAGCCTACCTCTCAAATTCTCCAAACCTCTGGCTACTCGACGCCTGCAATCGCTAGTGAATCACATCGCCTTTCACAGGCTTCCCCACAGGCGGCTCAAATAGTGCCCCGCTTCGCCAGTCACTCGGAGGCTTTTCAGAGCCAAATCGCCGAACCGGATTTTAGTGTCTACAGTGACCACGGCGAAAGCACGGCAGAACGGGACGAAGTCATTCCAGAGACAGCTCATCTGGCGAGCAGAACCGTCCAGTTCTCTCAAAACTCAAGCCAAGCTCTCAGCGAGTTAGATGGTAACACTAAGATTTCATCATCTGCCCCCCAAAGCTACGAACACGCTTCACCCTCTGATTCGTTGCACGTACACATTTCTAAACAATCCATAGACAAGTTGTCTGAGGTTATTGGAGTCGAGAGTCTCGACGCTGCCGCGCCTCGTTTTCTTTCTTCCAAGCCACTTGATTTTGTTCTGCATTCATCTGACCGCACGGGGCGAAGATCTAGTTTATCCCCAAGACGGTCAGTCACCCCTACAGGCAACATGGATGACGCGCCAACGACAAGCTCGACGCCCATGTCGATGAAGGAGAAGCTGCGACTGATACGAGAGCGCAACCTGGGGCCCAGAAACTCCAACCAGGTGCCGAACTTGGCTGTTCAGGAACCAGCAAACACTCTAGCTGATGACCACACCGCTCATCCCGAGCAACTGGCCGAATTCGCCGAGCCTCTAATCTCGCCATCCATCCTGGTGCCTTCCGTGGAGACAGATCACCCGGAGGATGCTGCACTCCACGCGGATTTCGTTGAAGAACACAAGCCTGCAGATCATCTGCCGATGGAGACCCATATGTTTGAGAGCTCCACCATACCAACCTCTTTCGATGCGATGCCTGAGGAGCAACCTGCAACATTGGACCCGGCCGCATTGACGTTGTCGATAGATCCTCATCTGACTGGGTTGGCGCCCGCACCCGAGCTTGAGCCGGAGCTTGAACAGACCGCAAGCCCCTCCATTCCAACTGACGACGACCAGATGCCAAATGATCATCATGAATCGGTCCTTTCCAATTCTGGCGACCATGAAGCCTCCAATTCGAATGTATTGCCGAACGTCTACATTGAAGATGGTGCAGACGAGCATATCCTGACTCTTCCCCTGGCCAGTAATATCCGTCCGCAGTACGTCGAGATCATCAAGGAGACCAACGATGACTTGGTGGCCTACAACGCTGCTTTTACGACCCCTCCGTTCAGCACTCCTGAGCCGGAATTGGTTGCAAAGGTTGATAGGATGTTCGAGCGTCTCTTTGATGTCTGTGATCTACCGCCTTTCCTGGAAACGCTACCACAGATCACGCCAGTCCAGGTTACAAAACATGTCAGAAACACTAACAGCAAATTCTCGTTTGTTGGTCACTTCTTGGAGAACCTGTGCAACGTGGACTCTCAGAAAAGTGTCCTCATATTGGCCCGACCAGGAAAGATTATAGAACTGCTCAACAACCTCGTCACTACCGAAGGCTACCATCATGTTCAACTTCGAGGCTCCAGTCTTGTTGAATCCCCTGAGCCCCGAGAAAGACCTACCGTTATGGTGGCGTCAACGTCTGACGACCTCACCCTTATACATAAGGACTTTGACGTCATCATTGCCTTTGACCACACTTTCAGACAAGATTTACTACCCACCAGAAATCAAGAGGCGGCTCCGATTGTTCTGGCGCTTGTCACCAGCGCCAGCATACAGCACATCAACATGCGAATATCTGAAAAGATTGAGCCTCTGGGTCGAAAGAATTACCTCATGCTTGCTCTATGCGCATCTGTAGAAGAAATTACACACCCGGAAGGTCGCTTCCCCCAGGCCCATGAAGTCGCCGAGCTCTTCTCCAACTACGTTGAGAATCCCGACGATGAAGAGTTCTACTGGACACCGCAGGAACTTCCCCAGTCAATTTTTGAACACATTGCTGCCAGTTCCCAGGCTGAGGGGACCAACTCGAGCCTTGTTCCCATTGGAGTCATAGGACAGCCCCCCAGCCGGAAGCGCTCACTTGTAAGCACACAAATCACTTCGCCGTCCCAACCTAACAACTTTAACAAGGAGCAGGACGACCAAGATGAAACTGAACCTAAACGCCCGAGGATAGCCCAGCCCAACGTGATCACAACTACAATTGCCATCAGAAATATCCCCGAGTCTCTGGGCGGCCTCATCGGTGAGTCAAGTAATGAGGGCAAACCAACTGTGGGGATCACTGTCGAACAAGCTGAAGCTTTAGCGGCGAAGGTAGGTTGATCAGCTTGACTTCACGGCATACACTCAACTAATGCACCCTAGATCGCGAAACTGGAGGCAGAATTGGAGAAAATGCGAGGGCAACGCGACGTATTCCGCGATCTGGCAGATCGGACGAAGTCAGAGGTTGAGAATTGGACAGCCTCGATGAACAGAATACAACCAAGGTATATGGCTGCACTCCGAGATCGAGGCATCTTTCAAAAGAAAGTTGACGACAGCTTTAAAGAGAAGGGAGAGCTGTCTTTGCGTGTGCAGTCACATGAGAAGGAAATTCTAATCCTTCGAGAGACAAACACAGAACTTCAGAGGAAACTCTCTGAGGCAGAGGAGTCTCTGATAAAGGGCGAGAACCCCGAGCTTGCGAAAATGGTACAGATGGAGAGGGACACGGACGATGCCAAGAAAAAGGCAGCCGACCTTGAGAAGAAGCTCAACCTTTCCCAGAGCGACTGCTCGTACGCCCGAGAACAGTACCAGCAAGCATCACAGCGCGCACTCGAGCTCAAGAAGGAGAACGACGAGTTGAACAAACATGTGATTGAGCTTACACGAAAGGCCGATAATAATATCGTCACGATCAACCAGAACCAAGACCGGAACGAAGTCCGCGAGCTCAAGCGCTTGCTTGAAGACAAGAGCACCATCATCCGAGAGCGGGAAGCAGAACTCAATCGGGTGCACCAACAGCTTGCTAGCGCCAAGAACGGTCGAAGGGAGACGAGGCAGAGTAGTGTTCCGCGAAGTCCTAGGCTGGGTGTGTCGAGCCCCAGGACCGGCAGAGGAGGGGCAGTGGTTCCCAGCGGGTCAGCAAGCCGCGGTGCCAGCCCAGCGGCGCCTGCAGGGACGTTTGAGACTGGTGGGAGTCTAATGCCCGGCATCGGGAGTCTGTTCGCCGGCCAGCAGCAGGGCAACGGGCGGTTTGCTCATTTGCGAGAATAGACTCGCCGCATGATTGGACAATGTGTGCTGGGGGCTGGTCTATGGCTCTGAGATGAGCATTGTGTCCGTGGATGGACGGAAGGTGGCGGTAGTTGGTTTCCTTTGTCTCCTGTCTCTTTTGATCATTGGTACATCGTAGATTCGTCATGCACATACCCAGCCTGATCGGATAGGAGAGCACTCAGGCAGCTCTGGAGTTGGTAGATCGCTTACTGTTATTCGCTCAGTTAGACGTGCGAAATGTTCCAGTCAATTGAAGCACGTTGTAGTTGTAGGGAGACATTGTGGTAGACGTGAAACGCCCCTCTCTTCCCCATTACCTGGGGCCTACCTAAGGTGATAATAGTTCCTCATTGCTTCTCATGAGTCATGCACACTGGATATTTCGTAGCCAGTCTATCGTCTACAGTCTATGCTTTCCTTCTAGGCCGGCAATCCATAAGTGGGTAAGCAGAACCCATGAATGAGATCTCTCCTGGTTTCCCAGGACCAAGAAATATCCGTGGGCACCGAAAGCCACGGCTCAAACGGGAGTCTAGTATTATCCCTCAAGTTCTGGCTTCCATCGCCGGAGCAGCACATAGCATATTGCTGCTCAAGCTGCGGGACTGCCTGCCGGTACCGCACGTCGGTCATCGGCCGGCTGACCAGGTTGCGCTCCTCGAAGTTAAGGACCGCATACACGGCATACTCCTGCTCCCCACCAGCGCCTTCGCAGCCTTCATCTACCTTACGTCCGTCCGTCGTTGCTTTAAGTGACCTGCCGTCCTTGGTACCGTCGGTCCAATACTGCCGGCTACGATCTCCCTGGTCCGCGAAATCCGACGCCCTCCATCCGCCCCTGAACCATGGTAGGAGGCACACACCCCGCCTCATGACCAGGTCTCGTACGCTGTCCTGGTCCCACTCTGCCGGGAGCACATACCGCTCCGCATCGCGCGGCACTGGGGCAAGCCGGTGTTGCCGCACATGCCGTTCGTTCACCGTGAACCCGAACCCAAGACTCCGCAGCGGGCCCGTTGCGTCCAGCACCGCGAGCGTGAGGGTCTTGAAGGCCTCGTCGAGATCCCCCCACTCCTCGAGGTCGACGCTCACGTGGCGCGCACTCAGGGCCGCGGCCAGGAAGAGCGCGCCTGGGCCGCCAGTGTGCAATGTGTCCGGGGTCCCCTCCAGGCTGGCGCCACTCCAGAGGTACGGGCTCGGGAAGTGCATGACATCCCGGTCGCGGTTGAAGTGCGGCGCCGCGTCTGAGCCGCCCCCTTGGTCCGGTGATCCTTGGACACCCTGGTCCGGGACGACGCGGGCGAACGCCTCCGGCCGGATCCGGAAGTTGGGGTACTGGGGCCGCAGCTCGCGGTAAGTCTCCTGGTTCGCGAAGCACACGGCCGGGATGCGCAGCAGTGTGTGCGGGCGGTAGGGCCCGTCGGCGGCCTTGATGTACAGCTGCGACCACCAGTCGCCCTCGGAGGCCCAGTTCCAGGCGTCGAGGTTCAGCTTGAAGCGGAAGGGGATGGTGCGGCACGGCAGGGCGTGGTGCCAGACCTTGAGCCGGAGCTCGGTGGGGAGGAGGGGGAACAGGTGGAAGCTCGGCGCGCGGCTCTCCATTCTGCTGTGAATGGACTGGAAGGTTGTAGACCCTCAATAGAAATCTACTGACCAGGCCATACGATTCAGCGGGAGAATACTATGCATACCCACCTGTAGGTATACCTATACTGAGATTAGGCCCGATATGGCCTGCTGAGACAGGATTATGAGTGTGAGCCTGCAAGGTGGGGCAGACCTCCTGCTAGTTGGCGTTACTGTTAGGGGACAAATGTATGCAAATGGCTTATTCCGACGTCGAATTTCCACAAGAAGATCCACACAATCAGCCGAAAGGCTCTGTAAGGGAATATACGAGTCCAGAAATGATTACATAGTGTCTCTTTCAGGAATATTTCAAGAACTATTGAGCTGTGTTCTGTGCATGGTAGTTAGGGCCAGCGCTTCATTTGTTGCCGGCTTTAGTTATCGGTTTGCGGTTTGCGGTTTGTGGTTTGCGTTGAGCAACATAACAGACATGGCAAACAATATATTAAAATATGAGATTGAGCTCAGTAGGATATTTGACTTGCATTCTATCACCCTCTGGCCATGCTCTCCCCCGTCTTGCCAGACAACAACGTCAATTTAAACTAGGCCCTGAGACCACCTTTACCTCCACTTCTTGATCGATATCTAAACCGACAACAAAGTTGGTGGTACCTTGACCCGCGCAGAACTCATCGCCGTTCTTCAGATACAATCTGGCAAGAGGGTCACAGATTATACGCTCTACACCGTGGAAGACGCTCCGAGCTCCCAGCCCAGGTATGTACTCCTCGTGAGCAATCGTGGCGAACACTGTAGCTTCACGTTTGACTTCAATTTTCACCTGTCCAATGTAGACGTCTTCGTCTTTGTTGGGAGCCAAGTATACCGGCTTGGTAACGTCTGCTTCGAAGTCCAGGAATGCCTTGTGTGCCACAATTGTCTGTTCAGGGGGAGAGAAGACAAGGAACGGAAGGAACTCGGTGATGCGTCCTGTAATCGGTGCCCCAAAGTGGGTTATGAATTCTTTCCGAAGTAGCTTACAGAGCTTTTGAACAAGCTTATCCTGCGCCATTTCGTCGTCGGAGTCGAATAGAGTGTCTCTGTATTCCTTGCAGAAGGAGTGTATCGTTTCGTCTAGTTTATTAGTAGCCAGTATCCATATTGTGTTGGAGCAATCCACACGTGAATCATCACGCCGATCCTCATACCGACCTAAGACTATGCGTTAGATACACCAGGACCAAGTATGTTTATGCAAGTGGTTGTAGGACTCACCATCCTGGAATGGAATCAACAGAGTGTTGTGGATCTCTTCGCCGGTTTTTTCGAACTCGTCCAGGAATACGATACTTCGCTCACCACTCTTGCGAGACAAGAAATTGTTGAGCGGCGATCCAGACTCCCAACCTTCGTAGGGCTTTCTTGGACCGAAAAGTTCATTCTCACGCTTGAATATAGTACAGTCGACCTCATGGATGTCCAATGACATCAAGCCACCAAATTGTCGAGCAAGCTCAGTCTTTCCATGACCACTGGGACCAGCAAATACAAGTACTAATGGTCTTTTTACCTGCCTCGCCAAGTAACTGTGTTACCGTCAGCGGATTATTTCACATTCTGTAATTGGCACGACCTACGTGAGCAACTTGTCGTTGAGCCATCTCGTAGCAATCGACTGTCCAATGACCATTTGATATACACCAAGAACATCTTCGGAGTTTTGACGCTGGACAAGCATTTTCTCTCGTCCTGAGTACTCGCCCTTCTTTCCGGCCCTGTACAACTCATATCGTTGCGTTATATTTAACGCAGCAGCCAGATGTGCGCGTATGAGGGGCGTACACCAAGCCTTGTTTTCATCCATGATATCGTGCAAGTGAATGCTTTCCGGGCCTCCTTCACGCAGGTCTTCATGATAAGGATCGTAGAACGATTGAGGAATACTCGTAGGTGTGGCACCACATCGAAGAAGGGTTGCCAGGGTCTGGGTGTTTGTGCGACCTGTATTGGTCTGTTGTAGTATGGCAAAAGCAATCAAGGGAAATTGGTCCTTGCCACATGTTGCATTTGGGTCTCCCCCGTGCTTGATCCATTGGCGTATCAAGGAAATTTTGTGAGTTTGAACCACATAGAATATTGCAGGATACCCTCGGATCAATGTGTTGATGGTATTGCGGAGCTTCTTGGCGTCATAACACCCGAGATACTCGCGCAGGCGTTCAGGACTGATTCCTGCTTGAATTGCTCCAACAAGTCTCTCTAGCTCAAGCGCGCAAAGTTCATCAGATCCGCTGTTGGTCAGCTTACCAGGGTTTGGAATGCATGGCAGAGTAGACCAAGCGAAGTGTCGATCCTCTTCAGCCGCCGAAGCTATGCTGCATTCCCCTACAGCAGCATCGTAATTCTTGGACTCAGTGCGAGAGATTGCGCCAGGTGAAGCTCTGTCGCTCTCCTCACCATCTTGAAGCTCCTCTTCCAGGAACCTGTATTTGGCGATGGCTTGTTCTAAATTCCCTTCGCACATCTAATATTTCGTGAGTATTAGCGACCGACTATATATGAGTTTTGACATAAGATGCTATGTGTACCTCTAGCAGGTTGATAGCCCTGTGATAAGAGCAGCCTGGACATGCTTTCATAACCTGGCCCGCTTCGTATGATGATATCGCCATTTTGTACTGGATACTACAAAGCTGGCGTTTATCGGCGCAATGCAGCTCGCCACCGCGGACACGCTGTAATATTGAAGGTTTCGCGGCTGTAGAACAGTACAGCCTACTTTTGAGGCAGCGAGGCGCCCACAGGCTTAGTAGATGGCTGTTTTGCGGTCAGCAGCTACGCAATCAGCTGGTATTGGTATACTCGGACATATGTACCCGCGATCTCAGGTGTTCTACGGGTGTCGAACTGAGTCAAAGGGGTAGAGAGTAGTTAAATGGGTCTCGGTTCAAGAAGTGAACGGCTTGGAAACAGTCTAGGTGGAGCAAAAAGGTTGGGTTTCTTCTGACTATAATATGTTTCCAGGGCTGGAATTAGTGGCTGCCACCGCCACTCCCTGCTTCTAACGTGCTCTTGGTGATGCCTTTTCTTTTTGGGATTTATTCGAGCAGCGCACCAGCCAATCCACTATCTTGTAGTTATTACCTTGTCACCCAATATTGCCTCGTATCAGGCAACATTGGAGCCTGACAGCGATGCAGGAGGCCCACCACGAGGCCTTCCACTGCGGTGGCATGCGCCTCCACATTGGTTGAGACGCACTAAGTTTTTCTTTTCTCTTCCTGGTTTACATTTTGACAGCGAATAGCGCGCCATTGAAAGGTCAGTCTGCCATAATAGGACACCCTACTTCCTTTGATAACGAGCTGGAGCCATGGCCGCCTCTGGCCCCTTCAGCGAAGTGCCCCGCACACAGAAGAAGAAAGGGGGTTGGTCCCCGTTATCTTCAAAATTACCCATTTCGGCTTCAAAACACTTCTGGCGGTCTTCCTTTCAAATAATTCACCTTACCCTTTTGGTTTGACCTCAACGAAAAGACGCGACGTGCGTGTGTGGGATCGCTTGTCATGTTTACACCAGGCCTCACAGATAATTCATCGCCGAAGGCTGTACCAACACCGGCGAGCGGCCCTCGTGAAAACATATCGCTGATGATGAGGCTGGCATCTGAAGCAGTCAAGAGTCCTGAAAGTAACGTTGGCCCAAATTTAGGCTTGACGACGCCAAGATCCAGTATTGTTTCACTTGCGACGGCCTTCAAGGCAGCTCGAACACCAGTATGCAATGCTTCCGAGCCAACCGAACCTGAGACATGGTCCCTCACAGAGAGGGCGCTGGACATGAAAGTCCTTCAACTCGCAAATAAACTCATACTTGAGCGAGAGGAGCGTGAGAACCTGTGTCAGGAAATCAAGTGTCTACAAGCCGACAACAGCTTACTACGATCAGCCAATAAAAGTGACGCTCTCAAACATGAAGAAAATGCCGTATATCTCCAGCGGGCTATAGACGAACTTCAGCAATCGATCAGGGGAATGCGCAATCAACATCACTCTGAGAGTGAGAACTACAGAAGGGTAACCGATAACCTTCTTTCGGAGCTTGAGGGATACAAGGCACAACTTGCGACTGCCCAGGAAGAAAGGGACACGAGTTCGACTTTAGCTCAGGAATCCAAGGCACAGGCCAGCAATGCAAAAGCCGCATTTGAGTTACTTTCCAAGGACATGGAAGATTCAAAAATGATTCACGAGTCAGAGATTCGATCACACCTTGCACAACTTGAGGCACATAGACACACGATATCTGAACTTCAATCGGCTCTTGAAATTGCAGACAATGCGTCGAAACGTGAAAAAAGGCTCGCAGACCGCCACGAAGAACACATGGCGAATATAACAGAGTCGCATGATGCCGAAATAGAGCGTATGCAGAGACTACTTGATACCAGTTACAAAACACTACAAGAGTTCCAGGACGAGTTGCACCTGGTCCAAGAGAGTCGAGAATCACTCATAGGCGAGCGAGACCAGGCATTGGCAAAAGCACGACGACTTGAAACCAAGAAAGCAAAGCGTGGTCGTCAGGTCGATTTCGTGGATCAACTCGTTATTCTTTGCGTGGACGCTAGTAACAGCTCGCAAGACGTATTCCATCAGGTTAAGCAGGTCTACCGAGACTTGCTTGTTTTTCTAAAAACCAAGAACAGCGACACAAAAGTAGCAGTGATTACTCATGGACATCCCAATAACCTTGATGTGGCTCCTCCAGAAATGATCACAACGACGACTTTGCAGCTGCTCAACAGCGTGAACACCGCAGGCACTGAGGATTACTCTTATTGCCTGAGTAAGGCGAACGAGATTATTGGTTCACGCATGGGAATGGGGAGCGTCTTCGAAACCAAAGTGATTATCATGATTGGTGACGGAAATGCTATTTGCGACAGTAGTTCGGGCATCGAGGCCGAAATTCTCATACTTCAACGCCAAAACATTCCTGCTCACTCCGTGATTGTCCCTAATGGCTCAAAGCGGTTCAAAGGCTACACGATGACGAAGATCTCGGAGGAGACTGAGGGCGTGATTTTGACTATTGACAATTATTTATCAGAGTTGGACAGACTCTCTGCAAGGATCTAGGCTGCTAGGTTTGCACTGATCTGGGGAATCTGGGGAGTGGACTCCGAGATTGGGAAGAGGTATTGTTTGCACTTCTTATATGAGCAATTCTCACACATCTTGCCTTACACCTTTAGTCTTTACCTTCGGATATGTGCACTTAGACTGGGCCTCTCTGCGAATTCAACAAATGTCCATTCAGTGACAGCTGAAGCCAATCGTCCACGCTCTGGGGTCCTTGGGAATACTAACGCCTGTCGAAAACAGAAGCACTGGACGCCGTCGGCCATCTATGCCTTAATTTATGTGTCGATACTGGGCAGAATCACAATAGTAGTTGAAACCTTTATGAGTGGCAGCCTTCGTCTCCTCTTTAGAACAGCGAAATTCGTTGACTCTGCTGTTCTGTTGTTTTATGTTCGAAGACGCATCAGAGGCTGGCCATCTTTTGGCGGTATCCCACATCGCTTATCCACCCCCACATGGCGTATCCCACATCGTATTTCCGACGCTCACTTAAGGTTGACCTCGCCCACATCGTTTCATTCTACACATCATCCACCCCCCTACCGTGTTATAATTCCATCGTTGCCATTCCATGGGCTAATATCCCACATCGGTCATCATATGCATTGTTGAATAATTGACACATCGCCCTTGCATAAAGGCCATTATTGGCAGTGACACAGATATCAGGCATGCCGGGACGTTTCGCCTGTCAGCATATCGATTGCCACCGGTCGTACAATCGAAAGGAGCATCTTGTCCGGCACGAAAAGAGCCACGAACAGCTCCGTCCTTTCCGCTGCAACTCCTGTGGTGCGAGTTTTTACAGAAGGTGAACATTCGTCTTATATTAGAAGTACTCGATACTGACTGCTTTGTAGAGATCTATTGACGCGACACGTGCGCTTAAGTTCGAGGTGCGCATCGCTGCCCATCGAGCAAGAGCGGCTATCTCATGGGGTCAAGACATTGAAGCGTCTAGGGCCGCCTTCTGAGTCTCGAGAGCTCGAAGATTTGAATCGCATCCCCGCAGCTTACAGTAATGTCTCGGCTCCCTACGGACCACAAGTGGGCTTCTCCCAAGAGCCAAACACTGGGTTCACCAGTGTTACCAGTAGACAAGTACTGGAGCGGGCATACTTCTCCCAGTTCCATCCACATTGGCCTCTTCTGGATGAGACCACATATATGAATACACCCCAGGCACCTCAATTGGTGAAGGCTGTTTTATTGGCGGGACTGTGGATGATACCATCGCATGATGCGCGCTTGGAAGCCAGGAATCGACATAACAGTATGATGCAGGAAATGACCAAAATACTCGTACGTTATATTCTGACAATACAAATGGACCAAGAATTAGGGCGCTGATGAGAGCATTCTCAGATTGGCAAGCAACCGCAAAGAACTCGTTGGACGTGTCCTTCATTGGACTGCTTGCCGCAGTTTCAAGCTTTTCTCATTCCGCTCATTATCTCAACCTACCGAGGAACCGAGGACTTACTCAACACCGTCATGGCTATAAAGCATTTGTTCGATATTTTCCAGGAAGCAGGTGTCTATGAGCAGCGTAGAATTGACGATTCGTCTTCAGACTCTGTTGTTCGCGAGCAGTACCAGAGGTAAGCTGTTCTGACCTATGGGTGTTTATCACATGTCTGATTAGAACAGGCTTGGACTCTTACACTACAAAGTCTTTCTTCATTACAACTTTCTCCTGAAAGCTCAATTCTCTCGGGCAAAATCACTGCAGTATTTTGAGCCCAAAGTTTTGCAAATCCGTGTTCCTTTGAGTCGTTCAAAGCTACGTGCACAACACGACACTTTTAAGGGCTTGGTAAGTGATCTAACAAAAGGCAGTCAAGTCAATGAGACATCCCAAGCTGCAATAGCAGCTTTAGTCGCCTGGGACTTTTCACTTGGGATGATATTTGCTTGTATTGTCACACACATAGACGAAGATGACCATAACTCGTTGATGATGAGGATCGAGCCAAACTTGTTTCTGCATCTTAGAGGATGGTGGAAAGACCCACAAGGGCCAGAGAAGTCTTGAGTTGGATGATATAATACAACGACAACTGTTACCAGCTTTCTATCGTTTCATAGTTTTTCAATCCACTTACATGTCTGATGACGTGAACATGTGGATGCGATGTAGCAGGAGGGTTCCTTTCACTCTGATGCAAGGACATACTTATGATCTATACGAATCTTGACCGCCATTATATCACGGCATCGTTATCGACTGTATAGATGGCATAGGGCGCTCCTTGACTTTTAGTCACTTGCATGGTGATATACCGAGGAGAAAACAACCCACTGATGATATCATGCACGGTCACTTAGGCGCACAAAAAGCTTCAACCAACCATCTCGTCTGGATCATTGACTACTTACACGTACCAAAACCTTTGAGGGTCCTTGTACACGCTGTCCGAGTTTCTTGCGCGGAGAGCTTCCACGCGTCTCCTGGTGCTCAACTCCCAATGTATCGTAGGCCACAATCACGGTATGTGGTGCCAAGTCAGTTGCGTGAGACCGAACGAGGGTGCATCGCGCCTTTATCATCTGATTCGTGAACTCCTCAATCGTGTCATAAGAAGCTTCTGCCGAGCGAACATTGATTAAGGAACCATAGCACCGCACCTCCTGGCAAAGGGAGCTTTCTTCGGCGTCGCTAGGTATCTTAGTAAGCCGAGTAGCAAGTTGAGCCAGGCGGATCCCCAGAGAAAATAACATTCTCTGGTTTGATGCTTAAAGAAAGGATGTAGCGGAAATCATAGCAGCTGGGAAGCGCGTCGCAGAATCAGACGAGAGTGGGTATTGTGTGATGACTGACAAGCCGCGAACATGGTTTCCGGACTTGCTTCTAAATGGCTTCCAAAAAAAAAAAAAAAAAAAGGGGAAGAAGAACAAGGGAAAAGAAAAGAATGAGTATTCTTTCTCTTGCAACGATCAACCATGTTAAGAGCAAGGCGTAGGGAGTGTGAGCGATTGAATCAACAATGCCGTCGTGCTCTCGAGCACAAGCGCCACGCTCCGCTGCGTATTAAGTTAGTGGTGGCCAGGATGGCCTGTAGCTGAAAAGAGGCTAGGGAGGGATTTACTGGGTACTCGGAAGTACCACGACGTGGTCTTCGCTTCTTAATAGTACTATTATGGCTCTAGGCGCTCTAGCGCTGAGACCAGAGCCGCCATCTTACGACTACAGCCAAGACAGCTGAAAAAAGGGCGCTGGTGGCGCAGAATAGTTGGCTTCGGGACAGCTGAGTGGACCACTTAAGTAAAATGCATCAATTTCTGTAATCTCCAGCACAACTAAGAGATAAATACAAGCACGCTCGTTCTGCAGTTCTCAACATTGCACTCGCCGTGGTTTACTCTGCAACACCATCATTCCAGCTTTCCGTATTCGAAAATGCGTTCATTCCTTTTGTCCCTCGCCTTGTGCGTGTTGGTGGATGGCCGTGCCTGTCGCTCACGTTCTGCCACCGCCGTGTACACGACATCTGCTCCATCCTCTCATTACGGGTCGCATACATTGTCTTCGACCTCATCGATAGCATTTTCGGCAACATCAGGCTCGCCCAGTGCGTCCACAGTATCATCTTCTATTATATATGAGTCGTCGGTTGCCTCGGGCGCTTCTTCGACCTCTACGGAAGAGGAGTCCACAACGAGCACTCAATCCTCTTATAGTACGACGACGACGCCCGGAGACTCGACTACCAGCTCAATCGGGCCATCAGCTACCGCCTCGCTCGATTCTTCGAGTATGACCTCCGTGGTGTCGTCATATACTTTCGAATCCTCTTCATCCACAACCACCTCAGAAGAAATGGCATCAACATCAACATCAACATCAACAACAGCCTCCTCCTCTTCTGTGGAGAAAACGACATCAACGTCAACATCATCATCGACCCCGCTTGCCACATGCGAGAGTGGAAACCGGATTTCCAACCCAAGCTTCGATAATGGTAGCCTTTCGCCATGGTCTACCGCGGTCTGGAGCTATGCGTCTGCGGACGTCGCGAGCGGTTGCGACGCTTTTGGATCCAACTACTGCGTGCATCTTGTACTCATGGGTGCTCATGACGAAGAAGAAGAAGCCGATGTTATACAGACCTTCGACACTGTAATCGGCAACAGTTACAGTTTGAGTCTTGACGTGAAGGGATCATCAACTGTCACGTGCTACGTAAATAATGCTGTTGTGAAGAGCTGGAGTGTCGCTGCCACTAGCACATGGCAACACTACGTTAGTGCTGCCAACTTTGTTGCGTCTTCTACACAAACAACTATAACCTGCCAATTGGTCGACTCCGGCAGTAATGCACAATCCATGTATCTCACCAACTTTAACGTCGAGTGTCAGACTGCAGCCTAGATAGAACTAATTGTTAATACTCGTATACTTGCTCGATTTTTGTTTTGTTGTTGGAAATAAACATGTATAATCGAACTTGTCAGCCGGTATAACAATATGATAGGTTCTCACTCACAACACGGAAGCGGCGTTCATAGGTGACTTACGGCAACCCCCAGTACACTGAACAAGAAGAAAAAGCTAAATGATTGGAGAATAACATTGAACTAACAACAGGGAGAAACTGATTCGAAGTGTCCACAAATAAAAGAACATTACAACACTGGGGATTCGCTGGTGGTCACCCGCCATACTGCTCTAGCCCCGTAATAAAGGTGAACACCGCGCTCGGGGACATTACTTACAGAGCGTGCCCTGTTGGCCAAAACCAGCCTATTCATATCTCAATGCTCCGATGATAGTGTGAGGTCTTACCATTACTTACGGCTTACGACGAGATGGCTAGCCAACCATTACGACATTAAACTACGTCCATCGACAAGGCTTCCGTCACAGTGTGCACAGTTACTGCCTAACACGCCTTGATCAAGTCAACGATGCGTATTTGTATCTTGAATTCAGCGCCCTATTACTTCGCTCTAGCAGCAGTCTTCTTCGACACACCCAACTCATTCCAAGCTCAGCCTTTCCAATATGAAGCCTCAGCCAACATTCTAATGCATTGAGAGTGCGATGAATTAGTTGAACGTACGTCCAGAAGCGTGCGGAACATCCTTGAGCATTCGTTTTTGAACTCTTTCGCCTGCCGGACACGAATTGGCAACAGTACAGCTCCCGTACAAAGTTGTTTACCTCGGGTGGCTCTTTAGCACCTCTAGGATCTCGCACTTTAATGGTTTTGCCGCTCTAATTCTTCCAGTTCTCCGTCATTAAATCTTCGCAGTGCGCCTTAGCCTTTTCGCCCTTTCTGTGGACCATGAATGAACGACGCCAGTCTAAGATACTATCATGGATGAAGGCTCGGATGGCCCGTGCGGCATGATAACCGCATGTCTACACTTAGTCTTGTGCTAGGCCTTAGAGCCGTCTTCGTAATACGGACTGAGGGGTACCATTCTTAACACGCATGGCCTGTACGTTCTTTTGAACCATGTCGCATGGCACTTGGTCAAGGCCGTAAAGACAATCTGCTTGGTGCGATGGTTCATGTTGCTTGTAATCCCTCCAATGAGGCGGAAGATCGCTATTGCAAGGCAGGACTATCCAACGGCATGCCTTATGTAGGTCGAGGAGCCTCGGCAACTACTGTATTGCTATCTTTTTCACGGTATCAACCGCCAATCCCATAGATATGTGAGTTGTTGGCTTGTTCATAGCTAGACGTAGGAGGCCGTCCAAAGTTTCGGAATTGGCATAGTCATTAATCTTTTAGCCTCTTCATTTGCCAACAAAGATCCGGGGAAGGTGGGCATAGGCAATAGGCAGTGCCAGGATGCGGTCTCCGTCATCAATACCCTGGAATTTATCTTGTGGCAGATCGAAAACCGCGTCTCTGGCCTTCTGTATATATTTGTCCCGATGATAATCCAGTGGCTGGAGCTTTTCCAGGCAGTCGTTTGCCACCTGCTGTGTGACGCTATCCTGACGAACCTTGTGTACGACCGAGTGAAGTGGGCTATTGAGAAATGGGTTGTCAAGAGGGGTCTATCATAAGTGCTTCAGGCATTTCCCCGTTTCGCGGATCCGTTCGGCAGGTTGGAGTGGTGTGTCTGCACATACTTAATATTACAACGCTCGGACTTGAACCACGACTATATCGTCTCTCATGGTTGATATTTACCTCTTTTCTCCCGATTACGCATTAGAGCAGCGCTGTCCTGCGGAAAAAGGCACGGGAAGACAGGAACAGTAGTGTTTAGTGAAGAGGTGTGTGTGGTAAGTCGTCTTGCATCTAGGCAGGAAGAGGTGACACGTAGTTGTCAGTGAGAAGAAGCGCAATCAGGAAAGAAGGAGGGGGGGATTGTCCCGTTTCTGCAAAGCAGAAATGAATGACTCCGTATGTATTGAGGCTGATTCTGCCTAATAAGGCACTGTGGAAGGTGCGAGAGGTGCAAGATTTACATGCACCCTCAAATACGGTGGTCATGAACAAAACTCATGCATCTTGGTGGTTTGTAACACATCTACAACGTTCGCATCACCGTTCCCTGGATACCTTCCTTTGCAAGGTAAGGTCAAACATCCCGTTCCACATGGACAGATGCCGTAAGACACTCCGTGGCGTATCAGCTGATCAATGTTAGAGCACAATGAATGATGTAGAGGTTTATCTGGGTCACGTGACAGCATCGGCGGCGGCAGCCAAAGCAGCAGACCTCGGAGAGTGCCCAGTCGGGTGGCCTGACCAGGGTCTTGGGCCCTGGTTGCCTGGCAAGTGGTTGACACAGGAGTTCGCGCACCAACAGGCAGATCTCATTGAGGCGTGCGCAACGTCTTGTGTTAACCACTTGCCTGGAAGGCTGGCTCCCTGGTGTCCCTTGGCAAAAGCTGGAGCTGTGCTGGCCTTGGCCGGGCTCCATATGTTGGCCGCTGGGCACGTAATACCACCCAGGTCCGAAAATCGCTCTTGACCCTCTTCAACATGCCTTCATTCCAATTCTCAAATCCAACAAAAGTGACAGTGAAAACACGACCTCCAAAGAACAGATCTGCCTGGACCAATGAGCACAATGCGCCGACCTACCAGGGCTTCCTGTAGTCAACAACCGCAGACAACAGACTTACTGATGCATCCTGACCACATGTGGAGGAGGCTCTTTGTTGGTGGAGCAGCTGACGAACTCGAAAAACTGCATGGATTTCGCCCCGGCGGATATTATCCTCTCCATCTCCAAGATGAGCTTCACAACGGCCAGTATCGAATCATCCACAAGCTCGGCCATGGCGGCCTTGCGACCGTATGGCTCTGCGAGGACCGGCATGCCGAAATCCCCACTTATGTGGCTATCAAGATTCATGTCGCCAGGGAGGAAGCAGACCAAAATGCCGATCTCCTACTAGCAACTACCCTCAAAGAGAAGTGCTTAGACACGGCTGCCGCCGTCGGACGGAACTTTTGCCTTCCTCAAGAGCACTTTGTAAGCCAGAGCCCGAACGGACAGCACCTTTGTTTTGTCCTGCCTGTGCTCGGGCCGACGGTGCGGCATGTAAGAGAAGTATTCGGCTCTGGGGAAAGCTCGTCCAAGACCATACAGGACATTTCGCGACAGGTGGTAGAAGCTTTAGGGATGTTGCACAGAAACGGTATTTGCCACGGAGGTACGTCTAGCTCAGCGCATCTTCATACTCCAGACGTTTAACAAATTATAGATTTTCGGCCCTCCAATATTCTTTTAGGCTTAAAGAGCCTTGACGGCCTGAGCGTAAATGAGGTGTTTGAATGTCTTGAAGAGCCAGAAACGATTAATATTCATGTGCGCAATGATAACCACCTGCCTCCCAAAATCCCCCACGCCCCCAAATACCTCGTCTTTCCAGTCGAGTACAGATATGTCGATTTTGAATGCATATTCCCGGAGGCACATATCATTGACTTCGGTCAAGCATTCTATACGTCAAATCCACCCAGCAGCTATGGCATTCCAGTCAACTACGCAGCACCCGAGGTTTTCTTTGACAAGCGCGGCACTCTAGCTATGGACATGTGGTCTCTTGGCTGTACGCTGTACGAGATGCGGGTAGGACAGCGGCTATTTGACGTATTCCAGTTGGTTGGCATCCACAAACAGAACTATGTGGATGAGATTGCCTCCCTCCTCGGGGAACCTCCTGAGCCGTGGGTAGAATTCTTCGAACCGGACGACGAAGATGACACAGACACTTCCCCAGCCCATCCATACACGCAAGAAAAACGCACTCATTTGATACATGACAAACTTGTGAGCTGTCACGACTGTACTAAGCGGGACTGTGACCATCCGCAATTCCAGCACATTTCAGAGCCCGAGGCTGCAGCTCTGGCCGATCTTCTGGAGAAGTTACTGAGATACCGGGCAGAAGAACGGCTTACAGTGCAACAGGTGTTGGGGCATCCGTGGTTTAACACAAGCTACTAGAGCAGGACGTGCTCTTCACTCACCAAGATGGCAGGAACATGCCTTTGCACGGGCAGATGATCTGACTCTGAAACTCGGAGCTACTCCTCTTGATCTAGTATTCCGGATTCTATAGCTTCCTAGTGGGGAATTGTAGATCATTAGTTAACTGGAGTTGAAATGCGCAGTCGCCCGATTCTGGCCCTTCAGGTACCTCATCGTCCACTAGGGTCTTGTTGTTCGACTCTGGAGGCATTTAAAGTACATGTGTCAGCGGCCAGATGTGAGAACCCTTGAACAAACAATAGGATCTTAGCTTCAACGATATATAATATAGATAAGCTGGCATGTTCAATATAACCGTAACAGCCATCTGTGCAGCCACCAACCCAGCGCCAAGACAAATGTCAAGGCAATCGCTTTCGTCTAGTATGACGAAGCTTGATTTTGTAGGTCTTGCGCCTCGGCCCAGCCTGATGTTCTTCTGCACGTATTCTTCACTTCACAACTGCTCATTTCCTACTTGACTGCAGAAACCCCAAATCAGGCACTACTTATCTACACCAGCGCTCTGAATAGGTCGGTGATTCAAAACAAGGCTGATGGCCCAAGGTGGCTCATCCTATTGTCCGAGCCATCATGTGTGCTTCGACAGTTCCTACTCGAGATACTAGCGGCCCAGCAGGATTGATGGATGAGATAGTTACGCAGGGCAGAACGGTCGCTCGGAACGGTAAGATGGGGCGGCCGGGAACAGTGTGACGGGACTCCGTTTTCGACGACGGAGCTGCGACCCTGGGATCATTAATGTCAAGCGGGCGGTTGCCAATTTATCTCTGGGAGAGCGGACAGGATCCCGATTTCTCTAGCGCCTATTGTCGTATGTGACAGTGCATAATTTCAAAGCGAATTATATTAAAGTATTAATAGACGCAGTGGCGTTCTGAAGAAGAAATTGCCATGGTTTACAAGTCGGAGACATCCTTGGAGATACTTGTTTCCACTTCGCATCTGGAGCTCAGAGCGGTGAAGATATCGACACAAGATTGGACACAAAGTAGGATATTGCATCCAGCCGATGACAGACTTTGCTGAGACAACATGCATTGATTTAGTACACCTGCCACCCGCAGCTTCCCAACCTGGATAGGTAACTAATGCAGGCAGGGAGTTACTCAAGGCCTAGCCATAACGACAGACCCAATCCTAAAGCCAGTGAGCTGCGGTGTGAAAGGCCAGTAGGCGCGGCATTCTGGCTGCTCGTGGTCGAGCCCGACCCACCAGCCGTGGTTGCAGTACCAGTATTGGTTGCCGTAGTAGATGAAAGAGCAGAGGACGAGGTAGGCGATGGCTTAGGACACAAGTTATCATAAACGAATTGCTCAGGCTTGCCACTACATGTGGTCGCGAGCCCAGCATCATATGTGCCATTCGGATACATCCAACAAGAGCCTGAGGCATAAGGCGAGTTGCTTGGGTTATCTGGATTGAAAACCACGTAGCTGCAGGAGGCGGCCTTGGCACATTGGCTCAGGCAGTCCGTTGCACCCAAACTAGCAGTACAGCCATCAAAGCAGTTATCCGGTGGTGTCGGGTAACCGCAGATGGATGCGACAGCAGAGGGTGTTGCGGTGGCCGCGCAGGTACCAGAGGTGGTGGTTGCGCTCCCGCCGGCGCACACGGGTTGGCTGTAGACGGACAGGCTGGGGTTGCCGCAGTCAGAGCTGCCGGCGCTCGCATCAAAGCTTTCACCGGGGTACAACCAACAGGTGCCGGTTCCGGTGTAGGGGTTGCCGGCGGAGAAAATGACAAAGCTACATGGGCTGTGGGCGTTGCAATAGTTCCAGCAGGAGGCTCTGCTGCCGCTGGCAACGGCGAACTCCGGGCCCGGTTCTTTATAGCTGCAGAGAGTGGTGATGAGGGAAGCCGTACAGCTTGATGCCGACGCCGTGGACGTGGCGGTACTGGTCGCAGCAGAGGTTCCAGTGGATTGAGCGAGGACCGCCTGAAGATGCAATAGGCCTATTGAGGCCCCGAAAGGAACCAACTTCATCGCAACGAACGGAATCAAGGCAGTGAACGTGTGCAGAAGGCGAGGGCTCGGCGTGTTAAAGAACCGCAATGTTCAGGGGGACGGCGAGGCGCCTTATTTCAGGTAATTTGTTCGTCATGGACGCTGCTGATGCGGTAAGGCATCCTCCTGCGGCACAGGAAATTGCTGTCACGGGCTGGCGTCTTTTAGTGATCTTTAGCGATCTTTAGCGGTCTTTGGCTGGTGTGGCTGGTGTCGAGTGGCTAGAGCTACGCCAGGTGGCTGGTGCGCGTGCGTCCCCTTAACTACCTAGGTACCTGTAATCATATCGACGGTATACTCAGCATGCTCGAGATGTACATGGTGTATCCCGAAACCCTTTCAACACTTCTTGGTGTGCTGAGATCTCTCTTGCGATAGGCTACTGGGTATTTGGCTACATCATGCACATACAACGCGACATTTGCGATATATAAATCGATTTCATTGGAATTCCTTCAAATTGGTCACTCTATTTCTTTAGAGCATTGATCCGTCGACCGTCTTGGGTAAATTCTCGATAAACAGCGTCTTTCGTATGGTCTTGACCAGGAAACCTGGCAACGTGAAATTACCAAAATGGCCTGTGCCAGAGTTCTTACCGATCTGAAGCCCCTATACCTGTTCTGGGTCTAACGTAGTGGTCGTCGAAGCCTTGTATGGCGCTGCAGGCTTGCCGCTCAAATACACCACCAAATTGTTTTGGCCATGTGCACAGATTACCTCTCGACGAACCAAAATTATGGTGCCTCAGAGTCACTAACGTCGCCAATGGCGAAAGCACCTCCAGTGCCTTTGATGTGAAAATACTTGTCTACTTTGATGAAGCCCTTGGCGTCAGGGAACTGGGAAGGTAGAAATGAGGAGTTGGGTAGGACTCCAAAGGTGGGAATGTAAAGGTCAGGCAGTATTCTGTCGTCACTAGAAAGAATCAATTCGAATTTGCCATCGGGTTGCGACACCGGATTTTTCACCTTGGTGCTGACTCTGACGTCGACATGCAGAGCCTCGAGTTGCTTCAATGCTGTGCTAGTCACACCTGCCGGCCTGTTTTCGAGGACGGTAGGTCCGCTAGAGATCCAGAGCAAGATTCAAATGTGTTCCAGCGTAGATATTGCAATTTGTCAAGTCATGAGAGTAATCTTCTTGTTCTTACCGTACTCAAAAGCCAGCTCGCCAGCTGTCTCTACTCCCGTTGGGCCGGCGCCCACGATGCCTATGGACCTGGCGGTTTTCACGCGCCTCTGAAATTCATGTACGGCCTGCTGTGTCGCCTCGGTGAAACTACTGGACTCGAAAGGACCATCCACCTTCGTTCTGGAGCCAGTGCCAGGTAGTCATAGCTAATTTGAGTGGCCTTGCCGTCGACCTCGACCACCGCAACCTTCTTGCCATCGACGTCGATGTCGGTGTGTCAGGGCAGTGCATTAGGTTTACAGAAGGACCGGTGAGATGCCGAACCGTGTCCGCTATATAATCCCTATCTTGTCCCCTTTCCTTGTAGAGGGGCAAGATTCAGTCTCTTTCTGAATTGAACCAGACATTTGGACTTCTGATTATACCTGACCTCACAATCCCCCTTGACACGGTGGCAGTACTGAGAACGAATTTGAATGTGTTGGGACCGTACTTGGAAAAGCCAGCGTTGATGGGTTGGAAAAGCTGTTCGTGGGGAATTTGGCCGGGAATTATGCCGCGCGGCGCGGCAATGTTCCAGTAGAAGTGGCTATCACGCGACACCAACGTGAGCTTGTATGTGACGGTGGTGGTCTTGCCGACGTTCTTAAGAAATCTATGGGCAGCACTGACGCCGGCGAACCCGTCGCCGATGATGACGGTATGCTTCATCTTTTGCGAGGAGAGGTTTGTAGCGGACAGTTCTCGTCGGAAGTGTTTGACAGTAAGAAATTGGAAGACCACGCCAACTACATCCAGGAATGGCTGCAGGATGATGCTCATGTTGGGTTCTTGCTTCTCCTGGCTACTGAAAGGAGCTGCCGAAGACCTTTCGGCTCTTAAGTGTTCAGAGAGATGAGAAGTAGAAGTACTCTGTCGCTTTTACCAAGTTTTTGAACCGGGTGAGATAGGCGGAGATTACAAATCAGGGAAAAGCTCAACTGTTTCTCACACAGCATCGCGTTAAGAAACGTGAAGGATTGATCGTCTGCATGAGCTCCTTGTGCGTTTTCGGTCACATGAATAAGAACCGGCACAAAGCCTGGCCAAAGACAGCCGCCGGAGGGGCCAATCGTGAACAGCCCATATTTTGTAGCGGTTTCGTCCGTAATTGGTCGTCCACGGCGGCTCCTCTTTTGATTGGCATAGAACTACGGGCAACGAACGCAACACCAGACAGGGGTACATCTCAGCTTTGTAAGAGACGAGAAACCAATAGAACTTGGCGCTGATCTGATGGGCATGAATAAGAGTGCCAGACCTTAATCTTGACTCCTAACCTAAGTTGTCAAACGAATGTCTCGGCTAATTTAAGGTGCGTAGAGCAGATAAGATTTAGTGTCGCAACACTATGGTTCTGACCGAGGCCTAACTCTTTCTCATCTTTGTCACGATGCTTCCTCTTTCACCTCGAATCATCTTCGTGACCGGCTGCTGCATGCTGGTCGATTGTTCCAGACAGACGATTCAGCATTCGCCCTTCTTATCTTGGACCAAAGAAGTTACCAATGGGGCTCCAGATGCATTATATTTTTGGCTAACGGTCGGAAATTTGAACCAAATCAGCTAACGTCTAGAACTCACGATTTCAATATTGTGGCCTGCTCTTGTATTCCTCTTGTACCGCCAGGGAATGTAGCTTCTATGATACAAACAAACAACTGAATCAGCACCTCGTTTGAGCAAGATTCTTCCGAGTGATGCTAGGCCTTATGGCTGAGTAATTCAAGCTAGCTTCAAGTCTCCGAAGGTCGCAAAGGGAGCTTAGATACAACAATGAACACTGCAGAATTCCAATTCACGCCTACGGCAACTCGCGTACAACCTAACGGCTCCTCCTTGGGGGCGTATACCGTTCATAACCGTCTCACAGGTCTAACAGACTCCTAACATGCATCAAGCTCGTCGGTAGGATCCATAGCAGCCATCTCAAATGGCTCGCTTGGGAATGCCACATTTGGTGAGGCACTCCTCAACTGTAACAACCATACTTTGAGGAATTGATTTACGAAATCTTTCGATATCCTCTCCAGAAATGCTTTGCCCAAATGCAGCTTCGATGATATTATCGCTTAAAGCAAAAGTCTGACTCGCAATACCACCCACACCGCTATCTTCGGAGGTGAACGACACCACGGCATGTGCTGGGTCGCATTCCGGATTTACCTGCGTGTGGAAGGAGCCCATGGAGAAAACTGTCATCTGGTTCGGTCTGAGGTCTGTACGGATTACTCGCTGTTTTCCAGAACTATCCAGGACACCAGCTTCAGGGACCATTTCAGTGAGGACATGGCCGGCGGTTACGAGGAACAATTCGGTGGCTCGAGGATGGAGGTGAAGAAATCCAATGCTGCAGGCTTTGGCAAGTTTAGCCAACTATAGGTATGAAACAGGATCTTGGTACATACGAGGAAAATCCGCCACTGCCATGCTTCCGCCGGTGCCGGTTAAAGCAGGAAAACTCTGCCGGTTGGCGAAGGGGGATTGGCTTTTATTGAAAGAATAAACAAAATCTTCATCTTTTGAGAGAAGACGGTAACGTTGAACACCACTAGATCGTGAGCCAAGAATCCTCTACGACGTCATAGGGAGCGACTGACGTATCTGCAAGCTGTAGCTGGGCTGTTAAGCTAAGATTCACGGTAGAATTATCGTCTCTGCGATTCGGAGCAGCTTTTCCTTCTGAAGAGAAGGCCAGGATGGCCGCAGAGAAGATTGACATAGGATTGGAACGCATTTTACAAATTCAGTTCGTAGACAAATCAATTTTGAACGATGTTGAGCTGCTTGCTTTGGATCGTTTTTGGGCTTGTTATATGGGATGTCGATGGCCTTATATACTCATCAAGCAAGCTAATAAATCATGCTACCATTCAGCCATGTCAAAACTTGCAACTTACCAACGCTCGAATAGTGGCCCTATCGCACCTGCTTGTCTGCCAAGGCCGATGATGACAAGTGGTACTTGCAGAATTCTGTGGATCGGGATTGGTCGTATCGGTTATGCAGAAGACGCAATTTTAACCCAACGTTGTCAGATCGTAAGCTCGGCCGCACGCTGCGATTAGCTGCCCACGGAATTTATTCCCTTCTGTGGATATTCCACTCTAGTACCAGCTGTCATTGGCCACATCGGTAAGTAAGACCTTCTGGGACTGTTGATCAGGATGCGGCTTAGATCACCAGAGCCGCACCCGCTTCGGAACGCGCCTGTTCCGTACACTTTTATCGGGGATACAGCTGCTGCGAGCGTCGTAGGGTGTCTTGACGTTGTTCGGCTAGTCACAAATTTGTTTTTTTTTTTTTTTTTAGCTGAATTTGAATCCGGCTTCTCGCATTTCCATCCTTGCCTCAGCAGTTCTTGTTTTGATCCTGATAAGCAGGATTAGATTGCTTGTGTGATACAGCTCTGTCTACTGCCCCGGCTTGCACATGAACGCTAATGTCGAAGCCTTCCTGCATCCAATTCACCCTGACAGGACCGGGACTTTTCAGAAGCAGAAGGCTTTTGCTTACTTTTTTCTCAAAGTCTAGTTTACTTATGCTTCTCTACTCTTCCATCGCAAATTGAGTCCGCCTGATATCATTTCTCGCGATTTATAAGGCCGGCATACGGCATACAAACGTTAATGTCAAGTAGTATCCTAAGGACTCAAGAACTTCCTCAAAAAGGAGCTTTACAATCTTGGGGTTGATCACTTGGGCTGGCTCCACTCTTCTCAGTAGCAAACGGTCTGCGAACTCCGTAATTGAGCGTCAAGATTCGTATGAATGGTAAGCTGCAGTACCTGGGTAAGTTGCACATAAAAATCACACATTCTAAACCTCTATAACCCCATTCAGCCTCTCAACGGCCTGATCAGTAGCGAACATGCTTCAAATTCAAACTACGACTTCCGTATATACCCTAATCACCCGAATACTTGGTCCTTTATCATAAAGGAAGCTCGAAGATGATATGTTAGATAGACCCTAGGCCTTGTTTATATGTTTCCAATAACGATGCACATTATATATTTTAGTCAATTCCAAATCGCACTTGGCAGCGTTGGCGAGCTTGCGCAGTGCTTAGCCCTAAACCACCCTCTAGGAGCCACTTAAAATTGGATAATCGCAGACGTTGGTGTCAGCCTCTATCCTCTCACTACTAAGCCTTGCCTATCACGTCTAAGATAGCGAAAATGGTGCCTATAGCATGATGCTTGTGCATGGGCAGGGTTTTGCCTCAAGTGCCACTTTCGACAAATGAGCAGATCATGTTTCGGATTTTGATGATCTTAGGTAATACAGATAAGCCAAACAAGCAAAATCTTCCTAGAGCTCCCGTAGATGTAATGCTACCTTCTATGGGCACCCTCAGAATTGTCATGGAATTCCGTCCTGGCGCCAGAGAAGGTGCTGGGTATGTATGCTAAGTCTCCGCCAATCAGGAGAACTTCCGTTTTCTGTTCATGGCACAATCTTTACTCTCCGTGTAATACCCGGTGCGAATGTGTGTATATGAAGTGCGGGTCATCGATATGTGGATGAAACGAAGGGTACAAGAAAAAGCTTCCCTGGGACTCGTTTCTCAAGCATATTGCACACAAAAAATTAGAGTTCCACTAAAAAGTTGCCTTTAGAAGGGCATGCTTGCTATTAGTCAGTTACGTCTTTAGGTCTTTCACTTTGGAAGAGGTGGCTAGCTGCGGCGCACCGTCCACGGTTTGTCTAAGACTTCGTGTTGAGACATTTCGCTTCCACCTACCCAATCATAGTCAGCGAGCCAGCACGTCATAGCAAGTCAGGCTACACGTTTCATTGGATTCCAGGACTTTTTTGTAGTCTTCGAACGAAGTTCTAAACAATCGCTCCACCGCAAAACGTATAGAAGTATCAAATTCCCGGCCAACGTCCTACTTCATGCAACGCACGCAGCAGCAGCAGCTGGTCGACGGTATAGGCCATAGTCAGGAGACTTACACATCAAGATATGAATACAGACGAAATAAAAACCGCATGCGATTCCTTGGCTGTGATAAATATCGTCTCGGCGCGGATAGCCGGCTAGTGCGGCGAGGATAGGGATTATATTAGAGGCTGCAGGTTAGGATATGCGGGGTCAGCCACTGATCCACCTACGAATAAAAAGGTTGAAATATTGGTTTGATATCCTAGTTTTAGTTGTCAGGTCCTCGGTAATTAGGTCTGTGAGACTGACTTATTTCATTATCACATGATTCACATGTAAGCTTTAAAAGGACTCTGTCCTACTCGGCGGACATGGTGGGAGAATAAAAAAAAATGGGCTGAGTTAGTTTTATTTCTGTGGTGTTTCGCTGCGGCACTGACGTGACTTGCAGTTCCTCCTGCACTTCAGATAAAGTATATAATCGTGTTCCGCTGGGGTTGTGGTAAGTGCTAGCTACCCTACATGGATGCATAAGCCTCCCAATCACGTCCGCTTCCACCACGTCGGCTGTGAAAATGTGGTACAGCTTTCTGCTGGTATCTTTGGCCAACCTGGCTACAGGATTCGCTCCTGCACCAGTTCCGCCAGAGTCTGTTTGCGCCTGTATCCCAGTCGCCACCCCAACATCAATATTGTATGTTACCTCAAGAGCAAGATAATGTAGTGAAGATAACGCATGCCCGTGACTGTTCCTTCCTCTCATGAACTGGGCGATTTGGAAAGTGATCGGAGATGTAGCTGATGCGTACAGGACGGTGCCTTTCACAGAGACTAGCACATTACAAATGGTAGCTACCTTTACGGTCGTTTTCGTGGAGTCGACTGTCACCGTGACGGTGGCTTCTGTGAGTATATCAACTATCTTGGTCACGAGCCATAAAAAGGGCCTTCTAACATGCCAGACCATAACCTCGTCCGTATTTGGCTCGACGCTCTCCGTAAATCCCAACCCTCGAATGACACCTCCTAAAATCTTCTGACAACGTTCGCCAGGTTCCTTATACACCCAGCACTAGTCTCTATACACAAACGGTGTCATGCCTCCCTAGTGCTGGCACTCAGAGCTCTTTCACTCTGCCCACCGCGCTTCAGAGGAAACGGAACCTGGAAAACCGCAACTATGCCGTGAAGCCGAAGACCTCCACGAGCAGTACGAAGGCAACGTCCACCTTGTCGGTGAAACCTATCATCTCGAGCTCTACTACGCGTTTACCCGGCTCGTCCAGTACTAGATCTACGTCAATAACGAGCAGTGGCAAGGGATCATCCACTTCGTCGGTAAACCCTATCATCTCGAGCTCTACCACGCGTTCATCCAACTCTCCTAGTACCAAGTCCACAACAATTACGAGCAAGAGCACATCCACAACTTCTACAAGATCTTCAACCAGTAGTACCTCATTCAGTAGTTCTACCAGCACCATAAAGCCGACATCCTCAGGACAAAGCACCTCTAAGCCACCGTCAGAAAGCTCTTCGTCCACGGGATTCGAGACGTTTCCGCCACGAACTGCCTGCTCCGATCTCGTCCCGTCTGGGTATACGGCAGCCATATCTTCTGCGTGTTCCTCCTTGGGCTTGTTACCACAGCCAACGACCAGAACTGTGGTTCAGAGCGAAACAACAACCATCGTCGGGCCGGTAGGTGAAGTCAGCACCATCACGTCTGTGGGCAGCACAAAGTAAGCCTTATGAAATCCATTCTAGGGGACCCAACTGCTAACCAGCTCGCCATCGTTAGGACTGTAACAGTCACCTCTGCTACTATCGGCACAAGCACTGGCCTATTCGTGACTGCACCAGCTACGGTAACTACAACAGTCAACGGGGCAACGATCATACCCACCGGCATCAACTTCCACTATGCCAGCAACGTCAACTACGGCGATACAATTTCCGCGACAGCTGCGGCTGTGAACAGTCTTCGCAACAACACGTCGGCTTTCACCTTCTCCAACACGATCATCAACCTTGACTTCGGCCCCGAATTACAATTTGTCGGCGATAGGAGCGAAATGCTCTTCCGTAAGACTGGGACAAGACTACCGACCAACAACTACGCGATAATACAACAGGGCTACTTCTATGCCAATAGTTCCTTCCCACGAGTCATCAACATCGACACCTTCTTTCTCTTCTCATCCAATTCGTTCAGCGTCGTGTGGACCGGGAACAAGTCCCTCGCCAACAATTGGACTTGGGAAAACCGGGACGATGCCATGTTCTTCTATGGAATCAAACCACCGGGCGATGGCATCCGCCAGGACCGCCCGATTGGGAACAGGACGTACATCATACCTCCTCACGAGGCCTTGCCCTTCACCATATTGTGGGGCCAGAACAGCGGTTCTGCCATACCAGAATACAGTTATTATCTCAGTGGTGCTCAATTAATTGGAGATTGCGGAGGTAACTTCATTCCCTGAGTAAAACTGTTGCGACCCATGTTGAGTCCTCTACCTCATGGTGAACTGGAGTGGTGCTCCTGGGCCATATTCCCCAAGTAACACAACCTCAGCCAACGCAGTTCTCCTCGTCAGTGCCGACGAGTTGAACGTACATTGTTCGTGTGGCCAAAATAGACGTATAAATCGACGGTCGCCAAACCGAATTGTCGTAAAATGAAGGCAAAAAGTGCGATGGTCTATTAAATTCTACGGAAAGGAAGGAAATTAAATAAGTGAAACGCGAAAAAGCACAGCCACTATTTCTCAGCCACAATTCTATACCACGTCTCACCAGCCCGAGCTCAATGGCTAATCTTTCGTCGGATGGCCGAGCTCTAGTTAATAGATACCTCGTCTTAGTAACATGTAAGATTAGTTCTTCAAGGGACTGCTGTGCTTGTGGTTCCTCGCGAATTCAGTCCGTTCAGCAACATGATAGTTCGAGTGATGCATTCATCTTATTCATTTCCACAAACATTTCACGTTAGATATGCCATGAACTTTCCTAACTATGGCAAGGAGTAGTTACATGGCTACCTAATTAGGCGCTAGGTCAAGTGGAGCTTCATTTTGGCACTGCTAGCGCAGTGGCTATTTTGTAACACCTCTCCTTTACCGTGGTCGTCCTTTTTCGGACTGTACAGCTTGGCGTCTTTGGGAACTTTCATCGTCTTAGTGACCGGGTTCGCCTTCTCTTTTAAAACTCAAGCCCTAGCATGGCTAAGCGGAGCCTCAAGTATCGCATCCACGACGCGTATTCGTTTGTAATCTCTTGGGCGACAATCGGGTTGCGGGTCACTTTATCCCTGTCGATCTGAAATCTCGGTCAGTGGCGAGGCTGCACCCGTGTCCGTCTCAACTCACGTCTTCCAAGTTGTTCTGCTCCAGGATGGCGAATGGGAATCTAGCCATGAAATTGTCGTTGTTCAGCAGAATGTCTGGACCCAGAGGGTCTGACACTGAACTGTCGGATGCGTTGAGATCCGGTTAAGCCTCGAGGCTATGGGGATTGCGTATGACTCAGAACCGATCCGCGCACATCAGCCCTTGAGGCAAACTGAGACGGATAACCTGGTAATAACCAGATCGAGCAGAGGACATCGAAGAGTTAAAGTGACTGAAAGAAATGGCAATGTGGAATTCGGTGAAATGCAGCTAGTGGGATATGGATGTTGTAATTTTAGGTGGAGCCTCTGAAGGCGCTGGAGATCGAATGGGCAGATCAGATCAAAGCTGAGCATCGGACTATAACTAAGTGGGGCTGGCCAGGAACGGCATAAGGGCACCTTCAAGAGGCATGCTTGGAAGAAGGAGGTAAGCCAGGGTCAGCAGCGATGGCACAATTCAAGATCGCAATGGCGAGTACATCTAAGAAGAGGGCAGACTTATAACCGAAAGAAAGGGACTTGCATGACTTCCTATTTGCTTCTCAACGTGTGTTGTAGGGGAACAAAGATGGGTCGCGGTGATACGGTGGGGCTTATTAGTGCTTGCAAACAGATGTCAGAAGTTATCTACTAGGCATAGAGTCGTCCAGAAAGTGAGGTTCTAAGTGCCGAAAATTGAGGCATGTATACCAAATGCCAGGTCTAAAAATAGGAGACAGTTACATAACTTTCCATTACTAAACTCGCAAAACCGTTATGGTCTGACCTACTATAGTAAGCCAAGTAGGTGCCAAATGAAGTTATCTATCGAGATGAAGGAAGGAATTCCTGTATAGGTCGGCGCTCTACGAGGCCTTGCGGACTAGTCACGGGCTTATTACGTGACGACCTATACTAGTCTTGGCAAGCCTGAATCCATGACACCCACTTACGGTGTCAACTACGTATCAAGTAGATTACGCAAGGCAGGCCACGTGACTTCGAAGGTGTAGTGCGACCGAATTGGTCGTTGACCACCAACGTCTCGCGCCCAGCAAACAGTTTAGATTTTCAGCCTTGGATTTATCCATTTTGTGCCCTTACAGAAGCATTCCCTTTTATGTTCGCAGGATTGTAAAACACCACTAATGGAAGAATCAAGGGTTTGCAGCTCTTGTCTCGAGCACATCGATTTTGCATGGCCAGAGCTGATAGAGAGAATCAAAACACTTAAGCGGCAGGCGATCGAAGATGCCATCCGAGGAGGCTATAGTAGCACTGACATCCAAACACTGCGGGACGATCTGCAAAGATACGAAAGTACTACTACATCAGGACTTGGGAAGGGTGTTGCTTGTCCATGGAACCCGGGCCAACCGGTCCGGGCTATCTTCTCCACAAGAACGATGTTGTCCGTTTGGGATGCAGACCGACTGCCGCACGCCTTCGCAGACCTTTGCAGATCCTTGGCCTTCCATGGGCTGCCAGCTGTGCAGCTCCCTTATAAGCATGATACAACATGTTTTTTTTTTTTTTTTTTTTTTGGAAGAGAAGTGCCAAACCAGGTGCGTCTCACCAGTGTATTGATCTTGGCAAAAGGAGGCTCCTTCCCCTCTATGCTGCGGTTTCGTGTCTGGGCGGATATATCATGTTCTAAATTGTCCAAAATCATCTACTTCTACTGCTGCATAGATGACTTCGCAAGTTGTGAGTGACAGTCATAGTAGAAGGGTCTTGAGCACGTGCTAACGGACGCAGACGTGGACCTGGACTTTGTCAACAATGAGCATTTGAAATCGTCTAACATTGGCGTCGATCACCTCCAGTTTTTGTCGGACAGATTCAAGACATGTGTCAAGGAGTCTACCGGGTGTGGCCGAATACAGGCCAGCGGCTGGTATCCAACACGACTTTTGGACGTACAGCTACCTGGGAGCGCGCGCGACTGCATTGCCCTTGCTGAGCGGCCCGATATCCAAGCAACCATGGTATATCAAAAAGTGGAATATCTCACACTCAGTCATATTTGGGGGAATCATATGCCTCTATGCCTTACCAAACACAATTACTTGGACATGATATCTGGCGTGCCCGTTGAAACACTCCCTCAATGCTACAGGGACGCCGTAAACGTTTCAAGAAAGCTAAATATACGCTACCTTTGGATCGACTCACTATGGTGAGCTTTTTTCACCTCTCCTGCCTTCTGGCCTCTAAAGTTGCTGACATCATACATGGCTTGAAGCATATTACAAGATTCGGTTGAAGATTGGGAGCGCGAGGCGGCAACCATGGAAAGTGTTTATACCAACGGGATAGGCAATATTGCAGCCTGTGAAGCGCGCGATTCCACTTACAGCATGTTTCCAGACAGTGATGATCAATGTCCCCAAACCCTGCTTATTCGGTCGAATTTTGTCCACGCTGCCCCGACTTTCGTCATCATCCCAGATTGGGTTCGGCTTATGAGGGACTATGCTCCGCTATATAAGCGAGGATGGATTGTCCAAGAAAGGTTTCTTAGCAGGCGACTTATACATTTCTCTAAGATCCCTATCTGGGAGTGCCAAAAGGCGCTCATGACTCCGGCTTATCGTCAAGGAGCCCAGCGAGCGCTCGACTATGCGGACTTCTTGGGGACCGAACGGGGATGGCTGTCCTCTGATACGGAAAATACCGATCTTCTGCTTAGGCGCTGGGTTCATATCGTGGAGATTTACTCTGGCTGTGCGCTGACCCATACTGACGACAAACTCGTTGCCATACGTGGGCTAGCAAAATCATTCTCAACGTTTCTACAGGCGAAATACTTCGCCGGCATCTGGGGCGGCGACTATCTGATTCCTTCTCTCCTTTGGACTCCAGATGGTCAGACTAAACCGGTTCGACGGTCTGCAAATTTAGGTGGACTTCCCCGCTTCTGCATTCGTTACAATTCCCTTTTAACTTAAAATAGCACCTTCCTGGTCTTGGGCATCCATCGATGACCAGGTGCAAATCACCTCTAAGTTGTCGCACATCACGAAACCACTCATTCAAGACACTTCCCTATGGGTGGCGCCGACGGCTTATGACACCTTTGGGCAAGTCACGGCCAGAGAGCTTAGGCTGAAAGGTTGGCTTCTGGAGATTCAAGATATCACCACAAGACGCGCGAACCTCAAGATGGGAGGGCAGTGCAGATTTGATTACGGACTGTTGACCAATCTAGGAGAAAAGACATATTACCTTCCGCTTGCTAAAACACTTGAGCGACAATCCTTCACCGCCTACCAAGGACTTTTTGTACAGCAAGCTATTACAGCTTCGGACACCAGCGAGCAAAAGTTTCATAGGGTAGGCTTGGGTATAATCACTGAGGTTAGGGAGGCTGTAAACGGTAGTACATTTTGCAATATCCTAGACGATGTCTCTTGGAAGAGACTTCTGCGCATCTGTGGATCGAAATCGGGAGAATGTATGCAGACTATTGTCCTTGTATAGGTATACATTTGGATAATTTAATGTCTCCCTGACTGCGAGATGAATTACCTTTCTGCGCCGTTTATTTGCTCGCTGCTAAGCCTTCGCCACCCTCGGCTGACCGCACTATCGATAAGAGCTTAGACCTGTGAGGATCTCCTTTTCTGCCAAGGTTAGGCGATGTTTCATAGTCTTTCTTGTGGAACGGCACGGACATAGTGTCAGAGGCAGCAGAGGAGTCAGCGGCTAGGAAACACGTATCTGGTGATTAGGTGGTGTATTACTTATTCCTTCCTGCCTCTTGTCAGATGGCGGGAGCTGCTATATTCTGTTCAGGATTGGTTACATAACCTTGATTACATGATCTATAGTCCCTAACTACCTGTCCAAAAAGGGTGGATGTAAAGATTAGTGACCGCCCGGAGCCATGCCGAAACGGCTTTTATGTGGGTAACGAGCCTCGCTAGAAAACCGGGTGGGATAGGGTTCGAGATAAATGGAGGCGGTCAAGTGTGACGGTCGGTCGGGATGAGTCAGCACGCAAATGCGTTGCGCGTTATTGTTCTTGCGAGATAGTCCGTATGTGCTGGACGAATGGCACGAACTTTGTCAAATCAATTTCAGGTTGACCTGGTTTAGCCTGCAATTCTGTAATCTCCTTTGCCACACGCCAGCTCCAATGGCATTCGGCTGATGCATTTCGAATCTCGTCTAGTCGCTCTAGCATCCAGTGCCGGTGGCTGATATCTTTTGTCTCTATCGTAGCCATTAACAATGGCCATATGAGACGAAGCAGACGCCTCTTCTCTTGGGTGTATTGTTCATACAGATGCTTCGTGATGTGCCCCACTGCATGGCGGTGTACTAGCTCTGCCGGCCGCTCTGGGCAGTGCCAGCGGCGACAGAACAGTACACATGCCCAGTAATGTGCCAGAGTCTTGACAATCATATTTCGGACGTGATCCAAGGAATATCGGCCGGCAGCCAATCCGTCAGCCCAGGAGAATAAATCATCATATTCCTGTGACCGGTCAGGAGTGAGCCTACCACTGCCATATTGAATGGCAGCCCAAAGATTTGCTGGACTTACACCTCGAATAAAGGTTAAGTCCCTCATGAGACTCGAATAGTTTTCTATTCTCCTGGAGGCTGGTAAATTTGCCGAGAGCCTCCAGACCCGAGGACGGAGGGAAAGGAGGCAATGCGCGAAGCTCAGAGGCTGAGCACTCTCGTCAGCGCCAAGGTGACGACCAACACGTTTATTCTTGCCTAGAGATCCTGTTCTCGCATCTCTATATAATGTTGGCAGACTAAAGGTCGAACCGCCAGAATCAGTGAAGTATTTGATTAGGTCGCTGAACGTTTGGCCGAAGACACCTTGAAAATCGGAATACCTATGCAGCAAATTGGATCAGAATAACAGATCTACCAGTCCAGTCAGGGTATAGCTTACAGCAACCATAGGATGAGTTGAGACGAGAGTGGAGGGAGTTTTCTCCCTTGTCGTATGCCAGCGTTTGGGTCACCAGTGTGGGTGGAGGACACTCTGTAGGCGCAAAGGAGTGACTTTAGACCATTGAAGTGCATTTTAGCATGAGATAGCGATGATGTAGACGATAGACCATGGTTTATCATCAGGAAAAGCGTGGCCAATACTGCGTCGAGGCTTGCGTCGCTTTTGCCGGGTCCGCCGCGCAGACAATCCTGGAGTTCCTGCAACGCAGCTGTGTAGTGACGTAGTTCGAGTGTTGTATAATACTTGCCGTCTGTGGTACTAGTGTCTGCCCGACGCAGCTCGAGCGCAGAGTGTGCCATAACCATATGCATAACCATACTGCTAGAGGATGCAGTTGTATCATACACATATTTTAGCGGGTTCCACTCCCGAGAAGAATGAAGATAGTAGACGATCGAAGACGGAAAGTACTCAAGAAGGATACGGTCATGCTTTGAGAGCAAGATGGAGTTTGTACATGGTGTATCGGCGGGGTTCAGAGACAGAGGAACATGTGGAGCATGGCACATCTGTAGGGGTGCATTAATTGTGGCATCAGATACCACTGGTTGGTGCCTCTCGGTTGTAGAGCTGCCAGTCGCTGGTCTCAGTGGTCTCTGTTTAAACGAGGGGGAGGTCTTCTTGCGTCGCGTTGGATTTGGACCGATTCCTGCCTCCAGAACACCATCCGGCCCTGGCCAATCGCACTTGAACTGCATCTTGGTACAGCCACCACACACTGGGTGTTGCTCATCGCACTTTATTTTGCGAATCCGGCATGATGCACAACCTAGTCATAATGGCATGGTAAGTAGATGGAATAACGTGGGCACCACAGTAAAACTTGCCATGTTTCGATCTTGACCCACGGCCTTTCCTGAACATCTTTAGTCAATCGAGAGTACCACCAAGACGTTATCACTAGAACATTGGAATTAAGTGTTCTCGAGTGTCTTGAATTCAGTGAAGAATGTTGATAGATCGCCGGTTATCCACACGGAGATCACATTTCACAGAGATGACGTGACTCGTGACAAACATACCAAACAGGCAGCAAAATGCTTGCTTACATGTGCTATCCGTCAAGTGGAGCCAACAGCGTGGGAACGCCTGTCAAGCCTCGGTAAGCTGACAAGACTTCACAAGGTATTGAGCTCAATATCCGTTGGGAAATTGGGTCTCCAGTGGAGCCTATGTCAGAGCGAACCCTGATTTGTCACGTCGGGTACGCTAAAAACCACAACCACGAACGACTGCCATAGTTGATCCGCTGGCGGCGTTCAGAGAACCTCAATATCTGCAATCAGCAATATTAAACGCAGGAGTGGAGTATGGCCTTCCATTTTAGAGATCGACTGCGAAGTATAAGTATGATGCCAGCCCTCACTTCCTCGATCCCAATTCATGAAGCCCTGACCCGTTCTTAAACTCAATCGGCCCAGCCAACCGGAATCATTTACCATCATCAAAGGACGAACCAAACCTTTCTCTGTTCTCATAAATTTGAAATAATGCATATCGCTATGGTAGTTCTGGGTGCCCTCACCACTCTCATCGTGGCCTCACCTGGCAGTCCTAAGACTTCGAGTCAGCTTCTGGCTCGTGCCGAACTCTGCCATTGTGCTCTGAGTCAGAGCTGCGGTTGTCCTAAGGGACAGTGGTGTGTCTGCAGCGCCACTGAGCCGGGTGGTGCACCCTGCACAGACCAGAAATCCTGCGGTTGTCCCACCAACCTTTGGGGAAACTGTCAGGTCCGTGATGTCCCACTAGGGGATGTAGGCCACTATCTCTTTGCTTACATGGTGACAGGTTCTCTAAAGCATCAGAAATCTACTGGAGCCGGCACTTCCGCTATAACGCTGGGCACGATTTAGATCAGAACAAGACAGTATTCTGGGAATAAAAGGGATTGCTTTTCGCATACACAAATTATTTAACGGCTATTCGTCTTGCTATTCTATATGGTGCAATTGTATAAGGAATCCATCTTCAGGAAGCCGTTCCAAATACGGGGGAAAGCAGTAACGCTTTCCACTATGCACAAAATCTATCTTGAGGTTCGTGAACTAATGACCTAGAACTCATACCATGGGTAGTTTATAGATCTATTTTATGTAGTCATTTTGCTATCATGCCATACTGCAATCACAAAAGGCCGAGAATGTATTAGGCGGAAGGTGAGAAGGCAATTGATTATGGTTGTTGCCATCGTTGCATTTTGAATGCGGGTAACCTCCTTTCAGGGCAATATAGACCTTAGATCCATACATCGTCGGCTTATAAAAGTATCAGTGTTTATCTATATCTAATAACGCTCACTTCTCTATCCTCCATATTGGCTCTCCTGGACTCCAAGTCAGCCTACGTCACTTGATTTGCTTCATGCATAGAGCATATTCGTGTAAGTAAATCGTTACCCTCCATAAACCTTATCTGCCTTCCATTCTACCTGTTCAGGAATTGGCCGCCTAAGTTTTCCTTTGACAGCAATCGATGTCCCCGTGGTTTGTGGCAGAAGAATGCGTGCTCTGGGCCCCTCCTCTTCATATAAATTGTTGAGTCTATATTCTAATCGCACATGATAACGACCGAGGTAAGTGTCGCCTCTTCGCCATAGCATATGCTTTGCCTATCAACAATTTGCAGGGCGTTGATTCCTGTTCTTGCTGAGATGACAACGTAGTTTTCCTGCTCTCTACGTACATCAAGACATTAGCGAACATATGGGATTTCTGCTCTCACGCCAAAAACCAATTTCGAATGCATTATGCGGTAAAGATCCCTGTGGAAAAACTCCGGTCTCTGCACTGAACCAGCTTCTGGAGGATTCATTTAGGCTCCGCCATAATGGTCCGTTCGGCGATTAGCAGCTGACAGTATTCTCGTATTTCAGAGATCGTCGTCATTCTTGTGTCCTTCTGAGGCCTAGGGCGATGTAGCTGACAAGCCACTCATCAATGTTTCAGTGAGTCCACTCCTATTATTGGGCAGGTTTAGTAGAATCCTAAGCCCTGTTCCATCCTACACGGCAATTGCCGTTCGAAAGCTAGTCCACTTAGGCGTGTAGGATTCGCAGCTGAGTTCAGCCACGCTGCTGATGGTGAGACATGAGTGGAATGGTAGTAGTATAAATGAATGCCAAGACGCTGCCGTTCCCCGCCAAGAACGAAGACAAAGATTATACACACTTCGAAGACACCTCGATTTTCAAAATGAAAGCTTCTGTTCTCACCTCTCTGGCTATCCTGTCTGGTGGTCTTGTCGAGGCAGCTTCGCATTGCACCTCGACCACGACCATCACGTCGACGCCGCGAGTCCATTGCGACATTGCCTGCATCAAGCCCACAAGCACCTGCAAGAAGGGAGAGCCAACCGGGCCCCCTGCCACCGTTACCATCACTTCAGGCTGCACCGTATCTGTGATCGGGAAAGGGTGTGTTGGCTGTGCTAGTTGTGTATCTCCTATCCACACTCCGTATCCAGTCAAGACGGTGTATTAAGGGAGGTGGAACCATGTGGGTTGAGCGTGGTCATGATGAAGTGCGTGAACGACTTCAGAAAAGGAAAGATTGATTGGAAGGCAATGGCTACGGACTTTCGGTATTCTCTAAGTACCAGTTTTCATTGAGACTTTGATAAACTCCACAACCGTTTACCGTGACAAGTGACGACTTTTCATCAAGAATCAAAGTAACCTTGATTTTATTGATTGAATGATTGGATTTCTCGGTTTTGTTTATCTTTGGAGCAAAGAGGATCAGATATTGGCCTATTCCACATGTTGAGCAACGGGTTCGAGTTCTCCGGCCGCTCAATAATCCCAGCGAGTGTAATTTCAAAATATCGCATTTTGATAGCCTTGGACGAATGATGGAAATCATTGAGACTTCGGAGGCCGTGAGTAATACCATCGAAGACGTATCCTGGTCTTCCGATCGAACTCTCACGGGCATGTGATCTCATTTCTGATATGTGCGTTAGCTCCGGCCTAAGGCAGGGTAGATTTCCCTATGAAGGAACCTGCTCCTCACCTCTTAAGCGCTGCAATATCGTATTTTTGCACCCTTCCACTCATTCCATTTGCATTGACCCATAGTCTCTATCCTGTATTGTTTTTCTACTTGTGGTCATTAGGGCTAAAATCACCTGATCAATAGACCATATGGCTGTTGATAGCCAGGCACCTCAAATAGCAAAAAGGACCTTGATCCGCAACAAAGTGTAATCTTGATTTTATGCGATAATCAACCACCAAAACTTGAGCCGCTTTTCCTTGCATTTCTTCACAAGTTTATAACTTCACAAATAGAATTGCGACCTTTATTCGGCCTTGTATTGTATTTAAAATGTTTGAATCGAAATCTTACGATTTCCTTTCTACCTCTTGGTTAGTGCTCGTTGTGAACAGTGATATGTGGTCTACCACTTTTTACGGAACAGGTTGCATTCCATGCTGTGTGTTCTTAGGTAGATAGACTATTTAGAAGGCGATTTCAGCCCGACCTAGGAAGCAAACGGTCGCAGTGCCTTTATGTGGTGTTGCTCAGGATTGGATGCAACCAGCGCCGCACGGGGTTAGGGTGATCAACCTCAAAAGTCGTAAGCAGATGATTTATTAAGAGAACGTGGCTGCCCATCGGACCTATGACCTCGATCTAGGATGAAGATCTTGCACATCAGGGTTTTCTATAGAGGACCAAGCGGTGATTTTCTGCGGAACTTCGCAACAGTCTGCCATTCTAAACCAATATGACAGACATCTTCTCAGCTTGTGGCTGGTCAATACATCTGTTAGTTCCAAGATTCCACAAGCTTGTGAGCGCGCGCAGTGACCTACACTGCAATTGGTAGGTCTCTTCGGGCTACTAGCACGCAGTTTAACTTATTATCGATAATTCATCCGCTAGTTCGGCAGATCGTCGCAGACTATGCCCTTACGAGTTATGATGTAGTTGTGACTTATGCACCGAATGTTGGCACTTTTCAATTCCATATACGGGATGGCATACGTTCACCAGGTGGGCATTTTCCTACTGCCGAAAGTCCTCTTTACTGGCTTCATGTAGTGTTCCGCTGTGTACCACATGTGGTACTTAGTCTTGGGCCACCGTAGGCGCCGTTTATGGAAGTGGCGCTACAAGATCAGGCTTTGAATTTTCCCTGGCGAGAAACGTTGCGGGTGTCAACAAAAGATCCACTCGTCGCGCGACTAATTCATGTTAAAATAGCTTAATCGGTTCGGAAACAAGACGGGGCAGATCAGGAAAAGACAGTGATCCAGCCCCAATCAGCGAAGAAATGGATTGACGTTTTCTGAAACAGAGGTTCTACTACTATAGACAAAATAGTAACATCGTCTTCGCCTTGCGCATCGGTGAAGTTCTTCACTTGCGGTACCAATGGAGAAGTCGGCCATCTCTTTGGTTACCAGTCCTGTTCGCATAAACCCCAGCACAGATAGCCTTGCGATAGCCACCCTACAGAAGTATTTTCATAGCGAGTAAAATAGAGCTTCCAACATTGCAGAGTAGGTGGATGCCTCCTGCACATGACCAGCCGGTGTCAAGGCTGCATGCAGGAGGTGATGAGCATGACCATGTTCGCTGCACTAGCAAAACAATGCCGCAGACACAGATTTAGTAGACATCAAGTTGGCCGGGCCCGTGTGGCGTTCTTTCTATGCCATATGTACCTCAACTTTCATAAGCTACTGTTCGAAGCGAGGACCTGAAGAGTTAGGTGGCTTTATTAGCGTTGCCAACTTCATGAAACCAATCGTCCTGATGCTTGATAGATACTTGGAGCAATGGAGAAATGCGACAAACCTGCTCCTCTACGAGCCTACTGCACTGCCCATCTTGTGTTCCGCTAGTAGCATCAAGTTCTTGCAGTGTTGAGTTCACGGCGAATCCCAACGTACCGCGTGAGAAGGCTTGTGTGCTCTCCCGCTAGACGGAGATGATCGTCCGGGTTGGAATCTGACTTGGCAGGATCAGCATTTCCACCTTACCGGTCTATCTACAACCTGTGATTACTGCACTCGTCTTGCCGAATACTAGGCTCAACCGGTTTTGGTCCAATTGTCGCCGTGGCTAGGGTCTCTTGTACAATGGAGCTAGAGCCGCTCGGACGAGAGGGAAAAAAGGGGGTCTGAGCCCTGGGCCCGTTCCCATTCATCCAATGTCGTCTTAGCTCGGTTCGTCGGGTGTATGGTTCGGCGGATCGCGTGCGTTCTTGGCTGTTCGAAACTAACGCGTTTTCCTGAATGAGATTTCTGTTTCGTGGTTCAGTGTCTCCTTGGGAGTGTTTGAAGAGCGAAGTACATCGCACACCTCGAGGCAATCTTGTCGCTAAGGGTTATGTGCCCCAATACCTCCGTCATACGGGTTAGATGTGCCCGTCCGTAGATAATTGCAGCAACTATGAAACTATACGTTTGTGGCTATGGCGGGATTGGTGCAAAAATGGGGTGCCACGATGGAACAGGATCTACAAGTCTTGCGTGTTCCAGTGGCTGGCCAAGAGTTGGCTTTCGGTGGCGAGCGGTCACCGTCGAATTGCTGAACGGCTGCATACCCAGGTAGGCAGGAAAGCCACTCAATCCTTTCCAACAGTTTGGCACGCGGCCCTGCGCCCCGACACTCTTCACTAGCTGCGCATCAAGGCCCTGCGTCGTTACTCGTCGTCGTCAGCCCCCGGTTTAGACTGAGCCTCCTTATCATAGACTACCTTGCGGTTTCACATCTGGCAGAGGACTTGTTAGCGTACTGTACAACGCCGGGTTTAATTCCTATACTGTACAAGAGCTACTTCTCTTCTTTGGTACACCGAACAAACACCTGCCCTTCTTTCTTCCCAGGCCCTGGCAGGTATCCGGGCGAAAGAAATGTGAATCCCGCGCAACTTTAATATCTGACAATGCCACTCATTTCTTCTTGACCCATGATAAACCTGATCTGCCTCTAATTAATAGAACAGATGTGCTCAAGGGTTTCCTTGCCACCACTTCTTAAAGCGAGAATATGTCGAGCACCGATCAAGCACAACAAGATGGCTTGATTGCGACAACCGCAGTCCTGACTTCATTGTCAAGTAAGCAATTATTTACTCTTGTCCATCATTCGGTACGTGCTCATCGATTGTGCTAGCTATGCTCGTTGTCGTACGATGCGGCGTGCGGTTCGGAATCTTACGGAAACCCGGATGGGATGATACAACGATCATACTGGGAACGGTATGGACTGCTAAGCATCGTTCGAACTTTCAGCGTTCTAAACAAACCGGAAGGTTTTGAATATAGGATACCTCGCCATACTTCTCCTCGCACGGTCCAATAAGATAGGTTACCCTATGCAAATGTTGACCGTCGGGAATATGGTGACGCTTTTAAAGGTAATGAATCACAAAAAGCTTGTCGTTTTCATGAGCACTAAGTTTCTAGTCAATCGTCGCGATAGAAGTTCTGTACTACGCCATCGTGTTCGCCATCAAGGCGTCTCTAGTGTTCATGTACATGAGATTCGGCAAGTATCCTAACCACATTTGAAGATTGATGCTGGTAGCTGACCTGTCTCGATTTGACCTGAAGCCGTCGCAAAGAACTTTCTTCGACTTTGTCAAGGAACCCTAATTCTGCTCATCGTATTCTTCATTATTTGTATCTCTGTAACACTCGGCCAGTGCCGGCCGTTGAGCGCAGTCTGGAACCTCACCCCACCACAGCCTGGAGCATGTATTAACAGTACAGCCTTTTTCTACTGTACGCTACGTAACACTGATACCCAGTCAACTAAAGCTGACTTTAGCACTCTGCGCCCCAGTCACGTCTAGTTTCAACATAGTTACCGATATTTGGATACTAGTCATACCGATTCCCACGTTAAGGATGATCCACGTGGCTCGACGCGAGAAAATCGCGCTGTATTGCGTTTTCGGGATCGGTGCTTTCGCTACGGCGATATCGTGTGTTCGGCTCCAGTCTATCTATGTATTCACCTTCTCAAAGGACCCGTTCCACGACTCCATACCGGTAAGTCGCAATACCGCCGAGGTCGGCTGCTCAAGATACTCACCCAGGGCACAGGTCAACCTCTGGTCGGTTATCGAGGTCAATAGCGCAATCATCTGTGCAACCATCCCATCGCTGAAGCCCCTCTTTCGATTCCGGCGCCTGGTCGAGATGGCAAAGAAAAACAGTAATTACGAATACCATGGTAATGAGCGGTCGGGAGATCTGGATGCGTCCGGTGAGGCAAAGAACGCAGCCAGACGCTGGAGCGACAAGGCTGTGGGCCGTGACCCCGTGCAGCCAGTGCGGGCCAGCATCGACAGTGAGGGTTCGATCGAGCTGCAAACAATCTCTGAGGTGTATCTACGAATATAATGGGCAAGAGAATAAGGTAGGTCAGGTGTAGCTATCATGCTTGGAGTTACTGGGTCGCTCTATGTTTGGCTTGAGAGGCGCGCCTCATTCCCATGGAGACGATGTAGCCAACGGGTGATTCGATCAAGAAGCCAGTTATGTGATGCCAGGTATATCGGATAGCATCGGACACGCTTGCTAGGTGAATGTAATGCTGGGACATCCTGTTTGCAATGCAGGCAGGCACGCATTATAGCAAAGGTGGACCAAATGTATGCGTAAGACTCCGGACAACAGTCTACCGCTATCATCCAAAGATATTTGAGGTGTTCCACCGATTCATAATCCTACTGGTTAAATTACTGGACTATTGCAATGAATGACTTGATCATGCTGAAACCCCCAACCTCTTGTGGGGGGGGGGGGGGGGGGGGGGGGGGAAAAAA